ATATATTTTCGTTTTTATACGCTTGCTACGCGTATACTACTTAATTACTACGTATGCATTTTCTATATCTTCTTTTAGTACTTACTAATTATATTTAATTAGCTAGCCTATTTAATGTACTAAGTATTTAGTCTAGCTAGCCTTGCGTTTTTTATTTAAGACTGCTTTTACTTTTTATTTATTGTTTAGGTTTTTTAACGCTAGCATTATTAAAGGCGCTTATTTTGCGCCTACCTTACTCTCTTAGTGCTTTAATATTAAGACTAAGAAAACATTATATAGTTAGCTATATTGTTTTAATAGTATTAGTTAATATACTTATCTACCTATAGTCTTAAAGATTTTAAAGGGCTTAATGCGTCTTAGTACTAACTTCTTATTTTTTAAGCAAAGGTTTTTTATAAAAAGGCTTACTAGCTCTCTTACTATAAAGCTTATAGGCTAATAGCGCGCATTATAGTAACGCTTCTAGCGCTCTATCGTATACTTTTAGTTTACTACTAACCTTTTTTATATAGCTTCTAGTTTTTCTAAGCAATTATACAATACTAAGACTATATTGCGTATATCTTGCTCTTCTCTTATAGTTATGCTGCCCTTAGAGCAAGTTTGCAAGTTTAGTTTCTAACTATATAGCGCTTTAAATAGGCTAATTTTAGTTGTTGCATTAATAGCGTTATTATAGGCGTACTATGCTAAAGATAGCAAAGAGGGCTAATTTAATTGCTCTTTTATTATAAAGTAGCGTAAGTACTACTTTAACGTCTAGTTAGATCTCTTTGTTTACCTGTTTGTCTAAAGGTAAAATGTAGTTAATAGCTGCTTATAAATTCTAGTTTAATAGCAATATTTACTCTAGAATTTGCTAGTAAATATACTTCCTTAGTTAAAGATTATACCTTTTAGTGTTACGCTGTACACTAGTTTTATATGTTAGTGCATAAGGTGTGTAAAGCCTTTAGCTGTTAAGGTAGTCTATATAGCAAAGAAAAGGTTTATCTTTATAAAGCGGTTAATAATTACTAGAATTGCATCTACTTTACTACCTATGCTTGCTTTAGCTACTAGTAGCCTAGTAATTAAGTCTATAGAGATTTCCTATTAAAGACCTTATAATAGCAGTAGTAGGTTTAGCTTACTATATTACACATGCTATTTAATTATCTATCTTTAGCAGACTAAGCATAAGGTAATATAAGCTTTTATATCCTTCTTTTATTTCTTCCTAGTAGAAGTAGCAACAAAGTAGTTCTAAAGTCCTAGTAACTATAAAGTACTTAAAGATCTAGTTGTTATAATAAAGTTATAGCAGCTCTTAACAAAGGATATACGCGCTGCCTATATATAGGCGGTTTTTCTATAGTAATATACTATTTAGTGCAAGGCTTTATAGCTTTGTTGCACCTTCTACGCTTATAGTGCGCTTTACGCGCGCCTTAACAACTTGCACCTCTAGGTCTACGTCTTTGATTCTTACTACTGCTTTGCAAATAGCTTTAAGGACTTTGTTTTCTTAAAGGTGTAGATGTAAGGCAGTAATAATAGCTAGTTGCTGCGGTAGGCTAGAGTATACTAGGTTTCTATCTACGCTTATTAGAGGCGTTAAACCTTTAATTAGCGCTATAGTAGTAATATTTTTAAGGTCTCCTTAAGGTCTCTTATAGTTGTCTAACCTTTCTAGTTTACTACGCTTTACCTGCTTAGGCGGTGCGCTGTTTTGCGCTATAATAGCTTGCTATATAAGATCTAAGGCTACTAAGATTTTAAAGGTAGCGCTTAGCTTCTTTTTCTTACTAGGTTATTTTATAGGTGCGCGTATCTTGCGCGTCTTATTTGTATAAGCTGCGTTAGTAACTAGCTTAGCGCTATTATCTTTTATAATAGGTGCGCGCATCTTGCACATCTCTTACACTATAGCTATAGTGCTTGCTAACTATGCGTCTTCCTTTTATACCTTAGTAATAATTATTCTAACTTGTCTAGGTTTATTAAAGTAATCTAGCCGTTTTAACAGCGTATTAGCTAGGTTTGTTACGCCTAGTTTATACTTAATTACAAAGTTAAAGGGGGATAGGTATATAGCCTAGCAAGCCTTACGTCTATTATACCTTAGCTAGGTTATAAAGGTGCGTATTAAAGGTGTACTTAAGTAGGCTAGGTAAGTTAAGCAGGCAAGAAGGTATCTTCTTAATAGAAGGAAGCAGCCGTATATTTAATAGCTAATTCTTGCCTTCTGCACTCTAAGGGAGTATAGGAGGCGCTCTTTATTGTAGGCGCACCTCTTACGCACTAAGTGCGTAGGACAGGCGCGACCCCGTTTCTACTTAGCCTATGTACTAGCACGTGCTATAGCTTATGCGCAGACTACGCTACGCAGCCTACGCTACTAGCACCGCTTCTAGTTTACAATGTGCATTTAATACGCTATGCGCATACTGCGTACAGCTTGCGCGTAGCCTGCGTCGGTCCCCTTCCTAAGGCGGCGTTACACCTTTACTTTTATAAATAAAGTACTTTATACGCTTATTATTTATATAGGTAAGGTTTATTTAATAGCCCTTAGTAGCTATAGCGGCTAGTCTACCTTTCTTTTTACCTTAGCCTTTACCTTTAGCACTACTATAGTAGTTGCTACAATTGTTTTCTTAATTAGTATTATTTTTATAGCTGCCTTTATAGCCTCTTTAACTCTCTTACGCCCTTTTACCGCGTATACTATTATTATCTTATTTTAACTAAGCTTTTAGCTTTTTTAAGCTATAAAACGTTATTACTCTAGCTACTAGTTCCGCTCTAGTCTATAGTATCTTATTTAATTTTAAAAGATTTTTCTTTAATTTTAAAAGTAGCTTAAAGAATAGTAACTACGCTTATTCCTTTTTTAATTTAATAGGCAGTTAGTTTTTAAAAAAAGTAAGGCACTTATTAAAGTCTTAAAGAGTTTACCTTAGTCTTTAGTAAGCCTTACTAATTCTATTAGTAATAATAAAAGCTATATTATAAAAATTAGCTATAAGAGTTAAGGTCTAAGCCTTAAATATATCCTAGTTGCTCTAAGCCTTTACTACTACTACGTCTATTATACTCTATAAGCGCGTTTCTTATATAGTATACTCTATATATTTAAGCATATAATTAATCTAGTAACTAGCGCTTCTAAACTTATTAAGAGTTAGATAAAAGTGTTACTTCTTAGCCTATAGCTAGGTAGCGTGCTCTTAAAAGCTGCTAAGTGTCTTAAAAGGTAGTTTAATGCTGCTTTTTAAGATAATATCTTAACTATAAAAGCTATCTTTATTAAAGTCCTTATTATAGGTGCGCTTACCCTTCGCTTAAGTTGCTTTTATATCTAAAAGCTATTACTATAAGTCTACTATTTGCTGCTTTAAGCGCTCCGCTTTACGCAGTTAATCATTTTTAGTAATAAAGTCCGCTACTATCTAGTCTATAGTAGGCCTAATAGTCTGCCTTAAAGGGCCTTCGCCTGCATTGTCGTTATCTAGTTGCTTATAATCCTTCTCTAAAAGATTAAAGTCTTTGTTCTTTACTTCTTCGACGATAGGGTTAAGGGGGTTCTTGACTGTCGCCCTAGAGCTGCTCTCTTCCTGCGCACTACGTGCGTGCGACGTTTGCTTCGTAGTCTTTCAAGGTGCTATTGCTTCTTCTGCCTTTTAACTTGGGTAGCTTAATAGTAGAAGAATTAGGAATTGTTAAAGGTGTACTTAGGTAGGCCAGGTAAGTCAGGCAGGCAAGGAGGTATCTTCTTAACAGGAGGGAGCAGCCGTATATTCAATAGCTAATTCTTGCCTTCTGCACTCTAAGGGAGTGCGGGAGGCGCTCTTTATCGTAGGCGCACCTCTGGCGCACCAAGTGCGCAGGACAGGCGCGACCCCGTTTCTACTTGGCCCGTGCGCTAGCACGTGCTGTGGCCTGTGCGCAGACTGCGCCACGCAGACTGCGCCACAAGCACCGCTTCTAGTTCACGATGTGCATCTAATACGCTGTGCGCATACTGCGTACGGCTTGCGCGTAACCTGCGTCGGTCCCCTTCCTGGGGCGGCGTTACACTTCCATTTTCGTATCCTATTCTTACAAAATACGCGCCGTACAGTAGTACAGGACGGCCAACAAACTATCTGCTTTGCTAGCTCCTTATAGGTAATTTTTAGGTGCCGCTTTGCTTGCTAAATAAGGTAACGTTTATCTTAACAGCTAAGCAACGCAGGCCTGCCGCGGCCAGGTCTGTCCTCAAAGCTGTGTGTTTCTGTAAACCGATTAATCGTCTTTAGTAACTATACTGCGCGTGACGCCAAAAGCCTTAGCAACAGCGCCTTGTGACTGGCCGGCGTATACAGCACCACAGATAGCAGCGCGCGCAGCCAAACTTAGCTGGCCTGTAGCCTTCCTTTCGGCCGTCAGAATGGCACCAAATTCGTTGATTTGTGGTGATTCTAAGTAAGGGTAGGTGTTGGGAGTTAAATGAGAAACGCGAAAAATCGCGGAGGTGGTTCCATATTTTTGGAACCCCACTGTATATAGCGCTGCATGTATCTCCCCGCTTTTAGTGCGAGGGCGTTGGCTCTACGGAGTAGTGGGACAGTTCAGCTGGCCTTGCATTACGAGTCTCCGTACGGATATTGCATACACGTCTCCAGGTCATGAATATGGTAACGAGGTCTGTATTGGACGTAAATGCTGTGCGCAACAAGATGCAACCTCCAAAATGCAGACTGTGGACGCCAGTGTGAACCTGGTGCACATATGTGCTCTAAACTTGAAGATTGGTCTGGGTCGAGAATTATGTGCTTGCAAACAGAGAACGGGAAGAACTGAAACAAGGAGATATTCGGAGCGAGAAGCAGAAAAGAAAAGGAAAAGAGGAAGAAAAAAGAGGAAGAAAAAGAAAAAAAAAAACACAGAGGAGGCCGCCGACACCGGTTGAATATGCAAAAGAAAGGGGAGGAAAGGAGGAAGCCTCCACAAGACGGCGTCAGACGGGTTCAGACCACCTCTTCGTCGGGCAGCACAAAGCGGACATGTTTCTTTGGCTTCAAAGCCGTCGATCCAACGGAACCGACGGGCCGATGGGCAAAGTCGAGCAGTCCACTGTCGACAAGCTGCTGTTCCGTCTCCTCCTCGATCGAGAAGACGTCCGGGCTGGGCACGCGCCAGGACCGAGGAGACCGAGGCGAACGGGCTGACCGAGGAGGCAAGGGAGGTCGGCGCCCTGCGATGGGAATGCCTTTCCAGTCGGCGACGCTGCTGGCTGGAAGGTCGTGACGGCTCGCCGACCGACCCCGGGCCGATGTGGGAGGAGATCCCACCAGGGCTGGCAGGTGGCGCGAAGCTTTGGCAGTGGCCGGCCGCAGGACAGGGAACAGAAGGCGCGTAGACGGGGTCCAGCTGTCGCTGTCGTCAGCATCTGCGTCAAGGATGGCCGGAGCCGGCGCTGTCATCTCGTCACGTGCATCGAGCTGGAAGTTGAAGACCGGCTCGGCGTCGTCGTCATCGTCCGCCGCAGCAGCACCGGCAAAGTAAGAGCGCGGAGGCGTAGGCGGCCGCGGCCGTGGCAGGTTGAGATCAGCCAGCGACGACGGACTGACAGAGCGGACAATGGGCAGCGGGTGGGTGACATCCTCAATGCCCGCATCCAGCTCAAACTCGGTAAAGTCGTCGCTCTCGTCGCCGTCGTAGTCGTCCGTGAAGTAGGTCGTCTCGTCATCCTCCTCGACCATCATGGGGGGGGAGAGAAAGTAGGAGAGAGGACTGTCTTTGTCCACGGCTGCTGAGCCGTCGGTGCTGAGGACAGGCCGGAGCCGCACCTCGGAAGGGGGCCAAGATCCCCGCCAGGTCTGCGATGGAGGCACTGGCATGCTGAGCTGAAGGGGAGCAGACGATGGAAAGAGTCTGAAACGGGGAAACAAAAATAGGAAGAGCAGAGGGGAAACGATCGTATCATATATGAGCAGCGTAGCGGGGGAGAAGAAATAGACCGGCCACGGATGGCAGCAGATACGATAGCCTGGTTTGAAGAGTCGATGGGTGGCCCGGTGCCCACCCTCACGGAATCACATGGAGGCATACCAGCTCCAGCCAACTCACGCTACCTGGTAGGCTGGCAGCCTGGCCAAAAAGAGGCGTGGCGAGGAGTGTGGGCGTGAGCATGGGCGTGAGCTTCCGCACGGCGCCGAGCGAGATAGACGGAGACATGGAGGGGGACGAAGAGAGGGGACGAGGGGAGAGAGGCCACAGGAGCGAGATGATTGGGACGCAAATGTGATTCATCACGTATGTACCTCACTTCTACTTATCGTGATGCCCCCACCAAGAGTTTGCCTCTACATATTAGTACGAGTGTCGCGAGTGAGCAGCCGGACAGGCAGTACGAGTACGGAGCAGTGGTGAGACATGGGCGGAAGTGAAGCACGTCAAGGCGGGACGATGTGGGAGATATGGGAGACAGATACGGCGAGTCCTGCTTGGCTGAGACAGAAACCATGGCAGCCACCGCCCCACCCTTCCTTCCCGACAGGCAGTCGACGAGGGGTGCATCTGACAGTGTGTCTACAAGTACGAGTACGAGACTGGCTGTGCTGCTGACCTTTCTGGCTGTGTTGCTATCGCTGATGCGGCCTTCGTATTGTGCCGGACCATCCCATCTGTGCGCAGCGGGCAGGACGGCCATGATGGGATGACGACGTGATGCAGAAAGAGGGCAGAAAGACACGCCTGGCACATGCACGTGAGAGTCAATGGGCGAGCCGCCTGAGCCGCGTGCTCGCATCGAGCCACCCCCCTGTCTTATCTGGTGCCTTGCATATGTGTGCAATCACCGTGGCGCAGACGGCCTGGGTCCTTTTCGGTGAACATCCCGGACGAATGCCCAGGCGCTGCTGCGATGATTACCTTCCGTTCCTGCAGAGCGAGTTTGGTAGTGGTGGGAGAGCCTGAAGAACACGCACTGGACACGGCGTCCAGGGCAGCCTTGCCAAGACGGCCTGGCCGGCAGAAACAAAAACAGACCAAGAAGGCCACCAACTCGGCCGAACAGGCTCGCGATTGCGATGCTCAGAGTACGACACGATACTCAAATACAGGTGCCGTAGCCTGCTCACAGGTCACCTGTTGGCCCGTATCAGCGCTCCGGACACTCCCAGGCGCTATATTAGCGCAGGCTGGGCAGCGGCCTAGGCGCCACTTCACGGTGTGGAGACCCAACGACCTACCAAAGCAATATTTTGGCTGATCGTCAAGCTCGCGCACATCGCCTTTTCGCTTGACTCATCACGTATTCCCAATACCAGACACCTCTCTGACAAACAGCGATGATTGTCCCTTGTCACGACGGAGCCGGAGTCAAGACCGAAACATCGGCCCTGCCGCTGCGCCTGGTCACCTTGAATGTGCGCTACGCCACGCAGCGTCCCTTGGAGGGCGAGCAGCCGTGGCGGGTGCGCTGTCCCAAGGTGTGCTCGCAGCTGCGCTTTGTGGCCACGGGCCAAGACGGCGCCTTTCTGTGTCTGCAAGAGGTCCTGCACGAGCAGATGCTGGACATCCAGGGACAGCTCAACGACAGCGACGACGACGAATGGACCTACATTGGGCAGGGCCGCCAGGACGGCAAGACAGCCGGCGAGTATTCGCCCATCTTCTACCGGCCGCGGCTGTGGTCTTGCGAGCAGAGCCGGATGTACTGGCTGAGCGAGACGCCGGAGCGGCCGTCATGCGGCTGGGATGCGGCGCTGGAGCGCGTTGTCACCGTCGGCCTGTTCCGCCACCGTGCCACCGCGCAGCCGGTCGTGGTCATGAGCACGCACTTTGACCACCTAGGCGTGCGTGCCCGCCAGGAGAGCGCCCGGCTGATCCTCCGGATTGCGCATGCCTGGGGTCGGCCAGCCGGCAGTGACTCGTCCTCGTTCTCGTTCCTCTCCCGGCCCGTCTTTCTCGGTGGTGACTTCAACAGCACGCCCGACGACGGCGCCTACAAGACGATGACGGCCGTACCCGGTGGCATGGTCGACATCGCCGGCCTCGTCCCGCCTAGCCGGCGGTATGGAAACGACGAGTTTACGTATACGTCCTTTGACGAGCCCGACCAGACGCCCAAGCGCATCGACTTTCTGTTCGTCCAGAAGCCCGGCCACATCCGCTTCCCAACATTTTCCGTGCTGGCCAACCGCTTCGATGACGGCGTCTTCCTGTCTGACCACAGGGCCGTCGTCGCCGACATCGAGATCCCTGTCAGCAGCACTGCCAGCAGCAGACCCTAGTCGGGCTACTCGTGCAAAAGAGCCTCGTCGATGCTTGGCAAAGCTCGCCTCAAATCCCTGTCCATGAAGACATGTGTCGTCCATTCCGGGCAATCACTGCGCCCGGCAGCACCCTATCGCAGTCTCATCGAGACCCAGGAAACTACGAGGACAAGGCGAACTGCAGACGGTCGTTGCCCTGCATTTAGATTCTGCTTACCTTGGCCAGGCCCTAAGCCCAGAATGGAGGTCTCGATGGGAGATCTCTTCGGTGTCTTGGTACAGATGACCACCAGTCTTACATGGCACGATGCGAGGAGAGGGAGGGGGGACAATACTCTTTCCAAACAAGGAAGAATGGCGGGGGAAAAGCGCTGGGGTGACGAGGCAAACCGGTTTGGCCGTTGCAAGCTAACCATGCTGGCCACAGCACGCAGCAGACGGACAGCTGCGCACCCGAGGGGCGTAGGCAGACTGAGCACGTCTCTGGGAAAAGGAAGTGGACGCGTTGTGTACATAGTATGGTGACTTTGGGTGGCTTGGGCATGCCGCTATTCCGACTTCCGACTTGCATCCACCCGACACGGCCGCCTCTTTGTCTTCCTTCTGTGCAGATGAATAGCCGTGGAGATGGGGGAAAAGGCGGTGAGTCCAACTAGCGCTGCTGCATGCTGCTGTCTACAGACTCATGTACAACGAGGACAACGATACGTACGACGTAGCAATGAGAGGCTGCCGTGCTCTGATGCTACCATGTATACATACTAGTGTGCTCCGTCTGCGGCTCTCCAGTCTCTTCCATCATATATAGTAGCCACCATCGTGGCTCGTGCGCTCAGTGGATGCTCTGGCTCCAAGATGACGAGATGGGCCAATATGGGTCAAGATGGGTCAAGATGGACCAGATGGGGCAGATGGGGCGGGCAGATGGAGAACGGATCAGGCTGGGGCCCGATGATCGATGGGCGACAAGCCATATGGGGTCCGTGGACTAGACAGCATGTCTTTGCCTGGTGTGGCGAAATGGCGGCCGTGCTGCTACGATGTGCTATCTTACATTGTCCCAGCCTTGCATGACGTCTCTGTAAATTCTTCCAGCACATCTTCCTCTACGCCCTGATTCGGACCTGCCTGATATGTCCACGGATAGACCGGACCCGCATGCGTTAGTGAGTCACTTACTAGCTCTCTGCCGTGTCTCTTCTGCTTTCCTTCTTTCTTCTCCTGTCCGCTCCGTGCTTTCCCACTGCGCTTCCGCAACACTGACGCCGTCCTGTGAATGTGCGAATACGGTCCGTCGTCCTCTGTGCTCTACTACGTAGCCCCAGCGTAATTTCACCCGCAGCTTTTACCCCCGTTAGCGCCAGCTAAATTCACCACGAGCAGCAACAAGTGCCCATTTCACCCTGGTGTTACATTTGTGTCCAACCATCCTAACCAGAGAGGCCGCATAATACTTACTAAGCTGCAGCTAGACAAGCGGCGAATTTCATGCTGTTCTTGTGTCCTTGTCACCACTGTCTTTCTCAGTCATGCATGTCGCAATATTTCATCGCTCCGCAGACCTGCGTCCACCCGTCCCACCCACCTTATATGATGGTGTCGTCTCCCTCCATCAGTGTGTCACAATACGAGCGCGCACACACCCACCTGCTTTCTACGAGCATATGAGCGCCATCGCAACTCATGGGAGAGCTTGATTCGTTTTCGTCAAACATCGGCTCCTGCTGGCTTGCGTTCATGATATGGTCCGCCTGAGCACTTTTGCCTGTCGAAAAAAATGGCCGGAATCTCCCACAATGCCACAGCGGCGCGCCTGCCGTAGTTGTCCTCTATCATTCAGCCTCTGTCCTAATCTCTTGTCATCAAACTGTTTGTTTAGCGTGACATCGGCTCCTCATCGCCGTCGTTGAGGGGGGGGTATAGCAACGCCTCAGATATCGGGCTCCGGCCAACAAGAAGGCAGCAATGCGAAGAGCACAGCCCAGTCGAAACCGGAAGAAAGTGGAGATGAAACGAGAGATAATGTAGTCGAGTGGCAGCTGGAGAGCCGAGATAGGAGGACCATTAGTAGATGTTTCCCCAGGCAGCGGCGTGAGCCTGCTTTTTTTTTTTCGTATTTTTTCTCCCTGCTCCGCTTCGCATACCTTTCAAACTGCGATGCAGGCAAAACGCGGTCCCAGCGCCCCGTAGTGTCGTGCGATTCTGACTACCGACATGTGAACAACTCTGCAGCTGAGACGTCGAGAGATATCTTGCAACTCAGCCGGAAATGGGCGGTCGCATTATTTCTCTCTGCCTCCCGTGGTGGTGCCTAGTGACCATGTCTCTCTTGTTAGCATCTACATCGGGTCCGGCTGGCGGGCTTGCTAGCCACACTGATGGTTGCCGTTGTAACGAATACATAGTACCGTTGTCCCGTAGAGCCTGGCCGTCCTACAAGAGTTGGCGAAAACAGGATGGTGCGGCTTTGCTTCAATATGCGTCTTAGCTGCATCCCAGCGGCCACAGTCGCCAATGAGAGACGTCTCGTGCTGTGCATGAGGGGAGGAGCTGCCCGCATGGTCGCAGCTTCTATCGGGGCAGCCCTCTAGGTAAACTCGCCGCCACTGCTGCCTGGAAACCAGACAACCGAGAAACCATGGCATATTTGGTCATTTTAAAGAGAAAATAAGGGACGCAAGCCGACACCGGGTAGGATACATAAGAACACGACGCCGCCATTATCGAGCCCCCAGGCCTTTGCCTTTTGCGCCGTCCTCGATCCAAGGAAACCTTTCTAACTCTCACAGCTCTCGAACCTTCCAGCATAATCTCTGTTTCTCTGTCTGTTTTTTCCTTCTTTCTTTTCCCGACATCTTTCGTGTCTGGTGCTCTGCTTCAGACCAACAATACACGCCCAAGACTTACGAATATTGTCTGGCCCAGCTTGACCCACTCGCCGACAGTTGGGCACGAAGAGGGTCTGGCAAACGGTGGAACAACGGTGGTGAGTGGATAGAGCGTGCCCATCTTGTTTTTCCCAAGGCCTTTGCGATCGCCTCTCGTCCGTCGAGCACGTTATATGCGCTCGCATATTTGGCAGCAGCCAACGCGGACGCCGGCTCCGTCTCTGTGATCAACCCTGCAGGCGTTCCGTTTTCTTGCTATCTCACGAGCCCACACCCCCTTCCGTTCGGGTTGTCTTGTCTTCGTCTTCTCCGCTCACTCGCCCCGAACATTGACAGCCAAACGATCTCGCAGGCCTAGTTAGCCAAGCCGCGTTGGGCTTTGACTGCATCGGTCAATTCTTACTCCCAAAGTCAGCCCTTGCCCAACTTGCAGCCCTCTTGGGACCTATTCCGCTCAATTCCGTGTGCGACTGTCCCGGCTGCCGTGGAAACTACGCCCAGCTGGATGTACAACACAGGCCAACACCCGTCAGCTATTCGGCAACGTTGGCTGGCTAGAAGAAGAAAAAACGCCCGGTCAGACCACGTTCTGCTGGATCTTAGCACCACCGTCTTCAATCACGCGGGCACATTTCCCCATACTCCGTACTCCAGCGGGCATTCCATTGCCAAGTGCCCTGTACTTCGTTTGCCACTATCGCTATCGATAAGCAACGGCCTGCAACTTGGCAGCTATCTGACGGCCAGAGCAAACAGTCCAGCACTGCTAGCTAGCTTTCAACCCACACCCCTCCTCTGTCGCGCCTGCTCAACCTGGTTCCACTGTCTCACGCCTCACTTCTTGCCCACGTCTTCCTTGTCCCCTGCCATTGCGCTCTTTCTTTGCTTCCCATCCTCGCTTTACGTCGTATGTCGTTCGTTCGACAGACACCCCACCCCCATCCCCACCTCAAACGTTTATTTCTTGCTCAACCTCAGTGGCGGGCCTCCTCTCCGTCTGCCGTTTGTCTCAGTTCAGTCCTCCTTGTCTGGCGTGGCCCTCGTTCCACCACACCCCCCCTCCTTCCTGCACACACTCAAGACTAATCCAGTGGAGGTCATTCAGACTGGGGAAAAAAAGAAATTAAAAAGAAGAACCCAAAAGTAACAACCTCGTCACTGGTGCTGCTCCTCCCCTTCTGCCTTTTGTTCTTATTAAATATCCCGGAGCCCATACTTTTCGCTCGTTCCCCCATATTTCGTTTTCCCCTCCCTTTCATTTTCAGATTTGAATATCTGCAATCCGCTCCAGCCGGTTTGCCTACAACCCTTCTCCTCTGCTTGCGCAGGTTGGGCTTCTACGGCCTATACGACGCAACGCATATATTTCTACCCTTCCTGGCGCCCTCTTGGGACGTCGGATCACATCCACACTCGTCGCTTCGACGAACAAGCATCTGTGGAAAAACGTCAGACGGCTGCTAGTTTGTCAATCATTTACGCTCAGCGTTCGCCATTCGACTTTCACCTTTCCCTCCGGCACCGCCTGTCGCCCTTGATAGCGCTGTTCTTCACCCGCCATTTTTTCACCTCCTCTGCGATCCGGCATCAGCAACCTCACGCTGCCACATTCCTAACACAGCCTGTTCCCACACGTCTGCATATCGGGAAACAGGCAAAATCCCCACCTTTTGACAACGGCTTTGCCGTCACCGCCACCCCCTCCTCAGGCTGCTCACCGCCATGTCTAGGAGGAACACTCAATCGTCAAGAGTAGCTTATATGGAAGAGGAGGACGACTCCGGAAAAGTTATTGGTGTCACATACGCTGCGTCTGCTGCTCCCAGCTCCAACAAGGAAAGAATGAACACAGGAAAATCACGCCGAGGCGAGTCGCCTGGCCCAGTCCACGGCCACAACGACTCGGACTCGACTGCCCATGCCCGACGTGGCTCGAGGTCAAAGCCCTCGCGAGAGCGCGATCGGTCTATTCCACCAGTAAAGAAGGCTGTCACTCTGGCATCGCGGCCTTCCACGAGGCACTCGAGGACTGCACCCGACATGGAGACCGGACACCACCACAGACGCTCCAGAGACGAGGCCGAATACTACGGTATTGATCCCGACTCCATCACGTCGACATCCTCCCGCCCTCGCTCAAAAACTGCTGCCCCAAGGCCAAGCTACCCTGGATTTACACGCCCGCCTGTCTCCAACTCGAGATACCACCAAATGGGACCGTCACCGCCGCAGTATCAGCCGCCGCCGCAGTTTCAAACGCCGCAGTTTCAGCCGCCGCCGCAGTTTCAGCAGCCGCCGCCTCCCATACAACCGTCCTACGGAGCCGGCCCACCACTAAAGCCGCCCTCCCAGGCCCCACTACCCTGGCACCGCCCCCCCCCCTCTCGGTACGCTCCGATGGGACCGCCGCCACCCATGTCGCTACCGTCTGCCACTGGCCAGTATCCTGAATCTATCTCCAGACCACAGAGTCTTCAGCAGCGATTCGATCTGCCTCGACCTCAGACTTCTTTTGGACACCGTCCGCCGCACTCAGCTGAATACACCCCTCCTGATGGATACTATCCCGAAGAGAGACAACAGCTTCCCGACATGCGCCGCCTATCTCTTTCTGCTGCACGTCCTAATTCGGCACGGCTGCCTCCTCAGGATTCTCCGTTTGCGCCGCCTCTCCATGCGCCGCCAAGGTCCCAGCAGATCACTGAGTATCACCAATACGCAGACGAACCATACGACGATGAAAGTGTGTTTCAAGACTCGGCATCTTCCTACTACGACCTTCCTTCCACAAACTATGTGCCGCGCAGGCGACGGCCCAGCGTTGGTCCTACGACTGTTGGTTACGATTCGAGGGCCTATGGCGCAGAGGCTCCGCGCTCTACCGGCGGCCGCCGCGATTCTCTCTATTCGGTACGATCTGTTTCGGGAGCTGGTCTCGATGATAAGATTCGCCAAGCCAGCTCGTACCAGGAAGAAGTCAGTGGCGGTGTGCGGCTCACGGCCGCGACACTAGATGAGGCGAACAGGGTCGGTGGGCCTCGCAGCCGGTCGACGCGCAGCTCTGGCAGCCGAGATGAAAGCGACTGGCGCAATCCGTCGGCGACGACGAGGACTACACGATCGAGCGCTGCCGAAGACGACCGCACCATGAAGGTCAGAGGCCCAGCCTTTATCAGGATGGGAGAGACCGAAGTGCAGTGCGAGATGGGTGCAGAGGTGGATATCACGCCGAGTGGCATCACAGGCAGACGCAGCGAGAGGAACAACTACATCGAGGCAGATGACCACCGAAGTAGGTTTGACCGGCCCGCTCTGCGCAATCGTGCTGCCTCGCAGGCCGCTTCGTACGCCCAGCATGCGATAGCACCGTACGAGTATTCCTACGGTAACGGGCTTGATTACGCTCGACTGCCATACAACCATTAATTCTTCGGCAACTATGATCTGGACAGCTGGGCAGCGTGACGACGCAGGGCGAGCGACCGAAACGTTGATGATGATGACAATTAATGCGAAACGAACTGCTCTGGTTATCTGGATCGTGCTTGAATCCTTGGGGAATGATGTCTTACGTTCTCTCTATACCTGTCTCTCTACCTACCCTTATCAACCTCTGCTTTTGTCTATCTCTCATTCTTCTGAAATCTTGCCACGTGCATTTCTTTCTGGTCTACCAAGCGAGCGCATGAACGAGCAATGATTTGCTTCTTAGCGGATCTGGCGGTGTAGATGTCATGATACATCATCTCATCCGACCTCCCTTTTTTTTCATCAAGAACTATTACTGTCCTTTTGTGTTCTCGTTGTGTTGATGTTACATTGGAAAAGTTTGGATATACTTCAATACTTCCGGTGTGAATATAGAGCAGGGAAGCGAAAAGCAACTGGTTTGCGTTGTGGTTTTATTGTTCGCCATCTCGTTATATTTTATATCAAGGTTTATACATGGCGACACGCTGAACGCCGAAAGGCGCCGTGACCTCAATGGCTAGCGATGTTGAAGAGGCACTCTTCTGTCTCGCCAACAGCACAACCCACCATTGCGACTTGTCAAAAATATTTCGTGGTCTCCCCTTCACGCTCTGTTGTTTAGGATACCCTTCGGAAAATACTGGACCCTTCTATGCGTTTTGTTTTCTAACTACCCATATTGTGTTTCTGAAATGGGTCTATGTGATGTATGCATGTTACTTATTGTCTGTACTTTTTGTCAACCGGCGCTGGCCTTCGCTGGCTTCTGAATATTTGCTTTGTCCGGTACCTAGCACCTCGGGTTATCATCGCTCTGATATCAGCCCCATGTACTATGGAGAAGAGAGTGTATTTTGAAGTTGATTTATCTATTTTCAGTGCCAACGTGACTACTTCTCCATGTTGTCTCACATCGACAGCTATAGCTAACAATGAAGACTAGCAAGCCGTACTCGTATTTAAGATGCATACTAGTACCACGCCTGGGGTGGGCGTTTACCTGTCAGAAAACACCTCCTATCCCTTCAACAGACGCTGATCTCATTTGTATACGGAGTACGAATAGGGGCTTGTCATGCGCCTGGTGCTAATTCCCGCACCAGTGTTTAACTTTGCCCAGGTCACGTCCGAAGGAACAACTATTGCACTCAGTACAAGGTGATGCCATTGAATGCTTAGCTTGCCGCCTAGCCCTTTAAGGCAATCCCATGGTTGATACGGCGATGAAACGTAGCGAAAAGGCGGAGGTCTGGTGGCGGCAAAGAAGAGGGGGAAAATAAGACAGATAATATGAGGCACTCGTGTAAATGATCACACACGAAGAAAGATCACGTACGGTGTTGCGGGTTTTATCGTAACGAGAAAGCGGCCTTGTCACTAGCTTTGATGCTCCGTTATTGTGCCTATGGCGATACTTGCTCAAGGTTGGTAAGATATACCTTACATACGGCGTACGAAGTATACAGGTGTAGACTGTAGCACGATATGAAACGGTACTTTGGCTTCCATATCAACGTGGCGTAGTTTGTCCAAGTCCGTTGCTGGGTTACCGATATGTAAACATACGTCACATCCCCCGCCAATGAGATTATCTACTGCGATAACACACTCATCTGGGATACGGCGTACATATGTACATAGCGATGCAACAAGTACATATCTCCACATAAATGGTATCGGCGGCGAGACCGATTACCAATGAATGAATTTGAGGCAGACTGTTATGAAGGTATGTAAGATACTCCGTACTAGAGCAAGTTTTGCTGCTTTCTTGCTTGGGAGAGTGCTCCGTAAGATACAGTAGTCAACCTCGCAAGATACGCCATTTTTTAAGCTTCTCATAAGCGCCGCATCCACAGTAAGATACGACACAGGGTGTCCTTCGTCCCAGCCCCGTCAGTTTTCCTGTTTCCGGGGTAACCAAGTATGACTGCGCCAACCGCCTTTCCCGAACATACGACGTACATTGACTGTCTGCATCTCCTCCTTCCATTCTACTGCACCTTTTCTTGACAACATCAGCAATCGACCGGCCTCAGATTCTCGGCCAGAACCTCCCTATCTAGACTCTCGGTCTCCTGCTGGGATCGACACGTACAGCACCTAGCCTGTCACCACTTTCATTCCTGGCCTTTACGGCCTGACAATTTTGCGAGCCACTCTGGCGTAGCACGCCGCCAGAGAACTGTTAGGACACATTCCGAAGCTTGCAAACATCACACATTCTAAAACACCGACGCAAGACACATTTCAGCTTACCAGCATGGCGCCTACTCGTGTTTACCATTTCATTTCCAAGCCAGCGGTTCGGCCCGCTGATGTCCATGCCAATGGCGTCTTGGCTAGAGGTCCCGTTGTAGCCAGAACTGTTCTCTCTGCTCGCGACGCGACCATCGACCCAACCGTCGGCACAATCAGTCCACACAGCATCAACAACACTGGCATGTTTGTGCTGTTCGGTATCCTGGGAGCCGCCATCTGCGTCGGAATCATCTGGTTTTTCTTCTGGGCTAGGAACGGAGGATTCCACTTCCGGGAGGATGACTGGGACGACTACAAGTCAACTGTTCTCCGGCGGAAGGGTCCCAACGGCACCATCCTGTCGAATGCTACGAAGAGCACTAAACTGGGTGGAGGGAGCGTTTACAAGGATGCCGCCGACTATGCGGACGATACGACGACGGTGATCACCGCATCCTCGGGGTCGACCGACTTGTCGGGCGTAACGGCTGGGGCCAGTGACATTGCCGGCCGTGAAAGGCGGCGCAAGAAGCAAGAGCAGCGTGAGCGCGAGAAGGAGAAGGAGAGGGAACGTCGGCGGGTAGAGAAGGCACGAGACAAAAAGGACAAGAAGAGCAAGAAGGAACGTTCACGGCGCCAGGTCAACGAGGAGGGTGTTCTGATTGACGAGAACGCCGAGGCCGAAGCGAAGGCGCAACTGCGGAACTACCGGAACGAAAAGGCGGCACGCGTGGGCGGCATCAACCGCGAGAGCGACTCGTCTGTCTGGGATGGATCCACGATCCCGGGCAGCTCGACGGTCGGGACAGAGAGCACGGTCACGTCTGAGCTGATAAGCCACCGCGAGGTGACGCCGACCAGCTCGCCGACGAAGAAGAAGAGGAGCAGTGTGCCGCCAACCAGCAGCGGCGGTGGCATCCGAAAGGTCTACAGTACGGCCGACCGTAACGAGGTGCGCGAGAACGAGCGCATCCGCCGTGAAGCCAGACGTCTGGAGCGGGAGCGCGAGCGTGAAAGGGAGCGTGAACGGGAGCGTGAACGGGAACGGGAACGAGAGCGTGAGCGTGAGCGTGCAGCGCCCGGCCGCCGTGACTTCAGCTGGCAGCACGGAGAAGATGCCGTCACACACCTGCGCCGGATCGAGGAGGGTCCGCACGACGACGACATCACATCCGATGTTCCTGGCGCTTGGCAAGACAACATGACAGAGAGCGATCTCGGCACCAAGGCCTACCACCACTTTATTCCAGGCCTGTCGAACAACGGGTCGGCCGTGGAGGAAGACGAGGCAGAGTACGATCGGCGAAAGGATCGCCGCAGCCGCAATGGGTTCCGGCGCTGAGCGTTGCAAGAATAGGATGATATGCTCGCGGATGTCAGACATGGAGCAGAGTCTGACAGAGTCTGACAAAGCCGGGTTCTCTCCTGACCGTCCAGCTGTCTTGCGGTGATGAATGTGTGTGATTAGCGGCGTTATACGATGAACGAGACGGACTGATGTTTCTAATACTAGCACAGATGACCAGTAGTATGAATGTAACAACCAATCTAGTTGTGTTGACAACTAAAGATGACATCATTCGATGCAGTAGAGCAACAGCGTTCGATATCTCTGACGTGGTAAAGTCACTAGGCACAAAGTCCGGTTGCACTCTGATTTCTAAGCATGCATTGGCATTCGGGTAGATTAGTTATTCAATAGGCCGGCCTGGACAGAGGTTCAGGAATACTACTTGTATTATAAAGCGAACCAACATCGAGCTCGGCAGATAAAAGAGTCAAAAGTAAGCAAGCAGCTGCCGGAAAGCAAAGCCATTGCGACAGAGACATTCCAAATCGCGACAAATGCTTACTAGACTAGCCTCACAACTCAGAACCATGGCAGCCAGCTCAGACATCCACTTGTACACTGCTCAGACGCCCAATGGCATCAAGGCGTCCATCCTACTGGAGGAGCTGGGTCTGCCATACAAGGTGAGCTGTGTTCTGCTTGGCAAAGAAGGCCTCATCGCCTATTCTAATCACAAGACGATCAGGTGACGGCAGTCGACATAAGCAAGAATGTCCAGAAGGAGCCATGGTTTCTCGCGATCAACCCCAACGGCCGCATCCCTGCTATGACGGACAAGTTCACCGATGGCTCGATTATCCGCCTCTTTGAGAGCGGCTCCATCCTCCAGTACCTGGTGGATCGCTATGACACTGAGCACAAGGTCTCATACCCCCAAGGTTCCAAGGAATACTACGAAGTGAACAACTGGGTAGGTCTGCCCCTCCGCTTGAAGAGAGGGGTCTGTACACTAACAGATCACACAGCTCTTCTGGCAGATGGGAGGTCTAGGACCCATGCAGGGCCAGGCCAACCATTTCTCCCGTGAGTGACGAGTCTGGATGAGGTGGAAGTAGTATGGTGTGCGGCTGACAACTTTTCCATAGGCTATGCCCCTGAGAAGATCCAGTATGGTATTGACAGGTGAGTGCCATTCCAATTGCACCCGTTTTTTGCCTGGTCTCCGATTTTGACCGTCTCCCCCACAGATACCGAAATGAGACTCGACGCTTGTATCATGTTCTCGACACCCATCTTCTAGCATCCAAGTCTGGCTTTATTGTTGGTGACAGACTGACCATTGCCGACATCAGTTGTTGGGGTTGGGTAGCTAGCCATCGTATGTCACTCCTTTTCATGTCGAATCAGCTTCCTTACTGACAAGTGCAACTAGACTGGGCTGGCATCGAGCTCGACGATATGCCCTCACTGAAGGCTTGGCTCCAGAAGCTGCTGCTTCGGCCAGGCCTAGAGAAGGGGCGCCACGTGCCAAGTCCCCACACTGTATTGGAAATGGCAAGTCTCTCGGAGAAGGAGTTGGAGGAGAAGGCTGCAGCCGGACGTTCGTGGGTTCAACAGGGAATGGCCGAAGATGCAAAGAAATGAACGACTTCTCTCTAGTGACGCATTTCCACTCGTACGTAGGCAATACCAGACGATAAATCACACTGTATGAAAACTTTAAGCACAATAAATAAGTAGGACTTTGAAGCGTGGCAACTTGTGAATGCTGGTGCTAAGTAAGAAGTTAAACACGTGACCTCCAAACAACAATTTTTAAGAGGCGAACTTCAACCTCTTTTTCAGAAAGTCCTCTCTTCCACCTCAACCTCTCCGTGTCTCGCAAAACAACCACATATTCGCCAACCCAACATCCGACTTTCAAGATGGCTTGGCGGAATCAAGGAATCACGGGCTCGAACAATATCCCTTTGGGGAAGATGCGCCGCTTTGGCGCCGACGCGTCGCCCGAGGACGACCGCCATGGCAGCAGCCGCGCCAGCGAACGTCCCAGCGAAGACCACGATCTGAAGCGCGGTCGCAGCCCCGAGCCGCGTAAGCTCCCAGCCTGTTTCCATTGCATCGTCGAAAGTCCTTTATGCTTTTGCCCTAAAACTAACTTGCGCGTTGCAGGCATCGACGCGGACGGAACGCGCCGACGCAGAAAGCGAAATCGTTGGGGCGAGGCATCGGACAACAAAGCGGCCGGCTTGATGGGCCTCCCGACTGCTATCCTGGCGAACATGACAAGCGAGCAGCTCGAGGCTTACACCGTCCACCTGCGTATCGAGGAGATCACGCAGAAGCTCAAGATCGATGATGTTGTGCCTGCGGAAGGAGACCGGTGAGCATCTGCCCCTTTCTTCGTCGGCTGTCTGAAGTGTTGCTAACGCGTGTTTCTCCTCTGTCCAGGTCGCCGTCTCCTCCTCCTCAGTACGACAACCACGGTCGTCGCATTAACACCAGGGAGTACCGATACAGAAAACGCCTCGAGGAAGAACGCCACAAGCTGGTGGAAAAGGCGTCCAAGATCTTCCCCAACTACCACCCTCCCCAGGACTACCGTCGGCCCACCAAGACCCAAGAGAAGGTCTATGTGCCTGTGAACGACTACCCGGAAATCAACTTCAGTATGATAGCTAATCCTCTAACCTTTCTAACCCCCTCTCCCCCTCCCTTTTGTGCGCGTCGATTCTCTATGGTAATGCTAGGCGCGTTAATACTTGCATGTTCTCCATGCAAGCCATTTCTGTGCTGAGATGACACCTAACCCAATCTAACGCTGCTTTGCCTACACGATATAAATGACCGGATACTAACACTAACCTTTACTACTACTAAAGTCGGGTTACTCATTGGCCCTAGAGGTAACACATTGAAGAAAATGGAGTCCGAGTCAGGAGCGAAAATCGCCATTCGTGGAAAGGGCTCGGTCAAGGAAGGCAAAGGTACTTGGCGTCCGCGGTTCGGAGCCCCACGCCGGGCGCGTTTTAGGCATACGGAATACGTGCTGACCGGATATACGATAGGTCGATCGGATGCTGCCCACTCGAGCAACCAGGAGGAAGACCTTCATTGCCTGATCATGGCCGATACGGAGGAGAAGGTGGAGAAGGCCAAGGCGCTCATCCACAACGTCATTGAAACGGTGAGTCAGGAGTCTGCTTTCCTCTTCGTCAACAAGTGCAAAGTGACTGACAGGACCACACAGGCCGCCTCCATTCCAGAAGGTCAAAACGAGCTGAAGCGTAAGCAGCTGCGCGAACTAGCAACGCTGAACGGTACTCTGCGTGATGACGAAAACCAAGCCTGCCAGAATTGTGGACAGATTGGCCATCGCAAATACGACTGCCCCGAGAAGCAAAATTTTACAAACATCATAATATGCCGCGTGTGTGGCAATGCAGGACATATGGCTCGAGACTGTCCCGAGCGTGCCAGAGGGACGAACTGGCGCAACGATGGGCCGCCTGTACGCCCTGCCGGCCGGCTGGGCCCCAGCAGTGGCGGAGATGTCGTCGACCGCGAGTACGAGGTGAGTTGTCCCCCGACGTCATGTGTGCACACACCAAAAAGGCCTGTACTAACGAGTGCTTGCAGCAACTCATGCAAGAGATTGGAGGTGGCTCGAGCGCACCAGCACGGATCGAAGCCGGCCCTGGGTCTGCCGGCAACGGAGACGGCAAGCCGTGGCAGCGAGGCCCAACAGGTGGACCGGCTCCTTGGCGACGAAGCAACGGCCGCGACTCCGAGGGTGGTCCTGGCGGTCCCGGAGGGCCTGGCGGATCTGGCGGTCCTGCCCCATGGGCCCGTGATCGCGGCTACCGATCCAACGACAACCGCAACGGCGGCGACTACAACGGCGGCGGATCTGGAGGTGGATCTGGAGGCTATGGAGGCGAAGCGAACGGCGGAGGAAACGGCGGTGCTGCGCCCGGCCTTGCTCCGTGGCATCAGGCTCCAGGAGCCCAGTCTTATCCTGGCTACTCCAGCTATGGTGCTCCGCCTCCTCCTCCTGGCATGGGTCCCCCTCCTGGACTTGCCCCTGCCGGGCTTCCTCCGCCACCTGGTGCTCCCGGGTTGGGTCCTTCTGCCGGAGTTGCGAATGGTCTTAACGCTCTTATTCAGCAGTATTCTGGTTCAGGCGGACCTCAGCCACCACCTCCTCCTCCGCCAGGCGACGCTCCCCCGCCTCCTCCCAGCGATTTACCTCCTCCACCGCCTCCTCCTGGGGCTTAGACGGCCTGACTGGGAGTGCCGGGTTACTAACGCTAACGGACAACTGACAAAGAGGCTCAAGACGCTTACCCTGTATTATCATTTTGTCATTCAGGACCTTTGCTTCTTTCTTTTTTTTCTTGCCTCTGTTTTCCGGCTTTCCTTTCTCTGACTGGCCGCCTCCGCCTCCGTTCCAGACGGATGTTTTTTTGGAGGCTGTACACACTGCTGAGACCTCGATTCGCCGAATGCTATGTTACACTAATTGTAGGAAAACAAAACTCAAGGGAGACCTTGAGATGCGTTTGAGCCAATGGGCTTTCAGGCCCAGTCGCAAGTAGTTCTAATCAGATGTTTTGCTCTTGACCTGAGGCCGAAGTTACTCGTGTGATACTGTTTCATTGCAGGGAGGGGTCAAATGGATAGTCACGCTTGGACCAACAAAGAAAGACATCACACGGTGTTCCGTATTCCGTGAATGTCTTGGCTTACGTAACCGAAGCCTTCCGCGGGGACCGTATTACGGAGTAGATATAGCAACGGCGCGCTGACGTGTAATGTGCTCCATAGACACTTCCCTCGCTCAAGCTCCTGGAACTTGGACTTGGCCAGCAGCGCCTTCCTCTCGGCTCTCTTCTTCGCTGACTACAATGTTTCTCCCCAACCCCTTTGCCTTTCGGCCGGCCCAGGTGACCTTCTGGACGACCATCACGTATCTAGCTCTGCTCGTGCCTATCATTTATCTCCAAGAGGCCGTCCCGGGCGCACCAGCAGAGTCGGCTCTGCCGCGGGGAATCAGCCTGTCGGAAGCATGGGCCGACCTGGCTAACCTGACCGGAGCCTACCATCCGGCGAACAGCCATGCGAACGAGCTTGTTCGCAACTTTCTCATCCAGCGGATCCGCGAGATCCTCGACGACAACGGCGTGACCTGGACCACACAGGAGGACCGTGTCGGGTAAGCAGGAGCACAAGCGATTTATGTTTTGTCTGGCAGGGTTGCTAACGCTGTCATGTCATGCGTGTCTCAGCAATGCTGCTTCCCCGACAGAAATCTCGGCGTCACGTGCCGGTGCTGGTGTGGATGCGGTTCTTTTTGACGACATGCGAGCCAACGTGACGTATACCAGCAGCGGCTCCGACGGGACGCGGTCGGTGATGTACTATGAAGGCACGAATGTGTATGTCTACGTCCGTGGCACAGACGATGCGCCCGGCGAGTGGTGGCAGCCGGGAGCCGAAGCTGGGCCCTCGGCGAAGCAACTTGTGCTGGTGAATGCGCACTACGACGCCGTGTCGTCCAGCTTTGGGGCCACCGACGATGGCGTCGGCGTGGTCACGTCGCTGCAGCTGCTGCGCTACTTCACGACACCGGGGCACCAGCCGCGGCGTGGCATCGTCGTGCTGCTCAACAATGCCGAGGAGGACTTTCTGCTGGGCGCGAGCGCCTTTGTCAACAGCCCGCTGGCGCCGTTTATCGGCTCGTTTGTCAACCTGGAGGGTGCCGGTGCCGGCGGCAAGGCGATGCTCTTCCGCTCGACCGACCTGGAGGTCGTCAGCGCCTACAGGCGAAGCCCGCATCCGTTTGCGTCCGTGGTCGCCAGCGACAGCTTCAAGTCCGGCCTGATCCGCAGCGAGACCGACTACCGCATCTGGGTGGACGTGCTGGGCTACCGCGGCCTCGACATTGCCTTTTTCCGGCCCCGTGCCCGATACCACACCACGCAGGACAACCGCAGACACACGTCCAGGAACAGCGTCTGGCACATGCTCTCCAGCGCGCTGGCGTCCATGCAGGGCCTCTCGGGCGATCTGGGCGGCCGGGTCGACTCGCACAGGACCGTCGGCGTCTGGTTCGACCTGTTCGGCAACAGCCTGGTTCTGTTTGCCCTCCGCGGCCTCTTTGCATGGTCACTGACCATCCTCATCGTCTCGCCCCTGGTTCTGGCTCTCGTCTTTTACGTGCTCTACAGAGCTGACAAGGACTATCTGTTTAGGGCGTCCGTCTCGGTCGGACTGATGGAAGAGGCTGCCGAGAAGGTGCCTCTTGATGGGTGGAAGGGCTTTTCTCGCTTCCCTCTTGCTCTCGTTGTGGCTGAGGCATTCGTCCTTGGCGCCGCTCTCCTCATCAAGAAGGTCCAGCCCTTTATCATCTATAGCAGCCTATATGCAGTGTGAGTCTCCCCACTTCTTCACCTTCCCGTGTCTTATAAATGTTCTGACATGTTGCGGTGACAGGCTGGCCCTGATGACCTCGCTTTTTTACTGCGTCTTCTGGTTTGTCATGCGAGGTGCCGACGCTTCACGGCCGTCGGCGTTTCATCGGACGTATTCTCTTATTTGGCTTTACGTTCTCACATGGCCTCTTCTGGTTTATACCGCCGTCGTGGAGGACCAGAAAAAAATAGCGTCGGGTTATATTGTCGCATTCTGGGCCTCGAGTGTCTTTGTCGCTACCGTCGTCTCCTTGCTGGAGAACCTGAGTCTCCAGAAGAAAGGAGCTTATGCGGAAGGAATTGTTGGCGTGGCAGACGCAGATATTTCAGGCTCAAACCCTGCCGAAGACGTCGGTTTGATTGCCCCGGGTCCGGAAGAAGCTGAAGATGGGTCGCCCGTCCACGAAACAACGGATGACGATGACGAGATCCCTACAGAAGCGAGTCCTCTCATCGGTGGCAATGCCAGAAACGGCCGTCCGACAACGTTTGCCACGAATTACCGACGATCTGTCACGGCCATATTGAATGCAAGACGTCATCATGCCGATGGAGAACGAAAGCCGCAGCCCTTTCCCTCAGAACAAGCATGGTCCGGTCGTCTTCCAACCTGGACTTGGCTTGTTCAGTTCCTGATCATTGGGCCGTTCACAATAATCATCACAGCGCAACAGGGTCTCGCCATTGCCTTGTCGGTGCAGCAGACAGGGACGGATGGCTCCAATTTGCTGACGCCGTATCTTCTCATCGCTTTCTTCACCACGTTTGTCTTCCTACCCATCACACCCTTCATCCATCGCGTCACTCGCCATATTCCGATATTCTTTGCCGTCATTTTTGTGGGCACGCTCGTATACTGCTTGTCTTCATTCCCATTTTCTCCTGCCAGCCCCTACAAAGTTTTCATCCGACAGACATTTTCGGCAGATACCGGGACAACATCCATCATCCTTACCGGTCACGAAGCTTATCTCCTAAAAATCAAGGCGGACCTTCCCTTCGCTGTGGGAAAGCCGTGGACGTGTTCGCCTTCTCGGGGACGGCAGACCGGCCTGGTTGACTGTGCCTTGGATGGCACTGGGCTCGAGCCGCACCTTGATGGAACGGAAACGCCCTTCTCGGATAACTATGCAAGACTCGTGACAATCAATGCCACGCGGTCGGAGTTGAAGAACAAAGCAACGATTGAGATCAACGCGGTAAACAGCAAGTCCTGTGCTTTGCACTTTGAAAAGCCATTCAAGCAGGTTTCTGTGCGTGATAGTGCAAACCTCGACACGCGCTTTCCCTGGGCACCCGGTGCCGAAGTATGGCCAATTACAGACGTCACGCTTTGGAGGAGAGATTGGGAGACGCCGTGGCTTGTGGACGTTGAGCTGGGCGACGACGACGCCGAGACAGTGGCATCAACTGTTTTCGGCTCTGTGGTATGCAGATGGGCTGACGTCAACACTCCTGGCACAGTCCCTGCGGTTGATGAGGCGTGGAAGTTTGCACCAAAGTGGTCAGTCGTGTCGATCAAGTCTAATCCGCCTCTCGTGGAGGGAACCAAAGGTTTCTCGGTGTGAGACAGGTGTGGCAACATCTTATTCGTTCCGTAATCGTATGTAATTGGTTTCTTTGTAATGAATCTCGATCTGTTTTTTCGAATGGTTGGCAACGATCCTTTCTGAAAAAAAAGGCGTTGTTCATGTCACCAGTCTTTTCTTATTCGGGAAGAATGCGGTACTGTCCACCTCTGAAGGTAAGAGCGACCCAACTTTCTGAGCCATGACTTTCCCCGTTGTCTCGGCAAATATTATAAATCATGATCGTCTTTCTTCACCTCTCTCTCCTATAATTTTATCTCTCTCACCACTGGTTATTCTACGGGCAGCAAATAAACAGCAACATCGATTCGCCACGTAAAACCAGCAATGAGAGTCTCGGGTTTTGTACGTGTTGCTGTGGCGGCAGCGACGCTGCCCATGTTCGTCTTGGGTTTCGTATCATACTCTAAGCCAAAGCTTGGGTCGATTCATGACTACACTACAGAAGCTGGTTCGCAGTTCAGCAACACGAGTTCAACTGCCGTGACTCCTTCAAAGACTAGTGCCGTCTATCCTATTGTCGGCTACAAGAAAGTGTTTTCCATTGCTAGCACACCACGATACTTTTCCTTGAACCAAACTTGGGAAAATAACCACAGTATAGGAAATATGGTATACATTCTCACGTTGTCGGTTGATTGCTTCTCTAATTGGTATCAATGAGCAGTCAATCTTCTTGCAACCCGGTAAGGATACCGCGGCTTATGGCAATTTCAAGTGCCAATTTTTCTGCAACGAAGCACCCCATTGTCTTTCTTTTCATGGCCAGTTTGGTGAGATTTTCTGAGATCAAAACCAAACTGCACATACATCACCCACTATATGTTGACACCTTTCTTTCTTAAGCCGAACTAAGGAACGATACTGAAAACTTTTTGTGCTCTCGGTTTGATGAATTGTAAGCGAGGCTGGAGAAGTCTGAAACGATGTGATTGACAATACGAGCCACCGCAACGTCCACTTTGAGACGCGGAGGGATGTAAAAAATAGTGGCTAATATGTCTTGTCAGCATCCACCCGCGCTTATACGTTCCAGCTCGCAACGGGTCCTATTTCCCTGTCGCTGGCTACAACAAGCTGGTATACGCGCCAACACCGAGAAACAGCCATCTTTGACATCCAGGCCGAACATCGCTCTTACCTAACAAATAGAAAATGGAAGGTCAACTTGAACTAAGAAAAACAGTATGGGATCAGACGTTCAATGGCTAAAAATGGAAAACAGAACATTGCCACAGGCCCTGATGTTACTATTATACCTGTATGCCAACCGCATCATTCTCGTTGCGAAAACTGACCCAAAACGCCGCCCCCCTTTGATGTAGCTCATATGTGCCAAGTACATGCTGCATCACATATCGATCTCCATATTTGCATCAGCTGCACCCGCTTTTGCCTCCCCTGTGTGCTTTAGGACAGCTCGCATTTTCGCCCACTGCTCCGCCTCCATGTCGCGGTCGACTTTGTTGCTACGGCTGTTGAGCCAGCCAACGTCTAGCCCCCCTATGTCGCCCACGCCATTGGGTTCTAGCGAGACACCAGCAGACTTGGACTCCTTCAGAGATATGATGCTAGCTTCCTCCAGTCCCCAGATCTGTCGCTTAAGCTGCACGTCGACCGAATGTAGAGTAGAAAGAAAAGAATCCATGGCCTCTTTGAAGGCAGCGACTTGCGTTTCGGTGTGGATTTCTGCCGGGTTGGCAAAGTCTTTAGGCGCCTCAGCTGGCTGGGCTTCCGATCCGGCAATAGGATAGGACAACGGCTTGAGAGCTTTGTTTGCGAGAGACAGAAGGGTCGTAATATCCTATATGAAGAAAGTATGGTCAACAATAAGAGCAGAAAAACCAACACAAGGAAAGATGTGCTCAAGAAAGAAGCACCCACATTATCGATGTCCGTTAGCTGCTGCAGTCGCTCTGCGAGAGTGAAAGGCTCCTGTATGCCATCCTTGGCTTCTCCAGACGCACCCCCAGATGGGGCACTCATCATCCGTAGCCTTGATGTTCCAAATTACTGGAACGTCGGTGGTGAAGCGGAGCAAAGTTGGCGGGGGAAGGACAATGCGAGTTCAGTTGCGACAAGACGTCGAAATATCACAGTGTTAATATAGTTATTTGTGCGCACATACTGTGCTATTGTGGTCCGTGCGCAACGCGCAGTCGCGATCGGTCCTGCTCAGAAATGCATCATCATGTAGCCAACCTCTTCTAGCCTGGATCAAGCCCATCAAACTGATGAAACGAAGCATCGCCGGCTGCGCTTCTCTCCGCGGCTCTTCTGATTTTGCGCTTCAGCACAACGAGGGGATACCGGGACAGCGAACAGAACCGAGCACCACGTCAATTTGGTTATTTCCTCGTGAAATGCCCTCAAGCCGACAAATCTGAAAACGCTAGGATTGTCAATGAAAGAGACGCAAGCTTCCCTGGACACGAAGTGACTGCAGACAGCTCTGCGAGATCCGGAATCATGTCTGCACCCAACCAGCACGGCGGCCAGCATGGCTCGGGGGTTGGGCCGTCGTCGGCTGCCACGGCAACTTCGCAAGCAACGTCGAATTCTCCTTCCGATCTGAACAAAATTGTACGTCATTGCGCTCGCGCCTGGCATTGCAAAAGGGCCATCCACCTACACCAATATTTGCCTCGCGTCCTTGCTATTTTCCTGCACATGTACTTTTACACATTCGTGGTTTCAACCCCTCTACTACCCAACTGATGTCCACCCCGCAAGGCTCACGCCGTGCAGAGCACGGTGGGCGGCAAGGACAAGGCGCCGCGGCCAGAAAAGTGCATACGTATGCGGAAGGGCGCACGATAGTACGTTTCTGATGGCACAGGACGCAGGCATCTGAAGTTTTTACCATGTTCAGCCCTGTCCTGTCTATGAAAGCTCATCCGTACTCACTTTCATGCTTGCTACTCTCCATGCTCCCTCAGCTCTGACTAGGCCCTACTTTATGCGGATACTGACCATCTTGTGCTGCAGGTCACAGACTATTTGCTGAAGAAAGGATTCACGAAAACCGAGGCAACATTCCGCAAGGAGTCTGCAGTTGTCAATGCTGACGGCCGGCCCGTTCGAAGGAGAGTCGACGACATGGGTCCCGAGCGCTACGGAAAAGCTTTTAAGCTGCTGAAGAACTGGATTGAGAATGGGCTGGATCTGTACAAGGTACGTCGACCGTCAGCAGCCAGACTACGGCCACGCGTAGACTGACGTCTTCGCAGTTTGAGCTTTGGAAGCTTTTGTGGCCTGTCTTTGTATACTCGTTTCTGGACTTGGTAGAGCAGAATTTCGTGCCAGAGTCCAAGGCGTTCCTCCTAGAGCGGAAGCCAGACTTCGAGGGCAATCACGCCGACGACCTCCGCACATTTGGCACAATCCAGCTGCCCGTCCACATCACGGAAAACCCGACGACCAGAACCTACCGGCAGAACAGATACCGAATTCCACTGAACCAGCATGTCAGCGGCCAGCTCTTCAGCTTCTTGGAGCGCCAGGAAGAGGCTGGTGGCAACGTGATCACACATATCCTACAGGCCCACTGCCAATTGGATTCTACTGCCCGCGGCCCCATCGAGCCATACAGCTTTGAGGCCATTGCACGTCGTGCTCAGAACATGGACCTGGACGAGGCAGACGCTCAGGAGGGCATTTCGGGTGTGTTTACGGGCGTCAGCAACCGGGATGTTCTCAGCGCGCATACGGCACTGAGACTGGGGCCGCTGCCGATGGAGTCCGACCTGCGGGAAGACGTTCGTGCGGAGCTCGAAGAACAAGACCAGCGGCAGCCGCCTGCTGTCGGTGTTCCGTCTCTGGTCTCGGAGTTTGACGCAAAGATCAAGCAGGAAGAGGGCGTGGACGGGCCTTCTCGTACCGACCTCCCGCTACCGCCATCGCGGGCAAGAGATGTTGTGATGGAGATGCAGAAGATTCGCGAAAACCGGGACCGTTTTCGCATTGATGACCACACTGGCGGTGTCGGGGTGCCAGTTTCGGTGTGCATGTTCACATTTCACAACACCAGTGGCAGGTAAGCCGATCCTTTTCTCCTTTATCGTCGTGTCGCAGGTCAAGCCACAGAATGCTGACGTTTATTGGCAACTCGGACAGCGTCTCATCCATGGCCTTCTCCAAGGACCACCGGCTTGTTGCTTATGGCACGATGGACTCGTACATCCGGGTCTGGAGCGTCGATGGCAAGGCGCTGAAGAGCAAGCTGATCGGAGATGAGGACAAGACAAACAACAGAAAGCTAGTGGGCCATTCCGGGCCGGTCTACGGCCTCTCCTTCTCCGACGCCGTGGCTGGGTTCAAGCACAATCCTTTTGACGAGAGGCAAGCCCCGCTAGAGACAGACTCGAAGCTGCTGCTGTCTAGTTCTGCTGACGGTACGGTGCGACTCTGGAGCCTGGATGTGTGGTCTTGTCTCTGCGTATACAAGTCTCACACCGGGCCTGTGTTCCGGGTGCTTTGGGGGCCACACGGTCATTATTTCCTCACGGCTGGCTGGGACAAGACGGCGCGAATCTTTACGCAGGACCACGCCTCTGCACAGCGGCTACTGGTAGGACACAACACGAGCATCTCGGCCATCGCGTGGCATTCAAACGGGACGTATGTTTTTTCTGCATCTGACGAGACAGACAAGACGATTCGCATGTGGTCTGTAATCAAGGGCGATTGCGTGCGCGTCTTCACAGGACACGCAGATTACATCAGTGCGCTAGAGTGTGCACCAAACGGCAGAATCCTAGCAAGTGCCGATACAGGGGGCAACATTTTCATATGGGATATTGAGAAGGGCACTCGTATCAAGCGATGCCGCGGTCACGCAAAGGGCGGCATCCCGTCGCTGAGCTTCAGTGCCGAATCCACGGCTCTCGTATCAGGTGGGCTAGATGGCACTGTCCGTCTCTGGGATGTCAATCTGCGGAAGGACATCAACAAGGGACCCGCACTCCTCGGAGTGGGTGCATCGGCAACGACGGCAGCGGGAGCAGGAGCAGGAGCAGGAGCAGCGACTGATGCAGCCGGCAACGCAGCCAGTGACTCTGTGACAGTCGGCGGTGTACACGACCGAAGCATCACGGTGGGAGGCCATTCGGCACAGGCCAGCACGAGCACGGGCACGGGCACATCGACAGCAGGTGGAGGCGGCGGTACGGGCAAGAAGAAGGGGAGCAAAGAAGTCATGATCACACCGGACCAGATCAGCGCATTTGCCACAAAGAAGACGCCGGTGCTGCGTGTCGAGTTCACGCGCATGAACCTGGTCGTTTGTGGCGGATGCTTCGACCCATGAGTCGGTGACTGCAGCTGTGTTTTGTTTGTAAAGGAGTTGGGGCACAGGGGACGGCGCATGATGCGGAACTTTCGTGTTGGGAGCTAATAGCGATAGCCACCTGGGACACAGGATAGTTTGTAGGATGCAGAAATAATAAGCATGATGGGGTAGCTTTTAATAGATTGCTATATCTGGGAGAGTGGTCAATGGCAAAGCGGGCACATCATTGTTCTGCTATATGTACGGAGTAGTCAGCATACCGTCGCCAAGACAGTGGACATACTGTAACGTCTAGTGGGATGATAGGCAGTTACGCCCGCTCTTCAAGCACAGTGCGGGAAAGGCAGCCAAGCTCCTCGAGCATTTTGAACTAAGCCGATCAGAAGGTCTGTCTCTGGGGCTCATCTTCCTCCAGCGTCATTCTCCTGCCACAACCACGCGCTACCTACGACAGCGACATCAATCGATAGCAGCAGGCCGTCCAAGGTTGCCGCCCTCCTTATTTTTTTGCTTCCTCCGATCAATCCCTGTTCGCTGCTGGGCGCCAATCCGGTTGCGACACGATGGACCCCCTCGAAGAAGCACCCTGGGCCGATACTCCGCAGTCGACGCCGGCCGCGCACGAAGAGGGATCCGCGGCAGCCCCGTCGTCTGGGGCGGACAAGCCGTCTGCTGACACGACATCCTCGGCGCCGGCCTCATCTGGGGGCCGGCCGGCACGCGCGGCCCCTCGCCGACTGGTGGCTCAGCCCACGCGGCTACAGGCTGTCGAAGACGATCCTCTCGGTCCGCTCGGTGCGCTGAGCAGCAGCACATCGACGCTGTTTGGCGCCGATGTTTCGACCGAGCCTGCCGCCACCGGTCTGGAGTCGCCGCCGGCGCCGCCCCTGAAGGAGCTGCCGCTGCGGTCAACCATGCCGGCGGGTGCCGGCAGCAGCTCTCTGCGTGGACCGGCTGACCCGCATCGCATCGACATTGACGATCTCGACGGTGGCGGCACCGGCGGCTTGTTTGACGGCCAGTCGGCCCGTGGCGCCAGAGTGCCGCCGCCCGTGGCCGCCTCCGTGCCGACGCCTATGCGAACAACAAGCCGGCCGAGCGTGACGATCGAGCAGGCCTCCAAGCCGAGCTTCTACATCTCCGTCGGCGATCCGCACAAGATCGGCGGGGCCACCGGCTCGCACATTGAGTACAGCGTGAAAACACAGGTCAGTTCCGATGTCGTGTAGACATGTCTGTCCCTCGCTACAGGTTCTAATAGGCAATATGCGGCAGACCACATCCAAGGCCTACAGACAGCCCGAGTTTGTCGTCAACCGACGCTATCGCGACTTCCTGTGGCTGTACAGCCAGATGCATGCCAACTGTCCGGGCGTGGTGGTGCCTCCGCCGCCGGAGAAGCAGGCCATGGGCCGGTTTGAAAGCAACTTTGTGGAGTCGAGACGGGCGGCGCTCGAGAAGATGCTCAACAAGATTGGCGGGCCCATCCGACGCTGCAGCAGGACGGCGACCTGAAGCTCTTCCTCGAGAGCGAAGCCTTCAACGTGGACGTGAAGCACAAGGAGCGGAAGGAGCCGAATCTAGGCGAGAGCAAGGGTATCATGAGCAGCCTAGGCCTCAGCGTCGGAGGCGGCGTCAAGTTTGTGGAGCAGGACGATGTGCGTTGGTACCTGGGCGTGGTGGCCTGACTGGCCTACGGCCTGTTCCTTGCGCGGACCGACAGCTAACAGACGTTTCGCAGTGGTTTCACGAACGGCGCATCTACCTGGACGCGCTGGAGATTCAGCTCAAGTCGCTGCTGAAGGCGATGGACAGCATGGTGACGCAGCGCAAGTCTATGGCCGACGCAGCGGCAGACTTCTCGGCCTCGCTGCACGCGCTCTCGACCGTGGAGCTGTCGCCGAGCCTGTCGGGTCCGCTCGAGGCGCTCTCGGACCTGCAGGCGACGATCCGTGACGTGTACGACCGGCAGGCGCAGCAGGACATCCTGACGTTTGGCATCACCATTGACGAGTACATCCGCCTGATCGGCAGCGTCAAGCAGGCCTTTTCGCAGCGGCAAAAGGCCTTTTACAGCTGGCACTCGGCCGACGCCGAGCTGCAGAAGCGCAAGACGGCCCAGGACAAGCTCCTGCGCCAGGGCAAGAGCCAGCAGGACCGGCTGAACCAGATCGGTGCCGACGTGGCCGACGCCGAGCGCAAGGTGCACCAGGCCCGGCTGCTGTTCGAAGACATGGGTCGGCTGATGCACAACGAGCTGGACCGGTTCGAGAGAGAAAAGGTGGAGGACTTTAAGAGCGGCGTGGAGACGTTTCTGGAAAGCTCTGTGGAGGCACAGAAAGAGGTAAGCCGGAGGGCTCCCCGATGGATGTGTCCGTTTACTGACTTGGCGCAGTTGATCGAAAAGTGGGAGACGTTCCTGATGCAGCTCGACGCAGAGGATGACGAGACGGCCTTTTACAGACCCCCGGTCCTGCAGTCGGCAAGCCGGCCGGCCGGCGACACAGCCATAGACCGAGCCAGAGCACACATTGACGAGGACTCTGACTAAGCTGGAAGGCCTGACTGTGGTTGCTGCTACTGCTAGGCCTCTGATCATGAGATGGGAGAGAGAGGACAACACAGAGAAAAGGCAGGAAGTCGGACAGTATTCATAGTGTCATGTTGGTTGTACATAGAAGAGGAACCCGCATTGTCTCTGCGGCGCCGGCTCGGCATGCTAATAGCTCTGTTATACAAGTTTTCTTTCGCTGTGCCTGTGCTACTTTTTCTTCTTGTCCTTTCGTGCCTGTTCCTTTGCGCTCAGGCCTCCGTGTTTGGCCGGGTCCTCCTTGGCGGCATAGCCGCTGAGCAGGTCTGCGAGGCTGTCGAACGGGTCCACGACAGCCGTCTGTCCAGGATCAGCAGCAGAAGCAGAAGCAGAAGCAGCGTCTTCGGTCGAGCCGGCGGTCTTGTTCTGCAGCTCCGGCTCAGCAGCCTCTTCGGAGACGTCCTGCGAGGCGTCCCAGCCGCGGCCGAAGCGGTTGCGAAACGCTGCCAGCCGGCCGGCCTCGTCGACCTCGACGTTGCGCAGCGACTTTTCCGTCGGCTGCCAGAGAATGTGGTTGCGGCTGTCCTTTGTGCTGCGGTGCAGCGCATGGGGGCTGGTCGACCGCATCGTAAACGTGCTGCCGTCCGAGAGCTGCACCATCTGCGTGAACTGATACGGCCGCTGTGGCCGCGCAATCAGCCGCGCGTGGCATGCCGGCGTCGTCGACAGGGCTCGCCGGCCGGCTCGTGCAAGACAGCCCGTCGGTGCTGTGAACATGCCGGTGGACAGAGCCATGCGGCCGGATGATGCCTCGCGGAAGAGCGTCGTCATGGTGAACGGAATGAATCGGTCTGAGCAGCGGAGCCGTGTCTCTCACAGTGGGCGGTGCGATGGAAGAAAGGCTTGCTGTCGTGTCGGCGTGTCGCAAAAACAGAACGCAGAACTGGCTCGGGATCAATGGCGATCCGTTTGCTCGAAAGAGAGGCTTTGGGCTTTTTGGCGCTAGTGTTTTTTGCAATTATTTCTGCTTTATTTAAAACTGTCCAGCAACAACTTCCCCCGCCAGCTATTATTATTTTCTTATCGCTATCGGCGGCTTTCTCGCTACACTTCTCTCGGAACATTCTCCTTCGACCATTGCTCTCGCTCTCTCGTCTTGCTTTCCTGCCCTCACGACCGACGCCCCCCCCTGTCAGACGGCCTCGTCTGCTGGAAGATGCGATGCGATGCTGCCGCGCACATGGTCGCGTAGCCGGAAGCGCAGTCCCGTCCCTCTTGTGTCGAGATGTCACCGGCCGCAGTGTCCCGTCTCTGTTTCGCACCTCAGCAAAGAGAGCAACAGCCAGATACGGTGGCCTCTACCTGGCCTCAGCCCAGGCCAAGAAGACTCGTGCTGACCTATGGCGTGAGACCTCCAAGTCCAATTGGCTGCATGTTTGGCTGCACGCTGGGAAATGCAGACCGTATCTGACATTTTATGGTGCCCGTTTTTTGTTTACAGCTCGCTCGATTGGCTCTTGTCGCCTGTTTACGTCCTCGACAGCCGCGACCCCATTCCCGGCCAAGGCTGCCGGAGAGGAGCGTTCCATCCGTGCAGGGGTCGAGGGAGCCCCACCATCGCTGCCCGAAGACCTGCGCCTGCTGCTGCGCCATCTGGCGAGCTCGGTGGTGGTCTGCACGGCGCTTGCCGGCGCTGGCGATGCGCAGCAGCAGGACGACCGGCCGTCTGGCCTCCCCGTCGGCCTTACAATGTCCTCCTTCACCTCGCTGAGCCTCTACCCGAGCCCGGTGGTGTCCTTCAACGTCGCCATGCCCAGCCGGACCGAAGCTGCCATCGCGCAGACGAGACACTTTATGATCCACATCCTCTCGGGCGATGCCAGCGGCGCACGTGTCGCCGACGTCTTCCGCTCCGGAAACGCACACCCCGAGAGTACGGCCCGGGCGTTGGAAGCCTCCGACTGCCGCCTGGTCTGGCCCCCGGAGTCGCTAGACCCGTCTTCCCCAGCCGGTCAGCCCTTCCTCTGCGGGCCGGGCGTGCTCTTCGTGCTGCGCTGCCGCCTGCTCGACGAACCGCTGCGAGGGCTTGTGCCGGTCCGGGACCACGTAATCGTGCTGGGCGAGGTGCTGGAGATCATACAAGGCGGCGCAGATCACGTCGACAGCAACGGCATCCCACGGGTCGGCTTGGCCTATGCCAACAGGCAGTACTGCCAGCTTCCGGGCGCAAACATCCCGGCAGAGGAAACAGACAGGTGACAGGGACAGCTGGGCACCGGCTGCAGTGTACATGTAAGAATATAGGATACTTCAATGAAGCAGTGGCAGGCAGTTAGACTACTACTGTCCAACGGTCACATGACCGTCCTGCTGGGTGTCCAGCCTTGCGTAACCGGCAAGAGCACCCTGGAAGCTTCCACCGCTTTCTCAAGCCCACTTTCTGCCTGGTCAAGCACATTCACGGGCGTCTCCAAGGGAAGAGGAATACTCCGTACACGCAGTGGTTTGCCTCACACTTCCTCAACTTGGCCCCACTTTCCCCTCCAGCCCCAGCCCCAGCGCCATATCAGCCAATCAGAATCTGCATATGGCTGCTGTGGTGATCCACTCTGGCGAATCAGGTGAACCGTTGCCGCCTAGATTCGATAGAAACTCGTAGAATGTCCAGCGAAAGCTCTAGGCTGGAAAGGACCACCAGAAAAACTTGCCCTTTTAAGCTGTTGAGTTCGACTGGGCTTTTCTCCCGCTTCCTTTCCTCCCCTCTCTTTCTCAACTTCATCTCCTATCTCAATCTATTCACACGTCCTCCTCCGTCAAGAATTTGCCAGGTTCGCAGAGACGGACAGCTCATCAGCTGTAGTACACTGCATTGCTGTAAGTAACGTCCCTCTTTATACTCGCCCCGCGATATGGTCTCCATAGCCTCGTCAAGAAGACCAGAAGATTCGATTCACTTCCCCTCCCACTCTACCCCTGGTCCCTCCCATATTCCATCCGTCTCTAGCAGCATCTTTTCCCTACCCTGCCCCGTCTGATAGGTCCCACCGTTTTGTATATTTATCTCTCCTCTGTTCCCCCTCCCACCCCTCACTTTTCTCTATCTTCATACCACCTACTGCTCAACCAACATCCTCTTCCACTTACCCTAAATCTGCGGCCGTATAATAGCAAACACGAACAAAGAAGGCTGATCTTCCTGAGACATCAGCTTAGGCTCACTCCAACTCTTATTCTCCCCTAATTTCTACAGCAGCCGCCAAGATGTCTGGAGAGACTTTCGAGTTCCAGGCTGAGATTTCTCAGCTGCTTTCTCTCATTATCAACACTGTCTACTCGAACAAGGAGATCTTCCTCCGCGAGCTTGTGTCCAATGCCTCTGATGCTCTGGATAAGATTCGGTACGAGTCGTTGTCCGACCCCAGCAAGCTTGACTCAGGCAAGGATCTCCGGATCGACATTATCCCTGATCAGGATGCCAAGACCCTCACTATCCGTGATACCGGTATCGGTATGACTAAGGCGGTATGTCTAAACCATAAACCACCTTACACCACGATGTACCATTTGGGCCAAAACTAACAAGCGTTCAGGATCTCGTCAACAACCTGGGTACTATTGCTCGGTCTGGTACCAAGCAGTTTATGGAGGCCCTCACAGCTGGTGCCGATATCTCCATGATTGGCCAGTTCGGTGTCGGTTTCTACTCTGCATACCTGGTGGCCGACCAGGTCAAGGTCATCTCCAAGAACAACGATGACGAGCAGTACGTCTGGGAGTCCAGCGCCGGTGGCACTTTCACCATCGCCACCGACACTGAGGGCGAGCCCCTCGGTCGGGGTACCAAGATCATCCTCCACCTGAAGGATGAGCAGATGGAGTACCTCAACGAGTCCAAGATCAAGGAGGTCATCAAGAAGCACTCCGAGTTCATCTCCTACCCGATCTACCTTCACGTCAAGAAGGAGACCGAGAAGGAGATTCCCGATGAGGATGCTGTCGAGGAGGAGACCACCGAGGAGTCGGACGACAAAAAGCCCAAGATCGAGGAGGTCAGCGATGATGAGGATGGCAAGGAGAAGGAGAAGAAGCCCAAGACCAAGAAGGTCAAGGAGACCACAATCGAGGAGGAGGAGCTCAACAAGCAGAAGCCCATCTGGACGCGCAACCCCCAAGACATCACCCAGGAGGAGTACGCTGCCTTCTACAAGTCGCTCACCAACGATTGGGAGGATCACCTGGCTGTCAAGCACTTCTCTGTTGAGGGTCAGCTCGAGTTCCGCGCCGTTCTGTTCGTTCCCAAACGTGCTCCCTTTGACCTGTTCGAGACCAAGAAGACCAAGAACAACATCAAGCTGTACGTGCGCCGTGTCTTCATCACCGACGACGCCACCGACCTGGTGCCGGAGTGGCTTAGCTTCGTCAAGGGTGTTGTTGACTCTGAGGATCTCCCTCTGAACCTGTCGCGTGAGATTCTCCAGCAGAACAAGATCATGAAGGTCATCAAGAAGAACATTGTCAAGAAGTCGATTGAACTCTTCAACGAGATCGCCGAGGACAAGGAGCAGTTCGACAAGTTCTACGCTGCCTTCTCCAAGAACCTCAAGCTGGGCATCCACGAGGACTCCCAGAACCGCCCGGCTCTGGCCAAACTCCTGCGTTTCAACTCGACCAAGTCTGGCGATGAGCTGACGTCTCTGTCTGACTACATCACGCGCATGCCTGAGCACCAGAAGAACATCTACTACATTACTGGCGAGTCGATCAAGGCTGTCACGCGTTCTCCCTTCCTGGACTCCCTCAAGGAGAAGGGCTTCGAGGTGCTGTTCCTCGTCGACCCCATTGACGAGTACGCCATGACTCAGCTCAAGGAGTTTGAGAGCAAGAAGTTGGTTGACATCACCAAGGACTTCGACCTCGAGGAGACCGAGGAGGAGAAGACGTCCCGCGAGGCCGAGGAGAAGGAGTACGAGGGCCTTGCCAAGGCGCTCAAGAACATTCTCGGCGACAAGGTCGAGAAGGTTGTCGTCTCCCACAAGCTGGTTGGCGCACCCTGTGCCATCCGCACCGGCCAGTTCGGCTGGTCTGCCAACATGGAGCGTATCATGAAGGCTCAGGCTCTCCGTGACACGTCCATGTCGAGCTACATGTCGTCCAAGAAGACGTTTGAGATCTCGCCCAAGAACTCCATCATCAAGGAGCTCAAGAAGAAGGTTGAGACTGACGGCGAGGACGACAAGACGGTCAAGTCCATCGTGCAGCTGCTCTTTGAGACCTCGCTGCTGGTTTCGGGCTTCACCATTGACGAGCCTGCCAGCTTCTCCGAGCGCATCCACAAGCTGGTGTCCCTCGGCCTGAACATCGACGAGGAGCCGGAAACCGAGGCCGCTCCGACCGACGCTGGCGCGTCTGCTGCCGAGACTGGCGACAGCGCTATGGAGGAGGTGGACTAAGCTGGGACTAACGAATTGACCAATGGATCTGGGTGGATAAAAAGTAAATGGAGTTAGGAATGGTCATGTATCTGCTTATCATGATGCCCGTGTTTGCATTTTCTAAAAAGGCCATTAATCTGATGCCTTTTCTACCACGTTTGTCATGTCGGTGTTATATCTAAACACGTCTAGAGAGCCGGGTGGTGGTATCCCGTATATCAGGCTGTCTCCAAATGAAAAGACTAAATTAAAGATGAAAATGCCTCTCGTACTGCTCTGCCACGGAATGGAACGACAGGTCGGAGTATGTACGTCTAAGCGCCCGGGCTAGAATCCACAATATAGGCGATGGTACCTGTAATAACGTGTCTTGTACCCCCAAGATCCAATCCAGCACTGAATCTGGCAACAAATCATGCCGTTTGTCACAATATCAGCAGCGTGTGCAGACAATACAATGATAACAGAAACATCATTTCCAACAAAAACCAAAAGAGCCAAAAGACTTCAGGGGACGAGCCAGACCTGCTATTTAAAGAAGCAAAACAAAAGCCCGCGAGACCTAGAAGAATGGGTACACCTATACCATACATATCTTACCAACTCCTGCCTGTTCCTGCGCTTTATAACCCTGCGCTAGAGCCGGTTCCCCGCACACAAAGATATGTCTTGCACAGCACACATGCCCCCCCCCAAGATGGATCCTGTTTTCCCAGCCAGACCCTCGGTCACAAAACCTCCTCTCCCTCTTCTTCCTCGCGAAACCGCAAGCCGTCCTCGAGAGAGATGGCATTGCGCACCCATACCTCTTCTGCCACCTTGCTGAGTGACCAGCGGTGGCGTGCGCGCTTCAGCAGGCCTTCGGTGATATCTATGGCTCCCAGCAGGTTTCGCGCCTCGAATTTGGCCCTGTCTCCTTCGTGGCTGCCATCCTCGCCGGCATACTCTACCCAGCGCCACTCGATGCGCGCGATGCGGTGGCTCGTCCGCGATCGCATCCGGTGGGCGTCGCTCATGCCCGGAGTAGGGTCAAAGGGAAGCCGGCCTTCGAGGAGGGCGTACAGAAGCACGCCTAGCGACCATGCATCCGTAGCACGACCGTCGTAGGGCTGGCCCATGATGACTTCCGGAGCGGCATAGTCATCAGAGCCACAGCGGGTCTCGAGCCTCTCGTCGTCAGCGACGTATCGCGAGAGGCCAAGGTCCGTCAGGGTTGTCACGCTGTACGGGTAGGTTGTCCAATTAATGGACGGATTGGCCAACTCCTGTGGCGTCAGGTTTACGAGCACGTCTACGACGAAACGGTCAGCCGGGTTGACGAGCTGGAGAGTGGTAAAGATACGGGAGGTGAAAGAGGAGGTGACGGAGAGAGGAGATGGTAAGAAGCACTCACTTTCCAGCTTGATATCTCGGTGAACGATATGCATCTGGTGCAGATACTGAACCGCTCCAACCAGCTCGGAGAACATGCGTGCAAGAAGCGTGGGGCTCAAGAGGTTGCGGTGTGTGCTCGCTACGTCAAAAAGGTCCCCACCGGGACAATAGCTCAGCACCAGGATGGCCCGGCTGGGCTCGATGTTCCAGGCCTTGAGATGAACAAGCGATGGGTGACGTATGCTCTGCATGACTTCCAGCTCGCGCTTCAGGCTCATCTCCACCCGCTCTTCGGATGCGCCGCCTTTCGGCCCGTGCTCGCAGACCTTTACAGCCACCAGGGTGCGTCGATCGTATCGTGTATGTGGTTCTTGTACGGACAGGTCCTCATCCTCGCCCGTTGGCGTCTGGCTGGTGGCAAGCATGACCCTGCTGAAGGTGCCTTGTCCAAGCAGCTTGAGGGCACGCCATCGGCGTCGCTTCCCATCGGCTCGACCCTTTGCCTCGAAGTACTCGTAACGCTTCTTTCCGGCTACAGGCTTTGCGTCCGCCGGGGCGGTTGCATCCGCTAGAAGCAATGACGACTCGCTGGGCGGTGGGGTTGGTGGCTTCTCGACGGCCGTCAATCCTCGCGACTCGGACAGATTGGGCTCACGACGCATGCGCCTTTTATATGGATCATCGACGTGGTCCGGCTCGCCGTCCGGTTTGCTGTGAGTTGCAGATACAGTGATCATGCGCCTTGGCAGCTGCATATGGTCGGGAGTATACTCGCTAAGGCTCCTGTTGCGTGTATGTGGTAGCTTCAAGTCAGCGCTGCTGTTCATCGTCTGAGAGTGGCCGTCTGCGTTGTCGGCCGGGCCAGCCTTGTTTGACAACAGCTCTGCGTATGCCTTCCTCTTGGACATGTGTACCAGCGCAGACGTCAGAGACTCGCCATTGCTAGTGACTAGAGCAGACTCAGGCTTCCCGGGTGCCATCCTCGATGGAGCCTCACGAGGTGGAGACCTCGTCAGCTTTTTCCAGGGCCCCGGCGAACCGCCCGAAAGCAGTGGCGACGGCAGGGGAGTGACATCGCCCATGGCCGTGATGATGGGGCTAGGGACAGGCGAGCTGGTTGCGGAGCTGTTGCCGAAGCTGTGATAGCTTGATGCCTTGAGGCTGGGCGTACGGCATATAGGTTTGAGCGACGAGGTCGACCTCTTGTGCTGTGGCCCCAATGCGGTCGGCCAGATGCGGCTCGATGCAACAAACGAGTCCGGGTTGCTGTTTGGGACTGCGAGCTCTACAGAAGACCCACTGTCATGTATATCCGTCTGCAGGCGTAAGGTGTAACCGCCGCTGTTGCGGCTGGGGGTGGCGCTTTGCTGCGAGCTGGCTGAGGCACCGCTGGCCGAGCGACCACGTTGCGGCGAGTCCCAAGAAGACGAAGAGGGCGGCTGGTACTGATGTGATGTCGGGGAGAGGGCGGTCGTCTGAAACTGGGACGGCACGGGAGAAAGTACTCGCAGGTGCGCGCAGCTACCTGCGACTGTCTGGCTCGAAATATGGCCCGATAAGCCGGGCGGCTGGAAAGAGGTGTCGACCACGGTTATGGCAGCAACATTGAGCGAGCTGCTGCGGTTGCTATTGTCGTTGGCAGTGAGTGGGACCGTAGCTGTGTCCATAAGTGTGCTGTCAGGGTGGTGCATTGCATCGGCTGCAGATGTGGCCATCGGCATGGGCGCAGGCTGGCGGGCCATGACTGACGGCAACGGGCCGCTGCAGACAGCGTAACGAGCGAGAGAGCCAACGGCCCTTACCGTGACAGGGCCAGGCAGCTCTCGGCGAGGGTGCTTCAACTAGGGTCCCAGGGCTAGGCAGCACGTCGTGAGCGCTTGCGAGGAAGACAGCGAAGGGGGCTAGGGGGGGCTAGGGACGATAAGAACGGAGGAGACGTCGCACACCTGCATACGGCTCGTACTGCACGCAGCCGGATCACAAATCCAAATGGGAGTTTTGTGGTGTTTGGTGGGCAAAAGCCGGAGGAGGTTGGGTGGTGCTGGACGGCGAACGCAGGGAGGCGATGCAGGAGACGCTTTGCCGGATTGCGTGGCTCGGACGCGGCTGTTCTGGCCACCGTTCACGTGGGGTGCGGGCCTAAGGCGGCTGACACAGAAAGGTCGCGTAAATGAGGGTATTCAGCGTCGACGGACAGCCGACTCTGGAATGAAGCCAATATCGATTGTGCTAAAAAAACAAGTCGTGGGCGAGAGAGAACGCTGGCGCCACCATCCGCCGCCGCCTCTGCTGCGTTTTTCCTCTTTCTTTCGGTGCGCGCACACAAAGGCGCGCGATGGCGTTGCAATTGTTCGGAATGGCTGTCTGGAAGTCTGGTCTCGGACCACCGAAGCGATTGGTATTCTTCTTTAGATTAATATTACGGGGTATGTACTTGGACTAGAGATAACTATCTTACGTGTAGGGTACCCCCCCCCCCCCACGCTCCATCGTACCTTCCGTGTCGATGTATCGAACTCGCAGCCACCTCACATTACTCATCGCCCGCAACTGTAACGTAGCGACGGCAGCCACGAGGCGGGGAGTCATCTGTCCAATCACAGCCTTAGATGCGTAATGTCGCTAGTGTGCTAGCCACTGAAATACTCAAGTGCTGATAGCAATTTCACGACTTAAAATTGCGCTATAATGTCTCTCAGGTGAGCCGCTGTGCGGCCGCTGTCTGGATCGTCGGCCAGAAAACGTGCAAGAGAGATTGGTTGTAGGCAGCGCATTTACCAATGTCGCATTGAGCGATCCTTCCTCAGCAGCTGATTCTGAAACAGCGCACCGCGTGACCACAATAGTAGCCCTCGGCTGCAACTGTATCAGTCATGGTCAAAACATTTATCCGGACGTAGCCATTCCATTTCCACCGCGGTCGGTCACTAGTAGCATTTATATATCTGCGTCACGAAACGTGATCACGAATCAGATCAATCACTCCTGATGGTGTAGTTGGTTCATCACGTTCGGCTGTAATTGTAACCAAATGTAACCGAAAGGTCGCCGATTCGATTTCGGCTCGGGAGAGATTTTTTTGTTTCCTTCTCCATAATTTTCTTTGCGCCAGCCGCAGCCTCACATACACTGTACAGCTTCGGGAAAATGAACTTGTTGCTGATTGTCACTCCAAAAAACGCGGCCCGAGTTTTATGCTTTTACAGCATGCCATTTCGCGTGTACGACTTTTTAAGAAGAAGTGTTTCTTTTTACTAGAAGTTTGCCCTACACCAACCAGTTCGCGCAGTCGTGATAAGCCTCTATACTCTGTACAGAGTATTTTGCTCAAGCCCGCAAGTCCAACCTCTCCTCCCCTTCTCCTCAAGATAAGCATAAGCATATTAATTAGTGGCCATACGTTCGGGGTGCTGGTCATACAGGATAGTGGAATTAGCTTTATCGCAGGTCTCCTGATTAGCAAACCCAGCCTCACCTACTCCGTACGTGAAAGGGTCTCTGGAAAAATGAGCCCAGATAAGGAGGGGTCTTGGTGGAGGCACCCCGATTTCACCACCTTTCTCCTTTTAAAAATAGGGCCTCATCCGTAAGCTCGACTGTTCCGTTATCCTGTTTTGAGCAGATGATGCTCCTTCTTTTTGCCCCGCTCTGAACTTGTACCGGAGACTTGTCTTTTAACTTTGGCGTACGGAGTAGAGCCCAAATCTTTCTATTTGTGCATCTCAGGCAAATAGTATCTTAGGTAAAAGCACGCACGCAATCGTGCTGGTTGTCTGATATCTTGGCCAGTGTTGTTAAGCAACTGGCAACATGCCGACCGTGATGCTCGTGTAGGCCGATGTTGTGTGCCAGAGTACGCATCTTTCTAGGGTTCCCCCTGCAATTCGGTCGGGACGAAGAGAAGGCAAGGGTTTAAAAGGGGTTGGTACTTTGCTGTCACAGGGACAGTTAAGATAATGCCGACTTGACGCCGATCCCATATATTGCTAGACTAATAACAGCAAGATATGTGACAGCCATTTTTATACGCTGTACTTTGAAACTTACTCAGCCCTTCCAAGCCATCGCTCGCAATAAGAGAAGTCATATTTTTAGCTAATCGTCTGCATCGTACTCCGTACTCCGTACCTTACCAAAGAACGTAGTGTAAAAATGACACAATACAGGTAAATTTCACTCCGTACTCTGTACTTGTTGAGCTCCTCCCCACAGGTAGACCACCTTGGCTGGAATATGCGCCCTGAGAGTACTCCGTGGTGCGACTAATATTTTCTCAGCCGGGGTAATACTTGTCCTGCCCATTCCACATGTCGATGTGCAAAGGTCTGGCTTTATAAGAGCTGAGATAGGCAGGTTCACCACCTGAGTAGAAATGCTGTTTTATCGGTGCATGTCTGACTCCGGCGCAGTCCCGTTGGCATTTGGTAGCTGTTGATTCCCGCTCGGCTGTTGGTTTAACATCGGCCGAACTGACGAGCAATTATCACAAATCATGTCTGAAAATACAGATGCTTTGGTAATCACTTGAAACCGGCCTTTTTGCCGCCCGGTCATTATTAGTAGAGAGACCAAGTATGGAGCATATTTGGCAGATGTGACATACTTACTTGATGAGCATAGCGATGGGGAAGGCTTTGATTTATGGTAAGTTTGGATCTAACTGGAGTATACAAGATCTCGTAAGTATAAGACAGCATGACATGAGAAACGGCTCTTTTAGCCATGTCTTTAACCAAATAGTCAGAATCCTGGACCAGAATGCCACGCACTTTTTCTAGTTTTGGGAGCACGTGCAAGATTCTATAAGGAATACGGCAACTTCGTCGCAAGACTAGATTCAAAAGTCAGCAATCTTATATTACCTCTATCTATCACATACATAGCACTATTCTCATGTTTCAAGATTTCATTCCTACACAGCGGATAGTCCCCGGGAATAAGGAGGCGCCGACGTAAGGACAGCATTACATCTTAATGTTCCGCTTGAAGACCTAAGAAGACAGGAACCCGTCGTTGGGGGAGTGCGGTAGGACGTAAACTTAAGAGACCTAAGAACGCGATTATACGTCTCTGATTTATTCTAGTCTTTGTCGTTTGTATAATAACAAGGCTAATACATTGTAAGGCTCTTTGTCTTACGGACACAAGTTTAGTAGATGTTGTCCAGGTGCGCCGTAACGATGCTTTTGAATGAACAGTAGTACTATTACACGTTATAGATAATTGATGGCATATCCAAGTGAGAAGCCAGTAAATATATTTGTGATTTGTATGAGGGAAAATACACCGCGCATATCTACAAAGCTCATTAGAATAACAGAATTGTCCATCTTTATCTTATCCTGGAACAAGATATACAACAATGTAGATGCAAAGCATCGGTGTAGTGGTCTATAGCAGCATTTCCCCACTTGTCCGTGACAAAACCCCAAATCTAAATATACCCAATTAACTCGGCAAAATATATGTGAAGCTTGTTGCAAACACGTATTTGTTGCGTACGTGCCTCAGGGGCGCCGTGTCGAAGATAAATTGTAAGAAAATATTCAACAACAGTGTCCTGCGGGATTTGTCATAGAGCCGAATAATCAACGTAATCTCGTCGTACACCAGCCTTGTCTGGCTGGCAGTGGTCCTTCGCAAGGCGGGTACGTCTTCTGCGTGGCAGGAATGACAACAAAGGACTTGGTTTTGCTAATGCATGCCTGACGATGGTGAAAAGATGGTAAGGTGATGCTAAAAAGCAATCCACTGAAATGAACGCGATCTTGCTGCCTTCATGCCTGGTGGCAATCCACGTAATCCTTCGAGGCAGGATTGGGCGTAGCAGAGCTTGATATTCTATCGAAATAAGTTTGCCATCACGTATCATTTTATGTTCTAAGTACTTGGACGTCCTGGAGACTGCTCTTAGAAAGTTATGCTCTTTAGAAAGAAAAAAAAAAATCTCTCCCGAGCCGAAATCGAATCGGCGACCTTTCGGTTTACATTTGGTTACAATTACAGCCGAACGTGATGAACCAACTACACCATCAGGAGTGATTGGACAATTGTTGAGGGAAGTACTAACTCCTGACTACTTATAATTTAGTGCAAAAGTATGAAAACTTGGCGACACGCTAGGAGAAAGAACAGGTACAGCCACTTCAATCAAAAAGCCGAGGAACTGGATCGGTGAGAAAATGGCAGCATGCGCTTTTATTACTAGCTGATATCATATTTATGTCCTTCATAACGGAGTACAGTTTCCGTATCGGATGTGTCTTGACTACGGAGTACTCCGTACCGGTGCATTGGCACTAGTTCCAAGACTTGCTAGCCGATACACGCGGCCTGATTGGTTACTTGGTGTTTTAATGACCCGTCGCGTCAAGTCGCGTCTTCTGTACAGGGTTCATGGTGGCACTTTCGAGAACTCTTTTAACACACGCGCACGCCGTTTCTTCTTCTCTATTCTCAGAGGCTATCTGAACGCACGACAACGACAATGTTGAAACACGAACCTAGCCGTATTGAGCCCAAGAGGCGCAACGTCCTCGATCACCGCAAGAAGCAGTTTGCAGACCCTCAATATCGAGAAGCGCAGTATCCGACTCGCCTCAACTTCTATACCGATTCGCCAACGTCAGATATCACACTCGAGCAGTTTGAGCAATGGGCCATCGACAGACTACACGGTTAGGATATACGCCTACCGCTTCCGTCAGATTTGCGCCGTGCTGACGATATTGCACTACAGTCCTCGCAGAGCTGGAAGCATGCTCGTTTCGAAATAGATCGTCCGCAGAAACAGCATTGCACATGAAGTCGATCATGGAGAAGTATATGCCGTTAGAGGCCAACAGTAGCTCGTCAACAAAGCTGGCTGCTCAGAGAAAGAAAGACCATTACAGTCATTTCATCCTGAGGCTTGCCTTCGCATCGACGGAAGACCTACGGCGGCGGTTCGTACGAGTAGAGACAATGCTGTTTCGGTTACGGTTCGGTGATGATGACACCCGCGAGCGTGCAACATTTATCCGAGGCCTGAATTTAGACTGGGAGATGGTGTCAGACGAAGAGAAGAGCTCGTTGGCGACAGAACTTGCGGCTGTGAGCGCCTCCAGCTTTGGAGGACAGCGGAAGCAGCAAGCCGTCATAGAAGAAGAGAGCTGGTGCAAGGTGGATTGGATGCGGGTGCCCGAGCTTGTTGAAGGCCGTAGGGTGTTTCTCAAGGCCGGAAAAGCCTACGTGCCTTCGAAGGAGCAAGCAAGTATGGTGGCGACCGAGTTCTCGGGTCGTCTGGAGAGGGCGCTTGAGGTATGCAACACTGAAAGACCCGACACAAGCACAGCAGCGGACAGGGTTTGGTGCTGAATGCTAACGTTGCTGGTTTGCTGTCAGCTCACAGCCCGTGCCTTGCCACGATTGGACGAAGACGACCGCCTGACGCCAATTCTCGACCATCTGTCTAAGAACTTCGTTACGCCCGACGCATCATTTTCGGGGGCTGACGGCAATAATTCCGGTGCAGAGATTAATGCACGCAGCATCGATACGTTGGCCCCAGCGCACTTCCCGCTCTGTATGCAGAACCTGCACCGCTCGCTGAGGCGCGACGCACACCTGAAACACTATGGCCGTCTGCAATACACGCTCTTCCTCAAGGGGATCGGCCTGAACCTGGAGGAGAGCCTGTTGTTCTGGCGACAAGGCTTCCATAAGATCACCGATGACACGTTCAACAAGGAGTACCGCTACAACGTACGACACGCCTATGGCGAGGTGGGCGGCGACATGAACCGGCGTGGGGGCGGTTACAGCCCGTTTAGCTGCCAAAAGATCTTGACAGAACACACGCCAGGTACGGGCGACGCTCACGGCTGCCCGTACCGACATTTCAGCATGGAGAACCTCACGACCTTCCTGCAGGGCGTGGGCATCAATGACCGCGCAGTGCTGCAGGGCGTGAAAGAAGACAAGGACAAGCAGAAGTTTCATATGGCCTGTAATCGGTACGTGCCCCCCATCTTATGTGTGTTCTGCTTGTGAAGGGTGAGATAAGCCGGCTAACCTATCGGCTTAGTGTTTTTGAGCATGTTCACAAAAATGAGCTTAGACGAGCAAAGGATGAGAGCGTTATGACAGCTGCACAATTGGAGACAATTGTGCACCCGAACGAGTACTTCAAGCGCAGTTACCTGCTGAAAAGCCTGGGCAAGAGCACGACAGGTGACGTCCGCATGGAGGGATGAGGTATGAGGGTTAAATTATGTATGATATGCAATTTACTTATTAGCATTACATCCGGGCGGACCGGATTGGGGAAATTGCAGCTGGTGGTGTGACCGTCGGCTTAGAAGAAGGAATGCTGATGAGGCGGGGAGGAGCCACGCTTACGGAGTACCCGTTCCCCATCCTTACGACGTATGGTTGCACGTCGGATTGTGCATCGTTGAGTGATACTCCGTAGTGCGGGTGTGATACTCCTTGTCGCATAATGTGACTGCTGCAAAGTGACGTAACCCGTTCTGGGCCATGCCCCGGTGGGCTAGTTTCATTGCTTTTCTGAGGCACGAACCTGCAGCTTGCAATGACACGGCTTGCAAATGCAAGCTGACGCCACCAGGAGCAGTAAGATTTGTTTTGTTCTTGGTTCTTCTGCCGCGTTTCTGGCTCAAAGACCATTGGGATCAAAGTTGGGGGGGGGGAGGCATAGCGGCCCAGCCAGGGCGGTCAGGGCGGGCCAAGTCACCGGAGGAATTAGTCCGAACAAGCCGAATTTTGTGCGTTGGGACCGACAGCAGCAATTACGAAGTACGCAGGCATTGAATTGAGCGCCGGCTACTACGACCGAGTATCTTGCATCCGAGACGGGCACTGTAGAATACATGTAATACAGGGCAAATTACGGGAAAGGACATTGTTCATAGGGTAGATGTAGGCAGTATCTTACTTGTGTATTATTTCTTATGTATCTTGGTACCTTCCAGGGCAGCTATATAAGACCATGCGCCACGCCGCAATAGCGAAAAATAAACATAAATAAATCAAAGAATCCAGCAGCATCCCGGCGGCCACAAAACATGTCTGGCCGATGGTGGCTCAGGCCTGTTGGTGGCCTCATGGGGGGGGGGGGCATGTCAGAAACAGGGTGTCTCGTGTGTAAGCGATTGCACAGGTATGTAGTAGGCACCAGCCTAGCGGATGTTCGGCGAAAGTAGTTGCCGATGCGGGACTTGATGTTGATGATAGAGGCCCCAAAGGATGCCGAGATCTGTGGAATATCCGTGGACTGGGGGTTCCTGGGGGGCGGGCACAAAACATACGGTTTGTGAGGGGCTATGCTTCCTGTCCAAGGACGCCAATCTCAGTCCATTGCTGTATGCTCTAGGAGATGTGACGGTAGCGGCAGTCGGTACTTTGTCAAACTGGCTAACATCGCACTTCGAAGCGGATGTGCCGAGACCAAGGGAGCGGTGCGGCTTGGCGATCTCGCTAGACACCAGGAGAAGGCAGACAAGGGTAAAAGGAAAGGAGAGAGAGGTGACTGGGGGCGAACGAGACGGATTGGGCGAGAATATGTGGCCTGAGGCATGGAGGGAGAGAGAGGGAGAGAAGACGGGCGAGAGAGGTCGGCGGAGAAAAGGTGTTCAGATGTAGCCGACCAGCTTCGCACACCGGTGGCAGTAGTAGATATTGTGGCCAACACGGACCATTCCGTTGGCCGTGGCGTCGTCGGTAGATGTGGCCTCCTTGGCGCGGGCGCACCGAATGCAGCGCATGATCTCTACTGAGGCAGCCGGCAGATGGCAAGTCTCGGCACCGAGGGGCGAAGTGCTGCTGGACGACGAGGGGGAGGGCGAGGAAGAGGACATGTCCGTGTCTTGGGCAAAGAGTGAGTATGGCAAGGACGAGCTGCCGAGGCGCAATCGAAGCCGAGATCGGGAAAGGATAGGTGTTTGAGAGTGCGAGAGTGTGCAGGTGAGATGGGCGTGTCCGACAATGTTTCGAGAGTGTTGTCGGGGAAGAGATGCTGCAGGAAGCTGGGGAAGCCCAGGAGGGGAGACTGCTGCTCGGCCTTTTTAAGTAAGATGCCGTCAGATATGTTAAGTAAGCCGGGGCTTGGTCGAAGGAATGGGACAAGAATGTGTTGTGTTAGTGCGGTCAGATGTGCGACAGCGAGAGTTGCTCTGGCAGTGTCGTCTGGCAGTGTCGTCTCAGGAAGGCATGCACGGCATGAATGAAACAGGACGCCTTTTTGAGTGTGGGAGAGCGAAGGGAGCGCTTATTTTTACTCTTTTCTCTTCCTGCAGAGCGTATTGCGGCCAGACAGAAAGGGGGGGCGGCGGTTTGATTTTTACATATGTAATCACAAAAAAGTACCTCTGCAAAACTCTGCCGCCGATGGCCGGGCGGTCGGGCACCGATTAGCAGTCCAGAACCCGCGCCAGGGCTCAGCGCAGGCGCAGAGGACTCTGCTAGTTAGTGTCTGTCTGGCCTGACCGAATTTCCCATACCAGCTGTACTCGCGCACATGTCGCCCTCCCCAAATCTGCCGCTCGCCTCGCATTAGTGCCCAGTCTTGCCGTGCAAATCCCGCCAGAAGGATGTTCCGTCCCACAAATCCGGCCTGGCTGGCGACCAAGAACCAATGTGCATTTCCGCCCTGTCCTGCTGCATCTCCCGCCATATCTGGTACGTGTTATTGCGATTACTACGCAGCATCCCGTATACGTTCATCCATGCGCCTCCGCTGCTGAAGATCATCTAGAAAAATGACGGCGTCCGCCGCAGGGAACCGGGGTCTGTGGCTGGTGAGTGCCGAGTTTGCTGGCCGACTGGAATGAGGCCGCCCTCGCCTGGGCGTTTCATGTAAGATGATACAAGTACGTTCATCCCGAGAATTGGGTGGCCCATTTGGCGCTCCAGGACCTTTCTCCGCCATAGACTGCCGGCGACCCCTGCTGGCCCACAATTCATGAAATACAGAGGGGACTGAGGCCTGGATGCCCCACCCCAACCGACCTTCCACCAGAGTCTAGACTGGGGCGCCGAACGCCTTTGTCTTCCATTTTTCTCGGCCTGCTCCTTTCAACTCCTTTTGGCACGCGTGATTTCCCAATCCTTGCAGCCAATGCGCCCAGCGATCCGGAAGCCAAAATTCCCGAAGTAGCCCGCCTACGAAGACGGAGTACGTAACCTAGGCAGATGCCGTGGCTAGGCTCGGGCTACTTTGAATGTTGTATAGGATTTTACTATGTAAGATACATCTTTGGAGAGACACTTTGTCAGCCAACCCCCCCCGGGTGGTAAGTAGGTACATACTTTGGGTGGCACTTCGGTAACACGCGCCGATGACAACGGTTTCCCGTAGCCTGCAGCAGCCTGCATCCGCCTCCTGCCATGAGACTGTTCTGGCCCGATCGCTTTGACCGCTGGCCCCGCAAATTGTCACTCGTACTGCAAACGGGTATTCTTGGTTCTGAGAGAACTACTATATTTCTTGAGTGTGCTGAACAACTGCGTTATTCTGGGTATACAAAACATCTACCTAGTCGATAATCACAAGGAGCAAACGGCAACTGGGACAGCCGTCTATACAGTGGCAGCAAATAGTGGAGCTTGGACAAACAGGACGGTAAAAAGGACGGCCAACACCTGATATGTGTGAACTTGATCGCGAATCCATGCACGATCCTCTTATAATTCCCTGATTATGAAGAAAAAAAAGAACCTGTCGGAACCTGGTGGAAATTGCACCAAAAAAGTGCTGCTGCTTGGCCACTCGAGGACTGGTGGGGGGGACCTGCCTTCTATCGGCGATTTGAACCTGCCGGCCAGAACGGACTCGGAGGTCTCACCGGAACACCATGGATGAATGAAACTGCGCCCCCGTGTCGCAGGGCTCTTGTCAGGGCATACCCCTCTGTCCCTGGGTAGTAAAATAGGCCGGCGACTGTAAAGCTGCAAAAAACAAAACAAGACAGAATGAAATCGTCACGTCGTTAAGGGGTCGATGTAGGAGAGCTGAGAAGGCCGCAGCAGAGGTGAGAGGCGGTAGCTGCAGTTCTGATCCGAATTGCGTCTGTGTCGGACCAATCGAGTGGTTGAGGCTGCTGGCGTTTGCTTGGGTATTAGAATACAGTATGGGTGGAGCAGCCGTCAGCATGACCCATGTGCAGCACATGTCCGAACTGCCGGGAGAAAAAGGAGAGTAATGCAGAATGGACGGGAAAAAAGAGAATATTGGTAAAGCCGACGGGCGTTTGGTCGTCAAAGAAGACGGGAAATCGGTGGGCGAGTGCGAGAAAGGAGAGGCCGGTAGGCAGGGCGTGGGATGGAGATGATATTACATGACGACACAGCAGCCACAACCACCCTTCGCATCGTCTTCGTCTTGCGTGGCAGCAGCTGCTGACGCCGTCTGCGCTGGCTTGGGCCCTGATGCCGATATGTGCGTTGTGGGCCCAAGTGGACTTGGAAGAGGGCTGAGGCCTGGCTGGTCTTGGATCTTGGGAATGGTGGAATACGATCCGCTCCGTCCTATTGGCGATGCCGGGTTCTTCGCCTCGATTTTGAGCGGCCAATGGCCTGCCTCTCCAGTGGCCTCTCCAGTAGTCTCTCCGGTGACTTCTCCGGTGGCTTCTCCGGTGGCTGTAGATGTCTCTGCTGCTGCTGACGCGCTGTTTGATGGCTCTGGCGGTGTGAGGAAACCATTCTCCGTCAGCGGCCGGAACTCCTTGTCGTATATGTTTCCAAACTTGCCCTCACGCTCCCACTTCTCCTGCTGCAGCCTCCTCGCCACGGTAGGAAGCAGCTGTTGGTCAGGTGGAAGCCGCGGGTCTGGCCGGTAGGCATTGATCATCCAGGGCGGCTCGCCCTCGGGACGCTTGTGAGCGGCACCCGACAGTTCTCGTTCACCAGAGCGCGTGGTCGGGCGTGCTGCACCTCCGGCGGCGCTGCCATTGGTATCTTTGCCTATCCCATTTCGAGTCTTAGGGCGGCTGGTCGAGTTTGTCTTGGATGTCGTCGGCTTTCGTCCGCCTCCCGCGTTGGCACTGCCGTTGGTCGCTAGCTTCTTCGGAGATGCTTCGGACACGGAGCGTGATGCGTTGCGTTGTGACGGTGGTTCTGTACTCGATCCTGTGCCTCCGTCAAGGGCTCTTCCGATGCTGTTGCTTCGGGACCTAGACTTTAGACCAATGCTTTCCTCGGCACCAATGCTGTTGCCACGCTTTCGGGCCAGCATGGAGTCCCGCTCGATATGTTCCAGAGGGATGGGGGCTGGGCTCTGCTTTGCAACGGGAATTCGCGAAAGACCCTTGGTGCCATTAGTCGGAACAAAGTAAGCTGCGTCGTCGATTTCGTCCGGTCGGCGAAGATCCCAAGAGGGACGACTTGCATCGTGGGGCTTGAGCTCATTAAAGACCGAGCTCCGTCGTGACCTTGATTCCATAGGAATATCCGTTTCCGGCCCGGTCGACCGGTGACCGTTTGCTTTGTCTACGCTCGCGTCCCGTCGCGGCCTGCTCCGTGCCCGAGACTTGGGAAGGATGATACCTGCCGCCTGAAGCTCCTCGCTCTCGATCCTGGCCAGCTTGTCTCGATGAATCCACTTGGAGCTCACGTCGTCGGGGTCGCTGCTGTGTTGCTCTTTGGTGGCGGCCTTTTTGCTCACATCGTTGACAGAAGCAGTTTGCGTGATTTTGGGTCTTTCCATCGGGCTATCGTCCAGGCCTTTCTGACCGTCCCGAGCTGCACCGAGCGGCACACTTTCAGATAGGTGCGTGGATGACGGTGCCGTCTGCTGTCGGAGTAGCGGTTCGCCTCCAAAAACTCCTTTCTCGCTGGCGTCGTACGCGGTCAGGTCGTTGGTCGAAGCATAGTAAGTACCTCCGTTTGGAGCGAACATGGAGCTCTGTGGGGGAGACACAGAGTTAGTCAGGCAGCAATTTTCTCCGTTGACCGAATGTCCTATTGTCTCCACCTGCTGTGGGAGCCCAGCGGTTCGTGATCGACATGTCACTTACATCTACATGTTGGCTTGATGCATCCCATGTGTACTCGTTGCCGTGAGAACTATGAGGGGGCGTGAGTGCCGTAGCGTTGGCGGCTGTCGTAATCGGGGCAGAAGAGACTACTGCCATTGTTACAGTTCCAAGCCGCTGCCGACAACAACCATCAACGCCGTGTGCCGGCCAGACAGGAGGGTCCTATGAACGGAGCAGCGCAGAGATAGAAGCCGCGGGGCGAGATGTGGGAGGCGCATGCAAAATAGGGGTGGTCGAGGAAGGAGGAAAGACGAGAACCCTGGTACCGATTGTTCCGTGAAGTGATCTTGAGCTTCGCCGATGGCGTCGATGGGTCGCCCCTCTTAAATTCTCCCCAATCTCGCAACCGAATAGGGGCGAGGGCGGAGGTCAAGACGGTGACAAGTGCTCCTTTCAATACTATCGGCAGTTGCTGTTAAGCGCAACAAGAGGCTTTGACAAACGGATGCATCAAACACAGCCGGATGGAGAGTTAGCTTGGTAAGCCTAGCTCCTGGATTGTGAGTGGTGGTGTTGAAGCGAACAAAAACGTGGTTGGTCGAACAAAGGAGACAAAAAAAGAAACGAATCGGAAGAGCGAGCGAGACAGCAACTATGAAAGAGGGAAGTGAAGCAAGAAAACGACAGTAAAGAGAGTCAGAAAGGCAGTGGCCGTGGAATGGCGTCAATTGGCCGACAAAATCACGGTCGCGACATTTGGGAGGCGTTTACAAGGCGAAAAGAAAGCAGCTTGACGAGAACGCGAAGAAATGGTTCGTTTGGGGGGAAACGGTTCTGCACTAGCCAAATTGAGGGGCTTTTTTCTTCTGGCCTGGTAGTGATTCAGGGGTTGGTCCCCTGACAGAGAACAAAAACACCTGCTGATAAGATGTACATTGGCTGGCACTAAAACGGCAAGCTGAAGAGGGCAGGGCGAGGTATCTTAGCAGTAGCACAGCAAGTGGACCCAAGCAATAATGGCACTGTCATTCGTGAGGCTACTCTGATTGGAACCAAGCAGGAGTCATCAATCATTTTATATTGCTCGCATATTACCGTTCGTATGCACACCGATGTCGGGTACTACGATACGAGTACAAGTACTTCACAGCTCCACAGTGTTTGGGTGCTGGAATGCGACTGCGTACTCCGTGCTCGTCCTGGCTACCCGTAGAGTCGTGCTTGCCAAGCACGTGCGACATCATTCTTTGAAGCCGTGCGGCATGGCGAAGAACGTGAAGAAGTTTTGGGTTATTGATGGAAGGCACAAAAGAGCGGCGCGAGCGAGCTGCCTGGCCGAGGGACGTCCCTTCCCGTTACGTTGGCGGTGGGGGAGGTGGCAATGGCGGCTGTTGCTCGTATTTAGCGCGGCTTAGGGCGCCGTTAACCGTACTCGTACTCCGTACTCCGTAGTCTTACGTCTATTCCGAGGAATGACCACCTACAAGCGTATCTTGCTCAGGCTCCCTTTGTGCTCCTCCAAGCCAGGCGTGTCGGCGCTGATAACAAGATGCAGCTGCTAGGACCGACTACTGTCAGCACCTCGCCACGTCTGCCGCCTCTGATGCGTCGCACTCGCATCGTGTGTATATCGGACACGCACAACAGCAGGGTGAAGCTTCCCAAGGGAGACGTTCTGATCCACGCGGGCGACTTGACGAACCAGGGCAGCTATTCTGAGATCACGCGGGCTGTTGCCTGGCTCGAAGAGGCACCTTTCGAATGCAAGATTGTCGTTGCAGGTGAGCAAGTGATGCATCTATGGAGACGACCGGCTGCTGACGTAGAGCCGAAAAAGGAAATCATGACATCACCTTGGACCGGGCGTTTTACGCACAACACAACAGGCGTTTTCACAACCAGTCGCCACAGCCAACAGACGAGTGTCTGGCCCTCCTGACAGCAAGCCCCAGCATCACGTACCTGAGCCACGGATCCGCCTCGGTTTTCCTGAAGGCTGCAGGGGGGCCACACACACAGTTCACCGTTTTTGGCTCTCCATACAGCCCTCGGGACGGTACGAGTTCCTGGGCCTTCCAATACGACCGCATGGGCACTAGCATGTCCGGATCATCGCTCTCTTTCCCGGCTGGGCCCGGCACTGTCCCGTATGCGGATGATTCGGCTGCAGCTGTAGGGGTGTGGTCTGCCATTCCTGCTACTGCCGACATTGTGGTCACGCACACGCCTCCGTTCGGACACTGTGACTGGTCTACAGCACGGGACCGGGCGATGGGCTGCGAGGGCCTCCGTCGGGCGCTATGGCAGACACGGCCGCGGTTGGTCGTATGCGGACACGTCCACGAAGGGCGAGGCGTCGAGCGGGTTCGGTGGTCATCGGAGGGCGAGCAGGGATCAGCGGACGGGGCCGGTGGCGAAGTGGCGGTCGACAGCTGGCAGGATCCAGGCAGAGACGGTGGGAAGCTATCTATCGTCGACCTGACGACACGTGGAACCAGGCACAGCCTCGACGACGGAACAGCTGGGCAGGCAAGCGAGGGGAGATGGACACAGGCCGGGGATGGAAAGGGCCGACGAGAGAGCTGCATCGTGAACTGTGCGATCACGGCGACTAACTACCCGCACGTTGGAGGCAAGCGATTGAACAAGCCGGTTGTAGTGGACCTCGACTTGCCGGTGTGGGAGGAGCCGGGGTGACGGGCCGGGCAGCGGTGCGTGATAGCATTGTCCTGCGTGTCTCTGGCGACTGCATAGTGACGAGTGGTCATTTGGGGGCCCTACAGAGAGCTGCAAGACAGGGTTCCCGACCGGGTCTCCCGACAGATCGCAGGCGACCAGAAATGGCGGCCAGCAAGAGGACCAGCGAGATGGCCAGCGAGATGGCCAGCGAGAGGCCCAGAAAGAGGCCCAGCAGCAGCAGCAGCAGACCCGGCGGACAGATAAGCACAAAAAAACACCGGGGGAAGAGAGGGGGAGAGGGGGGCCTATGCAGAAGACGTGCATTCGGTTTGCGTACGACTACGATTGCTACGGAGCATCATACTCCGTAGTTCAGCAAAGGTGAGCACGCTGATTGGCGGGCGAGCGTGGGAGCAGAATGGGCTGAGCGAATGGAAAAAGAGCACCGAAAAGGCCAATGGGGCGGCTGGGAAGCGGCGACCGTCAGTGGCCACAGGCTGCGTGGACCAGCGCTTGCAGCCACTCGCCTGCAGCAAAGGCTGACTGGCAGCCAGTCAACGGCCGTGACGAGACCGACCCACAGCAGGTTTGTTCTCGTGCACCTTTTTTTCTGCACCAATACCTGCACCTACGACATTTCCTGCACCGTTTCCTGCGCCGTACACTGCACCGGTCGCTGCACCTGCCCTGTCCTGCCTTACCACACTGGGCTACCGCGTCCGGCTCGCCACTCCACCCATCGCTCCTGCAGCGTCCACGCAGCGCCACCTCCGGCCTCCACGTATCCGTCTGTACGGAATACTCGTATCTTATTAGCCATGCACCGCGCCGAGCGCTGCTGCCATTCCAAGCCTGTCCGAGCTGCGCTCTTTTGCCCCATCGGCCTGTCTCCAACTATCCCATCCATCTACCATCTGACTCGCCCCCCCTTCTCTAACCCACAACCCACTCCCCTCAGACCCTCTCTTCTGTCCCCCCCCCTGGTCCCCTCCTCCTCTCCTTCTCCCCGCCCTGAAAGCAGGCGGCCCTCCGGTTGCCCTGGCACACCCATCGACAGCACACCGCCAGTCGTTCCCCCCTCATGTGGTGGTGTCAGTCCTGCATCGCTTCTCTCATCTTCTACCTCACTCTTCCACTTCACCCCTCCTACCTCATCTCATCTCTGTCACCTTTTTCGTCTTTTTCTCTCTCTTTCCTGCTCTGTGAACATCTGTCAGCTCCAACATTACAATCCTCCATCCTGCAGGCATTCGCTTGTCCTGTGTGCTGCTCCTCTACCTAGGCGTTGGCCTTCTGACGTCCTCCCACATCCCCCCACACGAACAGTCTCCCCATCTTCCTGCTCGGCTCTCTGCCCCATCTACTCCTCTCCTTCTCCTTCTCTTTCTCTCATTGCCTTGTTTTGTCTTTTGCCCTTTGCCCTGTACGATCTGCTACTATATCTGGCTCCTGCCTCGCTCACCATCTCTTCTTCTTGCACATTCCGGCTCACATTCAAGCCGCTAAGCCTCACTTGAGCCCCTCTGCTCTCTCACACGGTTTACGACTCAGCAAATCCGGCTACCACTCCACGTTGCCAATCCGTTACTGGCACAGTCTCACCACTGCCCGCTTTGCTTATTGGCATCTTCTTATCCTGTTTCTCTTCTACCTTCTTTGCGGCTGGCCCCAGACTTTACCTCCCTACCCATCTCTACTCTGCTTGCTAGGCGACTTTCGGGCAACTCTTGATATTAGTCCGATGTTATAATCAGCCGGAGCTTGAGTTTGCTTCTGCTCCTTTGCGCCAGCCTCTGCCGAAACTGCATGCAAGATCGAAAGCTTCTGACACGCCTTTGCTTTTTTACTTTCACATATCTTTGTTAGCCTCGCCTGTATCTGCATCCAACGGCACTCGTGCCTTCTTTCCTGCCTCCTCTTTTGAACCCCTCATCCACCCCACTTTGTCGCACTCTGGCAGTGCCTTTATGCTTCTCCTCGGCCGCCTTGCTCTGCCTTTCGAAACACACCCCAGGCTACACTACAGTACAGCAATCAAGCCGAACGTTTGTCAGCAAACATGAACCCCCCGCCACCTGATCCGTACAAAGCACTTGGGGTTGAAAAAAGCGCCGACATCACCACCATCAAGTCTGCCTACCGCAAACTGGTCTTGAAGTGCCATCCCGACAAGGTCCAAGATCCGACTCTGAAAGCGGTCAAGCAGGATGAGTTCCAACGCGTACAGCATGCGTACGAGGTCCTCGTGGACGAGACGAAGCGGAGGGAGTACGATCTTGATGCTAAGATGCGGCGGATGAGGGCAGAGGCTGTTCGGAACCCATCGACGCCCCGGTCCACGGCCAAGGATTACGCCGGGTTCAATGTCCGAACTGCCGAACCCCCTCCGTCCTTCAAACCCGGCCCGCCGCCATCTTACTCACCCTATGGCGCGAGCAGTCCTCTGCATGCGCATTCATGGGAGGACCGGGATATGCCTTATCGATCAAAGACAATGTACGATGAGGGTCGCCGAGCCCGCCGCGCAACGAGCTACGAGAAGCCGCGGTCCGAGGTTCCGAAAGAAGAACGGAGGCGCCAAAAGGAAGCGGATGAGGAGGCGGACCGAGGGTGGGCGCGAGAGAGGGAGCAGCGAGAGAAAGACCGGCGCGAACGAGAGAAGGAGCAGGAGAAGAAGGCCCGCAGCGAGCGCGAGAAGGAGGAGAAGCGTGAAAAGTTGAAGAGGGAGCAGGACCGGCGTGATAGAGAGCGGGACCGGACTCGTCGTCAGGAGCAACAGGACAAGGCGCGAGCGCGAAACAAGACGGCTTATGTCGAGCACTACGAAGAATCGGACGAGGAGCGCCGAGCATACAGCAAGAAGAAGACGTCGGCCAGTGGTGCTGGAGGCGGCGGCAGCAGCAGCAGCAAGAAGCACACGGAAACACCACGCCGTGACAGGTCTGCCCGCCGTGATGATGAGCCGCGTACAGAGCCGCGTGTCGAGTCCGAGGCCGAAGCACCGCCAGCCGATGCAATGGAGGAGAGAATGAAGGCCGCTGCTGACTACATGGTCACGAAGCGACGGGGAAGCAAGAACAACATGCCGACGGCGCAGTTTACCGAAGGGACCGCTTACAATTCCCACTTCCCGGATCCGGACGTGACCTGGCACGTTAACGGGGCTTCTCCGCGGCCACGCCGTGCTTCCCAGGAGGAGAAGAAAGTCCGCAGAGGTGACGGCCCTGAAGACGACGTTGACCGCTTCATGGGGACGCCGGAACGCCGGCCGCCGCCACTGACCAAGTCGTATACGACGCCTTTGGGCACGGTACACGTGTCGAACACTTCTGCGCCTCGTGCTCCTCCACTCAATCGAGCCGCGACCATGGGCTACTCGCGGCCGATGCCGCCATCGGTGCCCCCCGCGGCACCGGAAACGGGCCGGGGCAAGCCGGAGCGTCGACGCCGAGGCTCGTTTGAAGCGTTGGACGAGGAACTGCGGTCTCGCCGGCCGTCGGCCAATCCTCGGGTGGTGCACTATCCGCTGGACGAAAGCTCTCCGATCCCACGCACGGGCAAGTCGAACTACTATGGACACGGGAACGACTATTTTCCGGCGCCTTCACGGGCGAAGACGTTCTCGGGCGGACAGGTATACGAGACAAAGCGGTACTCGAATGAGGATATTGTCTACTCGACGGTCAACCATTCGGCGGACCACCACTACTCGTCATCGCACCCGCCTTTTGTGGCGTACGACTAAGGCTGAGAGTACGCCCTTTTCTAGCGTGTAGAGCTGGCAGCCCGGCGCTCTGTTATGATAATGAATGAATTTCGCTACTTTGGTCTTGTTGCTGTTCTTGTTTGGTTTCCTGGCGCACCGGCGTCTTTTCTGGAGAATATTCCTGGACGCCCACCGTTCGTTCAGATTCTGTCTTTGGGGAAGGAAGCTATTGCTTCCTGTGTTGCTACCAAGAGAGATGGGCGTGCTCTTGACTATGATATATCTTGGATATTTACTGACTTTATGACGAGACTACCATATACAATGCGTCCACGTGTCCTTTCTGTCATACACATGGGCTTGAACGAATCCGGTGCCCTATATGCATCTGGTCGTTTGTGCCCCATATGCTACAGTGATGATGCTACGTCAATACGCGTCCAACAGGTAGAAAAAGACGAGAAAGACAATGGGCGCCGGGATGCTCCGATTTTTTTCAGAAAGCCAACAGGCCGAGTGGGTCAGATGAGAACATAGAGAGAACAGATCTGCGGCAGGCCGGGTTAGCAGGCAGTGGCGTACCGGGACAGGGAGAGCGAGCGACATACCAAGCTCAGGCCGAGGATCATGGAGCACCAGAAGCAGACGTTGTTGAGGGTGTTCTTGCCGCGGACCCAGGGAGAATGCTGCAAAGCGACAATGGGCAATTGGGACATCTGGCAGATGAAGCCGTAGCCACGGAGCTTGCGGGTGATGCAAGCCAGGACGATTTCGTGGCCGATGGCACTGATGAGGAAGGTGATGATGGTGGCAAAGGTGCGGCCGATGTGGGGGCGGCTGGCGCTGTAGACGTGGCGGCGGAGGAAGCTGTAGACGGGGATATTCCACTCGCGACTGAACTCCATCCAGTCGGTGCTGTTCCACCAGTCGCTGTAAAAGTGGCGGTCAGCGAAGCGGGTGAGCTCAGCGAGGGCACCGAGGACGTATTCGAAGATGACGAGGAAGACGAGCAGAAAGGTCATCATGAAGGGAAAGAGCAGCCAGGAGATGGACTCGGCGAGGATGAGGACGGATTCGGAGAGCGGGGGGCCGGGCTCGAGACGGGCACTGGCCTCGACGAGGACGGGGAGAATAAACTCCTCGGAGGTGACGGTGAGGAGGAAGATGCAGCCGAAGACGGCGACGATCTTGGAGGCGAGGACGGACCAGCGGATTTTGTCGGTGCGCGGATACTCGAGCTCGTAGCAGAGGGTCGGGCAGAAGATGTAATCGACGTAGTTTGGCCAAGTCAGATTGGCGGGAAAGGTGACATTGCCGAGAGGACTGGTGAGCTCGCGGGCGAGGCTACGGCGCAGCAGCGAGAGGTCGGCGTCGTCGATGTCAGCATCGGCAGCAGCATGATCGGGGCAGTCGTCGGCGGGCGAGTGGTGAAGGCGAGTGGGCGAGACGAGGGCACCGTCAGGGTGGTCGGCATTGGGATATAGATAGGCCGGGGCCTTGGAAGCGGTGTCGGGATGATCGAGAGCGCGAAGACGGCGCTCAGTCTCGGCGAGGTGGCCGTTGTAAGAGGCGTAAGAATGCATCTTCATGAGCAGGACCATGGCGTGCAGCAGGAGAAAGACCTGGGCAGTCCAGGGCCAGTCGAGGGCGAAGGGGAGGACGATCCAGACGAGCAGCCAGACGGCCTGATAGACGTTCTGGAGGGCCTTTCCGCCTTTAGCCCAGGCGAGGCCGCCAGGACGGGCGGCGGTGGTGCGGAGAAGGCGCTGCAGCGGCAGGCTGACGGCAGTGGAGGTGACCATGACGAGATCGGCGAGGGCGAGGTGTGAGAGCTTCCGGGTGAAGAGGCTCCAAATCTGGACACGCAGTGGATAGCCGGTGTCCTTGATGTTGCGTAGCATGCTGGTGAAGGCCATGATGGCGAGGCCGATCCAGAAGAGGTTGAAGAAGCCGCGAAAGTCGCGATGGTCGCTGCTGGGGTCAAAGTGCGACACCCGGCTGGCGAACTCGATCGTGGGAAAGATGCGCTGCCGCTGTTCTGCGCGGACTTGTTTGCGGGCGACCGAGAGGGACTGCACGGATGGCGGCGCGTCGGCTGGCACCGGTGTCGAGCGGCCGCTGGTCGTGGCCGTCGTCGGGTAGGCCACCGTCGGCTCCGGCAGGTCGAGCGTGTCGGCGTGGTGCGGCCGGCGCGGTCGCGGCTGGGCGAGAAACTCGTTCATGGCGACGAAGAGGAGGATGTGGTGAGGCGGATGGAAGACGATGCGTGATGGGTGACAAGAGTGACTAAGCAACAACAGCGATCAAGCACCGAAGCAGAAGGAGCGACCATCGTGCTCTTGGGCAGACTTATACGGCTGCCCCTGAGGCAGGACTGGCGTGGCAAAAGGCCTGCTTTGACGAGGAGGTCGCCCCCACCAACATCGGCTAGCGAGTGGAGGAAGGGAGGATCTCGCGTATGTATGTACGTCGTGTACCTCTTCACCACGTGATGGTCGTGCAGGAAGTGCAGGTTCGGAACCGAGGGATGAGTCACGTGCTGTGAAGCCTCTGGCTATTCACGTGATCCAGGCTGCCACATACAAGGCTGGTGAGCGGTGTGCATGACGAACCCCTGGCAGATAGCCGTAGAATTGAGGGGAGATGCCACGGCAGCCAGCCAACAGCAGTGTCCTCATCGCCCAACGCCGACGCCGCCATTCCACGACGACACGACGACGAGAGCTGCAGACCGACTGACCTGGGTGTTGGCATGAGCGACAGGACCTGACTTTTTGCACTTTCGACGACAGCAGCCGGACACAGGTGTGCGACGGGCCGTCACGTGCCTTTTTTTGTATTTTGTCTCTAGACTCAACGTCTTTCTCGCCCATGGCGATCACGACGACGGCCGAGCGGCCGGTGCGGTTCCTGGGGCTGCGCTACGATGCGGCCGACTCGGACGGGTCAGCGCGGCGGCTGGTGCTGGCACTGCGGCCAGAGTGGGAGGCGGAGGCGCTGCAGTTTGTCCGATTTACCGACGGGATCACGAACACGCTGTTGAAGGCGGTACGACGACGACAGGGAGCAAGCGAGCAGGGCGAGGATGAAGACGAAGACCAAGACCGCGAGGCCATTCTGCTGCGGGCCTACGGGCCAGGCACCGACGTGATCATCGACCGGCAGCGCGAGGCACAGAACCATGAGCTGCTGATGCGCCACGGACTGGCGCCCGAGCTGCTGGCCCGGTTCGAGAACGGAATGCTGTATCGGTTTGTGCGCGGTGCCGTGACGCGGCCGGACGACATGCGCCGGCCGGACGTGTCGCTGGCCATTGCCCGCCGTCTGGCCCAATGGCACGCCATCGTGCCGTGTGTTGCAGGTGAGGAGGAGACTGGCCAGGTAGACCTTCCAGTCGCCCTCCCCGACAAGCTTCGGCCCAATCTCTGGACCGTGATGCAGAAATGGATCCGCGCCCTGCCCACGGCCACCGACGGCCAGAAGCAGCGTCGCGCCCTCCTGCAGCGCGAGCTTGCCACCCTGGCCGCCGATCTGGGTCCACGGCCTGGTCTTGGTCGCGACGGCCTCGTCTTTGCCCACACCGACCTGCTGAGCGGCAATGTCATCGTGCTACCGCCCAAAACGACCACGACCACGACCACGACCACCACCCCCCCCGAGGTCACCTTTATCGACTACGAGTACGCCGTGCCGTCGCCGGCGGCCTTTGACATCGCCAACCACTTTGCCGAATGGGGCGGCTTCGACTGCGACATGACCGCCCTGCCGACCGTCAGCCAGCGGCGCAGCTTCATCGACGAATATGTTCGGACTTATGCGCTGCACGTGACCAACACCACCACCACCACCACTTCCACCATCACCACCCCTTTTGACATCCCCACGGAGTCTGCACGGCTGCAGCGCGAGGTCGACCTCTTTCGCGGTCTACCCGGCTTCTACTGGGGCATCTGGGCCTGCATCCAGGCTACCATCTCCGACATCGACTTTGACTACGCCTCCTATGCTGAGACCCGCCTGGCCGAGTATTGGGCCTGGAAGGCTGAACTGGATGGCAGCCGTGTCGCTTCTGGCGCTGAAATGTCCCTCCGCGAGCGCCGCTGGGCCCAAGAGACTGACGATGCCGGTCACTTGTGACGACCCGGCCACGATCCTGCGACGATCCTGTGACGCGTTCTGCCCCCATGTCCCCTTATCTCTCCAATACCCCCCGGTAGCATCAGCATTAGGCGAAACACATTCAACATGGTCTGGGAGGGAGGTCGCTCTGCTCGGCGTTGGCTTCTTCTTTCCTTTCTTCGTGCTCTCCCAAGTCCTCTTCCCATCAAAATCTCGTGTCCCGCTCAACAGTCCCATTATATTTCTCATGTCCCCCCCCATTGGCACTTCCAAATACAACTCTATTTCCTGCTTTTGAACCTGCCGTGTTGCCTGTCCTTGTCCACAATGTCCACAATGTCTCCTCCGGCAGCCAACATATCCTTACATCTCCTGCTGAGCTATCTCGCACCCCTGGTATCTTGTAAAAATATGGAAATCCTCTGCTGCCTCCTCCACTACCGCTGAATCCCGCCTGCATAATATCCCTCGCTTTGTTCGTATCGTTGCTGCTCGGGTCTCCGTCCTCGCCCGTAACTGCTCTCCTGCTCTGACGGCAGTCCCGGCAGCAGGTGTCGCAGCGGTGGCTCCGTCTTGATCGTTCCCTCCAGCTGCGCTTCCGCTGGCCGGTCGCCACGCTCTGTGTTTGCCGTTGTCGGTGTCTTCGTCAACGTCGTCTCCTCGCCACTGCCACCCGGCTTGTTTTTTGTCGATGTGGATCCTGTGCCCACGGAAGACGACACTGCGCTGCTTGCTGCCGTGCTGCCAGAGCTCAAGCTCGTAATCGTCCCGGCCGTGCTGACCGCTCCGGCACTCCGTGGCGTCGATGGCACTATCACGTTGAGCACACAGTCGTCCAGATGCTCGTAAAACTCCTGTGCCGTCAAAAACTGGCTCTGGCAGATCGAGCACTTGGCTGGCGCCCTGCCGTCCGGCCCTTCTGTCGCGTTCGCCCCGTGTCGAGCAGCCCCAGACCCCAGCGCCATCTTCCGGCTGTTGGGCGGCGTCTGCTCCACGTTGTGAACTGCTGTCAGGTGCCGCTTGAACACGTCTGCTCGGTTAAATGCCTTCTCGTACACCCCGTGGCAGAACGGACACACCATCGTGCCCTTGTAGTGCGTCAGCGCGTGCCGGTTCTTGTCATACTTGCGCGCAAATCCCTTGGTGTGGTACTCGCACGTCTCGATCGGACACTTCTCCGGCCGCTCCTCCATGTGTGTCAGCATGTGCGCGTTGAGGTCCTTAAACACTCGCCCACACTCTGGATGCGGGCAGCGATTCCGGTTCGGTGGGTGGCCCTCTTCCGACTTCACGCTTGCTATTGCTACTGCTGCTGCCTGAGGCATCACCTTCTGTCCTGGGCTGCTCTGGTGCCCGTGGTGATGGGACCCGCTGGCCGGAGGTAGCTCCCCTGCCATCGGAGTACCAAGCGACCGGCGATGCTGAGGCGGTCGCGGCAGGGGCTGCTGCTGCTGCTGCTGAACAGATGGTATCTGCAGCGGAGGCACATGCATCGGAGCCATGTGCATCGCCGCCGGCCCCGACCCCGGCCCCGGAACCGCGTTCGGTGCGGCCATCGTCGGTCCCAGCAACGGCTGCAGCGACGGCTGTATGTGCATCAGCTGTGTCGGTTGTGGCAGCGCTGGCGACGGCCTGTCTCTTGTCGGCGCTGCCGTGTAGTGCGGTGTCTCTGACGGAGGCGAATGGTGGCCCCGTGGCGGCTCCATGTAGTCTCGCGTCTTGTAGTCACCGTATTCGTCGCCGTCCGACGACATCGGGTCCTCCGGCGAGTCAAACGACTGCACCACCTCCTGCATCCAGTCCTTCAGCACCGTCATCGGCGGCCATTCTCCGCTGATCTTTGTTCCCTTGTACGGGAAGTGAGCCCGCCGCAGATGTGCTGCCGCGTTGTAGTACGCCCCGTACCGCTTCTTTGCAAGACATGCCTTGCACTTTGTCAGCGGAACTGCTGGCCGCGGAGAACTGGGAGCCGGCTGGCCCATTGGCTCCACACAGATCCATCGCTTGACCAGAGCCGCGTGCTTGGCGTCGACGTGGCGCCGCAGCTCGTGTTCGCCGCGAAAGCCTTCCGGATACTCGCTGCACTTGGTGCAGAACACCCGTCCGAGGCTCTGCCGCGGATATGCCGCCCGCATCTTCGGCGTCGGCGACGTGAAGCTGTGACCGTTGCTGCGTGTGTAAGAAGGGCTGCCGATGCCCATCGCGTGATCGCGTCCGCCGTTGCTATCCGACCCAATGCTCTGCGGAGACGCAACAAGGGCAGCACCGCCTGACGGAAGGATAGGCGTCGTCGTCCACTGGTCGCCGGCCTGGGGCGGCCGCATGACCGAACCGACAGCTTGCTGTGTTTGTGCTTGTGCTTGTGCTTGTGCTTGTGCTTGTGCTTGTGCTTGTGCTTGTGCTTGTGCTTGTGCTTGTGCTTGTGCTTGTGCTTGTGCTTGTGCTTGTGCCTGAGCCTGCAGCTGCAACTGCATGGCCGGCTGCTCAGACAGCAGTCTGCCCGAACCATCGGCTGACCGTTGCCGCAGGAATCCATGCCAGACACCGCCCGGAAGTTCAGTGCTGCCGAGAAGCAGCAAAAAGTCCCTTGTCGACGACAACTTCCAGCTGTTCCAAGCGTGGTATTTGACGATCATGGACGCCGTGTTGTAGAGCTCCCGATCGTCGTCTGCCATCGCAGTGGTCGGGTCGTCAAGTATCACCGGCAGCCCGGAAACAAGCATCTCCACCATCGCCTTGTAGATGGCCTGGATCGACGCTGCAGGGCTGGAAAGAGTCCCGGCTGTACCGGTTGTGCTCGTGGCAGACTCTCGCCGCTGCGGCAGCGACGCCATGTCGGCCAAGATCGTCCTCGTAATGCTGCATATGCAGAGCGAGAAGAACAGCGACAGCCATTGTCGGGGGTCCACCACCTCTCTCTGTGCCGTCGCTTTTTCAAATGACTGCAGGAACTGGCTGACGCAGCCGCGAACGGCCCGGTGGCGGATATGGCATTCGTACTCGTCGGCCAGGCTTGGCTGGTCTGCGCTGCTGGCAGCCTCCGGCAGGAGGGACGACCGCGCTTGTTGGAGGTCGAAGAAGAGCACCTCTCTCAGCAGCAGCTTTGCCTGGTGCAGCACCGGAAACGACACCGCCTCGGCATGTCTCGTGACCGACAGGAGGCCGCTCAGCTGCAGAAGCTGCCAGAAGTTGTAGGCCGTGCCGCTCATGCCCCAGCTGCAAGCAAGCGCCGCCAAAACCGGTGGCGGTCTCTGCGCACGCTCCTGCGACAAGGAGCCCGGTCGGTTCGGATCCGCCGACGACATGATGGCCAGGTCTTCAGTCCACCAGAAGTCATCGTCAAAATCGAGGTTTGTCTGGACAACCTTAGCCGCATCCGGACTCGTCCGGTGCGTCCTCTCTAGACGGTCGTTTATGCTGAGGCGCCGAGCAAGAGGCGACGTGGCCGGCGTGTCTGCACGACCAGGGGATAAGAAAGCTGCAAGTGGTCGTCTGCGTGAGCCATGGCTGTGTCAAGATCACAACGATCGCTGACGGACAGGGGTTTCCTACCTGGCACCAGGATGTTGACAAGCGAGTCAAGAGGTGCTCGATAGCAGCCAAGAAGCCGCCAGAAGTCCGAGCCCTGAGCAGGATCTTCTGCATTTGGGTAGCACGATGAGCAGGGGTCGTTTGCGTCACACTAAGCACATCTGTCAGTGCACGTTCGGCATAAAGGGGGGGTGGGTATAACAAGCATGGTGCTTCCACCACCACGAGAACGTACCGGCTGCTTTAGGACTTTGCACCGAAGACAAGGCTCGGCGCCCTGCAAGAGCCTAAGCTCCCCGATGGACTCCAGACGAGACGGTCCCCTGCGGCTGCGTTTGAGAGGTGGCAGCAACGGGTCTACCTCGGAGTCCACCGAGTCTCGTGTCGGGTGGCTTGAGGAGTAGTCGGAGATGAGGGAGTAGCCTCGCAAGGTGCCACGGTGCTCCTTGGTCTCGCCGCCTTGCGGCATGGGCGGGGGTGGCAGTTGCAGGCTGCCGCCGAGCCCACCGCCGACCGGGTGAGTGGGTGACGGATAGCCGATAAAGGACGACGACGACAGCTGCTGGCTGCGGGCGAGCGAAGACGGCGGAAGCGACGGTGGAGGTGTGCCTCCCATGGACAGGCCGGAGTCCCGCTTCGCCTGGGTGGAGTGGGCTCTGGTGTGCAGGTCGCGGTCTTCGCGGTGCAGAAAGCCGTAGATGTAGTGCAGACAGTTCTCGTCCGGGCACTTGTAGGAGTGGAAGGCCGCGTTGCCGGGCTCGGCAAGAGGACCGCCTCTTATTTTCCAGGCCCGCATGGCGACATCGCAGCTGGCAAAATTTCGGCGCAGCCAGTCGCCAAAGCCAGCAGGGGCATCATGCATATGGGCCGATTCCAGAGCGTCTATAACGCGGGGGTCGTGGAGGTCGTGGCCTGGACGGACACGCACATAAGCATCACGAGCACAACGAGGCTTTTTCTTTCTTTCTTTTCTTTCTTCTGTTTTCCTTTCACCGCAGCTTACCGTGGTCCAGACATGCAGTCTCAATGCATTCAATCTGATATTGAAGCTGTCGAGCTTCTTCCATCTCGGACAATATCGGGATTCTGTCCAAGAAGCCTGTTCACGGGCGAAATGTCAGCAAGAGAAAACGAGCACCAGAGGCTGGGCATAGACAGACGTACGATGGGAGTCGGCAAAGGCCCGCATAACGCGCAGTTTGTGGCGCAGATGCTCCAGCTCGACGCGCACGTTGGGGCCGTATTTCTGGGGGAGCAAGACAGCAAGCTTGGCGTGGATGTCGGCCTGCTGCTCGAGGAGCGCCTCAATGGTCGGGTCCAGAGGTGCCGGGTTGTTGTAGGGGGTGGTGGCGGGCGTGGCGCCGCGGTCGGCCGTATGGGCTGCAGAGATCTCAGCGGCCATGATGGCGGGCAGATGCGGCTGAGCCGGCCGAGACAGTAAGAGCGGTAGTGGGAACCCACGGGCGTCGAGGCCAGGGATCAGAAGACGGTAGAGCCGGATGGGAAAGAAGTGTGCAAAACGACAGGTGCAGCATCAGCATCAGCAGCAGCAGCAGCAGCAAAGCCGGGCGGGCAGGCTGACTTTGTGTGGCGACGCATGCTCACTGGGCCATGGCCACGTTGCCAGACGAGAGTGACGAGAGAGATGGAGACAGAGACGACGGAGAGAGGCAGACGGACGAGGTGAGAGAGAGAGAGAGAGAGAGAGAGAGAGAGAGAGAGAGAGAGAGAGAGCTTCCTGGGGTCCGATATCGACGGGCTGCCGGACGGTCGGATCTGATGGCAGTTCTCCTGGCTTAGCTCCTGGATCTCTGCGCTCGCATCGTCGGTTGGATCTAGCGGGCTCGAGTTGACTAGATTCGCATCGTGGCCGTCGAGCTGTATCTCGTATATCGACCGGACTTGCAGCTGTCAGTCTGGTCTGTTCTTTCGGGATTGGATGTGGCGCGTTGAAGGCGGTCCTGCCGTCTCGTCGACTTGTCAGACTTGTCAGACTTGCTGTCCGCTTCCCTCGGATCGATTCCACTCGCGCTCTCGTCTCTGCGCTTCCCTGTCGCTGTGTGCAGGGGAGGGGAGAGATTTAATAACTGGATGAGATATGGAGAAGTGGGGCTGTGCCTGAGGCAAGAAGGAAAAGAGCCACCGACGCACTGCAGCAGATTACACACGCCGAGTGTGCTTGTGCTTGAGGTGCTGTGATAGGAAGGAACGATTCGTCTATGAGCGTGTACGGATAATACGTCGTAGTAGGTAAAACTGTTAGGTGAACCGGGGGGAGAGGAAGAGCTGGCTGACGGGCTGTTAACAAGGCGAATTTGAGTACAAAGCATGTTGGCTATAACATGGGCTATAATATTGACAAGGACCAGGACAGAAGACCGGGCCGGGGAAGGGGGGGGGGGGGGGGGACGATATACTATGAGTATCTATCTTACGCGTACGAAGTTACTGTGCGAGGGAAAGTTGCTGCACGGCAGAGCCTACAGGCAGTCGTATCTTACGAGTGACATGCACGAGGCGATGGTGTTTGCATGCAGGGCACACAACAAGAAGGCAGCAGCAGCTCACTGGCAGGCTGCATTCGGAGCAGAAGCAAAAGATGGATAGAAAGTAACAGCAGCAGCAGCAGCAGCAAACAAGAGCGACAGCCGAAGACACGGCAGAGTGAGCGGGAGCAGCAGCAGCAGCAATGTCGTGAGCGACAAGGGACCCTGGCAAGAGGAGAGACAAGGGGAGGGCGATGGCGAGACGAAGACCTGTTGCGACAGGGACTGGCAGAGTGATTGAGGGAAAAGGCCAGACAGGGTGCAGCGAAGAAGAGAAAAAAGGCGCCAGGCCAACTAGTGCTAAAGAGGAAAACCGTTGAAAACGCGGCCGGGCCGCGGCGACTTATGGGGGGAAGAGAGACAAAGAGGCAAAGAGGCATGTGCGGTACCTGTATCGAGACGGTGGAATGGGTCTGGGTACATGCGTTGGGGTGCGTGGACCAGCCATGCTTCATGTACTCCGTGTGTGGGCCTGGGTACCCGCTCAGTGCGGTCGCCGAGTTGCTGTGGCAGGCGCACTACGACAAAGGGGGCCACGCTGCATAAAAAGCTGCTGCCAAACGGCCGAGCTGGTTGCACCATGGATGGGGCCAGTACGGAGTACCACTACCAGTCGCGCCAGTCTGACTCGTACACCAGGATCTGTGGCCCATTTGTCCTCTTGTTCTTTTGCTCTTTTGCCCTCTTGTCCTTTTGCCATTTCGTAATCTTCCGAGACAGTGCGAGCGGGACAGTGTGTCGGCTGGCTGCTGGATGTCTGCGCAAAAGTGCTCGTCTCTCCCGGCAACGAGCTCGCTGTGCATACATGGTGCGAGTAAGATAAGAAACATCGTTCTGTACTATGTAGCGTACGAGCCGCTCGCGAGCCGCACGGTCGCCTCTGCAGCTGGTCACTGTGCACGCGCTGAGCCAGGCCCATCCCTGTCGCTGCAGCTGCAGCTGTCTGGCGCTCCACCCCGCACGAGGACTGGAAAAAGGGCGCACCACTGGTTGGCCAGCTGGTACGGAGTACTACGACTCTGCAATGAGATAACCACGGTAGATGCAGCCAGGCGGCTGTTGCCAGTGTGCGTACGAGCGGTATCGTACGTGCGCAGAGAAGCCCAGAGCACTGCCGCATGCGAGCAACGCTCTGCGCGTACTGAGTACGGCTTGTGTGTGTAATCGCACAAAGCATCGCTTCTGTGCGGCAGACTTGCTGGAAAGTACTCCGTACAGAGTACCCGTTGCCTGTGCTCGCAAGGGACCGTGGCCTGCAATAATAAAAAAAAGGGGGGTTACATTCATAACGTCTAGCAAAACGCCGCCTTTCCTACTCGGCCCATTTCGCCGGCGAAGAAGGAAAAATCGGAGCTGGACCTCGTCTTCATTGGCCCCCCGGCGTTGCATTGAAGAACACAACACCACCGCTCTGCTCGCACATGAGCAGGCCAGCTGCCAACCACAGTCTCTTGCTGGGCCACCGCCGCCGCCGCCGCCGACATCCCCGTCAGAGCCCGTTTCTGGCACTGTCCTGCCTGTATGGAGTACGAGTACGCCTGCGTACATACGACGTACTCAGTAAATTGCCCCCCCCCCTTCGCCGATACGGCCATCGCCGCTGTTTGTTTTTCTTCTTATAATTTTCCTTTCTGGAGAATGCCGCTGCGGAGTACGAGGGTAATCCGACTAGTTGTATGCCTTACACATTATCGTAAGATGTCTGTTCTTACAAAGGACATGGTAGTGTCCTAGCCAGGTACAGCACCCGCTATTCATTTGGCTGAATTCACCCATTTTCCCGGCTAGAACTCAAATTGTAGCTTGCCAGCCGTCGGGCTCGTAATGCTTCGGAGACGCGCCCTCATCGCCCGGAGTCTCAAAACTCAAACGCGCACACGACTGTGCCCCGTACGGAACATGCGCGGACAGACAGAAAAATCTTACGATATGGGACCGTGTAGAGAGAAGACTGAGTCCTGTGACGGCCAAACCTGCCATTGCCTTCGTCCACATAACGGCACAAGGTAACCCTTGCGGGGCACGTCTGCAATTTACCCACTGCGCATTCTCTTCCCCCAGCCGCATGTGTCCAGCTCGCCTCATGGGGGCCTGGCTGAAAGATGTCAGTGGGCCGCCGGAAGAATCGAGTTAAAGGCGCTCGCTCACACACCCCAAGGAGCCCTTCTCCGCCTCTCCCCTGTCCTACCAGCTGAATTCTTTTTTTGCGAGCATACCCCCCCCAGCCCCTGTGGCTCGTGCTTAAAGCACCGCCACAGTGAGTTTGGCTTGGCCGCACCGCCACAGCGTCTTGGGGCTCTTGGGCTTTTTACGCCACGAACCAGCCGCCTAAGCAACAGTTTTGTCACCCCGCCTCCATCACACACGAAAAGGCCGTGCCGGCACGCGTGCATCTCGCCCTTTCCACGTTCGCATCGCCATTCGAGCGAGGCTGCTGTTTGACGATGGACGACTTTGTCAGCGAGACTGACAGCGAGTACACCAGCTATTGGCGCGACTGGGTGCGTTCCTGGCTTCCTCCCTCTACCGCCTCGTGCTCTCCTCCTCGACTTTGACCCTTGAAATTGCCATGTAGCTGACCAGCTGTGCCCATGCTTGCAGTTTATATCCTCCAGAGGAAACGAGTACTTCTGCGAGATTGACGAGGACTACCTCACTGACCGCTTCAACCTCACCGGGCTCAACACCGAGGTCCAATACTACCAGTATGCGCTGGATCTGGTTACCGACGTGTTCGATCTCGACTGCGACGATGAGATGCGCGAGACCATTGAGAAATCGGCTCGGCATCTGTATGGCTTAGTGCATGCGCGCTACATTGTCACCACGCGCGGCCTGTCTAAGATGGTATGCTGCGTGGCCCCCCCTTTTGGCTGAAGAAGGCGTGCGCATTGGCTAACAACAGTCTGCCCGACAGCTGGACAAGTACAAGAAGTCCGACTTTGGCAAGTGTCCGCGCGTCAACTGCCACTCCCATCCTCTCCTTCCCATGGGTCTCTCGGACATTCCCAACGTGCGGCCGGTGAAGCTGTACTGCGCCCGGTGCGAAGACATTTACAACCCCAAGTCTACGCGCCACTCTGTGATCGACGGGGCGTATTTCGGCACATCCTTCCACAACATCCTCTTCCAGGTGTACCCGGCCCTGATTCCGTCCAAGTCCGTGGAGCGCTATGTGCCTCGCGTGTTCGGCTTCAAGGTTCACGCGTCGGCAGCCCTGGTCAGGTGGCAGAACGCAAAACGAGATGAGATGAGGCGGCGACTCCGGAGGATGGAGATCGACAGCGGGTTCAAGGACGTGGACGATGACGACGTTGAGCTGGACGAAGAGGATGAAGACATAGACATAGATGAGCATCACGTGACCGGGGAGAACGGCACCTTGACGGTCATGGTTTAAGGATTGCAGCTCTCGGCGTTGTTTCTTATTTTGCTTCGGATCGTTTATTGTGAGCATTACAGGCATTGCCACCTTCCTGCGGTGTGTTGAATAGGACGGGTTTTCTTTCTCAATGATGACATGGACACGGCCATATTGGCCAGCTTTCACATTTGCTGCTTGGTTGCATGCGTGTGCTCGGTGAAGTAACCAGAAAAGTGAATCCTTTGTTATCTCTCTCTATCCCTCCATGTTCTGTCAAATTTTAACCCAAAATAAAAATATAAACAACATAATCAAGACACAAAGTCTAAAGATGAAAACCAGAGCTTGTCCAGATATGCCAAAAATCGCGGCGCCAGGCGCAGGTCGGCCTAACTGCCTTCGTGTTGGGGGACAGTCTTTACGTAATGTGATCATGAGCCGCGAGCGTTGCCTTTCCTAAGGAGCGCCTCTTCGCGGCTCGAGATTAGACCGTTCAGGCGACGAGTATTGGCGGTAGTCTCCGACCGGACTAGCAAATTCGCCGCCTTCCTCTTCGTCGCCGGAAGCGAACGACCACGGCTGCCGGGGCAGCGCCCAGCTTTGGCTGCCAACGCCAGCCCAGAAAGCCTTGTCCGAGGACCGCGGGCCCCAGGCCCAGCCGGCACCACGGCTCATGGGCAGCTGGTACAGACGAAAGGCGACGATGCTGGTGACGGTGCCGATGAAGTAGCCAAACAGGATATCGAAGCCGTGATGCCGGTAATTGAACCAGCGGGAGGCGGCAATGAAAAAAGAGCCGCCGAGGGGGATGAGGACGAAGACGAGGAGATAGACAGGCGGAGCTGCGCCGCTGCGCCGGACCGAATGGACGGCCTGGTCGCGTGCCAGCTCACCGTAGTTCTTGGCGGACCGGCCTGCCTCGCCGCTGCTGTTGCCGGGGCCACGACGGCGATCGGTGAGCTCGTAAGGGTCCGACCGCGACGAAGCGGACACCAGGGCGGCCGCGCGGTCAGGGAAGGCCGAGAGCGCGCCGACCTGGTCGTATGCAGGCGGGGCGGCATAGGGGAAGACGACGCCGAGCTTATAGGCAAGGTAGAGGGCGAGGTGGCCGAGACCAGCGGCGGATGAGCCGCTGTGGCCGGACGGGTAGCTGCGGAAGCCATCGTGAAGGACATAGGAGTCGGTGTTCTTGCAGATGGATGCGCTGACGAGCTGGCCGTTGGACGTGATGTTGGCGATGCCACCGACGATATACTCGGACAGGTGCGCCAGGTCAGGCTGGCAGCGGGAGATCAGGTCCGGTCGCGGCTTGCCGCACAGATTCTTGACGAAATTGATGATGAACCACTGGGCGACCATGCCGACGGCATACGACTGCAGGGACGCGTAAAACTCCCACAGCTTGCGGCGCCACACGAGCTTGGCAGGTGTGCCAGGCGGGACGGACAGGCCGGGCGTCGTGAGCAGGGAGAAGACGAGGATAGTGGCGACGGGAACGGCGACAGTGGCGATAACGAGAGTGCCCGATGTGACGGTCTCGTGGTGGCGGTACGGGAAGCTGGGAGGCGGGGTCAGAAGCGAGCACCGGAACAGAGAGGGCGAGAGCGAAGACGAGAACGGCCTACGAGATATCTGGGTCCTCTAGCTGAAAGGGCCGCATATTCGGAGTGAGATTGCCCAGATAGTAGCCACCGACGCCAGCAGCCACGATGATGATCCAGTCGACGATGCCTGCCGCGACGACCATGGGCGAGATCCGATCGGAGGACCGGCGAGGGGCCATGGCTGCAAAGGTGACGGGCGATGCAGAGTCGTTGGTAGACGTCTGGAAGCCGGTCGACGAGATGAGCGGAGTGGCGCTTTGGTCGGTCATTGGGGAAGGGAGAGGCAGCGTGGCGTTATTAATGCTCGGCGGAGTGGCAAAGGGGGACTACTGTATGGCCTAGAACGTTGGCACTGCTGGGGCCGTTTTGGGCAAGAACAACAACAAGGCCCCTTCTCCAACAAAGAAGCTGAAAAAAATAGGAGAGGGGACAAAGACTTCAAACGGTCGGTCTGGACGGTGTTCATTGTAGCAATTCGGTGGATCCACCTAATAAATAGCGGGCAACAGGCTTGCAACGTCGTACGGAGCAGTCCGTATTTCTCGCAGATCCCAGGACGAGCAAGATGACATTTGCGGTGGAATTACTCCGTACGGAGTACATAGTAAATGATACGAGTACGAACCGACCAGAGGAGAGCTGGGCGAGGCGGTGCTGAAGCGCACTAGCGAATGGGTTGCCTTGCGCCTCCCCTGACTAGCTGAAGTCGGCTTATGGAAAGACGGCTGAGCCACAGAGGCACACGACGCGTAACAGGCAAGTTTGGAGAAGCATTCGTCTCAGCAAATGCGGGGTTTTCCACGTTGTATATCCTACATTGGAATGCATGCATGCTGGCCCGTACTCGTACTTTGACTGGGAGCTCGTCACGATCAGCTGGATCCCTTGCTCTTGCGCTTCCCCATATTGCGCACCCGCGGGACGACCACCCAGCGATTGATGTTGTGCGTCCGCCGGGTCTTGTATCCGCCCTTGGCCTGTTGCACGTGTCAGCTCTCAGTTCTGCATTCTGCCTCTTCGGCTGCGGCACACATCCACGTACCGGCGTGCCCCAGGGACTAGTTGGGTGGCGGTTGCTCTTGGATTTACCACGGCCACCACCGTGCGGGTGGTCGGCTGCAGACAGGTCAGTTCAGCTCGGGCAGCGGCCGCGGAAAAGCAAGGGCTCGACGTACCTCTATTCATGGCCACGCCGCGAACGGTGGGCCGAATGTTGAGCCAGCGGCTGCGGCCGGCCTTGCCCAGCTGGCGGTACTGGTGGTTGGGGTTGCTGGCGACGCCAATGGTGACGCAGGCGTCCTTGCTGACGCGGCGAATCTCGCCGCTCTGCAGGCGCACCTGGACGAAACGGCCGACCTTTTGGGCGCCGGTCCCGTCAGCCTCACCGTCACTGGCCCATGTCCTCTCCTCCTTGGTCATGACGACGGCATACGTGCCGGCGCTGCGACAGAAGACCGCGCCCTTGTTCGGCTGCGAGCCGACGTTGTAGACGACCGTGCCGATGGGCACCATGTGCAGCGGCAGGCAATTGCCCCGGTGAGCCGTCCGGGCAGCCAGAATGCCGGGATCAATGGTGCCACCCATGCTGTCGAGCAGGTCCTGCGGGATGCCGGCGCGATAGCTCTGCACAATGTCGCCGGCCCGCATGCCCTCGGCCGCCACAATGTACGACTTGCGGCCGGTGGCCTGGTCTGTGATCAGCGCAATGTGTGCTGACCGGCCGGGGTCGTGCTCGATCCGCTCGACCAGCTGCGGTCCCGGCGCCCAGCGCTCAAAGTCCACCGTGCGGATGCGCCGCTTGGCGCCGCCGCCACGGTGACGCACCGTCACGCGTCCCGTGTTGTTGCGCCCACCCTTGCCGTGGCCTTTTTTGGGAAATGTCAGCGGCAGGAACGGCCGCCCTTTCCAGAGGTGGTCGTTGATCGGCCGCTTCAGATGCCGCACGCCCGGCGTCCGCGGCTTGTACGTGCGCATCAGCACCGACTCGCGGTCGATCTTGGTCGGCGCCGGGATCGCAAACTGGCTCGCAAACGCTGCGCTCGCCGGCTCTGCTGCTGCTGCCGGTGGAAGCGTCGATGGTGATGGTGATGGTGATGGTGAGGGTGGCGGTGGTGCTGCCGCTGTCGTCGAGACAAATCGCCGGGCAACACGGAGGCGGGCCCAGCTGGCGCTGGCGGCCAAAGCCCCCGTTCTCGGATTCAGCATGGCGGCGTGCAGTCTTCTGGCGGCAGGACGTCGGCCGGGGATGCCTGAACTGCTCGTTCCGTCTTCACACCAAAGCTTGCCATTGGGAAAAAAACCGGCACTCTTACGACGTCGAAAATGGAACCTCTGTTAATCCGTTCCGCTCTTTCCTCAGCCACACCCACAGAACGCGTTCAGCCACTACCGTTTCTCGCTAAAGTGGCGTGGCCGACAGACGTGCCACGGCAGCCAATAGGAAACCCGTTGCCCTGTGGTTGCTATTGTTGATGGTGGACTCGGCCTATGACTACGATGGGATTGGCTCCGGCGCGCGTCTACGATAGTGCCTCCCCAACCCATGCTCTTTTGGCACTCTTCCCCACCATCCGATGACTTTGGAGGACCTGTGCCGCCCGCGTTCTCGTGGCCTTCGTCACCGCCCCTGTACGATGTAACTACTTTACTCGTATGGACTCCGTACGGTGTGCTCGTACTGAAAAGCAAGGCTTCTCTTGTCCTTTCTGGTGCAGCTTGTCCAATCTCTCTGCACGTCCTGTCATCAGACGCCTGATCCACCCGATAGGGGCCTCTCCTTCCGGCGCCCACAGCGAGAACGTGTGTGGGTGCTGTTTCACCGGATTGGCCCAGCTCATTGGCCCGTAGCACGGCTGCAGGTGCTCCAGTGCTCCTCTCTGCCCCAGCAACGGCACCACCGTCCCCTGTCTCTACGCGTTCGGCGCTCTCGTTGCCCACCAAAGCGCGCTTCGCCCTTGCTTCGGCCGTGCTCTGCACTCGTATCTTACAGGCGCTGCATGTACCGCCACCACCAATCTCTCACCGCAAGGGTACCTGCGGGGCCATACCGCGTTCTTCCTGGCCCTCCTGGCCTGCTTTGACCTGCCTGTCCTATCTGCCTGTGTCTGCCTGGTTCTCTTTCAGAAAATAACACTCACCCACGCCCAAAAAACCAGCCCGCCCTTTGTCTCTCTCTCGACTCCACTGACGCCAAAACATTCTCTTCTCTTTTATACCAAGTCTCTTTTTGTCTGCACGTCTCCATTACCTGTGCATTCCTCTCCGCCTCTGTTTTTTTTTCTTGCTCTCGACTTCATTCTCCTCTCTACCACCTCGTCTGGTCTTTTCGTCACATCGGTCGCCTCTTAGTTTATCGTATCGGCCTCTTCGAACACGTCTTCACCGTAACCGCCTCGAGCCTGATTTGTTGATACATCACCTCGCGACCGCGATCAGCTGTTTGCTCGGCTTCGCTTCATGGTACGCTTTGCTTTCTTCTCTCTCTTTCTCTTCATCGTGCTCGCCTCGTTCCTCCCTATCCGCCGGAAACGGCATTCGGCACGCCAACGTGGCCTGCTTTTCTGCCTCGACCGAATCCACACCGACGCGCAGATTTCTTGACGCGTTCATACTGACAATTTCGACAAATAGGGATAAGGCATTCTCAGCATTGACCCGAGTTGGAATATTTTTAGAGGCGTACGCACGTCTCTTCAAAATACGAATATCCTCCTCAGCACCGCTTTCTGCGTGCCGTAATCCACCACACATCCAAGATGCCTCCGGTGAGTCGCGTAAGCACACCCTCCCACTCTCGGCCCTGAAGCAATGGCTGCTGACCCACACCAGGCACGTCCCGTCAGACAGCGGCTCGTCACCAACGAGAATGACGAGAATGGCGCAGTCGCCGCCCGTATGACGCGTGCAAAGACGGCTTCGCTTCACACGGAGGATCTCGCCGTCCCCGCCAAGCCCCTCCAAACCAAGCGGTCTGCTCAACCCGCTGCTGCGCAGCCCGGCCTGCGGAAGCGCGCCGCGCTGGGCGATGTCAGCAATGTCACCAAGACCGACGTGGTCGAGGCTAAGAAGGCCTCCGGCAAGGTCAGCCTGGTGTCCAAGGCTGCCCAGCCAACCGGAGTACAGAAGGCCACGTCCCGTCCCACCACCCGCACAGCCCTTGCCACCAAGGAGGCGGCCAAGAAGGCCACCGAGGTCAAGAAGTCCGGCCACGGCGCAATCAGCACCGTCCAGAAGAGGAAAGCCGCCGCTGCAGCAGCCGCTGCTGCCGCTGCCGTGGTGAAGGAGGAGACGCCAGCCGACGAAGAGCCTGCCCGGAAGAAGGCCCACACTGCGCCAGCGCGGGCCGAGGAGCCAGTCAAAGCCAAGAAGGAGCCTGTTGTCGAAAAGGTCATCGAGAAGGCTGTCCAAAAGGCGGCTGCCGAGAAGGCTGCCCAGAAAGCCGCTGCTGCCGAGAAGGCTGCCGAGAAGGCTGCTGAGAAGGCTGCCGAGAAGGCCGCCCAGAAAGCTGCCGCTGCCGAGAAGGTTGTCCAGAAAGCTGCCCAGAAAGCCATCGTCGAAAAGGCTCTCCCAGTAGAGGAGCCCGTCGAAAAGTATGAATCGGTCGAATTCGTCTTTCCCGAAGGCGTCAAGGATCTCGATAGCGAGGACCTGCACGACCCGCAGATGGTGGCCGAATATGCTCCGGAGATCTTCGAGTACCTCTGCGACCTGGAATGCAGCTCCCTGCCGAACCCTCGCTACATGAACCACCAAGACGAGCTGGACTGGAAGACGCGTGGTGTCCTCATCGACTGGCTGGTCGAGGTCCACACCCGCTTCCACTTGCTGCCCGAGACGCTCTTCCTCGCCGTCAACATTGTCGACCGGTTCCTCTCGGCCAAGGTAGTCCAGCTCGACCGCCTGCAGCTGGTCGGCGTTACCGCCATGTTCATTGCCGCAAAGTACGAGGAGGTCCTCTCGCCTTCGGTCAGCAGCTTCCGGCACGTGGCCGATGATGGATTCAGTGAGGCCGAGATCCTCAGCGCCGAGCGCTTCATGCTGGGAACCCTCAACTACGATCTCAGCTACCCGAACCCGATGAACTTTTTGCGCCGTGTCTCGAAAGCGGACAACTATGACATCCAAACCCGGACCGTGGCAAAGTATCTGACGGAGATCAGCCTCCTCGATCACCGGTTTATGTCCTACCGACCCAGCCACGTTGCCGCTGCCGCCATGTTCCTGGCACGATTGATTCTTGACCGGGGTGAATGGGTATGCATGATTCCGTGTCCCCTCTGTGCTGTGTCATGAGTTTGCTGACACGATATACAGGACGAGACCCTGTCCTTTTACGCAGGCTACAACGAGGAGGAGATCGAGCCGGTGGCCATTCTCATGATTGACTACCTGGCTCGACCGTCTACCCACGAGGCATTCTTCAAGAAGTATGCCAGCAAGAAGTACTTGAAGGGTAAGGCCCCCAATCACCTGCTCTGTTTCCTGCCACAAAGGTCTAACATGTTGCAGCTTCCCTCATCACTCGCCAGTGGGCAAAGAAGAACGCAACTCACTTCGGCATCACGGATACAGACCTGTCCGTGGACGAGATCTCATGATCGACGTTGTCGGCGATGATGCATCGCAGCAAGGCCACTCAAGCAAGCTCTCTTTTCTTGAACGGCCGGCCCGGTGCACGCATCACTGGATCGGCGTGGGCAACGATCGCACGATGTGCGGCTCGCGATTGGCACGCCGCAAATTTAAATGAACAAAACTTATTTAACCATCACTGGCTTGTGTTGGGGGTGGTTACTAGCGTCATTGGATTCCGCTCTCTTGTCATTGACACCGGCGCCTGGAGTTGACACACGGTTGCAAACTGGATGTGCCTGTTTTATTGACTTCTATTCATATTTCCATTCTTCGTGTTCATGTTTCTGTCTTTCCCTGCGTACCAATGGCTTGCATGCTTTCAGAAGTCCCTGACTGGGATGGTGGTATATTAATTAGGGAGCCTGTCGGCCTGTCTGGCACGAGGAGGCAGGACAAAGTCCACCATTAATGAATGATCCTAGGGTAAGGGTTGGTGAGGCAAGCTTTGTGCAGTGTGAGGGTGGGACAACCCGGAGCTGATGACCTGCATATGTATCTCACATGGTCTGGTGTGGATGCCTGTTTCTGTCTTTCGTGGTTTTGGTCTATGGCCAGGCATATCTTGGGTTTGAACAAAAAGGCACTGAATGAATCTCTGTTACATGATACTACGCATTTTACGGTCCGGTCTGTCTTCTGATGTTGTGAAGTGGAAGTAGAAGTGAAACCAAGGTCGGCTTGTCGTCGATTAGCTGCCGTTAGTGTGAAACTGCAGGCAGGGGTGCCTGGAAGCAGTCGATTAGACAACGGTCACATTCTCGCTTCTTGTGGCATAAAGTGGTCCTTCCGTTGTATTCAAAAACGCATACAGTCATTAATCAAAGCACGGGCGCCCCGCCTTCCTCCCAGCTCGTATAACCGTAAAGCGCCGTATTGCGCCCCTTGTGGCCATTTGAGATCCAGTTCAATCATAGCAAGTCCTTCGTCGACCATCGGTGCACCCTGGGACAGGGGCATACGGTCGTTACGCCGCCGTTTGTGTAAAGTGTAAGTCTCCGGGCTGGAGAGAGAAAGGTGAAGAAAGAAAGAGAAAGTAGGACCAGCGTTTCGTCTCTGAAATGTCCTCGTTGTCGCCCTGCTTGATGTAGGGTGGGTATCAAATAAGAAATATGGGTGAGAGCAGCTGCCCCAGACTGGGAGCAGACTCAGAACGAGCCCATCCGCTCCTCCATACCGCCCCAGTAGACGATGGGGCGCGGTTCGAGAACGGCGAGGCCGCTGCTGAAGATGCGGCGCTCCTCCTCCATGTTGACGATGGAAGGCTGCCGAACGATGACGCTGTTGACGGTGGAGACGGGGGACGAGGTGGCGGAGCCGAACGAGCTGGTGCTGCTGGTCGACGAGGCGGAAGCCGATCGCAGGCGGAAGGATGTGCGGATGCCCTGGGGCGAGAAGCGGGCGGCGATGGCGTGGAAGCGCGAGGACTGCATCATGATGGCTTGGCGATGGTGGTGGTGGCGTGACTGGGATGGGAACAGACAGGAATTTTGGTGATGCAAGGCGGAGAAGGAAAGTCAAAGGCACAGCCTCGAGGTAAGAAACAGAAGAAGAGAACGAAGAGTGAACTGAAAGATAGGACGATATGTCGATCTGCTGCTGCTAGGATGAAGTGAGGCCGATCAAAATCAGGTGGTAGCCGCGGTACGGGAAAACCGGACGAAGAGAAGGGTGCGAAGAGGAAGGAGAAAAAAGGTCCTAGTTGGTGCTCTTGGAGAGAAGAGGAAGCAAGAAGGAGAGATCGGGAGGGTATGGGACCGCTTTAAGTATCATCAGGAGACCATTTGGTGGAGGCACAGAAAGACCAACGGCTACGAGAATAGACGGGCGTAGTCCGCCGCTCAGACACGTAGAGCATGGCCAGGATAGGAAAAAAAAGATCTATCAGACTGCGAGGGGCTACAGAGTCAGGGGGGCTAGAAAGAATGGAGGACTGTGTTAGTGTGGGAGTCGACGCAGGGATGCGGCATTATGCAAGTCCAGTCCGTCGTGGCTTGCGTACGGAGTAGGCGACGGTCGTCTTGCGGTCACGTGCAAGGGGCCGCTGTTTGGGGCCCGGGGTTGCTGAAACACCTGCACCGGTCACCCAGACGGACTGGTGCGGCGAGCGCGATCCGTGCGGCCGCAAAACGTGCAGCCAGACCGAGCCCGGGGTCTGCTGGAGCGTTGGAACGTGTGGGAGCGTTTGAGGTCTGTTGCCGTGCTTTGCCGTGCTGAGCCTGGCCGGAGGACCGTCTTGCCTCTGCAACGAGGACTCGCAGGATGATGCCTCTCGGCCGCGGGCCAGCGCCGATAAGAGGCCACGCGTAATCCAGACGTCGTCCTTCTTGCGTGCTCTGCAGTCATGGCAAGCCGTAGCTTACGAGTACTTTTGCCTTTAGGTAGCCCCGCTTCGAATATTCGGCCATCTTGCTGTAGCTTCGTCCTTTTGACAAGGAGGTACGAAGTACACGGCAGGGTTTGCTTCTTTTCTTCTCTTTACTGTTTCCTTTCTCTTCAAGCTCCCGCTCTGGCTTCCCTCCCGGACGGACACGGCTTGTTTCAACTTCTCCCAACAGGCTCGTCGAAATGAACAAGGGCCGTGGCAACTGTTCGTCCTGACCTCTGCGACAAGCGGGGCTCCTATCCACCCGAACGCGGCCTAGCTCTCCCTGAAAAGTGAAACACCCTGATATAGGCCGATCAAGGCCAACGGGCAGGAAGCGGCCATCCCTTCATGCCTCCGTTCTGCGCTGCAGGGGCAGAACCTGTCAGGACTGTGAAGTCGTGCTGTAGCGCATTCGCTACGCCCCTTTGCATGGCTGCGGAATGCAATGCGCGTATAATAATTCATTGTCACCTCATGACAAGTCGGATGGCGTGGCTGGCGCTGCCTGGTCTGCATTCTTTGCGGAAAATAGTTTGAAAAATGAAAAATGAAAAATGAAAAATCTTTCACCGAGGTCGACTGGCGCATTGAGCGGTACCCCAGCCGACAGTGCCACTCCTTAAAGGGGCGCAGAAACAGATTTAATGCTAACCTGCTTGCAATCCATGTGCTTTGCTCATTGTATCGCCGGGTTGCCCGTCTTCACAGCCATCCGGCGTATGCCGTTCTTTGTATCCTTGCAAACGCATAAACACTTTGTATTAGTCTGCTCGCTCTAGATGCTGAAAATGGGAAACCAAAAAAAAAAGAGCATGCGCCTCGCTTCCGCTCGCTGGCAAACAAAATCAAGAAATAAACGGTGGACAGAAATGCCGCTGGGCCGGTCGAGACCTTGGTGTCTCTCACTTGTTCCAGCCGCCGTCTCGTCGGTGTGTGGCGCTCCTGCGGATGCTGTCCATCCATACGGAGTCGTCTAGCATCGCGCTCACGTGTGCCGGACTGACGGCGCTTCCACGCCTGCTGCTGGCCCCGCTGACCGGCTGGCTGCCCGGCTGGCTGCCCGGCTCCTGCAGGTCGAAGCTGAACGCGCTCGACGAGTGGTGGTGCTGCTGCGCCGACAGCGACTGGTGCAGGAAATTGCCGCTGCCACCGGTACCACCACTGCCGGTGCTGATGGCACTGCTCATCGCGCTCGTGCTCGCCCGCACGCCCGACGTCCACGGCAGGCTCAGCGGGTGTGCGTAGTTGGTGTCGTGCAGGCTGATGTCCATGCTCGCGCCCGACCAAGACCGGTGGTGCAGCTGGCTCTGGCCGTTGCTGTGGCTGCTGGCCGCCCGCGCATCGTCCGCGCTCAGGAATGACGACGGCTTCGGCGGCGACGGGAAGAATGGCGCCGGCCCGGCCGTCGGCGTCGTCGGTGTTTGCTGTCTCTGCCGTACCTTGTTTGTGTGGCCGTCGTCGTCTGCGTCCACCAGGATGTCCGGGATGTCGAGCCGTGGCACCGTCGTCATGCGCGACGCCCGCTTCATCTCGAGGTGTCGTCGGAAGCGCCTGGACCAGTATCTGTCACGTGTTAGCACAAATCATTACTAATGTATGACTAAGCATAGCGAGGCAGACGTACAGCGTATCGAAGAAGCCCTGCACCGTTCTGCGGCGCAGCTCCTCGTCGACGCGCTGCAGGCGGGCACGGCGCCGCAGAAACTCCTCGAGCCGGAGGCTCTTGCTGTCGCTGATGATGTTGTAGTGGGCGATGATCATGAGCACGGTCGTGAAGGAAATGCCGTTGTCGGGGTCGGCCGAGACCATGACCTCCTCGTAGAAGAAGTTGAAGCGACGGCGGCGGCTGCGCACGCGTTCGACGTCGATCTTGCCGATCCGGTCGTTGAGCTTCTTCAGGTCGACGCCGGTGAAGGTGGGCGGCGCCGAAAAGGGAATGGCCAGCGAGGAGTGGCGGGCCAGCGACCGCGAGTCGTCGTTGCGCACGTGCTCGAGGATGCTGCCGACCGAGTCCTCGTGGTCGTAGATGCGCATCTCAAACACGCCCGAGAGTTCGGCCAACAACTGGGGAAAGGCATCGCGGCTGATGAAGCCGGTACCGTTGGGGTCGACGCTGCGCCAGGCCTCCTTGAAGCGGCGGATCTCGTCACGGTTGATGTCGACGAGTCCGCTCGATCGCTGGTAGACATATGAGAAACTCTCGTAGATCAGCGAGACGAACAGGTTGACAAAGATGTACATGCTGATGATGTTCCAGCCGATGAAGAGCACGCGTGCCCAGGCCTTGCTGCCACAGTCACTCTCAAAAAAGGTGTCGGCCTCGACGCAGAGCGGCGGCCGGATGTCGGCGTAGTCCTCCATCAGCTGGTTCCAGCCCTCGCCACAGCTCATGCGCAGCAGCAAGATCAGCGCCTTGGGCACCGTCCGCAGGTTGATATTGCTCGACTCCTGGCTGCCGAAGCGCGTGAGACTGAAGGATTGCGTCATGGCAATGGCAAAGACCATGAAGAAGACCAGCCAGGTGGCCACGAGGCTGCCAATGGTCGACAGACTCGCAGCGGCCGTCTTGAACAGCTGGTCCAGCGCGTCGTTGCGCGGGATGAGCATCAGCACAATGGCGACGAGGAAGATCTTGTGCAGCTGTACCAGCGTGTCTTCACGGTGTAGCGAGAGGAAGAGCACGGACGTGATAAAGGCGCCCGACACGGAGCACATGCTGAAGATGTCCCACGAACTGCGTCGCACCCGACTCCAGCCCAGGCCGATGATGCGGATGGCAATGTTGACCATGTAGACCAGCGTCAGGGCCAGGAAGAGGTAGTCGCGCGTGTTGCTCCACCACATCGGCTCACCCGCGTACTCCAGCACCAGCAGGATCAGGTGTACCACCAGCACGACCGTGATGCCCAGGTACCACTTGCCACGCTTCTCGATCGCCCGCTTGTGGCACCAGCGCTTCAGCCGGTTCTTCGAGTCGTCGTACGAGCTCTTGGACGGCGAGATCTGGCGCAGCAGCTTGCGCAGCTCCAGCCACGACCGCTGGTCGCCCGTCAGGAAGGCCACACCCGTCTGCTCAGTGTAGTTGCGCATGAAGACGGAGATGAAAAGCGTCAGTATGAAAACCGTTGCCAGTAGGTTGAATACGATAAAGAAGACCGCGTTGCCCTGCGCGGCCCCAAACTGCGGCTGCAGCCCGGTGCCGGTGATCGCCTGCGCCTGAAACGACACGTCCACCCAGCCCTCTTGGCTGACGATCTCGAACAGCACCACCAGCGATGCGCCAAAGTCGTCGAAGCTGAAGTACGGGTTCGACGCCACCCGCGGCGCCAGCAGCTGCCAGTCGCTGCTGAATGGCGCGCTCAGGAACTCGCCCGAGCAGTCGACCAGCTGCAACAGGCTGCCATCGTTGCACGTGACCATCTTTCCACGGAACAGATTCAGCCCCAAAACAGCAAACGGGATCAGCAGCGAGATCGATACAAAGGCCGCGCTCAAGATCTTCCACCCGCCCACGATCATAAGCGAGTGGAACGTCTCGCGCGCGCTGTCGCTGATGTTGAGCAGCCGCAGCGCCCGCAACGCCTTGAACGCGCCCACCGCCCGCGACACCGCCCCGTCGTTGGCAAAGAGCGTCGCCACATTGATCCACAGCGTGATCAGCACCACCGCGTCGATCACGCCCCATGTGCTGCGGAAGAAGGCGTTGGGTGTCCAGAGGAAGCCGTCCGCGATCACCTTGACCAGCATCTCGAACGAGAAGACGAGCGCAAACGCCAGGTCCGTCCACACAAACCAGTTCTTGGAGCTAAACGTGTGGCCCGCGTCAAAGTACTCCTTCTGGTACAGCGGCGTGGTGATGCACGCAATGATCACCATCGCCACAATCGACGCATAGATGAACGCCGAGAAGATGTACCACGGGTACTTGTGCGGATCGGTCCCGTCAAACCGCTCCGACCCTCGCCCCGGTCCGACGATGCTCTGGCACATCCGCCGGATTGGATTGCGCGGCGAGAACACAAAAAGCGAGTTGTTGTACGACGGATGGCGCGTCAGGTACTCGCGCTGCGCCTTGCGCCGTGCCGCCGTCGCCGAGACCGCCTCGCGCGCCATCTGCCGCGGGTCCAGCGCCTCGTTGATCGCGTGCAGCCGGATGCTCGAGTAGAATGGGTTCGGCTCGCGGCTGGTCGTTATCCGTACCATCCGCGACCACACTGCCGACAGGATCCCTGGCTGCATCACTGTTGCCTCCTCATGGCCGTGTCCGTGGCCGTGCCCATGGGTCTCCGGCGAGTCGGGCGACTCGAGCGAATCCGACGCCTCGTTCAAGAACTCGTGCACCACCGCCTCCTTCAGCAGCATCTCCATCATCGCCGGGCCGTAGTCCAGCGGGTCCTTGCGCTTCTGCCGCCGACCAAAGGAGAACATGGCCGACAGCGAGAGGTTGCTCGCCGAGCTGCCCAGCTCCTTGCGCTGCAGGAATGCCTTGACCTGCTCCAGCCGCTTCTGGTCCTCGCTGACGTCAAAGTTCTCCTGAATCACCGCGATGAACATGTTGACCAGGATAAAGTATGCCAGCGTGAACCAGCCGATCAGAAAGATGGCCCCAATCCACGCGTTGTGCAGCCGCGTCGTAAATGTCGTCACCGTGTACAGGATCACCGTCCAGTTCTCGCTGGACATTAGCTGGTACATGCCCAGGAACGAGTTGAAGATGTTGCCAAACGTGATCCGGATGTTGTTGCCGTCGTCGTCCAGCGGCGTGATCTCGCCGCGGAACAGCTGCACCGCAAAAATGGCCATGAGGAAGGTGATGAGGAACACAAACAGCACCAGGTTCGCGATACCCGTCGAGTTGCCCAGCACCAGCTTGATCAGGCCCCGCGTCATCGGGATCGCCAGCACCAGCCGGTACGTCCGCAGGATCTGAAACACCGTCAGCCACGCGTACAGCTGCTCCCGGTGCCGGATCTCCGGGATCAAGATCACCGTCGTGATCACCGCCAGGCCGAGGTCGAATATGTTGCGGAACGCATGAGGGAAACGCCGCCAGTCCTGCGCGATGCGGAGAACGATCTCGACGTCTAGCAGACTAGTCACCATGATTTCGATCGCATTGATGGCCGGGATCCGGTTCTCGTGCGCTGCGCTGCGAAAGGCCTGCGCAAACAGCCCGAGCGCGATCATCAGCACGAAGAACCAAGCGATCTTGTCGTAGATCCACTTCAACGACCACCGGCGTAGCGGCGCCTCATCCACGTGAGCGGTCGTAAAGTTCTTCTCGTCCGCCGTGAAAGCGCTGCCCTTGTTCTCCTCGCGGATGAGCAGGAACGACGAAGTGATCACGGCGATCAGCAGGTTCGTCATCCAGAGCATCATCACCACGATGCCGGCCGCAAAGAACAGCGCTGCCGGCAGGTAGTCCGAATCGGTCGTGTAGTACATCAGGTCGCTGAACGTGTTCGCGCTCATGATCACAAACACTAGCTCGAGCGAGTGGAAGATGTCGTCAAAACTGACCGTCGCGTTGTAGGGCGCCGTCTGCTGGAGGCAGATGGACCCACGCGGGCAGATAAAGCCCTTGCCCGACGACGAGCCGTTGACGAGGATGGTCAGATCATTGGGCTCCTTCATCTGGACCCAGGGAAGCGTAGTCGGTTCGACGTCCGTGTTGTTCACGAGGTAACCACCGCAGAACTGGAACGAGTTCGTGTACGAGGCCGACAGGTTGGTCGGCTGCATTGGGTCAAGCCAGACGCACTGGCGGCTCAGACTCGACTTGAAGCTCTGGACGCCAATAATGGCAAACAGCAGCCAGAAGAAGCCTATGAGGAATGAGACCCGCACCAGAAGGGGGGAAGCCTTTTTCAAGCTCCGCAAGATGATCTATACGTGTCAGTGGAGAGAAGGAAAACAGAGGGACAAAACTGGAAAAAAACGTACGGCGTTTCCTTTTGTGATACCCAACAGCCGGAGGATCCGGAGGCAGCTCAGCATGCGGAACAGATAGATGTGGTGGGCGTACTCGATCCCTGTGCAGGCGAGCACAAAGGAAATCCAGAAGGAGACGACAGCGACAAAGTCAAGGCGGTTGAAGCCGTGGCGCAGAAACGCACGCCGGGCAAGCTGCATCCGACGATGCTCGTCGTAGGACTCGGGCGCGCGCTGGCTGTGCATAAAGGTAAAAGAGCGGGCAAAGGGCGAAGGCGTGAAGGTCTCGGTAGGCGGCCGGCGGGTGGACTTTTGGCGTTGCGGCTGGAAGAAGTTGCGGTACTGATCGGTGACGGCGGCTCGGAGGCCGTGACGGATGCCGGCCTTGCGATCGATCGTGCTGTACTCGGGGGCGTTGAAGATGAAGCCGGACACGATGACGCGCACAACGATCTCGGCCGTAAAAACGATGAAGAGTCCGAGCATCGACCAGTTGTACCACGACGAGCTCCACCGATCGGTGCGTGCATTGCCTGGCGACCAGACGTCGGGCGCCGCCTCGACGGCCAGCAGCACGGCTTGGAAGATGATCAGCCCGAGAATGGCCGACTCGACCCACGGCTGCATCAGCAGCTCCAGCATGGCCGTACGGATCGGGTTGTCGGCCGAGAAGATCCCCAGCGACTTGCCACGAAGCGGATTTCCCATCGGCGTCCGGTGTCCGGAGACCGGAGTCGGCAGCGGTGTCATGTTGCCAGGCACACCGGACTTCTCAGCCGGACTGCCGTATGCCTGAGCCGAGTAGGACGTATCGACCAGCATCGGCACCGCGGCCACGTGCTGCGAAACTCGGCCGTCGACGCTCGAATTGCGCGACCGTGACAGCGACCGTGACCGGCGAGCCTGCTCCTCCAACGCCTCGCCACCACCGCTGATGTCAACCACACGCTGTGACACCTCTCGCATGATGGACGCCGTCCGGTGCAGCGCGCCCGACGCCGACGTCGATGCCGACCGCGAGCGCCGGCTATTTGTGCTTGGGGACAACGAGTCGCCGTATCCGCGGCTCTGGCCCGTCTCCAGGTCGAAGCCCAGCATCCGCGTGTCGCGGGACCGCGACGGGCTGCTGTCCAGATCGCGCACCGTCTGAAAGCTGTCCCGCGAGTACTCCTCGGTCGGCGTCACGACGAGCTGCGCCCTTGCCCCCGAGATGGGCTGCGCGCTGGTCGTCAGCGGCACACGATCCGACTCGTTGCCGGCGTCGTGCTGGTCGAGGTGGCGCATGGTCCCGTCCAGGGAATCGTCGAACGACCCGCCAAAAGGATCGTCCAGCGGTCCACCAAACGGCCGGTCGAGCCGTTGGTCGGCGTAGTACGAAGAGGCCGAGGATGTGCGCGGAAACGCTTCGCTTGACAGAGGCTGCAGCCCCAAAGACGGCACTCGGCTCCGGACTGACTGTGAGATATTGGGAGGCAGCGCGAACTGCAGGGCCGCTGCATCGATGGGAGAGTCGACGCTGTCCCCCATCGCGTCGTCCTGGCGAGCATGGTCGCTGTACGGTGCCGGTTGCTGCCAGTAGTCGTCGATGCCGTTCAGACTCGCCGCCAAGTGTGCTGGGTTCACCGAGACCTGCTCGTATGGATTTGACGCTGCCGAATACCCTCTACCGCCAGGGTAGGAGGGATCCCCAGAGCCGTAGCCGCCATCGCGGCCGTGGCCCGAATCGGATTGGTCTCGACGACCAGACATGTGGCTGTGGTAGGTGATTGGTGGCTGGTATTAGGAGAGGGGATTCTCGTGAGGATTCGTCGTATCGTCGACTCATATCAAGGAAAAGAAGGACGTATGGCTATGGAGACATGGCCACAGAGACGGACGACCAGAGAAAGCTGTGTTCGAGCTCTGTTTATTGCGCTGCTCCACACCAGGTCGACAGGCGTCGTGGACGAAGAGGGAGACGAGCAAACGAGCGGTTTATATATGGCCGGCTGAATATGGCCGCTCTCAAATGCAGAGAACAAAGTCGATAAAGATACACCACCCGAAAAGAAGACGCCAATCAGAAAGGTCGTTCGCAACAATGCACAGAAAGTTTCGCTGGCAATCACAATTCAGAGAACATCGTTTGGTGAGATAGGACAACGAGGCCTGGGATCCGTTTTGCCGTGGCGACAGTCCAAAATGCCAAGCGATAGGCCAAACGACAGTGCCTGCAGGATTGGTTGGGGTCTGGTGGAATGGGGCTCTTGGCGTACGAGTCTGCGCCGCTGATCGTGGTCCGGATGAGAAGAATAGGATTAGGAGGCTGTCAAGACGAAGAAACGCGACCGAGCTGCGTCGTCCCTGCTTTACGAGTACGAGAGCAGAGTTCTACAGGGCAGTTGCCAGCTTCTCCAGGGGGAGGAGCTACCCGCTCGTAGTGCGACGCTTGACACAGTGCCGTATCTGACTGGTCCGCCGAGCCTCTGGGTCTGACCTGCATTGGCCTCCCCTGAGTATTGCAGCAGGCTACGTGAAACGACCCCAGAATAGACATGCCGAATATCTCTTGCGCTTCAGAACAGAGGACCGTCCAGCCACCAATGCGGTCGCGAAAGACGCATTCGCGAAAGGCAGGGCAGACGGGCAGTGGCAAACACGACAAAAACATGGCGAAAACTCCAGATGAGCAACGCAGGGAGACACGCAAGAATTGTGCACATAAGACAGAAAAGTCCGCTATAGTAATGTGATATAGCTTCTTACGAGAAGAACCAAACTCCATGAAACAGAGCCAGCGCGATCCCTGCTGCTTCTCGTTCCAGACAACATTGGCGCACGGCTTGTATCATTAAACTGTTCACGTGAGTTTTCACGTGCAGATAAGATTGCCAGGGGAAGCAGGAAAAAAAGCAAGCGCCAATTAGCTTTGCACGCCCAATTTAACCCCTGTCGTCCAGAGCGCGTCGCTGCGTCGCGATTTCCTGCAAGCAAATCACTACCAGTACGAGTACTCCATACTGTACTCCGTACAACCTCCCCCCCCACGACGCAGCTCTACCTCACGACATAGACTGCCAGCAATCAGCAGTGACAACGTGCCGCTCGTTGACGCTGTCCACTCTCCCCTGCGTCCGACCTGCAGTTCTCTTCCGATTCTATATCAACTCTCGCCGAGCTTTCTCTTCCGGACTCGTCGGCGTACTGTCATACCACAGCGCACGGTCTCGCCGGTCATCCAAGCAGCCACTGCGCCCTCCCAGCTCGCTCTCTTTGGCGCATCATGGTGTCCGTCAGGAAGCGGCTTCTCGACGACAGAGGCCCGGCTGCCGCTGCCGACGCGCCCCGGCCATCTCCGGAACTGCGTCGCCTCCGAAACATGTGGCAGTTTGCCTGTCTCTGCCAGTGGCTCTACATCTTCGGCCCGGTCATCAAGCTGGACGCCCCGGATATCGATGTGAGTGCTCTGTGCACCACTGCCTCCTGTCGAGGTCTTACGGCTTCGACCATGCTATTTGGTGCTGACAGGCCTTGGGAATCTAGGAGCTGGAAGCTCAGTGTCTGAGCCCGCATTCGACTACTCTGCAGGAGATCGGGCTGGCAATGCTCAAATATCTGTCTTCGCATCGCGGTCTCACGTACGTATAATCCTGTGTCGTCACCCCTTGGGAGCCATATTGGCTGTCACGTGCTCATCATCGACAGAGCCGACCTGTTTGACGAGTACACGCGGCGACAATACGTGGCCAAGGCGCCCGAACTGCCAAACCCCTTCGGGACCGATGAAATCCCGGACAAGTTCTCTGGGTTTGATGCCTTCAAAAAGGTCAGCTCCCGCCCCTCCTTAGCCCAGAGCCGTCACGTGGTTGCTGACGCCGTGCTCTAGGTTCGCGTCCTGCACCAGATGACACAGTTTATCATGATGAATTCCGAAAAGCTGCGAGAGAAGATGGCGGAGCAGAAAGACGTCGTCGACCAGGACCAGACATCATGGGTGAGTCGCCATGCCTCGCCAACGGCGTGCAGGTCCAGGATGGTTTCGCAGACGTATACTGACATGCAGGTGGGGTGCGCAGCGCATTGAGCCATTCGGATGGGACAGCAACGATGACACATACTTTGTTCTCGACGACAACCGGGTGTACCGCTTAAAAGAGCTGCCGCCCGCGCCACCGAGGCCCAAGAAGAACACCAAGAAGGCCAGGGCTCAGGCAAGGCGAGCCAGCAAGAGACGGCGTGTTTCTACGGCCACGTCCAGCAATGACATGGAAGATGAGGCGGAGGACACCGTCGTAGAGGCCGAGGCAGAGCCAGAGCTAAAAGAGAACGATGAAGCGGGCGACGACGGGCTTGGAGGCATGAAGTGGGAGTGCGTCGCCGTGTCTCTGGACGAAATACGGCAGCTACTCGGCACGATCCCTGGCAGAAAGGACGCGAACGAAAAGATCTTACATAGTAAAATTGTCGACCACCTGTTGCCCATCATCGAGCAGCAAGAGGAAAAGCGCAGGAAGCGCGATAAGGAGCGCGAAAAGGAGCTGCTCAACATGGCGAAGCTGGCCCAGGCGAAGAGATCGAGCCGTATCGCCGGCCGACAAGAGCAGATCAAGCAGGAGGAGCTGCAGCGCGAGGAAGAGACCAAGCGGCGCCACGACGAAGAGGTGCGGCGGAAGGAGGAGCAGAAGCTGCGCAAGCTGGAGAGAGACCGGGATAATAGGCTTATGTCGAGGGAGAACCGGCTGCGAGAGCGGGAGCTGCGCCGGCTGCAGCACCAGGAAGAGCTGTCGCAGCTTTCGGAGGACAGCAAGAGCGTCAGCAGTGCAGGCGGACCTGGGCGCATCTCTGAGCGGCAGCGCGCAGCCGAGATTGAGAAGACCCGAGAGGCACTGCGCGAGCTCGAGCAGGAGGAAGACGAGGAGTGGGTGTTCGACTGCGTCTGCGGCCTGCACGGCAAGGTGGACGACGGCCAGCACAGCGTGTCGTGCGAGCGGTGCAACATCTGGCAGCACAGCCGGTGTCTGGGCATCAACGAGGAGGAGGCAGAGAAAGACGACTTCCACTTTGTCTGCTCATCCTGTCGCCGGCGGTCACGTGAGGCCGAGACGGGAGTGCGGTCGCCCATTGTCAAGATCAAGGTCAACAGGCCGGCAGTGGCGAGCAACAGCGCCAACGGAACGGCTGTCCCGCAGCCGGTTGTCCGCTCAGCGCTGGAGCCTCCGAGAGAAGGCGTCAACTCGGGCATTCCGGTCAAGATCGACGCGGCACCACAGGCGCTGACCTCAGCCAGCAGCAACATTGGAGCCGATCCGGTCCTGAAGCCGGCAGAGACGTCCAACGGGATCCACAACCCCTTCTCGTCGCCGCATCCCGAGCTGTCCCCACCAGGGCTGTCGCCTCGCAAGTCCCATGCATACGACACGATTTACGAGCAGGCCAGCCCTACGCCGGTTGGGCTGATGCGCAAGTTTGGCGACCACTCGCTCTCGCCGAACATTGCCATCCGTGCGCCGGCTCTTCTTCTGCGTCCGACCAACGAAAAGACGGCCGGAGGACCGCCTGCCTCGCCCACCAAGCCCAGGGCTGAAGGCCCTGCCGGAGAGTCGTCCGGATCGTCCCAGCCGTCCGCTCAGACCGTACTTTTCCCGCCGCCTACGCCCTCCTCGGCCTCCTCGACCCGGGTCAAGAACGAGCTGTCCGGGCAACAGCAGCAGCAGCAACGGACGCCTTCGGTGGTCATGACACCACGCCTGCACCATCCGCAAAGAGACGACCCGGGCAGCGGACAGCGGGCCCGGACGTTGTCACCGCTGCTGCCGTCTCACGGGGGCTTGTCCCCGACAAAGCAGTCGCCCTCGGTTGCGAATGACTTCAGCGCAAGCTTTCCCAGCTCGAGCCCGACTCCGCCCATCTTCCCTCCAGCTGCAGCGCTGTCGCCTTCTGCGCCAAAGCAGGACCCCACGCCGCCCATCAAGTCGGGAAGCTTTGGGTACCGACAGGTGTCAGGCGGGCCGCCCTCTGACAGGAAATCATCGCCTGCTGCGAGAGAATAAGGGAAGGGGAGGACATGGTTTTTTTTGGTGTTGCTGGAGTTCGCAAGAGGTCGCCGTCCGACTGTGTGTGGATGGCCATATGTTTAGATATGGGATAGAATGGCATGAATTACAAAAGTGCAGACAGCCACCCGGCCTGTCTTTTGCCGTTGGGTCTCACTTGCTCCACCATCACTCTTGTTCGTTTGTCCCGCTGTACGAAGGACACGTGGGCGGTCAGTCTGAAGTACCGCCGCCTGTCCTGTTCTCCAGCTCGAACGGAGGGAGAGGTTGTCCGCATGCAGCAGGGACTGGCGGCACGACATCCTTGCCACCGCTCGCACCAGCACACCAGCCGAGCTGGTCTATGCCACATGCGGCTGCTGGCGTCCTCGCGGATTACAAAGACCAAACTGTCCGTCCGGCCGCGATGCCGAACAGGTGGGCCGTGCTGGCCGGGCGCTTTTTGCGCAATCATAGCACAGTTGCAGCACGAACGGGTCGGCGGCAGCGTTCGTGCTGCGCATTTGCCCAGGAAGATGGGGAAGCCCTGTCGGTGCACAGGAGCACGAGAAGAGAGGGTCGCTTTCCGGAGGACGCACGCTGACTACACACGAATGAGGGGAATCGAACGAGGTGGGGTCCTGTTATCAGTTATCAGCCAATCCGGCCGACCGTAAGCCATCCGGCTCCATACACAGTACAGTGTACATAATAATAGTAGTGCCCCAGCACATCATCCCTTGATTGCTCCTCTTGCACAAGCGACTCAGACGCCTTTGAGTCCGGACTAGGACAGGGGGCCTGCTGTTCGTATCAGTAGCGCAGGTCTGTTTGTCTGGAGGAGCGGGGCGGCCGGCGTGGCTCTCTCGGCCGCACAAGAAAGCCGGAAGAGGCTTCGCTTGCATGACCTCTCCTGCAGCTGAGCTGCCTTGCCTGCAGGAGAGAGGGGGGAGAAAGCATGCAAGGTACGAGTAGACCGGCCGTTCGCCCAAGCAAATCGCCCAGTAGAATAATTCCCAAAGCGGCATATAGCGGGTCCGAAGGGGGGATTGATGACAGCCGTGTGTGTGTGTAATTCTAGACACTGGAATGCAGAGGCCAGAGAACAGGCCGCTTCCGGCAACAACCGTTGACATTCCGATGGCTTATCAGAATCTTCATCAACGCTTGCATTTCCATCCATGACTGGCACAGTCGGTCCAGTGCAGGGCGCCGGCCTTGAGAGGAGGGGGGACCAGAGAGAGGCTGGATCGTCTCGCATGGTTCCTGTGAGCTTCGTCTGGGCTTCTTTCTTCCTTCTTCCAAACTTGTTTCATTTGTTCTTTTTTCCTTTTCTTTTTTTTTTTTTTTCTTTATTTTCTTTTCCTTTTTGCTTTCCGAGCTCCTTCCGACATCTGACACCCTTATTGTTCCTATTCTTTGCATCTGTGCATCTGTCTTTGCTCTCTGTTATTTTTATCCGCGATCCTCAGGGGCCGTCTTCAGTGGTCGGCGAGGCCCTTTGTTGCCTCCCACGTTTCGTTTCGTCCGTTCCTTCTTTTTTGTTCTTTCCTGCCGACCAGGGGAAGAAGAGCAGCAGCAGCAGCAACGGCAAACAGCGGCGTAGTGGCGCATCAGAGTGGAGACACCAAAGGGCAGACGACAAAGAAGCGACAGGTGAGAGCGAGCAGCAACGGACGGACAGTCACGGAGAGAGAAGGCGCTGCCCGAAACAGCGTAGAACTGCCGTAAAAATAGACCACACATAAAGACAAAATACGAAGTTGCAAAGGCGTAAAAGAAGAGGGGGGGCAGGCAAGAAAGAGACCAGCTAGAGGAGGTGCTGCAGAATGTTCGTGGAGATCTGCCAGGCGGTCGTAGGCCAACCTAAAGCGTCTTGGGGCAGCAGAAATATGGGTAAAATTGGGTACTAATAGTGGACTAGCGCGTTTGCGGCCGTACAGCCTAGCGCAGGTGTTCGTGGGTGTTAGTGGCGGTATTTGCTGCGCCGAAAACGGCAATGGGACAGACGGTGTGTACACCAGCATCGACAGACCAACGACACTACCTTTCTGGCTGTGAGAGGAGCAGGCCGCCAGCCAGTGCGTTGGGCCAGACAGCCAGAAGAAAGAGATAAGCGGTTATACAAATAACGGCCGTTGTCCGGCTCGATGAGGGGCGGATGCGAAAGAATCGGAAAAAAAGAAGCACTCTGCGAACGAACAAGAGCACACGAGAAACGACCCGTTGCGAGGCCAGACGCAGAGCGAAGAGGACCGAGGACCGAAGACCGCAAGCGACTGCCAGCCTTGGCACGACAACCCCCGAAAGCGACGGATCTGTCAGGCTCAGCTGGAGAGTGGGCTCTATGGCATAAGGCGAGACAAGTCTCAGGCCCCTAAACGTCGCTAAAGAACGCGCACGACCCGCTAGAGAACAGCGCCATACCTGTCACGGGCCAAGCACCGCCAGCACCACCGCCGGCAACACCGCCGCCAGTCGAGAGCCTGCGTGAGAGCCGCTGTCAAGCCACAAAGCCTCATTACGAGCGACAAGACAAGACTTGCAGGAATTGGTCTTGGTCTTGATCCCCACAGCCACGCACCCCCCCCCTCGTCTTCTTGTCTTCTTGTCTCTCTTGTCTCGTTTTTGCCTTATTCAGCCGTCGTGTCGACTGGCCGCATCCGCTTCACCTCGTCGACAGAAACGGCTTCGAAGCAGAAACAGGTTTGGCCTAGACCCGCTGCAGCATCACGCTCGAATCTTGCTGGCAAGACGAGCCCGGAATCTAGGAAGAAGACAAGCCGGCACGAAGGACGACACCACGGACGACTTTAACCTGCAGACAACAGACTAGACAGAGCGCAGCCTGCATAGTACACAGACCACAACTTACCCCCCCCCCCCCCACAAAGGACCACCTCAGGCAGTAGCCGCAAAGATCGACCGCCAGCCTTTCTCTCTGGCCTCCCGCCCCGTCTGGCTTACCTTTTGTCCTGCTCCCACAACTCCTTCGCGCACGCCCTCTTGCGTTTACCGCATCTGGTTCGCCGCCTTGTCTCTCACGGCCGGAAACGTTCCCTTTTGCCACCCCGGTCTCCCTTCTCCATATGCGCTCTTCCCCTTCGACCACACAACAGACACTCACACCACCCCCCTCTTCCTCCTGTGAGCTTCTGTCATCCTCCTCCACAGCCTCCGGCAGTAGCAGACAGTGCAGTCTGTCTCTGTCCGTTTTGGTCCAAATCGGTTGCTTCTCTGAACCTGACCCGACCAGCTCCCTTAGCCGCATCAGCTTGGCCTGTCCTCTCGCTCGTCCGCCAGTACACACCGCCAATCACCAGAGATTATCGACTCCTCCACCATTGCTTCTGTCGTCTCTGATCTCTTCCTGTCTATCCTCTCAAACAGACCTTCAACGCTCGCTCGTCATCTGCCGGCCTTTGCTCATCCCTATCGTCTTCCCCCTGGTCCACCTCCATTCCTAACCGCTTTTCTCTTCCTCTCTCCCTCTCCTGTTCTTCCCGCTCTTCCCGCAGCAGTCGTAAAACATTCACACCCTGCTGCACATCTCTGCCAAATGGACCAGACCATTCCTCCTTCCCCTCCACCTTCTCTGTTCGATCGCTCCTCTTCCACGCCCAACGCCTCCTCGAACTACGAAGATCCAACCCTCCTCTCTCACACGTCGGCTTCCGCCTACAGATTCCAATTTCCTGATCTGGCCGGCACGGCTTCGCACTTCGACTCCATGATGGCAAACACACAGGCACCCCATGGCCTCCCGCTCCATTATTCAAACCTCCACCCTGTCGACGACGCCGGTGCATACGAGATCACACCGGGAACTGCATCTGCACCAAATGTAAGCCCCCGGGGTTCTCGGGGCCCCTCAGAGTATCGGGACTCTCAGAGCCCTTAGAGCCCCCTTCGGTCCCGTCCAAGTAAGCGCGCCGAGCTGCAGCTAACCTTGTCCCTACAGCCTTACACTCTGACAACACCCGAGGCATCGCCTCCGACTGCGGTACAACATCTGCCCGGCATGGCCGGTGGCGCAGCAGCCCCAAGAACAGCACAGGAACTCAGAACTCTGGGCGTCCGGTCGGGCCGCATAGAAAAGAACTCGAAGAAAAAGACGGCACCATCCCCACCCGCTCCAAAAAAGGACAAGGCCGCGGCAACGGCAGCAGAAGCAGCAGCAATGGAAACGGAAACGGAAACGGCGGCCGAGGTATCGGGCCCTCCTGGCCTGTCCACGCTGGACAGACCACTTAGCATCCTGACCAAGGACTGGGAGATCCCGGTTGTTGACATTGCCACATACGTCCACCGGTCCGTCGAAGATCGCCGCACTGAGGTCGAACAAGGCAAGGTGCCTGGCAAGATCAAGCGGGCCATGAACGCATTCATGCTCTACCGCAAAGCATACCAGGACCGCGCCAAACGGTGGGCCCAGCAGTCGAACCACCAGATAGTGTCCAAGGTGTGCGGCCAAAGCTGGTCCATGGAGCCGAGAACTGTGCGTACCCAGTTCAACGAATGGGCCAACATTGAACGCGACAACCATCGCATGGCTCATCCGGAATACAAGTTCACCCCATCCAAGCCCCGTAAGAAGATCGGCGACACGTTCGATGACTTCTCTGACCCGGAAGACCCCGACTGGGACGTCGGACGGCGTCGCTCAAACAGCAGAACACCCCTGCGCGACCTGGACGGCGACTACCGACCGTCCCATACTCCATACACAAACCCGTACGCCACTAGCGTGTCCCACTTGCCGTCGTACTATCCTCTCCAACGTCCCTCTCACCTGTCGGGTCCGGCCGGCCACTCGGTGTCCATGGCATACGACACAGACCCATACGGCACAGGAGAACTGCACTACCAGCCCGTTGCGGTCGCAGGAGGCCACCCTCATCAACCCCAACACCCACTGGGTTCTGGGCTGAGCTTCACCACGGCTCCTCAGAGCATGGACCTTGGCACAGCTCACCACTCCATGGACGCTCACCACCGTGCACAACACAACAGCTTTGACTATGGCGATCACTATACGCAGCAGGTTCTGGCACAGCAGCAGCACCAACACCAACATCAAAACCAGCAACAACACCAGCAACAGCTGCAACAGCAGCAACAGCAGCACCAGATGGCCGGTGCCACATCTCACCTAATAGGCTTGGGCCAGCACGTCGATCCAGCTTTAGCCCACTATGACATGTCGGGGCCACTCATCGGCGACAACTGGCAGCCTGGCATGCCCCTTGGCATGCCGCCCAACAGCGCCGAACAAGACATGTACGCTGGTCCATACTTTGCTGAGATGGACGAATCCTACATGCAGGACAACCAACTGCAATATCTCCGCGGGGGTGATGAGACCTGGAAGATCGACACTATCAATGAATCGGAGGTATGGCATCCGGAGTGAGTACCATAAAGGAGGAACGGATAATGTAACTTTACAGCTGGAGCGAAGGCGCAGATGATTGCGCCACCGCACTGGAGGCGGATTCGGCATGGATAGGATTGAAAGTGTAAGAGGGGGAAAATTATGGCGTCCAGGTTTTGAGGCAGCGGAACACTTGTTCTCTCCTGATGTATTCGTCTTGCTTAGCCTCTAATTTGGCTTGGCTTTTGTTCTTTTGGATTTGCTTTTTCTGCTGCTGGTCCATTGGATTAATATGTCACCGGCACTGGCGGCCAGTTTCTAGGATTTTTGTTTGTCATTTCTTGTCTCGTTCTCGCTTTATTGGCGCTGTCTTACATGCTTTTCTTTTTTGCATGGCCTACGGCGTGAGGGACTCGGGTCTGAGGTCTTGAGGTCAGTGTAGTTAGAAGACCTGTGTTGCGCAAGTCTTACTTTGATCAGACTTCTAGGCTTATTTTAGGAAGCAATGGTAATCTTTCATTCCTCTGCGAAGTTGCTTCCCCTTCAGAATTACTGTCGTGCAGATACTTAGAAATTTTTCAAGTATGACGCTCTAAATCAAGGAAGAAGTTGGAAAAATATATTAAAAAGTAGCAATGATCTCGCGTCACCGCATAATATCAAGCAGGGGATGTATCGTTTGTTTACTGAAAGAGAGGAAGTGGCGACAAGCCTGTTCAGGGGTATACGGAGTACACAAGACAATACTCCGTATTAACAAATAATCTTGATTCGGAGCTCGTGTGCCGCTAAGCCCCGCTAGTCACGATTTTGGTAAGATCATTTGAAACAAAAGGCACTCGATAATTGCATAGCAGTGGTATATCGTATGTACATACTTGCTCCGTAGTTCGACAAATGTGTACGCCAAATGGTAAGCAAGTTGAAAGGCATTGTGAATTTGCGAGGCGACAGATGAAGGAACTACGCATAGCAAACGCCGACTCCGATGGTTGGCAGCTGGCTACTCGTTCTAAAGGAATATCACTTTTATTAACTATTAGCACAGCTGTCAGCGATTTTAGTGCTTAATTAAAATACTGCTGGACTATGCGGCTGCTGTCGTAGATACATACTCCGTGCATTACGAATGCAAGATACTAGTTGACAACTCGTCAGCATGCAATCCCCATGGTCAAACAATTCCACACCACTAAACTTATTAGGTAGACTACGTAATAAGATACTAATAGTGTCATGCCACATCTGACACTGTTCTTACTTATATAAGGAGGGTTAGAAAACCAATACCAGCCAGTGCCACAACAGCTCTCCCCACAGCAACGTACAGTGGCTGTCGAAAGCTTCAGCGATTATACGGAGTAGGCTATTCCTATTGTGCGGCCCAGAGAGCATTGTCCACTTGCAAAACACGACTCGCACCCATGTAAGGATACACATTTTATTTAAAAGATCTCAACTTCAGTGTTTTAGTGCCACTGTTGAAGGTGCGAAACCATACCAAGGAAGAAGTTTGAAGATGAAGTTTCTAAAAATGCATCGAGAACACCTACAACGATGCATTCGTATAATAAAAATAAAGATAACATGCTGATTAAGGATGTGTTTGGTACTCCATACATGCAGCCAGTTTCTGAAGAATCGCACGAGGCAGTGCGGAGAGAGCAAGTATGCACGTATCCGACAATTCCAGTATATGGGTTATACACTAGCTATTTCCAAATCACAAAATAGTGGCGTCTTGATCACACGTCGCATCTTCATCGCCAGCAAGCCAGCAACAGCATTCACAGGCACGTGCAAAAGCGGATCCGATTCCCGCCGCTTTCTCACAACCGGCGATCAGTCTGTATGCCCAACATGTCCTGGTTTTCAGCCCTGACGACGGCCTTTGGCTCTATCCTGCTGGCACATGCGTATGCGCTTCTTTCTGCTCTCGAACCCATTGCTACAGACTGACTCTTGCTTCCTCCATAGATGCTACTCGGCGCAGGAGTTTTCTACCTTCCAGTCCCTTCGCTCTTCAGCAGGTGCGGCTTCATCGCCGTCGGACTCTCTTCCCATTGACATTACCATCGAAACCATTGCCGCATTACTCGTCATCAGCCTGGGCCTCGTCCTGGGAACGAACGATCTCCGCCCGATCCACTGGCATGTGTGGGCCGGCAAGATTGAGCGTGAGGGTGAAGAAGGAGCCAAGAATGCTGAGGGCGAGGTGAGCAAGGACTTTATGGGGAACCCGTTCAGCTACCTGGAGACACGGCCAAGTTTCGTCGACGTCCGCCGGCAGAGAAAGGAGTTTGAAGAATGGGTGCGGACGGGTGGCGAGTCGAAGTAAAATTGCAGCAGCTGAACTGCGCCGGGACTGGTTAATAACTGTCTCTGGAAAGGGGAGGGGTGAGACGAAAGTACCAATACTTTTTTTGATGCAGGCGCCGACCTAAAGACGCCGCCGTTTGCCGCACGAGTCTGTACGAGTCTGCTGGAAATCATCTCATATCGTCCCAGCCTCAGTGCGCTTTTCCGGGGCCATTCGGTCTCAATACGCCCACATCTGATAGGCGATGTCTCTGGACATAGGGGTGATGCTCTACATGAAGGGAAGTCACCCACCTGCTCGCTCCTTCCTAGGACTGCAGCCGGACTTGTTGCACGCGCACATTATCACAAACTGTAAATAACAATGCCACATTCCCTCTTCTTTGCCAAAACCATCCTTGTCCTCCCACATTCCACAATACATAAAGTACATTGCACAGTTGACCATGCCTCCGCGTCGATTTGTTGGCCACCGCCCCTCAAAGGCTCCGTTTGCATTTCGACAGAGACGTCCAGGGACCAGCAGGACGCCAGACATACCGGAAGTTATCCAGACGGTGCCCTCATCTCCTTCAGGCCTGTCGCCCGCGCTATCTCACGGTGTTGGGACTGAATTCTCGGACGATGTCTTCGACATAGAGGACGACACTGTGGAAGTAAACGACGTCGTGATGGCGCTCGAGATGAGAAACAATGGCGCAGTTGGCTGTGCATTCTATGTTGCCGCCAATGAGACTCTGTATCTTCAGGAAGATACACGTATCACAGGTCTTGAGCTTGTAGAGTCCCTTCTCCTCCAAGCACAACCTGCATCGGTTATCATTCCGAGTCGTTCGCCAGAATCTGTTGTTGACTACCTTGAGCGACAATCGAGCCGTGATGATGCAGGTGTACATGGTAAGTTGCTCTTTCTAAAAAAAAAACAGGTGGTTTTCTTACCATTTGTTCAATGACATGCTTGCCACATCTAAATATAGCAGAAGACCGAGGAAATTCCTTTACCGTCCGCACAGCTCTGTCCTGTACATTCAGTTCTGAATCTGGCAAAGAACGCCTTGCAAAGCTCGGGAGCCTGCAAACTCATGAGCCATATGCTGCACAATTCGTAACTGCCACAGAGGATGGCTTCCACAGAAGTTGGGACGACGGAGAGGGCGAAGGACACCAGCACAAGAGACATAGACGCAACGGACTCATGCGCCTTGGTACTTCTATCAGTCTTGACAGTGCTATCACTGTAGGCCTATGCTAGCCGACCCTGCCATACTCGAAAAAGTGCTTGTTCACAAACAGTTCTCGCTAACTAAAGCGACTTGCAGCTTGGCTGTGTAAATGCTCTATTGTGTCTCTTGGAGCAAAGCCAGGAGGAAGCCAGCCCCGACAGCTCTCCTCCTACAAGAATCAGGACTGTCCAGATGATATCATACAAAAATTGCATGTTTGTCACTGCAGACACCATGTTAGCGTTACAAATATTTCGCCTGGATGGCCGAAGTAAAATCCAACGGCCCGTGTCGGATCGAAGGGCTAACGGGGAACACGGAAAGCAGCGAGCAGTTTTCGATATATTTCGTGCTTCCGTTATAACCCCACAAGGACACGCCAGGCTGCGGGAAGTGTTTCTTCGGCCTAGCACCGACCTGGCGATCATCGACAGGCGCCACGAAGCCATCTCAGTCCTTCTTCATGCTGACAACACGGGCACTGTGAGCTCTATTCGCGCAGCTTTGAGAAAAATCAAAAACATACACTCGCCGTTTCAACATCTAAGAAAGGGTGTTCTTCTTCCAGGCAGCCGTGTCTCGATGAAGCAATGTGCCTGGACAAGTCTAGGGGCTTTTTGCAAGCATTCGGCAATTCTAGCCCGTCTCGTACAGCAACTGCCACATACAGGCTCTAACTTTGTTGCAGAGGTATGCTAGTCCAACTCATACGGCTTATACAAGATCCAATACACGATCTGTAAGATATATGTGGCTGACAGTGTCTTAATCAGATCTTCTCAGACGTCTCAAGAGAAGAAATTTCTAAATTGGGTGCGAGGGTTGACCGAACGATTGATTTCGAGAAATCCAAGTCGACCGGCTGCACCGTAGTAGCCGAAGGAGTTTCACGGGAGCTTGACGGTTTCAGAAAAAACCACGACAGTCTCCATAACCGCCTCGACAGTATATGTGACGGGTACCGTTCTCTGCTTCCTCTCGGACTGCCCGATGTGATTATTGGATGCATCTTCCACCCACACATGGGGTATCTCGCAGTTACTACCTTGGATCCCAGAACCCTGGAGGAGACTAGAATAGGGCAAGCTCACAGTCGCAGGGGTGGCTTTGACACCTGGGAGGAAGCCCTGCAAGAAGATGGATTGGTCTATTTCAAAACACCGGAGATGGATGGGCTAGACAGCCAATTCGGAGATTTGGCAGGTCGAGTAATCGGTAAGTACTGTCTGCCGTGCTCCTATTCGATAGTTTTGCCCCTTTCGCATCCTCGTATATGTTCATTGATAATGCAGAGTTTGAGGCGAATATTCTCCACAGTCTCAGGCTCGAGTTTCTATCAAATGAGACGGTGATATTTCGGGCCTCAGAAGCAATTGGAGAGCTTGATTGCCTCATGGCTCTGACAGCAGGAGCTGAGAGTTTCGGCCTCTCTCGTCCACAGATGTCGGCCGAAAACGTGCTAGAAATTCAAGGAGGCCGACACATGCTTCAGGAGCTCGGCCTCGGAAAATTTGTTCCTAATGACTGCCGACTTGTGGGAGGGCTAGGGTCGGAAGACGACAGGGATGCCGATGAAAATGAGCTGTTCAGTCGACAGCCTCCGATGCAAGATGCACCAAGTGCCATAATTTTAACGGGCCCCAACCATTCGGGCAAGAGCGTCTATATCAAACAGGTGGCCATCATCGTCTATCTGGCCCAGGTGGGGAGCTTTGTGCCAGCCAATAGAGCGGTAGTTGGCATAACGGACAGAATGTTGAGCAGGATTGCAACGCGGGAAAGTGTCTCGAGGGACGAAAGCGCCTTTGGCGTCGACCTCCGTCAGGCCGCCTTTTCCATCAACTTTTCAACACGGCGTAGTCTGATCCTAGTTGACGAGTTCGGAAAAGGGACAAACGAGGTTGACGGGGCTGCTCTCTTTCATGCCCTGATGGACCATTTTCTGGGGCTGGGTCGCAGGAGTACGCCGAAAGTGTTGGCTGCAACACACTTCCATGAAATATTTGACAGCGGTTCTCTGCAGCAGCACCCAGGACTGAGGCTGGCGCACATGAGCGTCAGTATCGACACGGGTGCATCACAGGCAGAAGACAAGGTCAAATTCCTCTACAAGCTTCAGCCGGGTCACAGCTCCGACAGTTTCGGCTGTCACTGCGCGGCCATAAATGGCGTTGATGCTGCTGTTGTCGACAGGGCCAGGCGGATTGCCGAGTCGCTAGCACACGGCGGGCGGCTCGAAAAGATGTGTCTGGAGCTGCCTGCCGCGGAAATTGGGAGGCTTCAGGACGACGAGAACCGGGCACGAGTGTTTCTTTCAGAGATGGAGCACGAGGACTTAGTACGGCAGAAGTGGTCCAGCCCCCAAGATCTTCTGAGGCGTGTCTTAGACGATCAGGCTGGTTGAGTACATTTGAGTGCAAGTACAGACGTTTTCGACAAAGAGTGGTGGGCGGTCGATGAGAGATGCATGGCCGAACAGCCGAGGTACAACCTCATAGGATCTGTCCAGCTTGAAGAAGAGTATCATGTATTTTTGGGAGTGCGTCACGTCTGAAACGAGAAAGCGTTGCGTTTTAAGCAGACTCTTTTCACATGTATATTACGCGTGCACTCCTGAGAAGGCTGGTGTGAAACGGACCTACTGGTAATCCATACCGTAACTGTTTGATGCTTATAGGGAGACTTATAGGTGGTTTTTAGTTGTATACGGAGTGCCAGGCCAAGTTATTGCTCAGCGGTAAGATGGCTCTCCATTGTGGACGGACCCCCCAGGAACAGGCATGAAATGCAACGCAAAAGCCAGTTATTGAAGAGGAGGCATTGATAGGACAGCAAGTGGAGGTCGGTCTTAATCGGCGTAATATGAATTTACAAGCATTGACAATTCGGATATACGATTGCTATGGCATGGACTAAAAAGAGGCGGAGGAAGGAGCAGAACGGTGCATGATTGATGAGATGCTGGCCTCTCATTGGTGCGATTGTGTATAGTTCCTGGGGCAGCTACATAATAGGCTCCGAACGGCAGTAAGATGCATAGTAGTGTTGGCGATGGATACTGGCTTGCAAAAGGTGCCTGCGGCGAGTGCCCGACAGTGGTGCGACAGATGGCCGGGAACAAGCTTCTTGGGGGTGGATTTCAGCGTGGGCTTGGGCGACGGCAACCAGGGGTCTCCTTGAAACAGGGTCGAGGTCTGGCGTTTTGTTTCTTCTCCGTCAGGCGGGCACATCTGCAACAAGCAGGGCTGGAACGAGTGCGATGGGGCATATTCTTGGAACTGAGACGTCTGTTCTGCGCACGGCAATAGAATTGGACGCGTGGACAGGTTGTCGGCCAAACAGCCCATTAAGCTATAAATCACAAGGCTCTCGTCGTCTTATTTACAGTATTCGATATCATATTATTCCAATACCAATCTGCAACACCATCTTACAATCAGATCTCTAAATCATCAGCCTATCACACAATCACTACACCCAACACGACATCACAAACACTCACCACCACCACACCACATTCAAAATAAAGTTCACTGCTGTTCTCATCTCTGCTCTGGCTGCCGTTGCGGTCGCTCAGGTGAGAAGTCTTCGCCGGGCGCTGCCCACACTGCTTCATCGGGGACAAGCAAGCTAACGAGAGGCAGGACTCCTCATCCACTGAAGTGGCCACCACCAAGACCAAGAAGTCCAAGAACACGGACACGGCAACTGACGCGACCGTTGCGACGGCAGCGACGGCAGCGACGGCAGCGACTGATGCCTCTACCACGTTGGTAGCCACCACCAGGACGAAGGGGTCAGGCAAGAACTCGACTGCCACGACGACCAAGTCAAAGGCAGAGGGCACAACTAAGGTCTCCGGGGCGACGACGACCAAGTCGTCAGGGAAGAACTCGACCAAGACGGGCGAGAGCAGCTCTGCCACAGCCTCATCTACAGGCACTGTGACGGTCAGCGGTGGACAGACGCTGTTGGGTCCTGGCGCTGGCGCCATGATGACGATTGCCGGGCTGGCCCTGGCTTTCACCCTGCTGCTGTAAGCTGGTACGGGGGATATGTGGGATATGGACATGGGACATCAATATCATTAGCATCTATGGAAGACCAAGATTTGTGGTTGGGCGTTTATTATCAGCAGCTACTACTAGCAATCGTTTATAGTGATTATTTATCTGCAGAGCAGGGAATTTTCTGCCGCCGCAGCACTAGTGAGAATGACGTGCCTGGAACCCCGCCATTGGTCGAATTGAGTTTTGGGGCGAGTTTTGTCTCTGCGCCGAAACCGCAGCCGGGTGAAATTTCTGCGACATCCATTGACAGACGACGCAATGGCAACGTGAGTGTTTGCCAGCAGAGAGAGAGAGAGAAAGAGAAAGACAGGAATTCTGACGCTGTGACAGTAACATCACGTGGCATGCCGGGTTGACGCGCAGCGAGCGCAACGCAGCGCGCGGCCAGAAGGGTTTTACGATCTGGTTCACGGGCCTGTCGGCGTCGGGCAAGTCGACGGTGGCAACAGCGCTGGAGCAGCACCTGCTGCACCTGGGCCTGTCGGCATACCGGCTGGATGGCGACAACGTGCGGTTCGGGCTCAACAAGGACCTCGGGTTCTCCGAGAAGGACCGCAACGAGAACATCCGCCGCATCGCCGAGGTGGCCAAGCTGTTTGCCGACGCGTCCACGGTGGCCATCACGTCCTTTATCTCGCCGTACCGTGCCGACCGCGACGTGGCCCGCGCGCTGCATGCGCAGACGGCCACCGCGGCTGACGAGCCGCTCGCTTTTGTTGAGGTCTACGTCGACATCCCGCTCGCTGTGGCCGAGCAGCGCGATCCCAAGGGCCTCTACAAGAAGGCCCGGGCCGGCGAGATCAAGGAGTTCACCGGCATCTCGGCACCCTACGAGGCACCCCTGCAGCCCGAGGTGACGATCCGGACGCACGAGCAGACGGTCGAGGAGTCTGTCGCCCAGATCGTCGCCTACCTGCAGGACAAGGGCCTCATCACAGTGTAGCAAAGCAGACAGGAAAAGAGAAATGATTCATGGCGGCCATTTCGGCCTGCCCTCGACAGAAACAGTTGCTTTGGTGATTCTATGGTTCCACGACTTGCCCGCGCCCAAGAGCGCACGACCGTGTCCGGAGACGGAGAGAGACAAGAGAAGAACATGCGAGGACGAGCAGAGAAGCCTACGGAAATTCAAACTCATAGTACACGTACGCGGTGTACTCGTGGCCATCGCTAAAGCCGACACCGGCAGCAGCCATCTCGGACGACAGAGCGGCATCGTCCTTGGTGATCTTGCCCTTCTTGTCGCGGCCAAAGGCATTGCCGCCGAGATAGGCGTAGGCCGAGTCGAGGGCGGCCTGGACTTTCTTGACCAGCTTGGGCGTTGACCGGACCAAGACGGTGATGAATTCGAGCGGCAGTCCGTAGCGCAGCACCGTCTCGACAAAGACACGCAGCGTCAGCACGTGCATCCACACGCTGACGCTCTCGCTCCAGCCAGTGCGGGCCAGCCGCAGCGCCTCGCCCCAGACCTTGCGCTCCTCACGCTCGACGCGCTCGAGCTCGCGCTGCTCCTCCTCCCGACCGCCCTCGACGTATGTGTACTGGCGTGGGGTCCACTTCTGCTCCCGGCACTTGTGCACAAATTCGGCGCTGTGCTTCTTGAACGTCGTCACCGCGAACAACGCAAACTCGTCGTCCGTGGCCACCTGCACGGCCGACCGCGGCACCACCATCGGCGCCAGCGTCTCGTACTCCTGCAGGAACTCCTTGCGTGCTCCTGTCGGCACTACCACCAGGTGTGTCTCCAGGTATTCCGAGTCCTGCACCAGCAGCGACGGCTTGACGATGGGCGTCAGCGATTTTGTCGCCAGGTTTCCGCTGGAGTCATGTCAGTTTCTTCCCCGCTTTGGTTCCTGGCTTCAGTCTTCTCCTCTCCACGGGAACTCACGTCTGCTTCCTCTGCAATGCTGCCAGATTGCTCTTGACCGAGCTGTACTGGGTGAATTTTGCCTTGACGTCATTGTCGATATTGACGAGCTCCTAGACGAATTAGCAACTTCCTCTCTCTTCCTCTCTTTTCCTCTCTCGCTTCCTCTCACCTTTTGCAGCGTGTCGATGAGCTCGCCCAGCGGCCGGTCTGCCCGATACCGCACCTTGTTCCAGGAAAACGAGTTCAGGTAGCTCTCGGTCGGCTTGTCGTTGACAATCTTCTGCTGGGCAGCCTTTTCCTCGTCGCCGTCGAGGATGTTACGAAGCGAGTCGGCCACGCGAGAGACCACGCCGGCACAGCCAGTGTCGAGCCGGGCCAGGTCGTCAGCCTGCTGCACCAAGGCGTCGAGCGTGCCGATCTTGAAGTCGGGTATGGGGAAGAGCTGCAGGGAGCCGTTGTCGGGCGACACCGTGGCACGCAGCGATGACAGTGCACTGCTCAGGTCGCTGGACTCAAAGGTGCGCAGCGGCAGCGAGACGACAGCGTATCTGGTGAGTGTGGGCATGCTTGCGGTGGTGCTGCTGCATGCCGCAGCAGGAGGAGCTGAGGGCGGTGGAGGATGGCGGCGAGAGAGCACGGGCGGGCACGAGGGGTAATTGGCAACGAGCAATTGGCATTCGACAATCGGCAATCGACAATCGACGTGAGATCGAGGCAGCTCTGCTCTCCGGGTTGGATCGTCCTGCGGCGGGGATGAAGAGTACAAGTACGAGCACTTTGTAGGGATGCGTGAATTTGAGCTAGCCTGGAGATAGGCTACATATGCACTCGCCAATTGGCAGCTGGCAGCAGCTGCCAATTGCTCACAGCTAGCGCTGAGGAGCAATACAGAACACGGAGTACAGCGCCTTCCTCGTTTCGTTTGGCGCTTCGCTTGTCCAAATCGAGAAGGGACCATCACCCCGTGACCGCCTTTTTTTTAAATCGCCCAGGTTTCGCTCCGTCGCGAAATCGCTTCTCACCAGCCTCTTCTTTTTTCTGCCCGTCGAACCAAGCTGCACGACCGTGTCCGTCCGCACAACAACTCGCACCACACGCACAACACGCACATCACGCACAGAACGCACAGAACATACCACAGAGCCCCCAGTCCACCCACGCCCTCACACGCACCGCCCACAGTTCCTTCTCGCTCTTCCCCTCCATTTCTTCGCCCCATCATCCACCACCCCCTCTCTCTTCTCTCTCGAATCAGCATTCTCTCCCAGACGACCCTTCTTGCCCGGCAACAAAACCGAATCACCGCCGGCAAAGCCCAACAGTCACCTGGGAACAGCACCGCCACCGCCGACACGATACCCAGATCGGCCTGGCTGCAGCAGAAGAAGACTACCGGCTCCCCTCTGCCACCAGGACTGGTCCGTCCGTTGAAGAGCGGTGCATGGAGTGACCGTGTGGCGCCTGGGGAAACTCGTGCACCCCTTCTTCGGCTCGTTCCGTCCTCCTCCTTCGTTTCCTCTTCGCCTGCACGCTCGCTACCGCTTCTCCATCCCACGCTACTATGCTAGTGCTCCATCCCATCTGACAGATCTCCTGTCTTGGCAGCCGTTGGCGGCTGCCCCTTGAAGTCCTCTGTCTCTTTTTGCTCCTTCCTCCTTGCTCCTTGCTCCTCACCGAGATCTACAGGCGACCTTTTTCTCTCTCCTCTCTCTCCTCCCAAGGACAGGCTGGGCTGCCACGCACGCCAACATGTCGACATTTACGTCCGCCGTCGGCCTTCCTCCGCTCTCCACCATTGCCCCCAACGTGGCCCACGAATCGGGAGCATCCATGGCTGTTGGCGGGTCCGCACTCAGCTCCCTGTCCGCCATCGAGCACCGCGATGCCCGGATCAAGGATCCCGTGCCCAAGAAGCTCAAGGGCCAAACCGGCAACATCAAGGGCAACTTTGGCGTCATTCAGATGGACCTGACCGGTCACGACACGTCCGTCGAGCGAAACGAGCTTGCCAAGCGGGCTAGCGAGAGCACCGAGATGGCCGCCCTGCGCGCATACCAGAGCGGCCACGGTGTTTCCTCGTCAAAACGCTTCGTCCGCCTCCCCGACGAGCCGCCCTCCTCCGTCTGGGATCCATACTACATCACGACCACCGCCACGGCCCAGGCCATGCAGCCGATCCAGCACGTCCAGCCGGTCCAGTCTGGTCAGAACAATCACAGTACACAGAACAGCCAGGCTGTCGGCCCGACATCCCGCTCACAGTCACTGAGTCCCGGCGAGACAAAGGCAGAGCAGAAGCGTCTGCTGGCTCTCCTCCGCAGCCTGCCGTCACCGGCTGTTGTGGACCAGATTTGCAAGGCAGTCGAGTACTTTGGTGGCAGCCCCAGCGCTGCACCGCCAACAGACGGAGCGTTTCCGCGAAGCGACCTCACAAACGGTCTCGGCAGCACGTTCATCGGTTGGATCGCCGAGATCTTCCCCAGGCTTCCAAACAGCACAACGAGCGCGATCACAGCCGTGCTGACATCACCCCACTTTGCGACAGCAAATGGAAGTACCACGTCTGCGAGGCTGGACCAAGCAGCAGGGGACTCACACGCACCGGGAGACTCGGCCATGGCCGGTGCCCCTGCTGCGACAACAGAGAAACGCCGGAGGGGACGGCCAAAGGGAAGCAAGGCTACCAAGGTCAGAAGGGACAAGGGCATTAAGAAGGGGCCCATGAAAGCCCGCAAGGCTGCTGCTGCTGCAGCCGCTTCAGTTGCCAACGGCGAAGGCAGGACGACCGAGGAGGATGGCTGGGTCGACGTGGACGACACGGCGATGGACGTCACCGGCGGCGTGGCAGACAGCATGTTCTTCCACCCCGGCACATCGATATCCACACCCGAGCGGCAATCTGCTCCCGCTCTGTCCACACCGTCAGCGAGCATGGATGTCGGTACAGGTGCTGGTCCAGAGGTCGGTGCAGGCACGGCTGAAGGAAAGAAGCGCGGACGACCAAAAGGCTCCAAGAACCGGCCAAAGGCAGCGGACGTCGTCGAAGCTCCCAGCAGTAGCAAAGAGATCCCCCCGGCGCCTGCTAACGTCACGCCCATCTCGCCGCCCGCTGTTCCGGGTGCTTCTACGCCGGCGAAGAAGGCACAGATTGGACGACCAAAGGGCTTCACGGCGAAACCAAAGGAGCTTCCGACTCAGACGACATCCCTCGGCAGTGGCAGTGACAACGATTTCGGCCTGTCCCACCTGAACCAGCAGATGTATGCTGCGTCTGCTTCTGCTGCCGTGCAGCCCGCGGACGCTGTGAGCATGGCCACCGGGGCCAAGCGCAAGCGAGCAAAGGCAGTCAAGAAAGACGAGCTTTCCTCGGCCGACCTAGCACAAGGCTACCCGACCGGAGTCCAGCAGCCTTCTGGCCAGCTTGCCGAGATAGCTAACACGAGCACGAACATGAACACGGCGAGCACGAACCCGTCTGCTGCGGTGAAGCGGCAGCGGAAGTCTGCCGACGCGAGGGCCTCGATGCGAGGCAGCAATGCTAGTAGCGCATCTCCAGCCACACAGGCCGCCGCTCACAGCATGGCCGGCATAGGCAGCGACCAGCAGCAGATTCTCGCTCCGCTCGATGCAAGCGATGCCGCCGGGCACCAGCTGAACGTCGCCTTTGACACGCTGTCGTCCCTCGGACAGGCCACACAGCAGGCCGATCCCTCACAGTCGCTCGTTTCACAGCAGCCTCGCCACCAGATGCAGCAGCCGCAATACACCACACAAAAGGCCATGTCGGCCACACCACCGCTTCCGACCATCGAGCAGGGCCAGGCACAGAGCGTGCAGAGCGTGCAGAGTATGCAGGCAGTCCAAGGAGTGCATGGGCTACAGGGAATGCAAGGACTCAATGCTGGACTTTTGCAGGGCAGGCAGCATCCCCAACAGCACCACCAGCACCAACAACAGCAGCAGCAGCATCATCATCAGCACAGCTCGCAGGCGCAGATGGCTGGGCCAATGGCTACCGGCGGTACCATGACCTCACAGCAGCTGCCCCGACCCAACAGAACGCCCCAGCCGTCGTTTTATACTGCGAGCAGACCAGAGGCCACCCCGTTTGGCCAGACGCAGTCGCAACACCAGCAGCAACAGCAACACCAGCACCAGCACCAGCACCAGCACCAGCACCAGCACCAGCACCAGCACCAGCATCAGCATCAGCATCAACATCAGCATCAGCAACAGCAACAGCAACAGCAACAGCAACAGCAACAGCAACAATCGCAAAAACAACATTTCGCACCACAGTATCAGCAGGCCAGCCAATACACGCCACAGCAGCAGTCACCGGTGTTTGCACAACAACAGCGACACCCGTCTCAGAGCATGACTGTTGGCTCGCCCGGTTTGCTGACTCCGAACAGCTCCCACCGATCGCCCCAGTTCACGACGGCGACGAGCACAGCAGGTCTGGGGACGACGCAGAACACGTATGGGGCCGGCTTCGGCTCCTCGACCTACGGTCAGCCGCGCCGGACAAACAGCGGGCCTGGGCCTGCAGGCGCCGGATCGCCGTCCCTCAACGGGCCCTACGGCACAGGTGGCAGTGCTGCTGGAGCCACTTCGGTACCGCACAGCCTCTCTCACCACGGCTCGCCCTCCTCCTTTGGGGCGACAGCACGACAGCAGCCGCAGCCGCAGCCGCAGCCATCGCCCGGAAGCGCCGGCAGCTCGGCAGCCCAGGGCATCCAAGGCTTTCACAACTTCGACAGCCAGTCGCTGTTTGACGGCATCGGCCTGGATGGCAGCACCGGCAGCGGTGGCTTGGGTCTCGGCGGCCCAGGGACCTATAGCTTGGGCGGCAGCGTGCCGAGAACATCGGCCAATCCGGCATCAGCATATGGAGCCCCGCCATCGATGACCTCGTTCGACACAAACATCCGGACAGCCAGCCAGCTGCGGGACCGCTTCTACAACATTCGGCAGTAGCACGACTGCAGCCGCAAGGAAGACCGGCGTTGAAGGCATCTCACCAGACGGCAAAGATCATTTTGGGCAAGCGTTGGGCAGGAGCATGGCAAAAGCTTGAAGGGGCGGTGGGATAGCGGGGGCCTGGGTTAAGAAAATGGGTTATACGGCACATCTCTGGAAGTTTGGAAGGCTTCCCACTACGGATCATTATTGGATAGTATGCTGTTCTTTTTGCGTGGATGTCGGGACAGGGCTGGGAGAGATACTTCTGCCAGCTCCTTGCCGGCGTCTCTGTTTTCCTGCTTCGTTTCTGCTTCTTGTTCTGATTTCATTTGCATTGACGCCCCACGCAGTGAACGACTAACGGCCATGGCATGACATTACCATTGACGACGATTATTAATACAACCGGAACAGTTCCGCTTTCTAATGTACTATACTATATCTTACCACTGAATTCTAGTTTGCATACTACCACTACTCTGCTGGCTGCTGGCAGCAGCAGACAGCAAATGTGAAAAGAACATTATGTTTCTTGTGTGGTATGGATTTCGTCTTTGCTTGTCTACTACTAATAAGCATCTTCCGTCTGAACGTGGGCCCATATCCGGGAGAAGAGCAGTGCGGCGATGCGAGCACAATACAACAGGGGAAAACAAGTAAATCGAACAAACAGATGCTCCCCATCACTTCTTGGCTCAATATAAGCCATGGACAAACGCCTTGGTCCAGCCTCGCCTCGCTCGCCATATTTCTTGTGCCTGTCTGGCCCGAAATTGTACAAATCTATATATTCCTTTGTGGGTGTGCAAACACGGCAAAGTAAAAGAAGGAGGGAAAAGGAAAGTAGGATAAACACAGAAGAAGACCGGCTGGATTTTGTATGCTAACGCCATGCACTGCGCACATCGACTAGAAACGAGAAGGATGCAGAGCTGAAACAAAAGAAAACACGTCATGTTGATACCCCAGTCCGGCTTCCACGCTGAACCGTAAATGGCGCCCGGATCCCCGAGCCCCAAAAGAAAACGCCTAGAAATGCTCAGAGTACAGTAAAAAAGAAAGATTCACGTCTGGAATGCATAGCATAGAAATGCCAAAATTTGAAAAGGAGGGAAAAGAAACGAAATGAATCACGACGAGACCAATCACGACATCCGTCGATCGAGACCGACAGCGGCAGCGTTCTCTTCCTCACGCCGGCAGTCTGAAGTCGTTGACATCATCGTCTATCGAATGCATCGGTGGCCGTACGGACTCGTGAGCGCCGTGTCCATACCACCACTCGTCTTCCTCGGCAAAGCCATCTTCGCGAATCAGCTCCAGCATCACCTGGGCGTTTCTCCGTATGTCTGCTGCCCTGTCGACCACCTTCCGCTTCAGAATGAGAGCCTCGGCCGTCACCATCCACAGCTGCTGCAGAACCGGCAGGTCGGGCAGGAGAAGACGCAACTGATCGCGTGACAGAGGTCCCATCGGCATGCCACCGGCCAAGCTCGTGTGGAATATCAGGTTGTCCATATGCTCCCACGACGTCTCGTCCATGGAGTTCGTGGAGGTCACGTGTCCATCAAGACTCAGCTTAGCTGCTGCCGCCGTGAGAGTGGCAGAAGCATCGTCCTTCATCGTCGTGACCGATCTCTTGCGCCCGAGACTCGCTAGTCCCCGCCGAGGCTTCGCAGCCGGCTCCACGGTCACCTTGGTGATGGAGTTGTACCAGGTGTCCACGGCACCCCTTCGATTGTTGTATCCGTTGATCTCCCAGAAGCGTTCGACCTGGCGGAGTCCACCAATGCACAGCGCTGCAGTATGCACCTCATCGGGAGGCTTGTCTTTGAGGTATCCTCGAAGGGACATCTCCACCCGACCGACATACGACGGCGGCCGCAATCGACGGCAGAATGAAGCCACGACCAAGGGAAATACCTGATGGACCTGCAGCAGAGTCCGGTCATCATACATGCTCATGATCTCGACCTCGATTGGATTCATGGTGTACGGCGTGTGCCGCAAGCCCTTGCCGTTGTGGTCGATGATGTACTGCAGATGCTTTGTCCGGTACGTCTCGAAGAAATGGAAGATGGTGAACAGCAACGGGATTAGGCGCCGGCGCATCCTCTCGCGCTGTGGTGCAAACTCCTGTCTCTGGGCCGCAGTTACCCGCAGAAAAATCTCTTTGGTGACCCATTCGCAAATGTAGAACGCCAACTTGGCGGCGACGTGGAGCCGATGCCACAGGCCGCAGAGATAGCGGAGGTTGAGATTCTTGTAATCAGGAGGATAAATGCGCTTTGCGTATTCGGGTATGTTGTGCTTGAGATGGAAGCGTACAATGGGCGACTCGTTTGCTGTCACCATGGCGTGCCAGGCTCGGGATGTCTGACGAAGTCGTAGGATGTCGGCGAGAGGCATAGATGCTATAACCTGGATCTGCAGCTCAGCAGGGAGGCGGAGGAACAGGAAGTCAAACGGCTGTGACCTGTTCGGCAAGGTTAGCAGGTCGGGACTGAGGCGGGATGCTGGACCAGTCCAGTCGTACGGTTTTCGGTGACCAGCCGATTCGATGGCGGCATGTAGCTGCGTCTCCGAGACAGCTACCGGCGAGTGTATCAACGTCGGTACGGGGATGTGCTGTGGCTTTGAATGAAGTAGGCGGCCAATGAAGCGACTCCTCTTCTGTTTGTGCTCAACATGGGCGGTATCGTCTTGTGGTGCCCCCTGTATGCTGGCGTCTCGCAGTGGAAGAATGAACAGGGATTGGGCCGTTTGCGTAGTCGACGATGCGAGCAAAGAACCGCTCGTAGAGGATTCGCCATTCTGTTGTTGTTGTTGTTGCTGCTGCTGCTGGGCGAATTTTGCAAAGTACTGATTCGAGGCAAACTCAGTGGCCTGAAACGGATTTATGGCCTCTGGCCGAGATGGTGTTGGGGCCATGGTCGTTGTGACAAGGACAAAGGCGTTTGGTCACGGCCTACACACATGTGTTTGCGTCGTGGGTCGGAGGCAAATCTTCCCTAAGTCTAGCAACGAACTCAGACTGTGGAGAGAGGATCAAGGCTTCGGATCGAGAGTGTGATCATTCATGATGCGAAAAACATGACGCTCGAGCGGGGAAGCGCGAGAGAGTCGTGGCTGTCGACTGGCTGTTGCGGAGGATCCGGCAAGACGGCGACAGCTGTGAAGTGGTTCGACTTTCTGGCACGCCAGTCTCTCCGTCGGCAGTCGAACAAGGGCGAGGTAGACGAGGCTGAACGGATTGGTCGAACGAACGAGAATGTCCAGAAGACGTGACTGAGGATGAGGAACAAGGTCGGATCGGATCGAGCAGGAAGACGATGGTGCGAGAATGAAGGACGATGCAAGAGCAAAGCGTTGCGCTGAACAGATTCGGGTTGGCGGGCCGTACCAAGGTGGGGGGGGTGGGAAGAAATATACGGAGCACGAAGACAGTGAGCAGATCCAGATGTGAGGCGACGACGAGAGAGACCGGGGGTAATTATCGGTTGTAAGAGACGGAGATGGCAGAAGACAAAAAGGATAGGATGGGAAATAAGACTCTAAGATTATTGGAAGATGAACGGGAATTAAGGATTTGTAAGGCCTAAAAAGGGAAACACCGCTCGTGGGATGCTCCTGCCTTGGAAGAGCAGAAATAGGGTGAGGGAAAAGGTGGACGACGGCGGAGTGGACTTTCGACGCACTGCAGAGGCCATCGCGGCATGAGCAGCGGGAGGGGGGGGAGTGTGAGAGGGTGTGAGAGGTGTGGGCGTGCAGAAGGGCCACTGGAGAGCGGGCAGGATGACCTTGACGAAGTGCGAGGATGTGGCTACGGCGGTTTGGCCGGCGAAATAGTGGAGAGTATCGGGCCAGACCAGAAACCAAGGGTTCAGGCCACGGGCGGGTCTCCCCTGGCTGAGGTACCTAGAGCACAGCGAGGAATGCGTGGGAGGGTACAGACATCGTAGGCGATGCTGGGTGCGACGACAAGTATCCACCTATGCTTGCCCGAAGTACCGCGAACCAGTCTGAAATGAGGTGTATTTCTCCGTGCGCGCGCCCCCCCTGGTCGCTCTTTCCATCCCCCATAAAATGCCGTCTGAAATTCTGGATTCGGCCCTGCTCCTGCCCAGAGTAGCGCCGTGCTCGTATGAATCCTCGTCGATGCTATCTGCTCGTACGGAGTACTCCGTAAGCAACTTGTATTGCCAGCACGGCGGAGGCGTCTGCAGAGACGAGGCCTGGGCCGGCTATTGGTCTGGGCCATTATTCCAATGAGCACGAGCACGAGCACGAGCACGAGCACGAATACTTCTCTGCAACAACGCCTGTTGCACCTGCTCTGCAGCGTCGGTCGCAATTTAGCCGCGGCCAATGAGCACGTCGCACACTGTCCGCTGCTCTCTCCTGGCACTGTGCGCTTTTGCGGGGGAGCATGCGCGGATCACACAGTAGCCGATAGTGCCGGTGGGCGGAGCGGCATGCTGCCTAATCCATCACCACTCCGACAGATATGCACACTCATGCCGATCTTGTCGAAAGAGGCGCGCCGCGGATCTCTCCTGTCTCAAAGACATGGAAAAAGGCGACGCCGTCGCCCCCTTGCTCTCTTGTCACGGATCGCCATTGCCACTGCCGAGTTGCTGCTTCTCCAGATCACCGCTACTTGAATAGCCGTTAAATTGTAAGCGCAGGCTTTGTACGAGTACGGAGAATGCAACACCAGGTGATCACGGCGTTATTAGTGGGGACCGCCTATCTCTTAAGGTAAGATATGTACGGAGTACTCCGCACCATGTAGTTGTTTGATGAGAGAGGACGAGCATGTAAACCGGCATGAAACAAGCTGGCAGATATGACGCCCAGCCAAAAGGAAATACGCGACAGAGAGGAGGGAGACGTGAGAAGCAATGCAATGATACGCGAGGCGCTACCAAGTATGTATGCCTTCGTCCCACGCAAATCTTCCGGCTTGGTGACCATCCCGCGCCCGTTTCTGTGTATATCTCACATCTCACGGAGTACATACAACGGTCTCTTGGCCAGAGAGCGGGACGGCAGAGCCGCGCCAGAGACGATGTCTCCCTCCCGCCCCTGTTTTGTGTGTGCATCTCTGGTATACGGCCAGTCGGCAGCAGGCCGATATTAAGGTTAGCAGATCTGCAAAAACAGGAGGCGAGGCAATTTGCGTTCTAGCACAAGAGCTGTATTGCCCGATTGCACTGCCCAGTTCTCCAAGGGGTGGCCTGTCTCTGGCCAATTTGGCCGTGCCACAAATGGAGACGAGCAGAATCAAAGTCAGATTACGGAGTAAAAAGCCGTAAAACACAAAAATGTACGGTCGCAGAAGAGAAGAAGAAAGGAGAGACAGAAAAAGAAAAAGAGTCCAGTCATGCTCAGTAAGGATGGCCCACCTTTGGGTGTACGGCCCGACTCCGGCCTTGCTGAAAGAGCGCCGGGTTGGTGGGGCAGGAGAATCGGCCGAGAAGGTGCCAGCGAGCTACTCCGTATTACTGTGTACAAAATGGTGGAATGGCGGGACAGCGAGCATTAATGCGCCCTTCGCGTTAGCAACACACCCAGACAGTCGCAACCATGCGCTGTTTACGCGTTCGGAGTACGACAATACGCTACATAGCTTATGCACGGTTATATAAGCGGCTGCTCACGGCCCCGTTTTTTCCGGTGTTTTTGCAGTGACTTGCCGAAAGACGCCGGGCTCTGACGGGCCTCTAGGTCACTCGCCGCGGTTTTTATATCCCGTGCAATCCGTGCTCGTACATAGTAAGATACGTCGTATATGTCTCGCTCCGTACTAGCTCTCTTCCCATAGCCGGCACTGCACTGTCCCGCCGTGCAAATAAACACAGCGGCCGATCGATGCGACTGGACGTTGCATTTTGCCAAGGGCAGCTCATCGTTCTTCTTTCTTCTCTCTTTTTTCTCTCCTGCAACCCATACCGTTTCCTCCCCACTCTAGGCCCCAGCATTTATTATACTCGTATCTCACATATAAGCTAATTCGTGCCATGCAGTGCCTTCCGTTGTAAGGGTCTACGGCGACTGTCCCGTATTTGGCCTAGCACCACTCGTCTAATATGGGTAGAAGAAACGTGGCCTGGCGGGCGGCAATGTCCTATTTCGGAAGTTGTGATTGGATAAATCAAACACAACTTGTGTATCTTACGAGGGGCAAGAATGTTTCATTATGTAAGCAACCCGTCAGCCGGGTTTCGTCTTGTTCGTTTTCCTTCTCCCGACCAAGACCGGAGTTCGGCCTGTGCCGCAGGGTTTGGCGCCGGCCCCTCCGCAGATGTGTTTTCCGGCCTCCGGCCTGCTTGCCGTGTCTCTCTGCCTTGGCTGGTGCGGCTCTGCTCCGCTGTTTCTGGCTGCTTACGACGTATGGTCTTCTTTGCAGAATTGGACCCCGGATCTATTTTTAGGATATTCTAGACATATCATCGAGAGTCAGGGACACAAGGTGACCGAAGTCAGACCAGAGACACAAGACAAACGCAAGATGAGGTCCAATGCTAGATGCCAGTGCCAGGCGGTCGAGGACGCACAAAAGACGTGCAGTGTCTGCTTCTCCTGTCCGTCATCCTCGCCCTCCCCCATATCTTACCGTCTTTCCCGCCAAGACTTATTTTTAAACATTAAAAGAGGGAACCTGCCATCGCTCGTATGCCCCCAGTCCATCTGATTGGCCCGGCCCATCCATCTGCCTGTCGTATCGTATAATACGAGTACTGGCCTCTTTTCCCCCCTGGGTGCAACCGCATCCGATTGCGGGTATTTGTCGTCATCCTCAAGTAAGCAGAGAGCCACACGGCGGAATCAGAAAATCAGGGCTTCTCCCCAGCTCGCGTCTTGCCTGCCGTCTCCATCTCTGCTTCCCCCTTTAATAGCCGACTGCTCTCTCCTGTTGGGTTGCATGTCTTGTACTCGGACTATAGCCGCCGAACACGTCCGTCCGTCCTCGTTTTGCCCGTCCGAATCCAACCGCATCGACGATCCCTGTTGCGTTGCGCAAAAGGTGGAAGCCAACGCCCCCTTTTTCTTCTGCCGCAGCCTTGCCGCCCGATTGCAGACGCCTGGTCCGGCCCAACATCCGCACTCATTGTCGTCTGCCGCGGCCTGCAGACGAGGGCCTGTGCTTCTATTGGCCTCTCCCACGCTCCGAGTCTGAAATTACTCCGTCCCGGCCTACTGTCGCGCGTCCGCGATGTCTACACACACCAGGTTCTCAACCTTCCCACCCACCCCCGGGGGTGATGACGGCGATATCGGCAGGCCAGAAAGCGACAGCCCGTCCTCCAAGCTGATGCTGGAGCCGTATTCCCCGCCCTTCGTGGTGGAGACGCCCACGTCACCGTCCTCGGCCTTCGCTCTGTCGCGGTTTGAGTTTGAGACGGGCAGGGGAAACGAGGGCACCAAGATCCTGATGGTCGAGTGGAACAGCACTGCAGCAACTGCAGCTGCAGCTGCAGCGGCAACAACAACAGCAACAGCAACGACAGCGACAGCAGCTTCTACCGTTACTACCAGGCAGGACAATCCGACGACGGACAACACTACGAGCTGCCTAGCGGTCCAGGACGACGGCCACGACTGGGCCGGTTGGGAGGTCACGTGGGACGGCAAGACGGACGCCAATGCAGTGCCCGCCCGAAGAAGCACCGGCGGCACTGACGGCGAGGATGGCACGACGCTGCGGGTGTACTTTCTGCTGCCGCCTGGCCAGCACATCCCGCCGCTGGTGAGCATTCGCCAGCGCGTGGGCCGCGTGGGGGGTGATACCGCAGCAGTCCTGTGGACCAAGCCCATGCCGGCTATCTTTCCGGCCAGCAGCAGCACGACGACCGGACAGCGAGGCGTGCTGCATACGATATGGGCGCAGCAGCGACTGGCCGACCTGGCCGCCGAGATTGCGGCCGAGATGCAGGCCAACAGCGAGAGTGTCGGCCTGCAGATCGCCATCCAGGAGCACGCGTGGATCACAGAGCACTTTGGCAATAGCAACGACGCAACGCCGGCTGCAGCTGCAGCAGCAGCGCGATCACCATCCGAATCGGAACCGGAAACGGACACAGACACAGAAGCAGCTGCCGCTTCGTTCTCGCCACACCCTCCATCCGGAAATACGAGCAAGCTCGGCGAGAAGCTCAGAGGCCTGCGGCTGGCGACGTCACCGGCCGACCTCGAGGCCGCGTCACGAGGTGAGTCTCCTCCATGTCGACATAACAGGAGCCCTATCATCCTCACCCCACCCCCCTCCTTTCTCCCCAGCTGACCTCCCGGGAGCAAGCAAAGGATCCGCCAGTACCACCCTCTGGACCCACGTTCACGCCACGCAGCAGACAAGGTCGCAGCCGCAGCAACAGCAGCAGCAACAGCACACGGCCCCGTCACACGTCTACTCCCTCGATGCTGTTCTGCAGGGCGGCCGCATCCAGGCAACCGACACGGCAGATGCGGACGGCGAGGATGAGCTGTTTGCCCTGCCTATGAGTCCGCGCAGTCCGGACATGGTGAAGAGCCCGTTCAGCGTGCTGTAGGAAAGCATGGCCGAGAGCACGGCCGAGAGCACGGCCGAGAGCATGGCCGAGAGCATGGTCAAGAGAGCATGGATCCCCAAAGCCACAGGTTGGACGCCGCATTGCACAGCGTGCCGTTGCTTTCCTCTTTCCTCTGCCCTTCCCTGTCACTTATCGGTTTACCCATTTGTATAGGCGCCTTCCATAGCGGCTTTCTCGTCTCGCTTGTCATCGTTTCTTCCTATTCCTGCTTTCTTCTTTCTCTACTTGGTCCCTTTTCCTCTTTTCCTAACTTTAATCTTGTTCTCCTTCTTCATATAGATCAAAGGGCAAACCAAATCTACGGATATATACAGAATATCATGAGATCACATGCCTCTTGGTCCGAATGTGTCCATCAGGCCGTTCCCCAACCCCCATGTCGTGCTTCTCTTCGTATTTTTGGCTCGAGATGCGGGATACATCCTTGACTGTCGGCTAAATACAGTCAGATCCGATGCCAGAGCCAGGGCCTGCAATTTAGCCTGCTCCAGTTTTCATTCGTTCTTCGTTACAATGCCTATTTCCGTCTGCTCTGCTCGTAAGATACCACCTCCTTGCATCCTGCTGCGGGCAGCAGACCTTGGCTGCCTCGTTTCTAATTTTCGCCTTCTCGTTGATCACCTTGCGTCTTGGCCGTCGTGTCTGAGACCCTTCGAATCGCTCATGGTCCACTCACACGGATAGCTGCACCCACGGTCCCCTCTCACCGCCCCCGGAGCCATGTGATAGCACCGGAAAGTGCAGTATGAGCGCAGAGCTGCCTGCGTGCTCCGTTTTCATATCTTGAAAAGAAAAAAAAGAAAAAAGGGGGGCAAGACGGAGTAATGTCCGCCAAAAATTCGAATCGGCCCGTGTTGTACGGCACCAATGTCTCATGGGTCCCGTGCAAACCAAGGCTAATCACGTGGCGTGCTGGATTTCTGAATTATCAGTCGTCAACCTCTGCCAAAGCCTCTTTCATATCCACAATTAAGAGACATTCTTATCGATGCAGCGACAACAATATCGAACCATTTCGAGCTGCGAATTCGACCCGCCACCGAGCCACCCCTCTCTCCCCGTCCTTGTAAGGTTACTGGCAAGATGTGCGCCAGAGCCTAAACAGGAATGTCCGACAGCCCTCTCGCGCAATGTATAAAAACCACGGTAATTTCGCTGGCTAAATATGCCCGGACCCTCTTGCTCGGCTGATGTCCAGATGCAGCACAGCCGCCGCTTCGCTGGCCTAGCTACGTAGTAGAAAGTACGCGTACGGCTAAGTGGCTTAGGCTAGCAATCGGGTATCGTAGAGAGTCAGCCGGCCTAATATAAAGGTACGGCCGCGTAAACGTTAATCGACATTAGAGCTTCTGTAGCTCGTATATGTAGCTAGTTACATGGTAAGTGTCCGATCGGTGAACAGTGCTGTCAACTGCCATTAAGAAGTGGCCTTTCGGTGGTCCAAGAGCAAGTCGGCATCGGGCAGCTCGGTGTGTGAGCACCGAGCATGGCCCATTACCCCGTTTTCTGAACTAAGCCTTGCCAGCTTCCTGGTTAACTGCTCCATTGTTTTGGCATACCATTTATCCTACTACACGCCTATAGGGCGTATACATCTCAGAAAGCTTGTGCTATTCGATTTAAGCGAGTTTTGTCTGATTTCTCTACTTCAGTCTTATTTGAGAATCTTCGTGGCTTCTAATAGAATAGTCTAGAATCGCAATATTGAGCAGTAGGTAGGATAGAATCGACGCGTCTGTGGACAGTAAATATGACGTTCCCTGGTGTTACGTAGGATCTGACCATCTGCTCCTGCTGGTCTGTGGCACCAAAATGATGTCAGCACATTCAAAACGATGTTTAAAACTGCAGCCTGGGCTCTTAACGTCATCCATAAACTGGATCGCAGTGGATGTCTGACAAAGGACACTCAATCGGGTTTAAACGGCTAGGCTTATATCGGTTTCTTATAACGGTTGTAGTGTATTTGGCCTGCACTCTGAACTCACTGTCAATTTTGACCGTCGACAGAGATCTTTTGCACCAGGGCATTACATGCCACGTCATACAGACATGTATGTGTGTCATGCAACCTGATACTGAATAATTGTTTAGCTTACTGTTTCCCGATAACACAGCATCTCATTCTCTGGCCTTGGCTCGTAATTGCTTACACTATTACGGGGCTCTGATTTACCACCAGCAGAACATATGATTTGGAAGCAAGGGACATGCAGCTAGAACTCATTTATGAAGTTGGCCCGCCTCGTACTCGATCCGGTGCAGGGATATATAAATTCAAAGATATATAGAGCTTTTGCGATTCTTCGGGTTCGAGACAATCCTTTGGACAATAAATATCAATTTTCGACAGAACTAAAAACACGTCATAAATTGAGCTTATCATTCTTTCATTGAGAAAGCGAAATATGTGGAGTATTGGATTTATATTTGATCATTTGAATAACTTCCCTAGGCGGGTTAGAGAAATAGATACATTTCCATCAAAATAACATCACCCCTTGGAAACAAATGGATTCGTTGGACACTTGCCCCAAAAAACAATTGACTTGGCCCTGAAAGACGTAGATAATCTCTCATGATTGCCTCCGCTTATAATGTGCCTCAGTTCATTTGGGTACTTGAGGCAGCTTATGGCAACCCAAGTCGCCTACCAACGAATATCAGCACCGGCGCAAATTGTTATGACTTTTATTCTTTGAATTATCCAGCCCACTCAGCTTTGGTTGAAGGAGAAGCCCATGTTTATATACCGAGTTGTATCAATTGGCAGCGAGAAGGCATTAACAAACACTAAGCATAGCACAGAGTAATCCGTAGCTAGATACCTATTCAGAGGCCATCCTTGTATCTTAACTTACCTTTGTCACCACTAGATATGTCACAAATTGGCAGTGCCACCCATAACAGAGGATTCCTGCGTTGTTCAACTTTTGGTATGAAGGGTGGTGGCAAGAGTCAGCACCATCAGCGGTGGGAATATTTTGCGTCGCTGAGGATGTGCCATTATAATCACACCTTGGGTGATATTAAGCAACCATGTACAGAGTAAGCAATCTTCAAATAACAGTCTATCGTGCATAGCTCTACGACAAACATTGCGTAAGTCTTGTTGCTAATTTCCGAAATTCGGCCGCCGAAGGAATTCATTGTCGTAACTTATGCCAAGTCAATATGATTTTTATGACATGAAATGTTTGCCTAGACTTGTCATCTGAGCTGATAAAGCAACTGTTCTGATGACTCGAATATGATTCAAGAGACCCGCTTGCTTCTTGTGACAAATCGCAGCCTTTAATCGGATCAGACACAGGGGGTATCAGGCTCCTAATACGATTATGGGACAAATCATTTATGAGTAAGACTAAAAGTTCGGCAAAGAAGTCGAAATACAAAGGCAACGATATCAAACTCGACTTTTTCCTTTTGTAGCGATCGCTTTGCATAACAGACTTCACATTGTATCTATTCAAAAAGCCGAGAAAAAAATAGGAGGCCGAGGCCGAATAAACTTACGTGAAAAGTAAGAGCAGCTGGCTTGTCGCTTAGACGTATTGATGCGCGATCTGTGACAATAGCAGCATATCATAGGAGTTTCTTCAACAGACTAGGACCTCAATTTACTATAGCGCATAGCTGTTTGCAATATTATTGACCTTCGACCCCGACTTTCAACAATAAGGGCCATCAAGAATATGCAGTGGGACTTTTTGTATCTATTCTTGAGCAGTTTGGCGGTCACGAGGACTACACGATGCCATTACGACAAGCAGTGATGACTTGCTTTATGATATGTCTTCGGCATAATGATCCCATCAACGGACTAAAATTGACCTGAAAAAGGACAGCTTGTCATCAGCCTACTACAGTGCTTTTCTTTTGGCTCGTTCTACGCATAATTTGAAGAAATATCTGAGCTTCACATATATCGCCATGTCTGCCAGCAATTCACGTACACCTCGCAGTCTGTGACGAGAGCAATGTCAATGTCAGACACAACCGCCCCGCTTCGTCCCTGACTGTTCGCCATTTAGTCCGCCATGCGCAAGAGTCCGTACTGCCGGGTACATTGCGACGACATCCTTCAAATAGCAGAGGAACATCATCGGAGCCGACGGCTGACTAGCTTGAATGGACTTAAGGCTCTATGGCTCTGCGGCTAGTGAATTGGTATTGCTATGCAGCGACTTCACTATGCGGTGTAATTTTCAAACATTATGTCTAATTATCAACATAATAACGGCCATCTGACTTGACCCATTCACCTTTCGAGACAATGCAGACCCAACGACTACAGCTGGGATTCCGATATTAACAAAGCAAGATTGGCTGTAGAAACATACACACACAAAGCATGGCCTTCCGCAGGAATGTCTGAGCCGAATTCTCTGTTTAAGCTGAAGCTAGCAGCCTTGTGAGAGTCTGTGATTTTTGCGTCAGTCTCCAGCTCTCTCGGTTCCTCTCGGCCAGCCGTTCAGCTGCTGGCTATCGCCATCCGCCCACGCGGCCTTCATCCCATCGCTCTCTTCTCTCTTGTCGTAGGTAGTACAGCTTCCGTGCCTCGCGATACCGTCGCACCCAGTCGGCCGCCTCCCGCTCGCTGGCCGGTGCTCCGTCATGGCCGCCCAACGCCGACGGGTCGCCACCGCTGCCGCCGTCCAGGAAGCTCTCCTCTAGTGCCTGGCACACTTGCTCCTGCTCGGCCACGCCGGCGGCCAGCCGCTGGTACAGGCTAGCCGGCGCAAACGGCGCCAGCGCCGCGTCCATGTCCGCCTGCTTGCTGCGCCACGAGCGCTCCAGCGCGTGGGCACCCATCAGCTGAGCCTGGGTTGCTGCCCGCTGGTGTGCCAGTCGTGCCTCGAGCTCCTGCAGGTGGGCGGCGAGCTGCATGTTCTCGTCGAGGGCGGCGGCCAGGGTCGCGTGCGAGGCCGCCAGCGACGGATGACTCGTGACCGTGCTGTGCGTGAGGGCATCAAGAAGCCCTGGCGATGCCAGGATGTCGGCCAGGTCTTGCTTTCTGGTGGGGATAAGCGGTCAGCCAACAGCCCAGAGAAAGAAGACGATCAGAAAGAGGTCAACACAGCACGCACGATTTGTCTTGTAGAATCTTGGGCAGCCAGTTCTCGCCCGGGTCCGGAGTATCCGGCAGCGCCGCAATCTGAGCCTGCATCACCGCCTCTGGAAGGCTGGATGATGTCGCTGGGACCGGCGGCGGTGGTCTGGGCGATTGCGTAGCTGCCGGAGTGCTGCGTCGGCTGACCTCATGGCTGCCAGACTTGGGCGGGGGGATTGGTGCCGTTGCCGTGTACATTTTCTCTTCTCCGGTTTACATCGTCTCCTCTCTGGACTTATTTTCTCCGTAGTCCTGTCTTTGCTCTGCGCCGTGAGGTCTGGAAACGAATGACGAGAGCATCGTAGCTTAGCTCTTGATAAGGAGGCTGGAGACATACATAGCTCTGTGCTTATCGCATTTGTACTGTATATATGCATATCTGGATGTGGGGTGCTGAAAGTCATGTCTACCAACCCCTCATAGGCCGGTTATCTTCATTGATATTAAGCTTTCAGGCTCGACATTCTCGTGTACAGAGCTCTGGACTTTTAAAAGGCTTTTTTCCTGGATTCATTCATCCTCCATAGAAAAAGATACGCACTCGAAACCCGTACATATCGCCATCATGGCTGGCCGACAGGAATCCAGTAAACTTTCACTCTCACCCGTCGTCCTGGTGATTCGAGCTCATTGCTAACCACACCTCTAGTAAATCTCGACAGTCTCAGCCCACAGCAGCTCAGCGCTGTCAAGAAGCAGCTGGACGATGAGGTTGAGCACTTGACCTCATCCTTTTCGCAGCTCGCAGCTGCCCAGGGCAAATTCCGGGAGTGCTTGCGCTGTGTGCAGGGAAAGCCACGGGGTGCGTTATGTACCTGCAGGCTCTTCACTGTTCAAGTCCCACTGAACCCGGAAAAGCTAATTCGACTATAGAAGCTGGGAAGAAAGTCCTTGTACCGTTGACAAATTCCCTCTACGTCAGCGGCACGCTGTCTGATCCGAACCGGGTCATTGTCGATGTCGGCACTGGATTCTATATTGAAAAGGTTCGAACCGCCTTGGGGTCTTTCAGAAACTGTCGTAACTTGGTTCTATGAACTGACATGCAGTTGTACAGGACATCAAGAGCGCTGCACAGTTTTACGAGGACAAGATAACCGAGCTTACTGGGAACATCCAGGAGCTGGAGATCATCGTCCAGGGTAAAACAAACAACTTAAGAGTTGTAGAAGAAGGTAAGCTACTCAACTTTTATTGTTCTGGTACTGTTCCCTGCTTGATTTCTAATAAACGGACAGTTTTACGGCAAAAGGTCCTCGCAAGTCCGCCTGCGGCATGAAGGATCCTCATGACTTTGATATCTTATTATTATAGTCCAGCGATACCATTGCGCTTGTGTTTATCAGTACATGACATACATACATACATGAACGCTTCCACTTGCTCTGCCACCTCAGTCAAACACGATCAAGTCATCGACCAACTGTACAAAACGCTGATCCACGTCACGGGCATCGATACCTCCTGTCATCTTCATATCACTCTGGGTATCATTTTTCGTTATGCTCTCTAGCACTATTTCGGTTGGTACATCTTCCATCGTAAATTTCCTAACAAAATCTTTTGCCCTGATAGTTCTGTGATCTGCCATATCAAAGGGAACCATTTCTGAAAGTTCGTTATCGTTTGTGTCCACGACAGGAATGACCATTTCTGACAATGCACTGATCCCCTCAATGGCGGAAAAGAAGTCTTTGATCCCGTCTCTGGTCTCAGCCGGTGCAAACATGGCACTGAAGTTCTGGCCGAAATCTCTCGACTCTAGCGAGCCATGCTTTTGGTCGAGAGCCTCATCCCAGCTGTCGCAGTGGAGAGAAATACCGGTTGCCCATACATGGGTTTGAGTCTCTCTCGGTAATGACCACTCGCGACATAGAGATAGTTCCAGCAGATACCGTGTGCCTTTGCAACCCACGGTCCATGTCTTCTTGCCGGTGATTCGCTTGATCCTGCTGGGCAGAATAGACTCGTGACGGACAGTTGGAACCGGAAAATCGTCATCTTCGACCACGTAATTGACAGAAATGTAATTCCCAATATTTCTGATTGAGGGGGGAACGTCCTCGAGATTTAGCTCTTGCAAGAAGCACATTCTCCAGTCTAGGCGCCTGCCAAAAACAGTTGGTTTGATGGATTTTTCCGGTACTTTAGAGTGAAGATGGGTACATACTGGTTGAGGCACACCGCTTCCATGTCGATGTTACAATCAGCCATGCGGCGCTGAAAAACACGCATTTGGGACAGCTTCGTGGAGCTGTTTCTAGCCGTATCATAGTTTGGCACGACAAACTCAATAAGGAAAGCTTCGGTACAGATGATCAGATAGTTCCGTGGCTGGGTGTCGTGGAGATATGTCATTGCCGAAGAACAGGGGTCAAAAGTACCGTCTGCATCAATCACCATCTTCTGAAGAGCATAGAACATGTCTCGGTCTCCGATACTGACGGACAGTCAGCTTTTAGGTTACTTGAACCAAAAGGGGCACCGCTCTTACCGGTAGTCAAACATGGTACTCCCCTTGGCTGATGCCCTTTCCAGGAATGTTTCCAAGCCTCTAATCCCCTGAGAAGCATCAACGCCATTGTTTCCAGTTACGTCAACGAGTATCGTCCCCAATTCAAAGTTCATATGAAGACGGCGCGGATTAGTTTTGATATTGTCCGCCACTCTGGAAAAATGGGCACAGAACTCAGCTATTTGTGAATGCGCTGAACTTAAGCCTACCGTCCCCAGCTGCCACCCGTTGGCATGGCCCGGATCCGAATGATGGAGCTGTGTGGGTAACGCAGACTTTATACATGGCATTTCGCTGTCGCTAGTGGCCGTTTGAATCCAGAAGATTACCTGCGGACTATGACTATTACCAGCTTCTTGGATAAGTCCGCAAATTTCTCCGTGAGCCATCCGGACGCTAGAAATAAGAGTGCCATGCAGCACAAGGCTGCGAGGCACGGGTGCTTCATATTCGACCTGTACATGACATCGTTGGCTCACCAGACCGATCAGGTCTACCAGGAGAGGGTCGCAAAAGCCTGCAGGATACTCGTTCGAGACCGGGCCTTGAATTAGGAGCTATAAACCGAATGTGAGAGCAATTCGGACGGATAGTTGTAAATTGATAAACATGCACACCTTCACTTGGGGAACTTTCGCGGGCGAACGAATAGGGGCGCCCAAGGGCTGTGTTATTTGAGCAGGCGCTTTCCCATGTAATTTCACAACTTCCTTATTTTTTGGACGCACGACAGGCAAAGGAGGAGCGAAAGGCAAGATTTTGCCATATGTTGCTGTGGTACTTATTGTAGGATTGGGGGGAGCTTCGTTATTCGGCCATTTTTTATTGCTGTCGCCCTTTTTGGAAGCTCGCCTTTTCGCTTTACGCCCTTTTGAAGGCATATTTAAGTTCGTGCTGTGTAGGTATATTGTTGTACTCTACTTCCGAGCCGTTCGCGGGCTGTTAAATGCTCGCACAGAGTAGTCGCAAGGCTACTGTCGCAAGGAAGGACAGCGACAGAAGTCCACGATGATACGCATATATAATCGTATCTACGGCAATAAAACTTCTGGGACCATCACACATGCTAAGTAAATTGGAGTAAGGAAAGAACTACCGTGGCCGACGTCGCGTGCCTTCCGTCTTCGAGTATCACGATTGTACATCTCGATTCATCTCGGCTCATTCGCTCTTTCTTAACTTGCCTATAGCAGTTAGGAATACAGTGCAAAACGTGCATTTCAGATGTTCGTATGAGTTAAAGAAGGGTGCTATTATCAAGATGAGGTTTGCGACAAAATTGATTGTACTCCGTAATACGGAGTTTTATTTGCAAAATCAGACTTGTTTGCATACTCCGTAGTTGTTGAATTTGGTCGGCTAAGCAACCTAGCAGCGGTTGGTTTAATTGAAACGCGAAAAATCGCGTCGAAGCGCGCCACATTCACTCGGTACTCAGCCACTAATCATTAACGGCCAGCTTTCTTCTAGCTGTACGGAGTGTTGACTTGCATATCAGTTGAATTCTTTCAGAATTGCACACCGCCGCTGACTTCTGCGATTGTGAAAATGCCTCTCCTCAAGCCATCAAAAAAACTGTCCAGAAAGCCGAGGACACGCAAGATAGTGCCTGGGATTTTGCGCGAAGATTCAGACGACGAACTTGGCGACAGTGACCTTCCATGGGAGTGGATATACGAAAATGCAAGCACTACGGCAGAGCCAAACGGGCGAGAAGCGTCTCAGAAGCGGAAACGATCAGAGAAGTCCAGCAGGATTATCGGCGCACGGATGGGCGAGTTCGAGTGCAGACACGGAGACACTGTGTTGCTGAAAGCTGAGGGCTCCAACGAAGCATGGGTCGGTTTGATATGTGACTTCCTCGAAGAGGATGACCAGAAAAAGGCACATTTCATGTGGTTCTCGACCGAGAGGGAGATCCGCAACAAGATAAAGAAGAGGACCGACTTTTTGCCTGTAAGCGGACGGATGGCGAGCGAAGGAACAGGATGGTATAATTAGTGGGAAGGCGTGCTGACATGGAGGTTGCAGAACGAGTTATACATCTCGCCGTCGTGGGATTATAACCCCTTAGCATCGATCAACGGACGAGCGCAGATAATGTCCCTCGCGACTTTCTACCAGAAGTACCCAAACGGCCGCGTGCCGCGAAACGCAAAGGAAAACGGCAAGGTGTTTGTATGTCGGCGCGGTTGTAACACGCGGACAGCAAGCTACACGGAAGAGTTTGTGTGGGAAGACCTGTTCTCGGGCTCGGCAGAAGACATTGAGAATCTAGTTGAGATGATCAAGACGGGAACAAAGGCGACACGGAAGAAGCGACAGACAGCCAAGGACGAGGATGCGGAGGATCCATACGTATTTGCTGGAGACGACGAGGGCGCAGAGGAGCGGGAGTTCCAGACACCCAAGAAGAAGACCAAGACATTTGAGGCTACGACGCCGACGAGCAAGGCACCACGCAGCGCGTCCAAGTTTATGACGCCATCGCATCGGCGGGTGATGGTCAAGAAACAGCTGGAGTTTACGCCGCTGGCGACACGCACACTATCACCGGGCCACTTCCAGGCATCGCCTTTCCAGCGGGCGCGGGCGCAGCTGCACGTGGCCTCGGTGCCAACGAGCCTGCCATGCCGAGAGAGCGAGTTTTCGCTGGTGTACTCACACCTGGAAGCGGCAATCACCGAGGGCACGGGGTCGTGCATCTACATCTCGGGCACGCCCGGCACAGGCAAGACGGCGACGGTGCGGGAAGTAGTGGCACAGCTGGACTGCGCGGTGCAGTCGGACGAGCTGGACGACTTCATCTTTGTGGAGATCAACGGAATGAAGATCACGGACCCGCATCAGTCGTACTCGCTGCTATGGGAGGCGCTCAAGGGGCAGCGGGTCAGCCCGGGCCAGGCTCTGGATCTGCTGGAGCACGAGTTCAGCAATCCGAGCCCGCGACGGGTGCCATGTGTGGTGCTGATGGACGAGCTGGACCAGCTGGTGACCAAGAACCAGGGCGTGATGTACAACTTTTTCAACTGGCCCAGCTTGCGGCACAGCCGGCTGATTGTGCTGGCGGTGGCGAACACGATGGATCTTCCAGAGCGGACGCTGAGCAACAAGATCAGTAGTCGATTGGGTAAATAGTGGCTCGGCCTGCCATGGCGTTTTTGCCTTTTTTGCCTTTTTGGCGTCTCTCCTGCATGCTAACTTTGTTGCAGGATTGACTCGCATTACGTTCCCGGGCTATAACCACGAGCAGCTGATGAAGATCATCCAGTCGCGCCTAGAGGGTGTGCCGGGTAGCATGGTGGACCCGGACGCGATCCAGTTTGCGAGTCGGAAGGTAGCGGCTGTCAGCGGTGATGCGCGACGTGCTCTGGATATTTGCCGGCGGGCGGTGGAGCTGGCGGAGGCGGAGAGCCGTCAGGCGCCGGTGCCAGGGACGCCGACGAAGCCGAAGAGGGGCGAGACCTCGTTGACGGTGGCGGCAACATCCAGCAAGCGGAGCAATAGCAGCGGCCGGGTGACCATCGACACGGTGCGGCGGGCCATTGCGGAGGCGACGTCGAGCCCGCTGCAGCAGTACCTGCGGGCGCTTCCATTTGCGTCGCGGCTGCTGCTGGCAGCTTTGGTGGCGCGGGCACAGAGGACCGGCCTGGCCGAGAGCACGTATGGCGACGTGCTCGAGGAGACGGAACGGTCGCTGCGGATGGCGATGGCGATGGCGGCCGGCACAGCCGAGGGTCGGCCGCTCGAGGTGCTCGGCGGTGCGGACGCAAAGGCGGGTGCTGACGGATCGCGCAAGCACACAGGCGGAGCAGCAGCTGCGGCAGCCTCGCGGGGGGTCCGGCTGGCCGGGCTTGGAGGCGCGGCGGCTGATCTGGCCGGGGCGGGCATCCTGTATCTGGAAGGGCAGCGGGTGGAGCGGCCGAGCAAGATGCGGCTGGCCGTGGGCGATGAGGACGTGCGGTTGGCCTTTCGCGACGATCCGGAGATCAAGGCGACGGGGTTGGTGGCTTGAGTGGAGAGGGTGGTCATTTACTGGGAAAGCATACGGAGTACTCCGTATGCTTATATAATCATTGGCGAGCATTGTAGAGCACTGAAACAATAGAGCAATAGGTACCACGTTTGATTACATAATACACTCGGAGCCCTTCCATTCTAGTTCGCTGTGCAGTCACAATTCAATTACTTAGTATACACGCCGTACGCCTGTTTTCCTACCCGTCTGCCAGCAGCATCTTCGGTCTTGGCCCTCCGTGTCCACCCCCCCGTCTTCTCCCTAATACCGGCGCTGCATCGGCGTCGGCTGCCAGTCGAGCGGATGGGTCTGGGGCGTGGCTTGATCATCCTGGCGCCAGATCTTGATGGTCTTGTCGGCCTCGCCGCAGATGAGACGCATGCCGGAGCGATCGTAAGTGGCGGCCATGATGCCGGACTCGGCGTCGAGCGAGCCGGGCTGCGCGATGGTGTCGAGGGACTGGAAGCGATGGCCGGACTTCCAGTCCCAGAAGCTCATGGAACCGTTGTCGGCGCCGGAGAAGAAGACGTTGTCAGCGTTGACGGCGAGGGCGTTGATGATAGCGTTGTGGCCGGCAAAGTTCTGCATGAAGGCACCCTCGGGGCACTTCCACTGCTTGATGCTGCCGGCGCTGGCGCTGGCAAAGGTGAACTCGGCTGGATGGACGGCGAGCGCGCGGACGCCCTTTTTGTGGTGGGTGAGCACGCCCGACGACTTGCCGGCAGCCAGATCCCAGAGCCGGACGGTGCTGTCGAGCGAGCCAGTGATGACCTGCGGGTCAGCCTCCTGGCAGCGCACGTCGGCGATGGTGCCGGTGTGACCGGCCAGCACGTGGATGTTGCTGCGCGTGCGCATGTCCCAAACCCGGGCCACGCCGTCGCGGCCGCCGGTGACGAGCACGTCCAGCGTCGGGTGCAGCGCCAGCGCGTACACGCCGCTCAGATGGCCGTGATAGTGCCGGATCACCTTGTTCGTCTCCAGGTCCCAGCACTTGACCATCTTGTCCTCACCGCAGGAGAAGAGGTACGGGTGGCGCGGCGACACCGCCAGTCCGCGCACCGTCGAGATGTGGCCCGTCAGCGTCAGTCGCAGCTGTCCCGACGCCAGGTCCCAGATCTTGATCGTCCGGTCACCTGCCCCGCTGGCAAACCACTTGTTGCCCGGCTCCACCGCCAGGCTGCGCACCCACCCCAGGTGGCCCGAGATGACACGCATCAGCTTCCACGGCGCGTGCCACTCTGGCCGTGGCTGCGCCTGCACGTCCTGCATTCGCATCAGCTGCTGTCCTGCTGAGAATGCAGATGTCCCTGTCGCGGCAGCTCCTGGGAGCCGTCGAATCGGCATCAGCGCCGTGCTGTGTGCTTTCTCGTTTGGCTTCTTGCCGCTGCCGTTCTCCTCGATGCCTTCGATCAGCTTCCGTGCCGCCACGTCCTCGCCGGCCCCGTCGCCGCTCGCCACCGGCTTCCGCTGCAGCAGTGCCTTCTTGCGTGCTGCTGCCGCGCCCACGGCTGCTGCCTGCTTCGTGGCTAGCGCTTCGGGCAGCGTCCGCACGTTCGCGTACTCGGCGTTCAGTCGCAGCGCCACCGCCGTCTCTGTCAGATCTGGGTCGTCGCTGCTCGCCGATGCTGGGTCGAGGCGCAAGCGCTTACGGCTGCCATCTGCATCTCCCGTCGGCCGGCTGTCAAAAAAGATCGCCTTGGCCGTGTGGGCGTTGCGCTTGATCAGCGTCGCCAGGTCGCCGCTCTCGACGGCCGTGACGGCGCCCGTGGCCACCTCTGCAGCCATTTGGGGCGGAGACTGTCGTCGCCTGTGGGCGGCTCGAATGCTCGACAGACAAGGCGCGAAGTCGAGAAAGAAGGCCGTCACGTTTCGAGATCTCGTGGAGTGTCGAAGCTTGATGGCGGCGAAGAAGGCGCGACGTGAATTTCCAACTGGATAAAAAAAGCAGGTCTGGTTTAGTGCAAACAGACGCCCCGGTTAGCGCATAATGGGATCTTAGTACCTTACATAACTGCTCTTCGGCGACAACCTCAACTCAACCTTGGACCTTTTATGACAAACTGCGGCATTCATTCTAGTTTCTGATACCTGCTGGCTGAAGAAGGCCATACCGAAGCATGGACACTCAGAGCGAAAAGTATGCGCTTCATGCGGCATGCCGCGAAGGCAAAGGCGAGTGCACTCGATGAATGACTTGACCAAATGGAACGACCGACCGGGGCTGACCACATCTGAATCTAGTGACGGTTGTCGAGTCGCTTTTGCATGTGAGTCCTGTTGTGTCTTTCTCGCGGGGAGACGTATTTTGCTGACTCTCCAGGCCGACCCGAAGCTGGCCCAACGCAAGGACGACGACGGCCGGCTGCCGATCCACTGGGCAGCATCGTCAAACCAGCTGGAGATTGCCCGCATGTTGGTGCAGATCAAAGGCTTTGACCCGGATGTCCAGGTTTGTCTGCCTTATTCGGTGTCTGTGCATACAGGCAGACGGCTGACCCGGTCCAGGACGACAGCGGGTGGACGCCGTTGATGATTGCGGCGAGCGTCAAGGATTCGGAGCCGCTCGTGGAGCTGCTGCTCAGCCGGGGGGCGAGCGTGGATGAGAAGAGTGAGTAGGGAGAGAGGAAGGAGGAAGGAGAGACGAGAAGGAAAGACGAGAAAGAGAGAGGAAAGAGGAAAAGAGGAAAGAGATTGCTAACAGGATGCAGACAATAGTGGACAGGTAGGCTCGCACTCTCCATGGAACGTCGTCCCTCCTAACGCTCGCAGACGGTCCTTCACTTTGTCGCCTCCAAGGGCAAGCTCGAGCTGGCCCGCCTGCTGCTCGGCCGCTCGCCGCCGGCATCGGCTCGCGTACGTGACCGTCGCGGCCAGTACGCGCTGCACCGAGCGGCTGCCGTCGGCTCGGCGCCCATGGTGAATCTGCTGCTGCAGCACCGCAGCCCGCTCAACGCAACAGACAGCGCCGGCCAGACGGCACTGCACCACGCCATCGCTGAGGGCCATGGCGACACGGCCGTGGCGCTGCTCAAAGCCGGTGCCGAGACTGACAAGAAGGATGCCGACGGCGCCCTGGCCATGGACCTGGCGCCCGACAAGGAGGTCCGCAAGTACATCCTCCGCCTGGCCGAGCAGGAGGGCATCGACATCAGCCTATAGGCAGCTTGGTGCACGACCAGATCACATGTAATACCCGATCAAGACTGCTCCTATAAAATACACTGGGGCGTTTCTGCTCCTCCCTGGCGCCTTCCCGATCCGGCGCCGTTGCTGTCCGTCCCTGCCTGCTTGAGTTCCTGCCTCTGCTGTCCTGGTATTCCGACTTTCGATCTCTTTAGCCTCACTTTTATCATCTACATCGTCCTCTTCTTCCTTTCTCTTCCTCTTTACATCCATCCGCCTCCTCCATCCCCCCCGCCCCCCCCCCCCCCCCCCCCCCCCTACCTTTGATCGACCGCTCCACCAGGTCCCGGTACATGGCCTTGACATCCTGCACGTCTGCCTGCAGCTCCTCGACCAGCTCGCTCTTCTCGCCGAGCAGCTCCAGCGTGGTCTCGTAGCGCTCCTGCATCGCGCTGACGTCCTTTTCGAGCGTGGCCACCCGATCGGCTGCCGCTCGGCCGGCTTCGGCGTCCTTGAGCAGCGCCAGCACCTCGGCGCGCGCCTCGTTGCGCTGGCTCGAGATGCGTGCCAGCTCCTCGCGCGCGGCCACCTTTTCGCTTTCGAGCCGTCGGATGGCCGCACTCATCCGCTCCACCAGCTGCACCGACGGGCCTGCCGCCACCGTCGACACCGACACCAGGTCCGTCTGCTGTGGTGTGCCGCCGCTGCCACCGCCACCACCACCACCGCTGCCTCCCATCATGTGCAGCTGCGGTGATGCTGATCGATCCGGCTCATCCACCGCGTCTTCGGGCCCGATTGCCGTCGGCGACATGGCCATGGGCGACATCACTGACATCACTGACATCACTGACGACAGCGGCGGCTGTCCCGACGGCCGCCGCAGCGAGAACCGCTCGGCTGCGTCGCCGTGGCTCGACGGCGTCGACGTCTTGCGAAGCTTGTTCGGAAGGCCCTGCAACCCCAGAAAGTCGGAGCTCCATGTCCGCGTCGGCATTCCGGGCGTCACTCCACCGCCTCCCTGCACCAGCGGCGACTCGGGCCGGCTGTTGCTGCTGCTGCGACCCGGCAGGTCGTCAAGCCAGGTGCGTCGAAGATCTGTCGGTCCTCGACCTCGCCCCTGCTCTCGCTCGCGCTCGCGCTCTTGCTCTTGTTCTTGCTCCTGTTCGAGCTCCTGCTCCAGCTGCTGCTCCTGTCTTTTGCGTGCCTGCACCCTCTGGCTATCCAGCTCGGCCCGGGCCTGCTGTAAAGCTGCCTCTGCTTCTTCCGCCCGTCTGTTCAGAGCCGCAATCCGCGTCTCATGTGCGCCGACCGCTTCTTCTGCTCGCGGCAGTTTCGACTGCACATCTTCGAGCTCCTCCTCCAGACGTTTGGCACGCAGCGCCTGTCTGTCAGCGAATCCAGTTCAGAGTCGAGAAATGCAATCGACACCGACACCAGCCACTTACCGCTTCTCGTGCCTTCTTCCGCATCTCCGACTCCCGCTGCTGTGCCTCGTCACGCTCGGTTTCCAGCCCAGATACTCGCGACAGCAGCGTCGCCTCGATGCCCTGCCAATTCTCGCTCGCAATCGCATACTGGCTCTGTAGAGTCTCCACCTGCCGCAGCAGCTTCGCCTGCGAGTCGCCCTGCGCGCCCGACGATGCCTCTTCGGCCCGCGCCCGTGTCGCCTCCAGCTTTCCCTCCATCACCTGCACCTCCGCCATCGCCTCGACCTCAGCAATGCGCGCCCGCTCCTCAGCTCGCTCTGCCTTCTCGCGCCACTCTTCAACCTGCGCTTTCGCCCGATCGGCAGTCAGCGACTTTTCCAGCCTCAGCGTCGCTACCTGCTCCTCGAGCTCCTTTATCTGCTTGCGTGCCGCCTCCAGAGCCTCGTCTTGCACCTTGGCGGCTGCCTTGTCAGCCCGCTCGATGGCTTCCTCCAGCTGCAACCGCAGAGCTGCCACCGTGCCCTCTCGTGCTGTCAGCCCGGCCCTTGCCTCTGCCAGGTCCGTCTGTGCCTGTGCCAGTTGTCGCCGGCCGTCCTCCTGCATCTTCTCCAATTCTGTCACCCGTCGTGCTTTGGGTCGTAGCGTCTGTAGCTCCGCCTCGGCCTTGGTTCGTGCTGCCCGCAGCTCGCCCGCCGCCTTCTCGTCTTCGGCCATCTTCGTCCGCAGCTTCTTTAGCAGTGCCCGGTGCTTCTGCTCTGTAACTCCCAGATTCTTGCCCTCCTCCATCAGCGCCGCGATCTGCTGGTCCTTCTCCGCCACCTTCTTCTCCAAGCTGCCCGGTGTTGCTGCCTGTCCGGCCTTTTTGGCCGCCTCTGCCGCCTCGCGCGACATGTATTGCAGCTTCGCCTGCAGCGCATCTATCTTTTCCGTAAACTGGTGTGTTTCTTCCTGGTGCTCTTGCTGTTCCTTCAAGAGTGCCTCCTGGAGCGTCTTGGCGAGTTGCGCGCTATCCTCATCCGTGATACTGCCAGGTTCCAAGGTACCTTCTGCTGGCACTGGTGACGTCGTACTGGTTGCGATCTCCAATTCTGCCGCTGGTGCTAGTGCTGCCGTGTCCGTTTGGGTGATCTCTGTAGCACCACTTGCCTCCGTCCCGTCCCCGTTGCTCTCATTTTGGGTATCCATTGTCGAGGGTGGGCTCCTCGCGCTGTCTGTAGATAAGCGTGTGGTTTCAACCGGCTCCTTATCCTTGGAGACCGGTCGAGCGCCGTCGAGAGACGTTCGGCTGGCAATGTCGACGCTTTGCCGCGGGCTGTTGGCTGCTGTAGACGAAGGTGCTGGCGACTGTCCGCGGGAACTGCCCGCATTTTTGGCGGCCACTGCTCGGGCCAGGCGCTCCTGAAGCCGTTCGTTGACCCGACTAGACGAGCCGGACCGTACAGAGGCTGCAGGGAACACGTGTCAGCGCAAAGCCGGGGGACAACGGGGACGGAAGCTGTGAGAGTCGGCATACTGGAGCTCTGCTTGGCCGGCGACTGGGGTGCGCCCGGTGACTTTGGCTGCTTGGACATTTCGTCTGCCTCGGCAAGCATGGTGTCGAGACGGGCCTCGACGCCGGCGACGGCCTGCGAGAGCAGAGAGCCCCATCGCGTGCCCTTGCCTCCGGAAGCCATCACGGCCGATGGCTGCTCGTCCTTCCGGTCGCTCTTTTCCCTTCAGGGCCACAGCCCCGCAGAGGCGTCAGAAGAAGACTGCAGCAGGCACGGGCATCCGCATCCGCATCCGCACTCGAATCCGCCTGCGTTGTAACGTGGAGCGGTCGTGGTCGTGGTCGGCCAGCTCGTCTTGCTCTTTGATGGTTACGGTCGCTGATATTCGCTTTCTCTGCGCTCTCTGGACTCTCGGCTTCCTCTATTTTCTCTTGCTGCGTGTATCATTCAGTCTGGGCGTCGGCTTCGGCCGCTTTTGTGGAGTTTGTTGTCGCGGGCTGTCCGTCTGCTGTTCGGTGGCTGGTCCCAGACTCGGCTACGTTTGGTCGTCACGAGTGGATGACGAGTCCCTGGTCCAATCCGTCAGGCTACGTTGGCGTCTTTTGCAGGATCGTCGCGCTACTCGTATACTCCGTACGCCGTGAGCATATAGTGGGGTACCAGCTCTAGCACAGTAAGCTCCCGCACGGCCTGGCGCAACCCACACTGTGCACCCTGAAGCAGGGGACTAGCGCACATTACGAGTGCAAGTGCATCACTGGAGGCACACCTGTAGTATAACGTATTTTGTGCACTGCAGAAAGCCTCAATTGTCCACTAGCTAACAAACCTTGTTGCCAGAACTGCCAACGTAGCGTGGCGGCCGGATATGTCGGAGGAACTTGCGACGGTACGCGCAGGGCCGCAAGTACGAGTAGTGTCCCCGTGGTCGTTGGCAGGCTGACTGTTCCTGAATGACAATATGATCTCATTCTTTTCCTGCGAGTCATTAATTTAATTCTGCTTTCTTGGGCTGTTCACCTCGTTCTTGGAGCCACCTGCTGCTATTCTTAGTCTTGATACGTGGACGAACTGTTTCGTTACCCACGCGTATACAGTACGTCACGCCTTCCCAAATCTCTTTCACGACAGCTCTCCTCTGATTGGACCGCTTGACCTCGGCATCTTTATTGGGGGAATTGTCTCCATGATGCTTTCCCTTATTACGGCGGCGAGACGGTGTCTCGCTGGAATGTGTCCCAGCATTGACTCGTACTGTTTGGACTGGACCGGAAGCTGCCTCGTCTGTCCTCGTTCAGCAACTGATAACTGGATCAGACTGCAGACCGCACGCCCGTTTCGTCATGTCGTGGTTCCAGCTACCCTACCGTGAGGCTCGTGATGGCTTCTGGGGCGAGCAGACGTCCACGCTCAACTGGTGTGAAGAGGTATGAACCTCTCTGCTTTCTGCTTTCTGCTGCGGCCATTGGCTTCTCCTCCGCGCTGCTGACACCACGGCACGCCCAGGACTACAACATCACCCACTACTGTGCCGAGCTCGTCAACACCCTGACCAACCTTACCTTTATCTGGCTTGGGGTCAGCGGCATCCGCGACTGCATGCGCTTCTCACACCCGAGCATCTTCTTCGTCGCCTTTGCTGGATACATCATTGTTGGCATGGGGTCCATGGCCTTTCACGCCACTCTTAAATGTCTGTTCCAGCCGATCCGGGCCACCCCTGCTCTCCACCCCCTTTGCCATGCTGACACGTGATGGCAGACTCCATGCAGCTTGCCGACGAGCTGCCAATGATCTATGCGACGTGCATCATAGGGTATGCGACGTTCTCGTTTGGCAAGAGCCGCGCCCTCCAGACGGTCGTGGGCCTGTCTCTGTTCAGCCTGGCCCTCTTCATCACGGTTCGTGCTGGTGCTGCTTTGTTTGCGACCTGTCGGACTAACCAGGACACAGGTCGTCTACTACATCACCAAGGATCCCGTATTTCACGAGGTGTCGTATGGCGTGCTCACGGCAGCCATCGTGTTCCGTGCCATGTTCATCATGAAATACCAGCTGCACCCGGCCTTGGAGCTTCGCAGCACAGATCGGGCAGCGGCCATCATGTCGCAGATGTGGAAGATGTGCTTCACCGGTCAGTTTTCCCCAGCGACCGGCTCTTGCTTGTTGTCTCGCATGCTCACCATCTCAAGGCATCGGGATGTTCCTTCTCGGCTTCCTGATCTGGAACCTCGACAATGTGTACTGCAGCCACCTTCTGTCGTGGCGGCAGATCCTGCTTCTGCCATGGTCTCTTGTCCTCGAGGGCCACGGCTGGTGGCATCTCTTTACCGGGCTAGGTAGGTACACCAGGGCGCCATTTTTTTGTGGTGCACAGCTGACATCGTACAAGGTGGTACGTTTATGCCGATTGGGCCGAAGAGCCGACCAGACAGCAGATCGAATTTTGTGTTTCCCCTTCTCCCCGCCCGTGATTTCTTGCTAACAGTAGCAGCGTACTACTTTATTGCTTGGCGTATCTGGTTGCACCGATGTCTTGAAGGTAAAGAAGACGAGTACATGCTGCAATGGCCGTCACCGTATACGTCGGTGCCGCGTGTGGTCCCGATTTATGAAGGGGACAACGGCAAGGACCGAAAGATCCTCTGATTATGGTGCAGCATGACTCCCTGAGAGTAGAGCGTGGTCGACGTAGCCGGCCAACGAACCCCAACGACGTACATCGCCAGCAGACTGCCAGCAGATTGAAGAGCGAACATTACAACAAAGCATACACAGCCCGCCCAGGGCACCATTACAATAGAGACTAGACGTTAGAGATACCTTTTTTCTGTCTTCAGTGTTGCATACATCAACAGTGCGAATAGCATATCATGCAACTATACACTGTATTAGTAGCAATCTCCCGTTGGAATTTTAGCATGGGCTTCCAAAGCGTTCTGTCCATCCCACCTTTTCGTTGACAGCACCATCTCGCCGCTTCGGGTGCTATCGTGCAAAATCACAGTCGCACAATGTCGCTGTCAAACGAGGCGCTGCAGAAGGTAAGCAAGCGGTCGTGCGAGCAGGGCGCACGTGTTCATGTCCATGTCCATGCCGTCTGGCTAACGGACCGGGTCGACAGCTGGTGAGGGAGATCGAGACGCAGGCGATTCAGGCGCAGCAGCAGATCACAGTGGCGCGGTCACAGGTAGCCAGCAAGCAGCGAGAGATGCGGCTGGCCCAGCTGACACGAAGCGAGCTGGCGGCACTGCCGACCGACACGGCAGTATACGAGGGCGTGGGCAAGATGTGGGTTTCTCTTTCTGTCCAATGTTTGCGTCTGCCTCTCTTGCTAACGCGTGCAGGTTCGTGGCCGAGCCGGTGACGGAGCTGAGCGCGAAGCTGGACAAGCAGATCAAGGGCCTCGAGGGCGACGTCGAGGGCCTGGGCAAGCGGCTACACTACCTCGAGACGACGGCCAAGAACAGCCAGGAACACATCAGCCAGATGCTCCGTCGCGGCGGCGGTGAGGCGGCATAGCTGTTGCGGAGCCTGGAGCAGTGCTCTTGTACTTTACGCGCCGCGACAGCGATAATACTACACAAATCGATCTGGACAACCGCGCGTCAACATGCTGGACGAAGAGCCAAGATAAAAAATGGTCGATCCAACTAGACATGGGCCGATGGGGTGCGGTTGAAACATCGCAGCAGCAGGTGGCCCTGTTTGACGGCCCTGTCAGATGACAGCTGAAACGAGAGAGGGTGGATGAGAAGAACAAGCAGACACTACGGAGCACGCGAGCTGAGCACGAGCTGAGCACACGGGAGACAATGTACAGAGGCTTCTGCAACGGAACATGGAACGTGACCCTTCAGCCTTACGGACTATGGAGTAGTGACTCGAGTGATCGTGCCGTATGAAAGAGCCCGGAGACGCAAAAAGGCAAGAGAGGCAAGAACAAGACGGAGACGACAGAAGGAGCGGTCGCTCAGCCACCCCCTCCAGTGTGGCTCCCCCCTGTCACTACTTCCCTTAGCAGGCTTATGCCTCCCCACTTAGGTTGCAGCAACACAAGTGACGACGGGTCAACGACAGCCAATCCTGCTACCCGCCCACACACCATGTGTCCTTGCTTTTTCGCAGTTGCTGGCCGTTTCCCCCGTGTCCTTTTCTTTCTGGCCAGGCCACCTGTGAGGAAAAAATGAAGAAGCGGACCGTCGGGACACAGAAAGGGCCAGAGCTCGTCTGTTAGGTGGGTACGGGCAGCTGAAACGTGCAAGCAGTATGTTGGGCCCGTAGCTGGTTGTATTTGCGTATCGCGCCTGCCGAGTGCTGTGCTGTACGAGTGCTCCGTACTGCTGCGCCTTCCCTGTGGTTCTTCCCTACCGCTGCCAGGGCTCCTTCCACACGAGGACAGACGAATAAATAGCAGTTGGGCCCCGGATCCTGTACACCCCGCTCTCCCAGCCTTCTTTCCTCTTCCCCTCCATCCGTCAGCAAGTATACAAATAGCGCCAGTAGACGCTTTCCCCGTCCTTCTTGTTCCTGTCTTATACACAAACGCTACACCGCTCGCAACCGTGTTCAAGTAGACAGCACCTACATTCACTGCACACACGCAAGGTTACGGTGTGGTTCCTCTACCATCGGCATCTTGCTCTTTCGTTTGAGCGACACATCCGGTCGCCGGCAACATGAGCTACTACAGCAGCGACGACGACATTGACGTCCGCGTCCGTCGTCGGCGGGACTCTTCGTCGCCTGGTCCCCGGCGCCCGCTCCGCGGCTATTATGCGACCGGGCCGGTAGCCAATTTTGTGCCGGAACGCACAGTTGAGCGCACGGTGGCGGTGCGCGAGCGTTCTCGTGAGCGGCGGTCCAGTCCGCCGCCGACTGTGATTGTCAACAACATCACGAATCGTTCGCACGACGATGACGACTTTTCTGACGCGGGCACGGGCGTCCGTGGCGGGGCCATGGTGCGGCGGCCACACTCGCGTGCCCCGTCTAGTGACTACATGACGCGCGAGGAGTACGAGTTGGAAAAGGCGCGGCGCGAGCTGCAGGACCTCAAGATCCGGCAAGCACGCGCGCAAGAGGAGCTCGAGCTGCACGTCCGACGCAACGATCGAGAGGAGTGGGAGCTAGAGCGTGCACGTCGGGAGATTGCGGCGTATCATGCGGAGGAGGAAGAGCGTGCGCGGCGGCTGCGCGGACAGGAAGAGATGGAGACGGCGCGGGCTCTGCATGAGCTGGAGGAGATCAAGCGACGCGAAGAGCGCGAGCGGATCGAGAAGGAGCGCGAGCGGATCGACAAGCTGCGGGAGAAGGATTACCACAGCCAGGCGGAGCTGGACCGGGCGAAGCGCGAGCTGGATGAGATCAAGAGCCGTGAGGATCGCGAGCAGGCCTTGAAGGAGCGTGAGCGGTTGGAGAAGCTACGGGAGAAGGAGTACCGCAACCAAACAGATCTGGAGCGAGCCAAGCGCGAGCTAGACGAGATCAAGAGCCGCGAGGAGCGGGAGCGGGCAGATAAGGAGCGGGAGCGGATCGAGAAGCTGCGGGAGAAGGAATACCGCAACCAGACGGAGATGGAGCGGGCCAAGCGAGAGCTGGACGAGATCAAGCGGCGTGAGGAGCACGAACGGTCAGAGAAGCTGCGGGAAAGCCAGTACCGCAACCAGACAGAGCTGGAGCGGGCGAAACGCGAGCTGGACGAGATCAAGCGGCGCGAGGAACGCGACATGGAGGAGAAGCGGCTGAAGAAGGAGCTGGAGCTTCGGGCGCTGGAGAAGCAGAAGCGTGAGATGGAGGAGCAGGCAGAGCGCGAGCGGCTGGAGAACGAGACGATTGCGCGGTACAAGGCCAGAGAGGCGGAGCGCAAGGCCAAGGAAGAGCGCGAGCGGGCAGAGAAGGAGAAGGAGTACCAGCGGCGACTGCGCGAAGATCTGGCGCGATCGGGACTGGACGAGAAGGAGATCCAAGCGATCCTGGAGAAGAAGAAAATCAAGCGCGAGAAGGAAGAGAAGCACGAGAAACACGAGAAGCAGGAGAAAGAGAAGCACAAGGAGGTGGTCGAGGTGGAGACACGCATCTCGACACGGCCACCGATGCCGATGCCGATGCCTATGACGATGTCGATGCCAATGCAGCCACCAATGCAGGCGCCGACATATACGCGGATGGCCCGGCGGCACCTGTCGATCGAGACGCTCAACTACTATCACGTGGACTACGACTTCGACCAGGTAAGCGGCGAGGAAGGGAAGATGAGCAAAACGAGCAGCGACGTGTGCAGACATGCTGACAATGGCAGGATCCGAACTACATTCTCATCAAGCGCTGGGTGCCAGAGAACGAGCGGGAGGATTGGTGGCAGCACACGAAGACGATCCGGGAGAACCGCCGGGTGGTGCTGAAGATCGAGGACGAACGCCATCACCGCCACCATCTGGAGCCGGAGTACGAGTGGGTGCGCAAGAAGGAGCGGCGCCACAGCCGCAGCCGTAGCAAGTCACCGGGCCTGCTGATGTACCTGGCAGGGGCGAAATAGGCGAGAGACTGAATTGGTTGGGATAGGATTACGTTTTGTTTGGATGTTGACGACCGTGCAGAGAAGACGATTGCCGGTCTCCAGTCAGTTTGTCAGGCAATGAAAGAGGCGTTATCGGAAGAATGTACAGGAGGAACTCCCATGAGATGATTACGATAGTATGAAGAAGAGTCTTTTTATGCCCAGAATGTAGTAGAGAGCGCCAAACACCAGACTCCAAGATATGGATGACTAAGCAAAAGACAGATGGAAGTCCTCTATAACCACGTGACAAGAAGCCGACCGTCATCACGATACGATACACTTTCCGACGAAGCCACCCCGGCTGTTGAAGCCCCTCAAGACCAGCGCCGGTCGGCGCGACGAATAAGCTCCTCATAGACAGTCCAGGCCAGGGCGGAGCTCATAGCCTTGCGGCTCATGCGCAGGGCGAGGCCGTCCCACATGGAACGGGCGCCTTCCTCGGCGAGCATGCGGCGGGCGGTCTGCAGCATATTGCGGTAGCGTGCGGGCTGCAGCTGGATGCGGGTCTTGACGGCGTCGAACGGGTTAGACACGACAGAGCAGGTAGCAGCGGCGATGACGGCGGAGGAGAAGTTGATGCCGGCAGCAGCGGAGAGGGAGACGTGGGAGGCCGAGGTCGATGCAGACGGCCCAGCAGCAGCCCAGCGGTTGAGCCGGCGCTTGACCTGCTCGTAGAGCAAGACGTAGAGGCCGGCATAAGGAGCGTCGCGCAGGGCAGTGGCACCGAAGCCGACAAAGAAGCCGCGCAGGCCGTCGGCACGGGCAATGTCAGAGGCGGCTGCAGCGAGCGAGCGATAGGCGTATAGGCTGCTCTCGTAGCGGACCTTGATGATGGTGAGCGGCATGAGAACGAAGCCGGCGGCAGCACGGGCAACGGCGCCGGTGAGCAGGTTGCCGGTGTTGGAGAGGCGAACGAGAGAAGAGGAAGAGGGAGTGGGTGAAGAAGGAGAAGAGGGAGATGAAGGAGATGACAAAGACGAAGCCCTCCCAGACAGGACTGGAATGGTGGCGGCACTCGACCGGATCGCATTCAGGCCGGCAAAATAGAGAGCCGAGCCAAATCCGGTGCGCAGAGCCGAGGGCACGGTACCGCGATAGAGGCTGGCGACAAAGCTGCGCGGCTGGCCTCTGGCCTCTGGCTGGGACGAGGCATCCCGCAGCTCGGCCAGCACGCGGCGCAGGCTGTGGTGGCCGGCCTGCTGGACGCGAGTCTTGAGCAAGTCGATGGGCTGCAGCAGCACGGCCGAGAGGACACCGGAGCCGAGGCCGGCCAGAAGGTGCGAGGCTGTGATGTGAGCGGAGAGGCAAGGCAGAGAGAGAGACGAGAGACGAGAGACCCTCAACCTACTGGTCTTTGCGCCCTTGCGCGAGCCATCGGCCATGGTGACGTCGGCTCGGTGTGGAGACGAGGTGAGGTGAGAGTCGGCCGCGGTGCGAAAACGCTCGAGCTCGGCCAGGAACGGACAGCCGCGTCGACTAGGACAGACGCAGGCACGGATGCGACGGTGCCGAGCAGGCCATGGCGGGGAGGACAGCGACACGAACGACGGAGGAAAAAAAGGAGGAAACACGGAAACGGAAAATCCCTGCAGAGGCCTGACTGATGTGTGTACATATTTTGCGCTCGCGATTTGCTTAGTCATCCACACTAGTTCACTACGCCCTTCCCTTCAGGCTTTCATCTTTTCTTGCCGTCGCCGACGATGGACTCGAGCCGGCCGGCGAGCTGGCGGTGGCGGCGCACGATCTCAACCCACTCGTCCTCGGCGCTGTGGCCGACGTCCAGTGTGGCCAAAAAGAGGCCAAAGTCAGCGCCGAGGCGGCCGAGGCTGCCGGCACAATAGAGCACCTGAGTCAGCAGGCTGTCGCGGGCAGCCTGATCGCGCACCGTGGGCAGGTAGCGGCGCAGCGTGGCGAGCAGCAGGTCGACGAGGTGGAGGGGAAAGCCGGCGAGCGCAGGCGGCAACGGCTCGAGAGGGTCGTGTGGGTGTAGGGGTGTGTCTGTGTCATTTTCTTTCTCGGACTCGTTCATGTCGCCTGTCTGGCCTATGCCATCGATCTCGGCGTCGGGAAAGATGCTCCGGAACATGGACACGATGGCGAAGCTCTGCTCGCGGAAGATCTCGACGTAGCGTTTGAGGTAGCGTTCGGTCTGCTGGCCGCCAGACCAGGCGCGGGAGCCGGTCGAGGAGGCGAGGGGGGGTGACGATGCGGCCAGACGAGCGCGTTCCTGGTCAGCGAGCTCGCGGAGTGGTGCCAAGGCGTCGAGCATGCTGGTCAGCGTAGCGAGGCGACAGACGAGGAAGACGGCGCCGAGGGTGCGTTCCTGTGCGGGAGTGGACGTGGTAGTCGTTGCCGCGATGGTCGTGTTTGTGGTCATGGTCGAAGCGGTCGCTTCGAGGTCGGGCAGGACGCGGCGCAGCCAGCTGACAGTGCGCAGCGACGCGGCCAGCTTGAGACCGGGGGCCTGAAGCGAGAGCACGAGGCTGGCGGCGGCGGCGCGCATGGCCTCATCGGCAGCGGCGGCGACAGACTGAACGAGGGCCGAGTGGGGGTAGAGAGCATGCAGACGGCGAATATGGCCGTTGAGGTCGAGAGCGGCAGCATAGTTGTAGTGGGCGGCAGCGCCGGCTGACGAGGCCGTGGTGGTCGTCAGCGAAGACGGTGCAGCGGTCGAGCCGGTGGCCGCGGCCAGGAGCGGCGGCAGGTCGAGCACGTCGAGGAGCCGCTCGGCGTTGCGGGCGAGCAAGAGGGCCTGGCGTCGTCGGCCGTTGGTCTCGCCGGTTCGATACGATGCAAAGCGCAAAGAGGCGCCGTCCAGCAGCGGCAGAGCCGCACGCAGCTCGGCCGTGTGAGCGGCCAGCGTCGGCAGGCCGCCACAAAAGGCTGCGTGGTGTCGCTCCGACGCCAGCACCGGCTCGCACGACCGCCGTGCCAGCGCCTGCAGCGACAGCAGCAGCGACTGCGACGCCTGGGCCAGAGCCGGCGGCTCGTCTGCGCGCAGAGACGCCAGCGGCCGCGCTGCTAGGCTGCCTAGATAGGCCAGGGCGTCCGGGTCGGGCGGCGAGACAATGCCCGGCGAGGGCGACGGCACCAGGAGGTCGTAGAGCAGGTCGGCCATGGCTTCCGGACGTCCTCGTCGCGCGTGTCCGAACAAGACACGATGGCGTCACGCAGTACAGGCCTTCGTTTGGACTACGTGTTTATTACATAAGGCAGTTGACACAACACGTGCCGCTGTCAGACACGTGCGAGCTTGCAACGCGTGACCCACCCCACAACCAACACGATAAGATAAGCGCCCAGGCCGCCGTTCCCAACAAAACGACGGCCAGCTGCATGGGGCTGTGACTAGACTGTTTTGTGTTGGTCCTCCGCCTCCTTCTCCGACTGTGAAGAGAGGAGAAGGTGCTCTCGACACGACCACGTTCCCTGCTGGCAACAGACACCTTGCCTTTCTGCCTGGCCACGCACCCTGTGGGCCACCTCCCTCTTTCTCTTTCCCCCTCTCTCTCCTCTCTCCTTTTTCTTTCCCTCTTCCTCTCGGCCTACCACCGTTTCCCCGTTTCCCTGCCTTTGTCCCGGTGGAATCCCTCTTTCGGGTGCTGTCCGAGCTCTGTCTGGCCGGGTTAGTCAGCTCTGGACGTCTTTGTCACCAGTACCATTTTACAACCACAACCACATTCTCAACCAGCACGACCATCCACATTCACAACCACATTCACAACCACAACCACACCATGATCGACCCCTTTCCCTTCCCGCCCAACCCGGCGCTCGGCGAAGCTGTCCGGCCGCTGGCCGCCCGCCTCGGCCTTCACTCGTTTCCCATGCACGTTCACGAGCTTCTCATGGCCACGCTCTTCTACACCTTTGTCCAGCTGGTCGTCTCGCCCGTGCTCTCGCGCGCCCTGATGCCTCACATCTACAACGCCAGCATGAGCCGGCTCCGTCGGGCCAACTGGGATGCCCACGTGGTCTCGCTCGTCCAGAGCGTGCTGATCTGCATCCTCGCCCTCTGGTCCATCGCCGTCGACGACGAGCGTCGCGCCATGAGCGGCGAGCCGACCACCGATCCCGCCACTGCCCTGCCGCTCGCTGCTGGCTGGCGTGGTCGCGTCTACGGCTATTCGGGCGGCGCGAGCCTCGTCCAGTCCATGGCCGCCGGCTACTTTCTCTGGGACCTCGCCCTCACCCTCGTCTACTTTGACATCTTCGGCTTCGGCATGCTTGCCCACGCCGTCAGCGCCCTGGCCGTCTACTCCCTCGGCTTCGTGAGTCCTTGTCTGCTTCCGGCCTGACCTCCTGTCCGCTTGCTAATCCCTGAGCAGCGCCCCTTTCTCAACTACTACGCCCCCAATTTCATTCTCTACGAGCTCTCCACTCCCTTCCTCAACGCCCACTGGTTCTTCGACAAGCTCGACATGACCGGCTCCCGTGCCCAGCTGTACAACGGCGTCGCCCTCATCGTCACCTTCTTCGGCTGCCGCCTCGTCTACGGCAACTACATGTCCACCTGGGTCTACTCTGACATGTGGCACGCCATGTGGGATGGCCCCGGCGAGTTCGCCATTGCCGGCAGCAGCCCCGATCCCATCCCCGCCTGGCTCATTGTCGTCTACGTCGCCAGCAACCTGACGCTCAACTCGCTCAACATCGTCTGGTTCTTCAAGATGATCGCCGCCGTCCGCAAGCGCTTCGTCCCGTCCGCCCACAAGGACGCCGCCGACGACAAGTCCGCCAAGACCGACGACAAGTCCACCACCGACGATTCCACCGCCGCTATAGCCTCCGCCCTGGACGACGCCAGCCCTGTCGCCCGCCTGCGCGCCGTCGGCGAGAGGCTGATGATGGTCGAGGACGACTTCACCGAGATACCGTAACCCCGCCAACTCGGATCGGCTCGGCTCGGATCTAATACGATCATTTACGCCCTACACATGTACTGCTGGGCAGGTAGGCAAGCAAGCAGGCAAACATGCAAGCAGGCAAGCAGACTTTGGCGTGATTCTCTGTACGAGTACTATTTTATTAGAAATTTATCCTTTGGGGGAGACGTTTGGCTCGGGCGGGTTGGAGGACAACCAGGTTTCATTTTCGTTTTCTTCGCTTGCTTTTCCTTATTGGGTCTCGTATTGGCGCTCCTTGTCATCAGAAAGCGCGCTGGGGCCAGCCAAGGGAAACGAATGCTTATTATATATACGGGAAAGCTCTATCTGTCCACTTAAAGAGAAACGAGACGCGTGACAAACGAGCAAGAAAGTAAAGGCAAAAGAGAGAGAGGGATGACGGAAGAGGCCGGAGAGCATGCACACAGCATCCTCTGCCGCTCTTCGGTGGCGCACGTTTGCGATTAAGGCCCTTTCCCGCCGGAGAGAACGGAACACACACATCTTTGACCACATCGGGGCTGTTCATGTAGCTGCCCTGGCGTCTATTTAAAAGCCAAACGGATTGTCGGGCGCTGCACAATTAGCCTTGGACCAGGAAGAGACGGCCGGATACACTTACTGGCTGCTGACAGGTTTGCCCGTCGTCCGGTCGCTTGCGGCATCAGCTTGGAGCCCTCGGTGACGCCGAAGCGAACCGGTGGTGCTGGGCCGGTCTGCTGCGGCATCAGTGGCGCCGGAGCTTGCACAGGAACCGCTGGCGGTGTCATGCCGTAGTTGCCAAAACCCTGTGTGAAGTGGCCTGTCGGCTGCGGCTGCAGAGCCTGTTGCTGCTGTTGTTGCTGCTGCTGGAAGCCCGTAGGCTGCATCATCATCGGCTGTGATGCAAACTGGCCCTGCATGCCCGTCATCATCGGCATCATGCCTGTCTGTTGGGGCATCATGCCCGTCTGCTGAGCCATCATGGCCTGCATCTGCTGCTGTTGTTGTTGTTGTTGTTGCTGTTGCTGCTGCTGCTGCTGCTGCTGTTGCTGTTGCTGTTGCTGTTGCTGTTGCTGTTGCTGTTGCTGTTGCTGTTGGGCAAACTGCTGCTGCATCCGTGCCTGAGTAATGTCGTTGAGGCTCTGGCCCAGTGGTGCCACCTGGCCGGCCACGAGACCGGTCATCTGTGGCTGCAGTGGCGGCGGTCCAAACACGCTCGGCTGGGCCGACAGAGGAGCCGACAACGGTCGCGACGGCGGTGGAGGCGGCGGCAACAGTCCGACTTGGCTCTGGCCGTACTGCGGCGCCATCGGCCGGGCCCGGGCATATGCGCCGGTCTGCTGCATCTGCAGGTTGTTGACCGTCATGCCTGTCGGCTGCTGCTGCTGCTGCAGTCCGTTCATCGTCATGCCCGTCGGCTGCTGTTGCAGTCCGTTGACCCCCATCATTCCCTGCTGCTGCAGCGAGGTGAAGAAGCCCGGCGTCGCTCCTGGCATCGACATCGGCGGTGGCGACGTCACGGCTGGCGCCATCACCGGCTGCGACACCATCACCGGCATCGGAGCCGCCGTCGGCATCGGGTTGAGCTTCTCTGCAGGAAGCGGCTGAGTCAGCAGCGACAGCTCCTGCAGCGATCCTGTGAGGGCCGGCATCACCGGTGGTGCCGGAGGTGGAACTGGTGCTGGTGCCGGTGCCGGCGCTGCTGCCACCGGAGGAGCTGCCGGAGCTGTCGGAGCTGCTGCTGCTGCTGCTGCTGCTGCCGGCTGACCTGTCTCGGCCTGTCGCGACGGCTTCACGTCCCATGCATCGTCATCGAAGCCGCCACCACCTTGTGGCGGCGACGACACGCTGCCGTTGCTCTCGCCGCCCGGCTTTTGCGAAAAGGCCCCCACGTCCACCACGTCGCTCGTCTGCGTCGTCGGTGCCGGCCGTCCGCGCCGCGTGTTGTTGCGCAGTGCTCCACCCGGACCGGAAAACAGGCCGCCTGCATCGGCGTCGCCCTCGCCGGCCGTCTTCTTCGTCCGGCCGTATTTGAGGTCCAGACACCGCATCACCTTGATGATGTCGCCCTCCCGCAGTCCCAATGTTCGCAGCACGGTCGCGTCAATGTCCGACAGCACGCTCTCGTCCATGTTGTCCTTGACAAACGCCTGGCTGTAGCGCTCACACAGCCCCACGGCCACTTCGCACGACAGGAAGAACTGGAACCAGTCGTAGTCCGGCTTCCGCGGCTCGATCGACGCGCCTACCTTGCCCCCCGCGTCCCGCTGCTGCTGCGTCTTACGTTTCAGACTCGACAACGGCTTGTCCTCGTCCAGCGACACGCCCGTCATCCGCTCCACGTACTCGAGGTCCTCCAGCGACATCTTGGCCACCGGCACCGCAATCTTGACCCCGTTCATCTTGTGCAGGCTGATCTTGCTGTCCTTGAGCCCGAGGAACTGCGCCTCCACGCTAAAAGACTTGGTCCTATCGGTCCATGTGCGCACCTTGGTCGCATCGGGTTCTGTTGGTCGCCTCGTCAGTATATGCCAGAGGACCTAATCACGGCGAGAACAGCAACTCACTTGTCTTCGTCCCGGAACTGCCGCCGTTCGCCCGGCCACCCTCGTGCTTAGCCGATCGCTGTTCCCGTTAGCCTCGCTTCCTCTCTCGTCGCTAAACACAGCTGCTGTCCTTACCGGCACCTTCCGCGCCAGATTCAGGGGCAGAGCATCCTCGGGAGAGTGTCCTACCTCGGATCCGCGGCGCGACGACTCTGCCTCGTCCTTGACCGCCAGCCGCACCGCTGCCCGCGTCATGCGCTCCTCCTCCGCCCGGTTATGCGCCACCGTGCCCCTGGACGTGATCGATGCCCCGGCCCCGTCTTTGGCCTTCACCTTGGGCGATACCGGCCGCGGCGTGTAGTTCGGCGAGTAGTCTGGCGACTCCGGCCGTCCAATGTACGACGGCACCGGTGGCAGCACCGTAGCCGCCGACGCTACCGGTCCCGTCACCTCCACGTAGCTGCTCGGCACCACGCCCTCCTTGCCGTTCTTCACCCGCCGCACCTGCGTCCACTCCTCGCTGCGGGTGTCGTCCAGCACCGTCACCTCGTCGCCAGCCGCCACCGTCACCTCGTCGTCACCCTGCGCCATGAAATCGTACAGGATCACGCCCTTCTTCAGCGTGTAGCCCGTGCCGGCCATGATCACCTCGCGCAGACCCTCGGCCCGCGACGCTCCGGCCAGCTCGCCCAGCGCGGCCACAATCTCCTCTGCGGTGTCCTTAGCGCCCGCGTGGAGGTCCAGGCTCTTGCTAGGCCGCACCAGCTCCATAAACACGTGCTTGCCCTCCCGTGAGTAGTGCGTCATCCGCTCTGCCGACCACTCCTGTGACGGCCCGTCCTGAGCCTTCTCCGGCGCGATCAGGATCTTGCCCGTCTTCAGGTTGATTCCCAACGTCGTCGGCATCTTCTTACGCTTGCCCATGACCGACACCATCTCCGAGATGTTATACAGGTGGAAGGCCCCCGGACTCAGCACATTTTCCCGCTCCGGCGACATCTCGTGGCCGCCCTGGTGTCTGTTGGCGTGTCTCCTGCTCTCATCGTGGCCTAGGCCCATCGTGCTGCTCCGCTGCGGCAGTGGTGGTGACAGTTCTCCGTCGTCCTCTGCGAACCGTGCACGCTGCTGCTGCTGTCGCTGTCGCTGTTGCTGTTGCTGCTGCTGCGATGGTGGCTGCTGCGGCCGTGGACGCGTCGGCAGCGGTGGCGACTGAATGCTTTCGTCATCGTCATCGTCGGGAAAGTGTTGTTGGCGCGTCGGCGTGCTAACCGCCGCCTGACTGGCTGGGGCCGACCGCCCGGCCAGCACACCGGCCAGGGCTGCAGCAGGCCCAGGTCCGGTCGGGCTGCGCGGTGGGAGGCGAGGACTGGGCTCGGCCGGTTCGACAGCAGCAGCAGCAGCCTGTCGCGTGGAAAGCGATGGCGGTGCCGGCTCTTCGTCTGCCGCTTCGTGCGCGGCCGACGACGACGCCGGAACACCGCCGGCATCGCTCTGGTCGATGTAGTTGACGGGCACAAAGCCATACTCGCCCTCATAGCCGGCAAGGATCCAGTCAGGGTCTGTCGCGTCGTAGATGGCGAGACGCGCGTCCTCGGGAAACGACAGCTCCTCGTCCGTCTGCCGCGTGTAGTCGTAAAGTGCACGAGCTTGACCAGTCGGTTCGGCCTAGATACCTCTGGGTTAGCACGTCCACATCGTCCACATCGTCCACGTCGTCCAAGGTAACGACAGCTCTCTCTCACCTCCTCAATGTAGTTGGTCGGCACTAGACCCTCAGGTTCCTCATCGTCATCGCCAGTAGCCTTCTTCTTGGCTTTCCACCAGCCGTCATCGCCGTCCTTGCTGAGGACATAGAGCAGGTTGCCCTCGCCGATGGCGAGCTCGCCCTCCGACTGGGGAACGTAGTCGTATACGGCCTTGTAGACTCCGACAAAGACCATGATAGCGGTGTGGGTGATTAGATGGTTGCGTCTGTGTGTGTGAGAGGGTTGTCAAAGCCTTACGAGGACGCAGGCGCACAAGACCGGCGGAACCGGTCGACAGGGGCAAGCAGGCTGCGGCGGCAATCAGCGGGTGCTCGGATGGCGCAGGGCGTCATGCTAGAGGGAGCGGAAAAGTTGAAGCAGTTCTCGTCGTCTCCTGCCGTTCTGCGGCCGGGGAGGTCCGGGAAGAGACGGGACTTTGGACCGAGGCCTGGGGGCTGTTTCAAACCGATGACGGCTGCATTGATCTTGTGTCAGCGGCGAGCCCGGAGCAAAAATAGCAGAAAGGGGGGCAGCCGGAAGATGGCCTGCCCAGACAGATGGAAATTCACGCACGCACCCGACACGAGCCTAGATGGGATTAGGAGAGCTGGAGAGCCTCCTGTCTGGCAGAGCCGGAACGAAGGCACGAAGCCGACAAGCGAGAGCCGATCAGAAACAGGGAGAAACAGCAGGAGATGAGCAGAATAGCAATGATGGATAAGGAGAGGGATAAAAATGCATCGGCAGATGTGCGTGCGCAACGCCGTCGACGGAAGCAGGGTGAGGACTCGATCGAGGTCGACGTGGTGATTGCGATGGGGCCGGATTTGCCAGGAGAGTCTGGGAATGGCGGGAGGAGAAAGAAAAGCTTGTGGTGGTGCTGCCTGCGCTGGAGACTGGCCGTCTGTCCCGTGGCAGGGAGCACACTATACTCGTACGCGAAAAGTGGGCCTCGTGTATGTGGAACCCCTCCCCGCTAGTCATGTGTGGAGCTAAGCTTATGCACGTGATATGGACTTGTCTAGGCGTTGGCATAAGTACCTCCGTACATACTCCGTACTCTCGAGATCTCATTCATGCGTCAGCCGTACCCTACGTATCGTAAGTCTGTCTAATCTACGCACGGTTCATTACAGCGTGTATGCAAACCCCCAATAAACAAGTCCTCTAGCCTTCTCGTAACTGTAGTCGTCCGCTCTTCGCTCATGCACGAGCCCGTGCTGCCTTTGACTTGCGTAATGGCAGATCCTCCTTCACCAGACTCTTGCTCTCCATTTCTTTGGGTTCCTTCTTCCCCGTCTCCTTCTTCTCCTTCTCCTCCTCCTTCTCTTCCTTCTCCTTCTTCTCATTTTTTCCCTCCTCCGTACTCCCCATCCCTTCCTGCAGCTCTTCCGACCCACCCTCCTCCTTCACTGCCGCTTCCTTCAACTCCGTAAACGTATGCTGACTGCCGTGCACGCCCAGCGGTGTCTCGATGCGCACCTTCTGGCCCGCCGGCACCATCTCGTGCTGCAGGTCCCAGCCCAGCCGGCGACACAGCTCCGCCACCACGACGTCGCAGTCGCCCAGCAGGTCGATGTCGAAGTTGATGTGGTGTACCGGCGTGCGCGAAATGTAGATCTGCGGCACGTGCGGCGGCATGAACGGCACCACCTCCGATACGGGTGCCACCTTGAGCGACGTGCCGATCACGACGACCAGGTCCGCTCGGTCGCGGTCGTGCTCCGTCAGCCGCTGTGAGAACTCGTCCGGCAGTGGTTCGCCAAAGAACGTAATGTCCGGCTTCATCACCCCGACGTCGCCGTCCTGGCCCAAATCGTCGTCGTTGTCCGAGCTGCCGTCGCTGCTGCTGCGTCCCCGTCGATTCAGCCGCCGCATCTTTGACCGCCCTGCTCGTCCTCCGCGCGGACGTCCTCGCGGCCGTGGCCCATCTACTGCCGCTGCTGCTGCTGCCGACACCCTTGCACTGTCGACGCTCTCGCTTCTGCTCAGGGACCCGTTGCTGCCACCGCCGCCACCACCACCGCCGCCGGCCTTCCGCTTCCGGCTGTTGCCCGCTGTCGCAGACTGGAACCGGGCCGCGCACTCGGGACAGTGCGGGATGTCGCCAGCCTTGATGGTCGGAAAGATGGACTCGCCATCGACGCGGTAGCCGCAGGCGACACACGATGCCGTGGCAAAGGAGCCGTGGCACTGCACCAGCTTGTCGGGCCGGATGCCGGCCTTGGCCTCCAGGTTGTCAATGTTTTGCGAGTAGTTCGTCAGCAGCTTCTCCCTCTGCTGCAGCATGGCGATGAAGGCGTGTGTGGGCGTGAAGCGGTCGGTGGCTGGCAAAATGTCACGTGCCACCGAGTAGAAGATGGACGGGTCCTCGCGGAAGACGTTGATGTCAAAGACCTCTTGCGGATCGCTCAGGCCCAGATGTTCCAGGCGTGAGTACAGCCCGGTGTCCTTGGAGCGAAAGTCGGGAATGCCCAGCGACGTACTGATGCCGGCACCCGTCAGCACGATGATGTTCTGGCTCTTCTGCAGCAGCTGCACCGCGTCATCGACCGAGTTGTAGCGCTGCAGTTTGGCGCGCTTCAGCAGCTCGCGGCTCAGCGCCAGGCTCAGCAGCCCAAAGTACGACTCGTCCGGCTCGCCCTCGAGGAAGGCTGGTGGCCGCACGCCAAACGCGGTCAGCAGCCTCTTGGCCGAGATCACGCCCGCGTCCACCGTGCGCCGACAGAACTCCTCGGGCCCAATCGCGCGCAGTTCCTGACGATAGCGCACCGCCTCTTCGGGCGTGCAAATCTCGGGGTCGCTGCCCAGGGCGCTGTCGGCCAGCCCGCCCTCTTCGATCAGGTCGTCAAGCACGTCCTCGAAGAGTGACTCTGTCTCCCACGAGTCACCCAGGTCGTTGACGCGCTCCTCCAGCTCCGTCAGGTTGCTATGCGTGTTGTCACCGTCCTGGCTGCCCGCCCCGCTGCTGTCGCTCTCCTGTTGCCGCTTGGACTTCTTGCTGCCTCCGCCACGGCTACCCGCCTTCGCGCGGGTCGGTGGGACACGGGCATCAGGCATGAGGGGCGTGTTGGCGGTATGAATGGGCCGGGGAACGGGGATCCACGAGACCGAGAACAGGAATCGATGGAAGAACGATGAAAATCTGGGTCGGACTTTTTTAGTCCTTTTTTGTTGTGCTGGGGTATGATAGGAGAGGAAAGGCTGCGGTGGGTAAATCGGTTGAGATAGTGATAGTTCTCTTAAGAGCGTGATCCCAATTATGAATCGCGATGGTGACGGCGGACCGAGAGAAATGGAGCAAACCCAGGCCAGGAATTACACAAGCCCTAGAACCAAGTAATACACTCTTGACAGATGGCCAGACAGGGTGTGGTTTTCTTCGTTCAGATCCAACTAAAAGCAAAGGCTCCAAAATGGAAATAAAAGGAGAATCGAGAATACAAACACGTCCCCCAAATCAGCTCATTGATGACGAGAGTCGTGACGAGATTGGAAGAATTACTAGACACGACCCAGGCTATCCAGACGCAACTAGAGCCAAAAGGTGGCGACAGAATACGTTGCCAAGAGCCGACCAGATCCCAGTAAAACCGGGCCGGGACAATTAACAAAAAAGGCAAGCAGGGCAAGGTAGAAACAGGAATGGGACAGAGTCGCGTAAGAGAAAGGCAGAGACGACCGAGCCCTGTGGCGAGGGAGAGAATTAAAATTAATTATGGACTGCAAGAGAGAGAGATATGAGATATGCGAACGGGGAGAAAGGCCGAAAAGAGACCAAACCGACTTGCAAAACACGTGCTGCCGGTTGTGAAGAGCAAGACTGCTAAGACCACCATTGCGAAGATGGAAAGCCAATGCGTGGCAAACAGACTAGCTTGGACGCCAGCCGAGCGCATGGATGGATGCTCCTCGGCTCGTCTGCACTACCACCAAACAAGCGATTCAGGCGACCCAGAATGGCGTGGCCAACAGGCAAGAGCGTTTCGCATCTGTATGGTCGTCTCTTACTTCCTATTGGCTATGCTGGATTGATCTCATAACTTGTACTCCTTATCCTATGTACGGAATCTACGAGTATGTATGGATATGCCTCTAGTTTGTACTTGTGTTGGTTTTTGTTCCGTGCCTCCACATCGGCTCGCCCAGCGACAACTGTCCTTCTCGCGTCCCCGGGTCTCGCCATCTACCATCCGCCCATTATCTCATATTGTTTTAGATGAATAACACGACGGGAAGCCGAGAGGAAAATAATACAAAAATCGACACCAAAACACCATGAAGAAGTCCTGCCAATGCTGCCGAATCCGACCATGCTACCGTGCCGACATGCCGAGGGAGACCGTGCTTGAGCAAGGAAAGAGGTAAGAAGAAACGATGAAGCGGTAAGGAAAATCACCGGGCCAGAAGTGGCGGCTGTTTGGGGGATCGAAGCGGACGGAACGACGCTCGTCTTCGCTTGCATTGTGCAACAAGGAGATAAGCCAAGATGCACCAGAAAATATCAAGGCCCTCAAACGCAAATACTAAGCAACAGAGCTGGATGCAGCCAGAGTGATGCAGGAACGATGATGCGGAAAGTCTATCTTATGCGGAGGCAAGCAAGTAATTTGTGGGTGTTGTATTAGGAGAGGCCTGACCATCAGGACAGTCAAATAGACGGTCACTGCCACTGATGAAAGCCGTACTTCGGGCAACGCGTCAGCTGTTTCAACAAATCGTCAAGGTCCGTCCAGTTCCGGTCGTCATCGGCAAACTTCCGGTGCTTGTGGGACATGATGTGCTGCTTCGTGTTAGCTGCTGCTGCGGCTGCTGCATGAAATAGACACAGGATACAGGGGACATCCACTTACGTCTTCAAAGTCATCAAATTTGTCCTGGCAGTTCTCGCAGTATCCCGGCTTGGGGTCGCGTTTCTTCTGCCGTGGCGCCTGCACCGTAACGGGAGCACTCACCACCCGCTTCTGCTGCTTCTCGTCCACGTTCGACGTGCAGTCGTCGTGTCCGGCGTTCTTTGCACCCAGGTGGGCGGCCGTCGAACGGCTCACGCTGGTGGACCGGCTGCATCCGACCTGCTGCTGCTGCTGGCTCTGGTTCTGCTGGTTCTGCTGGTTCTGCTGATCCACGGTTATCTCCGCAAGACGTCGCGAGCTGAGGTCCTGCTGCGATGTCGGCGCGGTCGTCGACTTCTGCAGCACCTTGCGCTGCAGCCCGTGAATCTCTTTGCTCGTGCCGGCACGAGCACCCAGTGTCCCAGTTGCCGACGAGATCATCTGCGAGCGGATCGCAGACGTGATGCCCGCCGCTTGCAGCCCGGAAGCCACCGGCTCGCCGGCGAAGCACCGCGCTGACTTGGCACGGCTCGTAAACGCATTTTGGAAGTCCATGGCCACAGCTGTGGGGACCCCAGTCACTGCCGATGACGAAACCGAGCCGACAGACGCAGCTGCAGACGCAGACGCAGCCGCAGCCGCAGACGCAGCCGCGGCAGCACTTCCAAAGACACCCTCAACCGGCCCAGCACCACGACGACTCTGGGCATCCTGCATCTCTGTCAGAGTGCGCTTACGGCCAACAGGCTTCGCCGCAGCGGCCGCCGCATATCTGCTCGCGAGTGTCTTCTGCAGCGACGAGCCGGTAGAGGCGCTGCCGGCAACGGCGACAGCCCCAGTACCTGCTGCCGCTGACGCAGCCTCTTTAGCAGCAACTGCAGTCATCCGCATCTTCACTCTGCGCTTCTCGGCACGCAGCTCCAGCTGGTCGGTGTCTTCGATGAATGGACAACGCGACCCGCCGCTGGGCCGCAGTTGGGGCCAATCACCCTCTTCCTTATCGGCAACCTTGGTGTACTCACGAACCATCATGGGCCTCTGCTTCTCCTCAATGTCGTACACGTAAATGTACGGTCCTTTGAAGTAGATCAGCTCACGCGTGGCCACGGTTGGATCCCGATCTGACGGCCCGCTGTGGCGCTCCTTGTCGAGCATTTGCAGGAGCACCTGATCACCGGCGACACGGGATCCTACCGCGTGGCTGGTTGTGCTCCTCGTTCGCTGGCCAAGCTCAGCACTGCGGTATGGATCCGGCTCGAGCAGAGCGTCTAATACCCTCTGTAGCTTGTCCAAAGACCATATCTTCATGCCCATATCCCGAGCCCGCTGCAGAATGTCGGTGCTGCGCGCTGGTTTTGGCTTTCGGATGACATCTTCAACGACGCCGAATGGTGTCAGTGGCATTCGCCGTGTAGTCGCAGTCTCAAAGAGCTTTCGCTTCACGGGAAGAGACGTCGACAGCACGCCAGAGTCGAGGCTGTTTCGGCTTAGCAGAGACGGGTTGATCGTCTGCAGATGTTCGTGCGCAACGTCGGGTGCGTGGTGTGCACTGATTTCCTTCCTGTGCTGCTGCTGCTGCTGCTGCTTGGTCAAAGGCTTCTCTTCCGGCGGAATGGAACGCGTCGTGACAACGTGGGTTATGTCGATAGAGAAAAATTTGTCCTCTCTCTGTTATTGCCCAACGCGTTAGTTTCCACCGGTTGGGCGGCTTTGCGTAGACAGAGACGAGAAACTCACAGCTCCTAGGTGTGCAATCTGCTTGGACAACCGGGTGGTCTGGTCTTCGGGCAGACTGTCAAAGTAGAAGACCAGCTTAGGGAACCGTAGACGCTGGCTCTGCTGCCACCGGCGAACCGCCTCGGCCTCTTTCTCGGAGACCTTCTGAATCTCCTCCTGCTGGTGGTGATGGTGGTGATGGTGAGACGAGACCCGGTCGACCTGATAGATGCGGGACGAGACACCACGCTGGCTGGTCTGGGCCCGCTTGACCGTGGGAGAGCGCAGGGTGATGGCCCGGGCAGTTGTAACAATAGCATCTAGCATCTGCTTCTTCGCGGGTGGCGGATGGCCGTAGTTCTCTTCGCGTTGCATGCTCGCGTGAGACCGTTTCTGCTTGGCAAAGGCAGCAGCTGCAGCCGAGCCGGCGGCCGTCCGCAGAGGCGAGTTGGCGGCATTGGGATTGGACGAGAGCGGCACCCTTCTCGCGGACATGGTCGAGGACATGGCAGAGAAGGGAACGGGCTTGGACGATAGTGATACTGCTGCCATATAAGAAAGAAAAGGCAGGACACGCGAGCTACCACACCGATGCCACTATCATGCTCTGGAGCAGGAGGCCGGGGTGACTCGACAGGCAAGGGTGTTGGAAAACAGGCAGGTCAAGGTGGAGGGTTGAATGGAAGCCTGGAAAAAACTAGACGCCTGACGCGATGCCAAAGATGGGTCGGGTGCGTGTTTTGTCTAGCTTTGGGAAAAGAGGAGCAAAACAAAGGTGGTAACGAGAGGATCCAGCGAAAAAGGCACGCGGAACAGGGCTTAATCACGCCGAGGCATTGATTAGCACAGGGAGCCGAAGACAGTACAGGGGGGGAGAAAAGGAGAATTGGGAGGCGAGAAGGGAGACGAGAGCGCCTTGCTGGGACGAGGAGAGCAGAAGGCAGGGTCGGTGAGGAGAGAATGAGGGGGAAGATGTGAGGGAAAGAGGTGGTGGTAGTGCAGAACACGGAAGAGGTGCTCTTGGTGTGTGTGCTCGTAGCGGTCGGTGGTTGTGTGTGTGAGAAAAGCACCTTCCCTCCATCGCCCACCACGGCCACGCGCTCTCAGGGCGTCTCCTAGGCGGTGCCCGGATTGGTCCGCCGTCAACAATAATAATGCCCGGTAAGGAAAGGTTTGGGCGCTCGGGCCACTGACGCGGACCAACTGGCAACCAGTAGCAACACCCGATGTTTTTCTTTCCTGCATGGAGCCGCTTGCCCAAACCGGAAGGATAGTGGAACGGTTCTGGAAGAAAGAGCGAGTCAACCCCGCTAACTGCGGACGCTGACCAAAAAATTGAAGCCGTAACGAAGTACTCCGTATTATTACTCGATAGCAAATCGCGATACACATCGAATCCGCGACACCACCGCCATGGAACACGCCCTGCCTATACGCCGACCGACGGCAATCTGTCTACAGCAGCTGGGGCGGTTCGTGGCGCTTCCGCTCTGTGCTGCTGCACAGCAGCAGCAGCAGCAATGTCGGCCGTGCAGCGCGCAATTCCACCAGAGCCGATTGATCTCGTCAGCACCGTGCCATCCCAGGCGAAAGGGCAGCTGTGCTCGGCCGAGCCACAGGTCGTACGCCTCTGTCTCGGCAGCCGATCTGCTCTTTGGCCAGCCGGTGCACGAGACACATCCACACCTTCTGGAGGCAGGCGAGCGTGAGTGTTTTTCTGCTGTCCTCTGTCCAGTCCATTGACACCCCGCTGACGTCCAGTCACCCCCGGCATCTCGGCCCAGGAGTACTATGAGCGTCGTTGTGCTCTTGCCGCCGGGCTGCCCGCCGACTCGGCCGCCGTGCTGCCTGCTGCCGACATCAAGTTCCGCTCCGGTGCCGTCTTCTTTCCCTTCCGCCAGGAATCCGACTTTTTTTATCTGACCGGCTTCTCCGAACCGGAGGCACTGGCCGTCGTGCGCAAGACCGGCCCCGGTCGCGAGGACTGTGAATTCTCGCTCTTGGTCCGGCCCAAGGACGCCCGCGCCGAGCAGTGGGCCGGTCCCTGGAGCGGCATCGACGCCGCGCGTGACGTCTTTAACGCCGACGAGACGGCCAGCATCCACGCCGCCGAGACCGTGCTGCCGCGGCTGCTACAGGGCGTGAGCACCGTCTACACCGATGCGCCGCCGCAGTCGCGCGTGGCTACAATCCTGCAGGCTGTCTCTGGCCTCGGCCGGACGCTACCGCTGGCTCCTGTCGTCGCCCAGCAGCGCGCTTTCAAGAGCTCCGCCGAGATCGCAAACATGCGACGGGCTGGCCAGCTCTCTGGCCGCGCTCTCACCGACGCCATGCGCCAGCCGTGGACCCGCGAAAAGGATCTCGCCAACTTCCTCGCCCATGGCTTCACCCGCGACGGCGGCGACGGTATCGCCTACGTCCCCGTCGTCGCCGGAGGTCCCCGTGGCCGCCTTATCCACTATGTCCTCAACAATGCCGCACTCACTTCCGGCGAGACTGTCCTAGTCGACGCTGGCGGCGAGTACGGCACCTACATCACCGACATCACCCGCACCTGGCCCGTCAGCGGCCGCTTCTCTCCTCCCCAGCGCGATCTCTACGAAGCTGTGCTCCGTGTCCAGCGCTCGTCCGTCTCGCTGTGCCGCGCTGCTGGCCGCCTCTCCCTCGACCAGATTCACCGCATCACAAGCGAGGGCCTGCGCTCTGAGCTGACTAAGCTCGGCTTCGACCTCGGCTCCGGCGACTCTGCCCTCAACGTGCTCTTCCCTCACCACGTCGGCCACTATGTCGGCCTCGACGTCCATGACACCCCAAGCTACCCGCGCCACATCCCGCTGCGTGCCGGACACTGCGTCACCATCGAGCCTGGCATCTACGTGCCCGACGACACCCATTGGCCTGCCCACTTCCGCGGCCTGGCCGTTCGCATCGAGGACAGCATCTGCGTCGACGAGGAGGACCCTCACATACTCACGACGGAGGCAGTCAAAGAGGTCGTCGACATAGAGGCACTACGCGAGGTTGCAGAGATATAACGCGCCACGTGCTCAATCTCGTATCAGTAATTGTTCTCGTGCTTTTGTCATAGAACATCGTGTGTATTTCTGCCACACTTGGTTGCCCTTCTCAAGCCCGAGAACAACAATTATCTAGCCGAGCACACGATACAAAACAGTATATGCCAGCGTTCCCGAAACACCGTGACGGTTGGGACAAATGCCCTCTGTCGTTAATTCTTTTTTTTCCCACCCGAATTTATACGTACTTGAGATACGTAGCGCCATTAACGAAAAGAGAACAAGAAACGGGGAGAGCCCCAACCCCAATGGACTTCCGTCCTGACCAAAAGTAGAGACTCAAAATGTACAGTGAAATTAGGAGCGTTTAGGATGTTCCAGTAATCCAGTAATACCAGGAAGCCGGCTTGATTCGCTTCGCAAAAAACAATGTATGAAATCAAGAAAACAGTAGGCAGCTGAGGGCGATTCGTTACTTCCGCGTAAGTATCAACAGAATGCTCGGGGGTCGAATAGCGTTCGGCTGTACGGCATCTGGAAGGAAGGCTGTGCGGCTGCACTCAAAAGCTGTTCAAAAGCCTGCAGTCTCCGTGACAGCTCCTGGTGTTGCTGGATGATTGCCTTGTTTTTTTTTTCCAAATAGTGTATGTAGTCAGTTGCCTTCGTTAGGACCGTACCCTGTAGATAAATCAGTACGCGGTTCCATAAAGAGAAAGGCACAATACTCCAACATGCAGCCCGAAACTCACCTTGCTGACTTTGGGGCCCCGGCCTGGTTGGTTGCTGTCATCTCCGTCGTCTATTGCATTTTCAGGTATAGTACGAAGAGCTGGAACGGCGTCACGCAGCTCAGCGATCTTGTCCTTCAAGTTGGTACGGTACTTCCGCTCAATATCGTTGTGGGCGGTGCGGTCAGCCGACTTGGGCTTTTCCCGTTCCCTTTCCTTTCCCTTCTCGGACTTCGGGTTTAGTGTTGGAGAGGTCGGAGGGGCTGTGCTGGAGTTGGATGGTGTGATCATCGGGTTCATCATGCTGCCAGAACTATTCGACAATTGGCTCAAAGAAACTGGACCCAGCCCCGAACCCAGTCTCGAACCCAGTCCCGAACCCAGACTTGGCCCCAAGAAATTTCCTTGCATGCCGAAGTTCGCGTTGATGTTGCCACCCAGGCCACCCAGAGTGGCGCCCGAGTTCATGGCTATGGCAATCAGGCGCCGCTGTTCATCGTCGCTGAGGCTCGGCGTTTGAAGGCTAATGAGTGAGTCGAGGCGAAGTCCCATTTGTGGTCTTTCCCAGCTCAAGGGCGTTGAATACAGTCCTTCCCTCGGCGGTATCTCAGGTGGTGGCATCGATTCAATCTTGGACATGTGGTCCGCAAGATTTATGGACGAGTACGAGAATCCGTCATCCGATAGCGCCTTGTCGAGGGCACTGTCGTCGAAGCTGTCTTCTCGTTTCTTCTGTCCAGAGGATGGGGTCTGAGACACCAAGGTCGCAGAGCTGTATGTTCATTAGATCTTAGATTTACACCATAATTTATAGTCTGTCCCCAGGCTCGGTCGTGTTTTTGTTTCGGGGCCCAGGCTTACCGCTGTGGTGTAGGGGGTTTTGTCTGTGACAGGGAACCAGAGCTACCCAGGTCAACTTCAGCTAGCGCATCATTCAACTGCTCCTTTTTCAGTTCGTCCTGCTCGTTTTGCTGCTCCTCCAAGCTCTGCTGCTGCTGCTGTTGTTGCTGTTGTTGTTGCTGTTGTTGTTGCTGCTGCTGCTGCTGCTTCTGCTGTTGTCGCTGCTGCTGCTGTTGTTGCTGTATTTGTTGCTGTTGCTGTTGCTGTTGCTGTTGCAGTTGCAGTTGCTGTTGCTGTAGCTGCTGAAACTGCTGCTGCTGGGTCCGCTGCTGCTGCTCTAGTTGCTTCTGCTGCTGCTGCTGCTGCTGTTCTTCATCAAACTGTATCCAATAGTCGACCGAGTCAAAAGGTGTAGTCTCGGTATTTAGTCTCGACCTTTTTTTGTCGTGGCCTTCCCTTGTCCGCTGATTGCGAGGCGGGATAACAGGCCGCGGAGTCTGGCCGAACATGGGTGAAGATGGCATAATTGGGCTAAAGAGGTTAAAATTCGAGCCAGGTGTGGAGGCAGCCAGGGAATCTAGTGATATGCTAGGAGATCCCGATAGAGATGCATCTTTTGGTCTGCCGAGGGTGGCAGCCGCCAGGGCAGACTCGTCCCATAATGACTGCGGCTGTGATGGCGCCGAGCCTAGGGCGGATGTGCTGCCAGACTGGTCAACAGGGTTGAGGGTCTGATAACAGTGTTAGCAAGAAAAGAGCGATTTCAGGCAGTGCGATTATAGAAACGGCTGAAAGGGCGACAGTGGGTGGCATGTTTGTCTCATGTCGTCTGGGCTCAGACGTTGAGTCTCTCCAATCATCATACCCTATCTGCCAGTGCCAGTGGAAGTCATCGCGTAGATGCCTTGTGCTATGAGGAGGCAGATCGGCGTACCTGGTTATTTGGCACGGAAAAGTAGCCAAGATTTCTCAAAAGGTTTGGGTCCATGGCGACTTGCTTAGTTGTACATCCCGACCTGAGAGAAGAAAGATGTTCGCAAGAAGAGATGCCTCAGTTGCACAAAATCCGAGTCGAGATGGCCAGCTGTGAGATCGATCTCGGGAGGTTGTATTCGCGATAAGAAAGACTGTCTCAGACAAGGAGCCGGGATATTCAGAGACAATTGGACACGCGCCTGGCCGGTCGCCAAATGCAGGAGACAGAAAATCCCCTCAGGGCGAATTCCGGCAGAAAACACCCCACAGTAAGACAGCGGAGGGGATATCCTCAGTCTGTACTGGTGGAGACCGCAGCGGGTGGCTTAAGACAACTCTGGTACTAGCCCAGAACGCGATAACTGACAAAAGCTGAGGGTGGGAGTTTGGGAAACGGTGGCGGATGTGGGATCTGCTTTGCGCAGAGGTGGCGACAGGAAAAGTCAGGTGCTTTTTTGGCTGGTGATGGAAGACTTCGGTAACACCGCTGCAATGCGACGGGTTTGTGCAGTAGGCCTTTAGCTGCCGGTGTCGCTAAGAGCTGTCGCATAAATTGGTGTGCGAAGGAAGAGATAGCAAGCACAAGAAGATTGGGAGGGGGGTCAAGGTATCGGAGGCAGGCTGAGGAAAGGAGGCGAAGGTGGGAGAAAACGAGAGGCTTGGGAGAGGTAAGAAACAATTGAATTGCAACAAGCCGTAACCAGCCAGTCTCAAAAGAGCAAAGAATACACCGACGGACAATGGATTCGGAAACCCGATCGGGAACACTTTTGGAGGGGGAGAAGACAAGAGTTTGTTTGGGGAAAAAAGGCGAGAATAAGGGATGCGGTAGAAACGACAGATCGGCTGGCAGACGGCAGCGATGGAAGGCACAGGTAGAGCGACCTGTCCGAAAAGGGGAGAGAGAAAGATTCGCCCCGAAAAAAGGAGGTAGGCAGTTGCTTGAGCAGCGAGACAAGCAGAAAGCCGGTAAGAACAACGGGCGCCTCTGACGTGCGGGAGTGGCCGAAAAATGTCACAGGGACATTGGTCTATAGGCCGGCGGTAGGGACGACTAGTTATTATTTTGCAGGATCGTATAGGGAAGGGAAGATGGGCCCGTGGGCGAAAATGGACAGACGCGTGAGGTCCGAGAGGTGAAATCGTAAGGCGACACAGGTACAGAGTACAGCAGGAGTACGGAGTTAGAGTACGAACAGAGCCTGGGAGTAGGAAGGTTGGGGGTGGAGTGCGGATCGTGAAGGAGAAACGTCTGTCCGACTGGGATGGGAGGAAGAGAGAGGAAGGAGGAAAAAAGGAGCAGAGGAGGGCGCAATTGCGATTGGGAACAGGGGTTTAGCAATTGGCAGCAAAAAAAAAACAATTGGGAAGATGGCCTGATACTTGCCATCCAAGTCCGGGGAGGGTAGGTAAAGGGTGGTGCAGCAATTGTAGCGAAGACGGCAAAATCAGGCCACTCTACCAGGCTTACGGAGGGGAATCGTACAATCGCCAGCGAGCCAGACCATCCGCCAAAAAGTAGCGTGTGGACTGTGCTTGTGTGGCCGAGGGGTTTTCCCTGGTTTCTTCAATTGCAACACAACCTATTACGGAATTGTTGGGTTGATGATCGTGATAGCCTTCTCGGTAGTCCTTCCTTGCCATGCGCACGTTGTTGAGAGCAAAGGTAGTCGTTTCGTGCTTTCCCATGCCCCGTGTCACTTTCTGCCTCGTGCCTGCGCTTTTCGCCAGTGATCGACGCCCCAGCCGGATCCACTGATAATAATAATCTGCCGGCCTCACAAAAATACGGCCCCCAGGCGATACGGAGTTGTATGGGCGCGTTACCAGAAACACGGACTCCTTTTGCAGTTGCATCTCCTATACGACGCAGGACGGAAGCTCGATTATAATGGCAATGGCTTGCTCTTGCGAGCACTCCCGTAATATGCACCTCGGCCTTTGCTGCTGCTCTCTGACCGGACGACAGCCAATAATAAGGTGTGGCCTGTTTCAAGGGCCTCTCCATAGGGCTGTCGCGACCAACAACGGGTCCTTTTCCGTTACGTGTGCCGCAACTCTCCGTTCGACCTTCACACTAATGCACTATAACTAGCAACCGACGTCCAGTGGGAGTCAAAAGCAGGGCGAAAACTAGACTATGAAAAAGCAATGCACGCCAGACAAGCGATGCATCCGCTTCCTTAGATACATGGCTCCAGCCAGCTATGGAGTATTACAGACATGGCTGCTTTGCACTGAGCGAAAAGCAACGGTCACCGCTGTCTGGTTATAAGATACGTCGTAGCAACTACGCTAGCTCCCTTCTGTTAGCGGTTGTTATTCCCTACCGCCTCTGGCCAAGGGTGAAACTACGTCCTCGCATCCTTAGTGCCACCAGAATAGCGAGCGTGGATCCTGCAGGCTCGTGGCAATGTTTATTGATACTGAGCACGATAACACCGTTGTTAGCACAACTACTTGTATACCATTACGCGTTGCTTGTGCAGGCTCTTCCCCGAATCTTCATATCGCGAACATGGGCTGACAGACACATCCTCGACGAGCTATTCCTCATGTATGGACCAGGGGCAGGCATAATCGCTCATAAATTACCACCAGCGTTGTCTTTCTCCGTACGGCTCAACCTCCACCGCTAAAGCGGAAGAGACAATTTGCCGTCCGTTCTAGAACATTGAATCGGCAGGGTCCAGCAGCAGGAGAACTCGGGAGGTGGGTCTTGAGCATGACATTGACAGGCTTGATCGCCGTAGTGCAGAGTGCTGCAATAGTCAACCAAACTCCAGGTCTCAAGATTGTGGATGCGTAGCCACGTTCTATGGCGTATAAGACGGAATCACCACTAATCAAGGCAGGCATATGCGCGTGTTAATACCGTTTGTATTGATTCCTGGCCTAAAACAGAATGTATATGAGGGACTGTTCTCGAAATAAAGCATGATGCATGAAATGGAAGGATTGGTACTATGTATATCTGGAGTAGAACCCCTCCTACCTATTTTAGAAAAAGGAGCGGAAGAGGGCCTGCAAGCGTGAGACATCGTCCACCGGTAGGCAGCCCTCTATGGTAAGGTGTGTATTGAAGCGGAACAGGACCGGTTCGGCTAGAAAAATAGCAGATTCGGCCGACAGTACTGACCGGGGGCTCCCGTCGTGAAGCTGGTTCATGTGGGCCACAACGCACTCGCGGCCGGACTCGGGATCGAATTGGGACTCGCTCGTGGACTCGGCCCCGGAGTCGACAGATTCCCTGTCACGACTGTCGCGGCTGTCGCGGATGGCCATGTACTCTTCCCCGTTAAGCTTGTGGGCAAGGCCTGTGCCGTTGTGTGAATAGATGGGCAAGCAAAGGACGCCTAGCCCAAAGGAGCGCAGGACGACAAATTTGCGGTACTTACTGAAGACAACCCCAAAAGCGGTGGAGGTGCGGTGGGGGTCATCATAGGCAATGGTAGCGTCAGGCCGCAGAAAATTGGACTCGTAGTTGGCGGTGTGATGGGCGGTGCTGAAAATAACGCCGGGATGGAGATGCAGACGGTCGTGGATACGATCTGAGGTTCGGGTTTGGACCATGGCCCGGCCTTCATACCAGGTCTGCTCGAGATTACCCTGTTTGAAGTTACGGGCCGTTGAGACAGACCAAGAGGGAGAGCCTGGGAAAGGGGAGGGAACAGGATAGTGGAAATCGGAGATGCACTCACCATCGCTATTGTCGTGACTGTGATGAGGCTGGGAGAATACTGGCGATTGGTTCAAGAGCTCTCTATCATCTTCTTTCTCCCAGTCGTCGTAGTGATCTTCGTCACTGCTGCTGCTGCTGCTGCTGCTATGGCATTGGTAAGCAACAGCGACAGCAGCAGTGTGCACTCTCTGTGAGGGAAGGTAGCTGTTTTGACTGTGATGCCCTGAGGTCAGCTCGTGGCCGTTGCGGCTGTATGGAGTTGAAGTCGACTTGCATATGCGGTACCGATCATAAGGGGTGGCCAAAGCAGGAGGTCTATGATGGCCATCGGAGTGGTTGCGGCTGTTGTTACTGCGGCCATGATTACCGGTCCGGGCATCGCCTATTTGATGCCATGCAGCCCAAGGAGTGGACGCCACATTCTCGGGAAAGGTGGTAGCTGCGCAGTTGCCAGAGTTATCATAAGTGTGAATGTACCGCGGAGACTGGTATTGGCTGTGATCGTGAGAGCTAGTGTAGTGACGGTGAGAGCCGCTGTGAGACAGCGCGGAATAAGAGTGATGAGACATACCTAAAATAGTTCCGCTGTGATGTCTGTTCTGCACTAGTGGACGCCAGGGAGTATGTATATCTGTATATCTGTCTCACGAACAGTCAGTCCAGTTGAAAGGGGCACTTGGGGGGCAGGGCTGCGGTGGGGCAGATGACTTTGTGCCGGCGGGATATGGATGAGAATGGTTTCGGTAGCATGATGGACAGGGCATTGGGAAAGAGGAGATATTTATGCTTGTCTGTGTTCAAGGAATGTGGTATTTTAAAGGCGGTGGAAGTCTTTGTCTGGCGGATGCTTGCATTGACGCAATGAACATGAAAGAGCAAATTCAGAGAGACAAAGGGTAGACAAGGGGTTGTATAAAAGGGTTCGAACGCGCACAATGGCCCAGGTTGTCAAAGATGATGTTCCAATTGTTCATGAACAAGACATGGCTAGTTCATTGTCCACGGGCTGCACCTATATAGAAACCGTGGACGCACTACCCAGGGCTGGATTTGCTTCAACATAGTCATCAACATCTCTTCACATCGCAACTCCCAACTGACCAGAACGCAGCCATACAGAAACCATTTCCCCTACCCTTCTTTCTTACACGTCTCCTATACAAGCTAATTTCCACGAACAGCATCATGAGGGCTAATTACAACGGCTACATTCCCTTGTCCAAGGAGATGCGAATCCGCTCCTGGCTAGCCGGTGTGCCCGACGACCCGGAGTTGCTGGCTCCGGTTCTTGAGCCGTTCCAAGAGTATGATGGCTTTGTCAGCCGATCAGCGAACATGCAAAAATGGCCGGAACTGTCTCAGTGGGGAGTGCCCGGCAGCCCTGGCCGATGGAACAAAGAATTCGGAGTATTCCAAGCAACACTACCCACGCCTCTGGAGGCTGCGGGCCAGATCACCGATCGCGTAATGTCTACTAACCGGGCCAGGCCCAAAGTCCCAATCCGGTCGCCGAAGCGGCCGATATGGCGGCCGTTATGAATTGTCGAGACGCCTTTTTGTATTGCCCTTATTAAAGCCCCTTTTGAAGGGTGGTGGTATTCGCCAGTTTGAATAAAATAAAACACAGTACGGGGTATATTGATGAAACTTGTGTCCAGCCGTCTGTCCCACTGAAAAGTAAGCAACTCGTGATAACACGTAAATAACACCTGATGCCCCGATTTGCCGACCGGTATACGACTGAATCATAACGGGTTTCGCCACCTTGCCAAGCTTCCGAGCATACCAATGTATACGAGTACGTGTATACAAGTACGAGTATTCGTACGCGTAGGTATCTTAACTGAGTCTGGCCAGAGTCCTAGACAAAAAACCGAGCTGCTCTTTGCGTCCGGCAATTCGCCATGTATTCCCATGCTGTCGTGGTTACCGAGGCTGACAACAGCAGCGGTCAACAAACACATCATCATTGATCACTGCCCGTGCTCTTCAGATCCACCAGCTGCGAACCTTCAAGGATGGTGACGGGTACTCGTAGACATGTGCAAGATACGAGGACGAGTACTCGGTACTTGTCCCAAAATGGCAATCCATCTTGGACAGTGGTGTGAATAAAGGAGAGAATACCCCTACTTCGAGACTTTGCCTGTTTCCAGATCTGATTATGTATCTTCAGATAGCATTTTTTCGCCTGATCTTAAGCCCCGAAAGGGCCGCCCATCTGCCGAGGGTATAGGTTCTATAGTTCGGGGCTCTTCCCCTGAGATTCGATAGTCGGGATATTATTTCCCATGTGTCTGGCCCCCAGACTCGTATGCTCTCAGATGCCATCGGCTTATGCTCCCCCAAGGTGGTGCGTGCCCTCGCGCTCGCCGGACCCTGTAACCACACCTGCAAGACCTATGTACCTGGAATGTACGAAGTACTGGTTCCTGCTTCTTTACGGAGTGCAGTCTGCTGTTTGAACCCATTGTATCAAGTTGGGGAGAACACGACTTTAGGGGAGCGGGTGAAAATGAAAAAAATAGTATAGCATGGTATGAATTCAAGTTCACGTGTTTCTGGGCTTCCATCTGATCATCCCCTGCGGAATCGTTCTTTCTCCTTTCGCAATTCCCGCTCTTGCCGGTTTGGGTTGCCAAACATGTACAAGTGTTACAAATTTCATCTCTCTCTTAGCCACTTGGCTCCAGCATCTCAATAAACGCGAACCTATATTTCAATGTGTGGTTTTTCTGTCCAGAGGCCTGTGTTCGCCCATCGCCTACATGCCGCGAGACTTGGCCTGCTTCTGCGATGATCTCAATTTTCCTCATACAATTATTGGTCATTTCCGAATATGTGTTCCGCTGCAAAGTAGTATCCGATCATCGCTGAGTATACTCTTTCGCGTTCAAGCTCTAGCCCGGCCAGCTTACAGCGGTACGACGTAGGCACGACAATGAACAGCAGTATCATTTCTCACAAATCCAGCACTGGTGTCCGTACTGTACCAAATTCGGTAATCTTTGTCTGTGCATCTGAAAGCATGCCACTGGGTTTGTATCCTTATCCATTTGCCCTTTACAACGGATAACAACAGCGGAAGTTCTACGCAATTTAAGGAATCATTTGGCATCCATGACAGAGCGATAGCTAATAATGCTTCTTTCATCTCATATAGGGCTTTCCTTTTCTTGCAAGCTTTCTTGTCGTCAAGAGAAAACTGCCTCTCTTTGATCTCTCCGTGATTTTTCCTGGCTTACATGGGAGATCAACTTCTCTTGACAGAAATTATCTGACAGCTCCTACCCGCAAGCCAAGTACACCTTACTGTATCTGCATGGCCGATATTCTCACAACAAATGGCGTCAGCATATCAGTGATCTTCCGCACACCCTTTGAAACCGAGCACGCATAAAAAAGCGGAGGCACACCTGCGTGATCTATTGCCGACATATCGGCATCGTGCATGACCAGGCACCCCAGTGCGACAATGCTACATATTAGACAGGCCTCACGCATGAGGCCCCTGTATATGTCTTCTTTAGTGTGTACGTTCAGAATCTGACGCCGCACTAGAAATGTGACGAGTTTTTTCTTCAACGAGTCAAAACAGTAGGACATTTTTCCACTGCTTTAGCTCTCCACGTAATCAAGATCTAGGAAAGTTCTTCCTGACATGATGTGTTTGAATACTGGCTGACATGATATTAATAAGGCCAGCTACCTGTCGAAACGACTCGATGTACGCTTGGTGTACGCTTTGTATACCCCTTCACCTTTAATATAGTCATAACCCAGTTTCTCATGATGGGCAAGATGCATGAGCAGAGTGCCAAGTAATACTTTTGGTTTGAGACCCCTCGTGAACTATATTGTGACTCTGATCAGCAGTGCAGCTCTTGGGTCGCCAATCGGTGGGTCGCCAATCGGATTCGGCTGTGGCGCCTCACCTCTCTCGACCGTCAAATAGCAAAGATCGTCTGGTTGCCATGTTGGGGTCCCATCACATCGCTTCCAATTTACCATCACTCGCCGACTTATCATATACGACGTAATGTGCCAACAAGCGAAAACACCGCCAAACTTTGATTGTCCACACTTCAGTGTGACCATACTAGCCAGTTGTTAATTCGTCTGCTCGACCCTCATTGGTGGCTTAATCGCCTGATTGTGGGTGATGGCTGCTTTGTGCCGAGCATTTCTTGTCTACTGAACGTATTTCAGTGGCCATCTCATCCTGAAGACCCTTTAGTTCTTGAAAGAGACCTAATGAAGGGGTCCAAAGAAAAAAAATCAAATTATTGCCCTTTTCAATCTACGGACGAGCTGTGGCGCCTACTGTTTTACACACCCAGGGCTTGTGCATCAGAGTTGCTCCTGTTTCCAGCAACAGCCTCTCCGCTAGTTGCGAGCCACACGACCGGCATTTCAAGCAAACGTGCACATCGTCACAGCGTTCAGAAGCCAGTTTTGATACGTAGCCATTCGGCACAGTGGTCGGATCCGCAAGCTACGACGTATGAAGTTATATAAGCAGAAAGCCGCATATCCGACTCAATATCAGAAGCGAGCCTCTCTGCTTCTGGGACATCTGTCACCTTTCCTGGCACTTTTCGAAGGACAGCCGTCTTATTCATTGCATTAAGCATTACAGGATCGGACCGGGGAACAGAAATGTGAGGGCTAGGCGGTCACTGGACGAAAGACTACTCCGGCCGAACGACCGGATCGCCTATTACAGGAAGATGGGGTCATACTGACTAGCTGATTTTGCAAGCCAAGTCGGCCGAGTCGTCGGCTCTGCTGACAAATCGGCCATCACGTAATCGTGATATATCTTGGCAGCACCACATATTATTAGAGGATGCTGCGATCCTCTATTGCTCACGACACCGCAGCCAGCTCGGCCACAAACCCTTTACAGCCTACCAATATGTCTGGTACCGACTACCTCAACCCACCGGTCTCGTCCTACGTGTCGCCACTGGCCGGCTACGAGGGCCTTCCACCGCTGAGCGAGGAGCGCGCTGAGGATGGCAAAAGCTTCAAAAACGCACCAGCCGAGCGGCGCAGCCCGGCCTACGACGCCTTTGTCGACCCGCTCGACAAAGGCAAACGGGGTGGCTTGTGAGAAAGAATCCCTCTGTTTCACTCTATCCGCTTCTCTGCTGACAACGTCTAGCGACGTCCACATTTACTACTACCAGAACAATGAGGCCCACAAGGCCTATGCCCATGCTCTCTGGGAGCGGATCCGGCGAGAGTGTAAGTCAAAGAGAAGGACCAATGGAGAGTCACCTTCACTTGCTGATCTGTGTTTCATTTCCCAGTCCCCGAACTGCGTATCTACCAGCTCTGGGACCGTCCTCTCGGTCCCCACCCGGTAGCCATGTTCGAGGTTAACCTCTTCACGCCGGCCCAGTTCGGCGCGTTCATCCCCTGGCTGGCCATCTGGCGAGGCCCCCTGTCAGCGCTTGTGCACCCCAACACCACCGAGGGCACCGAGGGTGATGAAGTGGGTGAGAGCCGTGGTCGCTCGGTCACTGAGGTTGCCATCGAACGTCGCAACCATACCCAGCGTGCCATCTGGATGGGCGAGCGCGTGCCGCTGGATCTTTCGACATTCGACACGATGACTGCGCGGGTGGAGCAGAGCTAAGGAGGCCCGAGTCCTACTCCGTACTACTCCGTATGTATGTAGGATATCTAACTCGTATCTAGCAGGCAGATGATACCCGTCAGCTGTTCTCCACATGACATACACTTAGGAATCCTGCACTCGGTTCACAAGCGCGTTTCGGACGATGCTCGCCTGGTTTTTCGCCGTGCTGGGGCCATGTTGAAGATGACTAAGCATCAGGAGATCTCGTGGTAAGCAGGCGAGCGGCCGAGCCGGCGCTGATTGGCGCAGCCTTCCGGCCGTGTTTGGGCCACAATATGATGACTGGGTGCCGTAAGTGGGGCAAGAGCGCCGTTTAGATCAGGCGGTGGCGCGCTATGCAACTGTCGTCACAGCTATGCATGTAGGAGGGGGGGCATATTTAGCAGGAACCAGCCGAAATGAAGTACGTATGTAGTACGGAGTAAAAAAAATCAAAATTAGTCGGCATAGACGTGGAAAGGGACTGACAGCCGAGCGTAGCCAGCGATAAGCCATGGTGATTCGAAAGGGAAAGGCTGCCATTCAACATACACACACCGACTCTTTGATCGGACGTTTGACCACACGCATATGCAGTGCATGTAACGTATTACTTCATTGACCGATTCTGCTGGCCCTCCTATTAAATCAGCCGTCACCCTGTCCTGTCCGACTTTTGTTGGGCTCTCACTTCTCTATCACCAACCCCCGACAGGTTCACGAAACAGAGAAATATTATCAACCAACACACAACGCACACTTCACTATGGATATCTCGTCGGACGAACCGCCACCTCCATTTGTGCGATTCCTCCCCAAGACGTCGTCGACGACGTCCTTTTACGAGATGCCACACTCACCCCGGCTCAAACTTCTAGTGGCAGCCAATGGCCCGAAGGAGGTGGCCTATGCACAGGCCATTGCGGTACGGCTCTCCAAGGAGCCCAAGATCTCGATTCGGGTGATTGTCGACGACCTGACGCATCGGCTGGCGCAGGAGTTTCCGACGCACGAAAACCGGAGCCTACGACGACACGATCGCGGCAGCGGGTGCGTGATTGGCAACAGCAGCAGCAGTTCGCTCAGCGCGGGCGACGTGGCGCGCGACATTGAGTGCGCGCGCAAGCAGGCGTTTGACCTCGTTGCATGGGCAGACCTGCTGGTGTTGGCGCCAATCGACGCGGACCACATGGCCAAGATGATGGCAGGCGTGACGGACACGCTGCTTCTGGAGTTGCTGCGCAGCTGGGACGCATCGAAGCGGATCCTGCTGGTGCCGGGCATGTCGACACACATGTGGGAGAACCCGGTGACAAAGCGACAGATCAGCAAGCTGCACCGCAAGTGGCACTGGGTGCGGGTGCTGCCGCCGATCCTGTGGCACTACTACCAGCTGCCATCGACGCCGCCGCCAGGCCGGAGCAGCAGCAACATGGGGATGACCAGCGCGGCCAACAGCGGCAACAGCAGCATGAGCAGTAGCATGGTCGGGCTCGACAATGTGGCGGCGGCAGCGGCAGCGGCGTCAGCAGCAGCAGCAGCGTTTGCGGGCGGCCAACACCAACCACAGCAGCGCAAGAGGGTGGTGGAGTGGCACGGGTTCGCGGACCTGATCGGCATCATCAAGAACCAGGCAGACCTGCTGTCGCTGGGCCACGATGTCGATGTAGCAGCAGGGCTGCTGAGCGGACACGGATCGCTGCTGCTGGCAGGCGGAAACGGCAGCGGCAGCGGCAGCTCGAGCCCGCTGCACCGACCTGGCGGCAACTCGAGCGATAGGGACAACGTGGGCGATGGGGGCGCGGATGCGCGGCCACAGCGGCCACGACAGGTGCGGCGACTGCCGCCAGAAGTGTGGACGATGATCCTGGAGTACGCGGACGATTGGGAGCTGGCACAGGCGCTCAACGTGTTCACGCACCTGCCAATGCCGACTTGGCACGGGTGGCGGACGCAGCCGCGAGACACGACAGACGCACAGCAGGTGTTTATGCACGAGCTCGAGTGGACGCTGCTGACGGCCGACACGGATCGAATCTGCGCGAAGCTGGCACAGGCGCCGGCGGCAACGGTGGCGGATTTGTCGGCACTGGCAATCCGGTTGATCTTCAAGTTTTCGCTGACGAACGTGCTGGCTCACATCGAGGCACACTGCCCGCTGGTGTTTCGCAGCTTCGACGGCAAGACGGTGCCGACCAAGGCGTCGGCATATTTTGGGCGGACCGACATCCTGGACTGGTGGGCACGGTCGCCGTCGTTCCTGGAGAAGCAGTACGACGCAGAGGCGCTGGACGGAGCGTCCAAGAATGGCTACGTGCACGTGCTGGAGTGGTGGCGGCGGTCGGGGCTGCCGCTCAAGTACACAGAGGCAGCGATGGAACAGGCGAGCGCTCGAGGTCACGTGCAGGTATTAGAGTGGTGGCGGCAGGCGTCGCTGGTGGGCGGGGCGGCAGCGCAGCCGATCATTGCGCGGCCGGGGCGGTCGTTGATCTGCGCGGCGCAGTACGGCCGGGTCAACGTGCTGCGCTGGTGGGAGGAGCAGGGACGTGAGGACGAGGATGAAGGCGGTGGAGGGCCACCACGGATCAACCCAGGCCACCAGGACGCGGTGTGCAAGGTGGCGTCACGCTGGGGCCAGGTGGCGGTGCTGGAGCTGTGGCGCGAGCTGCGTGGCGACGGCAAGCTCGTGTTTGGGCCGCTGATCCTGGTCGAGCCGACGATGTATTCACACATCGGCGTGCTGGACTGGTGGCGGGCCTATGCGCATGGCGAGCTGCCGGGAATGGGCGGACGGCGGGCCAAGCAGGTCGAGTACCGCATCATGGACATTGAGGAGGCGCTTGAGGATGCGCTGGGCGACCAGACGACGGTGCGGCGTTGGTGGGCGGCCAACGGATTGAACCTGGGCCTGGGCACGAGCGAGTGGATGAAGGCACAGTATCTGTAAGAGACGGCATATCACGTGACGACGTGACGGCGTTTGGGGACCCTTTTAGCGGAACCGCAGCATCAGGAACAGGCATTGGGACAGGCACGGCGCATCGGGAGGACGCATCTTTGGGCACATAGAATGACAGGCCCGGTGGTAATGCAGGCGGTCTTTAGGACGTGTTGAGTGTGCATTGTTTGAATAGCTCATCAGACGCCAATAGTACACCACACCACACACACGTACGCACGTACGCACTTCAACTCCTGTACTTGTCGCGCATGTTGGGGATCAGCTTGCGCAGCACCTCGATGCGTCGGGTCTGCAGCCGCTGGCGAGACTCGGCCGCCGCTGGACGATCGTCGCGACGGCGCCGTCCGTTGCCGAAGACGACGGAGTAGTCAGGGAGGCGAGTGCCGGGGGCGATGACGGAGCGGGGCGCCAAAGTGCAATACTGAAGCAGTCAGAAGCGGGTCAGCAGCGTGTTCTTCTGTGGTCTCGGCTCTCTCGGCATGCTCTGCCCCTCTCACCTGTCCGATGACGGCTCCTCTGCCAACGATGCTGCGGGCTCCCACGACGGTTCCGCTGCCAATCGTGGCGCCGGCCTCGACCTGCGCACCCGTCTCGACCGACACGCAATCCTGCAGCGTTACCGTCGTGGAGGCTCCCCTCTCAGACGGTGGTCCGCCGCCCAGGGTGGCCCGCTCCTCGATGATGCAGCGCCGCCCAATGTTGAGGGGCCCGGCTCGGGCGTCCAGCCGGGCCCGCGGATGCACCACGCTGTCGCTCGCAAAGGTCACCGGAAACGTGCCGGCAATGGCCACGGCGTCGGCCAGCACCACCGTCACGGCCGCGCTCTGCGTGCCGTCGCTGCTGGTGCCGACAAAGACAACCGGCGTGGGCGGCGCCGCTGGCAGCGCAGACGGACGCTTGGACATGGTCGAGAGCCTGGTCAGTTCGTTGTGCGGTTCGTTCGTCGGCTGTCGATGGCAGTCGTGCCTGTCCCAGCCAGTCGGCGGCAGACAAGGCCCGGCCTGGTCGACAGCTGGAGCTTCGCTGCAAAGACTCCCAAAGCTGTCTGCTCACCGCGTCCAGTTATCAACCAATCAGAAGTCGAATATGCAGAATCTCCACTTTTACTCCCTCGGTCGTGCCAGACAGTCGGCCGGCAGAGCCATGCTCGGACGTCTGACAATGGACAGGCTGTGGCACTCGCATGCTTTTTGAGATATGGTATTCCGGTGTGTTTTCATAGAAGCAAGTCGGTTTCAATCGTGGAGCTGTTTGCAAGTGATGGAAGATCTGGCATCCGTCCGTCCGTAGATGTGTCCCAATCACCACTGCTACCATTGCCACCGCCATTCCTTGTCAAATTGTATTTAGAATACATCACATGGCCGCCCGAAATCTACAGTACCGAGTGGGCCAGCATCCAGACGGCAGTGCTGTCACTGGCACGGATCCGTCGCCGAGAACATGCTCCTCTGCCGTATTAGCTTTCGCGGCTCTCTGATTGGGCGTGCGGGTCTCCACCGGAATTGTCACGTGACAAAATTGGCGAGACAGGCAGCTTTTCCGATTCTCCACGAAGGCCCGTCCACCCCAAAAAAACCAAAGCCGTCCGCCAAATCCCTCGGGACGAAGATTGACGCCCTCCACATCGCCGTTGGCAATTGAGCCTCCACCACCGCTCGATCGAGCCGCCGACCAGACCCCGTTCCTATTGACCTGCTCATCCGCATCTCGCACGCCATGCTGCTGTCCCGCAGCGCAGCGGCCGGCCCTTCCAAGGCGTCGGCCCAGACGCTCGCCCGCGTGTGTGTCTCATCGCCGGGATCGTCCGCAACAGTGTCGGCCTCATCGACGGCCTCCTCCTCTCCCGCCTCCGCCTTCAGATCTGCTTCAAGACATCCGTCGTCAAGGCGGGCCTTTGCCACGGTCCAGGACGCCGCGCCGCCAAAGCGGACGTATGGCGGACTCAAGGACCAAGACCGCATTTTCCAGAACCTCTACAGCCGCTACCCGCCCGACCTGAAGCACGCCCGCAAGATGGGCGACTGGCACAAGACCAAGGAGATTCTGCTCAAAGGCCACGAATGGATCATCAGCGAGGTCAAGGCGTCCGGTCTGCGCGGCCGCGGCGGTGCTGGTTTTCCCTCGGGTCTGAAATGGGTGTGTATAAGGTTGGGCCAGCTGGCCTTGTCCCACTATCTCCTTCCCCATCGTGTGTTCTCTCCCCGCTAATGGTCCAGTCGTTTATGAACTTTAAGGACTGGGACAAGGACAACAAGCCTCGCTATCTGGTGGTCAATGCCGACGAGGGTGAGCCGGGCACCTGCAAGGACCGCGAGATTATGCGCAAGGACCCGCATAAGCTGGTCGAAGGCTGTCTGATCGCTGGTCGGGCCATGAACGCCACGGCCGCCTACATCTACATCCGCGGCGAGTTTGTGTACGAGGCCGAGGTGCTGCAGGCAGCCATCAACGAGGCGTATGCCGAGGGCCTGATTGGCAAGAACGCCTGCGGCTCGGGCTACGACTTTGACGTGTTCATCCACCGCGGTGCTGGCGCCTACGTCTGCGGCGAGGAGACGTCGCTGATCGAGTCGATCGAGGGCAAGCCGGGCAAGCCGCGGCTCAAGCCGCCCTTCCCGGCGGCCGTCGGTGTCTTTGGCTGCCCGTCGACAGTGACCAACGTGGAGACGGTGGCGGTGGCGCCGACCATCTGCCGTCGTGGCGGCGCCTGGTTCGCCGGCTTTGGTCGTGAGCGCAACCAGGGCACCAAACTGTTCTGCATTAGCGGCCACGTCAACAACCCGTGCACGGTCGAGGAGGAGATGTCCATTCCGCTACGCGAGCTGATCGACCGCCACTGCGGCGGCGTGCGCGGCGGCTGGGACAAACTGCTGGCCGTCATTCCCGGCGGCTCGTCTACGCCCATCCTGCCGAAGAGCATGTGCGAGGACCAGCTGATGGACTTTGACGCCCTCAAGGACAGCCAGTCAGGCCTCGGCACCGCTGCCGTCATCGTCATGGACAAGAGCACCGACGTCGTGCGCGCCATCAGCCGTCTCAGCCACTTCTACCGCCACGAGTCGTGCGGCCAGTGCACGCCCTGCCGCGAGGGCAGCAAGTGGACCGAGCAGATCATGAGCCGCTTCGAGAAGGGCATGGGTCGCGAGCGCGAGATCGACATGCTGCAGGAGCTGACGAAGCAGGTCGAGGGACACACCATCTGTGGTAGGTTTTTCGTGTTTTTTTTCGTGTTTTTTTTCTCTCCCTTTCTCTCTTCCTTTCTCTAACATCACAGCTCTTGGCGAGGCTTTCGCATGGCCCATCCAGGGCCTCATCCGCCACTTCCGGCCCGAGCTGGAGGCCCGGATGCAGAAGTTTGCGGCAGAGAACGGCGGCGTCCCGCTGGCTGGCGGCTGGCCACACGACACCCGGAAACAGGGTCACCTGGTCGCGCCCGGTCAGTAGAACAGCAGAGTGCAGGCAGCAGAGGACGGCCAGGGGTTAGTCATAATAGACTGGGTCAGAGAACGAGGAGAACATATAACAGCAACGACAAAAAATACTTGTATATTGCGCTTGAGCAAACTGTGTCTTACTCCTTTTCTCCCTGACGAGCAGATGTCCATGTCGTCGTGTCTTACGTCTACGAGCGGTTCTGGCATTACAAGTAATATTACTCGTAACACCGCGACGCAAGACTAACCGCTTTCAGCAATTAGTAATCTCTGGTTCTTGGCACCCACCCGCACATCAAACACACGGCAGTACGCAGCTTCAAGCACGTAGTAGAGCAGAGCAAAGGAAGGCGCTCGTCTACATCGTCGGCACGCGCACCGTCTTTGAAATTCCCCAGCCATGTCGCTGGACCATATCATCCGCTTCGCGACCGATGTCGGTGTGTTTCAGCCTGCGATGCCCTCACGGCCCCCTTGAGCCGCTGCCTTTTTGTCTGGACCATTGCTAACTCCTTTTGCTCCGGGTGCAGTCGGGCTCGAGCGCATACTTCGTTTCTGGCAGTCTGTGCTGATGCTCACCGTCAGCAGCCCGACGCTGTTGGGATGTCTCGTCGCCGTCCTCAGCCCGGCTCTGGGAACGGCAACGGCAACGGCAACAGACCCAGCAAAGTACGGTCTCGTTCTGGCGCAGTACCAACACGTCTTTGTCGGCCTGCGCGACCAGGTGAACATTGTACGGCGTTACTTCCGCATCTTCCGCACCGCCGAGAGCTTCCAGATGGCACATCGGCTGTTCGGCGAGCTGCTGCTGCTGCCAAACGTCGCCGTGGCAGTCAAGGGGCCTGAAAAGGAGGCGAGAGAAGCGACGGAAGACGGGGAAGCCAAAAAGACCGACGAGAAGTCAGGGAGTCACCAGGACCACAAATGCCACAGCCACACGAACCGAAAGAGCCACGAGAGCCTCAGAAGCGTCCTTCCACCCTGGCTCAGCGCCTTTGGACGCGCCTTCCACGGCATGCACCTCCTCCTCGAGCTTGTCACCCTGCCGGATAACCTCAACATCGACGGGCTGTCGGCCTGGGGGCCCGAGACTGCCGGTCGCCTCATCATCGAGTCGCAGCGCTTCTGGTTCCTGTCGCTGGCCTGCAACCTGGCGTCAGGGCTGCTGCGACTCAGCCGCCTGACCAAGGAGCTGCCGCTTTCCGAGGTGCCGATCGAAGAGCCGGCTCAAGAGAGCCCGCTGCCGGTGGGCAGCGACATGATCGACGATCCCGCCGCCCTGTCCGACGACATCTCCAGAGAGCAGGCCCGTCTGCGCCGCATCGCACGTGCCCATCTCAACCAGCGCCGCGCCTGGCGCCGCCGCCTTCGGGCCCGTGCCGCCTTTATCTTCCGCCACGCGCTTGCCGACGGTCTCGACATCCTCTTGTCCGGAACCAACATCGGCTGGCTCTCATTGCATCCGGCCACCGCCGGCGCGGTCATGATGACTACCTCACTGCTGACCGGCTGGGATGCCTGGGAGAGATGCGGAACAGAGGTGCTAAAGAAGAGCGGCTAAAGAGGGAGGAAAGGCAGCCGCTGAAGAAGCAAGGTCAAAGAGAACTGTAAGATGGATACACGACATAGCGTAGGATTTCTCGCCGGTCTTGTGGGTATTTTTTCGCGGAAACACACTGTTCATAGACTAGTACGTTTGTATATACAAAGCAGAAAGATATAGAAGGATAGAAGGGAATGGCAAACGGAACTGTAGAAAATCCAGGTAATCATCGTCAATAAACACCAGCAGAAAGGAGCTTGACGCCTATTGTGTAGGCTGCAGGGCATACACATGCTCAGGCCACAATATGCAGCCTTATCTGAAAAAATGTTGTGTCACAGTGGCCATGTGACTCATGACTGGCATCAACACCTGATGCATGGCCGCAGTCTTGAGCCGCCTCGCCTATATTTCACCAGTGGCAGGTGCTCGACCTGGGATGTCAGCCTTGCCCGTTCTCCCTATTGATTCTGCCGTCACACACCGCTGTACATCCCCCAGTGTCCACTCACGTTATCCGTAACCAGATTCTGCCGCCCAGAGCGGTGAAAATTTTCACGGCTGCAGCCAACGAACTTTTTTCGCAGAATTCGACAGCCTCGAAATCTGACGCAGGGAGACCAATCCGTCCATTTTCACGTCTTTTGTCTTTGTTCTCTCACCCCCCGTCCGACCAACCTCCCATGTCGGCTGAGAACAACACCGGTCGTCCTCCCGCCTGGCTGTTCTCAACCAATTCGTCCACATCCACATCTGCTCGGCAAGTTGCGACCGAACTCCAATCCCCGACACCAAAGCCAACGAGAACACAAAGCCACAGCACCATGGCCAAGGCACCCAAAGCCGAGAAGAAGGCCAAGCCGGCAAAGAAGGCTGTTTCCGAGAAAAAGGAAAAGAAGACCAAGAAGCAGGAAGCCGCCCCCTCCTCGCCTCCTCCGCAGCTGCTGGACCTCGTCGAGACCTTCCTGTCCGACAATGACTTTGCCAAGGCGCACGACGAGTTCAAGCAGCAGCGCGAGATGAAGGGCTGGCTGACGCCAAAGAAAGGCGCCGCTGCTTCTGGCGCCTTCGCTGCCGCCGATGCCCCGAACCAGTCGCTCGTGGGTGTCTTTGAAAAGTGGGAGACCACGCTCCAGAACGGCGAGGCCGCCAGCAAGCGCAAGCCTGTCGACAAAAAGGCGGCTGCAGCCACCAGCTCTGACAGCGACAGCGGCAGCGAGAGTGACAGCGAGAGCAGCAGCAGCTCGGAGAGCGAGAGCGACAGCGACGACGACAGCGATGACGATGTTGACATGAAGGACGCGGCACCCGCGGCGGAGACGTCCGACAGCGAGAGCAGCAGCAGCAGCAGCAGCAGCAGCAGCAGTAGCAGCGATAGTAGCAGTGAGGATGACAGCGAGTCCGAGGCTGAGGCCAAGCCTGCAAAGGCCGCAAAGGCTACCAAGGCAGACAAGCCTGCTGAGACTCCCAAGGCGAATCCTCTGAAGCGGAAGGCAAGCTCCAGCAGCAGCAGCAGCAGTGACGACTCTTCCGACTCATCTTCGTCAGAGTCCGACAGCGACTCGAGCTCGTCTGATGACGGCAAGCACAAGACGAAAAAGGCGAAGCTCGCAGCTGAGGCTTCATCGTCGTCATCGTCGTCTGAGGAGGAGGATTCCGATTCGGAGTCTAGCTCCGACTCAGAGTCTGATTCATCCGACAGCTCTGACTCTGATTCGTCTTCGTCTTCCGACTCGGATGCCTCTGCAGAGGTCGCCGCGGCCTCTGCGGTGGCACTTCCAGAATCGGGCAGCTCGTCGGGATCGGACAGCGACAGCGACAGTAGCAGCAGCAGCAGCAGCAGCAGCAGCAGTAGCAGCGCTGGTGACAAGTCCAAGGCCACAGCGTTGTCCACGGCTAAGAGCGAGTCTTCGGACACGTCCGCCACGGTCGGCAAGACGTCACCGGAGCTCACAGCGGCCGCGCCGGCCAAGTTTCCACCCTTCCCGCCCGACCCGGCCGTCAAGCTGAACAACCGTGGCCGCGGAACGCCAAAGGGCGACGGCGCCAGCGAGCGTTTCTCGCGCATCAAGCAGGACGTCTACGTCGACCCGCGGCTCGCATCCAACGCATTCAACGCGCATGACTGGGGCCGCAAGGCACACGAGGACCTCATCGTGACCAAGGGCAAGGGCTTTACCAAGGAGAAGAACAAGAAGAAGCGTGGCAGCTACCGGGGCGGCTTCATCGACACAGGCGCCCGCAACGGCGTCAAGTTTGAGGACTGAGATGCGCCTAGGAGCAGGAGCGGTTAGGAGTTGTATTTCTTGAAATATATTTGATGCTCTTTCTGCTTTATTATTATCGGCTTTGTTGGCATCTCTTTTTATTTTCCAGCTCTCTTCATCTACAGCACGGCGTTTGATGGAAGACACAATGGGAGAGACGTGGTGTAGTCTGCTGGGCCTACAAAAGTAAGTGTCAAACCACAAGCACCGAGTTAGTTGAAATCAAGCTTAGCACGAGGCGCTGTAGGAAAGGTCGCCCGCTATATTTGGAAGTACTTAATATCCGGCGCGTGGCTTAGGATGCGAAACTCCAGGCGCCAACGGCCTGTAAAATCGCCTGTTCAGGACTTACCAGGACACGATATCCGTGCACTTAGTTCCACTGCTAGGATTGGTCAAGACTAGGTCGGACGGACCTTGCAGTATTATGGTGCATAGGCAGACTTCAGTCCTTAGGGCGCTCAAAAGAGCAGGTGGCCTCCACTAAGCTTTGGCTTCAGCAAGGGGGGCTCCCTTTACAGTGTCGCAAAGAGTCATGCAGCAAAGAGGCCTCGCTGCAAGCGGCCAGCCCTCAAGCAACATTTGTGCGACAAGCAGCTGGACAAATGCCGCCCTGATAGTTGGGACGCAGTAGGCGCGTAATCAATTAAATGTGGACTTGAACGTATTGAAAGCGCTTAGTTTTTTCCCTTTGGCAGGACCAGACTGTGGCTGTGCATATCGATCTGCCGCGTTTGGTCACCGTTGGCAATACAGCCTTCCTCTCTACCTTCTTTCAGGCTTCTCATCGCACGAGCTCACGTCTATCAAACCCTGTCCAGTGCGGTTTTGTGATCAGGAGTGCTGTGGCTGAAAACTTCAGTTTTCGCTCGCCCAGGAACTGTGGGCGTGTCATCTGAACTCTTGTCGATTGGAAACTAAGATATAATCTGCCCCAGCGAACCGCCGTTGTTGGGCTGGAAGCCGTGGCTCTTTCAATACCAAACCGGTTTATGCCAGTTTATTTCCACGTTTTCAAAGCAGCGGTACTTTAATCAACTTCCGTTTTCAGATCTGCCTTTGTCTGCAGGACCGACGAGAGGCCAGGGTGACGGAAGGGAGAGGAAAAAATTGAAAGCGGCCAGTGGCCAGTGGCCTAGCGCAGCCCTGCATCCCATCCATGTGTCCTTGTTTTGATGTCACCAGACTCAAAGCCACAGCTTGTTGGACGCAGATGGATAAAGACAGCCAAGAAATAGAGTGCTGCCCTCGACCTCGCCAGAATCCGCCTCAAGGCCATATGCAAAAGCCTTTCAAAAACGCGGCTAGGACAAAGAAAGCAGCACAGGCTTTTTTTAAAGAGGCACAGCCGGTGGAAACTATATTACAGTCCAAGCTGCCCTCTAGGATGCCAACGTCACAATCCTTACCAGATGTGCCTCACATACGAACAGCACTAACACCACCAGCTTCACCAATTTCACAAACATTCTCAAGATCACCTGGCTTGCCAGACTCACCAACGTCGCCGGCTTCACCAATTTTTCAGGAGAATAAGGCCCTCGGCATGGCATCCACCGTCAAAGGAGATAATAAACCGTTGAGTACCCGGATCGAGGAGTACGAGGCACATCGCAAGGAAATAATCGACGAAGAGGATGGTGTTGCTTTTGACTACGCATGCAAAAAGAATGCAACTGCTGCCGAGATACTGGCTGATGCCGTGATAAGGAAACTGAAGACGGATGATAAGGAAGCCTTTTATGATTCGGCAGCCACGAGAACAGGCTTTGGCAGGCAGGAGCATCCGCATTTCCCAGGCGACCATTTCCTGACAAATGAGCCTATTATCGCTAAGACTGAACTGCTAAAGGTAGCCAAGGCGATGCCGAAGGGCGCACATCTGCACATACACTACAATGCCTGTTTACTACCAACCGTGCTGTTGGAGGTGGCCAAGGGCATGGATCGCATGTTCATAACGAGCGATCTACCGCTCGTGTTGACCAAGACGTCCGAATCAGACAGCTTGGTCGGCACCGAGAATTTCTTCCTCTGCGAAATACAATTTTCTATCCTGTCCAACGAAAAGGTGACCGACCCGGGTGACATTTTCAGCCCAGCCTACAAGCCGCGCCAGACTATGCACTTCAAAAAATTCTTGAAGCGCTTTCCTAGCGCGTTCGGCACCCCGGCCATGGAATGGCTGGCGTCGAAGCTGGTCTTCTGCGAGGAAGAAACCTACGACATCCCTCAGACGTCGAGAGGGTAAGCATACGTTGAGCATTCAAAGCGAGCAGGAAAAGCGAATCGAGCTGATACAAAGACACAGGGCCTGGGAGCGTTTTAATGGACGGACGCGTATGATGAAGGGACTCTTCAATTATGCGACTGCATACCGGGAATACACAAAAGCTTTTTTAGAGAATCTTCTGGAAGACAATATACAGTACGCAGAGATACGGCCAAACTTTATGCCAACCAACCACCTGTGGAGCGACGATGGGACGAAGCAGATCACCAACGCTGGCATCATCGAAATAATCATTGAAGCATGCAAGGCTTTCAAGGCGCGAAAGGAAGATGAGAGGAATAAAGCTGAGCAGAAAAAAGCCAAGCAAGACAGAGCCGAGAAGGACGGAGCCAAGCAGGACGACAAGCAGGACGACAAGCAGGACGACAAGCAGGACGACAAGCAGGACGACAAGCAGGACGACAAGCAAATGCGGCACTTTGACGGTATCAAGATCATATACTGTACGCCGCGATCATTTTCGAACGAACAGATAAAGAGCGCGCTGGATGAATGCCTTGAATTTAAAAGAAGGTGGCCGGGTTACATAGCCGGTTTCGATCTGGTTGGCGAGGAGGCCAAGGGCCATCCACTAAAGAGGTTTGCAGTTGAACTGCTTACGTTTCGACACCAGTGTATTAAAGAGGGCTATGATATCCCCTTCCTCTTCCACTGTGGTGAGACGCTCGAGATGGGCACCGACGTCGATCGCAATCTGGTGGACGCCCTGGTGCTGGGCGCAAAGCGCATCGGCCACGGCTTCGCGTTGCCTCGTCATCCGGTCATCCTGCAGCGGATGAAGGAGGAGGATGTCTGTGTCGAGGTCTGTCCGATTTCTAACGAGATATTGGGCCTGACGCCTCGCATCGGCGGCCATGCCGTCTACAGCCTGCTGGCCAACAATATGCCTTGCACGGTAAACAGCGACAACGGCACGCTCTTCAAGTATGTGTCTTGATGATTTGGCATATTCTGTCTGCCTCATACTGAATGCTCAGCCCTATGCTAACAGCCCCCCGGCAGGTCCACTCTTTCCCACGACTTTTACCAGATCCTGGTGGGCAAGGAAGACATGGGTCTCTTTGGCTGGCGACAGCTGGCCGAGTGGAGCCTGAAGCACGCCTGTCTGAACAAGTCCGAACTGGCCGAGGCCCGGGTTCACTGGCTCGCAGCTTGGTGTCGCTTCATTATCTGGTTGCTCGAGACGTACGGTTTGGCAGACAAAGATACAAAAATGGTACTGGCAGAAATCGCAAATGGAGATAAGAAAGCAGCGATAGCCTTGGACTCAAAACAGACTACTGCGGCAGAAAACCCGGCCACAACCAAGCAGTAGAAATCATGGTCCGGAGAGGCGTGCGATATCCACTTCAATTCTTATGGCAGCTGGGCTTTACGACGGAGTTTCTCCTTCCTGTCTTCAACGTTTAGCTGACACGGCTGCGTTCGGTTCTATCCATTATAAGTGTTTGATTTCCCAATTTATGATTTCATGACACGGATTGCCACCGTTTCGAGGTTGCTTGTAGTTTTATCGTATTACGAGTATGGAGACCCATCGTAATTTATGCTAATATCCGTCACTCTATGACTAGTGAGAGGAGTGCGCAGTGGAAGCGATGGAAAATTACAGGCCCGATTATCATGTCATGCACATCTTAATAGCGCACCCTTCCTGGAATGGTTGCAGACTAATAGGCGAAAATTTTAGGCGACCGTCTGCCAGGGCAAACCAAAACAGGATTTAATTGCTCGCAGTCCAGACCACAGTCGGACGCCGTCTTCTCCGGAAATCGGTTCTCTCTCCCTTACTCGTCCCTCAAGTACCCCAACACTGGTTCATCTGCATAAGCCAAGCTATCTTACGTTGTAGTCCGTCTTCCCATGCTGCGATGAAACGCAAACTCCTGCAGTAGAGAGACTGTTCCGGGGAAAGCAAAACGGAGAGATGAGATATGACTCACACGGTCAGCAGCGTAAGACGGACGCTGATTACGCTTGCCCCTCTATGAGAGGGGGAGGGGCAGGCGGTCCACACCTTGGGAAATTACGGTGGTTTCCCAATCTTTAGGGCTCGCCTTGGCTTTGACGCCCTGCAGTGTTGTCCATACGAGCACTGCCCTTATCGGGCTATGTTTTGCCCACCAGCCGGCTCGTCTAACGGGTCCAGACTGACCTAGGCGTCCTGTTGTAGACTAGCGCTGAAAATGTGACTCACATGCCCGCTCTTTTCGTAGAAACTGTTTTGCGACGCGACAGCAGACAAGTACCGTCTCGAGTCTTTTACATGCATATGTACAAGTGGCATGCTGTCGGTGGGTCGTGTGGGCTTGGAGGGCGCCCTTCCACATGTCGTTTTGTCCTGGCGCTTTCTCGGTTCTTTCTGCCTGTGGCCACCACCATTGCTGCCTGATACATAATTTCGCCCCGCCCACATCTATTCCGATTTTTTTCCCTCCTCCTTCTTTCTCTCCTTTCTGTCTTCACCCAAACTTCATCAATCAAGAGCCAGAACCAGATCAGACAGCAAAGATGCGTTAACCAACCCCCCTTCCCCGTATACCTCACACCCGCCGACAAAATTTCGTCGTCTACGCAATACCGTTTTTTCACTCCCCACTCTTCAACCTCAGCTCCTCCTTCCCAGGTCGATCTGAACGTCTGCTCTGAGCAACTGCCTCGCCGCTTTCCACGTTCCTCCGCAACCATTTCCCCCCAAGACTTTACAGTCTTCATCACGGATTCCCAACCGTCAACATGGCTTCCCTCCAGTTCACCCCGCCTGCCGGCCTCATCCGCGCATCCAGCACAACCGCACAACAACAACCTGAACGTGCCTCTGCAGGATTTTGTCTTGTTCGATTCACCGAAGCAGCCCCAACAGCGTCCACATAGTCGGTTTGCCCACCAGCCTGCCACCTCAGGAAGTGTTAACCCGTATCAACAACATCTGCTGCCTGTCACACCTCCACCGCAGATTCAGCGTGTCAGTCAAATCCAGTCCGCCGCAGGCCAGCCTTGCACTCCGTCTCCATCCGTTTTCCCACGTCATCGGTTTCCGTCTGTTGCTCAGAATCATTTTTACGCGTCTTCTGCTCCGTCTTCTGCTATTGCCCTGAACAACAACAACCAACTGCAACCCGCGGCTCAGATCCGGCCGCCCGTCCCGCCGTTCCCTGTCCAGCACAACAGCACTGGTTCTATCCCTCGTATTCCGAGCAAAATGGTTCTCGAAGGTACGCTGGACCCCACCACCACTATCACTAGCTCGCTGCGCACATTTGCTTACATTTATGATGTAGATTTGACCGACTTCCCGGCCGGCTACGATAGTGCCGTGTTCTCCTCGCCGGCCGTGGGTGTCTATGACCTCCACGCCGGCGGGTCGAGCAACTCGAGTCACGTTGGTACTGTGTCGCCTCACGATCTCTTTCTGCATGACTCGTTTATGTCGGCACCGAACTCGACTGCGCTCACCTCCTTGACTTCGCCCTCGGATTACAATGAGTCTCCGTACGTCGACAGCTACGACGTCTCTCCCAACTTTGGGACTGGCGACGCCGAAGCTGTCAGCGGACAGGATGCAGCATGGTTCCCACTCTTCGATCAGATTAACAATGCGGTCGCCGGCGCTGCGGCTGCTGATGACAAGATATCTCCAGAATCGGACTTTGCTGATCTCTCTGAAGACAAAGTCGATAGCAGCAGTCGCCGGGGGTCGGGCCACACCCGGTCGGCCTCTTCGTCAACAAAGCACTCCTCTGTTTCTGGTGTGAACTCGCGGAGGCGGGATAAGCCTTTGGCCCCCATCGTGGTTGAGGACCCGTCAGACACGGTGGCAATGAAGCGTGCTCGCAACACTCTGGCTGCCCGGAAGTCCCGGCAACGGAAGCAAGAACGCTTGGAAGAGCTAGAAGAGGTGATTGCGAAGCTGACAGCAGAGCGTGATCACTGGAAGAAGGTGGCTCTTAATCAGTAGTCTTGTTGGGACTCGCTCGGCTGCCTTTCCAGCTGATTGTATTTTTGCGCTGTTGTGCTTTTTTCTTTACGGAGGAAGACGGGGTAAAAGTTTCTTTTGAACTGGAGGGAGGTGCGCTTTCTATTGGGGTCTAACATCTCCCGTTTCTTTGTTGTCGTTATCATTTTTACGGATATCGCTCAGTCGCGAACATTTCCTGTTATCATATTGAGCTGTCATCTCGTATACGGTCAACATGAGCATTATATTATTAATACCCAACTGCACTCTGCACTGCACTGCTGCATTTAAGCTATTCCCATTTTGGATCACGTGACATATCATGTGCATTGGTGGCATAAGGTACGGTACTTCGTACTCTGATGTTCAAGCACAATCAACTGCCATTTGATTTGAGTCGATTTAAGATACATAGTAATTGTCCTGCCCACCGAGAATATCCACTAGTATTGATGCACTCCGTATTCGCGTAAATCATCTCGCATGAGCGGGCCTCTCTCGCGGCCACGACGACGGGTCTAGTGGGCCTTGACGACGCCGGCAGCGTTGGCCTGAGCGGCAATGCGCTTCTTGTACTGCTGGACGTCGCCGGGGAACTTCTCGACGGTGCCACCGTCGCAGACCCAGAGGCTGGTGCAGACGTTTTGCAGCATGGTGACGTCGTGGCTGACCATGAGGACGCCGCCCTCGAAGGAGCGCAGGGCGTCGGCGAGAGCGTCCATGGCCTCGATATCCAGGTGGTTGGACGGTTCGTCGAGCACGAGAATGTGAGGGCTAGTGAGGGCGAGACAGGCAAAAGCGACGCGGGATTTCTGACCACCGGACAGGACGACCATCTTCTGAAGGCCAGTGGTGCCGGTGATGCCAAAGGCGCCGAGCTGGCGACGATACTCCTCATCGGTGCGGCCAGGATACTCGCGGGCCATGAAGGAGACGGCCGAGATGGTGAGATCGAGGGCGTCGACGTGGTGCTGGGCGAAGAAGCCGATGCGCAGGCGCGGATTTGTGGACACAAGCCCGCTGACAGGCTGCAGACGGCCGGTCAGCAGATGCAGCACGGTCGTCTTGCCGGCACCGTTGGGACCGACGATGCCGATGCGCGAGTCGAGCTGGACGTCGAGATCGACGTTGCGCAGCAGCGGCACGCCGCCCGGACCGCCATAGCCAAACGACACATCGGACATCTGGACGATGGGCGGCGACAGCTTCTCGACTTCGGGGAAGCTGAAGTGCACGCTGTACTCGGTCTCGGGGGCCTCGAGCACGGGCATGCGCTCGAGCTTCTTGATGCGCGACTGCGCCTCGGACGACTTGGCCGCGTTGTAGCGGAACTTGTCGATAAAGGCCTGCAGGTGAGCACGCTGGGCCATCTGGTTCTCGTACTCGCGGCGGGCCGTCTTCTTGCGCTCCTCGCGCGTCGCATAGAACGAGTCGAAATTGGCACCGCGGTAGTAGTCCAGCCGTTGCGAGTGCTGGTGGATGATGTCGGTGGCGACCTCGTTGAGAAAGGCCCGGTCGTGCGACACCACCAGCACCGTGCTCGGATAGTTCTGCAGGTAGCCCGAGAGAAAGGTGATCGACGGCACGTCCAACATGTTGGACGGTTCGTCCAGCAGCAGCAGGTCCGGCTCGCAGAAGAGTGCTCGTGCCAGCGCCAGCCGCATCCGCCAACCGCCTGAAAACGTCTTGGTCGCAAACTGCTGTCGCTCGGCCGAGAAGCCCAGACCGGCTAGGATGCTCGCCGCCCGCGACTCTGCCTTGTCTGACTCCATCTCCGACAGCTTGCCCTGGATGTCGCCCAGCCGCTGGTCCTGCGCCTCGCGGTCACGGTCCAACCGTGCTGCGTCGGCTGATGTGTCGGCCAGCGAGGCCCGCTGCGTCTCGATCTCCGCCAGCTTGGCCGTAATCACCGTCTGCTCCTTGAGGAGGTACTTTCGCCACACATCGGCGTCGAGGACGGCCTGCAGTGCAGACGTGTCGTCACCCGTGATCTGGCAGCTCGGGTCAGCAGTCTGTTTCTCTCTCTCTCTCTCTCGCCTCACAATGCCTCTCGTCCGCCATCTCTCACCTCTTGCTCCACATGCAGGATCGAAATGTGCAGCGGCACTGCTAGCTCGCGTCTCGACAGCGCCCGCAGCAGCGTGGACTTTCCGACACCGTTGTGGCCGACCAGACCGTAGCGGTGGCCGTACGAAAGCGCCAGGTTGGTGTCGGTCAGGATGCGGATCCCGCCAATGGTGACGTCGATGTTGTCCAGCTTGATGTCCTTGGGCTTGCCGGCTGAGGCATCGCCGGCTGCTCCGAGCTGCAGCGGGTTGACGGCCATGTAAAAGTCCTCGTACGACTGCGCCTCGTCCTGCTGGTTGAGCAGCCGCGACGCCTCGTACTCGACCGTCTTGTACGTCTTCTTGTTCTGCTTGGCCGCGATCTTGCGTTCTGCCTTCTCCAGCTTGCGCCGGTCCACCTTGGACTCAACCTTGCGTGCGTTGACCGACTCCAGATCAACGCTGCCGCCCGTCGCCACCGCCAGCGTCGACGACATGTTGCGCTGCGCGCTCACCTGAATCGTCTGGTCCAGCCGCCGTACCGCTGACGGCGCCCCTCGCCGTCCGTTGGCTCCCGTTGCCTCCTCTGCATATCGTTCTACCCACTTGGCCACCAGCTTGCTGATGCTGTCCTGCTGTGCCGTGCTGGCCGTGTCGCCCGCTGCCGAGAGCAACAGGTCTGTCACCGCCGTCGCCGCATCGGCTAGTGGCTGCGCTGCATCGCCGCCGCCGGCCTCCTCCTCGCCGTCGTCGCCGCTGCCGCCTGACCACGCCGTCGAGGCATGGGTCAGGTAGCCCACCGAGTACTCCGACACCACCGGGTCAATGTTCGGGATGATGGCCCTGATCTCCGTCTCCATCTTGAATTGTCAGACGCGAGGCGGGGCGAGCTGCTGTGGGTGTGTGCGTGGGAGCAAGGGTCGTGTGGCCGCCTCGATGCTGAAGAACCATCGGATTTCCACTTCTGGGGTTGTGAATTTTCAGGCACGTGACTTCGCGATAGCGAACCACAGCGGAGGCCAAATCGCCCGCACCAATTTCGTGGAGCTGCACATGAATGCCCCTAGGGTTCATTGCTATTTTTACCACTGACCCGCCCGCCGGCGTACGCTGACAAGCACGCCTGCATGTGAACTCTAGTCGTGTATCTTCCTCCTGGCTGTGTGCATGTGTCTGACTGGCTGCAGAGCAAATCTTACGATGCAAGGGCAGCTCCACTCCAAGCCCACTGCCATTATCTTACCTGAAGAGCTGGTGCTCCGTAATGCAATCAGAGCATCGCGCCCGGCTCCACTGTCACACTGCCCTGGCAGCTTAGCCGCGCAGGTGACCATCTCTTCAAGAGCTGGGACCCCCCTGCATACATAGCATGAAATTGGCAGACAAAGAAACAGCGCGAAAGCATGTTACATAGTACGGTGCTGTTGTTGTTGAGGGATGAGTGGCTTTGGCGTAATGGTTCTCGTCGGTCCTTTTCTGGGGCTGTTCTGCGTCAAATCGGATCGCATCTGGTCGCCTGTCTCTTGTTTTGTTGTCGTGAGACAGGGCGTCTGTCGTGGCTGCGCCGCATTTGCACCTGGTCTCTTCTTTCTCTGGCCTTCGGGTCGCCAAAGTCGTTTGTATTACCTAATGACGGCCGTCGTGATCGCTGTAGCTTTCGTTACGGAATTGCAAGGGGGCCAGCCCTGCTATCTTGCCGCAGGTAAGATATGTATGTATCCATACTACGAAGTAGGGAAGCACGAAGTACTCGAAGGGATGGCCGAAAAGGCAGGAGCTCGGCTCAATGACATAGTAAGATGCATCAGCTTGTGCTTACTATGTACTATATGGACGACAAGAGGCATATTTCGTCATAGATCCTCCTTGTGTCAAAGTCATCTCCGAAGCAGGGAAGGAGGTTCTTCCTGGCGCAAACGTCCGTGTCGCGTGCCCAGCTAATCGCCGCGTGCCTCTGGTTTTAACCTTTTATTTAATTCCGCCTACCGGCTAGTCGCTGACCGTCCACGCTCTTTTTCTTCAACTCCCACGTCGGCCTCTCCTGGTGCAATCTCCCACCGCAACAATACGACACAACTGCTCTACGATCCACCTGTCCCATCTTGTCCACGGCGACGGTACTCGACGGGTGGCTCTGGGGGCGTCTGGTGAAACCTGACCCACCAAAGCCGGTAGAGACGGCTGCCTGCCTTACTTTTATACGGAGTGCTATGTACGGAGTATGTACGGACTACGGAGTACTCGTATACGACGTACGAACGAGGTTATCATTTTCTCCTGTGTGCTCGTACTTGTAAATGCCCGCTCTCGTCCCGCCCCCTCGTGCCCCCGGCTAGCTTGTCGCGTACCCCGCTGGAGCCGGCCCCTGTTTATTGTGAGTAACTAATATGGTGACGGAACGAGTTGCCACTGGACGACCCGTCGCTCAGAGCTGCATGCCGCCTTTTCCCCCTCTCTCTGCATGTAAGGTGCGAGTGCCTGCCGGTGGCCAGATGAACACTAAACACAAATCTGCTCAGACGGCTCACCTCAGCCAGCGACATTCGGTAATAGAGAACCTATCCTCCATTTATAGACGAGACAGCCACTCCACATCCCGGTTTTCCGGCAGACACTTCCCGAGACAGCTGACTTTTGCGTGAGCCCATCGTATTGTTCATGCTGGCGATCATTGTTTCCATAATCATCCCAGATGCTGAGCTGGCAGCACTGGCATATTGCATTGATACTACTCCCTTGCCTTGTGACACTCGATCACTCAGGTGAGCTGTCGGTTAGGTAATTTCCATGACGGCTACCGGCATTGGAGGAGTCCTACGGGCTTTTTTTGCGTCATGTTTCACGCACTTGCAGCTTTATTTGTCTTGTTATCACAAAGATGTCCAGCTAGACCGCTCTTCCGTCAGCTAATTAGCCCCTACAAGACGATCACGCCGGCAGTCCACCTGACTGTGAAAAGGGACCGCCCGACGCCTGAGCCGGACTCTCTTCTCGAATGACAAGTTGCCTTCTCCTTGGCTCGTCTCTTCCAATGTATATCACTTGCAAACGGGTCGCAACAACATGCGAAATCCGTGACAGCGCCCCGTCCCACAAACTAAACGAGAAGCACAAAGGCCATGTCGTCATCAGCACCTGACCGGCAGGCCAAGGTGATCGGAGAACGGCACAACGGCCGTACGCCCTACGAGTACTTCTCACCGAGCGTCGACGTATTTCCAGACGCCCTGTCCTTGGATTGTGGTGTGTGTGGATAGTCGGCAAAGGACGGTTAAACAAGTAACCAATCAGCCAAGCATCTGGCCCAATTGACTGTTTGGCGAGCTGACACTCTTTTACTAAACCCCCTTAGCGTATATCATCGTGTGGCTTAGGCTGGAGATCAATATGGTGAGGGAATAATATGGCTCGCGAGAGTGGTCCACGTCATCTATCTTGTGTAGGGAGTACTCTGTGCTATGTACGTCGTATGTACGTAATGCAGGCATAGAATATACTCGTACCCCGTCGGCCTGCACAAAGGATTGCCTAATGCATGTGCGTAATTCGTAAGGTTGAGATGCAGCCACATTTCTCGATCTTGCTTGGCCGGATTGACGAGCAACTTTGTAGCGGAGGCATCCACTACGGAGAAATACTCTGGAATTATAGTGGAGCCACCTTATTTTTCGATGCACAAGATACTATGTAAGAATAGACACAGCCTCTTTCAGCTGGCAACAGCTAAATTACAAGTATTCACTGGCTTCTGGCCGCTAGTCTCGAAGTAGTTATCTAAGCAAGATGGCACGCCTCCGACAAGCTGAAAGCGGGAGAGCAACGTGCATAGTAGGCTGCCCAGAGAAAAAGCAAAAGAGGATACAGGCACGGCCTAAGGCGCCAGGCGTCAGTGCAAAACGTCACAAAGAGACGGGACGACGTGTTGCACAACAACATACGTAAGTAAAGGAGTGCATCGCAGCTCGATATCTGTGTCATACGCTGTGCGCCAGAGGCGTCAAAAAGGCGGTGCGATGGCTGACGGCAGCTTGCAAGGCGCGTGCATGAGTGCAGATATGGGAAGGCGTTCCGGTTCACCGCCGAAAGAGCGCCTGTTCTGGCAGCTCACCCGGCTTGCCTACCGAGATACGACGTACTATGTAGGGGCGGATGGGTGGCAGCGTGTGACCTTCCCTGCTTGCTTCGCTTTCCGAGATGACGGTGGGAAAGAATTTTCTAGGGTCTGCAAGAGAACTCCGTACGATGCAACAATGCAATGTTTCTAATTGGCAGAACAACAGCACGTACACCGTCAACTCGGTGCACTTTCTTTTTGTGACAGAAAACGCCAGGGTCCATGTCCGTGGGGCCGGCAGGGCGAGAATATTGGAGCATCGTAATGTTAGCAAGACGGAGCCTTGCTAGGGAGAGAATAGGAGATGGTTTGGAAGCAGACAGCCACGTTGTGCAACAAAGACAGGATACGAGACAAAAGCCATCGCAATTTGAACCGAGGAGAGCAGGTGCAACAATGTGCAAGAACAACCGGAAGGAAATGTGGGCAAAGTAGAGAAACATGACATCTCAAGAGGTGTAATGATATCAACGCTCACTTCGAAGTGGAGACAAGGAAGCCCAGCCGAGGCGTCTTTGACTGTGCTTTTCCCACAAAAGACTGCTGAAACATGAAACGAAGTGCGCTATGGCCGGGACCCAAATAGGCCAGTTCCGGGGCCTTGTGCTACTCGTACTCGTAGTTGCACCGAGTTGCACTGTGCGCTATCTTAACCATAACAATATCAAAGACCGAGATAATCCAATCCCACCATCGTCCTAGCCGGGAACAGCGGCTTGCCGCAGCTTGGCTGCAGCAGCGCGTGCTCCATACGAGTGCTCGTACATAGTACTACGGGGTATGTAGTCCAGCTGGCCAGCTGGCCGACCGGTACTGTTGACCGGAGGCCGAGGTGCCACACAAGCATGCAAGGAGGCCGTCTTCAGAGGCCGTTCTTGGTGGCCGTCCATGGCAAGGTCTTGTTGTTGTTGTTGTTGCTGCTGCTGCTGCTGTGGTGGTTGTGCTTATCAGTCGCGGGGAAGCGGCCTGTTGTGCAGGCCAGAGCCTCACGATTACATCGAAGGTGCCCTTGTTCGCAACAAGCCGTTGACGAGTCGTTCCAACAAGCCGACCAAGCCACATATCTACGCCGGCGAGGCCGGTGGCCCAATCCCGGTGTCTAGTATTATCTCTCGTTGCGCTATTGCTTTTGGCGTTGGCTAGCTGGCCACTTACTCCGTATGCTCATTATGCCCCTGGAGCAGCAATATCAATCTCCCTCAGGCTTCGGGCCGTCGTGCTTCTGCAGAAAGCCACACGTCACACGGGAGAGTCTGGCCGGACAGCCATGCTCCAATGGACACTCGCAGAGCCGGTATCTCTCTCTACCATGTACCGTGCCGTGTCACGCCCTCCAACAGGCCCAACAGCCATCGCTTAATGCCGGCGATGGCGAAAAGAAGCTGGCAGGAAGCACGCGAACGCGGGAACGCTGGCGAGAATACGGCCAGAAACACGCCATCGAGAGGCGACGAAGAGACGCGATAATATAGAATGTGCGATGCTATGCAAAAGTACGCGATGAAATTGCACCGTCGCGCTGGCAGTGCCTATAATCAATGGGGCCTGCATGCAGGACGGCGAAGAATGGCTGCTTCTCTGTGGCCCATAATCTCCTCGCCGCAATCTCCTCGGCCTCTGGTTGGCTTTCAGCGACACACCCAGGCTACGTATCATCCCAAAATCTGGTTGGGCAAATGACAGGTCTCGGGCGATCCGCTAGCAGACAAGATCGATCTGCTCTGGCAGGACCGTCTCCAGCGCATTTGGCGCTGTATCACGCATCCGCCGCATGCCTGCGGCCAGGGCCACAACGGACGAGCGCCGTTGCTCCAGCGGCTAGCGTGTCTCCGTATCTGCACGAGGTCTGCATACCATGTATTCTCTGCGTGTCTGCGTGCCTTCCGTGGCTCGCATATTACATATTACATAGTAGGCAGGCGCGTTCCAGCCCCCCTCTCTCAGCCGGACCCGGCTCCTCCAACGTGCCTATCGTCTTTCCTGGTTTCCCTCCGCACCAGCGCATGTACTCCGTAAGATACTATGCAGCCCGTGTCTCTCGTCATTGGCTCTTACTTCCATCGCCGAGCCGGTTTTTAGCTTGGACACGCTCTGCCGCCCGCGACTTTTGTGCTTCAATGTCTTGTCCCTCCTAATCTGCAGTCTGGCTCTGTCTGTGTGCTTTCCTTTCGTTTTCTCCCGCATATCCTCATTTCTCGTTGCTGACTCTACCTTGTCTCGCCAGACGTTTTTCCCTTCGACTCGTAACCAAGGTTGTGCTGGACAATTGCCGACCAGAGGATTAGAAACGAACAAAGCACGCCAAAGGAACCTTGCTTTCTCCATACATCTCCGCCTCCCCTCTCTCTAGAAACACGCCCCTCCCGACACGAACAGGTACTAAAGTAGCCGTACTTTTCTTACCCCTGGTCTACGAGTATCTTACCAGCTGAGCCTGCCGACCCATTGAGGCATCGCGCTTCTCTGCCAATTGCTTGCCCTAAAGAAGCCTGGCGGCGCGATGCAGGCCACCCCCCCGTTGTCGAAGAGAAGTGAGAAAAGCAAAAAAAGGCCCGGGCAACAAGATCCCGGCAGGACTGGAAGGGCGGAACAGAACAACAAACAACAAAACAGAGGCTCGACAGCCCAGGCCGCCCCTAACCCACTACGGAGTAGCTGTATGTCCATCATGGGTCTCTGCCCTCTCACCCCATTCCTGGAGCAAAAAGGAAAAATATGTACCAGGAAAAGAGAGTAATAGAGACATGCTAGTCGCGTCTCCCGTCACTTTCTTCTAGATTACGACGTGCTCCATTCTTTCCCGTCTCTTTTCTTTTCTTGTCTCATACGAATTGCTGGTCAAGAGATTCGCGGTCTCCCACTAACTCGTCTTGTCCTTATTGCATAGAGCCCAGGCCTTTTCCTCTTGACAGACGCCTTCTCCATTCCGTCCTCCCTTTTCTCCTCCACGTCGTTGTCGCGAGCCGCACGCCTTCTCTTCCTTTCTTACACACACATTCTGCACTCGCACCACCCACTTCCACCCTCGTTTCAAAAAACAATGTCATGACGATGCAAACGACGACATCAATACCGAGTGCCGACCTCCTCTCCACGAGCACCGCCTTCTACGGCCGCTGCGTCCGCCACTCTCCTCCGTCTTAGCGACCCAGAGAGCTGCCATGATGCAAGCAGTGCCAAGCGTAAGTCGCCGTCGCGCCGGGCTTCCATCATGTTGCCCCGTCTCCTTGAGTTTGTTGACATCCGCCGATTAGCGTCGCTGACTCTTAACCTCTCCCGATGCAGCTTGTTGGGACGGGCACAGCCGTTGCTGCAGCCGCCTCCGGCTTGGTATTCGCACAGTCTACCGACGAGCAACCGCGCCGACGGCCTGCCTCCGCTCTTCCAAACTGGTCCTCCGCCTTCGACAATCCCTCTTCTCCATCTTGTCCGATCCCCACATCACGACCGCATGCGAAATCTGTCAGCTATGCCATGAGTACTGAGTACACAGGCTACAGCTACAGCTACAACAGCCAAGATAGTTCGTCTGCTGGACAGCACCCGACGCCTGCCCCCTCAACTGGCGCCACTCTTCCACAATTGGCTGTCGCCACCCCGATCCCTACCCCAAAAGGCGTGGGCCGTCGCCGTTCTCTTATCCACAGAGGCGATGCGCACGCCGTATCTGACGCCTCGCGCGACTCCGTATCGTCTAATGGTTCCTGGATACGGCGTCTTTCCCTCCGGCCACTCTCCCATGTTGAGAGTTCGCGATCAAGCATTGGCCCCGACTCACACTCCATGAACTTCTCTCTCGGCTCTTCTGCTCCCATTGTCTCCCCTGGACCTGCCACCTCTGCTCAGCAGCAGCCTAGAAATAAGCTGGTGAAGCGAACGAAAGCTGTCCGGGATGGAAGCTCAGACTCGCTTAAAAGGCGTGGCTCCCGTTCCCAGTTGCTCACCCTACGACGGCCAGCAACGAGCAATCAGCGCTCTGCTACCCTGCAGCACTCGCCGCTAGCGGCAGACAGCTCCTCCTTCGTCCCATCCACTCCTTCCTATCCCAAATGCTCCTTCGAACGGTTATCCTGCACCCCGGAACTGGACGACGAAGTGACGCGGGGAAGGAAGGACACTATGCCCACAAGGTTGCTGTCGTTCTTCCACGAACGGGTAGCTAAATCATCCGCGTCAAGTCGCGGGAACTCTCCCTTTCCCAGGGAGCGGAGCTCTAGCGTCTCTAGCTTCCAGCGCAATCCACTTCCGACTCGAACGATCCAAGTCCAAGGCGGCCAGTCCTCGCCAGCAATTCTCACCAAGCCGAGCACACTTCGCCCCCTGCGTCTAGGATCAAAGCACAGCAGAACACTGTCTTCTCTGAGCTATGCCAGGGGCACGGGAGAAGAGCACGAGGAATCCTATTCTCAGTTCACACGTGCAAGGCGTTCTTTGTCCATACATCTAAGCTCGCCCATTGGCTGGATATCAAGGGCCAGTAGCTTACGTCGGTCAAAACGGGGATCGGAGTATTCTGCGAGCAGCAATGCCTCCAGCAGCATCCCCAATCTGTCCAGCCCACCCACCAGTGGCAACAAGCGGCATGTCTCTGCTCCATCACCAACGACGCAGCTGCCGTCTCCACTGCACACACATATGCAACCGCGTAGTGTCACTGCACCTACAGATTTACGCCTACATAGGGTCATGGACGAGTCAGGCTTCGCACAGTCTAATCGGGCGTCGCATCGGGATCAAGACATGGTGGTACGACGGAGCAGCCCCATCCCGCCCTACTCATCGGACAGCTCCCGCTTGGTACCCGGGCGACAGCGAAACTCGTCTTCGCCTCTGCCTATAATATTGGACTTGTCAAACTTCAATGACCTCTCTCGGTTAGGTCTAGCTATAAGTACATCAGAAGCGGTCGTACTCTCGGCAAAGGAGGGGGGGAGACAGCGCTCGCAGAGTGCTGCAGCGTTTGCAGGTTGCGCATACCCAGCAATACCGAGAGCGTTTCCACTGGTCCCACACAGCAGAGAGGTTTCGTACGAACGCTCTTTTACTGTTGCCGGCTCGGAAAGTGAAATGCGCGGCTTCGGATCATCTGGAGACGACGACGACACGGACTTTAAAAGTGAAACGCTATTTGACTCTGTACGAACGGCAGCCTCGGCTCGAATTCGAATAACAGACACTCCGATCGAATCGATGTTTGACGAATCGCCACCGGGCACAGCAAGCAATACCAAGTCTAAGCGATTATCTATACAGGAGATTTTAGGCCAGTCTTGGGACAGCGATACCAGGATTCTTGAGGAAGACGAGGGAGCTTCTACGCCCATGAACGCAGCGGTTCGCAAATCACTGACACCTACGCTGCCTGGTGATCAAGTGCACAGTTTCGGAGCCTTGAACTCTGGGGCAAATGCCATTCTTGCGTCATCTGCAACAGCTTATCGGGTAGATCCCAGCCTCGCATTTGCGCATGAAATGAGCTTTGCTAGACTATCGCTGGACGACGATGATGCTGACGATGACGACAATGAAGGCTGGGCCCGCATTGATGACAGCGGCGTGACAAACAACCTGTCGCCGCCTTCATCACAATCGAACTCGCTTCGTGGCTTACATGGACTGCACGCAGCTGGCATCGATATCAGCGGTAGCCACCGCGCATACCCCGGCCAACGGCCGGCACTGGCATTCATGAGTGGGAATGGTACTTCTGAAGCGGGCACTCACTGCGGTAGCTCAGTGCACGAGATCGAGCGGGTGCGAAGCAACCTGTTTGACTGGAGCGAGTCTACAGCACAGACGGATAAAGCTCACGCGGATGGTCACTCACCCCGGCCGAAGACGGTGCATGGCAAGCAAGAGATGGATCTGCGGGGTGGACGCCCGTCAAATCGAAAAGGGCCAGGAGCTGGTCATGTGCGGAGTCAGAGCGTGCCAGCTCTGGCAGATTTTATAGACGGAGCAAAGCCGACCACATCCAAATTTGGGACCTGGGCTTCATCGGGACCTAAGAACCCCAGCGAGGACTGGGATGACGATTTCGACTTTGAGGCAAACGGTGATGATGACGCCTTTGTTGCTTTTGGCAGCAGCCAACTGGGTGAAGCAGCAGGTTCGATCAAGGGCCCTTCTACTCCCTTTGCCATGATAGTACCGGCCTCGATTCAGGCGACACAACCAACCGTCAAGGCCCATTCGGGCCAGATACGAGAGCTGTCCCTTTTGGTGGACGGACTAAAGCGTCTGTGTCGCCACGCCCGAGACCTGGAAATCGTCAACGAATCACCTGCGCTATGGAAAGAAGCCGAGAACATCATTGCATTGGCGTCGCCCGATGAAGAGGTAGAAGGGACAGCGCCGACCAGCTCTGTAGAAACTGATGATACCGGTACCCACAGCGATGGTGACTGGAGCCGCCGAACGTCAGCCGAATTTGGGCTCTCGAGCACCGATGCCCGCTTTGTGGACGACGGCTTTGATGCGGGCACCTTGAACAGTTTCGACGACGTTTTAAGCTCGCCTCGTTTATCGCATCAGTCGGCAACATCGCCACCGCACGAGATGAGCAGGACCGCTGTCGTTCGCGAGCGTCAGGGCTTGCGCAGGCGATCGGTCTTTTCACCCGAAGACGACATCTTTGGTGGGGGCTGGCCATTGCGCGATGAGACGGCAGTGGGAGTGACTGAGCAGCAGAACGTGGAGGAACAGGAACAGGAACGACCTCGGACTCCCGAACGACCTATGGCTGCCAGCGAGACTCCCGATAGTGCGATGATCGAGTCTATCATGGAAGCCATGCAGCAGCAGCGGTCGACATCAGCTCCGATCAGAAAGTCGCCGGTCAAGACCAAGTCTACGGAGCTGTTCTTCAACACTAACACGCTGCAAGAACTTGTGAAACGGGCCAACACGCTCTACCATTCGCTGTCAGACCTTGTGCGCCGAGCAGAGCTCCTGACGCAGAGCCCTTCTTGCACCCCGAAGCACGACCGGCCTTACCGACGGGATGATGGTAGTCCCGCCTTCACACGCGTCTTTACTGACCCGTCGACTCCTTCCAGGCGGCTGCCTAATAGCCAGAGCGCCGGCTCATTGCTTTCACGAGCATCGCCTTCAGTTGAGTCGCCCGCATCAACAGGCATCAGCCGGCGCCTACAGCTGATGACGGTGAACTGATGTCATGTACCCGGGACACACGATAGCCCATAAGACTTGGCATAGGAGATCAACGAAGTTGATGCATAATCGTGTACAAATACACAAATGGGGGTAGAGATAGTGTTTAATACCTGCTCTTCACGGCGTTCTTTTTTTCTTCTTCGTTTTTGGTGTTCGTTTCATTTGTCTACTTTTCATTTCGGCTTACGGAATTGCATAGAAAGGGACAAAACCGCCATAGTGAATCGGCTGTGTGACCTTTGAGCATTTTGCATTTGGCCTGTTTTGGTTTTCGTTTGGAGGGAAAGCATTCATCGAGGGTACAAAAGATCGGACCGGACCAGGCCCCCAAAAAGGGAAGTTGAAGAGAACCGAGTGAGCAGACTGAGTTGACGAGCTTAAAGGGGTTTAAAGAAGCGGCCACTGCCCTTGGCAGTGGTGGAAATCCATGGGATAAGGTGGTTTTTTGATTCTTTTCATCATGTCTGATTGACGAAACTGGTAGAAAAACGTCTTCATCCATGAACAAATATCGAGGCTAATGGGAATCGGCCCTCCTCGCTCTGTCTTCATGTTTACATGCATAGAGTCCAATGACATTACGCTTTTCAAGATGCTTGTTGATATTGAGGCTTATGTTATTGTTGATATGATATATGAGTCGTACGCCAGGGGTGTTTGTAGCAACTGAAAAGAACGCTCATAGCTCTGCCAACGCGGGGCACACACGCTAGCCCAAAACAAGAATGTAGCTGTGCACGGGCCAGGGGGCGACCAGAGACGCGACTGAAGGTAAACAGTGGATGGAGAACGCGCTATCGCATTCGCTGGATCTTCATTTGTTCCTGCCTGAGGCAAGGTCAACGGCGGTGAACGCTCCGTAATATGAAGGGGAAGGGGAAAAAAAGGAGGGGTGTTGAGAGACAGGGTCCACTTGTAATCAGAAGACAACAAATGAACTGCCCCTATTTTCAGGTCCCTATTGCCTCTCCACACGCACAAACCACTTGCTGTCGCCCAGCACACAGACCACTGTAGAGAGCGACCCAATTTCGTCTAAAGCTATTACTTCCCAACTCCTTTTTTCCTTTTTTTCATATTCCATCCTCTCACACCTACATAATACAACGGCGAAGGAACACCGTTTCGCACTCACGTCGACCACTGCATACCCTTAACAACATCGAACACCAAATCGCCAACATGCGTGAAATCGTAAGTTCGACCCCTGTTTGCTTGCTGCCGTTGTCCCCTCCAGCAAAGGCCTCACCGTCTCTTCGCGATGAAGACGGGGTCGAGATACGGAGACGTGAGACGGACGGAGTCGGGCTTCGGTGCCTGTCCGACATCGTTTGCACTCCGGGTTTTTGACCCGTTTGCTTGATCTTGATCTCGAATCTCGTTGTCGATGGGCCTGGGGAAGGGACATATCTGTGTCCACTTGACTTGCGACCTGGAGACAACGAGAACATTTCTTGATAGCAGAAGTGCCAGCTGCCTTCACGTTGTGTCCTACACAGATTCGAGAATCTCAACTAACGTTTTAACAGGTCCACCTCCAGACTGGCCAATGCGTACGTTTCGCCCTACTCCGAATCAATCGACCCCTACAGGCCCCCAGGCTCCGACGAAACAAACCTTAAACTGACACGGGCTATGGCATAACAGGGTAACCAGATCGGTGCCGCTTTCTGGTAAGTTTTATCTGAGCTATAAATAACGCATCTGGGCAATCAGCTTGAAGTGACAAATTCTAACCTACTTCACAGGCAGCAGATCTCCAGCGAGCACGGTCTCGACAGCAATGGAGTGTAGGTTTCCGGTTTCGGAAGAGTCTATTGTGGTGTATATCATCTAATATGTTCTATCAGGTACAACGGCACGTCTGAGCTCCAGCTGGAGCGTATGAGCGTGTACTTCAACGAGGCCTCGGGCAACAAGTATGTGCCCCGCGCCGTCCTGGTCGATCTCGAGCCCGGCACAATGGATGCTGTGCGCGCCGGTCCTTTCGGACAGCTCTTCCGGCCTGACAACTTCGTTTTCGGCCAGTCGGGTGCCGGCAACAACTGGGCCAAGGGTCACTACACGGAGGGTGCCGAGCTTGTGGACCAGGTGCTCGACGTCGTCCGCCGCGAGGCTGAGGGCTGTGACAGCCTCCAGGGCTTCCAGATCACGCACTCCCTGGGCGGTGGCACGGGTGCCGGTATGGGCACCCTGCTAATCTCCAAGATCCGCGAGGAGTTCCCCGACCGGATGATGGCCACGTTCTCGGTGATGCCGTCGCCCAAGGTGTCGGACACGGTTGTGGAGCCGTACAACGCGACTCTATCGGTGCACCAGCTGGTGGAGAACTCGGACGAGACGTTCTGTATTGACAACGAGGCGCTGTACGACATCTGCATGCGTACGCTGAAGCTGCCGAACCCGTCTTACGGCGATCTGAACCACCTGGTGTCGGCGGTGATGTCGGGTGTGACGACGTGCCTGCGATTCCCGGGCCAGCTGAACTCGGATCTGCGCAAGCTGGCGGTGAACATGGTGCCGTTCCCGCGTCTGCACTTCTTCATGGTCGGCTTTGCGCCGCTGACCAGCCGGGGTGCGCACTCGTTCCGGGCGATTACGGTGCCGGACCTGACGCAGCAGATGTTTGACCCGAAGAACATGATGGCGGCGTCAGATTTCCGCAACGGTCGCTACCTGACGTGCTCTGCCATCTTCCGCGGCAAGGTGTCTATGAAGGAGGTGGAGGACCAGATGCGCAACGTGCAGAACAAGAACTCGTCGTACTTTGTGGAGTGGATCCCGAACAACGTGCAGACGGCGCTGTGCTCGATCCCGCCGCGCGGCCTGAAGATGTCGTCGACGTTTGTCGGCAACTCGACGGCGATCCAGGAGCTGTTTAAGCGCGTGGGCGACCAGTTCACGGCCATGTTCCGGCGCAAGGCTTTCCTGCATTGGTACACGGGTGAGGGCATGGACGAGATGGAGTTCACGGAGGCCGAGTCCAACATGAACGATCTTGTCTCAGAATACCAGCAGTACCAGGATGCCGGTGTGGACGAGGACGAGGAGGAGTACGGTGTTGAGGAGGATGGTGTTGAGGAGCACGAGTAAGCGGCAGTTGTGTGTTATATGGCGCCGGCGAAGGGCATTCAGTGCCTTTCTGCACGGGCGGGCTGCGAAACTGCGGCGGCCCTGTTGTGTCTCTTCTTCGTGACTTGATCACCTAGCCCTTTCTTAACTTAATTTGAAACGAACCAGAAAGACATATTTAGTCTCAATCTTAGGTCGATGTCTTGAAAGTAGTAGTGCAAGTAGCGGGCTAAGAGCTTCGGCTCATTGGCCCGGTCTCCAGGAGATGACAGACTGGATGGAACCCCGCCAGAAGGAGTCGCGTTTGTGACTGTCTTTGGCAGTGCTGTAAGCTTCTTTGTCGTAGGCATGTCGCTGTGGTGACAGCGGTGGAGTTGGAGGTGGTGCCGGGCTGGAGATGACAGCAGCAGGAAGCTGTCGGAGAGGTGAAGGCGGCAGCTGAGGTAATTGCAAAGCCTGGGGTTGTGGCTGACGCTGAGGCTGGGGCTTTGGCTTGCGCGCGACAGGGCGGTTGTTGCTGCTGCTGCTTCCGCCGAGCTGTACGGTCTGCAGGGCGAATTCAGTTTCCATCTTGCGGCTCGCGAGAGCGGCGATGGCTTTTGCAATGGCCGAGTCGACGGGGTAGGGGCTGTCGCCATTTTTGTCGTCGTCATCCACGTCGCCGAGGCTGTAGCTGTAGCTGTAGCTGTAGCTGTGACGGTGACTGTGATCGTTGCCGACTCGTCTGTGGCGCCGGGACCAATCGGTCCTTTGGTCGAGCAGTGCGTTTTCAGCCTGGGCCAGCGGGCCGAGCAGCATAGCGCGCATCTCGAGGTCGCCCTCAGCCACATAGCGGGGGCCGTCGAGGCTGTCGAGGCTGTCGGGGCGATGGTTCCGTTGCTGCAGCCGCGCATCGCGGGCGGCGAGTCCGGCGATACGCAGCCGCGCGATCTCGTCGTAGTCGTGCACCTGTCGCGAGAGCTGGAACGGACGCAGGGCAGAGGCTATCTCGAACGGCTGCTCGACCGGCTGCTGTAGCAATCGTAAGGGTGGAGGGGGGGACGTGAAGATGCGCCGTCGGCGGCCGGTCGTGGCGATGCTGATGCGACTGACCGGACGGCTGGCCAGACGGCATGACGAACGTCGACTAATGGACGTCGCCGAGGAGGTCGATGGCGGACGGGTCGACGACGGCGGAAGGCGGGGATAATGCCCCATAGGCGGGGCAGCATCATCGTCAGCCGCCATGATGGGATGGTGCGTGACAATGGGACCGGCGGCTCTCCAGGCGGTTAGCGAGACAGGCAGAGCAGCAGCGGATTGTCGGCGCCGTGGATGTGGTCTCGTCCTGAGGATGCAGTGTTGTGGATGATGGTGTCAATGCTGTTGTAAGATAGTTGCTTTACTCGCAAATCTGGGAATGTAGAGCAGTGAAGAGAACAGAGAAGAAATCGCGGCGCACGAAGAATAGATTGCAGCTAGACCTGTGAACGGAGAGAAGAGAGAGAATAATACCAAAGAGTGTGTGTGCCAAGAAAGATCTATTTTTGGGACGAGTGGGCTGCCGCTGTTGGGCTATTCTTACTCAGCAGCTGCTCCCCCTTGCCGCATGGAGGAAGTGGTTTCACATACGAGCTCGACCACCTGTCTCACGTACTGCGACCGCTGACTGACAAAGGGCCGGACAATACGGAGTACTCCGTGTATAGTAAAAAAAGGACAGGAGGCCTTGTCTCGTCTGACTTGGCAACGATGCCTCTTTTAGAGCAGAAGCAGAAGCAAACCAGCCTTTAATGGCTCTGTGCTATGTGCCAACATGAACCATGTTGTCCATCGCTGACTTCTCCGTCGGGCAATGTCTGCCACACACATGTCTCTTCAGACAGGCATCTGGTCTGGTCGTGCCCATCTGATACGTGGCAGCGGGCGCATGGCCCTGGTTCATCCAAGCACCTGCCATGTCGTCGACTGCGCCACGTCTACAAGTACGAGCAGGTCTGCCCCCCATCCGTCCCGGACAGTTGTCCGAACAGAGCAGTGCACGGCACTTTGGGCATAGCTGCGATTTCCCGTAGCCTACAATACAAAGAGTTCGTTTGTATTGATGATGTCATCATCGTTTTTGGGCGGGGCTGTGGCGTGATGAGTCATCACGTGAGATACAGGAAGAACTCATTGGCTGCCCCGAAGGTGGCCCAGGATCTGCTGCAGCCGACCGAGTGCCCTAGTGCTGTGCGAGGGGCCATCTGGTGGCTTTATTGAAGCCGCCTCGTCCAGCTGCTCAACCTCGTCGCGCGCCTCTGCCACCAGCGGGGCCAATCCGCCCCAGACTTCTTCATCGTAGCGCGTGAGCACATCGCGCCACTGGCCCAGCCACAGCCGAGTAGCCTCGGGCGACTGGCCGACACCCAACAGGGTATGACTGTCGCCGTCGCTGCTGATGCTTCCGGGGGTCGGACGCATAAACGCGGGGGTGAAGTTGAGAACGTGGTCCCAGGAGGTGACTGTGGTGGTGGAGCTGACGGCCAGCGGGCTGCTGCCAAAGAGCGCCCGCTGCAGGCCGGCCACCTCATCCTCGGCCAGCTCCACGTCCTGCCCGTAGTCTGGCTCTTCCTCTGCGCCGTGGCCACCAGCCAGCAAGTGGACGACGTCGATCCCGTCACGGGACTGCTGCTCGGCGACAGCGGCAGAGAAGGAGGTCGGCGCCTCCGATTCCGGCTGGACAGCCGGAGGTGCAACGTCTTGGAAGCCGACCAGTCCCGGGAGGTCGTCTGGAATCGAGGTGTCGATGTCGGCGCCGTCCAGAAAGCGAGCAAACGCGTCCTCCTGCGCGGCAATGTGCTGCCGCGTGTGTCCGGCCACGAAAGCCGTCGACGACGTAGCCGCGTGTCTCTGTTCTCCCGACTGGTCTCTGGCGTAGCCTTCTGTGCTGCTGCTGCTGTTGCCGCCGGCTGGCGACGGCCCTGCCTTGCTGCTGCTATTGTTCGAGGCAAGCCCGACCAGATCGCCGCTGTGAGGCCGGCCAGCTAAGGCGTCACGGCCCAGGCCAGCGGCCGACCGGACGATGCGTGACAACACAGACGGACGCTCTGGATCTGTGCTTCCCGATGACGACGTCGCGGCTGCGGCTGGGGTTGTGGCCGGGGCTTTGCCTTTGGGGTCCGGTGGGGGATTGCGGTCGTCCATGGCAAAAGAGTGGTACGTATTCGTAGGACGTCCTGGGCCTGCTGCATCATGGTTTGTAGGATGGAGTCGGACAAAGACGACGAGGTGCGCATGGCCCCCAAGGAAAGACGGGATCGGGTGACGGGAGAAAGAGACGGTCAAAGCACGTGAATATTCAAGAAGGGGGGGACGGCAAGAAAACGGGCTGAAGGATTTCCCAGCACTAGCACTAGGCGACTGACTGGGGTCTGGAGAGCTGGAGAACGAGAGAGAGAGAGAGCAGTGCTCTAGCTCCCCACGACGACGAGGGGGGCGACCGAGAGCAGGAATGAAAAAAGAAAAGCGTAGAGGAATAGGAAAAAGAAAAACAGAGAAAAGAAGAGTAACGAGAGAATAGGCGAGATAATGAGACAAGCAGAACAGCCAGATGCAGCAGGTACCGTCAAGTACACGTGAGCAGCATAGCTCGCCGGATAGCTCCCAGATCAGCTTGCTAAGCTACCGGATTAGTACTTGTCACGCCTGGGCCCGACGTATGCAGCAGCAGCAGGACCAGGCGAGCTGGGCTACCCCGCACATACCACTTTTGCTCTGGCCCCTCCCCGTAAAGTGATTACTACAGTGCTCCGTATAAATGTAGGATAATATCTTATCTTACTGAGCAGCAAGGTCTGTTGCTCGCTGGCCATCCGCTGGACAGGCCCGCCAGGCCGCTCTCGGGCGCCCAAGCACGCAACGCCTCCGGCGATTATCGCCCGCCACTCGCAATTTTCTGGGCGCACTCCCGCCTTTTCTCTCTGCCTCTCGTATGCTTTTTTTCTGCCGTAGCCGGGACCTTTCCCCCCCAACTCTTTCCTCGTCCCCATTTCCCGTTGATATTGGCACCTGAATCCCCCCCCATCTGCATCCAGGCATTTATTGTAGGTTTTTTTTTTCAAACTCCTTCGCCGTCCTTTTGCCTCGACTTTCTCTGCATTCCCTCTCCGTCCGTCTCCGCCTGCCTCTCTCTCTTCCGGAATACACAGTTTATCCCCTCCTCCCTCCTCCTCCTCCTCCTCCTCTCGACCGTTTCCCTCGAACCTGCGCGGCCACACCTTCCTCAAGTCGCCCACCGCCTTCCTCCGGTATTTAGCTTCGTTTGTCGCCAAACACAACCTGAAGGTGCCACTAAGCCCAACCCGCATCTCTTCCCTCACTCTCACCACCTCTCTTCCTGGCCCTCGTCCCTCTCTGCCTCTCCGTCCGTACATGTGCCGCTCCGCGCACAGCTTCCCCAAATTCCCATCTCCTCCGCTGCCTCGCACACATACCAGCACATCAGCACATCTGGCCCCGCCTACCGGCCGTTATCTGGAAACACGCGCCTGCTCGGTGTGGCCCATCTCCATCTTCCGATTCCTATCGTCCTTTTTTTCTTGTCTACTACACCGTCCGTCTGACGCGACAGCTTCCCTCGTCTGTCCACACCCCCACACCTCCCTGCCCTTTCTTCTATCACTTGTCTCTTGTCGTCTTGGTGGCGCTCCATCTCTCTTTGTGCCTGGCTTTGGATATATCTTTGACACTCTTTCGACACCTCTTCTGCAGCTCCCCCCCCCTCTTCGTCGACCTTCGATAAATATCTCGCGTTTTCTGGGCCAGATCTCCGGCTCCGTGCTCGACCCACTCCTTTCCTGCCTCCGACACCGATACACGCTTTTTGTCGTCGAACAGGGAGGATTTTTGTGCCGCCCTCCCTCGAGAAGCTGGGTCAGAAAACATGGGGGATACAGAGCCGAACTCCCCCACGTGGAAGTTCACACAGTACGTCATATGAAGCTCAGGCCGCGTTTTGATGCAGCCCGCAATGGTGGTGGTGGTGGCTGCCAGATCCTGTTATAATATTGGTGCTGTGTTGTGCAGTTACTGTGCTGCTGGGTCGCTGGGTCGCTGGCCATTTTGGTTCTGCAAAGCTTCTTCCAGCTCTTTCCCAGATCACCGGATCTCCACCACCCTGCTCCATCCTAGATTGTCTTGGCACCAAGCATGCTTCTTTTTGCCACCCAATGGCTGTGGCTAACAATACCACAGATGCTTTGGTGATAAGGGAGACGTGGAGGATATCACAGAAGGTAAAGCGTGATGCTGCTTCCCAAATCTGGGGGTGGGACAAGATGGTAGGCTGGAACAGGGTCGGCTAACACATTCTCGCAGCGGATATCATCTCCACCGTTGAGTTTGACCACACCGGAAACTACCTCGCAACGGGCGACAAGGGTGGGCGCGTTGTCCTGTTCGAGAGGAACGAAACAGTGAGTACAGCCCTAGAACGCTGCACCATAGTGTAGGCGTCCTGTTAGAGAGCAGGACGGAGAGCGAGCGGCTGCTGATATAGGGCCGGCGGCGTCCCCCCCCCTCGTGCAGAAGAAAACGTGTGAATACAAATTCCACACCGAGTTCCAGTCCCACGAACCCGAGTTCGACTACCTCAAGTCCCTGGAGATCGAGGAGAAGATCAACAAGATAAAGTGGTGTCGGCGGCAAAATGCGTCACACTATCTGCTTTCCACAAACGACAAGACCATCAAGCTATGGAAGGTGTTTGAGAAGTCGCTCAAGGTTGTGGCCGAGAACAACCTGTCCCACGACCTGACACCCGGCGGCCTTGCCGTCGGTGGCGGGGCACCACGGCCGTTGCCCAGCGTGCACTTCAGAAATGCAAGCGACCTCAAGCTGCCACGCTTGACGCACCACGACACCGTCGTTGCGGCCGTCCCCCGCCGGACGTACGCGAACGCCCACGCATACCACATCAACAGCATCTCAGTCAACAGCGACGGCGAGACCTTTATCAGCAGCGACGACCTCCGCATAAACCTGTGGAACCTAAACATTCAGGACCAGAGCTTCAACATTGTGGATATCAAGCCAGCGAATATGGAGGAGCTGACCGAGGTCATCACTGCTGCCGAGTTTCACCCCCTCAGCTGCAACTGGTTCATGTATGCCAGCTCGAAAGGCACCATCAAGCTGGCCGACATGCGGGAGAGTGCGCTCTGTGATCAGCATGCCAAATGTGCGTCACCTAGCCTTTCACGTGCGCCTGCGAGTGCGATGCTAACCTGTCCCAAATAGTATTTGAGCAAGAGGAAGATCCACAATCCCGCTCGTTCTTCTCCGAAATCATCTCCTCCATCTCCGACGTTCGCTTCTCCTACGACGGCCGCTACATCCTGTCCCGCGATTACCTGACGGTTAAAATCTGGGACGTGAACATGGAGCGGCAGCCGGTCAAGACCATTCCCATCCACGAGCACCTGCGGCCACGGCTATGCGACACATACGAGAACGACAGCATATTCGACAAGTTTGAGGTTGTCTTTTCAGGCGATGCCAAGAACGTCATGACGGGGAGCTATAATAATAATTTCATGATCTATCCGACCGACCCCGACAAGGAGATGGAGGTTGTATTGCAGGCGGACAAGTCTGCTTTCAAGGCCAAGAAGGTCGGCGTGCCCACGCCGATCAACTCGTCGACGAGCCCGTCGGCAAATGGAAAGAAGGACAGCTCCAGAGCGGGAAGCCCTGCGGGACAAGGCCAACGGATGCGGAAGGAGACGGATGCGGACCAGATCGACTTCAACAAAAAGATCTTGCATATGAGTTGGCATCCATTCGAAGACAGCATTGCCATTGCCGCGACGAACAATGTGAGTACCCCAAACCCGGGTGTTTGCGCCATTCACGACATCGATATTGACTAACCTCTGTACAGCTGTTTGTCTTCTCTGCTCTGTAAGCGTACCTGGGAAAAAAAACAGGTACATTTGTTGGGCAGGATGCGTTTGGAGACAAGGGCCGTTTGTTTGGTTTCCAAAGCTGCTGGCAAGAGGTTGGGCTCTCTTTATATTCTGCTAGATGGCATGAATGGATAGGAAATCAGCATGCATGGCCATGGAGCTTGGGGGGTAGAGAGTCATCACGAAGGGGCTTGGTGGCGGCTGTGCAGTTTGCCGCATGCGAGCGGTTCACAAGGGCAATGCGCAGCAGACAGCATACCCTTTCTCTTTGCATGAGACTATATGGCATGAAGGCAGTCCGTGATCGTGGCGCGGTACCGTGTACAGTCCCGTACGAGTAGATTCTATACATACATGGGGGGAGGAATGCCAAGCAGAGAAGCAAGTAAAAGTAGACGGCGTAAAGTGACGTTACTGACGGCTGTGAATGGGGCATTAGGATATTGCTTGTCGGGAACCTCGCAGCACCGATAGCTAGTGGGCGATCTTAATCTCCAATTGGGATAATATAAACGGAGCAGTCGGGAATACGATACCACGATCTCCGTGCTCGTAAGATACGACGTACTCGTACGGAGTACTCCGTACCAATTATGATTAATACGAGGCAGGTTCGGGACGCGTTAGCAGGTTCTTACCAGGGAGCTGTGGCTCCGTGCCCGATGATTAATGGGCTGCATTACTGACACGGTGTCAGCTGTTAAGCATGTGCGCTGATTACTATTCCGTTGCTGCCGGGCTGCTAGATACGCCCAAAGGCTGCAGCTGCTGTTATTTGTTAGATGGAGGTTGCATTGTGCAGTCAAGGAGACCGTTCCTTCCTCCGCGTTGCCTTGCTCTCTCTCTCTTCCGTGAGCCCTGCTTTCATTTCACAGTACTCCGTTCAGGCTCCTCAGACTCTGCCTCTTATTTTCCATTTCTCCGTTTCCGTTTGTCTATTTTATTGCAGAAGATGACGCTACCCAACCATTTCGCCCCCACATAGCGATCCTGTTGCCCAATTGATACATTCACCTAGCATCTCTACCGCCGAGTTTCGCAGGGTTTTTTTTACTGGTCCCTCTTTCCTACGGCAGAACAGCCTGGGCCAACTTTAATACTGACAGGGACAGTTCCAGAGAGACCAGACTAACCACTGAAAGAGGGGGGTGTGCAGACGCACAGAAGCAGCACACATATCCACCTTGGGACCCAAGAACAGGACCCAAAGAACAAGACGCCGAGAGGGCGAGAGAGGACGGGCAACGTGACATGGCCCTTCCAGGCACTGTTCTGACTGCCGAGCTGGACACGATTCAGACCGCGTTCTGAGGACGGAACGAAGAGTTGTCTGTTTACCATTTTCCTCCCTTCTCTCCTTTCAGGGCCATTTCCTTCTCTCTGCATTGCACGCTCTCCAGCAACATCGGACGGATCGCATTCGCGCACATTGTCAGCTTCGCATTTCACGCGCCTTCTCTTTCATATCGAAAAACCGTCGCCTCTTTCGTTTACCTCTGCGAGCAACGCAAGCGTCCATATTCTCTGCTGTCGAGCGCCAAGACTTCCGTATCTACACCGACCCACCGGCCCTATCGTCTCACTGTCACCACGCCCACCGATTCCATCATACCGCCACCGTGTCCATGACCTCCAATTCCTACCCTCGCCGCCGCCAGACTCCGCACAAACCCCCCAAACATGCGGCCCCGCCTCCGGGCCCTCGAGTGATCAACGCCGCCCCTTCTCTGGAAAAGGCTGAGATGTATGGGGTTGACGATGATCGGCCCGTGTTTTCGCGGGCCATGGCTCTGGCTGGCCGCATCTTCATCGAGACCATCCCGCAATGGATCTCGGTCGGCGCCATGCTAGCCCTCATCTTTGGCGGCTGCTGTTCGAATGTGTTTGCGCTCGAGGCCATTATCAAGGTTGAGCCTGGAAGTGGTGGGTTACCGTCCTTCCCTGTCATACCGTCTGCCTGCCACCGCATTGGCTGCTCTCCTGCTGATATGCCACAGGCACGCTCCTGACGTTTGTCCAGTTTCTGTTTGTGGCCATCACCGGCTACATCTCGCAGCTGGACCGCGACCACCCCCCCTTCTTCTTGCGTCCGAACAAAGTGCCGCTCCGTCGATGGCTGGTCAACATAGTACTCTTTTTCAGCATCAACATCCTGAACAACCACGCGTTTAGCTACAACATCTCCGTCCCCGTCCATATCATCCTGCGCTCTGGCGGAAGCATCACTACAATCCTTGCCGGCTTTCTCTACGGAAAGAGGTATTCGCGTATCCAGGTCGTCGCTGTCCTTCTGCTGACAATTGGCGTCGTGATGGCTGCCTGGTCGGATGCGCCGGACAAGAGCAATGCTACCGAAGACAGCGACGAGGCTACGGACCACGGGGTTCGTTTTCTCAGCGGCCTGGCCATCCTGTTCGTGGCTCAGGTGCTGTCGGCCATCATGGGGCTTTACACGGAGGAGACGTACCGCAAGTACGGTCCCCAGTGGCGGGAGAACCTGTTCTATTCCCATCTGCTATCGATGCCACTTTTCCTCCCGTTTCTGCCGTCGCTCGTGCGCCAGTTCGCACGCCTCGCCAGCAGTCCACCGCTGACATTACCGTGGGGCGAGACGCTGGATGCGGCACCTGTGGCGGCAGGGATCCGCAAAAACGTCGAGCGCATTCAGATCCCGAGCCAGCTGGTGTTTCTCATGATGAACGTCCTGACCCAGTACGCCTGTATCCGCGGCGTCAACCTGTTGGCGGCGGCGTCGTCGGCGCTGACCGTGACGATTGTGCTGAACATCCGCAAGCTCGTCAGCCTGCTGCTGAGCATCTGGCTGTTTGGGAACCGTCTCGCACCGGGCACGCTCGCGGGAGCGGCGGTGGTATTTTTCGCCGGCGGGCTGTACTCGCTGGACGGTCGCAGGAAACCGGTATCGCGCACAAGGGCGGCCAGTGTCAAAGGCGGCTGACGTTGGGCGCGACGGCTTGGAAAGGGAGGACTCGGCTCACCGGTGGCTGTATGTGCATATATCTTGGCAGACACGCTCTAGTCATTAGTGGGTGACTAATAGACGATCGTCTTTGTCGCAATCATCGAGGATGAGACTGCGTGATGTACCAGTGACGTCTTTCAGGTACACTCACTGCCTCTAGGACCATCCGGGACTTAGCGTGCTACGGCTGTCGTCGATTTTGTCTGCAACCTATCGGCTTTTGTGTCGTCTAGCTGCATTCTGATCACACCGTCGCAGCTGCCAAGCCTGTTTCCCGACCAGTTGGTATTACAAGGCTCCTTCCATCTCTGCCCATTCCCCCTTCCCTGTGTGTAAATATGAGCTGGCTTCTGCTCACCGCCTGTCCTGGCACGTGCATCGAGACATTTTCGATTGTCTCTGATGTGACACATATATTCGAGCATATGTACAGACGTTCTGAGGGGCATCACTCGTTAATACTCGCTACTTCTTCCTCTTCTTCCCCGCTCCCTTTCCCAAGCCTGAGCTATATTACTTGGTGGACCCGCATCCACAAAGACATCTGATTTTCACCACGGTTCTTCCTATCTCTAGGCTTTGGGTCTTATCTTCTTCTTTACATACGTCTGCTGTCTCTCCATCGGCTTCACCTTTACGCACACGAAGCCAAGGACTATGAGCGAATTCCAGGCGCCGAAATTTGGTGGCAGGCCCGCTGAGAGCGCAACAGACTTTCTGCGTCGTCTCAACGTCAAGTGCTTGACAATCGGCTGCAAGTCCGAGAGCGACAAGGATGATTTTCGGCTCGTGTATTTTGTCGACGGCCTCCGAGATGGGGCTAGAGCTTGGTACGATGACGAGCTGTCAGCAGCAGAGCGCGAGTCGTGGCCGCTGCTGGCTAAGGCGTTCTGCGAGCGCTGGGGTGGTCGCAGCGAGGATGACGGCCAGAGGGACGAGGGGACCGAGAGAGTTGGAGCTGCAGGCGAACTGATTGGTGACGGCGTCGACACGGTCGTTCCCCACTACGACGACGACGACGACGACGCTGCGGTGACGGCCATTATTGCAGCCGGCACAACACAATCCCCGACGGCGGCTGAGCTGCCTCTCGAGGGCGGCATGCTGCTTCGAGATATGCCTCAACGGACGGCATTTTACGACTCTATCGACGAGCGTCAGATGAGCCAGAGCGATGCCAAGCTGTTCTACCAGAGGAGCCAGCTAGACCTGCAGCAGCTGAAGCAGCCGGCGCTGCAGTTTGATCCCGTCGGAAGTCCACTCGTCAGCGTGCCCACCGCCTCGTCTGTTGCTGACCCAAGCCACGGCTTACCGCCATTGCCAAGCAGCGATTACGGCTTTGGCGAGGTGGATCTTGACGCAGCAGCAGCTGCTGTTGGTGCTGCAGGTGGTACTTCGACTATGCCTGGCGAAAGTGGGCCTTCGAATCTGGGTGCTACGGCAGTAACAGCAGGCATGACAGCGACTGCTGCGGCGGTGACGCCGATCATGGCTCCATCAGCCACGATGATACCCACAGCAGCAGCCATGGCTTCGGGGTCATTGGGTGGTGGCTTGAGCTCGCTCACAGGGCTGAGTATCGGTGAGCCGTCAGGGATCGGCAGCAGAACGTACGCCGATGCGGATCCGCAGATCACGACGGAGCTGGCGGCGATCTTTGTGGACATCAAGAAGTTTATCGATCTGCGACGCAAGTACATCGGTCTCTCACTGCAGGGGCCGACGGACAATCCCAAGGACGACCCCAGCTGGAGGATCTACCCACCCCCACCAGATCCGGCTTGGGTGGCCGAGCACGGCACCGGGACGCACGATGCCAGCAACGGGGCAGACAGCCTCGCTGCCAGCACGGTGCTGCCGGAGCAGACGGGCGACGGCAGCCAGGCACAGGAGGCACAGCCGCGGCCTCCTGCACAGAACAAGAAGCGCAAGCCTGGGCAGGACATCGGCGAGGACTTCAACATGGACGACCTGATGCCGCTGCCGGGCGAGAGCAAGATGGTGTACCGGCTGGACAAGAACAGTGTGTACCAGGTGTACGAGGACGAGCAGGTGGCAGCGGCAGCGGCAGCGGCCGAAGAAGGAGCAGAGAGCAGCGGCGCGGAGACAGGAATGACAGCGATGCCGATTGTGCAGGTGCCGACGCTGCGGGAGTTCTACATGGACCTGGAGCCGATCCTGGCGCTGTCTGCGGACGGGCCAGCCAAGAGCTTCGCGTACCGGCGGCTGCAGTACCTCGAGGGCAAGTTCGGACTGTACACGCTGCTGAACGAGTACCAAGAGACGGCAGATACGAAGCGGGTGCCGCACCGCGACTTTTACAACGTGCGCAAGGTGGACACACACGTGCACCACTCGGCATGCATGAATCAGAAGCACCTGCTGCGGTTCATCAAGAGCAAGATGAAAAAGTGTCCGGACGAGGTGGTGCTGTACCGCGACGGGCAGCTGCTGACACTGGCGCAAGTGTTTAAGAGCATCAAGCTGACGGCATACGACCTCAGCATCGACACGCTGGACATGCACGCCCACACGGACTCGTTCCACCGGTTCGACAAGTTCAACCTCAAGTACAATCCGGTTGGCGAGTCGCGGCTGCGGACCATCTTTCTCAAGACGGACAACGACATCCAGGGGCGGTATCTGGCCGAGATCACCAAGGAGGTGATTGCCGACATGGAGTCGAGCAAATACCAGATGGTGGAGTGGCGCATCTCGATCTACGGCCGGTCGGCGGACGAGTGGGAGAAGCTGGCGGCCTGGGTGGTGGACAACAAGCTGTTCTCGCACAACGTGCGCTGGCTGGTGCAGATCCCGCGGCTGTTCGACGTGTACCGGGCGAGCGGGCTGATGGGACGGTTCGAGCAGGTCGTGGCCAACGTGTTTGAGCCGCTCTTTGAGGCCACACGCAATCCGGCAGCGCATCCGAAGCTGCACGTCTTTCTGCAGCGGGTGATTGGGTTTGACAGCGTCGACGACGAGAGCAAGGTGGAGCGGCGGCTGTACAAGAAATTCCCGGTGCCGCGGGCATGGGACTCGCGCCAGAACCCGCCGTACAGCTACTGGATCTACTACATGTTTGCCAACATGGCGACGCTGAACGCGTTTCGACGACGGCGCGGCTTCAACACATTTGTGCTGCGGCCGCACTGCGGCGAGGCTGGCGACAGCGAGCATCTGGCCGTGGCGGCGCTGTGTTCGCACAGCATCAGTCACGGGCTGCTGCTGCGAAAGGTGCCGCTGCTGCAGTATGTCTTCTACCTGGAGCAGATCGGCATCGCTATGTCGCCGCTGAGCAACAACGCGCTCTTTCTGGCGTACGAGCGCAATCCGTTCCACCAGTACTTCAAGCGCGGGCTCAACGTGTCTCTCTCGACCGACGACCCGCTGCAGTTTGCCTTTACCAAGGAGCCGCTGATCGAGGAGTACTCGGTGGCCGCACAGATCTACAAGCTCAGCCCGGTCGACATGAGCGAGCTGGCTAAGAACTCGGTCCTCCAGAGCGGCTACGAGTTCGCCATCAAGCAGCAGTGGCTGGGGCCCGACTTCCACCTGCCCGGCATGGCCGGCAACGCCATGGTCAAGACCAACGTGCCCGACCGACGCGAGCACTTCCGCTACAGCACCCTGATGGAGGAGTGGGAGATGTGAGTCGAGCGCTGTGGTGACAATGCTTAGTCATTGCTGACATAATCAGGATCAAAAAGTACACCAGCACCGGCTCGACCGTGGCAGCCAGCGCTCCGGGCACGGCGGCACCCCGGTCGCCGGTTGCGCCCTCGCCGCTGCCAAAGAGAAGCACCTCTGTAACCGGAAGCAGCCCGGTGGCCAGACACCGGACGACGAGCTTTGCGGCTCTGCCAGCAGCCGGCCAGCTGCAGAGCCCCTATCTGGGCCCGACGTTGACGCCGGGGTCTGCCTCGGCTGCTGCGCTCGGCATCTCCGGGAACATGACACCCTCGTCGCTGCTGGCGGCGACATCCTCAGCCACGTCGTTGCTGCCACCGCTGCCACCACCCACACTCTCCGGCAGCGAGCCGCGGTACTTTCCGGGCGTGGTGACACGCAGCCAACGGCGCAACAGCATCAGCAACGGCATCAGTGGCAGCAGCTTGAAGACGACAGCAGCAGCAACGGTGCGGCTGCCAGACGACAAGGTGGCAGAAGAGTGATTTGCATTTGCATGCTTGCTGCCGTATAGTGTGAGAAGTCACGTGAGCTCTGCGATCAATATCAATACCACTCTGCCTGTGCCGCTGTGATGCAGTGCAGATGTATACAAAACAAAGGAGAAACATCCCAGAAGTCTATGTGTGCTCGCCCCATTATCCTTGTTCATGTCTTCCCCTATAGCAAGCTTTCGTACTTGTCCAGTCCTGTCTTGCCGGGCAGCGCCGACATCATTGCACCATTATTGTTGTTGTTGTCATTGTTTGAATTCAGGCTCATCATGCCCATTCCCATGCTCATGTTCATACCCATATTCATGTTTGACCCCATCATGCCTACAGCTCCTGCACCACTGCTGGCCGACGGTGCCAACCCGAGGCTCGCTCGGTTGTAGTTGGGAGCTGCCATTGAGGAAGCAGCCGGTGTTGCCGAGAGCGCTGTCATGCTGGCCATGCCATTGCCAAAACTGCTGCTGCTGCCGCCTGGCGGTGGCGCCAGGCTAAAGGCGGGTGGTGGCGGCAGCGAAAAGGCTGACGATGCTGGTCCGTTGTTGTTGGGGGTGGTCCAGCTACTGCCGCTGCTGCTGTTGCGGTTGGCCATCATTGGCCGTGCCGGCAGCGCCTGGGAGAACTGTGTGGACGACGGGGTCATGGAGGGAAAGCCACCGAGATCGGACGGAGCGGGTGGACGGGCTGCGGGCATGGAGGCAGCGGTGCTGCTGGGCGTGGACCAAGAGAAGGAGGGCGTGACGACAGCAGCAGCAGCAGCAGCAGCCGACGCGGTGGCGGTAGCAGACGACGACGAGCTCAGCCGAGAAGCAGGCAAGCCGCGGGGCGAGCGCAGCGGTGGTGAAGTTGAAGAGCCAGCCCAGGTGCCCTCGAGGATGCCGCTGGTGGCAGCAGTGGTGCTGCTGCTGGCGGTGGCCCGTCCCTTGACCAGGCGTTCAAAGTCGTCCTCGGTCTCGCCGGCGCCATCCCAGGCAGACAATTTGTTGTCGGTGACACCGAGGGCAGACAGATCATCCATCAGTGAGGGGGTGCCGTTGCGGGAGATGGAATCGAGGCCGCCATCATGGCCGGAGCCGGTCGACAGGTCCTGCAGTTTGCGGGACTGTTCGTCCTCGACGCGGGCGGACAGCGAGCGGATCAGCTTCATGAAGGCTTGAAACTGCTGCAGGTTGAGCAGCGGCCCCAGGGCCATGGTCCAGAGGATGGGCAGGATCTCGAGGGCGACAAAGTCGGCGTCGGCGGCGCGGCCGACGACACGCAGAACGCGCAGGGCCTCGACCATGACGGCGGGCTCCTTGGTGCGAATGGCCTTGACGAGCGGGACGATCTTCTCCTGCATGGTGTACTTGTCGAGGGCGGTGGAAGGGGCGGATGAGTGGGCGCCATTCAAGCCGTCGTCAGCATCGGGATCACCGTCAGGACGACCACCACAGAGGATGGCAAAGGCTTGCAGGCCGCGGACCTTGATGGCAAGGCTGCTGGTCTTGGTGAAGATGGCGCCGACGACGGGGAAGAGCTCGTGCTTGACGGTGCTAAAGTCGAGGACAGGCAGCATGACGGGAATGCTGCGCAGGGCAGCATCGACGACAGACGGCGCAGGCGACTCGAGGGCAGTGGCCACGATGGGGATAACGTCTGTTTTTTGTTTTTGTTAGTGCCGAGAGGGAGGGTGGGTGAGAGTGTGGCACGCACCATCTTTGAAGTCCTTGCCGGTGGTGTTGGCGGCTAGAGTGGACAGATGCTCGAGGACAACCATCAAGGCGGCATCCCGGGCAGGATCACGTTCGGGCTGCTTAGCATTGGCAGCAGCAGCGGCAGCAGCAGCAGCAGCAGTACCAGAAATGGTGGGGACAGAGCCAGCAGGACCAGCAGCAGCCGGAGTGCCGGCAGCAGCAGCGCCGAGGAAGAGGACCTTGAGCCCAGGCAAGACACGATCAGAGACGGCGCGACGAGCAGACGGTAGCAGGTCGACCATGGCGAAGATGTTGTGCAGGATGGCGGGTGCGAGTTCGCGGTCCTTGAGCTCGTCGAGCAGAGCGGGCAGCAGCTTACGCTCGACGACGGAGCGGGGAAAAGAGGGCAGGACCTTGCGAAGGCCACGCAGGAACTGAGTCTTTTCGCCGTGGGTCTTGGCAGGAAAGGCGTCGAGAAAGCGGATGGTGGAGACGAGGATGTTGTCAAAGTACTCGCTGGTCTGAAACTCGCGGGCAGTCATGCGCTGGGCAGGACGACGGGCGATGAGCCGAGGCAACACATGGGCGACGAGATCGCGAGGAAGAGGGCGAGCAGCGAGAAAGTTGTTGGCTGGCGAAGGAGTGGAAGAAGGCGAGGCGAAGAGACGGCGATACGCGGCGACGCTGTTGGTGTTGTTGCTAGTGACAGCAGCAGCGAGCGGCGAACGATGAGGGTCGTCGTAGAGGGCGACACAGAGGAGGCCGAGAGCGAACATGTCGGCAGCCGGGCCGAGCTGACCGTCAATGACGACGTCAGGAGCAGCATAGTCGAGGCTGGCGAGCACAGAAGGTGGAAGCCGGAGATCACCACCAAAACAAAACATGTCAGCGACAGCGGCGGTGCTGCTGGTAGCCCCAACACTGAAGCCGAGACCGCTGAGCTTCCAGTCGGACTTGGCATTGACAAGGACAGCGTCGGGGGTCAAGTTTCCGTGCACGAGGCCAGCTTTTTCATGCAGAAACTCGAGGGCCTTTCCGAGCTGCAACAGGCCTTTTTGGATCTCGAGCACGTCCATCTCGTCGCGACGACGTCGTCGGGTCCGCGGGCTGTCTGTCGCCATCTCGACATCGCCCTCTGCCAACAGGCTCGCCAGCGATGCCGTCACGGCTTCTGTGGCAAACTGCAGGCCGCCGCCGCGAGTCTCTTCGACCGGCTCGACCAGCTCCAGCACGCTCGGGTGGCGCAGCCGGGCCAGTGCCGATGCCTCACGCTTCAGCCGGGCCACCACCTCGTCGGCTGCCCGCCGGAACGCCGCCGCCCCCGCTCGCTTTCCCAGGCCGCCGCCGCTGCTGCTGCTGCTGCCGTGCGCGTCCAGCACCTTGCGGTCAAAGACAAAGACCGAGCAGGCCTTGCCGCTCGACCGGTGCCGGGCATCGTACACCTTCCACGGGCCGGCCGTGCAGGTCGGGGTGGCGGCCAGGCTGTAGTGGCTGTTGATGTTGGTCGACGAGATCGACTTGAGCGCGGACGAAAACATGGTGGAGGTGGAAAGGAGGCAATGGAGACAGATCGAGATGCGGTGGAGAGGAGGCCAATCGGGTCCAGTCGCGATGGACAATGACACGATCGAGTCGACTGCCGATAACGTGCCTCACGTGCCGTACCGTGTCGATGTCCGCATGTCGCTCAGGCTCGTGTGCAGGGGATCAGGTGCTGTCGTGGTGCTCGACCATTGCCAGTCGAGGCCAGTTCGCGATACACTGCAAAGGCTGGTTGTCATGTGACCAGTCACGTGGTAACCGAAAACTCCGATAGCGCACGTTTTGGCTGGAAAAAAAGAAAGAGGCGGCTGCGTGGTGACTCCCGCGGACACCTGGCCAGCTCCGCAGGTCGTTCTTTCCTGCTCGGGTTCCACTCCACCAATTTTGTCTCTCTCTTCTTGTCTCCCCTTGTCTCTCTCTTTTTGCCTCATATTCTGTCTCTCTTCTTTCATCCGTCCACATCTGTCCCCTCGTCACAATGCTCCGGCCATCTTTCCGCCGGCTCGCTGTGGCGGCCTCACCGCTCCGGACGTCAGCCACGGCCAGCCGGACCGGCAGTCTCGCCCGACAGCTATCACGACCAACATCGACGACGCAACAGCAGATGGCACGACGAGCAGGCATCACCGGACAGCGGCCATACAGCGCGGCAGCGACAGCAGCAGCGACGCTGCCGGACATCGACCCGGCCCGGCTGGTGATTACGGAGACGACGCGGCCGGGCGAGCTGCAGAAGCACGAGGATCTCGTGTTTGGACGGACGTTTACGGACCACATGATGACGATTGCATGGAACGCAGAAGACGGCTGGCAGGCGCCGCAGGTCGGGCCGTACCAAAACTTGTCGCTGGACCCGGCCACGTGCGTGTTCCACTACGCCTTTGAGTGCTTCGAGGGCATGAAGGCCTACAAGGACAGCCAAGGCCGGATCCGGCTCTTTCGCCCAGACATGAACATGGCCCGGCTCAACCGGTCGTCGGCACGCATTGCGCTGCCGACCTTTTCGACGGAGGCGCTGACGAGCCTGATCGCGCGCTTTGTCCAGCTGGAGAGCCGCTTCATCCCGGACCGTCGCGGCTACTCGCTCTATCTGCGGCCGACGATGATCGGCACGCAAAAGACGTTGGGTGTGGGACCGCCCGGATCGGCGCTTCTGTTCGTCATCGCCTCGCCGGTCGGGCCCTACTACCCGACCGGCTTCAAGGCCATCTCGCTCGAGGCCACCGACTACGCCGTGCGAGCCTGGCCTGGTGGCGTCGGCGACAAGAAGCTGGGCGCCAACTACGCCCCGTGCATCGTGCCGCAGCGTGAGGCCCTCAGCCGCGGCTTCCAGCAGAATCTCTGGCTCTTTGGCGAGCAGGAGTACGTCACCGAGGTCGGCACCATGAACTTTTTTGCCGCCCTCGTCAACAAGCAGACTGGTGCCCGCGAACTGGTCACCGCTCCGCTCGACGGCACCATTCTCGAGGGCGTCACGCGCGACTCTGTTCTCGCTCTCGCCCGCGAACGTCTCGTGCCCGAGGGCTGGACCGTGTCCGAGCGCAAGTACACCATGCACGAGCTCGCCGAAGCCGCCGCCGACGGCCGCCTGCTCGAGGCCTTTGGCTCCGGCACCGCCGCCATCGTCAGCCCGGTCCGGTCCATCAGCTGGCGCGGCAACTTGGTCGATTGCGGCCTCCGTCCGGACCAGGAGTCGGGCGAGATCACCACCCGCATGAAGAACTGGATCGAGGGCATCCAGTACGGCGAGGAGGAGCATCCGTGGAGCGTCGTGGTGGGATGAGCCTCTAGAGACAATGTAGCAATCCAACACGGCCATTGCAAGTAAAGTAAATCATCGATTCAGGTAGCAAAACAAAGCGATCCGTCCCAGCCTTCTACCGTCTATCGGTCTTCTCTGCCGTCTGCCAGCCGTCTACTTCTTCTCCGGGAACGGGTCGGCCAGGATGCCCTCGGCCTCTAACCGCCGCCGTGCCTCCTCGAGCGCCCAGGTCTGGATGCTGCGGCAGGTTAGCAATGCCGGACGATGCGAAGACTGATTTTATGATTGTTCAAGTTCCAAAAAATAAAAATAAAAATAATAAAAATAAAAAAAAACGAACCAGACTCACGAGCTGTCCGGCTTAAAGGGCACGATCGCTGCAAACAGGACCAGGCTGCCGCAGAAGCCCCAAAACATGGGTTTCTCCCAGCCCTCGTTCTTGTACTTGTCGCCTGGCTTGACGCCGAACAGCCAGCCGGTCGGCGCGTCGTACGGCGACTCGTGGTGGTGGCCGGCCGACCGTCCGGCCGCCGTGCTGGAAAATGCCGCGCGCCCGCCAGCTGCTGTGGTCGTCATCGTGGTCGTCGTCGCTGGGCGCCGCGCAATCGATGCAGCCGCGCGCCGGACCGCCGAGGATGCCGTCATGACGGAGGCGATAGGATGAAAAGAGAAGCAGAAACAAAAACAGAAACAGAAAAAAAGAAAAAGAAAAAGCGAGATCAATCCGGCCGGAGACGCGCGGAAAACTGGTCTTGGCCCCGCCGACAAGCGGAACACGGCGCGGAATGGAATGGGGAAAAAAGAGGACAGAGCGGAGAGCGGAAACGGTCCAGAGGGTCGGTCACGGACAGGCAATGGGAGAGGAGTTCGTCGTCGTGGCCAGCTACGCTTGTCTGGTGTCGGTCAAGAGGAGCGTCAAAAATGGTCATCCTCCCGTTTGGACGCCGCCTGCTGATTGGCCGGTGGCGGAAATCTTCGGAACCACTGGCGGGCCGGAATGGGTCACGTGAGCTTTCCAATGTCTGTATATCCTATTCTCGCCAAGTCTCCAACGTCCAAAACACGTAGACCAAACGCCAATTGACCTCCCTTACCTCGTCCCCATCAATACCTCCCCCCCATCATGTCGTCCAGGATCCCCTGCAACACCGGCCTCCCCTTGAGCAGGATGCCCTCGGCCGGCCGCACCCGCCGCAGTGGCTGCCGGTTCTCCTTGTCCCGGCTGCTCCGTGCCAGAGGTGATCGGCCAACCGCCGCTGGCGACAGCATGGACGATGGCGGTTGTGTGGCCGGCACGTCGTCCAACCGGTGGCTCTCGAGCGCGTCGGCTGGCAGGTTGTAGATCCAGTCGCGGGCGTCCATGAGAGCGACGAAGCGGGCGAGCATGTCGCCATTGGGATCGGGATTGGTGTCGTTTTCTTCTGTACTTTCGTCTCCCCATCGTCCTCCACTTCCTCCTCCTCCTCCACTCAACGTGCTCCGACTGCCGACCACCAGCAGCTTCGTCTTCGCCCGCGTAAAAGCCACGTTGATCCGCCGCCAGTCCTTGAGCAGCTCACCGATGCTGCAGGCTTCGTTGTTGCGCACCAGCGACAGCACCACCACTTCCTTGTCACGACCCTGGAACCGGTCCGCCGTATGCATCTCAAGGCCGCCACCACTGCCACCACCCATCCCGCGCAGCCGATGGCGCAGCAGCGCCAGCTGCGACCGGTAGTGCGTCATGACACCAATGTCCGATGCCGCCACGCCGACGGCCAACAGTCCGGCCACCAGCTGGGCCACCAGCTCGGCCTCGCACGGGTTGACGATCCGGTTGCCCTTGGCCTCCTCGCGGCTGCCCGCAATGGCGTCCGTGTTGACAAAGACCACCCGGCAGGCCGGCTGCAACAGGTCCCTCAGCCAGCAGGGCTCTTCGGGCCTACCTCGGCAACCAATCATATCACGTGACCCTCCCCCATGACACACCCCTAGGCCCTCCAGCTGCACTGCCAGGCTGCGGTGCCGCAGCGCCTCGTAGCCGCAGCGCAGACGGCCGCCGTATATGAGCGTGTTGCTGAGCGTCATCACGTCCTCGCACATGCGATACTGGTGCGCCAGGCTGGCCACCGATGCCGGATGCGCGTCCGACAGGCGCTTGAACAGCGACACGTCCAGGCCGCCGGCCCGGGCCTCGTCGTTCTGCACCAGCGGTGGCAGCTGGTTGTGGTCGCCGACCAGAACAAACGTGCGTGCCATGCGGATCGGCCCTAGGCAGATGGGCAGCGTGATCTGGCTGGCCTCGTCCACGATGCAGTAGTCAAACGTGCGCTCGTGGAAGAGCGCGTGACCGATGCCGAGACACGTTGTCGCCACCACCGGACTGTCGTGCCACGCCCTGCGGATGGCCTCGAAGCTGGTCTGTGTTGCTGGTGCCTCGGCCAGCACGGCAAAGTCGCGCACTTCGGGGTGCACCTTGGCCGGAGCTCCGAGCCGAAGAATCGATATCTCCGAGTGATCCACTTTTCCCACTTTCTCGGCCGAGCTGCCCGGCTTCAGCTTCAGCAGGATGTTGTCCACGGCCGTGTGCGTGTACGAGGCCAGCAGCACGCTCTTGCCCTGTCGCACCAGCGCCCGGATGATGTGTGCGATCGTCGTCGTCTTGCCGGTGCCCGGCATCCCCAGCACCAGCGCGTAGTCCTGTGCACGCATCACCTTGGCAATCGCCTGGCGCTGGTCCACGTTGAGCTGGCCGTCTGAGCCACTGTCTTCTGTCTCTGACCGATTCTCCGTCTTCACTTCTGCCCGAAACCGTGGCGCCTCTAGGTCGACGACCAGCCGTCGGATCGCCTCGGCCGCGTCGCCGGCCTTTGGGCCTGCCATGATCTGCACTAGGTTGTTGCGCACCGTCGCCATCCCGTTGCTGAACTCGTCCTTGTCCAGTCGATAGCGTGTCGGCCTTTCTTTCACCTGCTCTCCCTTCGCTTCTGCCTTTTCGCGCCCGCCCACCTCCATGATCCCGGCAAAGACCTGGTTCGTCTTTTCGTCAAAGCCAGGCTGCCGGATCCGCGCATTGTGCAGTCGCCGGTCCACGGCCACGTCGATTCGTTGTCGTCGGACTGCTGTCACAAACCCAATCGCCAGGGCAAAGTGGCCTTTTTCGTCCGACACCACCACCGGCTCGCCCACCACCAGCTGTGAGTCCATAAAGCTGAAGCCTGCTGGCGGGTCCTCTTTGACGAAGGAGTAGTGAAACCGGTTGATCTTTCCACTGGATGCGGCTTGTTGCTCTCTTCCTCCTTTCCCCCCCACCCCTCCCTCTCCACCCTCTCCCCCTAACACCACCTCCCCGAAACAGCGTCCCAGCCTCTCCCGCTCGGCACTGCTCATCGTCCAGAGCTCTCGCCGCAGCCGCTGGCTCTCGCGCTCCTCCTTGGTCAGCAGGTCCTCCCAGCGCAGGAAAAAATCGCGATGCTGGTCCGTCAGATGGCGCACGGCCTCGTCAAACGGCGCGCCCATCCCGCTCGTCTCGCCGTCGCCGCCGTCGGCCAGCCGGTGGTACACAAAGCAGGCGGCCTGCGCGCAGCACCGCCCGCACGCGTTCGCGCTGCGCTTCATCGGCGGCAGTCGCACGCTGCGCTCGCGCACATGGCCGGCCAGCTCGTTGCGCTGCATGATCATGTGGCGCAGCTCGTGTCGGATTGCCGGGACCCGCAGCATCTGCGAGCTCTCCATGTAGAAGAGCACGCCGTACTGCACCGCAATGTCGTACCGGTCCGTCAGCAACAGGTTGTACAGCACCGTCTGCGCCTGATGGCTGCTGCTCATGTTGCGTCCCGTCTTGAGCTCAAACGGCACCGTCAGTGTTGTCGTCTTTGTCGTCTGGCCCCCTTGTTGGCCCTGCTGGCCCTCCTCCATCACCACCTGCACGGTCGCGTCAATGTTGCCCTTGAGCCCGTACATGGGCGACCACACGTGCTCCTCCACGTCCAGCAGCTTGTTGATGCTCATCCGCACCCGCTCGCCGTTGCGTCCTTGCACGATCGAGCTTGTCTTGGGTGTCGTCGCCAGGAACGTGTCGGCCCAGCCCTGCAGCTCACGCGTCTGCGTCAGCAGGTGCTCGCGCGCTGCTGCCGCCTGCACCCGGATCGTGTACAGCTTCTCCAGGTGCTTTTCGATCGCCCGGTCCACCGTCGCCGCCAGAAACGCCCCGTCCCACCGGTTCGCCATCAGCGCGTCCTGGAAGATCTCGTGCAGCACCGTCCCATACACCAGCGCCGGTGTCGGCTCGCTCGTCGCCTTGACCCGGTCCTGCAGCACCGCTCGCCGCGTGCACGTGAACGAGTCGGCCACCACCGTTGCCGACACCAGCTGGTCCGGGTGCAGGATCAGCATATTGTGCTCGTTGTCCACTACGCATGTCCGCGTCTGCCCGTCAAACTCTCCGATCACGTGCACAAACGCCTTCTCGCTTGCGGCTGTTTCGGCCCAGTCGCCGCGTAGCCGCACCGTCATCGCCGCCTGGGACCGTTCTCCCTGCACCACGAGCACCTGCGCGACTGTTAGCCGGCCGAAAGCACAGCCACCACCGGACGCGAACAGACTCACCTTCTCCTGGGCCTCTCGCCCGCGCTCGTCCGTGTACCAGCTCGTCGTCACACTCGTCACGAGATATCGCTGGATCACCCTCGGCTTGGGCCCGCTGGCGGCGCACTACACGAACACAAATAGTCTCCGTTTAGCCTCTTGCTTCATCGTCTCGTCGTCTCATCATTTGCGTCTACCTGGATGCTCTCGTACGCTTGGGATATCGGCCCGTGAAACCGTTGTGTGGCCGGCCTGCGAGACCGCCTGTGTCGCCGCCTTCTCTGCCGCGTCAAAGTCAAAGTCTGCTCCAAACTCATCGCCGTACATGTCTTCCATGTCGTCTGCGGCGGCTGGCGGCGTGCGTGGCTGCGGCCCCCGAGTCTGCGGCAGTCGTGGCTCTGCCTCCATCTCGGCCATCAGATCCTCGGCTGCCGCGAAAAGGTCGTCGTCGAGGTCTTCAAACTCGTCCGCGCCCCGACTCTCCTTGCTCCCCGGCCGTGCAGGTTCCGGTGCAGACGGCGCTATGGATGCATCGATCTCGGCCAGGATGTCCTCGTCAAAGAAGTCATCGCCGTAGTCGGAGAGCGTGTCGGCGTCTGTCTTGGCAGGCTCTGCTGGAGCCGGCTGACCAAACGACTCTGTATCTACCAAGGTCTCGGTGGTGTTAGCCTGTGGTGCAGGGTGTAGCTGCTGTGCTCTCGGCTCGTGCCCAGAAAAGAAGGCGTCTGCTTCGTCGGCGATCTCGCCCGGCCGTGGCCGAACGGGTGGCCGGACATCGTCCACGCGCTGCCGCTTTGCCACGGGCGTGCCGCAGCTCATGGCGCGGCGCAGCGTCGAGTCGCTGCGGGGAGATGGATCGTCGTTGGCATGTGCCGTCTGTGGTCCCGGTCCCGAGGACTGTGTTTTTGTTGCTGCTGCTGCTGCCCTGGTCTTGACCGTACCTGTGCCGAGGGCCGTGTGGTGGCGCGTGAGCCGGGTGCGGGCCACGGGCGGTACCGGATTCGCCAGCGCCGTCTTGAGGGCCTCCTTGAACTTTTGCACGTTCAGGGCCACCTTGCGTGAACGCGCGCTGGATGGAGACGACGGCGGCGACAGGCTTCGTGGCCGCTTGGCACCGCGACTGCCGCCCAACGGCGGTGCGGCCACGGGCTCCGGCAGCTGAACCGTGCCCGCATCCGTGTCTGCGTCCGTCACCCACGACAACTGCGCGTTGGGCGATATCCCCAGCGACTCCCGCACACGTGGCGCCACCGGCGTGCCGGCCAGATCTTGCCACGCAAAACGGGCTCGCGGTGTCGCCACGTGGATGCTGAGAAACTCGGGCGTCACCTTGTCGGGCTGCGTGCACGGCCTGTCGTTCTCCTTGTCCGAGTCGGCCTGGTCCACGCTCTTCTGGCAAGGCCGGGACGCTACTGCGGCTTCGTCTTCCGGCATGGCCGTGCTCTCACAGCTATCGGTGGCCGGCTGGAACGCAAACTGCTTCAGCTTCGTCTTGGTCGTCGTGGATATCTCAACGGGCGGCGGCGGCGGCGGCGGTGGTGGAGCATAGGTTGAATGGCTCTTGGCCCGTCGCCATTGCTCGCCTTGATTCGGTCTCTGTTTCAGTCAGATAGAAAGCCAACAGACAGCTGGCCAAAAAAGGGGATACCCACCCAGGATCGGTTCTGCTTCTCCGACAAGGACTTTTGGAGGGGAGACATGCTAACCGCTCAGGCCACACCATTCGTGGGAGGAGCTGACTGGCTGAGGACCTTGTGGTCTTGTTGTGTGCTCCATTATGAAAATCGCGGGTGGGATGCTAGCTGCTGCATAATAGGCATAACCGGAGACGCGACTTCGACGCGTGTTGCCCCGGACCGTTGTATTTTTGCAATTAAATTCAGAATGGTCTCCACGACGCGTGCAGCCACGCTGTGGCGGTGCAGATCTGCGCTTACTGAGTTCACGTGATGTGATCTCATATCTTACATAGTTGCAGCTCCCCACATCCGGTCGTTCCAGCAGGCTCACCAGCCGGAAGCACCATCCAAACGACGACAACATGGACGACAACAGCGACGGCAGCGCCGCCGACGGCGGGCTGGACGCCAATTCGATCACCAGCATCAGCAATCTGCACGTCAAGTCACTGGGAGATCTGGCACGGCTGTCCGGCCACCTGCCGATCAGCTGGCCGGATCTGCCGCGCATGCCCTTCTTCGGGCCTCTGCTGGGCTTCAACGACCAGTGGTACCGTGCCGCCATTGCGCTGAGCGTGCTGGAGACGCGCTGGCGCGGCAATCGGTCGCTGACGCCCGAGGAGGTGCAGGTCGTGGCCGGCCAGACGGCCAAGGCTGTCGCCACCATGGCCTACGAGGTGCCCGTGCTCTTCGGCACCACTTGGCTGTACGAGCGTCGTGGCCGTGCCACCTTTCGCTTCCCCTTCTTTCAGCCTGGCGCCTCCTTCAACCCCGGCGTCTTCCCCTCCGCCCGCTGGCCCGCCCTTCAGGGTACCGCCGCCCGCTCCATGTGGCACCTCGCCCGCGTCTGCCTCTACACCAGCCTCTCGCACTTTGCCCTGCGCACCCTCTTCATCTCTTACGCCATGGCCGTCAAGAACGTCGAGTTCGAGCGTGATCCCCGCCTCGGCTCTCTGCGCGCTGCCATCCGCGACCACATGGCCGACCGCCTGGCCAGCCGCGAACAACAGCTGCATCCCACCAGAGGATCGCCCGGTTTGCCGCTGCCACCACCGGGACATTCCACACAGCCTTTGGCCCATCCTCGTGAGACTGACAGCTCCGCCTTCATCTCTACCTCCAACACCCCCACACCAGCTCCCGTTCAGCCCTACGATGATCTGTCCGACGAGACCGACAACTTTGCCGCCGACACCCATGACGAGGCCTCACCCGTTGCGCCCATCGCCCGTCACCGTGGCTGGAAGCGTGACGTCCGCCCAGACGACGGCGCCAACAGCGGCTCGGCCTGGGACCGCGTACGCAATCAGGCCTCCTCCGGCGAACCCCGGCCTGTCCCGGTTGCCCACAGCTGGGGCGCCAGCCGGAGAGCAACGCCACAACCGGCGGCCGCGAGCCAGAAACCCACAGACGACGACCGCTTCTCCGAGTTCTCCGTCGAGAAGCCGACTGAACGCCAGATCGAACAGAAAGAGTTCGACGCCATGCTGGAACGCGAACGCCAGGGCCAGGGTGACGAGAGAAGGAGGCCGTAGCCGTAGCAGATATTCAATCGGTCTCAATATGGCATGACTTAATAAACGCACTTTTAAAAATTGTCCCCCATAACATAAATACGCTCTATGCAACTCAGGGTATCGCAGAATCGAACAGCCTGTACATAAGTGCATGCCCAAAGCACCAAAACCACATACAGGAGCCCTGACAGCGTGCAAAAAGTTCCCGTCCTTGAATCCTAAAGGGTCAGAAGTGGATGGATTCCTGCCTGCCCACTGTCGTATCTCGTCGCATGGCATCCAGTCACTTGTCTCCTCGTCTCATTCCGGCACGCTTGCCATCCCCGATCCCGGCACAAAGTGCCCATACACTCCGTCGTCGCTGCTGTCCGTCGACTTGGGGCTCTGCACCCCGTTAATGTCCACGCCCGAGAAACTGCCAAAACCTTCGTGCTGGCCCAGCGTGCCAAACCCGTTGCTGTTGCCGCCGCCCATCCCCCCGATCCCCATCCCCAGCGCCAGGATGCTCTGCCGCCGCGCCGCTTCCATATCGACCGCGCTCGAGCTGCGGCTGAAGCTCGGCTTCTCCGGCAGCTTCTTGAGCAGGCCCGTGCTGATGTCCAGCATGCCCATCGCAAACTCCGTCAGGCCCTTGCCTTCACCTGGCTTCGAGCTCACCGAGAGCGTCCAACGATACTCGCCCAACCGTCGCCGGTACCACTCGGCCTCCTCGCGTCCCGGTGATGTCGCCCACAAGAGGCTGCCAAACGTTCCGATCAGCGCAAAGTTGGTCTTGGACGCAAAATACCAGAATGACTGCAGATGGTTCGGCGTCAGCCGGTTAACAAAGTCCATTGCTGAGATCAGCCGCGCCTTTGCCGCCGATCGGCAGATGTGCTGCACATATGGATCAGGCCCATTCTGGCTGCCACCGCCTCTGCTGGTCCCGTTGCCGTTGCCGCTGCCGCTGCCGCTGTTCGAATGCACCGGTGACGCCGGCGTGCTCACCGTCGAGTGCGTCATGCCGCCTGGTGGCGTCATCGACCGGATGATCCGTCGGTGCAGCGTGATCTCGGCCGCAAAGTACGCTAGGTGTAGGTAGCCGATGCTACACAGCCGGCCGCTGCTCAACGGCCCCGATGAGATGGACGAGTCCATCCGCACCGCTGTCGGCAGCGCCGAATACCACTCTTTAAGCTTCAGCTGGATCGGCTTGGCCAGCGCCAGCACCGTCTGCGTGCCCTGCGCCCCTGCCGCCGCCACATTGTGCACCGCCTGCAGCGTGTAGAACGTCTCCAGGATCTCTGCCAGCACCTGTGTCAACTGCACCATCTGCGCGAACAGGATGCGGCCGCGCTCGATCTGCAGCCGCTCTTCTGTGTCCTCCTCGTCCCACTCCACATCCTGGAAGTCGTTCGGCTGCAGCTGCCTCACCGCCCAGTTGTTGGCAAATATGTGCGATGGCCGCCCGTGCACAAGTGCCCCCCATTTGTCCTGCATGTACAGTGCCCACGCTAGTCGCTTGCGCAGTCCACGTTCCCACGGTGGGATCTTCCAGCCCGAGCAGTCCAAGTGCAGACCTAGCTCCTGCCCAATAGCCGCCAGCTGTGCTGTGGGTGCCCACTGGTCACCCTCGGGCCGCTGCGACAGCAACAGTCCCGCCTGCACTGTCGAGAGTTTGGGTCGGAACATCGCATCCGCCAGCGTTGTCCGCACAAGCCGCTCTAGCTCGCGCATGTTGGGCCGCGGCTGGCCGATGAGCTCCTCGTCCTGGTCCCACCAGTTGATCGCCAGGATGTATATGGTCGCGAGCAGCGGCGGCGAGATCTCGTGCGGCGATGTCTCGTACTTCTCGTAGAATACTGTTTTCTGGATGATGGGAAAGGCCGGATGCACCACACGGAAGTATATGTCGACGAGCCGGCGTCCATTCGGACCTACGATTCGCTCAATTTCCTCCACATCATCGGCCACGTGCTCAAAGCCGGGCGTGTTGTAGTCTGGCAGAAGCAGGAACGTGTCGCTATCGCTGACCTTGCGGAGCGTGCCACGGGCCAGAAGGCTCTCGTCTTGCGGGTCAAAGGGCGAGAGATTGATCAGAGACGGCTCGAAGTCGGTCGTTGGCCCGATATATTGGGAATACCGGTCCTGCTGTAGGCCTAGTGTTCGTTTCAGCATAGTGGCACCGCCAAAGTTGGCCATGTCCTCTGTGAGCGAGTTGCTGGCGGCTGTGCTCGAGAAACTGGCGTTTTGCCGTAGTCGTCTGTTATCATATCGTCCAGAGAATCTGTGCGCCAATCAAACATTAGGATCTTGGCCATATAGAACCAACACTGACGGTCTGTGCTCTCTGCACGTACTGCGACCCGTCCGCGTATCTCCAGTGCACAATCACAACCAAAGGAGACGGAAGGGGCAAAAAACCAATAAAAATCACGGACGGTCATGTGAAGTGTAAGGCTGCTAGGGGGTGTGGGGGGGATAGGGGTGTGGGAGACAAATCAGGCACTGCCTCAAGAGGCAATAGTTTTTACGACGTAAGGAGAGAGAGGGCAGAAGGTAGAACAGGAGAAACGGGGGGGAGGAGACGGGAAGGTGGGAGCACAAGCCATAGTGCTCTAGTATGGATAGTTTGGGGGTGGTGCATTGGGGTGGGCTTTGGTAATCCACATCTCCCGATTGGGGTGTCTCAACTTTGGGCGTCTTGCGAGGTCTCGCGAGGTTTTGGGATTGGGGAATGTTTTTGGAGGTCTTGGAAAGTCTGTGAAGTCTCGCTTAGGTTCGTCTTACCCTCTCTTGCTGTTGCCATCGTCCGGATCGCCGGCCAGCTTCCTCTTGCGAGGTTGGGGGCTTTCTGATAAAGAGCATTCGAAGTTGCCCACCTGGCAGGACACACAGACGTCATCGTCCTCGCCCATAACGCAGCGGATACGACGTCTCTGGCAGGCCTCGCAAGGTGTTGCGGCAAAGGTGGTAAAGGGAGAGCTGGAAGCGGACAAATCGAGGCGGGCGAGGCTTGCAGGATAAGAATCGGCGCTGATGCTGTCCTGGCGGCTCGGCGGGTGGGAGCGTCGAAGTGCGGTGAAGCTTGTAGTAGCACGACCGAGAGGATCGGAATATGAAGAAGCAGGCTTGGGAGCTATGGGAATAGGCGCCGTTCTGGCCATGGCACTCGGGGTGGACATGGCGTCCGTAATAGGTCCCAGCGATGCCGAAGACCGTGGGACAGCAGAAGGCGGAGATATCCACTCTCACCAGTAACCTGACCGGGCAGTCCGTGGGGACCTGGCTCGGGAACGCACCGAGCGAAGCCAGGTAGCCACACAAACACGAGATCTTCTGATAAGCACCAGGGTCCCGCGGCTGGCTGCTCAAAACGGTGTCTCGTTGCGTCCACTGCTTGCCCGTTTCACGTTCCGGCACAGGCCCTGGTCAGACAGGCCCGCTTTGTGGGAGCTGATAAGAAAAACAGGACACCTTCCTCAGCCGCTCGCTCGCTCGCCCGGCCACCAGAATACGGACAAGATAAGGCCGTCTTTTAGGAAGGGCGATGCGACCCAGAGAAAAACAGAACTAGGAAGTCTGTCCCAGCGCCAAGCGGGGTATGAAATATGCAAAGACTGCTTCTGTTCCTGGGGATGGATCTGGACGTCTGTCTTGCCAGAAGAGCAGACGACTGCACGAGATCGCGGCAAAGCTCGCGTGTCCGGGTGAGCTTTCTAGACGGCAGAATCACCGGCAGCTCCGATAGGACAGTCCTCACGTGCCCTCGCACAACTGAGACGAGCGGTATAGAAAGGTGAAACTTTCTCTGACGTGGCCGTGAAAACTACGACGAGAATGCAGCACCACTGCGTATGGAGCGTGTGCTATACGCCGAGACCCGAGAAAGCAGAGGAAGAAGGCGAACGACAGCCCGGCGCGATGAGCCGTGGCTGGCCAGATGTGACAAAGCCGTTTGTAAACGTTCGGAGAAGGTGTCCAGTAACGGGACGAGAGAGAGAGGAGAAAACGGGGGGGAGCTCCGGGGACGGTTAGGTGACAATTGAGACGAGGACGAGATAAGCTTGGCTTATCGGCGTCATTGGGGTGATTATATCGAGAAATGGGAACTGTTCCGTAAGGAGATCGAACAGAGTGGGATGGGCGCCTGCAGGACACCTCATCTGGCAAACAAAGCTGGCAGAGAGGACGGACTGGGTAGACGGGGAGATAGCGATATAAAGATAGGATATGAGATGGTGGGGGTCGGCTTGTTTAAACAAGTGCAGAAAGGGAAAGGGGACAAAGTGAGCAGATCTAGCAAGTCGAGATGCCGGCTCTAGAATTGGCGCCAAAGATCTAGTGTCTGTGTGAGGCAAAGGGGCAACTCGTGCTAACTGCTTAGGCTATTGCAAGGCCATACGTCGCACTGGCTCTGCCGCAGCGCACGGGATTCCGCGTGGTGCTAGTGCTGTGCGTGTTAAGTGGTGTCTGTCCGTGATGCCGATAGGAGCCGTGTTGGTTTTTTTTTTCATCCTTCCTTGCAGCTCTGCTCATGAAGGATTCCGGCACAAATTTTCCTCACCGACAACAGCAGTATTTCCACCGCCCGGCGGCAGTGCTCACTCTTTGTCAGCTTCGGCGGTTCGTCGCTTCCGCTTAAGCAAATTACGCATCTTACGACAGGCGAGTTCCCGTCTGCACCTGCCCGTTTGCCAACTGATAAGAGCCCGAGCTGGGACGTAACAGCTACGTCGTAGAAATACGAATTGGAAGGAACTGGCCTTATCGGCTGCATTAAAACACAAAATACATAATGGGAAAGCACAAGCCGGGGCTAGATACGAAAAGCGCAAATCACAGTACAGCGTGTTACCTACAATGGTGGCAGTACTCCGCAAAGAGCGAAGAGAGGGCGGGGAGATGTGCTGCTCCTCTGTATGCACAGTACACCATCGCGCACGGCTGGTATACACAAGTACTTAGTACAGCATGGCTGGGCTTATCAATACCGCGACGAATTCTGCGCTCGGAACGTCTCGGGTAGAAGCGACCTGCCAGGGACCCGCAGCTCTTTGTTCGCATGTCGAGAATACAGTGTCCATGGGACAGCATATCGGCAGCGATTTCCAGATATTCCCAAGGTCAGCGTGTGGGGTCCAGTCAGAGACAAGGCAATTGGAATTGGCAGGCAACGTCACAGACGCTATTACCAAATAGAAAGCGCGAAACGGTAAGGCCAAAAACACGCTGCGCCTGCGATGGATACATTTAACGTAATGGTTCCGGCCATCCACCGCATCCACTTCATGCACAGCAATCAAACAGTGACATCATAGTTTGCGTTGCACGTGCCCAGCCTGGAGCGTCTACTCTATTAAGCGCACCAGGCGAACAACCGCAAAGAATGAGAAGCAGACCGCCGCGGCCAGAGACCATGGGATGAGATCGGAGACCAGATGGCTGCACAGCCAGGACGTGCGCGATAACACGGCGTCGGCCAGGCCGCAACAGATCAGGTGGAACTAGACCCAGACTGCGAAATTGCGGATTCCAACTATAAATCGCACAGAGGTCCAGGTTGGGGTTATAATGTATCGTCAGACTCGGACGAGATACTGACTCGGACGAGATGCTCGTACTCTTCAAGTCCAGATGGACTCACGTGAGCCATCCCTGTATGTCAAAATTGTGGGGTTCCCGACCCTTCCAGATGGTCTGCATCTCATATGGTGGGCACCCTGCATTGCACAGCGCGGGGGCGTCTGCTACATACGAGCAGTATTACTCGTACACTGCCTGCGCACGCGGCTTTCACGCGGCTCTGTGCACGATGCGGCAACTGCCCACACTTTGTTGCTGCTCGTTGCTGCCTATTTGGTAGCAGCCGAAACCATAGTCTGCCTGTGGCCCAGTTAGGCCTCTGCAACTCCTCTACGACGTAGTCAGCCGTTGTCGCGGGGGTCAGCCCACGAAGTTAACCGACGGCGAATGCCTGCCTACCTCCCACGATACTTGTTGCCCTCGTGCATAGGCCAGTCTCAAACAATATGATCACAGTTCCAATTTCTTTCTCTTCACCAATTGGATCACTGCCATTTCGGTAGAATACGACTCGGCCTCGCTATCCACTTCTGCGCCTGCATTCTCCGCGTGGGAGAACAAGTATGAGAGGACGGGATGACAGACGAAACACGAATAACCCCATGCTCAGACCATTTCGTGAGGACACCTTCTACTTAGTTCTTGATCGTTTACATCGTCTCCCCCCGCCCCTAACAGCAGGATACTGCCGCGCAAATTTGTCTTAACTCATACGCTTTCGCATAAGACAGGCTGCGTCCGTGTTGGTCTCTTCCCTTTGCAAAATCCGCATTGTCCGGTTTTTGACATCACGGCACCATGTCGGCCGAAAAAGTAACGGTCTCACGCCGGTCCCAGATCAGACCAAACACCACCTCTCCTCTAATCCAAATCATGTGTACAACGCAATATGGGACCATGCCCATCCACACATAGCACGCGAATCTCATACGAGCACAGCGTGCATCTAGACCAACAAACCCGGCTCGAGCAGCCAATGAGTGATGGGACCATATTCTGGAAAATCGTCACTTGTAGCAGCTGGCTTGTAACTGCGTTGTTGCAGCTCGACATGGAGGCTCGAGACCGAGTCGGTCGGAAAGGACGTTCCATCGTCCTAAACACTCATTAGATGAGACGACAGAAAACGAGCACAAAATAGGAATGGTCACCAAGCAGAACCTACCGACAGGACGACGATGCGCAGTTGCTTGTGCAGCTGTGCAACAACAGAATCGGAATCAACGAACGACGGGGGCCTAGATCCCCGCTCTTCGGCTAGCAAGGCATGCCGTAGCGGCACCAATGTGTAGCTGGTGCCTGTCGACGGCATGGTTAACAGAGAGGCACCGCCAAGCTTGTTACTGCTGGTGTTGGTGCTTACACTGCCGTTACCGCTGTTGTCTACAAGATGCAACTCAATCGAGCACGGCAGCGGCAGCTGGGCCCGGTCGACGGACAGTTCGATGGAATAGTCGGTGGTGTCCATGATATTATTGCGCTTGGCCTTCTGTTGCCATCGGCGTCGACCACTTCCTGATGCGGTATTTGCGGCCTGTCCGTACAGGCTGTTGACGGCCGCGCGGGCAGAGGCGGCCAGCTCGTCAGGTGACAGGGACCAGTCGGGCAGCTCGGGGTAGGTGTAGCCGAATGTTCGGGTGGCCTCCACAGAGCGGCTGGTATGATAGACGGAAGTGCTATCATCGTCGCTGCTGTTGCCAGGAGCCCGAAAGGGCAGAAGGGGACTGTCGGCGGTCTGGAGCCCGGCGGCTGTACCAAAGACGGAATGACCCATTTGGCCCGAAGTGAACACGGAACTGTTAGGGTGGATAGCTTGCCAGAGCGCAAACAGGCGGTCGACGTTGGCATGATGGAGGAAGCTGGTAGTCAGTTTCGCGGCGCTTTCCCATTTCTCAGCCCTCAGCACCGGCGTACTCACAACACTGGATCGAAACCCGAATAGCTCAAATCACCCATGTGTCCGATACGTCCTGACTCCGACAGACAGCCTATATCATTATGCACATAGTTGTGCGGGTCCTCGAAGCTAGCACCTGCATTGGCTGTGGAGGCCATGGACTCGAACGTCGTGCTTTGAGTGAAGACGGCATACTAGGAGAGAGTCAGGCACAGCCACCACGGGGCCTGGGATATCTCGTCGGCCAGTTTTGACACCTACCACTTTTCGTGTCAGCATCGGCCCGTCACCAAGGAGCACGTTATCGGCCTTGGTCGTATCGCTTTTGCCAACTGCTGCGCCACTCGTAGTTGTGCAACGTTTTGTCGCACTGAATCGAGCGAGAAAGCCGCCGAAGCCACCACCTTTGAAAGGGTAGTTTGGAAATTGGTAGCCGTACAGTGGATTGGGCATAGTGTCTGGGCCCGCTGGACCGTTAAAATGAACCGTCGGAGCAATTACAGCATCAGGCAATGCCGCATTGCTGGCCCAGTCCCAGAAAGGCAAACGAAAAGTCTGGGCGGCCGCATCATATTCACCGATAGTATCGTTAGGGTACTTCTTCGCAGCTTTGCGCGCATAAGAGGCGAGTATTTGCTTATAAGTTAGTCAAGTCGTGCTGCTGATAAGGTTATAGACCAGGCTACAGCTAAGAAACTTACCTCGAACAGCGCCATATACGGACGGTGCCAGGTAATAAACGTTGTTTGCTACATGCAAGTTAGCGGACTGTACCGTGGTACGGATGATTTTCTTTGGGACCTGACACCATGAGGACAGTATCCCGTTGTGGAACCGCCAGACACTTGGCCAACACCATCCCATGATGTGTATGGAAGACCGTGAATTCCTACAGCCCGTTAGTAACAAAACGGGAAATCTAACGGTTGCCGTTGCCTTAAGAACGAGTCTAACCAGCTATTTGATAATATGACTCAACCTCGGTCATTTTGTCGCTTTGAAAGAGATCCAAAGCCTGGACGAGGAGGTCCCTTTGAAAGCCTCTATCAGTATGGCTATGCGTATAATGATCATAGAGATATTACTCTGACATACCAGTGTGCACCAGCCTCATCAGAGACATCGTCAATATTTCTCCGGCTCGGTCGTTCACCAGTAGTGTGGTCAACCCCGGTAGAGACACCAACAACAGCAACAGCTTCAGCTGATGCCACTGGGGAGAAAGCCATCGCTACCCAAATAGATGTGACCAGACCCCAAAATGAAAAGTAAGTGAAAAGGGTCGATGTGCGCGTACTTGACGTGTCTAGATGCATGGTGTCGTATGAATTTGATCGAGATAGGGCGACAACCTCTCCACTTCAAACAAGGCAGGAACAAAATATATTTCTTGTCCAAGTGAACAAACAACAGTTGGGAGAGGCGATCATCCAAAAGAAAAAAGAAGAAGCAACGAGTGAGGAACAAGGGACGACGGGGATTGTATAGGGCTCACATAAACAGGCTTATAAATACCTCCGTCATCGGTTCTTTACAAGTGTGAGTCGCCACCAACTTATATACCAGTGCCGGCCAACGAGCATATGATTGCGAAGATACACCCAGCCTGCACCTGGATCAGCGAGTGCTGCAAAAGACTCTTGGCCCGGAGAAAAGTTTGGTGGTCTCACCTGGCACGGAGTCAACGAAATGCAAGGTGATGATGTATATGGCATACATTCACGTGAACACCGCAACCTCTCGTTCTAAGAGAAAAGTAACTGCTTCGTATAAACAGGGGGACTGTGGAGTGGGAACGGAGGACAATGGGAAATATTGAAATGATGGGATGTGCTGGAAAATTCTATGGCTTGCACAGAGCCCAGTGAAAAGTCACAGGAACAAAAGTGTTACGGCACAGAAAAATAAGAGGCAAGCACAGGGAAGTACCAGGGTTGCAGAGTGTTTTGTCAAGTGATAGGGCCGATTGCTACGTGTCGGTGAAGCCCCTGCATCTCAATGGACAAGGGGTCTGGATTACTTCACAGATGCTGTCTGCCACTTGGTGGGCATATTCACACCAAAGGCTGAATAAGAAGAAGGCAGAGTGGGGACGATAAGGCGTAACAAAGTTTGGTGCCACTGGAAGAACTTAACTGAAGTGCACTGCAGTATACAAGAGCGTACGAGAGTTCGTATGCTGCCTGCATTCGTATATGCTTGGGTGTAGAGTCTGTGCACTCTGTATGAGTGGACGTGTGAGCGAGTGTGAACAAAGCTACTCAAATCCAATCGTTCGCAAAAACGACCTTGGATGGATCGCACAGGAGAGTGGAAATGGACAGCAAGAAAAGAGAAGTCAGGATAGGACGGCACCAAAAAAGGGAAGCGTTTCCGTAGCTTTCAAAAGCTATGCCGAAAAAAAGGCAACATAAGTGTCGAGAGAATGGCACGACATGTGGCCGGAGTGGTGAGCACGAACCGTGGACATCCAAGCGGTAATATCATAGTACCCAAGGAGGCAGACATGATGAAACGAGGCATGCAGAAAACTGTATATGTCCCCAGCACTTTCTTAATATTCTGTTTTCCGCTATTGTGAGCCTCTCCATCACGGAGAGGCTGGTGTGAAAAGCAGTGGTCGACACGGGAGAAGCAAGTAGTATCCCTGTGGTGCAATGTAGGACGGCATTGTGCTGATTGTATTCCTGGATCCGTGGAGAGTCGGTCAGACAGCACCGTCCTTCTGTTCAACCCACGACTGTGTTTGTCTTCTTAGCGAAGAGCTGGCCTCGGATCATTGCTAGGACATTTGAATCTCCAAACGGATGCAACAAATACTAAAGGGGCTAGGTGTTGGTCAGCGCATCGGTAGTCCCGAACTCCTAGGGCGTTGGTCATCCTGTGTGACGTTTGATTCTGAATACGTTCCCCTCTGGTAGAAGACTGAAAAAAGAGAGCATGGGGAGCATTTCAGCCGAAATTACTCCGTGAAGTCTCGGATTTTAGTCGGTCGCACAAGCACCAAGAGGGAAGGGGCAGCACATACTATGTCCCATTTGAACGCTGACCATCCTTTTTCTTTCCTATTCAGGATGCCGCCTGAGAAGGGGGTCAGGCAGAATTGCATCTAGGAGAAGGTGCGATGGAGAAAGAGACATTGTGTGGAACTAGAGTGAGAGAAAGGTGTGCGATCCCAGTGCTGAGCTGAGCTTCCGCACCGAAATCCATTTCTCTTCTGTGGTATAATGCCGAGGCTAAAAATATATCAGAGAAGCATCTGTCGGTTCGCGAGACACCTGGTTCCACGACGACGTTGTGTCCCCGGACTCCCTCATTTTTGCCCAAGCTTCCACATAACAATGCTGGTCTTACGGGTTCCGTTGAAGACACAGAATGTCTTAGCAAATGATCAAGGGTCTCAATGCTTATGGTAACGGCTGTATTCATTCTTCGTTTCGCTTCTGCTTCCTGTGGGAATCTACACAAGATCTCTTCCATAATGCATTATTTCTCTTTGCAAGCCCAAATGTATATCCAGTCCCTTTCTTTGTCCTACTCCCCTTTTCTCTTTCGCGTTTGTCTTACAGACCCAGAAAAACTAACCAGGAAGAACAAACTAGCAAATGCAAATCAGAAACAAATCAACGCCGGGGCCTCACTGTGCCTGTCTAACAGCAGGAGGTACAGGGCTCAAACCAACAACAAAGAAAAAACGGCCAAGAATGTGGGGAAGAAAAGCAGAGCCAAAAACAAAACGCTGGTAGTGACGCGATGAGGAGGCGGTTATGAAGGATACTCCCAACAGTCCACCGTTCCATTACAAGGACTTCTCCAGCATGACCAGTTCCCGGAAGCCCTCTTTCCACTTTGTGGACTGCTCGACGGTCGGGCGCGGCAGCGGATGCCGCGTGTACCCGCCATAGCCAGACCAGGCCTGCATACCAGTCTTGACGCCGATGACGCCACCCTGGATGGCGGTCCAGTCGCCCTGGGCCACGGTCTCCTGCATAGCCCGCGCACCGGCCAGGTCACCTTTCTGGAAGAGCTCCATGGTGCGGACGCAGGCCTTGGGTGCGATATTGGCCAGACCGGCCAGGATGCCGTGACCACCGACCGCCAGCGACTGCACAGTGAAGTCGGCAGAGCCAGCGAGGACGAGGAAGGGCGGACTGGTCGACGTCTCGTCGGCCGACTGTTTGCTGGTCATCTTGCGAGTGGCAGCGACGACGCGAGCGAGCTTGCCGGTGTTGCCACAAGTCAGCTTGACACCGGCAATGTTGGGGTGTGCAGACAGGCGCACGATGGCGTCGGACGATAGATCGACACCGTTGGCACCGCCAGGGTAGTTGTAGATGAGGATGGGGATAGGCGAAGCGTCGGCGACGGCCTTGAAGTACGACTCGATCGTCTCGGACGCAAAGAGAGGTCCATAGTAGGAGGGCGGCAGCACCAGGGCAAAGTCGCCACCGCTGGCCCAGGCCTCGTGGCAGTATGCAATGGTTTCGCGTGTGCTCTGGCAGCCACAACCGACGATGATGGGCAGGCGAGAGAAGCCGGCTTCGTCGAGGGCAACACGAGTGGTGCGTGTGACAAGCTGGCGCTCAGCGTGCGTCAGCATCACGGCCTCGCCGTTGGAGCCCTGTGTGGCCAGGCCGGCAACACCGGAGCGGGCCAGTCGCACGGCATGGCGCGCAACAGTGTCCGTGTCAACATCTTCAGTCTCCGGGTCGAAGAAGCAGACCGTCGGCACATACACGCCGGGCTCCAGCCGACGGACTTCTCTGCGGCGGCCGACAGCGGCAACAGCATGAGAGTCGCCTAGTGGCAACGTGCTGTCATACGAGCTGCTGAGCGGCGAGGCCGACTCGAAGCCGACATCAGCCACGTCGAGGTGGGCCGTGGCTGGCGTGCTTGTTGGTGCCCGGAACGGAAAGCGGTTGAAGCCTGCCGTGTAGCTGCCAGACGGCGAGGGGGCATCGTTGTGTGGAGACATGATTGTGTATAGAAGAGGAGGATGGAGGATGAGACAAATGGTTGAGCAAGAGTGTGTTGTTGTGGAAGTGGCAAGAAGGGCAGATGGAATGGAAGACGGCGATGATGATGGTAAATAAGAAGGGAATACTTGTCAACTCGACAGGCAAGGAAGGGGATGTGCCAGATATATACCGGAGTACCGGCAGGCGTACTCAAGGAGACGCCGACGAGACTGGAGAGACATGGACAAGAAGAGTAAGATGACTGGGGGGGGGCGTGTGCCAACACTTGCTAGTGTCGGAGAAAGTTGGCGCAAATCTAAGAAAGGATACGATACTCAAGCAAGGATATCTTACGCCCTGGCCTGGTCGGGCTAAGAAGCAAAACGGAACCAGGACTATCCACAGGGCTGGGAGCAGGTGGTAGCATCGGAAGCATGTCCATCTCCTCTTGTTCTTTGTTCGTTCTTTACCGTTGTTCGGCATCTCTGATGCCACCCATGCTTGTACACCCAAGTCCTGAAAGTGCCCTTAGACCACAGTCAGATCAGGTTTGGTGGCGTGGCGCTGATGACGAAGAACACGGCCCTTGTTGGCCTTGTTTCATTTCCAGCTTGGGCTGGCTACCATCCGCGGGCGACATCTGAGGACTGCCGACATCCCACGGCGTTTGTAGAGTCTCCAAGCGATCTGTTGCCCTGGCAGAAGCCGGGCTCCACGCTGCCCGTTTTTTGAATTTGTCTCTCCCCCTTTTCTGAATGGCGGTGAAGCCAGCAACGTCAGACAACGGCCGAGTCAGAGAGGGCAAGGAAAGCAAGAGCGAAAGTGTGTCAGGAGGACAGCAAAATTGGGGCTCGGGAGAAGTGGCAGCTGGGGATGAAGAGAGTACGAGTACTCGTACTTGGCGCGAGCAAGTGGGCAAAGCATGTACTCCTGATGTGGTATGTCAAGCATCTGATTGGACTGGTCCGCCTTTCATCTTCTTTTTCCGGGCAGAAAGAAGCGGAGGAGAGCACGAGCACCTGTACACGTACGGATTTAGCGTATGGAGACGTACTGTTGGGAGGGGGTCGTTGAGAAAAGTGGTTCTGTGTGGGGGTTAGCGCGAAGAGAGGCGACAGGGGATTAGGGGAAAGAGAAGGGCCTGTCCACGTAGTGGCATCGCATCTTACAGCGCAGAGGGTGGGTGCTCCAACAGAGAAGAGGGAAGCCGGCAGGCTGAGGCTCTACGGAGTAGGGAGGCCGGGGTGGGGGGGGGGGGGGGGCATGGGAGAGAAGAAGGCAGACAGACAGGAGGTGAGAAGAAGGCGACAAGGTCTGCGCGAGATCGTGATGAAGATGGGCTTGGCCTAGCCAAGAGGGGAAGCCGATGGCGGCCTTGATTGCGCACACCTCGATTGAACCCAGGCACATCGTCGAGACTCCCCCACCCCGGCCCATAAAAAAGGGAAAAATAAAGAAGGAAGACAGGGGGTGCGCTCACTAACACACCGTGTTGCTGGTGCTGGAGGATCCACCGGTCGCTTCCGGAGAGGCTCTCAGGCCAGTTCCTGCAGAGGTCTGCCCAGGCTGGCAGGTGGATGGCCTGCCTGCCCGCGGATGCCGCTGTCGGCCATTGGAGCTGCCGGGCAGAGGATCGGAGGCGGTCGGAGGCTGGCAATAGGCTGTCGGCGGAGAGGCAGAATGAAGCAGCGGAAAAAGAAACGGAAAAAGATGGAAAAGAACTGGAAAAAATCCATGACGAAACTACTCGTACACCAGAGGGCGGCAAAACGGAAGCCGAACGTATGACCTCCACGAGTCACCCGCCCGTTCGCTTGTCTGTGCCGTGTCGGGCCAACAGGCCAGGGCGTATGTTTCTGAGCCTCACCTCTCCAGCTGGCCGCAGACAGAGGTAAAAGAAAACAAGAAAGGTGCACATCTCAGCCTCATCAGCAGGGCCCGCGAAAGCCACACGCTCACCGCCAGACGGGTCGCAGAGGCTTTACTGGTTTACTGGCTGCCAGCAAGCCACGGGATGGAGCGAAATGGCATGAGCAGATCGCTGTCGCCGACGACGCGGACACGCATTTCTGACGGCCGGGTCGATCGCGCAGGATACATCACCATCTTCTCATCAGGTGATCACGCTTACGGAGTAGACAACGCGTCTTGTCCTCTTCGAGTACGATACGGGTTCCACCGCACGCCCGAGTCGGTCGGTTTCTGGAACTCCGTGTCCTGCCTGTGCAAAAGACGCCTTCCTGCCTGTAGTGTCTGCTGGCTGTATAACGTATCTCGAATTGGCACGATGCTGATGAGCGGTATTACGTGGGGGGCGAATTGGCCTGTCTGCAAGCGGTTAGGGCACCTGTTGGGGGAGCGCAACATGCGACGTACGATGTATGGCGTATCTTACGACGCGGACGCCGCCAGCAGGAGCCAAGAGCAGGGAGCAGGGACGCTGTGCAGAGGACGTGCTCGCAAGTATCGTACATACTGAGTAGTAGAAGCTGGCCAGCAGAGACGGGTGGAGACTGCTGTACAAGGACAGGGGACGAAGGCCGGATGATAGATAAAATAAGACAAATACGACGTACGCGATGAGAGATAAAACAAGAATGGCCCATTTCGATGGGGTCCCAGGATCATGGCGCTGGATTCACCTCGCTCGATTGTCGCCGTGGGGGTTTTTCTGGGCAGAGAAGGGGCCAGTAAATACGGAGTACTCATATGGAGCACAGCGCTGGCCCAGGAGGCCCACAAGGGGCAGGCAATGCGCTGTGGAGGGACAGCAGGGCAGCCAGACGGGAGGACTCGGGCTTGTTCCCAGGCCGTCTTACAGCGGGCTGGCAGCCTGTTTGCGCTGTGATTTGCTGCTGTTGCGGGCATTTGTCGGCCCCCCGCCAGGCGGTTTCCCCTACTGCCAGACAGGCAGGCAGAGCCGGCAGGCCGGCCCAAACAAAGGAAAGAAAAAGAAAAAGAAAAGGCTCTCTCTCTCCACTTCCTTCGCTTCTTCCTCGCGTTCTAGACGGATCGATGTCAGGAGGACAGCCACTAACCCCCACACTACGGAGCACGATACGCAGACCAGGATAGTCTGTTCTCCTGGCCCACAGGCCCAAATTATGTCATCCCAGGAACTGTCTCAGCTCGCTCTGCCACACTCCCACAACTTGTCGTCGTTGTCGTCATATGACGCCGCAGAGTCCGAGGCGATGCTCGTATCCTGGATCACCTCTTGTTCATCTGTAGCTGCCCAACCGAGATGAAAGAGGACTGACAATGGCCTCTAGTTGGGTAGCAACAGCTTCGTCAAAATAAACCTCCGCACTCTAATCCTCCGCACGATGCCAACCTCTCCACCCACACTTTCTTGAGAACGGCCGTTCTTGTCGTCGCCTCCCCCATTGAAGGCCGGCTACAGCCAACTAATGCCGGCCAAGGCCAGCTAGGGAAACAGATCCGTCTGTTCCGCTGTCCTACGTTCACATAGACAGGAAAACCTGCTTGCAGCCTCGCATCGCTGTACTCGTCATTCAAGACGAGCCTGTCGCGATCCTACACGATGCTATTCTCATCTTTCCCATCTCGCCCACCACCTCCCTTCATCCTAGGTCGGATGTGGAAATAATACCATCCCAAGACAGCAAACACCCTGCCATCTGTTTCTGTTTCTTTTTCTCCAGGCGTCCTGTACTGCCTATACGAGAACGGTATACCCCGTACCCCGGTCTTCCCCGCTTCCTACCGGGTCGGTTATCGACTATCGGCTGCAGCCTGTTTTCTTTGCCACCACTCTGCCCAATGATACTTGCTAATATGTCGCCGAAATCTGATCAGAAGCACCCTTGGCTTTCCTCCTGCACCCCGCACTGTTCCTTGACAGTGCTGTAACTGTCTATTTCTCTGCTTCGAGCTCATCGCGTCGAGATGTTCGGAGCGGCTTCAAAATGACCAGACGGCAGACAGCGCCCGACTGATTTCCACAACGCCACACACCACATCTGCCAGCCAGTCGTCCGAGCCAGACTCGGCGCAACACGTAGCCAGACCTAGAGGACATATGATGAAGAATAATGACCCGTCCTTTTCCGGCGGTGATCTGCCTTGCCGCGTTCTCTCCTTCAGCCCGACGGGGTCAGCTTGTCAGCCGTCTCGCTACAGATCAGGCCAACGGTTGCCTTTCCGGCCTGCACTCTGGGTCTGGCAGCAAGACGTGTGGCTCTGACAAAACCACGATGGCCTCCCTGATAGGCAGGCGCAAGGTTACAGGGTGAGCAGAGAGCACCTTGTGCCCTCTTTTGTGCGGTCCATTATGACAGGAGGAAACGACTTCGACAGTGAGACGCATCCTCCTTCTGGCCTGCTTCTCGTCGGACAGCTCGTCCTGCCCGCAGGAAGCGGCAGCCGAGACTTCCGCGTCTGGCCCTTTCCCGTCACCGCCTCCCAGACGGCCGTGTGAGCATCGAGAAGAATACGAGCAGTCGTTGCGCAAAGCGGGCTGTATGCAACCAGGACTCATATTTACAAAGTCGGAAACATACGGCCGGATCAGTTTAGACGACCGAGCCAAGCACATCAGGACCGATGAAAGAGCCGTGCTATGGCATAGTATCTGACCACAGTCGTGCTGTCCAGCACGCCATGACGTCCAAAAGGAAAAAGAGGCAAGAAACACCAAGAGCCCGGCCCGGGTTGTCTTCTTTCCTGGCTGTCAGCCCGGGCCGGCTGTTATCACATAAGCCTGATGAATATCGCTCGAGTCCCAGTTCAGTCCCATGACTCCGTCTACGTGTTCCGACAGAACCTTTGTCCTTACGTGGGGGACAGTGGAAGAATGCAAGATGTTCCCCACACGTTGTGTGTTCCTGCCGAGGAAATCACCACCACTCGTACTTGGGTCAGGATGTTTGCTCTGCTCGTATACTACGTGGTTCCCTGCCGTCCTCTCTCTCCTCTTTACCGCCCCCCCAATCGGCAGACTGCCAGCAAAGTACCAGTACAAAGTCCACTCTGGGAAAACCAACTGCTCCAATTCTGCCGCAACGCGGATGACCACCGCTGCACATTATGTAGCCGAAACTCCAAAATAGCTGCCAGGGGGGAGGGGTGTCTTTTCTACGGGCGCTAGGCCAGTGGGTGAGTGGGTGACTTGTCTCTGCGACCTGTCTCTGTGACTCGTCTTCGTGACTCGTATGCGGTCGGTCTTGCAGCTCCGACGGTACATGTAGTTCCCGCAGCTGAAGCAAGACTGTTACCTGCACGTCGGCCCCTTCTAGCTACTTGACGATGGAATAGAGCCTAAAAGGCAAAAACGGCAAAAATCCCGACTCTGCTCTCGTCGGAATTAATTGGGCCAGACAGGAAGGGAAGCACGACGTTTGCCGCATTCGCTCTTCCCCTCCCCACAAAAGTCATCACACGATCAGACACTTTTTTCCGATGCTCGTTTTACTTTGCCATTGCTTCTGCCATATACCCTGAGCTGACACATAACAACCAGAAACAGATTTAGCCTCGGAAAGTCGGTCACCAGGGCATCTCCGCGGAAGATGAGGACAACAGGCACATGCAAGGATCTGTTTACACAGAGGCGGTCACGGTCTGCTTCTGCCTCTCTGCCCGCTCAAATGTCGTGCCCAGCCGCTCCAGCATGTGATCCTGGACCGTCAGGACGTCGCCCGCCGGCTCGTCCTCCGTCCCTAGCGGGATCAGCTTTGTGTCCAGGTTGCCGTCGAAGAAAAAGGGCAGCGAGTAGCGGTCGGTACCGCTGTAGTTAATGACCCGGTGCAGGTTGCTGCGGTAGGCGCCGCGAGTCCACAGCGACAGCATGTCGCCGACGTTGACGATATAGGCGGCCGGGTTGGGCACGACGGGGACCCAGGTATCAGTCGCCTGGTCGAGCACCTCGAGCCCGCCCTTGTCGTCCTGGTATAGCAGCGTGATGGCGCCAAAGTCGGTGTGGGCGCCGGCGCCGAGCTGTTTCGGGGATGCAGAAGTTGGCGACTCGTTTGTCGGGGGGTAATGCAGCATCCGTACGCTGCACAGGGGATCGTTGGAGGTGAACTCGGCAAAGACGTCGTCGCCGTACGGCAGGCCGCGGGCCAGGATGTCGAGCACGGTACGTGACAGGCTCAGCGCGGCCGCGTGATATTCCTCTAGAGGCTCGCGCAGGTCGGCAGAGGCGATAACCGATGTCGGCGGGAAGATGTTCTCGCCCACGAAATGTGGATGAAGGGAGACGCACGGATCGTCGGCAGGAACGTGTCGGCCGACATAGTAACCCTGCAGAAGTCAGGAGATTGTTGGTGAGTTGACGCAAGACGGCTCACCTCCTTCATATCCGGCAGAGTCTCCGGCTGCAGCGCCTGCGATCCGATCAGCTCGTAGCCCCGGCTCTTGAGGATGCCGGCCGGTCGCAGCGCCAGTTTGGCCTCCAGCGGCAGCGCAAACAGCAGCCGGGCTGCCTGCAGAACGCGTTGCTGCAGCTCGGCCGGCACGTCGTGGCCGACGAGCGAGAAGAAGCCCGTGGTCATGCAGGCGTGGCGGACGTCGGCGATCACTTGCGCCGCCGCTGCCGAGGCCGGGTTGGCGACATATGGCGCAATGTCAATCGTCGGGATGACAAAATCAGAGCTCGCGTCGATTGCCATGGTTCCAACGCGTTGGCTTTGTCGAGGTGGTGTGGTATTTCTTGTTCGTCTCAGAAAGACGTCGTTTGTTGTCGTCCAGCTCTTTCATTCATTCTTCTGTCCGCCCTGCTCCTGGTCGCCGTATCTGGACGGAAATAGAGAATCCGGACAGCGCCGGCTCCCTATCTGTTTACAGGTCCGCTCGTGGGCTAAAGGCTTAGGGAATTGCTGCAACTTTGCAGTTTCCCCACGTCCCAGAAGCTTCACGTTTCAACATAGCTCGTACGACGATCGGCAGTTCTCTGTAACACAGCGATCGCATCACGGAATACACAGCTCCGTCTCTCGTATCGCCATCGCGGTGCTGCGTGATGTCACTCGTCCCAGTGGCTCTCTGCCTAATCAGACGAGAGGGGCTTATCAGCTACGGCACTTGCCGATATTGTAGTAAGGCGCCTCTGCCCTCTGGCTACGACTGCGGATGTCTGCCTTTCGAGTCTGATGTGGGGGTAGAGAAATCGTGTGGCTACTTCGCACCAATTGCCCTGTCTGATTCCCAGTTGACGGTCGGTCCTCAGTGCGCGTGCCCAATGCCAGAGAAGAAGTCGTGGCCCAACAAGTCATGGTGTGCAGCAGACGGCAGAGACGGCATGAAATGTTGAGTTGGCACCGGTGCAGCGGGTCGTGATGAGGTACACGTTGTGGTCAGTCACAGAAGTCGCCCGTGGTACCGAAGTCGTCGATGGATGCGTACTCAGATATGCGCAAGATGCTGCACGTGTTGGTGCTGAGCCGAAGTGCTTCCACGAGGCCGGCATCTGCCCTGGGCGTGTCCTTGTGGCAGGCTTGGGTATTACCGATGAAGCTGACATCCATGTGGACATTGTTAGTGGGGACGAGGTGTCAGAGCAGACAAACCCGCCTCCAGGAAGAAGAGCCGCCGGTAGCAGGTTGCGTTCACGGACACGCTCTGGGTCGTGACAGAGATATCGGACGACAAGATGGCCGCATCTGGAGAGGAACATACGTGTTGATGGAGAGCCAGAAGCTTCGTCGCATCGTTGCACAGGAAGAAAGATGCTATCCAGTCGACTTGGACAGGAGCTGTGCGGAAATTGTCGTGACATGTTGGTCGCAGCTTCCCTCTTGGTCTTGGTCTTGGCTGCCTGGATCCCGTGACTGTGTGAGAGTTGTATGGAACGATTACGACAGCTTCGAGAACAGCCAGATGATCACGAACTGATCCTCGCCGGCCATTGCCCAGCCATTGTTTTTAGCCACACAAACAAAAGCCTCCTACGCAATACAGGATGACCGCTGGCCCGTTGCCGTCATGCGTGACAGCAGTATGTAGAATACGTAGATCGCCTAGGTGGACCCTGATGACCCACAAAATAGCAGTACGGAGGACAGAAAGAGACAAACTGCATGAACCCAGCCAAGGCTCTCCGTTCTGATGGCTTGCTCCTTTGCTGACTGGTACCTGGACTAGCGCCACGAGATCTAACGTCTTGAACACGTGCACTTCGCATACACATAAACTCTACGAGTCTTTGGCACTTGATGACAGGATTGTTGGCAGTCTCTTCCCTTTACCATATAATTAAGCTTTGTTTATATTCGCCTGCTTTGTAGCTAAGCTATGCCCAAGGTTCGCTCTAATCCAATTGTCATTCCTACTTACTCAAGAACCCACGGTCTCGGTCTAATTGCTCGGATGCCCTCCACAGAGGTACGCGTAACGATATCACGTCGCATGTCTGTTGTTCGTATCCAGGAAAGACTCCGGAAGCGGCAAAAAGAAAAAGAAACAAAAAAATGCAGGAAATAGATATCACAGAATGCTAACACCACGTATCACGCACTAGATCTCAGGTCCTGTCCTTTACAGCAGGGCAACGGCAGCCAAGAGAGCGCTGACAGCGCCGAAGATGCTCATGGAGGCCTTGCCACCAGCGCTGGTAGTAACGGTGGACGAGGTGCCGCTCGCCGACGAGCTGGCGCTGGTGCCAGTGGCCGTGCTAGACTTGCCGGTCGTGGTAGCCGTGACCAGCGTCGAGGTCGACTTGGAAGAGCCAGTGGCGGTAGCGGTGGTCTTGCCGGTAGCGCTGGTCTCCGTGGTGTCCTTGGTGGCCGACGAGGAGTCCTTGGTAGCCGACGAGCCCTTGGCGGAACCGCTGGAACTGGCGCTGCTGCTAGAGCTGGAGCTGGAGCTGGCGCTGGAGCTGCTGCTAGAGCTAGAGCTCGAGGCGGCGGTGGAACCACCAGTGTTGACCTTGATGTTCTCGTACGTGCCGGTCGTACCCTCATACGTGTACGACGACGCGTCCTTGACACCGTTGCTGTTGTTGGTGATCTTGATGCTCTTGTAGTAAGCCTTGTACGGGCCGTTGTTGTCATCAAAGGGCGTCAGACCGCCAGCCCAGGTGATGGTACCCTTCGGCTGCGTCGACGCACCGCCGTCCCAGGTGCCGAGCTTGATCTGCATCGGCGTCTGCGGGAAGGTCGCGCCGTTGTTGGCAGAGGCGGACGTCAGGGTGCGCGTGACGGCGCCGTCAATGGACCAGACAATGGCGGTCGGCGACCAGTCCACGGTGTACGTGTGGAAACCCGTCTGCGGGTTGCTGACCTTGGAGAATCCACCGCGGTCAAAGACCGTGTCATTGCCCTTGCTGAAGTAGTTGGTCTGCGCCTGAGCGGTATCACCACCAAGCCACTCCTGTCCTGATGTTAGCATGGATCGTCACGAGAAAGATGAATAGACAAAAGCGGGAAGTCGTACCCAGTCAACTTCGTCAAGGTCGTCTGACTCCAGCACAAAACTGGACACGATACCCGTGCCAGGGGCGACCTGGATCACAGCCTCCACGGTGCCGAAGAAGATGTACTTCGTCGAGGTGATAGTCGGGGCATCGCTCTCCTTGGAGATGGTGAACACGGCACCCATGTCTTTGTCGTACTCCAGCGTGGTACCGGCAGCAATGGTGAAGTAGTCATTGGCGCCCTTGGTGAAGTCGATGGTCAGGGACTCCGGGAAAGCCTCATTGTCGGGGCACTCTGAGGACAGCGTCAGTAGGCGCACAATGCTTAATGCATCAGATTCGCGTCAGAAAACAACTTACTATCACCCTTCACTGGGTTGCAGGCAGACGAAGTCTGGGCAGACACCAGCTTGCTGGCCAGGAGAAGCAGGGCCGAGGTGGAAAGGACGTTGGAAAGCATCTTGGAAAAGTATGGTGTTGATATTATGCAAAAGGTATGGTTGAAGGGGGGAAGAAGAAATGGACGAAGTCGAGAGTACGGTCACTCCAAAGAGATCAGCTGCTTGAACGAGAGACTTTAAAGGAGAGGCGTCGGTGACAGACGATCGTGAAGAGGAAGAAGTTGCGAAGAGGAAGGAGAGAGGACAGTCGAGGAATAAAAAGGAAAAGACCGTGACTGGGGCTGTGGCGTGGAGATTCGCCTCTATTTAGACTCGGTAGCATAACTTTCTTTCCTAGCATGCGGCAGGGGTCGGAGGAAATTGTCTCCATCGTACAGGCTATATCAATTTATCACGAGAGGCAAAGGTACTGTGTACCAGGTACGCAAAGCCAAGGCCGTGGGATACAAATCCCCACAGCGCGCCACTGCCAGATGCGCTGGGCACTTCTGGGCATTGCTGGGCATTGCTAGGCATGCAGGGAGCCCAAAGGGCTACGCTGGGCGCCCAGAAACTGCTGAATGAGCAGTATTAGCCAGTCAACTCGCTCGTAGCGTTCTTCTGGCGCACAGCATGGAGAAACGATGGGACGGCAGGCAGGAGACGCTGGCCGCATTTCTCGTACTAGTACTACGCGCTAATAAAAATACGACAGAGCCCCTGACTAGGGTGGAATGCAAACTATTTCCCTTTTTGGAATAGAGCCGTGGCGATCTATAGGCACAGCAACGTTTTGAAATACGAACATCAATGAAATGCGCGCGCGCGAGTGACACCTCGGCGGTAGAATACGGCAGCGGTACAATTCGTCGGACATACTCCGTATCCAGGCCCAGGCATCACGAGCACGATGTCATCGGATCCGAGCAAGCGAGCAGCGAAAAGAGGACGCCTCGTAAAGAGAAAGCGCCGTCGACAGGCAGACAAAGACTACGAAACTACGGAGTATGGGTGCAGCACAGTCTACGGAGTACAGAGTACAAGTTTGACGGCCACGCGAACGCTAGACCTGAACTAGGCAGCGAGGGAGAGTGTGAGGCAGAAACATGGTACCTGCGTCGAAACAAAGCAATCTCCTCACCAAAAGGGGGCAGCTCTGCGAGAGCTGTGAATGGCTCAATGCGACTCATCCTGCGGCAGCATATCGAAGCGCGGATCCTTGGCGGTGAATAAAGTGTCCGAGTGAGACCTAAAGCGGCGAAGCCACAAGACGGAGTCCTTAGCCGTCGTGACCAACGACTCTCAAACACAAAGGAGACGACGTAGAAACCGCGTGATGCGACCGGAAGAAGGAAATGTTAGAGCGGCGGCTATGAGAGCCGATCTCACTCTCCGTGTGTGGAGCGCGGCTTCACACTGTGTGCAACGTCCCGTAGTCCCGTTATTGGTGGGCTGTGTTGGCAACAGATACGAGCTTTTGCAATGACCGCCGCCACATACTATTGGCGGAGCAGTCCGGAAAGCGCGATGCCCTTTCTTTAGGGGAAACTAGGGAGTATTCGTACGTATTCTCCGTAGGGTACCAAGCTTGCCACTCTAAAATTAGGCCTCCGTATTGGAGAGGATCTACTCGTACATAGTACTGAACTCGAAGAACAGCATCACCGTTGAGGCGCAGAAAACGAGCTACAACATGTCTGTGGGCTTTTGGCCCGCCTTCTGTTAAACTATGACGACAGAAAATGCCAGACGAGCATGCCACAGGCCGCAGCCACAGTCGGACAAGATCCAGATCTCACATGGGTCCAGGAAATGGGAGAAATTTGCCCAAACGCTATAATAGCACGTCTCCGACGTGGTACGGAGTACTCCTATGGAGCACAATTTCTACAGAGTACAAGCTTACGGAGTACGGTGGTTTGCTGTTGTAATGACCTGTATTTCGTTTCCCTGCCATCTGTTACTGGTGTCCACTTCTTGCTCTATGAGGGAAGCTCGGCGAACGCTATATTCTAACGGCCATCAGCACAGGCACTCTGCTGCCTTGCGGAGACTCCGTAGAGCGATTGTATCTCAGAAGGCCCAGGATTTTAGATGAGTAGGGAGCGAATGTCATCAGATCCATGGATATGTGCATCAAAGGGCTGAAACCAGGGGAGAAAGCTTGGCGGTTTAATACTGCCTAATCGCACTTAGCGGGAGGGAAAGACCCACGATGAAACAAGGCAGCGCAACAAAGTGTCCGTGTGCCCTTCGACTCGGCGTCCTTTGGGGGAGTAGCGGATTTCATCACGGAGCTTGGGATCGTCCGACAAATTGCCGTATTCTGACCTTTTGGCTACTAGGTGACAATCCAATCCAATATGGACGACTCAGCCCTCACGATGGCTTATATAACCGCATCCTAGCAAGTAAATATACTAGGCTTATTATGTATGATACCATAATCCTAGTGGTACGAAGTACGACGTGCGATACAACCCAGGGGCCCTTGTCCCCGGTTTTATGGTCGTAGTGTAGAAGGTAATGGGCCGAGCAATGAAACCCCAGCATGCTTTTGCGAGTTCAACCATATACGTCGTAGACATTGAAAATGCTTTCAGCTTTGAGTACTCTGTACTTCGTACCAGTACACTTCTACTATGTAGTGTTCTATCAAAGTAAGCGTCAGGAGGCCACTTCAAACTCGCGGCTCTGCTGTATCGCGAAGTTTCAGATGCATCCGAGCTCCAAGCATGCATATAACAGACCGAGTATTCTGTAACGGTTCTGTGTCTAGTCCCCCTGGGCCCGTCAGGTTGCACATCTCGCATTGTATTTTGGCTTACCGACAGAGATGCAGCAGATGCATCGCGACTGGTCAACCCCCGTCCTCCGGTATAGGCTTCTAGCAACGGCCGGAACATTCGGTCTACAGCTCTTTCTACAACGGACTAGTGCTCTGTCCAAGAAAACCCACGAATTTTTACTGGAATATATGTGGCAGGTACCGGCTAACTCGGAGAAAGAGATGGATCAAGCGTGTCGGCCGTTGGACATGGACACCGAGAAAAGCAAGCAAGACGAGAGGAACATGTTACTGGTTGTTCCTCGTGTGAGCCTCGCGCCTGGATAGGCTACTTAATTAACTACAATGTCAGCATTACAGGACTTGAATTGCCGCCAATGAATTCACCTCCTATATTGTGTTACCAAAGTAGACGAAGCTACACAGAACATGCAAGTCATACAAGTACGCCACCAATATATACACCTCTACACCCTCAACATGAGAATTTGTGAGAAATGACTAGCCACTAAGACTAGCCATATCAGACATACCAACTGCCTAGGATCCGTATGTACGGTCTCATTTTTATTGACCGTCTCAGATGGTTTGCTTTTGCGAGAAACATGGTGAAGCGGTCGAGGGGGTGTAGCAGCCGTTATATTGGCTGGGAGAACGTAGGACGGTTGGCCGCGGCTCATTGTAATCTAATATCACTTTTCACAAAAATGTATCGAATATTGCAATCTTCAGATTGCTTTCTGACCGACTCGCAAGGATATTGTATAGGTCATGATCAATCAGATTACTTCCGTAACAACTGGAACTGACGTTTTTAGTCTGTTGGGTATGTATGTTGTAAGCCGTAATATGTTCGGCTGGATAAAATTGTAATTTTATAGCTGTTCTTGATCATGCTTACTTTTCCTTTCTTTGCAAGAACCACCCTAATAAGTATAATTGAGACGAGGCGTACACATAGTATGATATACAAAGCTGACCGTAAAAAAAAAAAAAAAAAAACAGAAGCTCAGCTACAAATAGGAGAGAATGCGCAATGCCGATGAGCGCTCAAATGTTTTTGGGAATAACAGAAATTAGGTTTCGATAAGGTTTCCTAAGGAGTCGTAGGCGCTATAGCGGCTTTTGAAGTCTCTTACTTGTACAATGTCACGTGATACAGGTACAGTGCAGTACGTGCATTGGCTGGGAGATTGTGGAGCGGAATATAAATGAGCCGTGAAATTATGTGGGCCTGTCAGGTGGACAGTTTTGGAGACTTTTCACAAGCAGAGAGCAATTCTCGTAATCTCTGGCAGTATCGGGAATGTCTAGGTCACTGCTAAGAAACCTCTTTGCTAAAGCTATCATGACATCAGAGAAAAAGTTCAGTCACGCTATTTCACATCACGGCAGTCATGTGCCTTGTGACGATTGGAGGCCTTAATAATGAGAAAAACCCCCGCCCCACACCTTGCATTCACCCTACGACGTCACCGAAAAGTGGAACCCCGAGAAAGACTGGTGCGACAAGACGGCGATGAAAGCGGACTTGGCTGACTATGCCCAGGAGGATGCGTGACTTTTCGGCGTTCTATCCTCACAATTTCCTTCCTCCTACTCAGAATCCCACTCTAATCGCCAGCCTTAGTATTAGCCCTATGACTGTTTTCTTAGGCTGTTTGTCCACTTGCATGATTTTTCGACTTCCCCATATTGTTACCGGTCGCGCTCCACAGACAATATTGACATGCCACCTTTACGCATTATCAAGCGGTCTGGGCCATCTCGATCGCAGTCTCCTGCTAGCTATATCCGGCTAATCTGTTGTATGTATGCACAGCTGTCATCTATAGTACTCGTACTCCGTAGACAGTTGCCAATTACACAAAGCGCAATCGTAATTCAACGAGTGAAAACTAACGGCAAGCTTTCAGGTTATTGCCGGGCGGCCGGCAATATGACGCTTCCTAAAACCGGTTAAAGTCAGGAGACCTAATATGTAGAGCCAAGACGGCAGGGATTGCACGTAGTCCTGGATCTTGCCTTAGGCCCACGGGAAGCTGTTGCGAGGCGCCACAAACACAATGCTAGTAGAGATATCGCACGTCAGACTCCACCTAAAGACTGCGAGTGCTGACATAATATGCACATCGTAACAGGATTTTCGTCCCGCTGCCTTGTCGTGACCGCAAAGGGAATTTGGATAGGTCTTTTTAAGAGCAGGGAGGTGGCATCATCTGACGATGTACGACGTATAAGAAAGAAATTGGCAAGAAAGCCATCCCCAAATGGCACTAGCGGCCCAAGAACCAACAGTTTATTGTCCAATGGATAGGTGCCAAATGACCGCTAAGGAGGGACTAAAGTCGGGGAACTTATGGCCGAGTCCTTTTCCCCATACCCCGCGCACTGATGCTTTCGGCGTGGATTTACGGAGTACGGAGTATGTTGCATTTTCTTTTTCTTTTTCTGTTTTTTCCCTTTTTCTTTGTAAACGAGTCATCATGGCTGTCGTAACAGCTTTTCACACTTTCCCGCATACGGACTTTTGGCGGGGAAAGTACGTACACACACGAAAAAATATGACTGTGTTACAGGCGAGGCAGATAGCAGGAAGGCTCCTTCCCCCCAATGTGTTTCTTCGGAGAACAGGATGCATATTAGTAGTAGACCTCGGCTCCCCTCCTGCCGTGTCAGCAGTCGTCTCTTTATAATTCTGTCCTCTTCCTGCAGTGCTCTTTTGTCTGTGTTCATCCCATCGCACTTCCATCAACAAGATTCTTCATTCACCCGCCAAGTCTTGGAGTCCCTCTGCCAAGCCGGTGACTGTCAAAATCCCCGCACAGTTCATCAACATTTGCCAAGCTCCCGCTTCTTGGCAGCTCTTGTCCTCTTGGCAAAGCTCCCACACTATCAACATGGAGAAACCAGTCGAAGAGCACCGGGAAGTTGGCACGTTCGACGCCGAAGCCATTCCCGCTCCCGAGGGCTACCAATATATCGACATCGATCCAGTTGTCGAGCGCAGCCTAGTGCGTAAGCTGGACCGGTCGCTGATGCCGCTGTTGTTTGTGAGCTGTACGTCTGTCCATGTCCCCGTGTGCCTCATTATTCGTCTGCTGACCGCCCGCCACCAGATCTCCTCGCCTTCCTCGATCGTTCCAACATTGGCAATGCCCAGACTGCCGGCATGGGCGAAGCACTCGGCTTTAACGATGGCCAATACCAATGGCTTCTGACAATATTCTACATTCCATACAGTGCGTTCCGGTTACGTGTTCTCCCGTTTCTGGCTCTCGTATGCTAACATCAGCCAGTTCTCTTCGAATGGACCGCTGTCATGTGGAAGATCGTGCCGCCCCGTAAGAAGTTCCATCTACCCGTCTTTCCCATGATTGAGCACTGTCCTAACATGCCTTTGCGCACTAGACCGCTGGGCCGGCATCGCCGTACTCATCTGGGGCATCGCAGCTACGCTACAGGCGACTGCTTTTAGCTGGTCTGGGCTTATGGCCTGCCGCTGGTTCCTCGCCACTGCCGAGGCTGGCTGGGGCCCCGGTGTGCCATACCTGCTGAGCTTCTTCTACCGGCGCCACGAGCTGGGCGCTCGCTGCGGTATCTTCTTGTCGGCAGCGCCGCTGGCCACCACCTTTGCCGGCGCACTTGCCTATGGCATCACGTCTGGCCACTCTAAGCTGGCCAACTGGCGGCTTCTGTTTCTCGTCGAGGGCCTCCCGACGCTCGTCATGGCTGTTGCCATTTTCTTTTTCCTACCGGACTCGCCTGACACGGCCAGGTTCCTAACGCCGGAAGAGCGAGAGGTTGCGGCTGCTCGTGGCGTCTTGCAGACGGGCCAAGAAGGCCATAAGCGCATCGGCGGCATCAACCTGGGCGAGGTGCTTTCGACGTTCAAAGAGCCGCAGACACTTATTCTGCCGCTGATGTACTTCTCGTGCAACGTCTCGTTTGCGTCTCTTCCCGTCTTCCTGCCTACCATCCTCACCACGATGGGCTACTCGAAGATCAACGCTCAAGGCTTGACGGCACCACCCTACTTCCTGTCGTTCCTCGTCTGCATTGGCAGCACATTCCTTGCCGACCGTCTGCGCCAGCGCGGCCTTGTCATTGTCGTGCTGTCTATCATGGGCGGCATTGGCTACCTCCTGCTGGCCACTGTGCACACGGTCGGTGTGCGCTACCTGGGCGTGTTTTTGGCAGCGGCCGGCGTGTTCCCTGCCATCTCTAATATCCTGCCGTGGGCGACCAACAACCAGTCTACAGATACGAAGCGAGGCGTCAGCGTTGCCATGCTCAACATCATCGGCCAGTGCGGCCCCATTCTGGGGACACGCATGTTCCCTACTGGGGACAGTCCGTACTATGTCAAGGGCATGTCTGTTTGCGCAGCCTTTATGTTCTTTAACGCCCTGCTGTCGTTATCTCTGCGCCAGTACCTCGCATACAAGAATAAGCAGTTTGCGCTTGCTGAGGCCGAGCAGGCAGCAGCGGCAGAAGCCGCTGGCGAGGACACTAAGCCTGACAAGGCTGATTGGGGCCCGGCTGGGCCGGAGATGATGGGTATCGCTGGATATCGCTACATCCTTTGAAAGACATTTATTGCGGGCTGGTACGCCCTGGTCATTTGCAAATAAGTGGTATACATGCTGACAAATGTCTATAAAATGTGGTATAGCTGGCAGGCTAGAGGCGGATTTGGCAATAAAGCTACGATTGATGATTAAGACTGAACAAGGACAAAGCGGGTCGGATTTACTGATGTTCCGCCATTGCAGTCCGTAAACGGAGTACAGAGTACTCCGTACTTTCAGTGTATTATTCGCCACTACTCCGTATCCCCTCTGAATATAAACCCTTCCACCGAACAAGCCACGACAGAACTTGATGTGTTGATGATCGATGGGCGAAGGCTGCCTGGAAGCTTTCTGTCGGCTGAACTGACGAACGAGATAAACCCGCGTGGTCCTGCAGCCACTTGTGCTTCAGTCTGCCGTTGGCTGCCAACGCGACGATGCAGGGCTTCAACATGGGGCGGTACGTGCCGCCGGAGCAAGAGGGCGTGGTAGCGTCAGGCAACCGGCTGCACGGGGTGCGGGCGAACAAGGCGACAGCGGCGGGTGTGCCGGTGGTGCGATTCGAGATGCCCTTTGCGGTGTGGTGCGACGGCTGCGAGGCGAAGACGGCAGCACGGCATCCAGTGCTGATCGGCCAGGGCGTGCGTTTCAACGCAGAGAAGCACCGGGCGGGTGCATACTACTCGACGCCGATCTGGTTATTTCGCATGCGGCACCCAGCCTGCGGCACCTGGCTAGAGATCCGGACGGACCCGGCGACGACGTCGTATATGGTGGCCCAGGGAGGCCGAAGGCGGCGAGAATACGACGACGACGACGGCGACGAGGGAGCAGAGGGAGCGGGAAGCGATCCACAGGCGCGGGCGGCAGCCTCAGCGGCAGCCCTGGCTGGGTTGTCGGCGGAGGAGGCGTCGCTGTCGTTGTCGTCCTCGTCGGCAGCTGACCGGGCCTCTGCCTTTGATCGTCTGGAGCGCACCATTGTGCACCGGGTCGCCGTCGACTCGGCCGCGGAGGCTGCGCACCATCGCATCGACGGCCTCGCCGCCGACAGCGCTCGCCGCTGGCAGGACCCCTATGCGCGCAACCGGGCGCTGCGGGCGGCCTTTCGCGCTGGCCGCCACGCCCGCGAGCAGCAGGCCGCTGCCGATGACGACCTGCGCCATCGCCTCGGCGGGCTCGACCTGCCCCTGCTCCTGCCACCGTCGGAGGAGGACGCGCGACGGGCAGCCCTGGTCGACTTTGGCACGGACGGCACCGCGGCCGTACACGCTCGCTCTGATCGCACCGTACTCGCACAGCCGCTCTTTGGCGGCGTGGGAGCCGGAAAGACGACGGGCAGCACAGACAAGATCACAACGACAACCGGATCCGGCAACCGCTTCGGTACCGGAACGGCCGTGGAGAAGCGGCGACGCGCCGTGCGAGACCATCTCGCCGCAACGGTGGCGACCAACACCCGCCTCAAAATAGACCCCTTCCTCGACGGCCTCTTTGACGGCCGCGTCGGACGACGGCAGACGGACACAACAGCAACGACAACAACAACGGAAACACCTCCAGCTGCAGGCACAATCCGTCTGCCGGGTGTGAAGCGGAAACGCGCACTGGACGACGGACCCGGGCCGCCAGCATGCAAAAGCATGCCGGCGTTGGTCAGCTACGACTCGGACTGACTCGGGAATTCTTGGCTTGACATTCTTTGCGTGATACCCAATTAGACTTTGATTCGTTTCTGGAGGGGTGCTTTCGACATGCAACAGGTCCTGTGCTTCGAATGAATACGAATATGTGCTATCCTAGACAGCACGACACGATTACCAGACAGGAGTTTCTGATTCCTTCCCATCCGATAGAGAGTACGCCAACATGCAAAAGCCAAGGGAATGAAGGGAAAGCAGAAGATGACAGGGTCGCTGTTTATACGTCGTCCATCTGGCCGGCCGGCTCGTCATCGTCGTCGTCTCCGAAGCTTCCCACCGACGACATGTCATCATCGTCCTCGGACTCGGCGCCGGCATCGTCGGCCGCCTCCTTACTGGCGTATTTTTGGACGTACTCTGTCGAGCTGGTCAGACGGGGAGACTGGTAGGTTTACGATCGCGGGCAGCACATGGAAAGGCGCAGAGACTCACCCTTGACCTTGGCATCGTAGCTCCGGGGCTCGCGCATCAGCAGGGCGGCAGCCTCGCCGTTAAGCGGGTCGGTGGGGTTCGGGTAGCGCAGCAGCTGTGGCAAGAAGACCTCAAAGATGTTGATCATATCGTACATGGGTGACCAGGTCTGGTTGATGACGTCGAGACAGACAGAGCCTGACAGCTCGTCAATGTTGGGGTGGAAGATGCGGTTGATGAAGCCGATGCTGGGCGACTTGTAGGGATACTGGTCGGGAAGCTCGACGTGGACCTTCCAGGTGCCGCCCTCGAACGGGGCTGTAGCCGTTAGCCAGACGAGCGGACGAATCGGGCGGGAAGGAGGTTGTGCGCACTCTCTGCCGGTCCCTTGAACCGGACGTAGAATTCCTGCCTGTAAACATGCGCCGAGTCAGAGAGCCGGTCTCTCGTTGTGGAGCGGAAGACAGAACGGGGGCTCACACTGCAGCAGAGCCACGGTCAGTTCAAGCCCGGCAAGATCAGCAGACCCAAAGCAGGGAGGACACCCACTGTTGTCGTTCACCAGAGTGACCTCATAGTCGCTCATCAGCCTTGTTGTCGGGAGTTAGTGGCAGCACGGTCAAGGGATCTCGGGAGAGAGAGGCAAGGGGCAGCCGCCACGGTCATACATCCTGGAAAGAATCTGGTCAGCACATCTTCAGGACAAGGGAGGCGAGGGGACGAAGGCCGAGGGTCGAGGGGTGAAGGTGGCGCGAAGACGGCAACCCACTTCATAACCTGAAGAATGTTGTCAGCACGCAGAGAACGATGGCGAGGAGGGGACGAGAAGCCAGACACTCACATCAGTCTCGATCCGGCGACGAGGGCTGCTCATCGTGGCGATGGTTGGTATGCTTTGCGGGAGGGAGGAGCAATGGGTTTTGCTTCCGCGCCGCGACGGGAAAACGAATGTGTTCGGGTGTGGTGGATCGATGCGCTGCGAGATCGGGACTCCGGAAACGGCCGCGAGATCGGCTGAGCCAGTCGAGCTGAATGGGCGGTAGGTCGGCTTGGGAGTCGAGAAAGCGGTGCTTCAAGAAGAGAAATGTATCTGCGTATGTATCTGCGTATGTCGCGTGGCGACAGGAGGTCAAGAATGGGGCAGAGGCACTGTTGATCAAGGAGAGCTGGAACGTTGTGAGAGCCCGAGTTCAGGCACCATTTCGACCGATTTGAGGGTGAAGGGGGGGGCGTGACTTTGCTGAGTCATAGCCGCTGTACGAAGTACGTCATGGTGCGATTTTGAGCCACAGGCCTTGGCGACCTCGGTTCCTGGTATTGATTACATAAGCCAATATAGATAGAAATTGGCTCCGAACTTGTATTAGTTGGTATTTTTCCGGCCTCGAGGACTGAATTGTACACGGTAAATACCATCCTGGTTCTGCCCATAAAAAGAGGAGATGAGCGACGGGTCCCGAGGAAACAAGACCAGTGTTTTCCTGTCCGCACACGACGCGGTGCAATCGAATCCGAGGCTTTTGCTGGTGTAGCGTAACGACGCCTGTGTGCGAACCGTCCTGCACACAGATCCACATCCACACACAAACACACGGCGAGCATGAGCAGAGCAGCAGCCAGCATGCTGGGGCGACTGCGTCCAGGGCTGGCGGGCGGAAAGCGGTGGCAGGCGGAGCTGGTGCGGCAGCTGTCGGGGAGCAGCAGACGATGCAGCGCGCACTCGCCGATGGGACAGTCGGTGGAGGCGGGACGCAAGAAGGTGACGCTGACGTCGTTGCGGGCGCAGTACGATCGGGGCGAGGCGATTGCGGTGCTGACGGCGCACGACTTTCCGTCAGCGCACGTGGCAGATGCGGCCGGCATGGACGTGATCCTGGTGGGCGACAGTCTGGCGATGGTGGCGCTGGGAATGGAAGACACGAGCGAGGTGACGGTGGACGAGATGCTGCTGCACTGCCGATCGGTGGCGCGGGCCACGCGGACGGCCTTTGTGGTGGGCGACCTGCCCATGGGCTCGTACGAGGTCGGCCCAGAACAGGCGCTCGCCACGGCCATCCGCTTCGTCAAGGAGGGTCGCGTGCAGGCCGTCAAGCTGGAGGGCGGCCGCGATGTGGCCCCGTCGATTGCTCGCATCACCGCTGCCGGCATCCCGGTGCTGGCCCACGTCGGCCTGACGCCCCAGCGCCAGCACGCCCTCGGCGGCTTCCGCGTGCAGGGCCGCACGGCTGGCAGCGCCCTGCGCGTGCTCGAAGACGCTCTCGCCGTCCAGGATGCCGGTGCTTTCGGTGTTGTCGTCGAGGCGGTGCCGGCCGAGGTTGCTGCCATCGTCACCGACCGGCTCGACGTGCCCACGATCGGCATCGGTGCCGGCAGCGCCTGCGATGGCCAGGTGCTCGTCCAGGCCGACATGACCGGCAACTTTCCGCCAGGCCGCCACCTGCCCAAGTTTGTGCGCCAGTACGGCGACGTCTGGGCCGAGACTCGTCGTGCCATTGAGGCCTATGGCCGTGACGTCCGGTCGCGTGCCTATCCGGCTCCCGAACACTCGTATTCCATGCCGGCCGAGGAGCTGGCCATGTTTGCCAATGCCGAGCGACGACGGGAGTAGGTGTGGCAATAGGCTGTTTGGCTTGGCTGCATGGATGGCGTTTTGGATAAGCTGTATGCAGATCTAGTGTCAGGTATTGTGTTGGTTTGTGTGTTGATCTGTCTGCGTCGTGGCTGCATATCGAGCCTCTAGCCTTCTTATTTGACTGCATGTACGGAGCAGTCGTGTCGTCGTATCGTCGTGGCGTCTGTCGTGTCTCACTCGTCTTTCCTTCTTTCTCCACCCCATCTCTCCCCATCTCCCCCCACCTCTCTTCTTCCTTCTCCTACTCCCCCCTCACCCAAATGCTGGCGTCAGCGAATACGCCACGTTCAGCTGGTCGTTGGCGTCCCGGAAGCACCGATGCAGGTTGCCCACCACCTCGTCCAGGGCCGGCGCGAACGTCGAGTTGACGTACAGGAACACGCTCTCGCCTGGCCGCACCCGTAGCGCCCGCCGCACATACGCCACCACCGCGTCGAACCGCTGCGTCGCCGCAATCTTGCGCCGCACATCGCCACCACCGCTGCCATTCAACGGCGGCGCCCCGACTGCCTTGAATCGCACCACGACCTTGTCGTGCGCAAACGAGCCTGCCGCCGCCAGCGCCGCCGTCGCGTCCCGCGGCAGCTCCAGCAGCATTGTCGACGCGCTCATCGTCAGCGGTAGGTCTGCTGTCTTGTCGTCGTCCGCGTCGTCGTCCACGTCCACGTCCACGTCCACGTCCACGTCCACGTCCACGTCCACGTCCACGTCCACGTCCACGTCTGCATCCATGGCATCGTCCAATACCGCCGACGCATCCTTCTCGCCCCCTCCAACTGTCTGTCTCGGTCCTAGGTATGACATCGCACCGTCGTTGCTCTCACTTCTCGCCCTTTGCAGGAGGACTGGCTGCCGACTCTTTCAAATCGACAAGTCATGTCGAAAGATTATGTAATCACATGGTGGGGTCGTCTTACTAATCACTCAGTACTCACTCATATACTCTGACACTAATAACGGATCATGGATCTGAACGAGATATTACAAATATGTGCAATGGCTGCGGCACCCGGCCGTAGCACAGCCTCTCTAAACCGGAAACGAGGACGAAACAAACAAGACACGAACGCCGTTTTATGGGTCATGGTATCTTAACGCCTGACTTTAGATCCTTTTCTCTCCTCTTCCGGAGATGCCTCCTCTCCTCCTCACTCCTGTGCCTGTCCACTCCCGCCCTCGTCGCTCTCGTTTGGCTGCCGCGAGGCCGACGATGTCGCCGACACTGCCGACGGTTCGCGCGACAGCAGCGGTCGTCCGCTCGTGCCGGCGCTGCTGCCGGACCGATCGACGGGCGACCAGCCGACAGCCACGCTGCCGGCGATGATGCCAGCCATGACGGACGGCGCGCCGAGTGCGGAGTTGGACCGCGACCGCGACGGCCGTATCGACCGAACAGACCGCATTGACCGCGACCGCGCGTGCTGGGGAGACGTCGGGTTGGATGTCGCTGCCATGCCACCGAGACCGAGACCAGTCGTGATGATGGAGAGCCCACCAGACGTGCCGCGCGTCGATGTCTGTCGGGGTGACGCACCACCACCGCCCAACGAGCTGAAGCTGTTCTCGCGCGAGGGCGTATGCGGCGGCCGCGGCCCTTCGTTGCCCTCGACATCCTCGACGGCGGATCCCGAGTGCGATCGCGAGTGCGTCCGCGACGGCGCCAACGACGGCGTCTTGGATCGTGGCAGCACCGCAAACGTCTCGCGTGGGTGCTGCAGCGCGTACTTGAGATTGTTCAGCCGGCCACCACGCATGCGCCGCAGCCAGGCTAGCTCGTCGCGCACTTCGGTCAGCGCCTCCGGATAGTTGCGGAACCGCTCGTCGTCTAGCACCACGTGACCACCGTTGCTGTTCGCATTTGCGGCTTCTGATTCGCCCGTTGTTCCGGCTGCCGCTTTCTGGTCTGCTCGCCGCATCACACCCTTCAGCCAGGCCGGCACCAGCTGCTCGCATAGCTCATCCGGCACCAGACGGATCAGGATGCCCATCGGGATGGAGATGAAGCCAAAGGCCAGCGCGTAGGCCCACATGACGCCCGTCTGGTGGTGGATGTTGAAAGCCACACCGCCTACCATGCAGATGAGCACCTGGCCGCCCATCATGATGGCGCTGATGCCCAGGAAGAAGTAGTTCTTTGTCAGGCCCTCAAAGATGTTGAACCGGTTGTCCAGTCGCCGGTTGTTCCACTGGTTGAACACCTGCATCCACACAAACGTATTGAACACCAGCGTCTGCACCTGGTCGTCTGTCGCGTCCTGGTCTGACGACGGCAGGATCTGCTGTCCGCCAAAGTAGAGCATGAACGTAATCGCTAGCTGGTACAGCGCCTGACCGATGATCATCTTCCACATCGTCGTCGAGATGATCGACGCCCCCTTGCGCTCCGGCAGCCGGTCCAGCACCGTTGGGTGTGGCGGGTCTGTCGCCAGTGCCAGTGCCGCCAGCGTGTCCATGATCAGGTTGACCCAAAGCAGCTGCACTGCTGTCAGCACGCTCGTCTCGTCGCTGCTCGACACGGCCGACACAAATGTCAGCAACACTGCCGTGATGTTGACCGTCAGCTGGAACTGCAGGAATCGCTTGACCGCGTCGTTGACCGCCCGTCCCCATCGCAGCGCCTTGATGATCGATGCAAAGTTGTCGTCCATCAGGATGATCGCCGATGCTTCCTTGGCCACCTCTGTGCCTGAGATCCCCATGCTGAAGCCCACGTCCGCCAGCTTGAGTGCCGGCGCGTCGTTTGTCCCGTCGCCCGTCACCGCCACCGTCTCGCCCATCTCCTTCAGCCGCTGCACCAGCACCCGCTTGTCCTCCGGGCTCGACCGTGCCAGCACGTGTAGCCGTGGAATCACGGCCACCTGCTCCTCCCGGCTCATGTTGCGGAATACCGGCCCCTCCAGCACCTCGCTGTTGGTCTCTCCCGCCTGCAGAATCCCGCAGTCCAGCGCGATCGCCTGTGCCGTCAGTCGGTTGTCGCCTGTCACCATCCGCACCACCACCCCTGCCCGCTGGCAGTCTGCCACTGCCTCGCGCACGCCATCGCGCAGCGGGTCCTTGATGCCCACCAGGCTCACAAACGTCATCTCCCGGAACACGTCCTCGAACACTACCTCGTCCGCCCCGTACCGGCTCTTGCGTGCCCATGCCGGCGGCCATTGCGGAAAGTCGCGCGACACCAGTCCGATCGTCCGCAGTGACCCCGACGCGTACCGTTCGATCAGCGCTGACAGCATCGTCCGGTTCTCCTCTGTCATCGGCCCCGCTGCTGCGTCACGTGCCGGCTCTCGTAGCACCTGCGTGCACTGACTAAGCAGGATCTCCGAAGCGCCCTTCACCAGAAGCCGTGCGCCTTTGCCGCCCGCCAGCTCGACCACCACACCCATGCACTTGCGTCCCGAGTCGAAGGGGATCAGCTGCAGCGTCCGTGCCCCATTTTCCCGCTCCTCTGCTACCGGTCCCATTGCCAGGTGCTCCCGCCCAAACGTGAGCAGCGCCGACTCTGTCTTGGACCCGACAAACTCCATCGCTGCAGTCGCCACCGGCGCCTCCTTCTTCTTGCTCTTCAGGCCCAGAAGGCCCTTTTTCTTCTTCTGCTTACTCTGGTCGTCGCTCTCGCTTTCGCCCGCCGACACGTTGCCCTCAAAGGCCGTTGAGTTGAGCACAATCGACTGCAGTAGCAGCTCGCGCACTTCCTTGCTCAGCGTACTCGTAAGCTCCTGTGCTGACAGCTCGCGCGAGCTCTCTTGTGATGGTGAGTCCGGCGATGATGCCTCCCCCTCGGCCACGCCGCCAAACCGGTGCGCCGTGCCCACCGTCCCTGCTACCACCCGCATCCGGTTCTGCGTCAGCGTTCCCGTCTTGTCCGAGCAGATCGTCGTCGCGTTGCCCATCACCTCGCATGCCTTCAGCTGTCGCACCAGGTTATTCTCCCGCAACATCTTCGCCGTCGCGTAACTCAGCGCCAGCGTCACCGCCAGCGGCAGTCCCTCTGGCACCGCCACCACGATAATCGTGATCACCACAATGAAGATGTTGATAAAGTCCTGTCCTTTTTGCGCTGGCGTCACTGATGGCGGTTGTTTCGGCAGCCGCACCAGAAACTCGATGAACAGCACGATGAACAGCAGCAGTGCTGCCGCACCGCCCATCTTCGCAATGTAGTCCGCGATCACGTTCAGCTTCATCTGCAGCGGCGTAATCTCCGGGTCGTCCTGCAGAGACATCATCGTCTTGCCGTATGTCGAATGCACGCCCGTTGCTGTCACCATGAACGTGCCCACGCCCTCCATCACCCGCCCGCCCGACTGGATGAAGGGGTCCATCTTGCGCAAGCCTTCGTTGCCGTCATTCTTCGCAATCGCCGCCCAAACCTCGTCGGCCGACCGCTTGCGGATCAGGTCTGACTCGCCCGTCGCCTGTGACTCGTCGCACTTGATGTTGTGGCCCTCGATCAGCACTCCGTCCACCGGGATCATGTCACCCGTCTCCAGGTGCATCACGTCACCCACTAGCACCTGCATGATCGAGATCTCCTGCAGCCGCCCCGAACGCACTACCTTGACCAGCCGGTCCGTCTTCTTGCGGTTGAGCTTCGCAAACTGTCGCTCCTTCTGCCAGTCGTTCAGCGAGCCCACCACCACCACGATCAGGATCGCCACAATGATCGCCACGCCCTCAATCCACTCCACTGGCGGGTTCGCCGCATCGTGCTTCTGTCCAAACGTCTGGTACAGGCCCACCGCCAGCGAGACGGCCGCCGCGATCGAGAGCATGATCAGGATCTTGTCGTTGAACGTGATCCACACTAGCTGCAGCAGTGACTTGGCCTTCTTTTCCGGCAGCCGGTTGTCGCTAAACACCCGCTTCCGGTCCACAAAGGCCTTGTCCTTGCTTGGTCCGGAGGGTACTGGTCTTGACGCGTCCACTGCCACCGGTGTGTCTGCCTTCTTGCCGTTGCCCAGCCCGTTGCCATTCTCGCTCGCAAACTCGCGCGCAGGCCGCGTGGCTTCCTCAAACGACACCGCCTTGCCCACCGTCGTCTCGTCCACGCTCAGCCCGGCACGCCGGTCAGTCTGCAGGCCCTTCTCCAGTCCACTGAGGCCGCCCACAGCCCAAAAAGCCGATAGGCTCTTGGGCTCAAACATTTTGTTCATATGTCCCGGCGCAAAGGCAAACGGGTTGTCGATCACCGTGAAGTCGTCGTCTTTGCCCTGGTCCGGCCTGAGTGCTTGTGGGTCGTGGATGATGTGCTCGTTTGTCACGTTCACCGACGTCGACTGCGACCACGACCGCTTGCCGTCGTCGCGACTGTTGCTACCACCGCCGCTGGAGCTGCCAACCACCGTGTCGCCCTGGGACACGGCCACTGACCGGGCTCCGTCGTCCGAGTCCACCGAGTTCTGTCGAGACCGACTCCTGTCTGGCACCTCCAAGAAGCCGTGCGTCCGCACCGGACTGGCCATCAACACGTTGTGCGGGCTGGTCGGCCGGCTGTCCCGAGGTCCCACCCCATTGGACGACCCTGGTGTCGAGCCCCCTCCCGGCCAGTTGCTTGCCAGCATTTCGGCTGCTGTGAGTGGGCTCTGTGAGCCATCGTCTGATACGTCTGATATCATCAACGTGGGAGACTGCGCGAACGCCGGAGTGCCGTCGGTCTGCATGTTGGGAACGTATGATGTATCTATCGTTATGGTAGGGCTGACCGTCCATGTGTTAGCTGCACTGTTGCTTGTTATTTGATGCTTGGTATTCCTGGGAAACTTACGCCCTTGGCCGCCTCTTATCATTGCTGCTGTCTGCCATATTGTGGGCTGTGCGTGCCTGTTGCTTGCGGAGTACTCCTACAAGCAGGCAGAAAACGTCAGCTTTAGTACGTAAGCCCGTTAAGCCATAGCTTTTTTGCTGGACGGAAAGGCATACCTGTGTACGCGCCCGAACCTAGAGGCTTGGCGAAGGCGAGGGCAACAGGTTCCTCAATTTCACCAGAGGCTGTGTCGTTTTGTCCGTGGTGATCGTCCAAGGCAAATATCTTATGCTCGTATAGAGAGCTAAGCTGCTGCTACAAGCATCTACCAGCTTCAAGTTTCCAAATCGCTTGAATGGGTTGCCTCCCTAGTCGGTGGCACAGCTCGCAGGCGCCGCAACTGTCGTCCTGAAGTGTGCTGTTGTGAAAGAGGATGGGCCATACGCTGCAGGCTGGAGCAGCTTGTGCTTATTCTTGCCAGGTCTTGTGCTTTCTGTGCTGATGAGAGCTGCCTTTATGAATAGATGTCTTTCCACGGAATAAACGATCCGGTTGGGGGTCCAAATGAATTTGACCTTTGATAAATAATATCGAGATGCGGAATCCAGAAGGCAGCCGTACTATACTGTGGTCTGAGAGTCCGGCTAGTCGAGATCTGTCTGGCAGCGACAATTGGCCTGAGGGGGCAGTGCACTCAGAGATTGAAAAGCAGAAGAGAGAGAGCGAGAGAATGACGAGCCAGAGGCGAAAGAAACGGTTGTCTTAGCTGACAAAACACTTGGCAGTACGGAGCTCTCCGTATCTTGTTTTATTCCCTTTTTGCCCTCTCCAACCGCCTGTTCTCGCTCTTCTTTCTTTTCCTTGCTTGGCAGAGCAATTTGTTGCTAGTGAGTAACATACATAATGTTAGGCGTACAGGTACGACAAAAGAAGGGGGACCGGTCTCTTTGGCCTTGAGAAAAAAGAGATGGAGAAGGGGGCTGTGCAAGATGTCGATAGCCAATCATGGATCCAGTCCGTGTGGGGCTTAGCGCCGCCAAGGCTGCCGGGTCGCGAATACATCACCTAACTTTGGCGCCACTGAAGTCTGGCTTGCTCTGACGACGGTTATAAATCGCGCACTGTATGGGCCGCGTACTAGGATGGCAGCGTTACACTCGGCAATGTACATATGTTGGCACTGTGAATCGTACTGTATATAAGTGCGAGGAGAAATCTGCCATATCGTAAATGGCGGCCCATCATCTCGACGCAGGAGCAATCAGAGCAGTGCAATTTGTGGCTCAGTGCCAGCCTGTGCTCACGTTGAACCTGACGCAAGCTAAGCAAGGGGTACCACCACGGGACACAGCGTACTGGCGCCTTCAACATGTGAGATATCTTTCGAGTAAGAGACGGCAACTAATGCGGGCAAAGCGCAGCCGTACGTGCTAGACGTCGAGCACTGGCCAGGCCAACGTCTAGGCGACTTTGGTGTGCGAACTAACCGATAAGAGCAAGACGAAGCAGCCAGAAGACCCACAGAAGTATCGTTGGAGGCCACTATAATGTCTCGACGGGAACGGCACTGTGACAATTGGCTGGTCTGGAAGAGCGAGAGGAAGGACGAAGGGTGAGCTAGAGAGATGGCACATTTCGCGGGCGTTGCACAGCCTCGAACAGGAGCTTGGCAAAGGCCGATCGTAAGTACACTCAGAAGGTGCTTGGTGGTTGTCACCGCTCGTACTGAATATGTACTCGTAAATGAGATAGGATATATCGGATAAGAGCCAAGAGCGGGTTATATTGCCGCTGGTATTGGCACGAGGCATCTTTCAGCTAAACGTGCAAGGCTGAACGGATTATCGCAAGAGGCAGCCGGCCAAACTGCATCGCACTTTGCTAGTGAGGTACGTTATGTGATTCCGGGGAGGAGCCACGACCACACCGACGGCCAGCCCGACACCTGCTAGGCCGTAGGGCCGGCTTGCCACCGTGCCGAATGGTTTTCGAGCTCCCCTTTCCGATCTGAGATAAGAAATTTCGTTGGTCGCGCCAAGAACGTGCTAATTCGACAGCTACTAGAATGGGAAGTTGGCGAGATGACATGATGGGCCGTGCCATCAGACGATAACGCTGCACTAGCAGTAGAGAAAGAGCAGATACTTCGTACTTTCGTACTTGGTAGAGAGAGAGACAGAGCCAGAGAGAAGGAAACAAGCAGAGGAGGGGAAGCAGGCGGGTTGCAGTCGTGCCGCCTGCCAAGCCGAGCGGTTGGGCGTGGCAACCGGGCAGTGCATAGTTAGTGGATGAGATGACAGTACAATATTGAGATTTTGATAACAACAAGGTAGATTGATATCTTGCTTTGATGATCAAGCGTATCGTGGCTCTTGGAGCGACGCCACACGTGGCAAATGCATGTCACGTGCATTGAATTCAATCTTAGGACGGTGATGTGTTCGTTCCAGAGCAATGCGAAAGATGAGAATTGCTACTATGTAAGCCCAGCTTGCTTTCCAGCGCTTGCAGGGGCCGGAAACGGCTTGGCGCGGCGTTGGGGAGAAAATGCGTCGACACCCAAGCGTAACAAGGAGCTAATCACCGGCTGCCACAAAGCGGTACATCAGCAGAACAGAAGCCGAATTGTTTTGTCTGTGGAGCAGAGCGTGGCAGATCGACCATGGTCTCGCCGCTGCTGTCAGAACGATAAATGGGAGTGGAGCCGTGCCCAGGGAGGTGGCGTTTGGGGCCAAATCCCAACTGCGACGCTTCATCTTACTTGGACGATCGCAGGCCTGCGGCAGCAGTGTTTGTCGACCTCTTCGGAGCAGATTCTCTTTGCGGCCAAGAGGGGGCTGGGAGTGGGGATTTCGTCCTCGTTCTGTCGCGGAAGCTCTGGCGGGCAGGCGATGCAAACAGGGGCAATTTTATGCTGGCCGGCCCCTAATAATGTTCAATGTCTAGCCTGCCGACTCGCTGTCGTTGCTTATTGCGGGGCTCATTTCAGAGATCCCAACAGGGGACCTGACCTGCCGGATTGGTATACGCAATAATACGGAGCCATAGTCTGCGATACAGCATGTTATGCTTACGTAACCGGTCGAGCCACGAAGGGTCCCTTGTGTCGGCGCCGAGGTCAGTGACGAAGCCGTTCACGCGCAATGAACAGAACTCGTCATGTGCTGTGTGCCATTCATGGGTCGAGACCCGGTGAAAGCGCCCAGAGTTGGGCCGCTCCCGTTCCATCCTCTCTCCGTCGCTGTAGTCTATCTGGGATGGCACATGTCCAGGAACGGAGACGTGTCGCACAGCCCAAGTACCATGAGGCAAGCCAAGCCAAGCCAGGCTGTGCCTCGAAGCTCTGTCCGGATACGTGGCTGCTGCTTCACCGCTCCACCATCTCACCGTCTCACCGATTTTTCCTCTTTTTCCTCTTTTTTTTTTTTTTTTTTTTTTTTTTTTTTTTTTTTTTGGCTCGCCCCTCACCGCCGACCCAGGTCGAGGTTCTTGACAAGCACGAGCAGTCCGAGACGGCCGGCGTCGTCGTCGTCGTCGCCCAGGAGCCGACGCACGACCAGGCGTAGTGTGTCGGACCAGAACTGGGCGACGACAGACTGCAGGGCAGCCCCGGTCTGGCGGAAGTCAGGGAAGGCGTTGACCTCGAGCAGGTAGGCGGTCGCGCGGTCGTTGTCGTCGGGGTCGAGGCCGATGAGAAAGTCGAGGCCGTAGACCTCAAAGGCGTGCGGCAGCGGCTGGAAGTGGATGGGCATGCCGACAGCAGCAGCTTCGAACAGCTCGCCGGTGACGCGGCAGATCTGGTCGAAGATGGCGGACGAAGACGAAGACGAAGACGAAAAGTCGAGGTCCCAGAACAGACGGACGGCGTCGCCCTTGTCAGCCTCGTCCTGGAGACAGGTGTTGGTGAGGTGGCGAGCCAGACGGTCAGCATCGTCGACGTCGTCTTCGCTGCTGCCATCCGCGGCACCGACCCACGGCGGCTGATAGGCGGCGGCGGCAAAGAGAGCCAGCATATCGCGGCAGACGTAGACCTGCAGGGCGCCGACGCAGAGGACGTAGACGCGGACATGGAACTTGCGGCCGTCGGTAGCTGGCAGCAGCAGCGGGGGATGGATGTAGGGCTGGGCGACAAAGTGGCGAAGGTGTGAGGTGGTGATGTTGTTGTTTTCTTGACTGTCGTCTCCATCGTCGTCGTCGTCGTCGTCATCATCGTCATCGTCGCTCTCCTCCCCCTCCCAGCCGTCAAAGACAGCCTGCAGCTCGTCCATGGTGCTGAACAGCCGGATGCCCTGGCCGCGATCGCTCATGCTCGGCTTCAGGATCCACCAGGCGCGGCGATCGGGTGGCAAGCCGTCATTGGCCTCGAGGCTGGCGCGCAGGTCAAAGGCCTCGACCAGGGCGTCGTCGAGGAATTCGGCGTAGTCGACCTCGAACGACTCGGTGCGCCGCACGTGGCGGGCCAGCATCGATGTTGGCCGCTTGGCCACCCAGTGTTCGACCGTGGAGGCGAGAAAATGCTTGCGAATGAGCGCCTTGCGGAAGACGTAGCTGTTGATCCGGACCGACGACGGATGGGCGGCCGCGTACGCAAAATCGACGGCCTCGTATGCGGCCACCTGCACGATCGGCGGGGGCGCAGATCCGGGACAAAGAGCACCGGCCATCGCCAGGCTGGCCTCGAGCGATGCGGGCTCCTCGTCGACCGCTTGGCTGGCTGGCAGCAGCTGCAGGCGATAGCCCGACGGCACAGCCGCGCGCACGGCGTCTAGCAGGATCGGCTGCACGTAGGGATCCTCGTAGGCGATCAGGGCGCAGAGCGGCTTTGGCTCTGGCTGGAGAATGGCATCCCTAGCACAAGGCAGACGGCCGCGGATCAGCACTGGAAGGACGACAACAGAGCAGCAGCACAGCAACAAAACAAACACGTGGAAGACGTGCCGGGTTCATGAAAGAGAAACGGCGGCAGGTCCCCTGCAACAGGGCCATGTCTGCTTGTCTGGAGGACTCTATAGGATCTACCATACGACCCTCTCTTGTTCGGTTCCGGCAGTGCATGCGCCTGCCTCTCGCTCTCTCGGCCTCCGCTCCCGACGTCTGGCGCAGCGGCCATGGCACTCACAGCTGAAGCTCGGTCCCGTGCAGCTCGGTGGCTGCCTGGAAGAAGTTGGCCTTGAGTGGAGAGACGCTGTGATGTTAGCACAAAATACAAGACAAAATACACAAAACACAACACACCTCGTCAGTCCCTCGCGGACGGCCCAGCCATCATTGCCGGCCGGTGCATCCTCGACGCTCTGGTACACGTCGTCGAACCGCGGCTGCCACTTGTAGAGGCTGTGTCGGAGGCTGTTGCAGTCGCCGTCGGTCTCGGTCTTGGCTTCGGTCTTGGTCTCGATCTGGGGCCTGGCCGACGCCTCGCCGCCGTCGCCCTCGCGCAGCTTCTCCTCGGCCTGCGAGGCCTCGCCGTCGATAGCACTGGCACTGGCACCGGCCACCTCCACGAAGCAGGCGCTGTGCCGCCAATAGTTCTGCAGCACCGGTGCCCAGACGGTCTTGTGACCGGCCACGCCGGCGACCAGCGGCACGTTGACGCTGTAGAGGTCGACACTGCCATCAGCCGGCCAGGCCGCCGCCAGGGCCGTGATGACGCGCACGGCGTGACGGCTGGCCTCGGCCACTACGGCACGATCGTGGTCCGTGTCGCGCTTGAAAAAGGCAAACGATACCGCGATCGCCCGGACGCCGCAGGCAGCTGCCTCGAGCGCGCCGCCCAGCGTGCCGCTGCTGAGTGCAAAGACTGCCGTCGTGTTGCGGCCGTAGTTGGGCCCGCTGACGACGAGATCGAATGGGCCGCGCGACCGGAAGACGTGGTGCAGCCCGATCTGCACACACGATGCCGGCGTCCCGTTCACCAGCACCCATTCCTCCGGCTTGTCTTGGCCTCCGTCCCACGGCCGCTCATGCACGGTGCCCCCGTTGTCCGCCTCGCCTGCCGCTGGTGCTAGGCCCGCCGGCGTCGCCTTCGACCCTGGCGGCCGGTAGTACGTCGGCTCTACCGTCTGCCCGATGATGTGCGCCTTGCCGATCCACGATCGCTGCGTGTGCGGCAGACACACCGATACTCGATGTCCCGACGCTTGCAGCTCGCGCACCAGGCTGTGCACGTATGGCGATGCGTGCTGCGACGGCGGACCGTCGTCGTTGACGACCAGAATGTTCATCGCGAGGTCGATGTGGTGGTGAGACGTCGATGTCGGCTGGTTGTGCCGTATGAACAGATCACTCTCGACGCGAGATGTGTCGAGATGCTGCTGATCCAATGGACTATTGGCCTACTCCCAAGACCACAGACTCGCACGCAGACAGGCAGTTCGTGCAACACAATGATCAGACTCGTCGCTCCTCTCTGCTCTCAGGTCGGTTTTCTACAGTCGTCACAACACGTCTGAAAAATCACTAAATTCGACCTATAGCGGGGGTGGGGCACCCACAGAATATCGTCCACGCTATCTCCTAAGAGCCTAATGGCGACATTAGCAATGCCGAGCTCCTCCGGCTTTACGGATCACATCACCGCCTGTTGCTTTGGTAAATCTGGTCCATTCTTTCGTCTCCCATCCTGTCCACTCTGGGGCCCCGTTCTGCCCTGATTAATAAAAACCCCAGGCACTGGGCACTGATCCTATAAAAAAAGATAGATGTCCGCCCTTTGCTCGATTGCCCTCGGTCTTGTGCTGCTCGACCGTTGCCTAGTGAGAGCTAATGAAAGTATGTATGTAAAATGAACATGACTAAAAGTGCAAGGGGATGTGAACCGCGGCTGCGACAATACTGAAGAAAAGGTGAGGCTGAGAAGAGAAGAGAAGAGAAGCGGAAAACAAAACAAAACAAAGGAACTAAGAAAAAAAAGAAAGAAAACCCATTCAAAGAGAGCATCTGGGTGTGGCCAGTCCGATTGATAACGCCAAAAATCGAGTCCTGAGAAGAGCGTCCAGAGATAGACTGTCTAAGACGCCCGGGTGCGCTTAGCTGGTGCCGACGCGGTGGCCCCCAGCTCTCCTGCCGACCGCTTGTGGCCTGCTGCTGCTGCTGTGCTGCTCTTAGTCTGTCGCCAACCGTCGAACGGGCTGCGCTTCTTAGCTCGCGTTGCTCGTGCTGAGATCGGCGGCGATGCCGGCGCAAATCGCGGTGCTCGTGGCGGTGTGCTGGGCGTCTTTGCAGCGACCAGAGTGCTGTCCTGTGTCTCGTGAGTCTCTGTCTCCTCCGTCTCCGTCTGCTCCTCCTCGTCGGCCACGTCGTTGCCCTCTTCGATATCCGTCACGGCCTCTTCGTCCTCGGCCGTGCCTGCAAACGGCGCCTGCAGCTGCTTCTCGGCCTTCTCGTTTCGCGGAAACAGCAGTCGCGGTTTGATCGCAGACCGCGTCAGACGTCTCCCTGCTCCTGCCCTCTCCGGGCTGCCCATCCTGCCGCTGGCCCCCGGGCTGTCCTGCTCCTGTGCAGACACATCGGCGAACTTGCGGAAGATTCTCTTTCCACGGCTGGACACGTATTAGCGATATTGTAGTCACGGCATCAGAAGAGTGAAAAAGAGAGAACGTACAAGACATAGATGAGGCCGTCTTCGCGGCGAGTGGCCTCTTCGACCGACTGCTTGCCTTCGCCTGGAATCGACACGTGGTTGCGTCTGCTGCTGCGGCGCCGGGTTGGCGGCTGCGGCTGCTCTGTTGCCGGCAGCACGGCGCCGTTGCCGTAGAAAGGGTTCTCCATGCTGCCATCGGCCTCGGGCACGCGGTCCTGCGAGTCTGTAAAGATGGGGATCGTCTCCTCCTCCTCAACTGCAGTGAAGCTGTCCAGCGTGTAGCCGGTATACTTCTTGGGCCGTCCGCCTGTCTTGCGCGAACTGCTGGTCGGCGATGCCATCACCTCCTCGACGTTGGTGTGGAAGAGATTGCGGGCAATGGCCGCGATGTTGGACTCATTCTGCGACGCGGCGTGCACCTTCTTGCTCGGCGTTTTGGCTGGCGTCGGCAGCATTCCCAGGCTGGCACGGTGCGCATGAGCGTGGACTTGCTGGGCAGCAGAGAGCTTGCTGCCACGGCCAAGGGACCCTCGGGCGTGGACGAAGATGCCATCGTTTTCTTGCGCGGTGTGGACTCGGGCGAGATGGCCGGACCGTGAAAGAGCGCCTTGGTCACGCGAGGCGAGCGGATCTGCGCGCGGGTGTGTGCGCGTCGCGGCGTGGCAGGTGCCGCAGGTGCTGTCGGGGCCGTTGATGAGGCCACAGCAGCGGCGGCGGCAGCAGCTGCAGCAGCAGCAGCAGCGATACGAGATGATTTGCGAGGAGAAAAAGGCTCCCACGAATCTGCGAATCCGTGCTTGGGCGTGGTAGGAGTGTGAATGTTGGGCGGCGGAGACGGCGTCGCGGCGATTATGCGTGTGGTTGCCATGGTAGTAGAGGGAGGGAGGGGAGAGAGAGGGAAAAAAAGGAGGAAAAGAAGGACGAAAAAAGGAGTCGAAGAATTGAATGAGTTTGCTGAGGATGTTGGAAATGTCTTGTTTTGGCGGTCAGAGATGGGCGAGTCGAGGCAGCACCGCGATTCCAAAAGTCAGGCGCAGTGTCCAGACGTCCGTCCAAGAGACGACACGGCTTCGTCTTGTGGGAAAGGGGCCGGAGAAATCGGACGGAGTCGATGATCGGCTGCTGTCGGTCGTTTGTGCTGTTCTTTTTTCGCCTGTCGGCTTCAGCCCTGAAGAAAAAAACAGGCTGTCGATTGACTCGATCGGGACGAGGTGGGAGATTGACGGCAGGAAGCGAAAAATGCTGGAAATAGCGAAACTCGTGGTGACAATAGCAGAATACGAAGCGCAAAGACGAAAAAGGGAAGAATGCGAGACTGGTGGGAAAAGTGGATGGTGGCTTTGGGCGAGGACGACAGCGAGGTGGATGGCGCAGAAATCGGTGGCTGGGAAGTCTCTGGCTGCTGTGGTGCGGCAGGTCCCATTGTGCGGTCAAGGAAGCAAAGTGGAGCATGGCTCTGCGAGCCCCCTGTTCCGGCATGAATGGTGCTGGCAAGCCGCCCGACAGCCAAGGCAGCAGAGGAGCGAAACTGACGCGTCCGCGGCGCGTGCAGAAACCGCGCTAGTCTGTGTTTGTGGTCTGATGGGCCAATGGCGAGCAGCCCATCTGCGGGGTCAGCCTTGCTGCAGCCTGCAGCCGACGAGGATAGAAAGAGGGACAGCCGATAGACGAGAGAAGGTCATTGCGGCCCTGAAACGGTAGACAGGACTGACGCCACGATCTTGTCGATCTCGTTTCCGCCGCCACGGACAACGATCCACCGGCCAACTGCAACTGCCGATGATGGACGACTCGGCCCTCTTCTCGTCGCCGGTGCGGGACTACCGGCCACGCTCGCCGCACACCCCACGAACACCACATACACCACGCACACCACGCACGCCGCAGTCGCCGCCGCCAGGCGCTGGAGCTTCCTACGATTCTGAAGAGACGCGCGAGACTGCTCTGCAGCGCGAGCTGGCTGGCGTGCGCCAGGTCAATGAGGCCATTGAGGGCATCCTCGGCACGTTGGAGCAGTCTAGAGGGAATATGAAGGTGAGAAGACAGGACAGAGACAGACTGGACAGAATGGATAGAAGAGGCAGAATGAACAGAAGAGACAAAAGGATTCGAAATAAAATAACCAAAGAAGCTAACCCCCCAGACCGTCTCCCAAACGGTTTCCAATGCTTCCGCCCTCCTCAACACCTGGACCCGTCTCCTCTCCCAGACCGAACACAGCCAGCGTCTCATCCTCGACCCGGCTTGGCGTGGCGCCTCTCAGGACCTGGCCGAGGCTGAGGCCGAGGTCTTGCAGCGCCAGCAAGAGGCCGAACGCCGTGCCCAAGAGGCCCAACGCCGTCGCGATGAGGCCCGTCGCCAGGCCGACGATGATGACCGCCGTCGACTCGCCGGCCACTCCTCGTCTGCATCTGGATCTGCATCTGGATCCTCATCTGTCTCAGCTACCCGCCGCGGCTCTGGCCTGCGTAGTCGCGGCCGCATCACCTACAGCGCCAGCGGCATCTTTCGGCGCGGCAGCACCGGCGGCAGCTCAGCTGCTGCAGCTGGCTCTGGCACCAGCCGCTATGGACGGGGCGCTAACACTAGTAGCAGCAGCACCGCCGCCGACAACAGCACCGCCGGCCCCTCCTCCGCCTATGGCTACCGTGGCAGCTCCGGCATCGGCCGCGGCGTCTCAAGAGGCAGCAGAGCCGGCGGCCGTGGGGTCCGTTGACAGAGAGAGAAAACCGGGATGAGGACACGTAACGATTCACGAAGGATGGCATAGACAGAGAGAGGCTCATGTGCTGATGTACCAGAAGCGACAATTTATTCGTTTGTCGAAACAGACCAAGCCCAGTTCCCTGACGCCGTTCTCTATATACACAACCCTGTACACCGTCCATCTGCCCTACTTCTTCTTGAAAAACTCGCTGAGCTTCTTCATACCGCTCACGTTGACCTTTTTGAGGTCCCGCACGCCACGGCTCGCCGACGCCTTGCGGCGCCGCTCCTCTTCCTCGCGCTTGCGCCGCTTCTCCGTCCGGTCGTCCTCGTCCTCGTCCTCGTCCAGTCCCCGCTTGTGCGAATAGTCCAGCGCGGCCGACCGCGCCAGGGTCACCTCCTGCTTCACGGCGGCCAGCCGGCTGAGATAGGCGTCCAGGGGGGCAAAATCGGGGAGTTCGGCGGCGATGGTGGAGGCAGACAGCCGCTCCTTGAGCGCCGTGGTTAGTGCTGGCGGCACGTAGCTGGAGCAGATATAGTCGAGCGCCACGCGCAGCCGCTGCAGCGCGACGACGTCGTCGGACGCCTGCATGGCCGTGCGGATGGCCGGGTCGATGCTGGAGGCAGATGTGGAGGTGGAGGCTGTAGAGGTGATCGTGGCATCGGTCGCTGTCGAGGAGTCACCAGAGTCGGTCGGTGTGGATCTTGTCGTCTCTCCCATCACCTCTGCCCCCGTGTTTTCTCTCTGGATGCTCAGCACCGGTGCTTCCAGCACCTTGGCCACAAACCGCTCCTCCATGCTGCATGGCAGATGTGTAGCCATGCGGCCAGCTTTGGCCAGCAGCTCCCGCAGCAGCCGGTCCTCGTTGAGGCGGAACATGGGCTCGTCGCCGGCCTCGACGGTATCGCAGACAGCTGCTATGCGGGCCTCCAGCAGGCGGCGCACGCGCGGCTGCCGCCGCAACAAGTCGGCCAGGTGGGACGACTGCGGTGGCAGGGCATCCAGGTGGTCATCGGTGGCGAGAAACATGCGCTTGGCGGACGAGGACGCGGCCAGGGCTGGAAGCACGAGGAAAAGGGGGTCCACGGGCGAGGCAACGTAGAGATCGGCGCTCTTGGTGATGAGGGATGGAAAGGCGTCTGTTTGTGGTGATGCTGGTGGTGCTGGCATCGTTTCTTCCTCTGCGTTTGTATCTGGTGCCTTTTCTGCTTCTATCATCCAGCTGCGAGGTGTCGTCGCCGGACAGGCAATCCGTGTGAACTCGTACATGCCCGTCTCTGGACACACAAGATACCGCGTCGGCCGTGCCGCATAGCGTGGATGCGGCAGCGTGACGATGCGGGCATCGGCTGTCGCTCGCTTCGGCAGGATGAACAGCTTCGGCGGCTCGCCGCTCTCGGCTGGCAACGTGTACTTTGAAGACGATGCCGGCGCAGCCACTGGCACAGACACGGCAGCACCCCTTGATCGGGTCGCACGGGGAGCCATTGCGCTGTTTGGAGATACTGTCGCTGACCGTTTGCCAGCTGAAGAGTTCTGGCAGAAAGACTCCGTTCAGGCTCACGAGAGGACCCAAGCCAATTAGAGTATTACATAAGCAGACGCGTCTTTTGTGAGAGGACCCGCGTAGGCAACGCGCCAGATTGCGCATTATCTCCGTCCTCATCAAACACACAACTTTCGGTCTAGCCTCCCCCTCTGACGAGTCCATAGTATCGCAAGCCACAAGCTACCATTAAGACCCTGATGTCATTGGCCAGGACAAGAAGGCACAAATTTGCAAAGTACATGTCTAGGACTTGTGCTGGCGGAGTCTATAGCACGTCACAGCCGCCCTCTCTTTTTTTGCGGCACTTGTCCACTTTTCTCGGTTCTCTCTATTTTTTTCTACCCGCCAAATCGACTGGACATCTCCGCGACAACGGCCTGCTCACCATGCGTGGCCGGTGCATTAACGCTATAGTATAGACAACAAGGCGACGCCCCTGCCTGCATGCGCACGGGAAACAGAGGGCAACGGATAAGGTCGGCGTGTTCTTTCTGAAACATCCAGACGTGAGACGATCTCGACCTATACCTCTCTATCGAACCTGAACATCATGCTGCCGAGTAAGAGCCGCCCTGCTGCTTTCTTTCCTCTGCGCTTTCGCATGCATTCGTACTTGCTTACACCTGCTTTCCAGAGTCCCCGGCAGCCGAGCCCCAGTGGCCTCCCCGATCTCCCCGTGATGTTCTTCTCAGTACGCCCAGCGGTCGGGCACGGCTGCAACGCATGGCCGCGCAAACGTCCCCCTCGCCGCTCCGGACACGTGCTTACAGCGTGGGAAACGACGGCCTGAATGAGGACGGAGACGGAGACGGAGACGGAGACGGAGACGAAGACGAGGACGAAGAGACGCTCCAGCTCAAGCTGCAGGAGATCCAGGCCAAGTTGCGGCTGAAGAAGCTACAATCAGCCAAGGCACAAAAGTCAGCGACAGAGGCCGCGGCCATACGACCGTCGGCGTTTTCCGCATCAACATCATCGACACCAGCACTGAGGGTCAACCCGCTGCCACAACGGCCGCGCTCGTCTCCCACGAAGGCGGTCGAGGTGCCGGCATCGCCCGTGCGGCGAGCCCAGCCGGCGGCGGAGGCGATGCTGGCATCGCAAAAATCGCCGCGACGTGTTCTGCTGGGCATCGACAAGGGTCTGCGCGGTCAGGACGTGTCGCTAAAGCGGCCGCCGTCGGGGATGCGACGAGGACTGAGCCTGACGGAGGGCTCGCGAGCAGCCAGCAGTCTGGGTGTGGTGGCCGAGACGTCGAGAGAGGCCAGGCAGTCGGAGTTGCGGCCGCTCAGCTTCAACGAGCGGCTCGCGGCAGCACGGGTGCAGGAGACGGCCTTGCAGGACCGGAAGGAGAAGATCCAGAAGCTGCGCAGCGGGGCCTTTGCGGTGGGCAAGGAGGAGGTCGAGGTTTACAAGACGCGGGCAATGGACATTCCCTTGGCTCCGGAAAAGCCGCAGCAGTTCACCCGCGAAGACATTATCGACGTTGCCGTGAGAGGGAAGAAGCCGCCTGGCGACAGTCAGCTGCTGCATCGCAGCCGGACGATGCCCAGCCTGCGAGCTGATGGTGATGGTGACGGTGAGGAGAGGGCTCGAAGCGGGACGCCAGCGCCAGCGCCAGCAAACAGAGCGGCCGACGGAACAGGCGACGGAACGACGGCGGATTCGCCATCGTCGTTTGAGCCATACAGCGGGTTCCACCTGTCGAGACGGATTCTGCCACACACAGTGGTGGCGCGAGCAGTGGCAGGCAAGACGATATACATGTTGCAGGATCTGCTGCGGGAGGTCAAGGCGCCCAACTTTGAGCTGCCAGACGTGGAGACGGACGTGGTGGTGCTGGCAATCGTGGCGTCCAAGTCGGATCCACGAGCACATAAGCCGGTAAGCAGCGGTGGCGCCGACGGAGGATCATCGGCATCGGCATCAGCATCGGCGGCGGCGAAGAAGAAGGAGGAGGACCGCGGCAAGTACATGGTGGTGACGCTGGTGGACCTGACATACCAGGTGGACCTGTTCCTGTTCAAATCGGGCTTTGAGCGGTACTGGAAGCTATCGACGGGAACGGTAGTGGCAATCCTGAACCCGGTGGTGATGCCGCCACCACCAGGACGACACGACACAGGGCGATGGGGTCTGGTGATCAACTCAGACGCGGACACGATCTTGGAGATTGGGACGGCGCGGGACTTGGGCTACTGCAAGTCGGTCAAGAAGGACGGACATCTGTGCAGCGACTGGGTCAATGCGAAGCGCACCGAGTTTTGCGAGTTCCACACCAACGAGGCAGTGCGACGGATGCGGGCGACCCGCAACGAGATCAACGGAGCGGCGGGCTTTGGTGGCGGGCGACAGCAGCAGCAAGGCGGACGGCCGGGCAGCAGCTTCTCGTCGCGTGGGACTCGCAGTCGTGGCGGCAGCGGCAGTGGCTGGGGCGGCCGCGAGCCGACATCCAACACGGGCTACGACTGGACAGCACACAGCCGATACTTCATGTCGGGAAGCGCCAGCGCGAGTTCGCTGCTGGACGGCGACGGTGGCGGATATGCAGACAAGGTGGAGCGGCAGGAGGGCATCAAGCGGCGGCTGGCGGCCAAGGAGCGCGAGACGGACATTGCGCGCAAGCTGGGCGAGCTGGGAGCGGGAGCCGGCCGCGACTACATGCAGCTGACAGCACTGGATCGAGCGGTGGCAGCGGTAGGGAAGAACAGGGCGGCGACACCGCGCGAGGGCAGCGGATCTCGAGCGGCGATGGCGACGGCAACCACGGGAATGTCGGCAGCTGAACAGGCGGCAGCATCGCGGGCGAGCTTGTTGGCGTCGGTGGCATCTCGACGAGGAGCAGCAGCAGGAGCCGAAAACACAGGACGATCGACGTCATCGGCAGCAACATTGGCGTCTCACGTGATCCAGCTCGGTCCGCTGACAAAGCGCAAGCGATCGCAGTCGGTGCTATCGTCGCGGTCGCAGTCGAGCGTGACAGGTGGCGAGACGGAGCCGACAGCACGTGACCGGATGGCTGGACTCGGCTGGGGATCGGGGCTGCGAAACAAGCTGGGCCGCATGAAGGAGGGCGAAAGGCTGACGCCGGCGACGATGACGAAGACGACAATGTCGGCCGCATCAGCATCAGTAGCAGCAGCAGCGGCGGCGGTAGCAAAAAAGGGACCGTCACCAGAGCGGTCGCCAGTGCGGAAGAAGACGAGATTTCTGCTGGGTGGCAAGGGGATCCGCGAGGCTGGACGCGAGAGCCTGGGGATTCCGGTGTTGGACCACGGCAACGACGACGACGACGACGAGCTGATCATCATATGAGGGCACATACTGTTTGGGATCGGATGTATTACTATTACGAGCAAGGACGGGAGATTGTTTATGAGGCTAGGCTTACTAATGAGGAATGAACAAGTACAGATGTAAGATACGCTCTTGTGCTAGCAGTGAACTCCGCACTATTTCTTACGTATGGGCCAATCAGCGGTGACGGTCCGGCTGCGGAGGGAAAGCTTGGACCAGGCGACTGCCCCATACCTCGGCTTTTCAGGTGGTTGCCCCCTGCGGCAGCAAATTGACCCCTTCCCTTGTGAGCGGATATTCTGACATTCCCACGGAAGACATCCAACGCGACTAGCAACACAAAGGCGACAGCGGCGCCCGAATTCATCAGAACAACGCGGATGTGGACCCGATGAACAACCGGACGAGCTCTGCTTCGGCGCCGTCGTTTGCGGAGGCGCAGCGGCGGCTGGCGGAACGACGACGCGACCGGGAAAGAGGAGGCGGTGGACAATCAGCTCCTCTGAGGGGAGTCGGTAGCCGGCCAGCTTCCGAGAGACACGGGAGAGGCGTGGGCCAGTCAGCGCTTCTGCAGCGTGTAGGCGGCAAGGCGATGGCGGCGTGGGAGCGGCTGGGCGGGTCGTCGCTCTCATCGCTGTCGTCGCTGTCACCGCCTTCGTTTCGCGTCGGGCAGGTGGACGCGGAGCTGCTGGACGAGGAGCTGCTGTCGCTGATGCAGACGCAGGTGGGCGAGGCGCTGCGGCACGTACGAGGCGGCACGCTGGGCGACGACTGGGGCGCGGAGATTTTGCTGGGCCTGCGGGCAGCGCTGTTTAAGCTCTCGGTCTGGGACCACGACGCGACATACGGGGCAGCGCTGCAGAACCTGCGATTTGCCGACGCGCGGCAATCGGTGGCGCCGGGCGTGGTGGTGGCGCCATCGCGCTGGCAGAAGGCGCTGTACGGCGTGGCCACGGTGGGCGGACGATACGCGTGGACTAAATGGGAGGACTGGCTGCGCGACAACGACGGAGGAGACGAGGACGAGGACGAGGATGAGGCTTACAGCGAGGTCTACAATGACCGGACGCGCGGGACACGCATCTCGGCGCAGATGGTGCGGCGGCTGGCGCGCGTGACGGGCTGGATGACGGACGCGTACGCGGCGGCAGCGCTGGTCTCGTTCCTCGTGTTCCTGCGGCACGGGCGCTACCGCACGCTGCTGGACCGGGTGCTGCGGATGCGGCTGGTGCCGCCGACAAGTCAGGTCAGCCGCGAGGTGTCGTTTGAGTATCTGAACCGACAGCTGGTGTGGCACGCCTTTACCGAGTTTCTGCTGTTTGTGCTGCCGCTCGTCGGCATCCAGCGGTGGCGGCGCTGGGCGGCACGGACGTGGCGGCGAGCACGATCATGGGGGAGCAAGGGGACAACGGCAAAGGAAGAGATGGGGACAGGCGGCGTGCTCAGCTTTCTGCCGGAGCGCACGTGCGCGATCTGCTACCAGGACCAGAACACGGCGACGAGCGAGGCAGACGTGCTGGCGCAGGCGGCCGCATCGAGCGGCGTGGTCGGCTCAGCCGAGACAGACGTGACAAACCCATACGAGGCAGCGCCGTGTGGCTGCGTCTACTGCTACGTGTGCGTGGCGACGCGGATCGAACGCGAGGAGGGCGATGGGTGGACGTGTCTGCGCTGCGGCGCGGTGGCACGCTCGTGTCGGCCCTGGAGCGGCGACGTGCTGGAGGCAGCCGGGAGCGGTGACGGTGACGAGACGGCAGCAAGAGCATTGGGAGCAGTGGCTACAGTGACTGCAGACCGACCGTCCACGTCTTCATCGACTGCATCCCACCACCCGCACAAGACGGTCGGGTTTGCCGACGACGTCAAGGCGGTCGACGAGGACGAGGACGAGGGCGAGGACGGCAGCCAGGACGAGGTGATCGTGGATGAGGCCGAGGACGGGAACGGACTGGCAGATGCAGACACGAGCGCAGGCGCCGTCAGCATGAGCGACTCGGGATCCGAAGCGTACGAGGAGGACGAGGCGAGCGGAGAGATGGACGCGTGAAGGATTTCCATGGCTGGCAGTGGCCTGATGGAAGGAATGCGGGCGCGCTCGTATGAGACATCGTACGAGCGGCACTAATCAGAAGCTGTGCATAGAAAGGCGTTGGCTGTCGGGACGGGAAATGGGAAACGGGACAATCGGCAGGCGTGCACAACGGGCATTGGGTTTTGTGCTGCTGCCAACTGCCAATTGCAAACGGCAACAGATGGCAGGGTGGCATTGGAGAGATGAGCTGTCGTGTTCGATAGGAGATCAGATGAGATTGGAGGGTCTATCGGCCACGAGTCAAAATTCGCAGGGCCGTCTTTCCGGGCAGCACGACATCGTACATGTTTACTACTCGTAGCGCCAGAGCCCCACCCTTGGCACGAGCCCCGTGACCAGCCGGGCCCGCCTGATAAGTGGCAGGTGGCAGGAAGCTTGGTGGTCTTGATAGCGGGCGAGGTTGGCCGCGCCTTCCGTTTCAAAGGCACCTGTCTTTTCGGCGTGTCTTGACGTGTCTGGGCCTTTTTCATTTTCTGTCTCGTTCTTGTCTCTTTCGCTTTTTCTCTTCTTCTCTTTCTGGCATTCTCCCCCATCATCTCGCCATGCCCGAGTTTTTTTCCTTTACGCTTGGCGCTGAGACGAACCCGCGTGTGCTGCGCGGACCGGACGAGGAGTCACCGCTGCTGGTTGGCCGGTTCCGGGCTGTGGTGCAGTCAGACAGCGGACGAGCAGGAAGGGGAGCAGGAAGAGGACGAGCAGGGCGAAGAGCCGGACGAGCTGGACGAGCTGGACAAGCAGGAGAGAGCAGCCGGGATGGCGGCAACCCACACCAGCCCCATGCCAGACGGCATCCGCGCTGGCCGTCACGCTGGCCACAGCGCTGGCCGCTTGCAGGGGGACAGATCGGACAGATCAGTCAATACGAGCGAGGACGGCCATACGGGGCCGTTTCGACGTCGTGGGGGTCGTGGGAAGCGGCCGAGCAGGAGGACGATGAGGATGACGGGTACGATGAAGATGACGAGGACGACGAAGAGGGGGCCGACAGCATCGAAGTGGACGACGACACCTGGACGCTTCCCGGTGGAAAAGACGCACGACGACCACCACGCCGACGACGACGGGTCCTGCAGCGATGCGGCCGCCACGTGCGGGATGTCTGGCTGACGCCGCGGCCGGCAGCCGTGCACCGCGTCATGGGCCGCTGGTGGACGCGCTGGGCGCTTCTGGTGGTGCTGCCGGCCGTCGTGGCGGTGACCTGGTGTGCGGTGCCGATGCCGCAGTGGGCATTGGCCGATGGCGAGAACGGAGGGTTGGGCAGGAACGGCGAACCGAAAAGACCGCCCGGTCACGGCGAAGCCCGCGTTCGCATCGGCTTCTGGCACTTCCTCCTGGCCTACTACGGCCCCTACAACGGCGTCGCGCTCGTCTGGATCACCAAGGTCTTCAACCTCTACGGGCTCAACTGGTGGGCTGACTCGCTCGGCTTTGTCGCCAGCGCCGTCCTGCTCGCTGCCGCCTCGCTCGCCGCACCTGCCCTGTTCTTTGTCGCCGCTCCCCAGACGGCTCGCCGGCTGCTGTCACACAATACCGTCTGGGTCACGTGGACGTTTGCCGTCATGGCCGTACCCGCGGCCGCTGCCCTCGCCCTGCTGCTGCTGCATGAGCGCCATCTCGGCCTGCGCCACGCCCTCTCGGCCACCCAGCGCATCTTCACGACTGCCCGCTGGGCCGGCGAGCCGGACGGACAGTCGCCACAGCTCCGGGCCTCGAGACAGAGCCAGAAACAGAATCAGAATCAGAAGCAAAAACAAACGCAAAAACAGAAACAGAAACAGAAACAGCCACAACAACAAGGCCCCGACAGAGAGCAGGAAGCAAGACTGATCAAAACAAACCAGGATAGACAGGCCGACCTCGTCAACAGCTGCGTCCTGCCTCCGTCTTCTGGCTCCTCTCAGTTCTTCCCGGCCGATAGCCCTCGATCGGGCTCTCCTACAAAGTCTGCCATCATCGCCACCTCTGTCCGTGCCACTTCCTCCTCTGCCTCTTCCTCTTCCTCCCCCCTTCCCCCCCTCTCTCCCTCCAACTTCTCCTCCCTCGCCCCCCTTCTTCCCCTTCGTCCTGCCGTCGCGATGCGCCGCTCTTGGCTGCCCGCCAGTTTTGTGCGCTTCCTCTGGCTCGTGAGTGCCCTCTTCATCTCCTTGCTCGTCTTTGAGCTCGGCGAGGCCTCTGCCTCGCTCTTTCTTTCCGCTCTGCCCGCCATGCGCCACGAAACGGTCTATGCCGTTGTCTATGTCTGGGGCTGGACCGTGACCGTCTTCCTGCTCGACCTCCTGACCGCCTGGATCCTGGGTGGCCATCAAGGCGAACGTGTCGGTAGCTATCCATTGGGATGGGTCTTCAAACTGTGAGAATCCATCCTCTCCTCTTTTTTCCTTTACCTTCCTCCCTCTCACTAACCCTCCAGCTACTTCATGCTCACGTACCAAACCTACGTCCGAGCCCTCTACGCCCGCCTCCGCTCGCCCTCCCAGGTCATCATGCTGCAGGTCCTCTCCTCGTCCACGCTCATCGTCCTGACCCCCGTCCTCATGTCACCCTGGACCCATCGGCTGCTCGTGGCCCTCGGCCTCAATGGACTCGCCTACGGCGCCTACCAAAAGGTCTGCGCCCGCAATGTCTTTGTGCGCTTCGTCGCCGAAAACGCCACCATGCTCGCCTTCCTCGGCGCCCTGCTCGTCCTGCACTTCGGCCCCAATCGCGACGTCTATCCCTACTTTGGCTTCGACGACGAGCCTGTCAATGCCACCGCCAACGCCTTGGGCAGCCTCCTCGATCGTTTCGCCAGCCAAACCTACGGCTACACCCCCTCTCTCCCTGACTACCCTGTCCCACCCCCGCCCGCCTACACCTTCTCCTTCACGCTCTATGCCGCCACCATTACTTGGGCCTGCGAGCTCGTCGCCGCCGTCCTCGTCTCTTCGCTCATCCTCTGCTTCTACGGCATCGCCGTCGTCGCCGAGGCCAAGGCTGATCTCGCCGCCTGGCCCGAACTGCTCCCTGCCAGTGTCGCCGTCACCGTTCATGTCCTGCAGAATATGCTCTTCTCCATCATCCGCCTGCGCTTCTGAGATCGGAGAGAATTGAGAAGCCCCAGAACAGCTGGTTATGCCCCTCCACCTCTCGTCCAATCATGCCCCGTCCCACTCCTCCTTACAAACCACCCCCTCCCCACCCTCTTACGGCCCGATGGCTTCGCCCCTCCATCCTCTCCTTCTTCCTCTCTCGGCACTCCGACTCGGTCTGCCTTTCGCCAGCCGCTGTGCTCTCTTTATCTCTGCATTGGGCCCGTCCAGACTGGGCCAGGCCAGCGTGCCTCACCGCGTCATGTGTTCTACACCAGCCTAACTCCGTCTTGTTGTTCCTGCCACTTTGCTCTGCTATACGTGTGCCCTCCCTCCTTGGGTCTCGCTATCATGCATGTGTTTCACCTGTGCCTTGTCCGCATTTCTGCGCCATCTTTCCTCACAGCGGTTTGTCAATGATACCCCCTCTTACATAGATCTCGTTCCTTTCTCACCTGCACATACACAATGCAGACGATAATGATGAAACATGCCCCTCCGTGCTCGCGTGCTGCCAATGACCCTGCCGCTCCTTGCCATTCTTGATGCCCAAGGACGTCCCGTTCCAACAAGTATACGTTGTCGTAGCCGTCCAGCCGTCGTCCGTCATCCGTTGCCTGCTCTGGAACAGTCTGTCCGTGTTACCCAAAAGTGCTGACGGTGCGCTGTCATCTCTTCGACAGCCAATACAAACGCAATGCGAGATACTGCTGAGCAGCGCAAGACCTGACTGGTTGGGCTGCACGATATGCTTAGCTGCCTTTGTCATTGGCCGTATGGCAGCCGGTAGGCTGATTCTGTCGGCCGTCCTGGCAAGGCGCCATCCTGATTGTTAATGGCTTGACCGGATGAGGAAGCTCTGGCATATTTGCTTTGTGCAGTGTATGCGTCAGTGACTGACGCAGCTTTTTAGTGCCCAAAGTGGAACGCGTATAAGCCGCGAGTTGAGCTCGCTAAATGCTGAGCGAGGCTTTGAACAGGTGGATTTATTTCCCTGGGCGATAGCAAGACCAGGTAGCAGGGCAAAGCGGCCATGTTCTACGTAAAGCTGCCTAACAAGGGCAAACCCGAGTAGATACGAACCAGCAGTCAGAAGAGATGTGCTTGGCTCGCTGAGGAAAGAATGAGACAGCTTGATGCGCTTACAGCAACTGGTGGGACTTCTGCCTTTGCGCTGGCAGATACACGAGGCGTCTGAAAAAGTTAGAAAGCCCTGATGTCTCAGCATGGCTAGATAAGTAGTGCATGCTATGTAGTAGCAGTCTATCGTAGCCGCTTTCCTGGCCGCTTTTACGAGCCGCGGCCAGCCGAAAGAGGACATCGGCGCGCTGGCTTGCAGCTGACTTGCAGCTGGAAATTAGCTCTTCAGGACTGCGAAAACGACATGTCCAGAAGACGGCCCCTTCTCGCGCACCGCCCCATTTCACGCATCTGCCGCCTGCACGCGGATGCACACAATGTTGACTATGGGTATGACCATGCCTAATGACGAATTGCACAGTTAGAGTTGGATGATACATCGGTAATGAGCACGCGTTAAAGCACGACACCAACAGCCGTAAGTTGGACGTGCGATAAGAGGCCATCAGTCAGGGCTCATAGAGCTAGCGTGTTGTCTCATCCTTGCTGCTGACGCTCGCTTTCGATAGAGACACGGGAGATCCCGGTGCCCGCTATCCAGCGGTTTTGCTTACTGCAGCCGTTCTTGCCTCTGGCATCTGCTGGCAGATATGCATGTTTCCCTTTCTTGCGTATAGAGTCTGCCTGCTTGCGTTACGGAGTCAGGAAGCGGCTGGACCGGCTGGACCGAGTTGCCAGTGCCACCCAACAGAATAAACCCAAGCAAGGGGCAGAAATAGATAGTTGACGAGACACGAGCGGAAGCGGGCGAGCCGAGCACATTGGCTCGTCGTATTCATTGGGGATTTCAGGACCCCACAGACGAAACAGCAATGCATCGTTTTCCAGCATTCGGTAATGGCGGCGCTCACACCCGACCGTCGCGGTGGACTCCTCCAGTGCTCTGAGTGGCTCCGTGCGAACGGGAATGGCGTGAGTGGGCTGTGTGGATAGACGGCTAACGCTGCTGATGCACTGATGCAGGCGGCAAGCGTGGGATTTGGCTCTGTGCCAGCGACAACATGGCCAACCCTGTCTAGGCTGTCTAGGCTGTCTAGGCTGTCTAGGCTGTTTCGAGAGCCGGTGAGCCGCATTGGTGTGATTGTGGTGCCATGTTCTGGAAGTAGGCGAAACGATGAAGGAGGCCGGCGAGTCGTCCGAGAGGCCTGCACGGCTGCCCTCAGCTGCTGTTTTGCCAGACGGATGCGACGTGGAGCCGGGCTGACCACTATCGCATGAGGCATACGACGAACGTGAGGCCGGGTCCACCGTGCTGTACGTCGTATGTACGAGTACTCCGTAGCAGGATGTGCGGGAGATACAAGGCAAGGGGAGGGGTGGAGAAGTGGGTTAGAAGCGGGTGGTGTGGCTCCAGAGCGATGGTGATGGGCTTCTCGAAGATACGTGTGCCAGCCAGCCCATACGACATGGCTGCAAGTCCGTGGACGGTAAACCGACCTGGTGCGCGTGCGTGTTCCTGGTCCACGGCTGATGGCAGATTTTGTGCAAAGTTCACGGAGGGTCGAGGGGGCGAGATCGTTCTTCTGACTCGGAGGACCTGGTGCATGGGTTTCTTGTCGTCAAAGACAAAGTCGAGCGGTCCATCAATACGATAAGCCTGCTGCGGCCCACCGCCTACCATCGGCACACGGGCCTGCAGTTGCCTGATCTGCCTGATCTGCCGCACACATGTGCGGCGGCTCGCCCACTTCTGGGAAAGAGCGCCCGGGGCGAGGATGAAGAAACGGTTAGGGGGAAGGAGCGACGGCGAGTTGTTGCGACATGTAGATTACAAGTACGAGTGGCTTGCCCGCTGAGAATGAGCACTCTCACCGTCATTTGCGCACGGCGTTATGCAGCAGTTCTTGCTTTAGCATCTCCTCCAGGTCGCCGCTTCTAGCGGCGCCGGCTGCAAATGGCGACAAATGACAGAGCAGAGCCAGCTTTAAAAGTCAGCCATAAATTGGTTGTGGCACTCGCTCTCCGTGATGGTGGGTCGGAAACGGAAGGTAAGATACTAGTGGGAAAGAACGGGGGGAAGGGAAGACCATGCAAGACAGAAGAGGCAAGACAGCAAGGACAGCGGGGAAGGCAGGGCAAGACAGGCAACTGCGACGCATATACTCCGTACTGTAATACATGGTAGGACGGACAGGAAAGTTGGCGTTATCGACCCCTCGTCAACTGGCGATATCTCATTTCCTCCTCTCTTTTCTGCACTTCTTACTCCGTATATCGTGCATCGTCCACGTCCCCCCAGTCAGCTCCTTGGTGTTGGCCTGGTAGCGCAGGCGTCTTCATCGCCCACCACCTCGGTCAGCTGGTCGTCGCGCAAACCCTCTGCGGGCGGCTCCGACTTGTCTGGCCTCCTCATCCTGCCCCTTCATTCTATTTTATTTGCCTCGTTTTTACACCACCGCGTCTGTCTGACACAGCATCCTGCTATCACTCCCCGACCCCCCCCCCCCCGCTTATCGTTTATGGCCAACCTGTTTGCGCTTATGCCGTCCTCAACCTGGCCTCTTCACATGTATTAGTCGGCCTCTCCATTTTATTTTAATCTACTGCCTCCTAATGCTGTTTCTTTTGCACTAGCGCTCGCGTTCATTTATTCGCAAGCCTCTAGCTCGCTTTCTTCCGCTCCTCTGTCTGCACACCCCTCCACTACAGCCTGGCCTGGTTAGTTGGCACCAACAATTTTTTCTTCCTCTTCCTCTCTCGGATTGCGACCTCGTTCTTCAACCGCCTCAAGCACCGCCATATTTGTCACCCCTCTACTGTCGGGGTTTCTGTCTCTCTCGCTCCGCTCTCTCTCGTTTGTCTTCCGTGTACTCCTTTTCTCTCTACCCCTCCACCTCGCCTACTTTATCCCTCCCTCTCCTTCTTCCCTCCTCCTCTCCCCTCCTTTCCCTCCTTCTCCCCCATCATGACCTCACCGGTCCCTCAGACTGCCCAGAGCCTGGATACAAGTCTAGACGTTACTCAATCCGTCCCATCTGCTGCTCCGTCCACTACCACAACGGCGCCTGCTTCTTTTGCGACGACCGCGACAACACCATCCGCTGAAACCATTACCAACTCCTCATCCGCTCAAGATGCCTCGGGAGGACAGTCCACCACCGCCGCCGCCGCCGCCGCCGAACTCGCCAGTGCAAAGATAAGCCTCTTCGGCGCTCTTCGCCGTTTCGCTGACTTCCCCATCAAGGGTGTCACCTTTCTCGACATCATGCCCCTCTTCCGCGACCCCGCCATGCATGCAAAACTTCTCCGCGCTCTCGAGCTGCAGGCTCTCCACTTTGCCCCTTTTTCTGCCGCCTCTGGTTCCTCCGCTCCTTCGGTCGATGTCATCGTCGGTCTCGATGCCCGTGGCTTTCTCTTTGGCCCGGGCCTTGCCCTGAACCTCGGTGCGGCTTTCGTTCCCGTTCGGAAGAGGGGCAAGCTCCCGGGCCCTTGCGTCACTGCCAGCTACGAGAAGGAATATGGCGCAGACTTTTTCCAGATGCAGGAGGATGCCATCAAGCCGGGCCAGAAAGTTATTATCGTGGATGACATTATCGCAACAGGTGAATTCCATCCTGCCAAGTCCGCTGTCACATGCTTATTTTGTACTAATGTCCCCCCTTCGCAGGCGGATCCGCTGCGGCAGCAGCCGAGCTTGTTCGGCAGGTAGGCGGCCAACTGGTCGGCTACCTATTCATTCTCGAGATTTCCTTCCTCAAGGGTCGCGAGAAGCTCGGCGGTGTACCTGTTGTTACACTCCTCGAAGAAGCCGAATGAGTCCCTGCACTACTTGCTACCTCTCCCATCTGCTCGTATTTCAACAATCATAAGGGCGACCAACAAAGAAACGGGGCGACGATATCTAGAAACGCGAAAGAGGCCACCATACGCCACTTTTACCAACACTGCATGATTCACCCACCGACTTATTATCGACCGTGCCGCTTACCCAGACTGCGAGGACGACTGCACAATTTGCTGCCCCCCGTTCTGTGATGTGATCCCGCTCATCACGACTAGCTTTCTCCATTCAACAACGACAGGAAGGATTTACAGAAGTTTTTTTGAATTTTGCTTTTCCAAGTCTGCTTTGTATGACATGGCATGACAAAGAGTCATGTCCTAGAATATTTACGTTGTGCTTATCTAGCTACCCCCCGTCTTTCTCTCTGCCTTTCCCCTGCTTCTTCTTGCTTGGTCTTCTGTCAATGTGCTTGTGCGAATGTGCAGAAAAGCGTCAGATATGCTGGACATGTCATTGAAATTGGCCGCATTGTGCACCCGTAACATCAATGCGCATGGTGACTCGGCAGCGGGCATATCGACAGAGCCATGCTGCGAGCTGCCTCAAGTACGTGTAGCATATAGACAACAGTGAGGATAATAACATGAGTGATACAGCGTAGTTGCAGGACTAGACGGACTACATAGACCTGAACGTGCCAATGCTATCTAAACATATAGAATCAAATAATTTACCATTCTACGAAGTACTACTAGCGGAAATTGATACCAGGCGAGACTCCAAAGCAAAGAGCCGAAAGTCCTGCCGAATTTTGACAAAAAGTCTAACATACGTGTAGCTTCGAGGAGGGTGCATTTAATGTGGTACCATGCATCGGACCTGGGCCAGGCCTCTCCGATCGATCCGACCAAGCTGGAACGTCTCCACCGATAGGCTGGCATTGCTCCGTACAAGTACGGAGTACATGAGAATAGGCTTCCCTTTGCCCCTGATTCATCGTCCGACTAACCGTCCAACAGCCCCTAATGGTACGGGCAGTCTAATAATAGACAAGAAGTCTTACCATTCCCCGTCGTCGTCAGCCAAAGCACGACACGGCACGGATCGGCGTACGACGCGTTTCACAGGCGTAGATATAGAAGACTCCAATCAGAAGGTAACGTCAGTCTTGACGACACAATACGCTACAGTATAGAAGTACGCCTGCAGTGAATCTCAAGAAGAAAACAGTCTACGGATGGCATTCAGGAGAACAGTCGTGCCATATCTTCCAAGGATTCCCTCCTTGGGTATCTTGCTCTTCACAGGCCGCATCAGATGACGATAAGCGTCAGCCAGCCTTGTGCGGCTCACTTCGTTCCATAAGGGTTTTGGTACGGGAGTATTGCTGGAACACTTCGTGTGCTTCTATACTGCTTAGTAAAGAGTGGATTGACCACTGGGAGCGCAGACAATTCTAGAAAGAACGATGGCGACGACGACCTTAAAAGCCGATCGCTAACCCCGCCAAGTGGGCACGTGCAGGGAGTTGCCTGTCGATTAGTCAAGCACCGGAGCTTCTTCCAAAACTTGCCGAACGTCATTTTGCCTCTCAGACACAGTTAAAAACCAGACAACAACTGGCCACGGCCTGCAAAATTTTCGCCACAGCCTCCTCAGCGACTTCGACGAGATCTGATACTGCATCTGTGCAGGAAGACGAAACATCGCTTGATCAAGATGATGCCATTAGTGACATCGATAGGCCAGGCAGCGGCGATGCGACGCCTGGCACCGCAGCTTAGCCGAGCCGTGGTGCTTTCGCGGACGGCGGCGGCTCAGGCAGGACCCCGGGCGGGCGGCTCGGCGGTGCGGGCATTCCACCAGTCGACACGGCTTGGTGCAGGCTTCTTCTCATCGGCGACACGGACCTCACTTCTCCCGTCGTCGGCCAAGACGGCAGCAAGCCGCAGCCTCATTTCGCGGCTGGCCGGCGGCAGGCGGAGCTATTACCAGCAGACACAGACGGCGGCAGGCGGCCAAGGGGTGCTGCGCAAGGTGCTGGTGGGTGGAGCGATCTTTGGTGGGACGCTGGTGCTGACTAACGCGATGTTCAACCGGGAGACGCGCGAGGACGGGGGGATGCCGGTGTTCGAGCGCGAGTACCTCAACAACACGTTCCTGCACACGGGTCTGGGTGTGGGCATCATCGCGATGACGGCGCGACAGATGGTGCAAAGCGGGTTCGTGTACCGGATCATGATGACGAACCCGTGGGTGATGGCGATCGGCGGCATGGCGCTGAGCTTCGGCACGATGATCGGCACGCGGGCTATCGACCCGGACAACTACCTGCCCAAGTACGCGCTCTGGACGGCGTTCAACGCGACACAGGCGGCATTTGTGGCGCCGCTGGTGGCGTTTGTGCCGGGCGCGCTGCTGGCCCGCGCTGGTCTCTACACGGTGGCCATGATGGGCTCGCTCTCGCTCGTCGGCGCCACGGCCAAGCAGGAAAAGTACCTCTACCTGGGCGGCCCGCTGCTGGCCGGCTGTGCCATCGTGCTGGTGTCGGGGCTGGCGCCACTGGTCATCCCGGCGACGGCAGTGCGGGCATTGGCCTTTTCCGAGAATATCTGGCTGTATGGCGGCCTGGCCGTGTTTGGCGGCTTCACGCTCTACGACGTGCAAAAGGTGCTGCACCACGCGCGGCTTGCCGAGCGCGGCGTCATCAAGCGCGACCCCGTCAACGAGAGTATCTCGCTCGAGCTAGACTTTCTCAACATCTTCATCCGCATGGTGCAGATTCTGATGATGCAGCAGAACCGGCGGAAGTGAGGGTGAAGCATGGGTTTGGAACGGTTTTCGCTTTTTTCAGTGTTCTGTGTAGCTCTCCCGTCTTCTCCACTGTTTCTTTGTAGCTCTCTTCTCCATTCCATACAATAAAGGACCATAATATACAGAGTCCGCACAAGCCAGTTCCATCCGTCCTCGTCTGCCTCCGCGAATGTGTTTGTGCTCCTACTTGAGCTCGGGAAAGGGCCGGACGTGATGGCTTGAGCATTGGTAGCCGTCCGGGTTCTTGACGAGGTACAGCTGGTGGTACTCCTCCGCGTCCCACCACTGCTGTGCGGGCAGGATCTCGGAGACGATGCGGCCGCCCCACCACTGGGCGTTGGCCTGGGCGGTGATCTCGCGGGCGATGCGCTCCTGCTCGGCGTCGTGGAAGAAGAGGGCGCTGCGATACTGGGAGCCACGGTCGGCGCCCTGTTGATCGGGCGTCGTGGGGTCGTGCATGCGGTAGAAGAACTCGACCAGCTGACGGTAGCTGATGCGGGCGGGGTCGTAGACGAGCCGCGTGGCCTCGGCGTGGCCGGTAGTGCCGCTGCAGACAGAGCGGTACGACGGGCTGGTCGTGTCGCCACCGACGAAGCCCACGCGCGCGTCGTAGAGACCGCCGTCCGCTTTAAAGTGCTGCCGGTAGGCGTGCTCGACGCCCCAGAAGCAGCCTGCGGCGACCGTGGCGATCTGGGCGCCCGGGGGCGTGGGCGCAGACGCTGCAGACGCAGGCGCAGAGGTGCCTGAGCCGTCGACGATGGACATCTTGCCGGAGCCGCGGACAGACAGGTGGACGAGGCGGGTGATGGCGCTGAGGAAAGCTGTCATGAAGCGTGAGGCTGTAGTGGATGTGGTGGATGTGCTGCGTACGAGCGATTGCGAGCTAGTTTAGACAAAATCTCTTCTCTGCGTCTTGGCCAGGACGTGTCGCTCTTTATAGGCGGCCTGCGACCGGCAATTCGGGCAGATTTGGAATCAAACTCAGATGCTGCTGCAGTGAGAATCTTGGAGCAGAACTCGTTCCAAGTGCTTACGTAATGCGGGGTGCATCTGAAAAAGGACAGTATCTTCGGGACCTTGTCTTAACGAAAAATACACTGGACCACAAGCATGGATTCAAACAACTCGACAGGAAATAACAAGCAGCAAACAACTAACAGCAAAAGAAAAGCCATCAATCCTGCTTTCATACATTCTCATCCTTCACATACACCTTCCCCTCCTTCTCCTCCACCCCCTCTTTGGACACATGCCAGGACGGCACTGGTGCCAGATCTGCTCCGTCTGCTCGTGGATACTCCGGGTGCTCTGCATAGATGGCCGCATCTATCTCCCCCATCTTGTCGTAGGCATTTTGTAAGGAGCAGACGGTGTCGGGGCTGCGCTGCATGATCACATCGCTCTCGGCCCGGATCCGTATCAGCTGCTTCCACAGCAGCCATTGCTCCGGAGAATGTCGACGCACGTCGCCGGCACTTCGAAAGAAATCTTCGGTCATAAAGTGAGTAGTTGTGTCCTCGTCGACGCGACCGGGGATCATCGTGGCGCAGAACTGCTCGCCGCAGATTATGATAGCTTCTGCAACATGGCGCAAGTTTCTGCCAAAGAGTAAAGTACTCTCCAATTCCCTACCCACATAATCGCATACCTGGTCGCATTCCATCTCCCCGAGACGTGCGACGTGGGCGAGAAATGTGACTTTGTTTCTCTCTCTCTGGAGGGCTTTCGTCCTCGAAGAACTTGGATCGAAACCTGGTCATCAGTCAGCATCCTCGTGCCCTCCCGCGTGCCCCTGTTCCTATTGCCGCACTTACTGTCCCATTGGTCTCTGAACAGAAACCAGAGATCGTCAATGCCACTTCGCCTATACTCCTGTCCGCAAGAGCGCAAACATCAGAACATGGCACGAGCAGCAAGATAATCTTGTCTCGGGGACGCGACACGATACTAACCTCGGGACCGAGACTGTTCTCGCGTCCTCGGAAACACTCCTTGGTCAAGATGGCGGCGCATTTTACCAGCGTTTGCATCAGCGGATGCATTTGCACCAGCGGATAGTCCTGAGGGCATTGCTGGATGGCTTCGTAGTACCAAGTGAAAATAACCTGTGTCTCCTCAGGAAACATCTTGAACCAGGCGTAAATGCACTCGGCCAGCATATATGCCTTTTTGTCTGGGTCGCCTGGAAACTCGTAGATGGAGGTGACGGACTGAATGGCAAGGCTTTCCCGCACATACCACAAAGCCTCGCCCTGACGATCTGTGCAGATATAGCGTGATGGCCATTTGAAGACGGGATAGTTATACGAGTCGTAGTCGTCGGATCCTACACTGGAGTCCGTCTCCGCCTCTGACCCCGACTCCGACTCTGGCTCACACTCCATCTTCCCGTCGTTCTCCGTATCTGAAAGCTCTGGCTCGGATTGACTGTCCCACCGTTCGAGATCTTTCATCTGACGTCGCTCCCAAACCGGCTTTGTCGTGGCTTCTGGGACATCCGTAGCCGTTGAGATCTCGTCCGGCGACGCCTTTTCCATCGATTTTGCGTCCGTCATGTTGCAATTCGGGCAATTTATGGTCAGTAAGGAAACTGACGAGGGAACTGCCACAGCACGGAGAGACTCGACGCAGGAGAGCTGCTTTATAGCTATCTCAAAGTCTGTCCTGCTGCCCTTCCGCTATCTCTCCTATTGCGAGATGTTTTCCGCATCCGGCTTCACCCATCCCTTCTCTGCCGTTGGTGCAACAGGCAACGACAAAGAAGTCTAGCCATCGTCTTTCTCCCGCCCTTTCCAAAGTTGTGTTGGAATCAGAGGGTTGCTGCATGCGGACATCCCCGACCTGCAATAGATGAAAGAGAGAAAAGGAGGATATGGAGCTGGGATGGCTGCCTGGCGGCGTTGCCGACACTCTGACTGTCTTTAATGAGGAGAAAAGTGAGCCATCCCATTTTAAGCGAGAGTCACACCGAGCTGAAAATCCAAGCCCACATCTTGTCACATATCACAGTTCGCATGCCTTTTCGCTTCCAGTCATTACTGACCACACCTTTGAAAAACGAAGATGAGGAAAGCGATCGTTTGATATTCCACTAGAGGGATTCACCGCCATGTTGACATGTCGTGCGAACCTTGTGGCAACCCACGCTTCCAAATAGCTCTGTTCACAGATATGAACGTTCTGGAAGCTCTGGCCAGTGATCATGAACATGTCCCGCTTTTCCCTTTCTCGTGGGCCGTGAGCTACAGGGGAGAGAGTGCATACTTAAAAAAACGGGAGGAAAGCTGCAAGAAATGGAGAGGGAGAAACTTCTCAGACGCAACCGCGCAAGAAAGGACTACCAAGAGATATCACAACATCAGCGCCAGCTAAGAGTCTTCCCAACCAGTTTCACCCATCATGGTCCTGCAAGTTTCAGTCGATTTACCAGATAAGGACCCGGAACAGCCATCCCCTATGCCATGTCCGGGCTCAGCTGTCTCATACGTGAGTGCCAAGGACCCGGTCTCTGACCTAGATCGGACTTTGAGCTAACTCTCTTGTAGTACAGTTTCGATGGCATTGCATGGAACGAGAAAGATGCGAGCAAGACCTCGCAAGTGAGAAGAGGGCAGACTTGGATTCTTGCTTCCGAAGTGAGAGCTCAACAGAGCACTATACCTCCTCTTATTCAACATTCTTACCCCTCAAATTTCTATAATCGTTCACCGCAGTTGCCTCTCAGTACAGCCCCCCAAAGACTCCCAAGTGACACGATCAGATCAAATGCCCCGGTCGGATGGATGCATCATCCACTCATACCTGGTCAGACTACTGCTTGGGCTCCTACGGCTTCCAACGAGACGGCTTCCCGGCCGAAGGGGACGGCTTTTAAGCCAAACAAGATCAATAAGAAAAAGAAGAAGAAGCCGCCGAATTATAACCCTGTCGGAGGCGTACGAGCAGTCTACAATTGTAGTGATCCTTCCAAATTTGACGTCATATGTCATGACCCAAGAACTGGCACGACACGATATGGAAGACATTTGGACAATTTTGCCATGGCCAGGAAACATGAAAGAAAAACTTCTTTCGCGCCGAGTGCATCGACAGAGACACCTGATAAGCAACCGTGTCCGGAAACGGGATCGTTGGATGGCAAAGAGATCAAGGAGGATAGTGTGGAGAAAGGATCGACTCAAACGGAGGATTTGACGTCAAAAAGCAGGCTTTAGTGGACTGATATTGGTCCTTCTTTGGCTATCTGGTTTCTGATTCGTGGTGTTGGAGAGATGCGGCTGTATTACATGGATACCTATTGCGGTAGATGGGCTTATACTTTCAATCGAGATTCATTTAGTGACAACGTCCAACACCTACAGTAGCGATTTCAGAAAGACCAAATACACCCTTTGTGCTGTTGGAAGGGCGTGACGGATTCGGAAGCCCAATAGTTCGAGGTCATGTAGCTTGGCACGAAGTCCGCGATCTGGCCGTTGGTTTGGTGCTAGCGTAGAGTATACAAGAGATGAAGTGCGGAAGAAGACACTAGGTAAATGATATCCGTAAAAGGCAAAAAGTCCTTGGCTCCATGATGAGCTTCTTGAGTCTGGGCGACTCCGTGATAAACAAATTCACCGCCTTCCGGCAGAACCAGGTCCCGTCTCCTACGTACTCCGTACAAGATCCCGTAGACTGTTCCTATCGCTTACATAATCACCATCTACCGCTACTCCCGCGCAAACTTGACGCTCTTGCGCCGCTCGCGTTCTCTCGGCTCACCGCCATACCGTCCCGGGCTTGTCCCCAGAATCCGGGTGCCGTCTCGGCTGGCGGTCAAGGAGTCGCGGACGACGTCGACGGCCCTGCTCTGGTGCACTTCGTGTCCGTCTGCCCGGACGTCCTGGTCTCTGTTCCAGTTTCGGCCTGGATTGGGGTTTTGGTTTTGGTCTTGATCTCGGTCTCGGTCTCGTGCCCGCTCGCGCTCCCTCTCGCGCTCAGCTGCACCGCCCAGCTGCAGCAGCGACGGCGCCGAAGCCGAGGTGGACGACTTGCCTCCCAGGGGCGAGAGCACGGCAGACTCGCCAGTCTCCCTCTCTCTGGCCTCCCGGACCTCTCGGACGGCCGAGGAGAGCTCTTCGCTGCGCCATAGCGCGGTCTCGGCGCGCCAGCGGCCCGGCAGACAGGCGTGGCCGCAGCCGTCGAGCGGACAGCAGCCGTCGGAGAGGTCATCCGATTCGGTCGTTGTCGTCTGTCCGTCTCCGTGCCAGCGTGCCAGACAGGTCGAGTGGCCCCCGTGGCCGCAGCCGACACAATGCCACCAGGTCGACATGGGGCGCTCGTGCTCGTCTTCGTCAGGCTGTCCCTGTCCGCCTAGCGGCGAGGCCTCGCGGTGGCCACAGACGGCACAGGGCCCCATGACGGCGCCGCAGCGCTCACATCGCCACAGGCTCACGGCGACGGTCGGGTCACGTGACTTATGGCACTGCGGACAGGTGTAGCCGACAGCGACACCGTGCTGGGCCTGCGACGTGATGGCCTTGTACATGGCCGTCTCGCCGTCGTCGGTCAGCAGGGGCGTCGGCCTGGCGGCGGCCCCCAACAGCTTGCGCAGCAGAGCAGCCTGCAGGAAGAGCTGCATGCCCATCAGCCGGGCGTGGTGCTGGCGCAGGATGGCGGCTGCCTGAAGCGGGTCGATCACGTCGGCCGGCACCAGCGGCCGCAGCAGCAGGACCATGGCCGACGCGTTGAGCGGCGACGTGCGGGTCTCAAACGCCAGCGCCCGCCGCACGATCACGTACGGGTTCAGCGCCGGGCTGACGTCCGGCTCGGCTCGCGCGGCTTCCACGCCGACATCTGCCCCGCCTGCTGTGGTTGTGCTCGACAGCGCAAAGGGAAAGGGCGGGTCGTCCGGCCAGGCGAGGTAATCGTCTTCGGTAATGACGTTGGGGTTCGTCTGGTCGGTCTGGTCGAGCCTTTTCGTTTTGTCTGTCTTGTCTGTCCTTTCTGTCCTGTCTATCTTTGGTCCGCTGCTCGCCGTGTCCTGCGTGGCCGACGGGTAGTACGTGTCGTCTTCCAGGGCGGCCGAGCCGGCCCAGTCACGCGTTGGTGACGAGGCCAGATCGGAGCCGCTCCATTCGAGCGCCATCAGCGCCTTGTTGAGGTGGACGAGCCGCGACGGCCGCAGTGACTCGCGTGGCCGCCCGACGATCGACATGGGTGTCGGCGGATTCGGGACCGAAGTTGCTGGCGTTGGCCGGTCGTCTGAGATCTGCGAGATGAGAAAGATCTGCTCCGAGTCCTGCCGGACGATCGGGCGACGCTGCTGCTGCTGCGGCGGCGGCGGCTGTTCCTGCACGTCTGTAAAGTTGGACGCGGTCGAGTCCTTGCGGCTGCTGGCTGGCGGTCGACTGGCCGAGGAGCGTGGCACGTCGACAGCCCGTGCTAGCACCTCGGTGTCGTAAAAGTCGTATCCCTCGAGGCTGGACACGTGCGTGTTGTCGCTCCCCTGGCTGGCTTCCGAGATGGGCATCGAGCTGAGATGGCGGCGCGGTGGCAGACTGGCCATGTAGTCGTGGTGGGCTGCGGCCGGGAGGGTAAACCCACCATCTGGATAGCTGCTGCTGTTGCTGCTGAGACCACCGGCCGGCTGTGTTGGCTGTGCTGGCCGGGCCAGTGGCGTCGGCATGTTGGACGTGCTCTCGATCTCCTCGGTCAGCAGCGAGCGCGTCGACGACATCGTCACGGCAGTTGGCGTCAGCAGGCCGCCGTTCTTTCCGGTTGTGACCGTCGTCTTGACTGCGTCATCGCTGTCGCTGCGGCCTTTGAACAACCGCTGCTCCCGGTGGTACTCAGCCCGTCGTCGCAGCAGCAGGTCCATGGCAAAGGCTAGGATGCGCCACACTTGAGCTAGGCGGAATTGGCTGACCTCCTCAGCTGCCCGCGCATAGCAGTCCAGGATGACGGCCAGACGCTCTGGCAGAGGGGCAGCAGCTGCAGTCCTGTCGACCGTCACAGCTGCACCTGGAATGCCGCCATGATCAATCAGCGCGTCTAGGTAGTGCGACGCCAGATATCCATAGACGTCCTGGCGGGCAGCCGAGGGCACGTGACCAACTGCCATGATCTGCTGTGGCCGGTAAGTGCCGGTAGCCCGTAGGGCTTGTTCGAGCGAGAGGACAGGCGGCTGGGCAGAGGCAGTGTTTGTATTTGTATTGTTGCTGTTGCCGTGGCTGTAGTGGCTGCTGTTGCTGTCGGGCGTGTGCAGCTGCTGCTGCTGGCCCGAGGACGGAGGTGTGGAACCGCTGAGAAGCGGCTGGATGGAGCTGGCACGGCGCTTGCGCAGGCGACGGCCACGACGTCGAGGAGTGAGGAAGCTGCGGAGGCCGTCGTCGTCAGAGTCCGTGGTATTGGTGGTAGCAGCCGACGTGGAGGGCGTGGAGGGTGTGGAAGGGGTATTGGCAGCAGCAGCAGCGACAGCAGCAGCAGCAGCGGTGACGAGGCGTGACCGCATGGGCGGACGCTCGTCGAGAAAGGTGAGGACATCGCCACGGGCGGAAAAAGCGAGGGTCGAGACGGCGGAACGGTCGAGAACGCGGGCGGCAAAGGCGACGTCGCACTGGGAGAAGAGGCCATCCTGACCGGCCGTCCAGAGCAGCTCGGGCGAGGTCCAGAGAAGGGCCATGGGCGAGCAGCCAAAGTGCTCGACGACACGATACGGCAGCGTAGGTCGAGCGAGGTCCCAGACGTGCACGGCGCCGGTGCCACCACGTTTCGGAGCCGCCGCCACATCGTAGGACACGGCCACCTGGGCTGCCCGCAAGCCCTGGCTCGAGGCCGACCATTGGGCCGGTCGCCAGGCCACCGCTGCCACCGGTTCGGCCGTCATGAGCGAGTGCTGTGCTTTTTGTCGCTTGTCGGCTGTGCGCGAGACATCCCAGACGTGACACTTGCTGTCGCTGCCACCGCTCAGCAGGTGCTCGCCGTCGGGATGCCACGAGATGGTCGTGCAGGCCCGGTCGTGCGCGTTGATCCGCAGAATCGGTCCTGTTGCCCGTCGGATGTCCCATTTGAGCACCACGCCCTGCTCGGTCCCGCACGCAAAGTAGAACCCGTCGCGTGGCGACCACTGCACCCGGCGCACGCTGTCTGCATTGCACCGGAACGCCTGCACAGACCGGAATGTCGGCCCTGTCCGTGAGGCAATTGCTGCTCGGATGTCCAGACAGCGCACCACGCCGTCCTGTCCGCCCGAGAGCAGCAACGAGCCCCGGTGCGGGTTGATGTCCAGCGTGTTGATCTGCCGCGAGTCCTCTTGCGTCAGCACAAAGTCCACCGCCCCCCCGTTGGTATTGCCGCTGCTGCTGCTGCTGTTGTTTCCACCTGCTCGCCCTCCGCCTGCTGTCGCTGTCGTCGTCGTCGTCGCCGTCCCGCCTCCCATCGTTCCTAGCCGGCCGAGATCGTACTGGAAGATCTTGCCCGCCAGACAGGCCGTGAAGATGCGCGTGTCGTTCGCTCCTCGCCCCCATTTCACGTCCCGGATCGAGAGCTGGTCCGACATCGATGCCGTCGTCGTCCCCGTCCGTGATGATGCCGACTGCTGCGCCGTGATCAGTGCTCGCAAATCGATCCCCTCCTTCACCTCCAGTCCCTCCAGCCGGACTGTCTTGAGAATGTGCCGCCCTCCCAGCACTGCTAGCCGTCCGTCTGGCGACCGGTCCAGCGCCGAGATCGGCACCCCCGCCTGGTACACCGCGTCCTGCCGTCCTGCAGGCCGGTATGCCAGCAGCACCGGAGGGGGACCTCCTCCTGGGGCTGCTCCATCTGCCGCTAGCCCTACGCCTGACGCCTCGTGCGGCGAAGTCGTCGGCTTGCTCAGCAGCTTGCGCATCGTTGGTCGCTTTTGTACACCACAGACGCAGTCTGTGGTGTCGGCGTTGTTGTCGATGGATGCAAACCGGTCTAGGGTTGTGCATGTTGGATCGATTGCGCAATGAGTGGAGCTATTCTATTGTCCATTTGGATCACATGACAGCCACGAGCCTATACTCACGTGATGACTCCCCACACAACCGCCGCTAGCAAGTGTCGATGCAAATTTGCGCCCTCATTCGCTCACTTACACCATGCTCGTCTTCCTACTGGCTCTGCTCGTCCTGTGCCTCTGCGTATACAGACGCTGTTTCCACAGCCTCGCTGCCGTTCCCGGGCCACCGCTGGCTGCTGTCACCGGTCTCTGGTATGCCTACCATGTCCGCAACGGGCACATGCTGCGTCTCGCACAGACACTGCACCAAAAGTACGGACCCGTCGTTCGTGTCGGCCCAAATGAGCTCTGGTTCGACTCGGCCGAAGCAGTCAGACTGATCTACAGTACCGCTCTCCTCCCCTATGCTTCCGGTAGAACAGCATTGACGCCAGAGCAGATCCGAGTCATGGCTTTGACAAGTCCGACTTTTACCGTAAGTCCTCTCTTCTTCTCGGCAGCCTCTCCTTTCTCGGGCAGACCTGACCGACAGTGGCGACGGCCCTCTTCCGGCCACTGACCAGCTGGCGCCACCCCCTCCGCCCGACGTCTCCGGACACGCTGGACCTGCTGTCGGAGCGCAACACCAAGCGCTACCGACTGCAGCGCCGCCTGATCGGTCCCGTCTACCACGAGGCCAACATGCAAAAGTTTGGCGGCGCCGTCGACGCCGTGCTGCAGCGTGCCGTCGCCGAGCTGCAGCTGCTGGACGGCGCTCGCGTCGACCTCAAGGAGTGGATGCACATTATCGCCGTCGAGTGTCTGGGCGCCGTCGTGCTCTCATGGTCGCCCGGTTACATTCAAGACCGGTCCGATCATGGCTCCAGCGCGGCCGGCTACTACAATTGGCGCCGCAAGAGCGTCTTCGGCCTCTTTCCCGTCCTCGTCCTCGTCGACCTGCACTCACGATGGGTCAGCCGTGGCTTCGCTGCCGTCTGGCGTCTCAACTACGAGCGAAGGGCCGACTACAAGCCCTTGTTTGCGGTATGTCAGGCAATGCCCTCGAAAAAAACGAGCTCTAACTCTCCAGGCTGTCGGACAGCGCGTGGCCATGCGGATTCGCAGGGCCCTGCGGCCCAAGGTCCGACCGGCGAGCGCCAAGCAGTCTCGGAAGCCATCTCCGGCGCCTCGACGGGCCAACGACCTGATGGCCGACCTGCTGGACTTGCACGAGGCCAAGCCCGCCTTCAACGAGACGTACCTGCGCCGTCTCGCTGTCACCAACTTTGGCGCCGGTCACGAGACGCTGTGCTCGGCCCTGACGGCCATCGTGGCCATGATTGGCTCGCACCCCGACGTCTTCCGTCGCGTCGCCGCCGAGATCCGCGAGGCTGCCACTGCTGCTGCTGCCATCACGTCGGCTCGTCATGTCCACGACCACCTGCCGCTCACGTGGGCGAGCATCCGTGAGGCCCAGCGCCTGCATCCAGCCATTGCCATGTCATTGTCGCGAACGGTCCCCTCCGCGGACACGGGGCCTCCACTGCGTCTGCATGGTCATGTTCTGCCGCCAGGCACGACGGTCGGCTGCAGCCCGGCAGCCCTGCATCGGAATCCGGCCATCTTTGGGGCCGACGCAGACGTTTTCCGCCCCGAGCGCTGGCTGCTGCCAGACGACGCCGACGAGGTCCAGCAGGCCCGGCTGCGCGACATGGAACGCCTCAGCCTCGTTTGGGGCGGCAGCTCGCGCACGTGTCCGGGTCGCCACCTTTCCGAGATGGTCCTGTACAAGACCGTGGTCGCGCTGTTGGCCGCGTTCGATATCGAGGCCTTTATGCCGTCCGACGACCAGATCCGCTACTACTTCCTGGCCATGCTGACGGGCGCCCAGGCAGAATTCCGGACGCGCGAGCAGAAGAGATGACGAACACACAAGATGGAGACACGCGGCCGTAAGCGGACCGTCCGCTGGTTCTTGATATGGCCAGTAGATAAGCCAGACAATAGCAACGTCGTACATATACAGACGGATTCGCCGAATACTGTGGGAGGACGTGCTGACCCGTATTTATTTTCGCGACCTTTCTCCGTACTCCGTACTCCGTAAATGCAGCAGGATTGCGCTAATTACTAGCAGATCCACTTAGCATGGGGGCCCGGAGCACAGACACCTTCCTACGGAGTATGTATCAGGCCCGACCTACCTCAGCATGTACCATCTGCCGGCCCGTTGTGGTGGCTGCCGAGCTCACCCGAGCTCGACCGAGAATGACGGCTATCCAACGGGTATGTCAAAAGGCTGGACTGGGGACGATCGCCAAAGAACCATGCGCCCTGCATCCTCTAGCAATAGCGGCAAGCTTCGAGCAGCAATGGTGGCACGTGTAGTACGATGGGGTCCGATTTAGAGTCAAGCACGTGGCGATGAGCACGTCGAAAATCGGTACAGTCGGATGCGAGGGAACAGGGGTCTTCTCTTCAATGTATAGACTGCCAATACGGATGCATCAAGGTGCTAAAACACGCGTCATACTCGACATATCATCTCTTTTATTCACAATCATTGCTTCGTACGTGTCATATCTATCCAGTGCTATGTACACAGCCTACTTCTCAGGTCAGGATGCAGGGAGTCCGCCGGCCAGCATCGCCGTTCAGCATGAGGTCGACATTGCCGGGTAGCTCTTAAAGTCACGCTCGACCGAGACGTTGGAAAAGTCATGGCACATCTAGCGGGTTAGCCGACGAGACAACAGTACAGGAAGCTAGCTCCTGCGACTTGGCGTGCCAGAGCCGGTTGAATGAGCCTCGTGCAGGGCCATCGGCCGTGGGTGCGACCGGACCTCGACTTGGGCCCGGGACCAGTACAGCCGCAGGATGCAGGGAGACTCGGCCGGCCATCCTGGGGCTGTCAGAAGTGGAATGGAGAGGGAATGGAGAGAGGAAGTGGAGAAGAGGAGAAAGATGAGTCAGACTAATAAATGAGAAGAAAGTCCCCCCGCACTCACATAGCCGTCTAGATCGGTGAACTAGGCCTCGGCCGTCTCCTTGGGAACGGTGTCGCACATGACAATGCAGCCGGCCTTGCGCATGCGCTCCTGTACCGCTTCGCTTGGGCAAATGGTCTCGTCGTACGACAGCTCCGGGATGCCAGCCGTCTGCTGGACTGCCATCTCGGCCGTCAGCTCCTCCAGCCGGGCACACACGGCCAGCCAGCTCTGGCGCAGCGCCGCCTCGCTGTACTTCGCCGCAATCTCCTGCTTGTACTTGGCCTTGTCTGGGTACAGCTCCGCCCATTGGGGCCAGGCCTCCTCGGGCTTCTTGATGGTTGCAGGATATTCAGATGCTATGTAGGATATCAGACCGGATTGGAGTCCACTGGACTAGAGCGGCCTCAAGATAGCGATTAACGAAGCGATATCCACCACACAGTAGGGAAGCACATGGCTGTACTCCGTAGGCTAGACCATTTATAGCCCCCGTGGCAACAAGACACTATGTACACTACCGTTTCGCATGAGCTCTGCTGCCTGCCGGACGCAAGTCCCAAAACGGCACAGAACCCACAATACCCCATCGAAAAAGTGGCAACACTAACTGAGGGTGGCCCTGTCGAGTGAACAAGCTTCCTGCCGTCCTCTTATCTGCAGCTAATTGCTTGTCCTTTGTCTTGTATTGCTTGTTCGTCCGGCAGCTGCCAAACGGACCGCTGAGAATTTCTATCGAAGTGGAGCACGAACACTTTGCCACTCGGTGTATTCCTTGAGCGATATGTTCACCGTCGTGTAAGAGGTTCAACAGAGGATCGGTGTGAGAACTACGGCTTGTTCAAAAATACATAAGTCGCAGTCTCCGCTTCAGCCGCTTTTTTCCAGCCATTCGTCTACGTGTAACCAGCATCCCTCCAACTGATACATGACACGGGTACATTGGTCAAAGAATGGAGGCTTGTTGTGCGCTACTATCGTAACGAACATTAGAAACGCCTAAACGGCATAGGGCACGCACTTACGGAGTATATAGCACTCTATAGCGCCTCGCGACTTTGTGGAGCTTTTTGGTGGAAGAATCCGGCGTCTAGACCGCAAGCAGCTAGCTCTCATGATAGACCAATCAGAGTACACGCCTGGGACCCGTCAAATGTGACTTCCCGCTTATCATTGTCCAATTTACAATCATCCTCTTTTCAATATCTTGTGTTCCTTTTTCCTCTTCTACCCCGTAGGCGGACGATCCGATCTCTTGACTGGCTTGGCCTTATCTGCCACCCCCTCTTGTCCTCGTCGGCATTGCCACCAAAGCCAGCAGAGCTAGCAGCAGAGACCCGCCTCAAGATGACCCCCGTGTTCAGACGCGACCACATGGCTGCTTTCGGGAGAGCTATGGCGAAAAGAGGATCTTGCATACCGACTGATAAGGCTGGCCTATATAGCCAGCAGCATCGCAAGGCCTCATCTGTGTCGGCCCCAGGTCTGCTCCCAGTCTCTCTGTCTCTCGCCCACGTCTCCTGCTTTGCTGTCTAGCTCCAACCACTCAGACAAAGCGTGTTGCCGACCTCGCGTCTGCACATCCTCGCCTCTCACCATGGGTCTCTTTGGCAAGACGCTGATGACCACCAACTCCACATTCAATGTGTGGCTGTTGCTGTGGTCTGCGGGCATTCTGTCCACGAGTCTGGGCTTTGACGGAAGCATGATGTGAGTCTTGACAGGCTTGTCGTCTAGAAGATGGCTTTGGCACATCTGCTAATGCCCTGCCAGGTCGAGTCTCAACATTCTGCCCTCCTACACAGACTACTTCCACCTCGACACCACTACCCTGGCGCTTCAGTCGGCTGCGTCGTGGGCTGGCAGCACCGTCGCCGGTATCTTCATGGGCCAGGTCGCCGATTTCTTTGGCCGCAAGAACGGGCTGTTGATCAGCGCCCTGCTCACCATGATCGGTGCCATCATCCAGGCCTGCTCACAGAACATCGGCATGTTTGTGGCCGCGCGCTTCATCGTCGGTATCGGCAACGGTGCCACCTACGCTTGCGGCCCGACCTATCTGGTCGAGATGTTCCCGCTGCAGTGGCGTGGTATCGGCCTGGCCATCTTCCAGGATTTCTTCTACATCGGTGGCCTCATCTCGTCCGGCGTTACCTACGGCACCGCCAAGATGAACTCCACCTGGGCCTGGCGTCTGCCGTCGGTCCTGCAGATCGTGTTCATGATCATGGGCGTCATCGTTCTCCCGTTCATGCCCGAGTCGCCCCGCTGGCTGCTCTACAAGGACCGTCACGAGGAGGCCATCGAGTCTATCGCCGCCGTCCAGGGCAACGGCAACCGCGATGACCCCATCGTCCTGCTGACGTACCAGGAGATTGTCGAGACGCTGAAGCAGGAGGCTGAGGCCCACCAGAAGACCAACTTCCAGCAGCTGGTCAAGTCTAAGCAGAGCATGCGCCGTCTGATGCTCGTCCTCTCCGTTGCCATCATCTCCATGGCCTCAGGAAACAACATTGTCACCTTCTACCTCGGAAAGATGCTGGACAACGCTGGCATTACCAACAGCACGACCCAGCTGGAGATTGTACGTACTTGTGCCTTGTAACTCGACTGTTACGCCGCATCCTCTAACATTACTAGAACATTATCTTGAACTGCTGGTGCCTGGTTGTCGCCTGCTGTGGCACGCTCCTCGTTGACAAGGTCGGCCGTCGGCCGCTGGCCATCTGGTCGTCCGTGGCCATGACCGCCTTCCTCTTCATCATGGGCGGCCTGACCAAGCTGTACGGCGACTCGACCAACACGTCTGGCATCTACGGCACCGTCGCCATGATGTTCCTATTCATGGGTGCCTACAGCTTCGGCTGGACTCCGTTGTCCCAGCTCTACCCGCCCGAGGTGCTCAACTACTCCGTCCGCTCTGTTGGCATGGGTGCCTACACCTTCCTGGCCAACGGTATCGGCCTGATGGTCGCCATGGCATTCCCCTACGCCCTCGACGCCATCGGCTGGAAGACGTATATGATCAACGGCTGTTGGGACGTCCTCCAGCTCGTCTTCGTGATCATCTTCTGGGTCGAGACCCAGGGCAAGACCCTCGAGGAGATTGATGAGATCTTCGACGAGCGTGCCGCTACCGCTGGCATGGTGCACATCCAGGACGTCATTGAGGGCCGTGACGTCGACGTCGCTATCAAGAACGCTCATGCCGTGTCTGTGAGCAAGGTTGATGAGGCTGGCGCTACTGCTGCTTGATTGTGTTTGATGACTGTTACGTAAGCTGGAGAACGCTGGCCGGGAATGGCAGATGTATTTAATTTACAAGATCGATGCACTCGAAAGTGCTCGATGGAATGTCGTGATCATCTCATATATCACGAGTACCACATACTGCATTGTCCCGAGTGACGTTAGCGTTTACATATTTTGCCATTACTATTCGGCCGTCTGCTTATTCTGAACAACACAGATATCATGAGGCTTAGAAGAGACTCAAAACCACAGCTCAGGCCGCGTAGGCCATGTGATCTGGAGGTGTCAGTCATCTTGACATGAGACGATCAACGTGGAAAAGGTGGATATCAGTCTTGTTGGGATAGTGGCAGCCTCATCAGCGCGACTGCAGCTGCGTATGCAGGATGAGGTATGCATCAGGCCCGATACGGCAGGTGCGTATCAATGAGAGGAGGCTGCTGTCGATCTTGTCAGGACCGGGTGGACAGTTGCAAGATTCTTGGGAGCCACTGCGGGGATACCATAGAAAGCTAGCGCTTTGGGCGTGGGCCCACTGCTACTGTGCTTCCAAGGCCGCGGTGTCGGTGACCCAGCCCAGGAAGGTTCAGCCTGCATGAGTGACATTGTACAATGCCGTATCGCGGAGGGGGGATGGTTGAGCTATACGGCAGTGACAAGCGTCTGATTACTACTAAGAGAGCAGGACAGAGTCATGAAAACGGCTGTCGTAAGAAGCGGGAACCCGGTGTCCACAGTCAGTCAAATAGCATAAGGAAAGTGACCAATTGTAGATCGGTGTACGACAAGTGATAGGCAACATAAAAGCAGCATGATAAGATCATACACAGATCTGATACCTCGGCCATAGCGGTCAACGGAATGTACCATTCAAGTTTGAAACTCTACACTTACGATGTGTGAAAAACAAATAGTTGTAGATTCGTTGCTACGTGCCGTGTAATTCTATATAATGCAGTTCCTCTCTACAACGAACGTTTCGAGTCGTCCTCATATAAACGGCAGATGGCTAGCAACTAGAGAGGTCAATAACCGGGAAGGTAATACAAGCACGTACGAAAAAAGATACAGGTCCAGAAGCATCAAGACAAGAACTATCTTACGAGTGTAAAACAATGGACTCACATGCCTGTATTGGAAGAATATAATGAATAATAGCATCCATACGCGCAACAACTTGCAACGCATTATATTTCGAATCAAATGGCGCTCTCGGCACCAACAGGGTTTGAATAAGGAACTGGATTACTAACTATATAGCCAAGCTGTGGCCATGTCCACATGGTGTAGATGAAAAACAATTACTACTGTTTGAACTCGAGCTAGATCTGTCTATTCTCATTATTTGCATGCATCCGTCTTGCTTTAAAGCAGATAAGCAAATCGTGATACCCCCTGCTCCGAAATTTATTTTCACTACTCCGAAGGGCTATACCAATTATACCTTCGGTATCGTGCATCGGCAGCCACGAATCACATGCCATATATCAAGTACCAGGCGGATTACGGACATCTTGGAAGTGCTCAAGTAGACAAAATCACTTATTCATAGGAAGGAGTTCCCATGCCTCCTTCCTCTTTCGCTAAAACACTCTTACTAATCAGACATTTGGAATCTCTGCCATCATCACTTCTATCGCTTAACATGCATCCCGATCATCACCTCGTGCCTCCCACCTCTCACGAAAACGTCAGCAGGACCTCCTCTCCGATAACGCGGGAATTAAACCACTCCAGAATGTCGACGTGATCGCGCACGGTAGTGGCACCGCGCAGGGCGTCCGACTGGGCGAGTCGAGCCGTTCCCAGCAGCATCTCGGACATGGCGAGGTTCTGGCCGATGCAGGCGCGGCCGCCCTTGCCAAAGGCGAAGAAGGAGTTGAGCATTCGCTCAGTCGGCTGCAGCCAGCGCTCGGGTCGGAAGGCGGTGGCCTCGGGAAAGACGGCCTCATCCTGGTGCAGCTGAAATGAGGCCACGCCGACAGAAGTGCCGGGTGGGAAGACGTAGCCGCCAAAGGCCCAGCCAGCCGATTCGGTCTTTCCGCCGGCTGGCACAATACGAGGCAGCCGTGTGGGCGCTGCCCAGGACAGCCGCAGGCTTTCGCGCACGACGCCGCGCAGGTACGAGTTCGTCGTGATGTCAGTCGCCGGTCCGTTGGCCTCGACCTGGGCGGCCAGCTCCCTCTGCAGCCGAGCATACACGTCCGGATGCCGCGACAGCTGCCACAGCATCATGGCCATATTCATGCCGCTCGAGTCGGTGCCGGCAAAACAGACATCCTTGCACTCGGCCTGCACCTGCTTGCGCCAGGCCATCTCCTCGGAATCCATGCTCCCGTCGCCGCCAGACTTGGCTCGCGTCTTGGTACCGGCGGCCAGCAGCCGGCTCGCATAGCTGCCGCTGCCCGGTACCGCTGTCTCGACCAGCCCGATGGTGTACTCGTCAATCTTCTGCATGGAGCCGTCAGTGTCGGGTGTGACCATGGTGCCGGTGAAGCGGTCAATCAGATCCATCAGTTTCATATCCCAGCCCGGCAGCCAAGCGTGCAGGTTGAAAAAGGCGCCCACACCCACAAAGGCGTCGACAAACGGTGCTGCCGACATGTTTTCGTGTCCGTGTCCGTGTCCGTGTCCGTGTCCGTGTCCGTGTCCGTGCTTCTCAGCCGCCTTCTCGGCCCCGGCCTTGTCCATCGTCGCCAGCTTGGCCATCTCGGCCAAGGCCCCGTACGTCTGCTTGAAGAGGTGCGTGCTGACGGCATCCAGGGCCAGGGACCGGCCGAGCAGGAGCGCGTTCACCGGACGACCGGTCGCACGGCTGTGGTCTGCGTGCAGCTTGACACACTCGACAAAACGCTCGACAATCATGGCGACCGCATTGTCCCCTCCGCCTCCGCCTTCTTCGTCTTCGCCCACGCCCGACGCTTTCCGGATGGTGCCCGTGGCAAAGAGTGGTGCCACGGCACGAGCCCGTGGAAGGCGAGAGTCCCGGGTCAGCGACGAGAAGAGCGTGGCGTGACCGTCGACGTCAAACTTGGAGTAGTTGGCCGTCTTGGCGAAGCCGCCACGCTCCACATAGATCGGGTTGACGGCGTCGGCATCGGCAATGTCCACATCGTTCGGTCCCACACGCAGTACGGGACCATACTTCTCGTGCAGCCGGAAGACGGCCGTGCACTCGTCGCCCACAAAGGAGTGCCAAGCTAGCCAGAACGACGAGCAGGCGGCCAGCCAGGGACCCGGCACACGCGCCAGTGGGTGAAACCAGAGCCGGTAGATGCAGAGGCTCACTGTCGACAGCACTGCAGCAGCTGTGAGGATGGCCGGAATGACCAGCACAACTGGGATTCGGTCGGAACCGGGCAGCCGCGCCCAGGCAGCCTGAGCACCGTGCCACAACAACGCGGACATTGGTGGAGTCTATAGATGGGAATATCTGGTCTGAGCGGCAACAATGGCTGGCTTCGGAGGCCCACTGGTGATCCTGTGCAATAAGCAAGCACAGACTTTTCAGTTGGTCGACTGTTGTGTCTCCTCGTCTACACTCGTATCAGGACGGACTTTGCACTTCTAAAAGGCAGCAAAACGGACGGAAGCCGTGGCACAGTGTGCCTACCAGCGGATCCGCTACTATCTGGCAAAGATATCGGGCGATAAAGCGTGCGGTATAATGGGGATCAGAGACTTATAAGTCGCAGCAGCCGACCGCAGATTTCCGCCCCACATCTTCTCACCAAAGATAGTAATGTCGGACTTTCCGATCTGCGATTACTGTCTGGGACATGCAGAAGCAAAACGACATTCTTGGACAGCTCTGACAGGCAGGATGTGGCAGCTCAACGGTGTATACATCGGCAGTCATTCCTGCAGATCCAATAACACGGGGCAACTTCGATTTCGGAGAAATACGTAACTGAAATTAGAGCTTCCAGTAGGGCTCGGTGGGTCTGTGAGAGAGTGGGCCATTTCGTCCGCGATTTATACGTAATATGTTCACGCTCAACGTATCATGAAGAAGTACTACTAAGTATATGAGCAATAGAGATATTCCTACCCCGTCCTCCGTATTTCTAGTTTATTTCAGGGGAGGAGCGTGGGCTGCACCGATACGCAAGACCCTCTCTTGAACTGCTTGATCCGTTTAATAATGCATATAGGAGCCGATGTGCTGGTCCGGCTGCCGGAAATAGATCATCGGGCCGATGTCCTTGGCCTGCCGCGAGGCGGCAACTTGCATCACATCATACCATAGATCGCCCAATAATTACCTGAATCTAAGGAAGCTTTGGGTGATGCTAAAGCTCAATGAGCGCGTTTTCCGTGTTCCCAATAAGCTTTTGCTGTCAATATATCCCACTTTGTGACGGAAACAATACTCCCAGGTTAGTACACAGAAGGGCGTAATCACCGAGAATTTTGTATCATTCGAACGACTAAGTGGCTTGTCGAGGTTTGCCACGCAGGAGATGTCTGTCTCCAAGCCAGATCTTGTGGACTTTGGAACCAACGAGAAAGGAGAACGGTCTGAGGAGTTCGTTCATATCCCACTTACCGAGGCTCAAGAGGCCACCTAACCGGTATAGCCCTTTGCCGAGATTTTTGCATTCATCACTTCACAATGACCTCGACGAAAAAGTCCTTCAAGCCTTATCGATCTAGTTGGACTTTGGCGCCACCATGGGGCTTTCTCAACGCCCGGGGGCCGGTCCGGACAAAGCTGTGGTTTGTGCTAAACTTTGTTTCTCTATATCAGCGACTCTAATACTACTTCTAATGAAAAGGAAAGTACCAACAAAAACAAAACTCGACACTAAACTGTAACATCGTGTGGGAAAGGACAACAGTTTACTCTCGACAGCCATCGAGGTCGATCCAAGGAGGGTTTTGTAACTGTTCAATCATGTGGATGATGGGGAGGAAAAGGCCATCGGCGGCATCAGGGCCCTTCTTGGCCAGCTCTTCTATGACCGACCATCGCTCCCAACGCCAGCCTTCGCACTTGAGAGGTTCAAGATTCTAGCCGATATGTCAATACACACCAACGACACATCCTGGCCCTTTGACTGCACCCAAGCTCTTCTCTCATCGCGTTCTTTCCATCAATCCGCATTTATTTATTTATTTTTATCTTCAGTCCTTTGTTGACGTACCTGGGGTTGCTGCTGCTCGTCCTCACGGACACAGACAACACATATTGTAATGTAATGCTTGTTGTCTTGCCCAAAGATGTCGTTGGTCACGGCGATGATTCCCAACGGCCGTACCCTGAGACCTGTCTCTTCAAGCGTCTCGCGGCGAGCACAGGCAAGGCTGTCCTCGCCAAATTCTAAGTGGCCACCTGGAAACTGCCATTTTCCTGAAAGTTCGTAGAGTCAGTTTCTCAGTGGAAAGGAGACGCGCCCGTGCATAATTCCGTAAGGCTTATTTTTGACCTTGCTGACTTTCCAACCATGGGCACAAATTAGAATAGGTATATTCACACACCAACACCATGGGATCCCTTCCTTCGACCAATGCAAAAGTGCCCATCGAGGCTCTTGATGACGGCAGCGACGCCGACGCGCGGCTTAGGAGCGGAAGTTGTGTCTGCCATTCTTTTATTCTTGCTTCAGCTCTCAGACTGCTCACTTTCATATATTTCTTGAGGGTTTGATGGAAAAGTTGTGCTCGAAAAGCGTAATATGTGATTTTATGCGTGAGCAAGTTCTGTTGAGTCCCCGATCTTGCGAGATCGGTACGAGATGAACCTTGCCAAAATTATGACTCACAAAAGTTCCTTTTTTCACAAGCTATGTAACAACTGATAAGAAATGCAACTATTTTAAAGCCCGTAATTGGCTTGAGATGTTGCAAAACTGGTCCGCAGCCACAATCGGTATGACAAACTGGTCAATCTTGCGCCGCGGCCGTTGGTCGGCGTCAATGACCATAAGGGGGTCGTCAATGGCCATAAGGAGGTCGTCAGTAGCCATAAGGGAGTCGTCAGTCGGTGTCACCACCTCGACGCCAGCGTAAGACGATGACACGTTCACCAAGATGCTTCCCGTCTTCTTATTGGTTTCGCTCCGTCAAAGGATTGAATATTCGGGCGAGTGAGCAGGTATTTCCCAGGTGTTTCGCTTTTCTCATCCACCCACCTGCACTGGCGGTGCTGCAGCTACCACTATTGGTGACACCGCCGCTGCGGTCAAGACTACTGCATCTAGCACTGCTACGGCCTCCTCATTTGGTACGATGGCTGCCTCCGCGGTTACTAGAGCGGCTGCCAGGAACTGTGCCATAGTTGGCGCGGCCGTCGCTGCTGGCAGCCTCTTCATCATAGCCCTGTAATTGTGGCGGTGGAGATGTGCCAGCTGTTCGGATGGGATAGCCGCTAAAGATGAATCATGACTTTCTTCGGGCTGGTGGCGATGGTAGCCAGCACGAGGAGAAGTTGTGCAGGTAGAGATAGACAGTCAATATTGGCTCCGTTTTTCCCTATGAGTGCCTTCAAGTCTCCTTGCTTGAGCACGTCGTATAGATCGGCGTTGAAGGGCATGCCGTCCATGTCGATGGAGCAGACGGTCATGTATGAAACAAGCGCACGCGGAGCGGAGCTCGCTGGTCGGCTGGAACTGGTCAGTAGTTTAAGCACCTAGATACAACTTCTGATATCTCGGCACAACTCCCATCGAAGTCCGTACAAAAAACCACAAACACCACTCTAATTAGTCTGCTGCTGTTTCTTGCTGCCCAACGACTCGCCTTTAGGCCTGCTTTCTTGCTGCCCAACGACCCACCTTTAGGCCTGCTTAACCGGATGGAAGGAAGGGAGTTACGTATCTTGATAAGAAGGCCTAATTTCTCCCTATTGTGTAAGTTTTTCAACTCAATTTATAATTGTGAAGCTTCCAACACTGACTTCGCTTGATTTTCGTGTGTCTTGCCGTGGTGAAAGTAGGCGCAGAGCTCTGATTATTGGATGGTTGTATCAATGAAATCAAATCGTTTCTAAAGTAGTAGATCGAAAGGATATTTAGGCTAAAAAGAGCGTGGATTAGCGTGGTGCATAGGACGATCTTGACCTTCTCTAGGCCTTATCCCGTGGTGGCAGTATTGTGGTTTAACAGTGATTGGCCTAACGGAGTATAACTGGCCAAGGTCTATAGAGGGGTACAGAAGACAACTTCTCGGTCTTATATAAAGCTCTGTTCCTTTCCATTTTGTAGATATTCATGTACTCGGTCTTAACCTAACTGTTTGATTTTGCCTCATGTTCTTTGACGTTTCACTGTTGTTCTATCGTACATATTTTGCGCTTAACGTTCTGCCATTTCTACTTGCTGTGTCCGCTTCACGTTGTGTTCTTTGGCAACTGTTCCTATGGACCACGCAGAAAAGGAAGCCGTGTGTGCGACTAACCTGTGCCAGCTGTGCAATACCGTTGGAAAGCTCACTACAGACACAGGGCATTCTTTAATCCTGGGAACCCTTGACGACATCAAGAGCCGCGTCTCATGTACGATGTGCCGCGTTTTGGCAGTGGCCATAGAAAGCCATCGTGCCAACCGGCCTTACTTGTCTCATGATGGGATTATGGAGCAATTCCTAATCACGGGAGTGGAAGGGCTACCGGTTGACCAACATACGCATAACTACGACTGTGTCTGTCGCTATGGCTATCGTGTTGACTCTCGCATGTTTAACCCTCCGCAGCCCATTGCTATAATACGCCATACCCATCTGCGAAGTGGCTGCGTCCCCGGTAGAGGTGACTGCAAATTGATATCACCAAGTGCGATGGACAAGCTATACATAGAAGGCGAGACTGGTTATCACGAAGATGGCCACTCGATGGACATACCCCGAATTCGCTCATGGCTTCGGCTGTGCGAGGAGAAGCATGAGAGGTGCCGGCTTCTGCCATATGGAACGAAACCCTCGATAGCAAAACTGACCGTCATCGATGTTGAGCTCATGTGTCTCACCGAACAGGCGGCCCCGCGCTACTTCGCCCTGAGCTATGTGTGGGGGACAGGAGCAGTATTCCGAGCGGTAAGCGCCAACGTTGAGAGGCTTAAGATCCCTGGCGAGTTGGAGAAACTGGGCAACCAGATTCCTCTGGTCATCCGCGACGTCTTTCTCCTGATGCGGCGTCTGGGCGAGCGCTATCTCTGGGTCGACTCTCTCTGTATTGTCCAGGACTGCGAGGACATGAAGCTCAAGCTCATCGGGAAAATGGACATCATATACGCCGAGGCAGCCTGCACAATTGTCGCCCACGGAAGCTTTGATGCCAACTCTGCCATTCCCGGTATTAGACAAGGTACGCGGCGACCTTACCGGGTCACAGCCTCCAACTGCCATAGCGCAGCGGCCGGGATCCAGAATGAAATGATAGTCTGCTCTCCGTGCGACTACACTCAGTTTTCGACCGCCTATGACACACGGGCTTGGACCTTCCAGGAGCAGCTGCTTTCAAGGAGGAGGCTGGTTTTTGGCGCCGATGAAGCATTTTTTAGCTGCCAGTCACAGGACGCAAGCGACTGGTGCGAGGAGCCCCTTACGTACAGTGACCGCGAAGCAAAAGCCAGGCCTTCAAAAGTCCTTTTCGACACGGACGGCTCTAGGGTCGCATTTCTGCCGAACTTGAACCCCGATCTTACAGGAATGGCTGATACAACCAAGACACGGCAGGCCCTCATGTCTTTGTCTCGGCTGGTCTCTAGCCGCATCGACAGCAAAGACAAGGCTGAAATGTTCAGCACCATCTTCTTCGCATACACCTCAGCCGTGACACACTATACCGGCCGGCATCTCACCTGTCAGTCCGACATTCTCAAGGCCTTCTCCGGCATCCTGTCAACCATCGAGCGTACCTGTGACTTCGGTCCAGACTCGACCATATATGGTCTTCTTGGGAACTACCTTTTCTATTGCCTTAACTGGGTGGGTAAGGCGGTGGTGCGCCGTCCGGGATGGCCATCCTGGTCATGGATCGGCTGGGAATCTCAGGCGTTCTTTCTCGAACGTCACAACCCGGCTGAACTAGCTCCTCAAATAAACGAGGCGTACTTGGTGGACCGTGGTGAAGTAAGGACGTTTACGCTTAATAGCGAGGCTTCTGCTGCTAATGACAATGCTTCAATTTCGCAAGTCTCTGCAGCAGGCCTTAGCTCTTCTGCACAACTCCAATGTCTCTCCAGTCACAGCCCGGACCTCCCGGCTCTCGCATTTTGGGGCCAGGTGACCGCCCCGGGTGCGCTCCAGATCCGCTTCCATCCGACTCGGAGGCATCAAGTTCGCTTATGGGCAAGTCGGGAACCCTATCACAACATCTGTGGGCACATGCACGAAAAGTATGACTTGGACGCCAAGAACCGGCCGACCGACGCAGAGTTTGACCAATTCCGATTGGTGTACCTCTCGCACAGCTCGCGGCGCTGCGTCTACCATATCTATAAGGATGTCGTATGCGGAGGCTCGTGTAACTCGTTGGTTGTGGCCCAACTTAAGGGACCGGCCTTAGGTAGTCCCAATATTGTGTACTGCGAACGAGTTGGAATGGCGGAGGTGTGTGGAACTGCGTGGAAAGATGTGGTCAAAACTCGCGAATTTGTTGCTCTAGTTTGAAGAGAGTAATCGTTTAGCCATAATCAAGGCGTTGTGAACAGAAAGTACTTTTATGAGATTTATGAAGATTATTTTAGTTAAAGGGAGCGCGTATATCGCCCCAAATATCTGCTTATTCCCCCCCGTGACTGGTGGAAACATGGGGCTGTGTATGGAGTACAAGAGCCACAAGACAGTCTAAAAGATACATTAAACCACAGGGACCTAGTGTACGGAGTACTTTACGGACAATGCTGTCTAGCCCCTATGATCAATTATGAGATACTTATAGCAACGAAATGGCATTGCTTTATAGCCCGCTACCGCCTACTCTAACCTAGTAACGAGCTTGCTATTCCAAATAGCTTTCGTTCAGTAGCTATAAAGCAATTTAGGCCTCTAAAAGCGAAACTTACAGCTTATTATCACGTCTGTTATAAGTTAAAAGTATATTTACACCCTAATATAGCAAAACACCCACACAAAACGGCAAAAAACCAGTACCTAAAATTTGTATTTAATGTATCTTTTAGACTGTTTTGTGGTTCTTGTACTCCGTACACAGTCCCACTTTTTCACTAGTCGTAGGGAGAATAAAGCAAATGCCTAGGGCGATATACGCGATCCAACATTAAGAGCTCCGTGATTGGTCAGCACCAAGTGCACGGACCGGTTCTTATCCGTATCGTACATTTTGGACATGGAGCCGCAAAGACGCGAAAGAGGAACGAGAGCTAACTTTCAGCGAGACGGCAGACAAACTATTCTGTTCGATCGACACAGACAAAATGGATCCAGGACGAGCAGCAATGATTTCGGGCACGAAGTCGCCGACTGGGAGAGACAGAGACATCACGGCCCCTCGACGGGACACAAACAACCGGATAACAAAGCCGTCTTGGGAGAGGCGGCCGCCAAATACGACGTCGACTGCAGGCACGACAACACGAAATGCAAAGAGCGGCGGAGGCGGCGGAAACAACTATATGACAGAGGAGCAGCTGTCGGAGAAGTTTGTGGCCGAGGAGGACAAGTTTGTGCTGCGGCAGTCGAAGAAAAAGGCGGACATTCGGGTGCGGGAGCGACGAGCGAAGCCGATCGATTTTCTGGCATTCCACCTGCGGTTTGTAGACTCGGACCGCGACGTGTTTGACGACGAGCCGACGGATGTGGAGACGGACGTGCCGGGGCCAGAGGCGGTGCTGGAGAGCGCGAACGCGGAGCAGCTGGCCGAGCTGGAGGCGGACATCCGGTCGTTCCACACGTTGGAGCAGAACGGGGCGAACCGGGCGTACTGGCAGGCGATGCTGGTGCTCTGCCGGGAGCAGCGCGAGCTGGTGGGCGGGCCGCAAGGGGGGGAGGCGCGGCTGCTGAGCACGGTGGCGGGCGACATTGACCGGATTCTGCGGCCGAAGGCGCTGGTGCAGCTAGAGGCGCTGGAGGCGAGCATCCGGGCGAAGCTGCGGTCGGACGAGGCCATCGACACGGACTACTGGGAGCAGCTGCTGCGGCGGCTGCAAGTCTGGAAGGCGCGGGCGGCCGTGAAGAAGACGGGCGCGGCGGTGCGGACAGCACGGGCGACGTTGCTGCGGGAGCGCGACCCAGCCAAGGCGGAGGCGGTGGAGAAGGGACTGCCGGTGGCCTCGGCCGGCGAGACAGTGCGGAGCGAAGAGGAGACGGTGGCAGCAGACGACGACATGGCCGGCGGCATCGGCGCCGGGCTGGACGACGACGAAAACGAAAACGGGACGGCCGCGCCGCCGGGAACAGCCCGGTTTGCGGCCGTCAGCGGCGAGGATTTCTCGCAGGCAACCAAGGCGCTGTACGACCGCGAGGTGGCGCGCGGGGTGCGCGAGAACGAGGAGATCTTTGCGGCCGAGGAGGTGGTACCGTCGGCCGGCAAGCCCAAGTGGGCGGACAAGTACCGACCGCGCAAGCCGCGATACTTCAACCGGGTGCAGATGGGGTACGAGTGGAACAAGTACAACCAGACGCACTACGACCACGACAACCCGCCGCCCAAGGTGGTGCAGGGCTACAAGTTCAACATCTTCTACCCAGAGCTGATCGACAAGACCAAGGCGCCGACGTACCACATCATCCGCGAGGGTGGCCGGCGGCGAGGCGAATCGTTTGCGCCGGCCGGCGAGGAGGACACCTGCCTGATCCGCTTCTCGGCCGGACCGCCGTACGACGACATCGCCTTCCGCATCGTCGACCGCGAGTGGGACTACAGCGCGAAGCGGGAGCGGGGGTTCAAGAGCAGCTTTGAAAAGGTAGGCTTGGATTGGACTCGGGCGTGTCGGCCAAGTGTTGCGTGTGCTAACGATCTCAACCACAGGGCATCCTGCAACTGCATTTCCAGTTCAAAAAGGTAAGCACTCGGTCGAGACGGTGGCGGATGGCTTGTTTCATTGTACACGTTGCTAACAGACGCCTCAGATTTACTACCGGAAGTAGATATGGGATGGAGGGAAGCGAGAACTGCATACCGATTCTGGACTGACCACAACTCCGGCAAACGGAACGGCCAGGCAGGGTCATAACGGCGCCGAGACGTGTGATAGCAGGACGAAAATCGCCATGGAAGAGGCTTAGTGGAGCTGCCAAGGCATAAGGCGGAGAATGACGCCCACAACCATAGAGTATCGAATAAAACCAGCGACGATCTGAAATTCAGACGTGGGTCCATCAGACAGCAATGCTGGAGCAATAGCGGATAAACAGCCATTGCAAATCCACCAATCGTGCCTGCAGTGTACCCCTTCCTGCCCCATGGGGAAAACGGGGCTGTTCTGGCCTTGTGCGTTAGGGCGACACTATGCTGGAGGAAACCCCGCTTTGGCTGTCTCTGGTGACACTGTTGATTTCGACGACAATCTTGAGTTCAGGCTGAAAAGCCCCTCACAGCGTGCAAAATGTCAGAGAGGGGGAGAGCGGAGAGAAGATGACCAGGGTGTCGGACTGAGAGACATATAAGCAAGTCGCTCATCGAGACTGGTGGATCAAAGCCAGTACTTTGTTTTGCATCCAGCCATGAGACCGCTCTCGCTGCTCTTTGTTTTCGTATCGGCTGTTGCGTCCGGCAGCACTCGTCCGCCGTGTCTGAGTCGACGGCCGGCCGTGGTGCCGCGTCCTGCACATCCACGGCTGCCCGTGCCTCAGCCGCCGAAGCGATCGCGCGTGTGCGAGGTGCAGACGCACGGCGACGGCCAGACGGACGACTCGACACTCATCCTCGAGGCCCTGCACGCCTGCAACAATGGCGGTCACGTGCTGTTTGGCCGGGACGCCACCTTTGTCGTGGGCACGGCCCTGGACCTGACCTTTCTGCAGCATGTCGACATTGGTGAGGAGATGGATCCAACGCCCACCTGCTGACTGCTGAGCTGACAGCTCATTGCTGACTGCTGGCCAGACATCCAGGGCCGCATCCTCTTCTCCAACGACACGGATTACTGGCAGGCCAACTCGTTCCGCTTCGGCTTCCAGAACGTCACCTCCTTCTTCAAGCTCGGCGGTAAGGACGTCTTCCTGTATGGTGGTACGTCGTTTCTCTTCCTCTTTGTCTCTGCCTTTCCCTCTCTCTCTCTCTCCTCTCCTTCTCGTGGTAACCCTTCAGGTGGCACCCTTGACGGCAACGGCCAGGCCTGGTATGACCTCTATGCCGCCGACATCTACACGCTTCGGCCCGTCTTGGTGGGCATCGACGGACTGCACGACAGCGTGATTGCAGACCTGCAGCTGCGGTATAGCCCAATGTACTATAGCTTTGTGGCCAATGCGAGCAACGTCGTCTTTGACCACATCAGCATCGCCGGCGCCTCGACCAGCAAACACGTGGCCAAGAACACTGACGGCTGGGACACGTATCGAAGCCGAGACGTGACCATTATGAACTCTGTCATTGACAATGGAGATGGTGTGCTTTTTTTCTCCTCTTTTTCTCCTCTTCCTCCCTCTCTCTCCCATCCTAACTTCCCAGACTGCGTCTCCTTCAAGCCCAACAGCACCGACATGCTGGTCCAATCGCTCGTCTGCACCGGCAGCCATGGCATCTCTGTCGGCAGCCTAAGCCAGTATCCCGGCACCTTGGACATTGTCGAGCACATCCACGTGGCCAACGTCAGCCTGCACAATGCCACCAACGGCGCCCGCATCAAAGTCTGGCCCAACGCGCCCACCGTCCTCGCGGACGATCTTCAGGGCGGCGGTGGCAGCGGTCGCGTCAACAATGTCACGTACACCGACATTGACGTCGCCAACGTCGATGACGCCATCGAGATCACCCAGTGCTACGGCCAGAAGAACCTGATGCTTTGTGTCAGCTTTCCGTCTGCCCTGACCATCAGCAACGTGCGCTTCCGCCGCTTTACCGGCACTACGTCCGCCACGTATGCGCCCGAGATCGCCGCCTTTGCCTGCTCCTCCACCGCCGTCTGTGGCAACATCTCTGCCGTCGACATCGCCGTTACCAGTCCCCAGGGCAGCCGCCAGGCCTACTGCCTCAACCAGGACACCACCACCCTCGATGTCGACTGCACGGACGTTTGGAAGGGCTTCAACTGAACTGGGAGGCACGGTTGAATGGCTGGATCGTGTATCCAGTTCTTTCTTTGTCATCGTGCGCTTCTCGTCTAAAACTTCCTCTTCTTCCGTACTGGTGCCGCCTGCTTCTCTACTACCTGCTGGAGCCGCTCCTTTTGCTTCGCCGCGTCTTCGGCCTTCTTGTCCTCTGTAGCGACTCGTACCGCAGCCGCTTCTGCTACCGCCTCCACTGCTGCCGGCTTCTTGCCCTTGCCGATCCTTCCCAGGCTGCGGCCACCTGCTGACTTGGGACGCACTGAGACGTCTGTTGCAGACAGTGCCGCCTGCTGCTGCTGCTCTTCCGCTTGTTTCTTGGCCGGTGGTTCAGCCGTGTCTCCGGCCTCCGATGCCGTATCGGACCCGTCTGCTTCCCCGACCCCCTTGGCACTGTCTGCTAGCGGTGGTGATGGCACGGCTGCTGCAGCCTCTGGTTCTGCGGGTGGTGGCGCCGGTGGTGTCGATGCTCTCTTCTTGCCAATGGCTCCTAGCCTGCCGAGCTTGCCAGCTTTGCCAGTCGGCCTTGGTGGTAGTGGTGGTGATGGTGAGACCGCTCTTGGAGTCGGTGAGGATGGTGGCTCAGCAGCAGCACCTCTGTTCTTCTTTGGCGTCTCCCGCTGGACGTAGTCGTCGTCCGCGACAGCAGCAGCATCTTCAGCCGGAGGAGGCTTCTCTGCCAGGACCGTCTCCTTTCTCACCGTGGGCTGCAGCGAAACGCCCAGGCCGCTGCCGAGCGTCTTCCACCAGCCGTCCAGCCGGGGCTCCGAGGGCTCGCCGATCTCACACGTGAGCGAGTCGCCATCGCCAAGCGCTTCTTCCACCAGCGATCTGTCCGCTGTCGTCTCCTCTTGTTTCTGCAATTGTCTTCGGAGACTGTCAAGAGAAAAGGGCGCCAGCCCGGGCACGCGCTCCTCCATGGCCGCACGCATCAGCTGCTGCTGCTGCTGTGGATGTCGCCCTGCCAGCGCCGGAAACACGCTGCCGAGCCCGGCGCCCAGCGCCTCGAGCTTGTCGGCCAGCCGGCCGATCACGACGTCCTTCTCGCGCAGGGCTGCAGACAGCGCGGTCGCTTCACGCGCGCGCACCAGCCGGTCGTGCAGCAGCGGCCGCACCAGCTCATCCGCCACCGCGCTGGCAGACTGCCGCCGTGCCAGGCACATGGGCCAGCATAGCGGCCGCAGGCCTCCCGGCAGCTCCACGCTCAGGTGCAGAATCAGGTTTGCACCATCCGATCCGTCTGCAGAGGCCAGGCTCAAGCTCAGGCTCGTCATCCCGTGCTCGGTGTGCTCCGGCTCCAGCGCTGCCCGCAGCTTGTCCAGGAAGACGGCCATCTGCTCGGCATCGTAGCTCGGGTCGATCGGCGTGTCCTCGCGGAAACCACGCATGCAGATGTCACGGCGACTCAGCTCTTCCGTCCAGACGTGCACCAGGTCGGACACGTGCACCGCATACGAAGCCACCCCAAACGTCGCCGACACCACCAGCTGCGGCACTTGCGCATGTCGCGCCGGCAGCGGCCGCCATGTCCGCTGCTCGTCCATCCCGTCGTCGCGCTGTCAGTCGTGTTGCTGCTGATCAAACAGGAATGCGTCACTTCGTGCAGAAAAGTACTCGATAAAAAGCTGTACGGCGTGCTTTCACTTGGGGAAGGCGCAGCCCAACCTCCTCCATCCATCCATTGCACGTGTTTTGTCCGATGACTCAGCCGTCTACTGGACCATGTCACGCAAAGCAGCTGGAAGCTATTACAAACAACAACTTCGTACTAAGATCTTGGGATTAAAGCTTCATGCAACTGTAACATGCTTTACGCACTACACAACCGGGTATCCGTTAACCTTTACAAAATAACGGCGCGCAAAAACTCGACGAGGTATCTCTGCTCCCACGGTACAGCACATGAAAAAAAACGAAAAAAAACCGCAACGAACAAATACAGACGACTCCTATATGCACCATCCATCCATTACCTCCTTACCATCCAATCCAACCCCGTCATACATGCTTACCGTGTCGTTCGTAGGTTTGCCTTTTCCGACCGACCCTGCCGCCCACATGTCTAATTGTCTCTACTCTATTTCGGTACCAACGCCCTCACAACCCTTGCGAGCTCCAAACCCCATTCGACATCCCCCCCAGGTTCTGCCCAAAATCTTGCCAGTCAAAATTGTCATCCATGGTGATGTCCTCGTCGACGAGCGATCCCGGGAACTGCTGCTGCTGCATTTGCTGATGTTGCTGCAGCTGCTGATGTTGTAGCTGCTGTGACGATGCCGGACCCGGGGGCGTCCACAGCCAAGCTGGCGGGTAGTCCTTACCCATGCCATCAACGAGCGCTGTAGAAGTCGATTGCTGCGACGACGATGTCGTGGGAACATTGCTCCCATTGCTTCCTCCAGTTCCGTTGCCCATACCGCCGCCAAACGATGCATTTGCAACAAAGTGGGAGAGCGCGGTATCTTGGCGTGGTATATCAGAATTTGCATAGGTCCCGTACAGATTGCCTTCCGGCAGCGCCTTGGCAAGTTCTTCGGCCATGTACACCGGATATAAGTCCGATGACTCAAATGTCGGCTGCGCGAACACGCGGTCCAGAATGTTGTTGGCCGTCACCTCTGTGCTAACGGGCAATTGCTGCTGTTGTTGGCATTGCTGTTGCTGTTGCTGCTGTTGTTGCTGCTGTTGTTGTTGCTGCTGCTGTTGTTGATGTTGTTGTTGCTGCTGTTGATGTTGCTGTTGCTGCCGTTGCTGTTGCTGCTGCTTCTGCTGCTGCCGTTGTCGCCTTCGTTGTTCTAATTGCCGCTGCCCATCCGACTGGGCACTCTTCTCGGTCTTGGCTGCGTCCACACTGTCAGCGACCGACCCTTCGCCCGTCGAGGGCGGTGCCGGTGACTCGGCCGCCAGCTCAGGGGCTCCCATCAGTTCGAGCCACTGTTCCCGCCAGTGAAAGCCGTCAATACCGCCCTCGGCGGCAGAGAAGATGGTAGGTCCAAGGCGGACGTGGTCCTCACGGTCCAGCCGGATGACTTCACTGCGGTCCGCCCGGAGCCGCTGTATCTCAGCTTCACGGTGCTTGCGTGCTTTGTTGTACAACATCTTGAATGGCAGCCAGATGGACGCGTTGGCCGTCATCTTCTCGATCTCCTGCGACTTGGGGCCCGCCATGATCGCGGAGATCGCCTGCCACGACCGCTCGACAGACGCGCTCCAGGGCCGTCGCGACTCTTCCATCAAGATGTATGCCACCGCGTGCCACTGCATGTACGTCTTGAACAGCCAGCGCCACTGCTTCGTGCGCGAGTCCGTCGTCAGGCTGGTGGTGTACTCAAACAGCTCGGTCGAGCCGGTGAACAGTCGGTCACGCAGCTCCCGCGACATATCCTCGTTGCTCCCTGTCGGAAATAGAATCGGCTGGTACACCGCCAGGGTCATCCGCGTGCAGATCACGCGAGCAATGATGCCGGCCACCCAGAAAATCGGATCTGACGCCGTCTCGCTGCTGCCCAGGTACTTCTCTTGGATGTGCTCGTAGATGTCGTGGATCATGCGTTCCCGCTCCTCCAGGCTGGCCGTGGCGTCTACGGGATAGATCGAGCCGATGCCCCCCGACTGCATCACATGCATCCGGCGCACCACGCTGAGAATCTCGTACCGGATGAGTGCAAATGTGACGTCCGTGGCGCCCTTGCGGGGGGGCGGAAGCGTGGTGCTCTCCGGGCTGATGTCGCTGTCGTTGATGTTCAGTGGCAGCTGCGTGTCGAAGCCATGCTCAAGAATGGACAGATCCGTTCCCAGATCCTCGGCCGAGCGCATGTCGATGATGCAGATCGCCCAGAACAGGCGCCGGCGCATCTCGACCTCAAAGGGCGAGAGGCTGGGGAAATTGCTGCCGTCACGGTGCAGTCCGATGGAGTGGCTGATGCGAATAGCGAGGCCCGTCATGGTCCACGCAAGTCGGGTCTCGTCATTGCGCCGGATAAGGACAATGTAGATCACAAACGCCTGCAAGACAACCAAATCGGCCGAGACGAGGAACTGGGCCTTGGCCAGAGCCTGTTCCAGGGCGAAGCGGTACTTGTTCACCAGTGCCTCCTTATCGGCCATAAAGTTTATTTTAATCTGCAGTCACAAGTCAGCGTGGGAGAGCCTTGGGGGAGCAAGGGTATCGAATCTCACCTCATTTTCATCTAAAGATGTAACGGCAGCATAATAAATAGCAAACATCAATGCCTCCGCTGCAGGAGAGATGTCATCCAAGTTTGTGCGTGCATTCCTTATGAGCTTGCTGGTCGAGACGGTGTGCAGCACCTTGACCACGGGATCGACGTTTTCCAGATACACCTGCCAGATATATGGAATTTGGGACGGCAGCGGATGCAGCGGTCGCAGGTCGACCGTAGTAGACTGAAAGCCGAAACAAAAGGCGTGGTGGTCTGCTTCTGGTCGTTCGTCGGTGTCGTGAGGCGGCGAGCTCTCAGTCTCGGAAGCTTCAGTCTCTGGCTCGGAAATCCGCTGGGCTTCTGACCGCAACTCGTCCAGCTAGTTACCGTTGTCAGTCATCCGCAACACAAGCAGAATCAAGACAGACAAGAGGAGAGGGGGTGTGATCGAGATTATCACGATACATACCTCGTCGCTGATCTTGCTCCAAAAAGCGCTGCTGACATAGCGCGAGCGCCCATGATCGTTGATGACGAGGCGGCCAAACTGTCGCTCGCCGTCCTTTCCAGGCTTCATCTTTCCGTTACTGTCGCTGATCAGTCGTCCAGGACTTCCGACGGCGGGCATATTCGTCATCATGGGCGACTGCTGTCCTCTTCCGGCGCCGTTGGCAAGGCCATGACCACCATTTGCGATGCCGTTGCCGTTGACGGAGCCGTCGGCACAGCTGCTGCCGTTCATGCCTCCGACGATGCTGCCTTGGGTTCCGTTGATGGCCTCGGGCGAGCCGCCGTTGCTCGAGTGCTGCTTCGTGGCCTCCAGCTCAACCTGTCCGCTGAGCTCCTCGACAATGCCTTCCAACTTGCGCAAGCGCTTAAGCAACTCGATCTCGCGCTCAGTCGACTGGTGTGGGCGCAGAGCGCTGGGGTCTTTGCGGCGCGGCCGGCGCGGCGCACGTTCGGGTGCGGGAAATATGCACGGAATCAAGGCGCGGCGACAGTTGGAGCAGGGCATGTGCTTGTCACAACGGACCTTGCGGCGACGACAAGTAACGCAGCTGCGCGGATTCAGCTCGATGCCAGGAATGGCTGTGGGCGTGTAGACGGTGGCGCCAGGGATCTGAGGCAGTGGCTGGCCGATACCGGACTGGCTGAAGCCATTCTGGCTGAGCACGCTCGGAGAGTTGATGAGGCTCGGTCCATGGGTGGTGGTGCTGCTGGCCAGACTAGCCAGGCTGGTCAGGCTGGTGGTGGAGGGAGCGATCTGGACGAATTCATGCTGAGACGGGGCGTTTGACGGAGACGACTCAGCATCGGGGGTGAAGGCCAGAGGTGGCGTGTGGTTTGCAAATGAATTGCCTCCCGCCATAGTGTTAGCGACCCCTGTGTGGTGCTCGGGGCAGTCGCTAGAGAAGATCCAGAGGGGAAGGGAAGGGTAGGGGAAAATAAAAGGAAGAAAATAAAAGAATCGTGTTGAAGGAGCCCGGTTATGAAATGCCAAGCCGGGAGACAGGGGGGGGCGTGTGAGGTAGAGTTGAAGAAATAGGGAGAAGGGGAGGAAAAAAATAGCGAGAATAAATGGCAGAGCAGCCTAGAACAGCTACAATGGCCGAAGGGACAAGAAAACAAAAAGAAATAAAAACAGACAGGAAAACGGTAAAAAAAACGAGAGAAACCCAAAATGGATATAGCGATTAAGCGTGCCAAGAGAGGAACAAAGTCAAAACAAGACCCTGAACCCCCCCTTTCTGAAGGAGGAGGGTAAAACGGGTGGCAGACGCGTTGGGCCAAAAGGGAGAAGCTTATGATCGCCTCATGTCTCAGGTCTTTTCACGGCTCAGTCGTAAGTGTGTGTGTGTGTATCTCATTGCAGCGTGGGCAGCGCGAGCATTCTGTCTGTTGACCGTTTTGATTCCAGGCAGTGAGAGAGGGGTCTTATTTTGGGATGTTTAGATGAAGAGGGTGATAGCGTGGAAGGGAAAGTCCGTCATTGGGTGGCGGTGGAAAATTGGGAGCGCCTATGACTGGGTCGGCAAAAAAAAAAAACCAGCAGGAGGGAGCTAGGATCGAGGAGGGATATGGACAAAGGGCGTGGAAGCAGGGACGGTGCTTATGTCATGGCCGATCTAAGGCGCTGAGCGGGGCGGAATTAGCTGGAAGCTGCTAGGACCGAAGCCGCGGCGTTTTCCTTGGCGATAACGGCAGAGAAGTGCAGCGAAGTGCGCCCCCAAGATGGGCAATTCGGGAATTCGCTCGTGGCCCGATCACGTGCATTTAACCAATTTCGGAGCAGGACGGAGTTGGCAGAGAAGCCATAGTAAGCGTCGTGCGTTGCGACATGGCTTGTGCGTCTTTTCCCTATTTATCTCTGTACGGCGACCCCCTGGTCAGAGAGGCGACCCGCCGCGGATGCGCCGTAGAAGAAGTGCGACTACAACCTTGTTTTGCCCTCCGGTCTCACCGCCTGCGCCGCTGCAGCTGCTCGTATGGCATCCAGCACCTCTGCCCGCGACTGCAGCTGCACGTCCCGAGGCGAGCCTGACGATGTGCTGCCGACCACCATCACGCGATGCAGGTCGCCCGTCCTGCCGCTGTTCCTCAGCTCTGGCCCGGGCTGGTCCAGCCTCAAGGCGGTGCGGCCGTCGGGCAGCCGTGCCAACATGCGCGGACTGATCACCAGCTCGGCCCAGGCCTGGCCGGCTTCCGGTCCGCTTCCTTGGCGCAGCAGCTCGGCCAGCCGTTGCCGCTCGCCGGCATGGTCTGCCATCTGTCCGTCTGACCTGCCGAGAATCGGTGCCAGCAGCGCCAGGATGTACATCTGCGGCGGAAACAGGATGATCTCGTTGCGCTGCGCCCGCTGCACCCACGTTGCCGCCGAGGCACACTCGGCCGCCGACACCTCCGTCTGGTCGGCCGTGGCTTTCATCCCTGTCGCGGTCGCTGCCAGCGGCATCAGGTAAAGGTACATCTGCGTCGTGAAGCGACGTGCCAGGTTCGGCGGTGTGATCCAGCGCGTAAACGGAATCAACCCGTCTAAAGAGACTGGTCAGCAACGAGAAAGAGGATGGATGGATACGGTGCTACACGCAAACGCACCGCTGTCGGCCTCTCCACCCACGCTGGCCAGCCAGTCAACAAACCGCACCTCCTTGCGCTCGACCTGTTTCCGTCCTGCGCCGGCTATGTCTTCGGGCACCTGCAAGAGCAGCCGCTCATCCGCTGCCGGCTCGCCAGCACTGTCACCCCGGCTCGTGCCCCGTGGCCGTGCCAGCAACACGCCGCTTTCCTCAAACGTCTCGCGGATGGCTGCCAGCCGGTACGCCGGGCCGTCCACATGTCGCTCGGCACTGTCGCTGGCCGGGATCAGCCCGTCCTCGTGGAAGCTGCTGAGGTTGCCACCCGGGAACACGTGGGCCGCTGCAAACGTGCCGTTTTGTATGCGGCGCAGCAGCAGCACCTCATTGGCCGGGGATATCACCACGATGCTGCACGCCCGCCCGTCAGCGCTTCTCTCTCATGTCCGAGGCCTCTGTTCGGCTCAGCAACACACCTGGCACTCGGCGCTGCGGCGCTCGGCGCTGCCGGATTCCGAACCTGGGCCGATCCTCGGCCCTTCTGCGTACCGGCCATGACTCGAGGAGCGGTCAGATGCTCTGGCCCCGAGTCTGTGTGCACCGCTCGAATATTGCTCCGTCGTGTCATAGCCTTGCTTAGTCGATGCGCTAACGGCCACCAGTGTAACCGCTGTGCAGCTGGCCGGAAGACGGTCTGAGCAAGCAGGGAAACAGCACGCCGACCGCATGCAAGGGCCTGCAGTGGTGGATGTCGTGGTGGGTGCAATGGTGGGTGCAGTCGTGTCCGCTCACGGAATGGGCCTGTTCGGATGGGCCGGATTCCACGCATGGCTGTGGCAACGTTGAGGAGGCAGCTTTTGTTGGTCGTATCGCCTCCTGAACGTTGCCCGATGCATTGTCAAGAGTCGATAGACGTTGGTCGGCTAGCCCACGGAACTACCGAGGTTCATTGCATTAGTGTCTTGTAGGCGTAGCTCTGTTCCGCTACCCCACATACGGAGTTTCTCTGGGAGCTAACACTTTGCCACATCATATCGAGCATGCTATGTAAGACACGAGTACCTGCACAACTCGTCATCGACATATCCGATTCGGGACCTCGGCCAGTGTCTAACGGCTAGTTCGTGAAAGTTCCGTCTGAGGATACACATGTCATGTTATAGTAGCGATCAACCATAGGCACGAATGAAACGGCCAAGAGCAAGAGGATGGGGGAAAGAGGGGAAAAATAAAACGGGATAGCAGATCAGCTACTCCGTACATAGTAGATGTCTGTGTTTCGTACGGAGTACATACATCCCATTGCAGATCTATACCGCTAACAATTTCTCCGGTGTTGTGACTCTATGTTTGACTCTACCCCGCAGGGCATCATACTGTACAAGGCTTAGGTTTTTTTTCTTATTTTTACCTGTGTCGCATAGAGATAGTGGAGGAGAACGGAAACAAGACCCATCGAGATGTCTCTCGTGCTTCTGCGTTCGCTTATCATGAAGCGTTGGCCTATCTTCTTAACCCGTATGATATAGGATAATACAACCTAAGTCCGGTGTATACCCGGACGATATAGTACTTTCGGATTACGTGACCCAATAAGATTTCGATGGTGTTCCACTATGGCGTCAACGCTTGGTCTTGTGCTCATGATCGCCAATGTCGCAAAGGTTGAACGCCGTTTTGGTTTCCTGAAGTATTGCCGTGTCTAAATTTATTGCCCTGCTTTAGAGATACAATTGTATCTTTGGATACTGAGTCATGCACAGTTGAGATGGTAGGTGATGGCCTATATTGTCAGACTGGAGTACAACCCAAAATAACAAGCTAAAGGAGTATGGAGTACGGAGTTTAAGAAATATGGAAAGAGTTAGGGTTATATTGAGCTGCATCAACTAGCAGAGCATGGCTATAAGTTGTCAGAATTCATGCTTACCTTTTTTCCGCCAAGAATATGAGCACTACGCAAGAACTGCAGATATGCAGATCGGCTCTGGGATAATCACTCTACCTCGTGCTCGTACACTGAGCCGAGAGCTGTTGTTTGGTACGTAAAATATCATAAGCAGCTGCACATCTATGTGAGCTTGACAAAATCGCCGATCAGGCTGAAGCTGAGTGGCTACTGGAAGTAAATCTCGACAACTGGCCAATTAAATTGTAACTTACGATAGATAGCTTCAGTCTGCTCGTAAGATGTCTGACGCTTGCGCCGGAAACAAGCCGGCACTTCCCTAGTTGATGTCCGATGGTGGGGAAAATAGCACAAGGCAAAAACGGGCCCAGTTGCATTTCGAAACGTATCTTTACTCGAATCTTACGTTAATGCTCGCCGCAGTGCCAAATCAGCGGGTTAACGCCAAACGCCATTAGTAATTGGCCCAGTCCGAGCATCGTACCCAACGTCCCAAAATCCGACTACCGCCCCATATCACAACTTTCTTTCTGTCCCGCGCTGGGTGCACAGCCAGGTGCAGCAGATGCTCTTGGACTCACACCACTTCTTGACTTGAAGCGCAGTCACCGTGTCGGTGTAGCCCACCCCAGATAGCGGGCCGTCGTTCAGCCAGGCCGTGAACGGCTCTAGGATAATCGTATCGTACATCAGTATCTTCTCGTGCCACGAAGGCTTCAACGGGTCGTTCGTCCGGGGCATTGCGGTTACTGTTTTGGTGATCAGCGCAAAAAGCTCAGACTCCTCGCCAGTCAGTGCTGCCGCAAGCGACATGTCCTCGTCGTCTGTCGGATCCGTCGAGAGGTCATCGTGGGACGAAGGCGAAGACGGCGGCTCAGGCGAAGAGGACAGCCGGCCATCTGACTCTGAATCTTCAATCTCAAAAATAAGCGGCTTTGCCTTGGTCCGTGGCGTTCTTGGCCGTCCCACCTTTCCGGTGTCGGCTGGAATGGCGGTGGCGCTTGGGCCCGCGGCGTCGTTCGGTACCGCTGTGGTGGCTGCTGTTTTCTTGCGTTTGGCACCAGATTTTCGCTTTGATATGCTGCTGGGGGCTGCTGCACTCCCCGGTGTCAAAGTGTGAAGGGCCCTGGAAAGCGGCTGATTCTTGGCTTCCCAGCACTGGCTCAGCAGCGAGACCATGGCTTTGCGCCCTCGTATTGGCTTGTAACCGAACGAGGCCACTTGCACGGCCATTTGCGTGGCTGTCAACTCCTCAAAAATTGGCCGAGCTGTCTCCGTCTGTGCTGTCCTCTGGTCTAGGCTAGGCAGACTGTCAACCTGACGTGGGGGCGAGGCGGTGACAGGGTCTCTGCTCTCTGGCGGAGACTTGACCAGGGGCTCCTTGCTCAGAACCTTGTCCGCTTGCTCATTAGGCTTCTCACTAATGGTCGTCTCGAGCTTCTTCTGCGTTTGTGCTTCCGCAGCTCGCTGTGCTAGCACGATGGCCTCTGGGTCGTCGGGAAAGCTGATGTCATCTTCAAGATCGACCACGTGATCGAATGTCAGCTTGCCGTCCATCCGTGCGCCCACAGTCCAGAGCCTGGGTCGTGTTGCGGTTGCTGTTGCTGCTGTTGCTGCCCGAGAGGGCAGGTCAACCGAATCCATCTCTGCGAAAATGTCGGGGTCTCGCTCGTGATGGTTCGACGACCGCAAGGCCGTATGCAGGGCGCGCAAAAACGTTGGCGATTCGTCTCCCGCCAGCTGACTCGATGTGCCAAAGACAAAGTCCTGTGCTGAGGACTCCGCCAATGCCGACTGTGGAGAAAGCAATACGGCCTGGCCTGCAGGGGCTGTATTCTTGCCTCTCTTGACCTTTTCTTTCGGCCGTGCCTTCATACCTTTCCGTGCCTTGGTCAGGGGTAGGCCTGGATTGATCACGACGTCCTTGGCTCTGCCCGTGGCAACTCTGCTCTTCTTGGCAGTCGCCTGCGCACGAGCGCCGTCATCGGCCGAGGATGGCGTCACATAGGCAGCAACAGCCAGCTCCGTGATCGTGCGAGCCTTTCTCTTCGGGGCCTTTGTCTTCACAGGGGAAGCTCCGCCGTCGTTAACTGGTACCATATCAATCGCTCTCCGCGCCGTGAATGTATCTTCCTTCTCCCCAACCGGGCGTGCTGTATCGTTGGCTGTGTTTGCGGCGTCATCTTTGCACGTGAAGCTGTCTCGGAGGCTCTTGAAGATTCCCTGTTGCTTGTTCATGGCGGTCGACTTACGGGGAGACGACCACGCCTCGGCAACTGCGGCAGAGGAGTCGGAGGAGTTGAGAATGATCGTGTCTGCTGGGGGTGGCGTCCAGTCTCGTCGCCTTCGCAATGCTGACTTTGCACCCACCACTGCATCCTCGACCGCGGCGGTGGTGTTTGCGTGACCAGGCTGCTCGGAGACACCAGGAAATGTCCAATCATCGATGTAGTCTGACTGTTTCTGACGTGGTTTCCTGTCCGTGGGAGATCCACGATCGTTCTCCGACGCTCTCTGGCCGCGCTTCTCTTCTGTGGGTGATGGGCTGGACTCGGGCGTGGAGGGGACAAGTATAAAGTCGTGGGAATATTCGCCATTGTTTGCTACCACGCCGGTGGAAAAACTCGTACGATCTCTACCGGGCGACACCTGGTCTGGCGTTACTGACCTCCGGTGCTGAAAGGACGGCAGCTCGGGGGATGATGGGATCACAATAGACCCAGCCTGGTCGTAGTGCCCACCCAGCAGCAGATTCGTGTTGACGTGAACCATTGTTGGGCGCTGGGGGGCACAGATGCGCAGAGCGCATTGGATCCGACTTAATCGATGCAGCGTTGTTAGTTGCAAGAGGCTCGTCGGTAACATCCAATACACGCTGAGCTGGAGACGTGTTGGATTGGGAGTCGCCGCACGGATGATGACAGAGCTAGTTGGAGGGGCGAATGAACGTGAAGAGCACAAAGGCATGGCGGTCAGAAATACGTGGGGCTATCGCGAATTAGTCGCGCGGTCAGATGATGGGTCAGCTGACATACTTAAGCCCCAGTAGTCCTAGTCCACAAAAAAAAATCGAATTTTGTGCGGCCTGTCCAAAAAATTATCCCAGAAGGACCCCCTCCTGAAAACAGCAACCGAAATTCTTGTTTCAATCCACGCGAACCAGCTCAACGAACCCCTTTTTCACCACCACCACCCAACCACCCCCGAATCATTCAAAATGGAGAACGAGAGAGGCGAGATTGTCGACCTGTACGTGCCGCGCAAATGCTCTGCGACCGGCCGTATCATCAAGGCCAAGGACCACAGCTCTGTTCAGATCTCCATCGCAAAGGTAAGAAGATAATACAAAAATGCCACCAGATGGCACACCCGTGTCTGCCGAAAGCAGCCGCGTACCAGCAGTCGAAATCGTGGGATCGTGGGATCTTGGGGCTCTGGACTGACAGCTCGCTCCTGTACAGGTTGACGAGAACGGCCGCGCGATTGCGGGCGAGAACCACGTCTACGCGCTGTCCGGCTTCGTCCGTGCCCAGGGCGAGAGCGACGACTCCATCAACCGCCTCGCTCAGCGGGACGGCTTCCTCAAGAACGTCTGGAACCCGATCCGGTAAATGTTGCTCGTTGCAGACATGACTTCAGGAGCGGCGCGCGCGTGATGAAAAGGCACGGGGTGGAATCGAAATGAAGAACACGCACCAAAAAAAAAACGAGAAAAATAGAGCCAAACGAATCCACGATATCCCGTCCAGTTATTCTGCGTGAGGGCTGGCGATGCCAGGCAGCTGTCAACAATATGAATGTGGGCATCGGCCTGCTCTTTGATCTGGCCGTCAAAGAGACCAATTAGCATCATGGGCGGAAGGAAAATAATACATTTTGGTGTATCAAAACGGTGTTCTGTCTGCTGCTTTCCGTTTTGCCTCTGCCTTTGCACTACGCAATACAACCAACAAAACTCGACCAGAACCAAGATGATATCGTGTGACTAGATTTCCTTGCTTCTAGCTTCTTATGGTTTCCTTTTCCTCTTTATTTATGTCCAGCCCATCTGCCCACTGCCCGTCGCTATTCCTTGAAGCCCTCTTTTCCCCAAACCGGCTAGTAAAGTCTCCTTGGATGCATGCCTCAGTGCGCCCTTCGGTGGGTATCCTTGGATTCTGGGGCTGCTCTGACAGCCTCCGTTGCCGCAGATTGACCTTTTTCTACTGGCCTTGATAAAGCCGTGCTGTGCTAGGATGTCATCATGGTACAGATACGGGTCAGACATTTTTTCTATTTGTTTCGCGAACTATCATTCACGAATACGGAGTATTTTCCCGTGTAATTTCGCGTTAAAGCAACGAGTTCTTTGACTCTGTGCCTATCCTTCCCCCCCTCTGTCTTCTCGCCCCTCTATAGGAACCAGCGGAAGTCCGGCGACGAAGGACCGTTGTAGAGCTTCTCCGTTGGGATGTCCTTGGCCTTTACCTTGAAACCCTGTTTGCGATCGCGCCGCTTGTTGTCAAAAATCATGTACATGCCGAGCAGGAAGGTCAGCACGGCGCCGGTTCCACCAAAGGCAGCAGTCGTTGCCAGCGCGGGCAGATAGCGGGGTGCGTCTTGCTTCCGGAAGATGTTGGAGCTGACGAGGCCCATGACGTTCGCGACAGGAACGCCAAAGCTGGTCAGGACAACGCGGCGGCCCTCGTGCACAATGTTGTTGTTGTAGAGCACGTCCAGCAGCACGCTGGGGGCGCTGGTGCCCCAGGTCATCATGAAGCAGGCAAAGTAAGCAACATGCAGGTCAGTCTCGACGTCGATGGCGGCGTAGATGACGAAGCCAATGAAGGTGAAAAGGAAGCCGGCGACAACAAAGGGGAAACGCAGGCGGGTGTAGTCGCTGGCAAAGGCCAGGATGAGAAGCATGGCGGCACCCGATACGTTGGGCGCAACTGTGTAGAGATTCGTCTTGACGGTGGAGTACTTGAGGCGGGCGATGATCTGCGGCAGGAACAGACTGACGCTCTGCAGCGGTACGCCGAGGCAGATCTCAATGCCCAGGATGGCCCAGCTGGTGGGCTCGCGGAAGATGCGAAAGGCCTCACGCCACACAAACGGCTCGTTGACAATGCCGGAACTGTCGACGGCCATGCGGTGGTAGGCCAGCTGCTTCTCCTTCTCGTCCAGGAATGTCGCCTCAGCCGCCGAGGCCGGCAGGTAGAAAAAGGCAAAGACGGAGAAGACCACCGTAGCCGAGCCTTCGATAACGAACAGGTACCGCCAGTTGGCCATGTGACCCGACTTGATATGGAAGACGCCAAACGCCAGAAGGCCGCTAAAGGCCGACGCGATGTTGGAAGCGGCGTAAAAGATGGCCAGACGGCGGGCAAGCTCGCCACGGCGGTAGAACCTAGGGTTTGGTAAGTCAAGAGCGAAGCAGCAACCAATAAGATAGATTACGTACATTGTCTGGTAGTAGATGACCAGCGGGAAAAAGGCCGACTCGCTCATGCCCAAGAACCAGCGCAGCGTCATGATGCCGGCATAGTTGGAGGCGGCAGTGGTCAACAGGGTGAAGGAGCCAAAGGAGAACATCATGATTGGCAGCACACGGCTGGGGCCAAACCGCTTGCCCAGAATGCCGAGAAAGGGCGCGGTCAGCACGTAGGGCACGAAGAAGACGCTGAGAAGAATGTTGTACTGGTTGCCGACCAAGCCGAGCGACTTTTCGAGACCAGCTGTCTTGGCATTACCTGTGATCTGTCAGAATGTGGATGAAGCATTGGCCGTGAGACAATGGGCGCACCTAGATTGGACTTGTCGAGCGCATTGAAGAGGTACATGACGGCCAGGATGGGCAGCAATCGCATGTCGAACTTCCGCACGAGGGCGCGCTCGGCCTTGTGGTCAAGCACGTGTGGCGTGTGCTCGTCGTCGACGGCATCCGGGGCTTCGCTATCGGATCCCGTGCTAATGACGGCACCATTTTTGACCGTGGTGTCGGTCCGCTCGAGATCCGAGTCGAATGGGACCTTGATCGGGTCTAGACTGGCCATTGTGCTAACAGAGCCTGGCTGTGGCTTCTATCTTGACAGGCTTTTTGGTGGCCGAAGCTGCAGGAGAGTAGTCGAAGGCGGAGAGGCAGTTGGCGAGACACACAGAACGAGCAGAAGCAAGCAGAAGCTTCTTCGCTTCTGAATCGGGTGGCGATCGTCGCCTTTATAGCCCTAGACGCACAATGCAAGAGGCATATCTCGCTTCAAGACCCGATAAGAAGCCAGTCGGCACGCCGTCCCGGCCACGGTACTATGCAACGACACCGTAGCTCTGACGGCGGCTTTTTGGTAGTTTGATAGGCCTGTTTAGCGGACTATGCCGAGCAAAGATAATAGGGATACATCGGGAAAATGGTCGCTGCCACATGTTTCGGTGCTCGTGGCACTGTGCAAAGCCCCTGCCAAAAGTATAGAAAGGCCGGCCAAGACGATAAGAACATTGCGATCTGCAGATCTGGAATATTAGCTTTTGCCATTATCTACATCTAGTAGACGCCTACATAGAGGAGATAACGGCAGCTTGTTCTGCTTCTGGAAATGGGTCTAGGCAAGGCCTTAGTGGTGTAGACTAGGGACTTGGCCGAACTAACCCCCCACCTAGCCACCTGGTCAACTTGCCGTTGTATGTTTGGCTTAATACCCCAACTTTACGTGGGGTACTTCGATGCTTTCATTTCGCGTATCTTTGGCTTCAGCTTAAGCGATTCTCCTTTTGGATTCCAATGGCTGCCGAACGTCGACCCAACGTCTCCCCATCTGACGTTGGACCAGGTTACCGACGTGCCGGGACTTTTGTTCAATATGGTGGCTGGGTCGCCGGCCTTGTTATCGCAAGGCCCAGCTTCGTTGCTGTCCAGCCAGTTCATGAACTGGCTTTCATCGTTCCAGATGCTGAAGACAAGCACCATGCCGCGCTGGAGCGCCTGGCCCATGCCCTCCAGCCCGCCGAGCTTCTCAAAGACACCATCCCCACAAAAAGCGTCGTCGATTACCATGGCTGCGGAAACTGAGGACGACGCGCCTGTAATGACCTCGTCGTTCTGAATGTACAAGCGGCGGATCTCCTTCAGAACGGGCTGGCCGCCTCCACTGTTGCTACTGTCGGCAAAGAATTGCGTGACAACCGTGAATGGCTTGGTCGTGTCCACGACGCCCTCGGGGCCGTAGAAGTTGTGGTACCCTTGGCCGTAAGTGTTGTAGACGCAGCCGCTCTTGTCGCAGATGCCACCGCTGTCGCCACCAACGCAGTCCTGGCCAGAACAGGCATACACCCCGGTCGTGTTGCAGGGGTGGGGGGTCAGGGCTGTTGCTACGGTGTTAGCTTCCCAGACATCCAGCTCGTTGCAGCAAGCACCTCTGCTGTTAGTATTGGCCTGCAGGCGGTCAGCTGAGCCGGCAAACATACTCACATATGCGTTCACACGCTTACTTCGCCGTCGATAAAATTCATCACGGGACACTGTGCGTCGCAGTAGCCAGTACCCATGGACGCACCCGCACTGTTGAGATCGCTCCTGCCGCCGCTGAGACTCATCTCCGAGAGATAGAGCGCACCATTTGTGCCACACGGCATCTTAGACAGGTCCACGTCGAATGTGAGCTCCTGGCCAAAGAGTTGCAGGTCTTCGTAGTCGCCATCTTCGCCGAGCAGATACACGCGCGGGCTAGACTCCTGACCGTCAATGTACATGTCCAGTGTGAGCGAGCTGCTATCGCTGCTGGACAAGCTGTTGGACCATGTATGCACACCCGCAGAAGCGTAATTTGCGCCTTCGATTGCACAGTTGCGCGCGCAAGTAATCGCGTCGGGGCAGATGGTCTTGCTTAGTTCGCCACTGGGCACGGTGCAGCTGTCGTAGCCGTCAACGACGTGAATCCAACGGAAGCTGGCGTCAAGCACCACGGATGTGTTTTGCGGTAAGCAACCCTCTGCGGCATTGCATCGCCATGTAGTAAGTCGAGGAGGGATCTCTGCGATTCTGTCCCCGATTTGCTGTGCCTTGGTGGCTAGCCTGAAGAAAGTAGAAATGGAGGCTAGCATCAGATGAATCGCATTTCGAGCGGTGATCTTGTAGTGAGTACTCATGCTGATTATGGGCGACAAGTGTTTTGGGAAATTCAACGTTGATGGAAGTTAATGTAGATTCTGCTATGAAATCATAAGGAGAACAATCCTTGGCTTGTTGCTATGGCGCAAGTTTCACGCAAAACGGAAGGAAGGTACAACCAGCCGGCCATTTCCGAATAGAAATGCTTCTCCCCCCGGAAAAACGATGTAAACCGGAAGGAGGCCAATCTGTGAACGGAACCCCTTTCGAAGGTACTCTCGCCGGCGGTATACACAGCTACACAGCAGTGAATAATCTGCAGAATATGATCTTTTTGTGTATTATAACGTAAAGTGAACGAATCGGTCATATAATCACAGTTTCTTGATGCGCTTGAATGTAGTCACGATGGTGCCGTCGGCCAGCTCGACTTTGACCTGCTCCAAGTCGTATTTACCTAGCGACGGCAGAACTTTGCGCCATACAAGCCAGTAGACGGCGCCTAGGCTGAGCACGACGATGCCGATGATGGGATAGAGCCAGTACGGAAGGCTGGTGTCGCCCTTGCCGCCCGGGGGAGTCAAAAAGGGGGCGACCAGCAAAAAGGCCTGGCCGGCGAGAAAGAAGACGGCGACGGAGATCCAGACGCGAAACGGCCGAGGCATATCGGGATGGCGCCAGCGATGGATGAAGAGTCCAACGGCGACAAAGGCAGCGATGATGCTGGACGGATAGCCCTCGACGTCGACGATAAAGTTGAAGGCGTCACCAAAGGGGATGGCGACGATGACGATGAAGCTGGGGATGAAGTGCAGCAACAAACCGGCAGAAGGAGAACCGGCGGGCCATGTGCTGGCCCAGAAGCGTTGGAAGGGCATGACGCCCTCCTTGGCCAGCTCCTGGTTGACGCGGGCCTGCGCAAAGGTGATAGTGAGGACGTTGCCGAGGGCGGAAATGGCGACAAAGACGCTGAGCACGCGCTTGGCCGTGCTGCCAAAGACCTTGCCGACAAAGTACGAGGCGACGGTGGTGCCGCTGTGGGCGATCTCGGTGGGCGTGGCGGCGGAGAAGTAGGCGACGTTGGCGAGGAGGTAGAGCACGCCGCAGATGCCGAGGCCAAGGGGTCCGGCGATCTTGAGGGTGCGCACAGGGCGCTTGACCTCGTTGAGGACGTACGCGGCATTGGACCAGCCGGCGTACGAGTTCAGAACCTTGAAGAGCGCGGAGGCATACAGGTTGCCCGACGTAGCGCTGTTGGCAAAGGCGTTGCGGAAGCTGGCGTGCGGATCAGGAACGGCCTTGACGCCGCCGGCCAGCACGACCCAGCCGGTGACGATGATGAAGAGTAGGATGATAATCTTGACGGAGCCGATCACGTTCATCAGGACGACGCCGAGCTTGGGCACGAGCGTGTGGATGAGCGTGACAAAGACAATGACGGCGATGGCGATGCCGCGCTTCTCCCACTCGCCCGGACTGCGGCCGGCAGCAATGACAAGATTGGAGGCGAAGACAATGCAGCCAGAGGCTGTGAAGCCCAGGGCGATGGCCTGCACAGCAAAGATGACGGTGGACAGATAGCGCGGGCGGCGGTAGACGGCCTCGAGGTAGTTTTTTTCGCCGCCGCTGCGCGGATACATGCAGCCAAACTCGAGCCAGACCAGGAGGCCGCAGTAGGAGAGGACGAGGCCGAGAACCCAGAGCATCAGGGCCGCACCGACGCTGCCGACGCCCTGTGTGATGGACGAGGGCGTCGAGAAGATGCCGGTGCCGATGATGCGACCGACACTGTCCGTCAGCAGGGAGGAAGAGGCAAAAAGAAGAGCCCAGGTCTTACATCAAAAAGGTCGTCGAAAAGAGGCCCAGATGTCGACCCATGCCACCGTGCGCCGATTCTTCAAGCGACAGCTCGCCTGCGTCGCCCGCATCAAATGGTTGCTCATCGGCCTGGTAGTCGGCCGCGATGGCTGCAGCCGGATGCTTTTGGGTCCGAGACTCGGAGGCTCCTATGGAAGGCGGCCGGGCCGGGCTTCGCTGTGGCCATAGCCGTAGCCGGGCTGTAAAGTCTTGCCAGTGCATGGCGAGAAATATGTTATTGTACGAGGAAACGAGCTGCCCTGCAGCGAACAAGGATATTGAACGCGAATAAGGAGAACAAAAAGATGAAATAATTGTGAGGGTCAGGCCTGATTATATCGAACTCAGAGGCAATCACAGGAGAAAGCAGGGCTATATACAGGTTGGCATGGCATTCCCGCTGTAAAAGTACTTGTTCTCTGGCCAAGGTTATTCAGCCTATAATTTTACACGTACCTGCTGTTTGATGACGCAAGGCAGGAAGCACGTCAGTTGCGTTGCTGCAGACTCCAAAGGGAAGGTGCCTAAACTGCGGGCCGATTGTACAGGGCAGTTAGTCGGTGTGTGAGAAGGAACGACGACCATAAATCTTATTAGTGCTGATGCTGGAAAATGGCGACATATGGCGTCAAGTTTCAGGCGGGCATGCATGTGCTCGCAGAGACGGCTGCTGCAGCTCTCGAAGATGGGGCTGGTGCTGGAGGCCAGGCTAAGAGCGAAATGGCTAGGCGCTGAACCTTAAATGTCGAGGGCGGCGAGCCCCACTAGTTCGATTACGTCAGCATCTGGCTCGAGCGAAACAAGGAAGAAAGCGAGAACGCAAAGCAGAGCTGCAGGAGCGACGCCATCCTCTCGTCCTGCAGCCAAGCGCCACCAGCCGACCACACGTCTCTGGGACCGAACCAGGGCCTGCTACGGGACCTGATTGAAGATGCCGGAGCGGCGAAAGCGGCCGCAACGAAGCACCAACGACAGCGTGACCAAACGACCAAACGACCGACGTTTTTGTTCCCCTTTTTGTCCTCTTCCCACCCCTTCTTCCCTCCTTTCGACGGGCCTCGCTACGGGGGCCGAGGCCATGCTCGCCCGACCATGGCGCACCAAGGCCCCTCATTTCTCCTGCCGCAGAACCGGAAGCTCCGCCATCTGCGCGGCGTCTCGCTTCGCAACCTGACCTTTGCGCGGCCGCGTGGCCGCACGATTGACGACAGCAGCATCCAACGCTCCTCCGACACGCGCGAGCCCCTGCGCTTTCCCCCCTCCCTCGCCCATGCCCACTCCAGCGACGACATCCGGGTGGATCGCGCCCGCGGCCGTCGCGTCACCCTGTCCGGCACCAGTGCCAATGCCCGCCAGCGCATCCTCGAACAGGCCCTCGAGCCCAACACGGCCGATGCCTTTTTTTCCCTGCACCACCACGCCGCTGTCGAGCCGATCTACGTCAGCGAGGTCGAGGACAATGCCACGGTACGACGCTGTCCGCCAGAGCGAGCCCGCACCACCTTCTCACCCTTCCTCTTTCATGCCGCGCGGCTGGCCTTTTCCCTCATGCTGACTAATCACTAGAACTTCAACTTCCGTCTCTTTGATCTGACCGACGTCGACCCGCACGTCTCGCGCGGTGCGCGGCTGGTCGTCAAGGTCTGGGTCCGCCGCGCCGGCGTCTGGTACTTGCTGATTGAAGACCACGTCGACCTACGCTGCCTCGGCTGCATCGGCCCATCGCTGCAGGGCAAGAGCCGCGGCCCCGGTGCGGCGACCAGCAGCACGGCCGGCACGGCCATGCACTTCCCGCCCAACAGCATCGTTTTCCATCTGGTCGACGGGATCTACATGTTTGGCGTGGGTGCCGACGGCGATGCATCGTCACCGCTGCCACCACCGTCGAGGAAGCAGGCACCCCCGCTCTCGACGGCCTCCTACACGGCCCTGATGCGGCTCGCCAACCTGGAGAACTCGCTGCAAGACGCGCTCGCATCCCAGGTCCGTCTGGCCGTTCAGATCGACGACCTGCTGCGACAGCTCAGTGACGCCGAGACCACCGCAGCGACGGCCGTGCCCGACGCCGAAGCACGCACCCGTCGGGTCCTCCGAGGCGCTGCCCACCAGCGGCGTGGCGCCGAGCTGGCTCGCCAGAAGCGTGATGACATCGGCCGGTCGTTGCGGGCGCGTCGTGCTGCCATCGCCGCCGGCCGGGCGCTGCAGCAGACCGCGCTGGACGACATTGAGCATGCAGCCCGCAAACTGGCTGTGTCACGTGAGACGGCCTTGCAGACGGCCGACGACATCCGCGGCCAGCGGCGTCGCGTGTGCGAAGATCTGATGCGTATCTTCGCCATCGAGCCGATACCACCACCGCCGGACGGCCAGCAGCAGCTGCCACCGCCGCTGTCGTTCCAGATCTGCGGCATGGCGCTGCCCAACACCGATTACGGCCCGGCACTGCTCTCGGGCAGCAGCGCGGGCGGCTTCGTGGCCGAGGAGGTGCTCTCGGCGGCTCTCGGCTTCGTTGCCGTGCTGGCCCATGCGCTGCAGACGTACCTCGGCGTCGTGCTGCCATACCGCATCACGCCCTACGGATCGCGCTCGGCCATCCGGGACGACATCAGCAAGATCCCCGACCAGCAGCGCGACTTTCCCCTACACATGCCACGAGGCGGCCTCGGCGCCCAGTACCGCTTTGACTACGCCTGGTTCCTCCTCAACAAGGACATCGAGACGCTCTGCAGCGCCCAGGGCATCCGCGTCGTCGACATCCGCCACACCTTGCCAAACCTCAAATATCTCCTCTACGTCTGCAGTTCCGGCTCCAAGGAACTGCCCCAGCGCAAAAAAGGCGGCGTCCGTGGTTTGCGGGCATTACAAAAGGCCGCTACCGATGATAGCATCCCTAGGAATCTGGCGGTTTCCGCAGAAGGAAAACAGCAACAGCAGCAGCTACCACAGGGCTGGGACGCCAGCAGCAACGGCAAGACTGCAGCTTCGCTGGCGCAGGCAGTCAGCCTGAACCTGCCGTTTTCCGACGACGGCGCAGTGCTCACGCTGCGGACAAAAGGCATGCGCGAAAACGTGGACGGCCGATTGTAATCCTGTTGTATTCCCTTGTCTTATGTATACACTAGAAGCAGAGAGAAACCGAGCGATGAGAGGAACACATGGGAATGACACCGAGTCTTGGCATCCATGTGTCTAGCTACATACAATACATTATGATTCATGAGTATGACAGTCTATTGTTGACCCTTTGATCCGCAATGTGACATGCGGAATGTTGGCTATGCTGCAAGCACGAGCTCGCTGCCTTGGTCGAGAAGAGCGGCGATTGCCTCCAGGGACGGCTGTGTGGTGGTGCTGTTGGTGGCTGCACGGCTGTTGGCCTCGTTATCGGCAGTTTCGGTCCAGCCATTGCGCGGGCCCCAGACAATTTTCTTGCCGTGGTCCCGGGCGACCTGGACGAGCGCCTGCATGATAGGCGCGGCCTTGCGGACGCTCTCGTAGCCGTCTAGCTCGACGACCTCGACGGCGCGTGCCTCCTTCAAGATGTCGTCCAACAGGCCGCTCGAGAAGGCTTCGTAGAAGCCCGGCTTGCGGAAGCCGTCCAGCCAGCTGACGCTCGGGTCCAGCTGCACGAACACGCGGATCTTGCGCACATTGGCGCACTCGTGCAGGCCCAGCTTCCGCGTCACCGCCCAGCACTTGGGTGGCTTGTTGAAGCCCGGACCCAGCCGCAGCTCCAGTTCTGTCAGGTCGACACGCTGGTTGCGTCGCAGCCGCGCCAGCAGTGGCCGCCGCGTCTTGAAGAAGCGGCCCGGGTACGTCGGAAAGATGCGGAAGACGTGTGCGCTGTAGAAAAAGTGCGACGCCTCCACGTAGATGTGCCGGCACGTGCGCAGAAATGCCAGCTTCCGGTGCACTTTGCGGTAGTTGTCCGGCGAGAGGTCCAGCACCGGATCCACGCCCTCAAAGTGGTAGCCGTACACCCGTACCCGCAGCTCGGATGGGAGCTGCAGAAACGGAAACGGCTTCGCCACCTTTTTCCCCGCCGCTTTGTCCTCCTCTGCTGCCTGTGCCACGTCTGTCTCGGCGACCTCGTCGGCAGTGCCTGTCACCGGATCCTCCGTCGGGTCATCGAGGGTCAGTCGGTGAATAGGTATGGTGCTGATGTCGAACTTGGCCTCTTCTCCATCGTCCTCGTCCGAGGAGTGGTTGGAGATGTGGGCAGAGCTGGAAGGTTTCGTGCGGCTGGAAAGTTGCGGCTTTGGTACGGCTATAGGCTTGGAGAGCTTCGGCTTGTCCTTCCTAGCCGTTCCTGCTTTGCTCCCTGAAGCTGTCGATTTCGGCATTGTAGACAAAATCTTCGGGCCGTCCTCAATATCGAGGTCGGGCTACGCAGTGTGTGTTGGTCTAAAAGGCTGTCTGTATTGCCTGGAAGAGGTAGGTCAAGAGAGTGGCGCCATTGTGAGTGCAGATCGCTCTTCAGACGGGTGGCCACCCTCTAGATAGTAGCACCCGCCCCGGCCATGGTGCCTGCGAGTGTGTAATTAAAGGTGGGCAGACGACGTCGATGCTGTATGCTCCGTGCAGGGAAGACAAAAGATTAGGAATAAGGCTGGAGAGAGACCCTTGGCGATGCACCTATCGCTGAAGTGATGTGGAATGGCGGGGCGGAAAAACCACATTCCGGCGGGTGCGCACTTTCCGAATGCGGGACCGCCATGACCTAATAAATTTTTCGAACGAGGCTGTATGGGCAGACCATTGGGAATCCTGACAGCGTCGCGTGGTTTATGTTCTCGTTGGCCAGACGCGAGTCCATTGTCCATTCCGATCCTCACACTGCCAAACATGTTTCTGCGAGCCGCATCCCGCGGCCTGCGGGTGCCAGTCCTAGCACCAGGCATGCTCCGATCTGCGATTGCCCAGCCGAGACCAACGACGGGTTCGATTTCGGCACGGATTCCAGCACGATGCCAGTATTCGACGCGGCCAGACAAGCCAAACAAGCCAGCAGGCCGGCCTGACTCCAGAAAAAATAAGCCGGCCGCTGAAGCGCCCAAGGAAGACGTCCCGGGCCCGGTCGAAGAGGAGATTCCACTGTCGTCTCTGCCCGACCTGACGCAGGGCATCCCGTCGACGCTGGCACAGGAGACGGCCGGGGTGACCGACAAGGCGGCACTGGCAGTTCTGGAGCAGACGGCGTCTGCGGGAGGCCGCGGAAAGGGCGAGCTGCCGGCGTCGGCGTATGTGTCGTCATCGGAGCGGCGGCGTCAGAAGGTGGCCAACTACCTGTTTGCCGGTGCATTTGGGCTGGCCATGGCCGGCACGGCGTACCTGGGCCGCGACTGGGACGAGGAGGAGGGCAAGAGACACACAGAGGTGCCCAACGGCTGGGGCGTGGGCCTCTGGTGGAAGCGGGCATCGGCGCGGATGGGCGAGCTGCTGTCGTACTACCACGAGCCGGCATTTGAGAAGCTGCTGCCGGACCCGGATCCGATCTATGGGCGGCCGTACACGCTCTGCATCAGCCTGGAGGATATGCTGGTGCACAGTGAGTGGACGCGCGAGCACGGCTGGCGCATCGCCAAGCGGCCGGGCGCCGACTATTTTCTGCACTACCTGAGCCAGTACTACGAGCTGGTCCTCTTCACGACCGTGCCATTTGCCATGGGCGAGCCGATGCTGCGGAAGCTGGACCCATACCGCTTCATCGTCTTCCCGCTGTTCCGTGAGGCGACCAAGTACAAGGATGGGCAGATTGTCAAGGTGGGTGGACCTGCGGCAAAGGTGTGCTTCGATTTAGGAAGATGCTGACCGATGCAGGACCTCTCATACCTCAACCGCGACCTTTCCAAGGTGATCATTCTCGACACGGACGCGGGCCACGTGGCAACACAGCCAGAAAATGCGATCGTGCTGCCCAAGTGGACGGGCGATCCGAAGGACAAGCAGCTGGTGGGCCTGATCCCGTTTCTAGAGTACATCTTCACGATGAAATACGGCGACGTGCGCAAGGTGCTCAAGTCGTTTGAGGGCACGGACATCCCGACGGAGTTTGCGCGGCGCGAGGCGATCGCGCGGGCCGACTTCCAGAAGCAGCTGGAGAGCCACCGCAAGAAGCGGGTGCACAAGAGCGAGGGCGGGATCGGCAGCCTCGGCTCGCTGCTGGGCCTGAAGACGAGCAACATGAGCGTGATGGTGCAGCCGGACGGCGAGCCAAACCTGGCCGAGCAGCTGGCACAGGGCAAGATGCTGCAGGACATTGCGCGCGAGCAGGGCCAGCGCACATACGAGCTGATGGAGAAGGAGATTCGCGAGAACGGCGAAAAGTGGCTGAAGGAGGAGGCCGCCATGCAGGAGAAGATGCAGCAAGAGGCGATGCAGAACATGAAGCAGTCCTTCAGCGGCTGGTTCGTCCAGCCGTCGAGTCCGGCAGCGGCAGAGGCCCCAAAGAAGCCGTGAAGGGCGGTGTGTTAATTTGCCTGACGGCCGTGACGCCGGTATCATCTGGCGGGTATTGTGTTTTGCATGGATGGTGCAGTTGGTCTTCTTGTCCAATCTCTTCTCATATTCCCAGGGGTTCCTAATTGCTTAGTAGGGAGTTCGGTATGTACATATATTGTGTTGGAACTAGAGAGGGTGGGAGGATGTATAAACGACAAAAGATGGGGACTATGAATAGCGAGTCGTTGATTCCACATGTGTCCTATGTAGCCGCCTTGGACGGACGTTGCTTTGCGGTCCCGGCCGCCACGAACTTCTTCGCAGATGACACCGTCATCTTGGCGGTGGGTGTGCTGCTGGTGTTGGCAAAGTCGGCCGGTGTCTGCAGGATGGCCGTCTCGACGAGCCGGGCGAGGCCGTAGACGAGGACGGCGGCGAGGACGAGGACATCGAGCACGTGGACGACCCACCAGAGGTGCTGGCGGCCGAGAGCGCAGGTGGCAAAGTCGAAGCGCCACTCCCAGGCGGCCTCGTCGAACCAGGCGCTCAGCAGGCCGGCATTGCCGCCATAGTCGCCCATCATGCTGCGCACGGTGATTTCGCGCACGCCGGGGAAGCCAGCACGGCCGACAATCGTCTTGTTGGTGGCCGCGTCCCAGCGGACGGCTTCCCAGACGGGCCCTTGCGACTGGTTGACGTAGTGGAACGTGTCGCAGCCCTCGTGGTCGTGGCCGTTGAGGATGACGCCGACACGGCCACGACCACCGGCCGGAGCACCGGGATCGCCGTGCATACCGAAAATGCCCTCGAGAAAGCCGCGGCTGGCATCGGCACTGAGCTGGTTCTGCTCGGCCAGCAGGCCGCCATCATCGTCGGGGCCAAAGGCAAAGTATGGCTCGTCCACGCAGGTGCCGGCCGGCTTGTACAGCGGTACGTGGGTCAGCACGACGGTGAAGTGGCCACGGAACTCGACGGCCGACGCCGTGTTGATCACCGCGTTGATGAAGCCGTACGTCTGGTCCTGAATGGCGGCGCTGAGCGCCGGCGTGTCGAGGTTCATGTCGTTAAGGTTGACGATACGCAGCTCGGGCACCAGCCGGTTCGACCATGGATTCGTCTCGCGGTCGAACAGGTCGTGCTCGCTTGCATTCCCGCTCAGGGCTGCCAGCGGCAGCTCGAACCGAAGCTCGTAGTTGGCCTTGCCAAAAGCCCGCTCGAATCGGCCCAATCGCTCCTCCGTGATGTCGCCCGCATAACCAATATCGTGGTTGCCCGCCACGTTGATGATCCGATCCGACCAATCGTCCGTCTCGGACTCGTTCGTCCCGTTCGTCCCGTTCGTCTCGCTCGTCTCGTTTTTGCTCACGAACCCCCCCAAGTAGCCCGACAGGGCGTACTCGTCGGCCGGGTAAAGTGCCAGGCTGTCGGACACACGGCGGCCACCCCGCACGACACGATGCCAGTAGCGGTGGGCGCGCTTCTCAAACTCGTCGTCCGCCACCCACTGGCTGCCCAGCAGGTCGCCCAGCACAGCCACATGTGTCGGCCTGGCCCACCAGCGCATCGTGCGGTAGATGTGTGCGAGATAAAAGTCGTTGCCCACCAGGTCGATGCGCTTGCGCACCGAACACGCTGTGTTGGGCACGTCCTCGAACCAAAAATCCACCAGGTCGTGCAGCGTCTGCTGTATCCGTCCCCGCAGGCTCAGGCCGCTGCTGCGAAACATCGCATGCTCCATCGCTCGGACCAGGTGTGGGAACGAGTCGCCGTGTGCGTTGGGGATCGATGTGTCGCCCTCTAGCTGCGGGTCGCCCAGCGCCAGCAGCCGGAACGGTGCCAACCTGCCGGCTGCTGTCGGTGCTGCCGGCAGGTGCTGTCTCGCGGTCGAGAGAAAGGCCGCCTGGTCGGCTCCATCTCTGCTGCCATTGCCACTGTCACTGTCGTTTTGCGGCAGCGGAAACGCACAGCCGCCGATCACCGGGTACAGGTACAGGTATGTCGTCAGCACGGCCGACAGGGGCAGCAGCAGGAGCAACGCCAGCCGAAGCCGAGCCAACGTGGTCGAGCCGGACATGTGAAGATGAGCTGCATGGGGCGTCTGCTATGCTGGGAAGAACGACAATGCCCGACGACGCGTGTGCGGCTGAACTGGAATCAAGAGACGAGCAAAAATTAAAAAGAACAACCGCTGCTGTGGCCTTTGTCACTGCCCCCCTTTTCCTCTCGCTCTTTATGGCCGACTGGGGGTTGTGTTCTCCTTTTTGATGACCCTAACATTTAATTGTAGGTGGGTGTCCCTCTATGAAATTAAACGCGTCTACACTAACTGAAGTGACAGACCCACTTTTCCAGAGGAAGGCAGAGGACGACGACGGTTTCCGTGCCAGCTTGAGCACTGAAGAAGTACGGAGTAATACGGAGTACTCGCGAGACACTTTGAGACACCTTCTTGCCCCCTCACTCCTCTTCGTCCTGCGTCGGGATCGCAACTTCAAAAAATGGCTCTTCCTCCATCATCTCGCTCGTCTGGATCTGGAACGCCAGAGCTGCATTATCCTTCAGCTTCAGGCTGGCCGGTGTTTGGCTGCCGTTAATATTCAAAGGCTTCCAACCATACGACAAGTCTTTCGGGTTCTTGGGCAGGGCGTAGAACACTCGGTATTCCTCTCCTTTTACCGGCACTTGCGTGCGATCCGACGCCAAGACCGACACTGTCAGTCCGTCTGGGTAGCACTCGCGCAATACATCAAGCAGGTCTTCTGATATGGTGGAGAAGGGCGTGAGAGGGTCGACCGAGAGGAAGACAGTATGGATGCCATACTTGAATCTCAGCGCGAGCGTGTCGTCGGTTATCTTGGCCTGGCGTCGATGACATTCGTTAGCTTTGTCTTGACTTGTCCGCGAACAGTTGTGGCCGGAATTGTATTACCATCTTGTCGTATTGCCCGGTTGTGGCAAGGGCATGGTGTGAACAGTCAAGGGAGAGCAAGCTCAAAGAGCAAAAGAGGCATCACGAGCGATTATCACTGTAAAAGATATATGCATGTAAACGACTGCTGTGGAACAGAATACGCCGGCCAATCACAGTGCGCCAAACGGCTAAATTCAATTCCATCCAGCAGAATCAGAGTCAGAACTGTTACGGTCTGCACACAGACAAACGATGGCGACAAATGACGGAGGAGAACGGCGAGCGACAGAGGCCAGCACCGCTGCGGCTGCTGCGGCTGCACCAAAGACTGCGTGGGACGATGCGGCCTGGGCCCAGTCCCGCCTCTCCCTGCCAGATCCCATTCGCATTCCTCTCGCGGCCACGGCAGCCTTTGCGGTCGGCATGGGTCTCGGGGCAGCGCAGGGCAGCACGATGGCTGGGATGCGGTTCCGTGCAGAGCACGCGCACAAGCTTCCGCAGACGACGACCGGCTGGTACCTCTACCACAAGTCCAAGAACTACCACGTGGCCCACGGCGGCATCCGTGAGGGTCTGAAGATGGGCGCCCGCGTGACGGTCTGGACGACGGCCATGTTCGCGATCGAGACGCTGTTCGACAAGTACCGCGGCCAGATGGACCTGGCCAACACCGTTCTCGCCAGCGTCACCGTTGCCGGTGGCTTTAGCTTGTGGAGTAAGCTGGCCGTCTGGAGCATCGTGCCATGAACGGATTGTTAACCCCAAACAGACCGGTTCCCTCTGGCCACGGCTGCACGCACGACGAAGACGGCTCTGCTTGTGGGGCTGGCCTATGGAGGCGTGCAGGACCTCGCCAGCGTCCTGAGAGGCCGACCTGTCAGCTATGTCGACTTTGTCAAGAAGAGATTCCGTCGCGCCGGAGCCGGAGACGTGGCGCCACCAGCAGATAGCCAACAAGAGCACTCGCTGTGATGCAGATGCTCGATAGTGTGCTCCGTGCCTCCAGACCAGACCAGTTGAGCCGACGGCCAGCTAAGCCGCTACCGACGTCGGCAGCTTGTCCATTTTTAGGGCGATTTGGCAATGGGCGCACGGCTACTGGCGGCATTTGGGCCAACCCCAGGTGGGTCTCTCGATGATCACTGCCGCACGGCTTATGAGACAAAGTGCCGCGGCCAAGGATAGCCACGGCGAAGACGTGCATGGCGCGTCGCCGATGTGCGCTCATCGGAGATAATGAGAGGGAAGGGACGTTGGGCTGCAGTGCCGTGCCTGTGTATTTATTTACTCCAGCAGCCCGATCTGGAAGCTGCACTGGCCGTCTCTCTATGACGATTTCCTGATAAGGATTGCCTGGCTGTCGAATCCCAATACGTATCAGCATCTTTTTACCCCATTTGCTGCTCTTTCAGAACCCATTTCCTCCGTCAAAAGCACCCATTTAGAATGCCGTCAGTGGCTCCGCCTCGCGTCCGCCTGAAGGCTCCGGCCTGTCTCCAGGCCCGATCACGGCCTAGACATCAGCCAGCCATGCTCCGTGCATTGGCCGTCCGTCTCGTCCAGACGACCAGAAGCCGGCAGAGCCTGCGTGCGACTTCTGCAGACGGATTGGCAGCAGCCAGCAGGCCCAACGAACCCGAGCACAAGTCTCTGCAGACGACAAACAAGCCGGCTCCCTTATCGGTGCTGCCCCTCACCAACGTGATGCGGTCGTATTTTGTCACCTCCATATCGTCATCCAAGATTCTGCTGCCGCCGTCACTAGCGCTCACAACTTGGATAGCAAACAGCAACAACGCGCTGCTCAATCCGGACAGGAACCCGATCCTGCACTACATCCTCAAGAAGACGTTCTATGCGCAGTTTTGCGCTGGCGAGACAGCGGCCGAGGCCCGGAAGACCATAGCTGGCCTAAAAAATATCGGCTTCAGCGGTGTCATTCTGGGATACGCCAAGGAGGCCGTTCTCCAGGACGGGGAGACCGAGAGCCTGTCTGTCAAGGGTGCCGACGAGGCCACGAAGCAGGAGATTGCATCCTGGACAGAGGGCACGCTGGAGACGGTGAGAATTGCAGCACCGGGAGATTTTGTCGCACTAAAGTGAGTCTCCTTTGCAGTTGTAGGATGCAGCGACCGCTCGCTAACATACTCTCCCACAGATTCACGGGTGCCGGCCGCGAAGCACTGTACCATTTGTCGGAACGCAAGCCACCAGCACCGGCTCTGGCCGAGGCCGTCGACAACATCTGCGACCTGGCTCTCTCACGGAACGTGCGGCTCTTGTTTGACGCAGAGCAGGCCTCTCTGCAAAAGGGCATTGACGACTGGACATTGGCATACATGCGCAAGTACAACGCGGGCAAGCCGGCTTTGGTGTATGGCACATACCAGGCATATCTGAAGTCGACACCGAGCACGCTGTCAGGCCACTTGCGGGAAGCTCGCGATGGTGGTTTCTCGTTGGGAATCAAGCTGGTCCGTGGCGCGTATATCGGTTCGGACCCAAGGCAGCTGATCCACGACACCAAGGCCAACACAGACATGGCGTACGACGGAATCGCCGAGGCCGTACTGCGGCAGAAGTGGCAGGCACCGCTGGTGCTGACCGAGAAAGGATCAAAGGAAGCTTTCCCTAACGTCAGTCTGGTGGTGGCCTCGCACAATGCTGTCAGTGTCCGCAAGGCCAAGGCCATTGTGGCTTCTGGGGAGGCCAAGATCGATGTTGCTTTTGGACAGTTACAGGGAATGGCCGACGAGGTTAGCTGCACGTTGATACCAACGGAAGCGATCACGAAAGAGGTGGCGGCGGCAGCACCTGAGTGCACACGGGTGCGCCCATACAAATACCTGGTATGGGGGTCGACGGGCGAGTGCATGAAGTACCTTTTACGGCGGGCACACGAGAACCGCGATGCCGTTCAGCGGACTAAGGACGGCCGCGACGCAATGCGTGCTGAGCTGTGGAGACGGACCAAGAGTGTCTTTGGGCTGGCCTGAGGAACACAAAAGAAGGGGGCTACTGCAGCGTTGCGTTTATTAGGATTTTATGGAAAGTAATGCAAAGCGAGAGGTATAAAACAACGAGCAGACAGTCATAAACATTGCCCTATAGCTTGCCAGAGCTTACAATCCTCGCAGTGCCATGGCGCCCAGTGTCAAGACCTCGAGCTCCCTCCGCTTTTCGGCCGAGTCTGTACGGCCGGCGAGCGAGGGAACAGAGTTTAGCTTGAAGTACTTTTTGACCTTGTGGACGTCGGTGCCGCTCTCGATGGCGGCCTCGGACGGTGGAACGGCAGTGCCCTCGACGTTGCTGCTGAGGTGCAGCCAGATGTCGTCGGCGGTGGTGGAGGCGTTGGGCAGCAAGATCTTGACGACCAAGACGTTCTTTGTGTCGGCAGTGACGCCGAAACGGCGGTAGGCCTCGGCGATCTGGGGACGTTAGTGTAAAAGAGGAAGACTAGAGAAGGAGGAAGAAAACACACATTGAGCGACGGACTCAGCGACAGCACCGTCTCCGAGTGCACGTTGGGTGTCTTGAGCGAGCCACCGACGTGGGCGAGGATGGCCTTGTGGACGGCGGCGAGCAGGTGTGCTCGTGACACCACCGTCGACGCGTCCACGAGGGCGTACTCGAACGCGGCATTGCGGGCGACCAGCTGCGCCTGCAAAAAGGCGGCGTTCTGCACGTCGCGGAAGAGCACCGCGTGCACGGCGTAGCCCGGCGGAAGGTGCTCGACAGCCACCGTCTCGAGGGCCGAAGCGGCAGCTGTGGCGGTGGCAGACATGATCTGGCAAGCAGGTCGGCCGGCGGGGTCGAAAACGGACGAAAAAGTGGCAGAGCGAGGTCGCGATCCTGAGGCTCAGCACTTGGTGGGGCAGAAGAAAAGAGTGCAAGCAGGGCCCACAATGTGCGGCCTTACAGCAGTTGTGCCCGGGGTTTTAGCGTCTGTATTGCTGTGGGGTTCGACGTGTATAAGACTATAGGCGACACATGCTGTAATTATGGGTGCTTCGGGACTTCCGAGCTATGTGACTTGTACAGAGTATGAAATCCCCCACTAAATAGGCGGGTCTAGACATTCTGCCACATGGTACAAGCATCTTTGCATTGCACTGCACAAGTCTTATATATGGCCCAATTCGTTCGACACGACGAGAACGGATTGTAGAGAGGGTGCAACCCCGTTTATTTCGCCAGCATCGGGATATCTACGGGTGCAGCGCCCTTTTGAAGTAGCTGGATAGATATGTTATACCGATTGCACCTATCACCAGTCTCCCTGCTCTTACAGCACGTCCTGTCCGGCGCCCTCCGTGTCGGCAATGCGGAAGACGTACTTGACAGCGTGTGCCTTGCCAGCCTTGAGCCGGGCGAGGGCGTCCTGGATGCCGGCGAGGCCACCGGGCTGGACCTCATGGGGCTGAGGCCGGAGCCAGCCCTGCTCGAGGGCGCGGGTGAGGTAGCGGCTGTAGATGTAGCCGAAATCCTTGTGCTTTCCGTGGACGGCGCCGACAAACGTCCGGACGCGTCGAATCGACGCCGGGATGTTGTCATGCTCGACCCACGGCAGCACCACGTTGATCGTGCCGGTGGGCTGCAGGGCCTGGCTGACGATGTAGTTGCTGTGGTGATCGGCCACGGCGTCAAAGGCATGGAAGACCTTTTGGCTGCCGACGGCCGCCCGAAGTGCCGCGATGGCCGCCTCGTCGCCGCCCCGGTAGTCGACGATGGTGTCGCCGCGACTGCGGTCCAGCAGCGTCTCGACATGGGCGGCCGAGCTGCCGGCCACGGCGATGATGGGGTGGATGTTGCTGCGCGCGGCCAGCTGCACGGCATACGACCCCACGGCCGTCGCGGCGCCATACACAATCAGCGGCGTCGGCTCGCGTGCGCCGATCCACGGCTCCGGCAGCCGCTGGTCCGCATACAGGCCGATGGCCGCCGTCATGTAGGCCAGCGGCAGCGCCGCGGCTGCCTCCATGGTCGTCGTGGCCGGGATGTGCATCGTCGTGTGCGCCCACGCGATCGCGTACTCGGCAAAACTGCCGTGCGGCGTCTTCATCTCGTGGAAGGCCGCGACCCGGTCGCCTGGCTGGAACTCCCGCACGTTGGCCCCGACACGCACCACGATGCCCGCCAGGTCGTCACCCTCATTCTTGCTCTCGCCCGTCCATTCCGGCACCTTCCAGTCCTTCGGGTTGCTGCCCGACACCACCACCCGGATCAGCACCTGGCCCTCGCCCGGCTCCGGAACGGCCGAGTCCACTATGGCGACCACGGGGCCTGTCGGTCAGCATGGCGCACGGCGTGGACGCTCGACAGGAAACCTCACCTGCAGATACGATTGCTTCCTTCATCTTGACTCTCGTGCGCGGATGAGCGTTGGCTTGTCAGTACGCAGTAGTCACGAAAGATTCGGATGGCTTTACGTCGTATGCTGGACGTCGGATTAGTAAGCTTATAAATGCACAGCTGTCGATGGGCGAATAGTAAATCCGCGAGTGTAAAGCCGGTGAAAATTCCGAATTAGCGGCAGTGATGTTCAGCTGAATAGTATAAGACTGGTACGGAGTATATGCTCATGTCGACTTGTCGGCTCCACCCATATCCTCCTGTCCGTCGACGGACTTGTCATTCTCTACGTATCCCCATTCGCGCTTCAGGTCTGCCAGCCAGGTCTTTGTAGACACAGCCTCTCCGCCGACACACACTCCCCCTTCGAACTGGCCGCCGGTCCGTGTGTTTCCGCTGACCACATCTAGAGTGCGTTGCTTGTCCCACTTGGGCAGGAGAAGCCATTCGTGGCTCTTGTTGCACACGAGTCCGGAGACGGTCGGGCTCTTGAGCTGTCCCTGCTGCAGCATCTCGAGACATTGGTCACAGAAGCCGCGGTCGTAGCAGAATTTGCAGGCGTGCATCGCATTCTCAAAGTCCCATTTCCTGCCACATGGCCCATCGCACCAATAGCCGAGACTGCCGAGATTTTTGCTCACAGTGACCTGGCGCAGTCTCGCCTGGATTTCTTCGTACACGCCGACAAGTGTGGCGTCTGCACCTACTCTAATCCGCTTCCCCACGAGGCCGAGAGCCAAATCGATCTGCTTGTTCAGAGATGATGAATTGTCCTCCTCCTCTATGGCCCTGATCAGACCAAGGCTTGCGTCGCGTGCCGGGTCCTCTTCGAAATCGAGCAGCCAGGCCAGGACGTTTCCCTTGTCTGGTCGTGGAGGCAGCATCGAGAAGGCCGAGATGGCATTGCGCTCGTCGCCGCAGTGCATCAGGATACAGGCGATCATGTAGATGGCGTCCGAGTCATTCTCTTCCGTGTCGTCGGAGAGAAGGTCAAAGGCAGAATAGAGACATCCCTTGACCACAGTTCGGGCGCTTGTCCACTCTCGGTTGATGGTGTAGTAAGACGCAAGATACGCCTTGGCTGCCGACATGGAAAAGAGCCTGCTGCGGGTTTCGGCCGTCTGCAGGTGCTTCAGCCGCTCGACATCTTTCTGCCGCACGGCCGTCTCGTCTGACGCTCTCGCCCGGTCAAAGTGGTAGGCACTCAACAGTCGGGAGGCTGTGCTGTAGTTGGACGACCAGTCCGAGTCGATCTTGACGTCGAGGCACTTGCTCCAGCAGGCAATGGCTGACGTGGCCGATGCCGTGTCGTTGCTGTAGTGGTAGATCGCAGCGCCCTTGTAGAGCAGCATCTCGGCCATGGTCGGAAGATCCTCGGCCTTTTGTGCCCTGGCGATGGCGCGGTCCAGCTCTTGCAGAATGCGCGCGAACAGGTTGCTGTTCTCGGAAATCGCCGTGAAGAGCTTCGGAAGCACCGTCTCGTGCTGCCAGTCCCCAAACATGTCGCTGACAATGTTGCCAAAGCGGCCTGGCTCATCTTGCACATCTGAGGCGCCGGTCAGGTCCTCCAGGAACTCGGCTGCATGACTGCCGTCATCCGACATCAGATGGAGCTTCAGGAGAGCATAGCATGAGGCGTGATCGTCTGGAGAAAGACCAATCACCTTTTTCATGTACTCGGCCGCACGCTTGGGCTCGTTCAACGAGGTGTACCACGTCGAAAGATGCGTATAGATGCGGATCAGAATCGGCCTGTTCACCCCATCGTCTTCGTCGAGCAGCTTCAAAGCCTCATTTACACGGTCACACGCCTCTGGCAGTTTTCCCTGCATTGCCAACGCCTTTGCCAATCCCTCGTAAACTTCCGCGCTCGCGTCGCCGAGGCTGAGAGCTGAGTGGAATGCATCGACTGCTAGTCCCGGTCCTTGGACCTCGTAGAACGTCTCGCCAAGGCGTCTGTACCAGAGAGAGTCCAGCTCGGAAACGACAAGGACTTGTCGGCACCAGTCGGCAGCCGACTCGACCGTTATTTCGGTGACTGACTCAGCGACTGCCTCGGAACTTTTTGAGCTATCAGGCGTGTCACTTGGCCTTTCGGTGCTTTCCGGTGCTCCCGACTGAACGGTCAGCAATATGCCCCTGCCGGTATTTTTTTTTTCAAAAAAAGCAAATAAAAAAAGAACAAAATAAAAACTTACCAACATCAAAAGGCCGCGCAGCCACTCGTACGAAATGCGCACCTCCCAGTCGGTGTCTCGCAGCCAGTGTCGTGCCACCGTCTTGGCCAGCTTCGCCAGAAGTGCTCGGTTTGGTCTCTGGTCGGCCTCGACATCCCTGAGCCATTCGCGGTCCAGTCGGCCGAGGCGCGAGGTGACGGACGGGTCGGCGAGCCAGCGCCGAAATACCCGAACCTCGTCATCTTCGCGGAACCAAACGAGAGCGTCGCAGCTGCCCCAGTGCCTCTCAATGACCTCGCCAGATACGACGAGCGAGAAGAGACCTTCGCCGACCATCTGCTTCTCCGCCGGCGTCAGCGCATCGATGCCCGTCGCCTCCTCCAGGACCTCCAGGTGCTGAGGCAGATAGTTGAGGAGGTATGACGCCAGCGGCCGTGTCCTCAGGTCCGGCGCCTCGGCCAGGATGGAAAATGTCTGCTGGACAATGCTGAGGTGGGCGTCGAAGCGGTTGACCCCGATGGTGCCCTTGATACCGGTCTGGTCGGTCAGCTGCTGGAAGCCCAAGGTGTCCTGGTTGGCCTTTTGCATGAAGCTCCAGAGAAACGACTGCACACTTGTGAGGTCAGCCTTGGCGATGGTGATGGTGGCCGAGAACGTGGGCGCCTCATCCACCACCCGTGACTGCGTCCTCTCCTTCTGCAGGTTGGCCTCCATGTCTTCGGCAATGTCGACGTAACCGTCGGACAGCACGTGGAAGATCTTGCCGTATTTTCCCTTCAACTTGTTCGTCAGCTTGAGCAGGGTCCGTGTCTTGAACCGGAGAGACTAGAGACGATCAGTCAGCCAAAGTCAACACAGCATCGTCTGAGTCGGACGGAACTCACCAGCGCGGCATCCAACAGGTCGAGATGGAATGTGCAGAAGCCAAAGATGACCCAGACGAGAAGCTCGTTGAGCTCGGCGATCTCGCGCGCCTGCAGCGTCTCTTCCAGCGTGCGGATGACCGTCTGCGAGATGGCCCTCTCATCCTTGCTCGACTCGTCGAGCACCCGGTCCACATCAGTCTCCTCGCCGTCGTTGAGCACCACCTCCTCGATCTTGCCAATGGCAGACGTCACCTTGTAGTAGCTGCCACCCACCTCGTTGGCCAGCCGGTCTCGGATCCGCGTCCCAATCCTGACCGAGCTGTCGTCGGCGTCCTGGAACATGTCCTTGGCCTTGAGCTCGTGGTCGATGTACCTGCGAATGTCCTCGGCATTGTGCTTCTCCATGTCGATCTTTGGCCATTTGCACGCACCCATGGTCGCAAGACTGTCCGGCCTGACTGACAGGAGCACTCGTATGGGTGATTGTTCTGAATCCAGCCGGTCCAAGATGGCAAACAGCATCTCCATCGTGGCCCGCTGTCCACTCGGCAACGAGCCTAGTCCGTCTAAAAGCAGAAAGTGTGCCGTCGTCTTGGCCCTCGGCACGCACGCGCTGATCAGGTCCCAGAGGCCCTCACAGGTGGCGTCATGGAAGAACGTCTCGGCATCGGTCCGGCCGTCACACGCCTGCGACATCTTCCTGGCACAGACACCGTCCTGCTCGGCCAGCTGCATCGCGATGCACTTCAGCGCCGTCTCTACCGGTCGCCGGTCCTCGTCACTCTTGCCCGTGAAGCTGGGGAAGAAGTAGGATGCGACCAGGGTTCGAGGCGATTGTCTGTCCGGCGCCTCGTAGATCGATCGCAGGTGGTGGCTGATGGACGACATGACGACCGACTTGCCCGTGTTGGGATCGCCGTTCAGCAGGAACATCGGCTTCGCCTCTGCATTGTTTCGCTCGGCCCACTCGCGAAATGCCGGATTTCCGTCCGCATTCACCATCCAGCTGCCCGTGCCAGGGACACAGATATGCCAGAGCTCGTCGTAGGCCTCCTTCGACGCCTTCAGTGCCTTTTCCTGTATGCCAAGCTTGTCTCGTATGTTGACCAGGTGCTTCCGCCTTGTCTCCTCCGACTTCCGCTTGTCGTCTGCGTCCCGAAGACCGATCACGTAGACGGCCATCTCTTCTATACGTCTGCCCGTCTCGGATGCTTCCGTCAGAAAGGCCGTGAGGCTGCTATTGCTCTCTAGCACCGTCTTGAGCGTTTGCGTTGCCTGCACCGAACCATGTGCTGCTGTCAGCGTCTTGAAGTGCTCAACCTCACTCTTGACGCCGGAGTCGTCGTCTAGGAGGATGAGCTTCGTCGCGGCCTTGAACTTGCGCCACCTCCCCGAGTTACGCAGCTTGATGTAGAGCGCGCATATGTCAATGAAGCTGATCATCACCCGCTGGATGGCCTGCTTCAGCTCAGGCTCGATGTTCTTGAACTGTTCGATCCTCTCGTATATCCTGAAGACGCCGAGACTTGGACCAAGCGTCTCGAACAGGCCGTCCACCGCACTGTGGAAGTCCTGGATGTTCTCTGGCACGTCCAGAAGAAGCGACAGCGCATTGAAGCAGAGGCTCGACGGCGCAAATACCTGGCATCACCTTAGTCACAATGGACGAGCGCATAAGAGGCTCCAACGTACCATCTCTGCCCCTTCTGCAGCCACTCCGCCCAGCAGTTTCAGACACCGCAGAATGTTGATTCCATACTGCTTGGCCTTGTCTCTTGTCGATACCGTCTCTGTCGACAACGACGGCGCCGGCAGCTGGCGCTTCTCGATCTCTGCAATACAATCGTCCAGCGTTTTTGCAGGCTTCAGGCTTAACGTCGTCCCGGTCCGTTCCTTGAACCTGACTGCAGCCTCTTGCCACATCTCGGCCATCGAGAGGTCCTGCTGAGAGTCTGCATTGTCCATACTTGCCGCCTGTAGCTCGCTGTTGTCAAGACTGGTAACGATGCAAGCACACTACTTCGACAGAGTAAGAGGACGTGCAACCTTATGGGCTGCCTAGCAGACTCCACATCCATTGGTGGTCAGCAAAAGTAGCATTGTGACCCCTGTCTGCTTAGCCGCAAGGCACAGCCTCACAAAGAAGGATGCATGAAAACGCCCGCTCGTGGCGTTGTATTGGGCCGGAAAACCCCATGACCCCATAGGACGCTGCATTATGTCTCAATTAGCTTGCTCAAGTGCATATCTCGTAAATGCTTCAGGACAACGCTTTTGCACATTTAATTCAATTTTTCTTACACTCAACAGGCAGAATCTTCGTAAACATGTATTTATGCGTATGCAGTGCCATTCTAGACCTCACACAGTAAGGACCCTCTCTAGACGAGCCTGATCGTCCAAGCTGTAAGGCTAGCAGTCGATCTGGAAGGTGTGATGATCCGACAGGGTCTTAGCCCAGGCACCGTACTTGAAGCGTGGCCCCCAGAAACGTAATCGATATGGCCTGTCACGCTGGCCCAGGACCACGACGGCGCGATATTCAGTCATAGACGGTGGCCACTCGAACTGGGGAACACAACTCGGCGGAATCGCTCAGCCAGTATCGTCTCACTGGCATATTTATGAACACGTGCCAGAGTTCTCTTATGCAGCAATAATCCGAAGACAGTTATGTTAGACGAGTCCCACCTTGTTTCTCTAGTCGTCCCAGTCGACGGTGGAATCCTAAATGATACAGACCAAGTCATCTAGTGGTGGTCCACTTTTAGAACTCGACAACTGAGTATAGCGTCTCGGAATATCATGGAAATGTCTCCAAGCTTCATCTCTTTCTGAAACGAGGCCAGGCTGTTGTTTCTAAGCTGAAAGAGAGCCCCCCCTGCAGTGACTCAGGTATATATATTACCCATGGCCTCAACGCTTTTCGACAAGGCGTAGTTTCCCGACATCTATCGGAGCAGCTCCGTTGCTGTTTCAGCGAAACTCTTGGTGCAAGCTGAAATTGTTCTTGAGCACACCTCGGGACGATTTCGCCGCCTCTCGGCTTCTATGGCCAATTAGATCACCTTCTTTACCTACTTTCTCTGTTCTCGTGGCCTTTTTTTAGTCGCACTTTGTACTCCTCTCGATATCGTTCCCGCGGTCTGCATCTCAAACGTGCATATAATTGGTTATCATTCCGATTTGCTTCATGATGCCGTCCTATACAGTGTCTAGCCAATACGTGACGTTGTATCAAGCTTTCCATATTACTTCACTCCGCCTGCACTCGGGTTATATGACGTGGCTTTGCCTTGCCAAGGCCTGCACCACCAAACATGTGGCATGCCAAGCATATGTGCACTTTCTCCACAAGACGGCATGACCACACGGTACTTGTATCGCCTGTTTTCCGACACAATTCTTTCCCGAATCCATAAATTTTGATGGCCCGAGCACAACTACGAGCAATGCGACAGCTTTACCACGACCGCTTACCAATACGCAACTTTTCAAGACCCAATAACAGATACAGGCTTGCCAGATTTCTGCCCGGCCTAATGGACGGCTTAGCTGCAGAGAGATTCATGCTGTACTCGGGAAACCCGCGGCGCAAAAGCAGAAGAGGTAGTGCCTGAAATAGATCAGAGCGTTTATGCCGGCAAAAATTCAAGCCTTGGAGCTATTAAGGGATGCTACATCTTCCAAGATGCCGACACAAAAGTTACGCATTGGGAACATCCCGACCCCTGCATGAGACTCGACAACATATGGCAGCTCTTCCCGACGAAGTCGGGACTAGCAGATGTTTTCTCGGGAAGAAATGACCAGACGGCCCACGGTATAGGCTACTTATTTAAAACAGCCCTACGATACTTGCGAAGTGGGATAGCGAGTCGGACGTTGTGGGCTACGCATACGGGCCCCCTGTCATGGGTTGCGGCTGCGAGTCCGTGCTTTGGTCATGTTGCACGGGTCATGTTTCCATCGGACCAGATCCACCCCGAATACGCAGCACCGGTCGCCACTGTACATCTGCTGAAATGCTGGAATGCTGGCTACTCGCTCAACATGTGCACCGATTTCATAATGGCGCTGTGGTCTCTGAAAAGTGCCATCTTCTCTGTCTTGGATTCCCAACTTCGCCCAGACCGGTAGTCTGCGCACCAGCAGCCTCAGCTACTGTTTCGCCATTGGTGCTTGTACCTCCTCCGTACCGCCTTACTCTCTTGAGATATGGGGAGTGACGTGTGACTTTTTTTGCAGCGTCAGTGGCTCTCTCTGTCACGAGGATGTCGATCCCTTGCCCGATGTGCGCCTCGGGGCCAGGTAGCATTGGACACGACCTCTCTGTCCAACCGGAGAGAGCGTTACCCTTGGTGCACGCTGTCCTCTCCGGACTCAGTGGCAAGAGCAGCTGACCGACTACGTGTGGGACATTTCGAAAGGCAGTGTATCAGAGAACCTACCAAACCACTTTTCCAAAACGTTCTGACAGTTGCAGCAAGTAGTGGCAATGAAACAAGGCCACTTGGGACTGACTTCTACAGATGCACAGCCGGGTAAGCTGGCCAACCCTCTATTCCTTTGTGCGGTAGAACCTGATCATTGTGTGTGGGAGATTAGATCTATGCTGTCCTTGGTTGCAGAGGCATGGCCATGACCCGACTAAAAGACTTGGACACGTTCGAAGCTGTTAGATTCGTCGACAGAGAAGAACGCCTGAGACCTGTCCCGCCGATGGGTCAGGTCGTGTACAAGTTCTTACAACTCCTGAACCAGAGGCTGATCTCAACATTCCGGCAGGTCGCAAACACTGGCCCACAGCTCACACCAGTTCCATTGGAGTGGGAGCGAGAGACTCGAGAAAGCCACCCGAGTCGATCCGGCTGGACTCTTGTCCTCGGAAAGTCTTATATCTACGACTAAGACTCCCTTGCTTTACAGAAGAAGAAAGTTTGGATGCAACTGGTTGCTTTATAATCACACCGACAATATGGAAACACGGTTACAGGATGATTTTGTCATGACTGGCAAGATTGTGGCTATATCGTGCAGGACTCGAAGCATCTGCTGCGATCAGGCGGAGCTCAGTGGGCCTTGACAGCGTGCAGCTGCTACAGAGGCTTTGAGCTGAGCGGACGTGGCGGTGAAGAAAACCGGTGTAAGAAGCTACCGGGGGAGATAAAGAAGGAAGTCCTGTTTCGCCAATGTAAGATACCTCGTTTTGATCACCATGATTATTTAATACGTTTTTGTCTTCTGGATTTCACAAAGGCTTTGTAAGTATTTTTATCCCGCGGAGAAACTAAAAGGTCTTGTCTTTGTAGAAACAAACGGCATGGCCCACTAATCAACTTGCGTAAAAAAAAAAGCATGCTTTGGGGCCATGCAGCATATATTAGACGTGGCATGCGAAAAAATGAGTCCTATCAATAATCTAGAATGTATTTTATTGCCGAACTGAGTCCGCTACAGCAGACAAGTAGTTTTATTGCCATACGCTGTCGCGGCGGGCCTTTTGATACGTGTCTAACAAGGCAGTGTACTCTGCTCCACGTTTGTAAAGGTGCTCTGTACCCACCACTTCCGAGCCGTGGGTTAGCTGAGGTAGTCGTGTGGCTATGGCTTAGGTCGCACGCTTATATACCGGACTCGGGCGACCTGAATAATGAGCAAGTCTTAACACCGTTTCTCCCAAACTCAAAGACATATGGCCCCTCTCAACATCTTTCAATATGTTTTTCTCTCGACGCTTATCAAAGTGGCTGCCTAGCTTTCTTATCGCTAAAACGGCAGCGTCTCTTGGCCGTCTCGTGCTGGATCCTGCATATCCCGAGAGCTGCTATATCGACACGATCGAATCAGACAAAGACGGGCAAACAGAAAGAGTCTCGGAGATTCGAGTAAATTCTTTTCAAACTACCACAACCGAAGCCGAGTCATACGGACTTTCTGCGCTCCTTACCACCCTTCTCGGAGCCACATATAAAACCAGACAGGAGCAAAGCATCGACATTGCAGCTGATGGGTGCACTACACGGAGCCTGAATGATCCTTATAGAAGCTTTCAAAATGCCACCGAGCGTAGCGAAGTGGTTGACTGGCTCTACGACGCGTGGAAGAAGCGTAAACCCGTTTACTATATAACAGGCATTCAGACCTTGACCGACGCCAACATTAAATTTCGGACTGCAAGTACCTTCGAAGGGGGCTTGAATGTTAGCCTCCCTACTTCTGTGACTGTAGCAGCAGCTACTTCGGGTGCTGTCCTCATTCCCGGCTGCGACGCAATGGACTTAGAAGTCGGTATATCGAGAAAAAAGGAGCCAAGTCGAGAAAGCGGTGGGTTCATAGCGGGAGAGCATATATATGCCATTCAATTTCGCAAGGTCCGGTTCTCTTGGCTTAAGAAGCCAAAACGCGCCAACACAGGACTTATTCCGCACGACTGGAAGATTTTCATCGGCACCAGGGGTGGTACTATCAACACAGATTCGGATTCAGACTCGGAGAGCAGTCAGGATGAAGGAAGGATGTTCACACTTGTGCCACAGCTTTCTCCCGACAATACGGAATCAAAATTCGGCCTGTTCATGAAAAATATATCGTGAAGATAGCCTGAATTACTGACGCTCATGTGTTGAGAAATACCAGTGTCTGGAGATATCTGAATTGAGCTATTTTAGACTGGCGTGTGGGCGAAATCGCGTCCCCCCTTTTCCTAACTGTTACGTCTTTCCTCTCTCCCATATAATCAGCGCCATACATTTGGCATATTCGTATAGACAAGGCGTTATGACTCTCAATATGGCCGCAGAGAAATAAACCATTATATCCCGTGAAATGCTGAGTTAAAGTTTTTTTTTTTTTATAGAATATCGGAGAGGCAATCATTAGAATCGAGGCCTGCGGAATCCTTAAAGCGCCTCCCATCGTAAGGCGACGTGAGCCATGTGCAATCGCATTGATATTAGAAGTCC